ACATTTTGTATTTGCCCGCGTCGAAAGCCCATTGGCGGCAGAAAGACGTTGGCTCGCTGCCTGGCGCAATATTGCTTCTCGATATACACGATCGTCTCACGTCCCTCAATCTGTCATCATTTCTGTCACGCGCGAGTGCGACTTCTTTGCGGCTAGATCAGATGCGTGCTGGTGCCGTACACAGACGTTCACTCGGCCTTATCTTTACAAAGTGCTCCTTCGTGAGCGCACGGCTTGACCTCGACTACCTCTTTGCACGGCGAAGTATTGGATAGAGTGGGTTCGAGGCACCACTCATCGCCTCCAACTCGTCCGCGATGACGGTATCAGCGACCAGTGGACGAGGACCTGTCGAATGACATCTTCGTGTCTGTAATCAGCTCGAATGGGTCCCTTCTCCCTTTGCGTTCCGTTTTACCAAGCGCGAAGGTCTTTTGCTGGATCCCAACTCGATCCTCCACCTCTGACGCCTCTCGATCGCAGAGCAATGCGTAGCGCGGCCTGGCCTTGTCGATGGGTCCAAGTCGCAACACCGTTGCATGCCAAGTTGGGCGCCGCGACTTGCTCTCCCCGACGGCGCCGCCCAAAAAAAAGCCGCTGGTCTCCGTGTGCTTGCACGTGGCGTTTCGCTCGCGGGCGGACACCTCCACTCCGCTGCGCAGCCATCGACGATCGACGAGCCGATCACTTCGCAGCGTCCCGGAAATTGCCCGGCAATCTCTTGCGTACTCGAAGCTGGACCGTGAAGCTCGTAATGTCGCCGCGGAGAAGGGCGTCCTTTTCACATCTTAAGAGCCTGTTGCGGCCCCCCCTGATCAGTGACATCAGCCAGGACTTGCGAAATAGTCTCAGGCTTACGTACTCGATGCCTTACAGCTACTTCGATCAGTGCAGACTCGCTCGCCCCTCTCGCCCCTCTCGCCCCTCTCGCCCCTGTCTTGTTCATCGGACGAACAATGCCGTGGACCCCACCCGCGTGACGATCTGCTGCGAGCGAAGGCGATTAATGGGTCCAATTGATTGAAGGGCCGCCCGCTGCATCTCTAGGCACAGTCGGCCGTGCGAGAAAGATCTCCACCTCGGCGTGGTCGCGGCGTGGTCGCGGCGTGGTCTCACCGTGCACCATGCCTTCACAGCAATCACGTTACCCATGCCATGCGTGGCATCGCAAACAAACATCCGTCTCATCGAGAGAGATCGACGCCTAAACGTCCCATGTCTTTGTGCCCTGGCTGAGTTTTGCTGCCACCTCGATGTCTCGGGCCCACCCATTCACCCCGCTGTAATTCTAGAATCTCCCTGCACTGGCGGGCGTCGACGGGGCCTTTCGCCCGATCTTTCCGGTCCGCACGCAGAGCGAGCAAGCAAACAAACGCCTGCGCTTGCCTGCGCTGTCTGCGTCGCCTGCGTCGCCCGCGCCGGAGAACAATGGCCACGAGGCACTTCCGCCCTGAGGAGCCTGGCGGGCCTTCGCGCTCTGAGACAGGCCTTGTCTCACTTTCCGGGCTCGGTCGCTCGACGTGAAGGCTTCACGCATTCGCAACGCTCGAGTGGATGCTCACCGTGCGACTGCGAGGATAGAAGGACGATGATGGGTCTTCGCAACGCAGCGCAGCGAGCCGTGTGGTGAGGCGTGACTTTCTTGGCGTTGGCGAGGCGAGTGAAGAATGGATGCCGGCAACCAAGTTATAAAGAGCGGGCAACCTCGTCGATCATCCTCGCTATCCTCACACCAACAGCCTTCTCTCTCTCTCTCTCGCACGCTTAAACCACTCTTCTCGCAGCCCACCCTCCTCACCCAGCATGCGCACCTCCGTCGTCCTCGTCGCCGCCGCCGCCACGGCCGTCTCTGCCGGCCCCATCATGGAGCGCACCTTCGGTGGCAGCTGGAGCTTCAGCTGGGGCTCGTACACCGAGAAGGCCCCCTGGAAGGACAACTCGAAGCCCTCTTGGTGCCACGGTGAGCAGATCAGCGGCATTCCCACCTGGTCTGGCGGTGACTGGGCCAAGCAGTGCAAGACGAACCCTTGGGCCTTCTGGACCATGTGGTACAAGCCCCAGTGGTGCAAGACGGGCAACAAGCCCAAGCCCATCCCCTCGACCCCCAGCACCAACCCCACCTGCGACGGAGCCTACCAGGTCGTCTTCCAGGACCTCCAGAAGCAGGCCGACACGGGCGTCTACGCCGGTCAGACCGTCGGCGCCGCTACGGTGGACAACGAGAACTACCTCACCTACGGTCTCGCCACCAGCGTCGACGGCTGCCTCGAGACGTGCGACAAGACCGAGGGCTGCGTCTTCGTCAACGTCTACCAGGACCACGTCGACAACTACCCTGCCGATGTTGCGGACCTTCCCGAGTCTGCCCAGAAGAAGTACGCCCCAGGCACCCTCACCTGCGCCCTCTACAAGGCATGCTCTGACAAGGACAAGGCCACCAACTTTGCCGGCCAGCAGGACCCTACCAAGATCCTCAACTCTGACGGCTACTGCAAGAGCGGCAACTGCGGCAAGTAAGCCGTACGCGTGCGCGGCTCGATGCCCCAAGCCCATCAACACTTGACCTTTTCTTTAGCTCTCATTTCTGGACCTCCCCGCGCTCCTTTACTTCTCTCCGCGACCTCGTAGCTCGGCATGCTTTGCTCTCGCTCGGTCCATGTCACTTTGCACTTCATCAATGATATCTCTGCTTCCATTCCTACTCTCCGCGCGACACCGCTGCATTAGACACCCGCTCGCCCACTCCCGGTGCTTTCACTATGCCTGCTGACCCCCCTCACTCTTCGCGGTGACCATCGCGCTCGCTTTCGCCTCTTCGCTGGCTGCAGCGCTCGATCCTTCCTGTACCGGGACGGCTGACCGGCCTGGCTTTGTTTCCTCACTCGCTACGCCACTCGCAACCGAATCCCCTGCTCCTGTGGCTGTCGCCGTTGCCCCGCTGGTCCGCCTGCTCGACGGGATCCCCGGGATGGCCATCATGGTCGTCTGGCCCGGCTGGGAGCGGATACGCGTCCCCATAGTCGTGGATGTAGGCGGGGCCCGCCCTGCTGCGGGTTGTGGTGGAGACGAAGATGTGGACGCTGATGTGGAGGAGGAGGGCAAGGGCTCTTTGCCCGCCATCGCAGCCGGAGGAGGGGGAGGAGGCTGAGCAGCGGGAGGAAGGGCCAAAGATTCTGCCGAGGCTGGCGAGCCCTGCAGTTGTGAATGCGCTCCATTCTTGGACAGTGAAGCGACCGACTCGGGTGATAATGCCAGCGAAGGCTCTTCGTGCTGTTGAGCTTGAGCTTGAGCTTGAGCTGGTCCCACCTCGGCGCCATTCGACTGCGAGCTCGGAGATAGTATCCTTTCCCTCGCCTGCATCTTCGCAGCGGCATTGGCAGCGGCCGCTGGAGCAGGGAGAGCGACGCCGCTCGTTGTACCTGCCCAATCTGTCGGGGTCTCCGTGTGAGTAGCGCCAGCACCCGCGCCAGACGCAGGGCCTGGCGAAGCCGGCCGGGAGCCCTGCTCACTTCTGCCCGCCCTGTACGAACGATAAGCATCCCATCCCCCAGCGCCGCGCGCACTGTTGCTGCTCTTCGAAGGTGATCCCTGCCCAGCGGCGTGGTCTGCTGGAGTCGTAGTAGTAGGAGGATCGACGAGCCCCTTGCCCTTTGCGCCCTTCGAGAGCGAGCGGGAGCGCTGCCATTCAGGCGAGCCATGAGGGCTCATCTCGAAGCCGAACCCTGCACCCAAGCTCACCGGGTCCGTAGAGGTTGAGCCGAGGCGCCATGACGACTCGCCCGCTGCTCCTTCTGCCTCACCCCCTCCTCCTCCTCCTCCTCCTCGCGCCACGGCTCCCGCTGCCTCGCTCTCATCTCCACCTTCGCACAGCGTCGTTCCCCTTCCGCCAGCGGTATCGCGTCGCTTCGCTCCCCAACTCGCCCACCCCTTCCTAATAGCCTCCTTGGCCTCCTTAGCAGCAGCCTGGCGCGACTCCTTATCCGCCATGCTCGCTTTCGCTTTGTTCCACCCTGAGATCAGTGCCGCTTGTGTCGCCGGGCTGAGGCCTGCTTTGCTCGCGCTGGTGCTGGCGCTCCCGCCAGTGTCGCTCAGACGCGAGTCGCGACTTACGGACCGGACGACGGGGTCGGGCTGCATAGACGATGGAGATGGAGCAGGGGAACTGCGTCGCGGGGGAGGGGCGAAGCCGTGGCTCGATCGCACGACTGGGCTGAGGGTTGAGGAGGAGTGCGAGGCGATGGAGATCGGCGGCGAAGAGGCAGTCGGTAGGGCGCTGCCCGTGCCCAGGGGCAAAGATGAGTCCATCTCCGTGTTTGCGGCCACGTCCGCGTCCGTGTCCGTTGCCACGATGGAGGGGGGCTTGGAGTGAAATCGCGTTGCTGAGCCGCTACTGTCCTCGTCGGGCTCTGCAGCCGGCGTGATGGTCGAGATCGGGTCGGATGATGATGATGCTGATGCTTTAAGGAGGCTTTCCTCATGCGACGGCTGTTGGTAATCGCCATGCATAATCCGGCTCGGCTTGGGCGTCTTTTCCTCCCCATCCGCCAACTCAACACTGTGCGCCAGAGCAGCCTGAACCGTATCTGTATCAGCGCTGCTGGTCGTACCAGCCGTACCATTCGAAGACGCCAGCGAGGACACGCTCCGATTCGAGGGTAAGGTGTCTCCGAGATGAGATGACTGGGACTGAGACGTAGGCAGGCTCGAAGGCTTCGTCGACTCCGTTAGCTCCGTCGGCTCTGTTGTCGTGATGGCATGCTCGCCATCCTCGCTCGGCCGCGGAAGGGTCGACGCCGGAGTGCTGGACGTGGGAACACTTGCTGATTCGAGCGGTGGGGCAACCGAATGTGAAGCCTCTCCTGCCATTGCGCCTGCTCCTGCCCCTCCGCCTGCTCCTCCGCCTTCGCCTTCGCCTCGTCCACTAGGTAGAGCGACACTCGCGCTCCCCCACGCCAAGCTACTCTGCGTCCCTTTGCGGCTGGGAGCGGCACTCCCCGCCCGACTACTGGAGGAGAACCAGCTCTTCTTCTTCGCGTGGCCTTGTCCCTGCCCTCCGGGGCCCCTGGACGCTGCAGAGTCCGTCGTTGTCGTAGGAGAGTTGGATGTCGATGGAACTCCTTGCGCATTGTTCCGAGCCAGGAGGGCGGATAGGCCCGCCATCGCTGGTGAAGCGGAAGTTGCTGAGGACGAGAGGCCGCCCGACGGATGAGTATCGGCGGGAGCGATGCCTGTGCCGGTGTTGGACTTGCGACTGCGCAAGGAACCCGAGGTCGTCTCGCTTCGATGACCTTCCCGAGCGGTACTTGTAGCTGCGCCGAGGCCCTCTTCGTCCTCTCTCGCCTGTTCTCCACCTTTACGACGCTCCATCTGCTCATCCTCGCGCCTCGCGTCCCTCCTCGCGGTATTCAAGGCCTCTTCCACCTTGACCTTCTCCTCCCCCTGCGCCTCCTTCCCCTCCCCCTTCTTCGCGGCCGCCCCCTCCCAAATCCCTCCCCTCTTCCCTCCCCTCGTATCATAAAACGGCAGATCATCCATGTTAGGCACCACTACGCTTTCGATCATCAATTCTTTGATCCTCCCCTCGATGATCCGCTTAACCATGCTCCACTGCACCTTCCTCTCAGACACCACAGGCTCGATATCCACCTCCATCTTGGGCAAGTGTGTAAACCCGAACCACAGCCTATTACTCGGCGGCGGCTTGACTTGGAGGAGCAGATTGCCCTCCAGGCTGGTGAGCACGACAGCAAGGACCAGCGGGACATTGTAGGGCTTGAAGCGGCTCCCGAGCGAAATGGTGAGGACGGTGCTGATGGTGAGGCGGAGCGCGCCACGATAGTGCACCGCGACTTCCATGCTCGCTTCGCCTTCCCCGGTTAGGGATTTGAGCATCGGACGAGAGAAGGCTGGAGGGGTGCTCCCGAGCGAGACTTCGCGGACGCGCACATCGGAGAGGAAGCCGGGGGTGCGGACGCGGGAGATCTTGCGAGTGAGCTTGTGGGTGATGTAGTCTTCGAGCCAGGAGGTGCGATAGATTGAGTAGAAGATTCTGGGCGGGCGAGTGAGAGAGAGCCAGGTGAGATCAACGCAGAGGAGGGAGGAGGTCGCGTTCTCTTTTGCCCCGCCCACTTACCTTCCCACCATGGCGTTGAGCCATCTCAAAGGGATAGGGTCCGGCAGGGAGTCCAACGAGGTCAGAAGGGCCATCATGTCCTCCTTGCCGAAAACGGCTTCGATCGGGTCCTTCCACTCTGCCCCATTCGCGCTCGCGCTGCTACTTGTAGGCAGCAACGAAGCGTAATAGAGCGCATGATACCAATCCTCAAAGTCGGTCGCGCTCCTAAAGAAGACGAACCACTGTGTCCTCGCACTTCCCGGCGCCAGTATGCGCACAGCGTTGCGCTTCTGGAAGAGTTCCCCGTCCTTGATGCGAGGGGCGGCAGAATCGTTCTCCTCTACGTCTCCCTCGCCCGCGACCCAGATGCTGACCCGCTTGCCGCGGAGGTCGATTGCGGCGAGGCATTCGGCATTGTTGGGGTCGGAGGAGGAATAGAGGAAGAGGACGGGCTCTTTGAGGATGCAGTAGAAGGTTTCGTGTGGTGCGGCTGGGTTGCGCGAGCTTGTCGGTGGGGCCTGGGAGGGGCCTGGGATGCTGCTGCTCGAGGGGGCGGGGGAGACGCTGCGTGAGTCGTGTGGAGAGGAGGTGGACGAGGAGGAGGCAGTTGGAGCGACTTCGTGCTCTACGCCGCGCTTGCTGCCACGATAGTCGAGGATGCCGCTGTGTGGGCGTTCGTCGGAGGGGGGGGGGAAGCGTTTCCGTCAGCATATAGTCAGGATCTCGTATCCGCCGCGCTACGCTACGCCACGCTACGCACCGGTACATAGCACTCATATATCCCGTCGACTTTCCAGCCGCAGCATTGCTACCCGCTCCCTTGGCTCCCTTTCCCGCCTCTCCAGCCGCACCCATCGACTGCGAGCCCGATGCAGAAGGTACAGCGGGAAGCTGAGCAAACTGTCTCCTGACGACGAGCCATCCGGATCGATGGGGCTTAGCCGGCAGTCCCGTGCCTGTCGCAGGGATCCGCCTAGCTCCAGCGGGTAATCCTTTGAGCCCTTGTCCCATCCCCACGTCTGCGGCTCCTACGCCCACCACGCCCTGCTTGTCGGCCTCTGCGTGAGCCGCTTGCGCTTGAGCATTCTGCGACGCCACCTCCAAAGCGGCTGCCTTTTCTCCTAGAGTCAGAGAGGTATCGCCATCGCCTTGTTCTCTTGCCAGCTCTGCTTGGCTGGACTGTCCCACTCTTGGCGCGAGGAAGATGAAGTGTAGCAATCCCGCGAGGAAGACGAGGGGGAGAAAGGTGACGCCTCCGAGGAGGTAGTAGAAGAGGGCAGATGCGTACGAGGCCGCCATTGTCGGCTGCGGTGGTGGTGGGGAGGAGTGGAGGTGATCAATGGGCAATGCCGTAAGATGGCATGCTGGCCGAGATGATGGAGGGAAAAGAAAGGAAAGGAGCAAGCGCCAACAACGACGGAGTCAAGTGTTGCTTGCCTCGACGAGAGCGGCAATAGAGAGCGGAGGGCGGAGCCACTTCCAAGGGCGCCGAGGCACACAAGCACACACACGCGGGGCGGCGCTCGGGCCACAGCCAAAGTCGAGCTCCACGACGACACGACTCGACATGCTTCGTTCTGCGTGCCTAATCCACGCCGAGTACAATGCTCACCCACACGCAACGCATCGCTATCCAGCATTCATAGACACCATTTACATTCTTCTATCGCATGGCCGTCATGCAAGTCACGCAAAATCATACGTACTCAACATCGTCTCCGTATCGGCCAACCCATCCAACCAACTCTTTGCCTCCAACCAGATCCACACCTTGATCATCGGGCTCAAATCCTTCAACTGCCCACGATCAGGCAAATGCATCCCCCTCTTTGCCTCCTGTCTCCCAATCTGTCTACCCAATGAGCGCAAGATGGGTAACGAGCTCTTGAATAGATCCATACCCGGGTCCAACTGTCGTCCAATCCCCTCGAGCAGCAGGATGGAGATGACCGTATTGACAAAGTCCGCCTCCATCTTGACGTGGTGATCTCGCACAGCCATTAACACCTCGGTAAGCACATCGCTAATCTTGATCTGGGCGAGACTGAACGTCTTGCTCTTGACGCTCAGCACCAGCCTCTGCATCTTAAGCGCGAACCCTTCTTTATCCACCACCAGGTCCGGGGTGCGACATCGCTCCACCATTAGGTTGCCAGCGAGCTCCCCGTCGAATTGGGCGACGGCGGAGAAGAGATCAAGGAAGTTGCGACGATTCAAGGGAGTGAGTTCCACCGTCAAGCCGGCGTCGAGGAGGACTAGCTCCGGCTCGTACCCGAGGGAGTCGAGACGATCGAGCTCATCTGACCAGGCTTGAGGGTTGTGCTTGAGGGATTGGAGGCGAGCTACCACGTCCTCCTCTGCGCGACTGTCTGCTGAAGGAGGGGCTTTGGGCCCGCCCAGACGATAGTCCGAGTCAAACGGAGACATGAGGCGGGCGAAGAGGGCGTGCAAGCGGGAGGAGCGCGTGGGGTGGAAGAACCTGTGGCGTGGAGGTGGCGAGTGAGTGGTGAGATCTGACAGGGTAGTGGCCGCTCACGAAAACTCACTTGATCATAATGTTGCCCGGGTGCAGATCCGCATGCGTAAAGTTGTCCAAGAGCAGCATATACAAGAACGTATCTAGTCCCAGCGTCGCGATTCTATGATCGAACCCTGCCCCTCCATTGTTCAAGAAATGCTTCAGCGGCACCGCATCCTCGTACTCCTCGATCAGCACCTCCTTGGTCGTGAATTTGGGTAAGGGGCGGGGGAAGGAGATGGGGTCCGCTCGAGTAGAGAACGATTCTTCGAAGCGCAGCAGGTTCTTGGCCTCGTTGCGTAGGTCGAGCTGGGAGAACATCATGCCGGAGAAGACTTGCACCTCTTCTGGGAAGGAAAGCCATTCGGCCCCCGGAAAGAGGTTGAGCAGGCGAGCGAAGAAGGTCATGATGCCTGGTGCGAGAGGAGGGAAGGGTGGGGCAAAGGAGTCAGCGAGCGGCAAGCAGGTGGATGAATGCGCGCGCATTTACGCACGGATATCACGCGCTATAGTGCGGTGCACCTTAGGATGCAACACTTTAATCGCCACGCTCTGTCTCGGCGCCTCCTCCCCCTCTTGTTCCCCCTGCTTATCAGCTACAACGACCTGCGTCTTCCCCTTCGACTTGGAGCGCTTCCCCCTCCCACCACCAGGCCCAACAGGCGCGACCCCCGGGCGCAGCTTCGCCTTGTAAACCTGCGCAACCGCTCCAATGCCCAGTGGCTCCTCGCCAAACTCCTCAAAGATCTCCTCAAAGGGTCGTCCGAAGACGCGAGAAATCACCCGCTTCGTGTAACGCAGCGAGTGCGGTTTGCCATTGGAGTGCAACTTGCCTAACCGTTCGCAGAGGGAAGCGGGGAAGAGGTCCTGCCGAGAGCCGGCCCACTGGGCTAGCTTGATGAATGTAGGACCTGCGAGCTGCATCTGGTGAACGAGGAAGGAGTACCACCATATCGCGCCCCATCGCCCCTCCTCGTCGACGATCGTGTACGAGTCGCCGTTAGAGGCGCGCCGCGTCTTTGTGGTCGCTTGACCACGCGCGCCTACGAGGAGCATGGGCATGGTGAGGAGTACGGGCAAGAAGAGGGAGAAGAGGACAACGAAGCGTTTGAGGGTGCCGAGTGGTTCGATTATGTAGTCGTTTAGCGTGGTGCCAATGGAGGAGAGGAAACGCATGAGCGGGTTCGAGGAGCGAGAGTCTAGGTCGTCGATTGTAGGGGCAAATTCCGAGTCGTGCATGTCTGTCGCCGTTGAAGTTTGGGGCGGCGGGGCGTCATTGCTGATGCGATCTTTGAGCAAGAAGACTACAATGCCTGCTCCTCCGACGAAGAAGAGGAGACCGGTGCCGTGTGGTCGCCATGAGTGCGAGTGTGATGATGATGAGGAGGAGGAGGAGGAGTATGCTCGAGCACTCGAAGCGAAGTTAGTCCGGGGCAATGGGGTGATGGCAAGGTGTCGCAGAGGTGTTGATGAAGGGCGGAGCGTTGGCGGTGAGGGTGGTGGGGATGGTAGCGGCGGTGTGATTCTAAACGGCGTGCTCTGTTGTGATGGTCTGGCCAGCTGACGCAAGCCTCTCAAGGGAGCAGCCGCGCCAGCCACTGATCCCCTGCTGCAAGGCCCACCGAGGAGCCTCTGAGCCAGCATTATCCTCTCTGGCTCTCTGAATGGTGCGTAGAGCAGAGATCGACGGGTTGTGTTGGCTAGTGGGAAGGCGAATAGAACGCCTTTCGTGTTCCTGGTTTCAATCTCGCTCCTCCCCGTTGGCGGCTGCACGGTTGCACCCTGGCCTGCCATCTCTGGGCCGGTCCGGGTGCTGGCCCCGCTGCCTTGGTTGCGTGGCTGGTGGAGGCGCGAGAGCGGCAAGCAGGCAAGCAGCAGCGAGGGCGAGCGGTCGAGTGACGGGAGGGAGAACAAAGGCGCCGAGAGACGAGTGCGAGACGAGGCGGACTGAGAGCGAGAGCGAGAGCAAGAGCAAAATCACCAACCAACAAGCAGCAAGCAGCGCCTCGTTGAGCTTCCTTTTTGTCCACACCGCCCACCACCTGGACGAGGACGTCACACGATGCCCTCGACCCCATCACAGAGACAGGGGCAGCGGCGACCGTGGTATGCTCTGCCCGCTTCGGCCTCGTCAGGCTCGACATCCTCTCTCTTCACAGCCTCGCCCCACACTCCCTCTGCCTCTGCCTCTGCCCCTCACGCCAAGCATACACCCACTCGCCCTCAGCCCCGGCCCAGCTCATCCGCCTATAGGGAGTTCGACGAGCAGTCCTGGCTTCGCAACCTGACTGGGTCCATCAAGTCTGCTCTTAAGCGACCGCGCGCGAATAACAATCATAACGATGAGTCTCTACGAGCAGCTAAGGCGATGCGTAGCGAGCCGCGCAAGGGCAAGGAGCGCTTCGTCGTGGACGAAGGAGTGCAGACCGACGTGAACCTCGGCGACAGCGTCGCACAAATGACCCACATACGTGCACCTTCAACCGCCAAGCAGGGTAGCGTCTCTACCGGGCAGGGGGAGGCGGGTCATCTCGCCGCGCAAGAGATGCTGGCCCTAGCCGGGTTTGCTGATGAGCAACAGCGCGAGGCGGAGGGGGGAGTGCTCGACTTGAAGGGAGTACTAGATGCTCGACGTCAAGATGGGAGAGAGGAGGACGACGAGCAGGATCAGATCAGACCTTCTGCGCCAGCTTCCAGATTGGGAGTGGGAGAAGCTGAAGCTGCCCCTGCCCCGCGGCCTGTAGGGCATGTCGATGCGAGCAGTCTCTTCCAGCAAGGAATCGATATCGAGGAGATCTTGAGACGCAGGGCAGTCGCTGCGCTGCAGCAGGGAGGTGAGAATGGCGAAAATGAGGAGGAGGAAGAAGAAGAGGATGACGACGACGACGACGAGCTAGGCGAGGACGAGGATCAGGAAGAAGTGGAGCCTCAGCAGCCACGCAAGAGCTTGATACAGGTGATGGATGACGACGAGGACGCCTCAGAGGATGGCGAGGACGAGCATGACGAGGATGAGGAGGAAAGCGAATGGGATCTACCTGACTTCGCCGGAGGACAAGCCGCCTTCGCTCCTCCTTTGGCCGACGCTATCGACGAAGAGGAAGACGACGATGAGGAAGAAGAAGAGGAAGACTTCAGTGAAGAGGAGCGACGCCCCAATCAGTCGCACATCCCCATCGCGCGCTCCGGGGCTTCTGCGGACGATGTGATTGAGATTGGGAGCTCTTCGGATGAGGACGAGGAGGATGAGGAGGAAGAGGGCGAAGAGGAGGACGAGGAAGAGGAGGACAAGGAGGACGAGGCGGAGCTCGCAGAGGAGGCAGGAGAAGAAGACGAAGCTGAGATGGTCGACGGCGATGACGACGCCGTTGCAGAAGACGAGGAAGAGGAAGGCGCCAGTCTGGCAAGCCACGACGACGAGGGCAGCGACGATGCCTTCGACCCAGCAGCAGCAGCAGGCTCCGGCCAAGGATTTACACAAGACGCCCTCGACCTTGACGCAGGCGGCTCGGCCAACATTTTTCCCCTCAGCGACGCCGACGAGGAAGACGAAGACGCGGACGCGGAGGAAGAGGCAGACGCCTGGGACGAGGAAGCTGCGCAGACTTTGGACAACCATCAGACTGGCAACGACGCTGGCGAAGACGACGACGAGGACGGAGATCGACCAGACGTGTCCATCGACGAGGCTCGCTCTAATTCCATCGACGAAGGACGCGGCAACTATGAGCCGGCAGATCCTCCTTCCACGACTGCCATGGAAGCAAATCAGTTCCTGCCCCAACTCGCAATTGGCAGTGGGCTCCCTACCGGATTCACCCCCGCCTCGGAGCTTCTACCCCTGCGCAACATCGACGCAAAGCCCTCCTCGAGCGCAGCGAGTGTTGCGTCCGCTGGGAGTGTAGAGAAGCGCCATCAAGATCCCGCTACACCGGCTCCGGCCACCCACACGATCGACGCCAATCCATCCTCGGCCGGGGAGCTCGTCGACCTCAAGGCTCAAGTGAGGCAACCGGTCCCTTCCGGGCCGCCGAGCATCGCTGCCACGGAGGGGAGCGATGCGGCAGCGGCCAAGGAGAAGGAAAAGGAGCTGCGCGATGTTGACGTCGACGTTGCCCTTAAACCCGGGCTTGGCCAAGAGAACCCCTCCTCATCGTCCAACACTCTACCCTTGCCAGGCGTGGGCCCCGATGCGCTTCCCCCTCCCCTCGCTACGCCCTCAAAGGCTCACCCGCCCCCGCCTGCCCAACCGCAGGACGGCAAAGCGCTTTCGGAGCTCAAGGGTCGTGTACGCCTCCTCGCCGGCGAAGGGGAGGGGAGTCGTGCGCCGAGCGTGGCGGCGGCTACTATTGACTCGCGCGAGGGGGAAGGGGAGAGAGAGGCGACGAGTCCCTCCCTGCAGCAGGGTGAGCAGGACCCCACCGCGGGCGCAGCTGCGCTTGTCGAGGTCAAGGAGCAAGTAGCAGCGCCCCTGCAAGGAGAGGGAGAACGAGAGGAGATGGGTGCCCTTTCTTCTAAGAGCGAGACCGGTGGTGATATCAGCACCGACACGAATGGGCTTGCTGCCTTTGGCACGCCGCCCCTTCCCACTACCGCGCAGCGAGAAATCCCTGTCATCGACGAGGTGGGCGATACAGAGGGCAGGGCTGAGGCCGAGGTTGACCCTTTTGACGCTGGAGATGGCAGCTTGCATGTCGACATCGAGGCCGAGGGCCCTATGTGTGAGGAGCCAGAAGAGGGGCAGCCGCGCTTGGCTAAGGAGGTCGTCGAAGACGAGAAGCAAGAGGACGTCTCAACCCCTCAAGAGCGAGGCGACACACTCACAGCGCAACCGGAAGGAGCAGAGCCCCACGTCGCGTCCATGGGAGCGGACATGGAAATGGAAGACCTCCTTGACCTGCCCGACGAAGAGGAGGAGAAGCAGCAAGAGCAAGAGCAAGAGGGCAAAGAAGGGATAGACGACGCCGACAGCGCAGAAGATGATGATGGCACCGCAGCCGCAACGGCAACCCAGCCTGGTACCAAGGAGCAACGCGCTCACACTCCCTCTCCGTCCCCTGTCGCCGTCCCGATGAGCGGCTCAAACCCTCCGGCAGCTCGGACAGAGAGTCCTCGCGCAACGCAATTCTCTCCTTCGCGTCGTAGTCACCGTCGCAACGGCTCGCCCTCTCCCTCCTCGAATCCTTCGTCGCCCGTGCCCACCAGCATTCGAGGGATGCGTAAGCATCTGCGCGCTTTAGCTGCTCAGCAGGAGGGTGAGCCAAGCCAGAGTCAGCGCTCCTTAGCCCATACTGCTACGGACTCGGGGGACGCGAGCTACGTGCCAAGCTCGGAGGAAAATATTTCCGCGACTGACACAGCAGCGCCTGTACCGGATCCGGCAAGACAGCGCATCCGCTTCAGACATCGTCACATGCACGGCCATGCACGCGAGGCATCTACGGTAGACGACGAGCCCGAGCTGGAGGACCATGTTGCCGAGGATGAAAAGGGAGGGACCAGCAGCAGCGATGAGGAAGCGCGCATCGCTCCTCCAACGACGCGATCGCACTGCGGTTTCGAGAAACTTGCCTTGCGCGTCCCCGTCCCCGTCGCCGCCGCCTCCTCCTCCTCCTCCTCGGACCAGCAAGAGGACATCATCCTAATCGTCCCTCTCTGCTCGATCAGGCACGATCGTCTACAAGAAGAAGGGGCGCGGGCGCTGGGTCGTGCTAGTAAGCGTGAGAATCGGGAGAAGGTAGAGGTAGAAGCGGATCTGCTCGAGGAGGAGACGTACCATCGACTGGCGAGGTTGATTGGACAGGAGATGCTGGGGGAGGCGTGGATTCTTCCTGATGCTGGGAATGGAGAGGGACCTGCGGGCGTGAGTGCGCCGGCTGTATCTACTCCGGCGAAGGAGGAGAGGAAGAAGGGGCACAAAAGGGCGAGGAGCAGTCAGGGTGGTGGTGGTGATCGGGATTGGCTTCCCCACGACAGCGACGAGTTGGAGGGGAAGACGAGGGCTAAGGCAAAGGCAAAGGCGAGGGAAAAGGCGGCAGCCGAGCATCCAGGCTTTGATGCTGATCTTTCGTTCGATACGCTTGAGGGCGAGGAGCAACAGCAGGAGCGCCGCGACGACGACGACGACGACGACGACGACGATGAAGAAGTCGAAGAAGCAGAACACAGTCCACCCGCGCAAAAGCCCCGCCGTACACCCTCCCGCAGCGCTAAGCAGGGCAGCGTGGAGCCGACCCCCACCAAGACTCAGGCCAAGGCCAAAGGCAAAGGCAAAGGCCGTCGATCCGCAGCTGCTACGAGCAGAAGCAAAGAGCAAGCTCTGTCAGGCTCTCCCACGAAGAGAGATCTGCGCCTGCGTCGCTCCACGTCGGTCAAGCCTGAGGACGCTGATAGCGGTGCACGTAGCCCTGGGCCCAGCACGCGCGCAACGCGACGTCGAGCGTCCAAGGATGCGGAGCTACAGCAGGGAGAGTCAGAGCCGGAGGCAGAGGAAGAGACGGGTACGAGAATGACACGATCGCGCAGTGCGAAGAGAATGTAGATTGTTTTTTCTCTCTACTGAATGTCATCGTAGTCACAGACAGTAGTGGCGTGGCCGTCGCGTGGCAAAGGGTTCTCCGTCCGTGCGCCGAGGCGAGGGCTCAGTCCGCCGCCCTCTGGGAGATGGAGTCGAGATGCGGAGAGGCCCTGGACTGGATTGGATTCGTCAGAGCAATTCATTTCATCTTTCCTTTGGTCCCATCCCATCACTTCGCCCTCGCCTTCGCTGTCCCTGCCATGCCGCCCGCAAGGGGAGAGGCGGATGGCCAATCATCTGCTGCTGCCTCCTCGTCGTCCTCGTCCTCCCTCCTCCTCCCCTTTGCCCGCACCCTCATCCGCTCCCTCGTCCCTGCAGACGACGAGCCCCTAGACGAAGGGGACGCTCTCCTCATCCTAGCCCGGGGTCTTGGACTGCGCACAATCGTGGCTCACATCCTCAAAATCTACGACGCCCCCACCAACCTCGTTCTCCTCGTCAACGCGCAGGGGAGCGAGGAGGCCGGTCTCTCCGAGGAGCTGACCACGCTGGGCGTGCGCAAACCCGGGTTGAGAGCCGTAGGGTATGAGACGAGTCAGGCGAAGAGGAAAGGGATGTACGCCCAGGGAGGGCTACTGAGCGTTACGAGTCAGATCTTGATTACGGACATGTTGAATGAGACGGTGCCCATTGAGCTGGTTACGGGCATCGTCTTTCTGCACGCAGAGAGCGTTACGCCCGAGTCGAATGAGGCATTCATTGCGGGAGTTTACAGGGATCGTAATCAGGACGTGCGTGCGGTGTGGCGCAGACTCTCATCTTCTCATCATAAGTCCATATATGCTAATCTTACAAACCCCCGCGGCCCTCTCTCGCGCACAGGGCTTCCTCAAAGCCTTCTCGGACAACGTAACCCACTTCTCCCTCGGCCTCGCCCCACTCCAGACCGTCCTCACAAAGCTGCGCATCAGGCGAGTGGACCTCTACCCTCGTTTCCACAAAAGCGTCATCCGCGATCTAGGCCAACGCAAGGCAGACGTCGTCGAGCTGCACCAACCTCTGAGTCGCTCGATGCGCATGATCCAAACGGCCATAGTCGAGTGTCTTGAGGCCACCCTCACCGAGCTCAAGAAGGCCGTCGCCACCCTAGACGTAGGTGGCGGCGACGACGATGGTGGGTATTCGGTGGAAAATGCGCTATTCCTCGCCTTCGACTACTTGGTGGATCGACAGCTCCAGCCCGTCTGGCACACGCTGAGCGCAAAGACTCGTCGACTCGCGCGCGACCTCAAGGAGCTACGAAGCCTCCTCGATTACCTCATCTCTTATGACGCAGTCGACTTTCATGAGTACCTCGAGATGTCGAGGGGCGCGGCGGTAGGGGCTGGGGGAGAGCAGCCTTACTGGTGGAACCTCGAGGCAAGCAACGTCGTCTTCAACACAGCGAGGGCGCGCGCTTATCTGGGTAAAGTAGACTCGAACGCCACTACCACTGAGCCCCGAGTGCAGCACGGAGATGGGGCTGGGGGCGTGGACGAGGATGAAGACGAGATCGAAGCGGCTGGCGGTGCTGCTGCTTCCTCCTCTCACGCATGGGCGCCCAAATGGCTCCCACCGGGCATCACCCCCGTATTGGAGGAACAGCCCAAATGGCATCTCCTACGGGAGGTCCTAGACGAGATAGAGCAACACCTTTCCTTCACAGAGGAGAAGGACATTTCCCCCAACAACACGATCCTCATCATGACAAATGGGCAACGCAGCGCGCGGCAGGTTCGGTGGTTCCTCTCGAGTATGGGGGCACTCAAGGTGGGGCAGGAGCAGGTGGAGGAGGAAGGGGGAGAGTTTGTACCGGGTCGCAAGATGTTACGCCAGAAGCTGAGGGGACATTTTGAGCACAAGGCTGCCGTTGGGCGGCTCAATGCTAATCTGAAGCTGGCCAATCAGGGCAAGGTAGCTCCCATTGCCAAGGGGAGCGGGCCGAGCGTGGCGACTAATACCGCTATGAGCGATGCGTTGAAGCGCAAGGAGGTGTGGGAGAGAGGGGCGGGCCCTCCGAATAAGCGGAGGAGACAGAGAGGCGGGGGGATGGTTGGGAGTGGTAGTGGTGGTGGTGGGGGCCGGGGAGCGAATGGGAACGAGACGCCAAATGACGCTCTTGAGGGGGAGGCGGCAGATGTTGCTGGGTTCTATGAGCGGGCAATGGGCATCGTTGCCGAGCACGAAGACGAAGACGACGAGGCGGGGCAAGATGGGGAGGGCTTGATGCGAGCTGCAGCAGAGGAGGTCGACGACGACGACGACGGAATCACTGCAATCCCGGATGAAGCCCAAGCTGTAGCAGCAGCATCGACATCCGCTCTCCCCCCGCTCGACCATCTAGAAGGGGATCAAGCCGCCTTCACCCAAGTAGACTTCGACAACTACTTCGGCGTTCTCGACACAGACTCCCTCGTTATCATCCGCCCCTACCGCAACGACGACGACGACAATGTCCTCCGCGAACTCCGGCCGCGCTTCATCATCATGTACGATCCGGACCCTTCCTTCGTCCGGCGTGTAGAGCTCTATCGCGCCAGTACGGTGGGCGCGAACCCTCGGGTGTACTTTCTCCTGTACGCCGAGAGTGTAGAGGAGCAGCGCTACTTGAGTAGTCTGCGAAGGGAGAAGGAGGCCTTTGAGAAGTTGATCAGGGAGAAGAGCATTATGGCCTTGCCGATCCAGGATGGGCGCCCCGCCCAGGAAGATGGGAATGATCGATTACTCCGCAGTATCAACTCTCGCAATGCTGGGGGGCAACGCGGCGTCACCTCTCTTCCGCCGACGATCGTGGTGGACATGCGAGAGTTCAAGAGCTCCCTCCCTCCCATGCTCTACGCTGCTGGAATCAAAGTCGTGCCCTGCACCCTCCAGGTCGGTGACTACATCCTCAGCCCAGAGATGTGCGTCGAGCGTAAGAGCTTGCCCGACCTCATCCAGTCCTTCAACTCGGGGAGACTCTACGCTCAATGCGAGACAATGAGCGTGCACTACCTTCACCCTATCCTCCTCATCGAGTTCCCGCAGGATAAGGCCTTCGCCATGCAAAGCATGGTAAAGACGCCCGCCGGCGGCGGCGGAGGCGGCGGTGGTTCCTCATCCTCTTCCTCGTCTTCCACGACTACAAGCAAGGGAAGCGGCTCAAACGCAAAGGATCCGACGGAAATCGACGTACAGACCAAGCTGGTTATGCTAACCATCTCCTTCCCGCGTCTGAGGATCATTTGGTCCTCCTCCCCCTACCATACGGCGGATATATTCTCCGAGCTAAAGACTACCTACGATGAACCCGACCCGGTCAAGGTGGCGGCTATCGGGCTCAGCACGACGAGCGGCGAAGGAGCAGGGGCAGGGGCGGGAGGGGCAGGAGGGGCAGGAGTGGCAGGGACGGGCGAGTATGAATCCTCGTTCAACCTCACGCCGCAGGATATGCTTCTTGCCATGCCTGGGATAACGACGAAGAATGTGCGACATGTCATGAATAGCGTGCGCGATCTGCGAGAGCTTTGCGCGGGGGTTGGAGATGGTGAGGAAGAGGAGGAAGAGGGCGAGGGCGAGGGGTTGGAAGAGGCGGATATACAGGAGTTGATTGGGACGGAGCCTGGACGGGCACTTTGGGGATTTATTACTAGGGATCTCAATGGGGGGAAGAAGCGCGGTAGAGGGTCAGGAAGAGGGAGAGGTGGGACACGAGCAGGAAGGGGAGGAGCGACGGCGGGCAACGCGGTATCGCGATCGCGATGAGCATTGTGAGCGGAGTCCACGCTCTGCCTTCTCCGCTCTGCTCTGCTCTGCTCACACGCCGGGGAACCTCCACCCCCGCATCTGCCCCGCGACACCCGCCGGCAGACAGACGAGGCGGCAGGCGGCGATGATGACGCTGCAGCGGCGAAGCGGCCAAATGCCGAGTTCTCTTGTCCCCACGCAAGTCCTGTTATATAGTTCTTGTCATCCACACATGTAGCATCATCAACCAACTCTCTCCATCTCAACTTCGCCTATTGCAACTCCCTCTCTCTCTCTCTCGACACACACACACTCACCATGTCATCAGGTACGTCTCTCTCTCTTGCCTCACCCCACCTGCGCCTGATCTCAATGCGCACTCGCTCACTCACTCACTCACTCACTCTCCCGATCCCTCAACCCTCACTCCTCGCCTCGCACAGGCCTATCAGGCGGCGCTGGCTCCTACGACCAATCGGTCTACCAATCCACTCACGGCCACGGCGGTGAAGGTCTCGCAGTGGACGGCGGGGCTCAGGACTACTCGACCAAGCACTCCGAGGGCCTCTCTGGGGGTCGTGGCAACCTCGACGAGAGCAAAGGTCTGGCCGAGGGGCTCGACGGTGGAGGAGGGGGGGAGGCCGATAAGCCTGGAATGGGATTCAATGCCGGTGTTGGTGGAGGCAGTACCAAGCCTGGGGGTGGGGCAACTTTGGATGGTGGGAGCGGGGATGTGGATGAGAAGGGGGCGGAGGGTGTTGATGGGATTAGTACCAAGATTAAACGTGAGTGATGGGAAAAGGCGGGCGACTACGTACGGGTAGAATGCTGATTGGCCGATTTATCCCTTTGCGCTTCCCTTTCGTCGTTGCCGCGATCGCGTTACGCCGTTTCTAGATGCCGGGCAGAACATTAAGGACAAGCTGAGTAGCGGCGATAAGTAGAGGGCGCAGCGGGCGATTATGCTGTCGTAGGCGGCAAATCATAGCTGTGCCTCTCGGCCGTGCCGTGCAGTGTGATACAGTGATTGAAGCTCTGGAATTGTATTTGGCATCTTGATAGTCTTAATGGTACAGCAGAGCAGTGAGAACGAGAAACGATTATCGCGGGCAGCATTGGTAGCATGAGGCGTGAGGCGTGGGCGAGGGCGAGACTGAGGCGGAGAAGATGGCGCTCTTCCAAGTCTAGGCAAGCCAGTCCCATCACATCCCCACCTCTTTCGATCAAACTGAGACAGCGCAGTAGCAGCTCAGCTACGCCGAGGCCTTGACCTCTCCACTCCCTACATCCCCCTTCTCCCTTCCCTCCTTCTGCTGCTCCTCCTCCTCCTCATTGACCGTCTCATTCGCCACAGCCCTCTCTCTCTCCTTTTCCGCGGCAGCGGCGTTGGCAAGATGTCTCGCGGGAGAAGGGCCACCCTGCGCCGCATCGAAGAGTGCTGCGGCGACAGGTTTGGCGGGGAGGGTCGAGGTCGATGAGGGATGTCGGCGATGCCCCCTGGCGGCGTGGTTGGTCGAGTTGTTGGTAGTGGTACTGGTGGGGCGAGAGGAGTTGGCAGCAGGTAAGGGTACGGCTGTCGGGGCGGGGAAGGCGGGGGAGTGGCTCTTCTTTGGGCTACTACTACTACCCCCCAGGCCTAGTTGAGTCTGACCATCCTCGTTGCCACCCGACGCCCCGTACGCTGGTTGAGCCCCAGGCCCTCCTTGCGCCGTACTGCGCGAGCGGGATCGATTCTGCACCGAGGCTATGATGTCTTGGGCGTCCTCGCCGGAGTAAGGGCGTACTTTTGCTGCGACGCCTGCTGATGTCATGAGGGAGGGGGGAGGGGAGAGGAGTGTTGATAGGTAGGCGCGTTTGGCTGCGTGCGTGGCGAGAGTGTCGAGGCGGGGGGACGAGTGAGCACGCAGGCTGCTAACGAGTGAGGGTGAGGGGAAGGCACGCACCTACGGCTGCATCATTGAATATGACGAGGGCATTGGTGTCGTCCAACCATTTGATCTTGAAGCCACCCGAATCGTCCTCCCAGGGGCTGAACACGGCTTGGATGTCCCTAGTCTTGAGCTCGGGGGGGAAGCCGGAGAGGGAGAGGATGCGGGTGGAGAGCGGGGCTAAAGGGTTGAGCGTGAGCGTTGGGATGCCGGGGGCGGACGTGGAGGTGGACGTGGACATTGTCTTTGTTGGTGTTGGTGTTGGTGTTGGTCAAGGAGTGTGGGGAAAGATGAGGTAGCAGTGTGGGGCGGAGGCGTGGAGGTGGCGCGGAGGTAGGTGTGGGTGAATGGTGAGAGAAGAGGGAGATGATTGATGGTTAGGTCGACAAAAGATGAGACACGGAACAGCGCGCGGCAACGACGACGCGGGATGTCAGGCACGAGATTGCAAAGTTGCACGAACGACGAGATGAAGTTGAAAGCAAGCAGACAAGCAGGCAGGCAAGCAAGCAAGCTGTCATTGCCCCACTCATCATTGATAGCCTTTTCCCCTGCCACTGCTCGCTCAGGCAACGGCGAGCCGACCACTCATCGCTGTGCTACCATTCTCATCCCCTTCCCATCCCCTCCCTTGGCCTCCGGCCCCCCTTGCCTGCCGCTCGCGCCGCTGCCGTCTGTCCGTGGCCCTCTCTCTCTGTGGTCGACGTCGAATGCAAGTCGCCGTCACACTGACGTCCGGCGCCGCATCTTTGCTGGCCGTGCCGCTCAACCGCCCTGCTGGGCTGGGCTCTGGTGCCTGAACCAGGTCCGTGCGCATCGCACCACGCCAGCGGGCGAGCGGGAGCAGCGAGGATAGAGCAGCGAGCCTGGGTCAGCAAGTCAAGTTCGCGCGCAAGCAAGCAAGCAACGCTCCGACCTCACATCGATGTGAGGAAAAGCAAAGCAACACGTATCTCGCCGCTTTCCTTCTTGCCTTTGCTACTACCACCATCACTCACCACTCACCATTCTCACTAGACCGCGCCATGCTCCGTAACGTTCTGGCTCGCTCTGCCCCTCGAGGCTGGCAGGCTGCCCGCTTTAGCACCGCCAGCGCAATCGCAACCGCAACCACAACCGCCGCTCCTAGGTCGATGAGCCTGGCCCGCCTCGCCGCTCCTACCGCCCTCAAAGGCCAACAACGATTCTATGCCAGCACTCCCAACGCTCCCGTGGGCAGCCCCGAGTTTGACCCCAATGTGAGTTCACTCCCCTACACTGCTCTCCCTCCACTTACTCACTCATTCACTCACTCCACCACATCTCCAGGCCGTAACCGCCATGGACAAGCAAGAGCCCCCCGCTCCCGGCAAGGACTTCAACGTCGTCATAGTCGGCGCGGGCAACATCAACTTCGGTTCCGACGAAGGGCCCTGGAACCATTCCTTCCGCCTCGAGCACAAGCTCGGCCCACGCCTAAAGGTCGTGGCACTCATTGACCCTTCGAGCCAGAGGGCGGATGCGGCGCTTACTATCAAGAGGAATTCGTTCGTGCTTAGTGCATACAAGGATACCGTCGTCTACAATAGCTTTGAGGATTATTGCAAGAATAGGCCAAAGGAACAGGAGCCACAGTGCGTTGCGCTCCCTGCTTTCCCTGACCTGATCTTCTCACGATGCCCCCGTCTGACTCCTCCCTTCCCCTCCTCCATCCGCACTCGCTCACCTGCAGAGCCTTCTGGGTCGGCTCGCCTCCCGCCTTCCGTGGACGCGAGCAGGCAGGAAGGGACTTGGAGCGTCACCTCGTTGAGAACTTCCCGGAGACGGCCATCTTTATCGAGAAGCCCGTCTCTACCGGTCCGGTGGACGAGGCCTTTGCCGTTGCCAAGCGACTCGAGGACGCTAACAACCTCGTGAGCGTGGGGTACATGCTGCGCTATCTCAAGGTCGTGCAGAAGATGAAGCAGTGAGTTCGCCTTGCGTGGCGGTGAGGATGATGGATGGGGGAGCGAATGGCTGACTGAAGTGCTTGCCCGCACGCCTGCGCACCAGAATCCTCGAGGAGAACAACCTGAAGGTCATGGCCACCAACGCCCGTTACATCATGGCCTACGAGCACACAGCCAAGGCCGACTGGTGGACAAAGTCCCTCTCGTGCGGCCCTATCGTAGAGCAAGCCACCCACTTCTGTGACCTTTCCCGCTACTTTGGTGGAGAAGTCGACCTCGATACGGTCATGGCCCATTCGCTTGAGCACTTTGAGCCGGCGGGAAAGCTCAGCAAGATGCCCATCGATGAAGCCAAGATTGGAGAGGAGGACCGTATTCCGAGGATTACCTGCGCGACGTGGAAGTACGAGAGCGGAGCGGTGGGCAGTCTGACGCACGCGGTTGCGTTGCAAGGGTTCAACTATGCGACGGAGATTGACGTGATTGCTGATGGTTACCAGCTGCGCTTGGTCGATCGTAAGTAGGCGACGCCGCGACTTAACCCTCCCACCTGATACTGACCACCTCTCTTTTTCCGCCCACACGCCAGCCTACAACGCCCCCGTCCTCTACCTTCGTCGTCCCGGTGACGACCACGAAGAGGTCATCCGCTACAATCAGGACGACCCCTTCTTCTCCGAGGTTTCGAACCTCATCGACAACATTGAGAAGGGAAGAGGCAGCGCGCCCATCCTGTCTAGCTACGAGGACGCCGTCAAGACTTACGCGCTTACCTGGCGTATTAGGGAGGCGAGCGAGAGGAGCGCGAAGAAGGCTGCTTAGAGGGGTCTGCTCGAGATTTGTTGATAGAGGCAGGATGATGGAGACGAGGATGCAATTCTCCCTTGGGTAAAGGGAAGAATAAGCTTGCGTGAGTACGCGATGTCATGATGATGAATGAGGGCAAGAAAGTCCAGGTAGAATCGAATCGATACAGCTTAGCTTTGAGGTCGTCTAGGCCCTTTGCGTCTTGTCGGTGTTATCGTCTGCTCCTACGATTTGCCCAGGCTCGAGAGGTGGTACGACTGGCGTCATCAATTACCGTCATCGTCGGGACCCCACGTACGCACGCACAGACAGGCATCAGCCTCCACGGCATTCGAGTACGAGTACGAGTACCAAGACCGTGGATACCCCCGATGGTTCGCCATGACAGGGCGCGATAAGAGTGATCACTCAGCTCAGATGATACGACGAGAAGGGTCACGCAAGGCAGGTGAGAGAGGGAGAGAGGGCATGAGACATTGATTTGATCGAGCGCGATTGATATGTTCTCATCTCTTCGTCTTCGAGTCGAAGTGTGAGTTTGGATCAGAGGAGAAAGAGGAAGGAAGGCCCACGCCTGTTTCTCTCTTGATTGTTCTTCTGTGGCGAGGAGACGAGCTGCTTGGTGTCGACGACCGGGCCGCCCCCGACTTTGATGATGAAGCCCTAGCCTGGCTTGCTTGGCAATGGCGAGTCGCCGTTGGCCGGTGGCGTCTCGGGCTGGCCTTTAAGTGATGGAACTCTGGCGGAGTCGCCGCAGCAGCGCGACGCACAGGCTTGTTCGTGAGCCTGCCTGCCTGTTCCTCTTCTCGCCTCCCTTCGCTCACAGCTCACTCACCTTGCAGACGCTGCGAAACTGTCCAGTCGAACCGCTACTCCCACAAGCCCCATTAGCAACAGCGTTGCACTGGTCTGCGGGGCACTTAGCGCATTTATCGCAGGCACACACCTTGATGTTGGACACGAGGGCCTTGAAGCTCAAGCAAGGGATATTGTGGCCCGCCTTGTCCGTGGGTGGGATGCCTTGATCCCCATTGGGGTCGCCATACACGTCTAGGTCGTAGGAGCAGCCCGTGGTGGATGAGGTGCACACGCCTAGACGGATGGGCTCGGCTGCGCGGCTGGGCGAGGGGTGGAGGGATAGGAGGCTGAACAGGAAGGTGAGGAGGAGGAGGTGGAACACGGGGAGCATGGTTGGGTTGCGGTGAATCTGGGCTGCGAGTCGGGTGCAGTGAAGAGGGAGGGGATCAGAAGACTGCACGAAGCCCCATTTTGTAGCGCTTCAAGGTCGCCCTGCCGCCCACCCGGGGTGAGAGGGTTGACACCCCTCGATGCCATCGCTGCCCTTTGTCCAGCAATCGATCCTCATCGACGATTGGGCCCCCAGCCCACGATGATCGCTCGCCCGCGGCCCACTATGATGTCTGCCCTCGACCCTGGGATCCCTTGATTGCATCCCGGTCCCGCTTACGAAGATCATGCTGAGCCACATGGGTCTGAGTTCAGAGATCGTTCGGTCAAAATCAGAGGGCAAGGCAGCGCGAGTCATACCGCAGCTTCATCCACGTAGGCTCGCCCAACCGGGCTGGCCCACTGCGTGAGGTGAGATTGAGCTGCGCACAGTATCGTGAGACGCTCTTTGTTCGGTCAGGGAGATGGAACAGTATTAAAACTTTTTCATCCCTAGCCTCATGACTAGGCTTGGCGTCATACATCTGCCTTGCGCCTCACTACACCACGTCGCCCTCTCGTGCGTACGTGTACCACTCAGTGACCGGCGAAAGAAGCAGCTCACACCGCACCGTGCTGCAGACTTGCTGTGGCTGCTGCTCAGTGCACGCTCGACTTGAATGAATAGCGGGACGGATGGTTCGTCAGTCTCTTCAGTAGCGATGCTCATCACAGCGACCGTACTGTACTCACCGCACAAATACTATGGAAGACCCCCGAAGCAAAAGCTCCAACACATCGATCCTTGGGTGCCTCCTCGCACTGCGATCCAGGACAGCCCGTGCATTTGGAGCAGGCGCACACCTTCAGGCTGTACTCAGAGATGGACTTGAATCCGATGCAGGGGCTGTCCTCTCCCTTGTCATTTTTCTGGGGGACGCCTTGATCCCAAGACGGGTCGCCGTAAACTTTGACGTCCTTATTGCAGGTGTCGGTCGATTTGCTGCAGTGCCCGAGGAGGATGGAGGCAATGCCGCTGCCCGTGGCGAGGGAGGGAAGGAGGGCGAGGGAAGCGAAGATGGTTGCGATGGACAGGAGTCTGGCGAGCATGGTGAGGGGAACTTTCAAAGTTGGAGGGCCAATGGTGGTGAGGAAGGAACAAGAGCGACGCAAGCCAGTGAAGTGCAAATCGTCCATTTCGTCACGTCGTTGGCCCCCTTGCGCTTGCCCTTGCCCGAGGCAGTGGCAATGCTGTGCCGTCGTTTGCAGGTAAGTAGAAGGAGCCCCGTGGCGTGGCTTTCAATGGCGAGCCGTTGTATTGCAATGTGCGCCTCTCTTGTTCCTGAGCGATCGGCAATCTTCACTCCCATTCGCACTGACAGCATGCTGCCTTCTCACGGCCCGTCTTCCGTGCGTGCCCGCAGCCATTGCAATGCTGTACGGCAGTATCGCCGTCGATCGGGACAGTGACCGTGACCGTGACGCGGCGGCACGGCTCTAGCGTTGTCGCGCTTACCGTCACCGCCCACTGTTGAGCCGCAAGCAGTACTGCCGTGACGCTGACGTAAAGAGCAGCATGCTCCTCGTATCGACGATCTCAACGTCGTCCTATCTGCTCGTCTTTGTCCATCCATCCATCCCCCTTCACGCGCGCCATGCGTCCCCTCATCCTTCTCCTCTTCTCTTTCTGCCTCGCACAAGCGCGTCATCACCTCCTCTCGACCCGCGCAACAGTCCTGCTAGGCAGATGCACCTCCTCCCCCGTCTCTATCTGCCCGCTCGACTATCCCTCCTCCTGGCGAAGCATCCCCGGCAATCCGCGAAAGACGACTCTGCTCAACGATGTGGATGGCGGGTGCAAGGAGTTCAAGAGCGCCTTTGAGGCAAGGGATCTGAAGCTCTGTACGTGTGCAAGCTGTGATTGCGGTGAGGAGCAATGCAAGAGTGTTCCATTCAAGGGGTGTGCGACTGCCCCCGAGGGAGGGGAGTGGAAGGCGATTTGCCCTGTGAGTGGGCGTGGGCGTGGGCGAGGGCGCATGGCTTCCGATTCATTGACAGCTGATGACCGTGACGTTGCGTGCCGACAGTTGGAGGGCTGAAGGCATGCGAGAGGTGGTCACTCGGTCAGCGTCAGCGCAAGAATAGAGTAGACTAAGCTAGGGCCACGCGACGACGGACGTCGGCACTCCATGTACCGCACAGCCACGCTTTCGCCACGCCCTCGTCGTCCCGAGTCTCTCTCATACCCCTCTGTAAAGCTCGACCCTGACCCAGCGTTGATGCTCCTCGTCGTCGGCCAATCGAATCGAATGTTCACGTGGCTTCGCACATCTAAATTCAGCCTCATTGTGGGTTGTGCGAGCAACAGGGACAACGGGTGGATGGATGGCTTGGCGCCAAGCAAATGATGCCAGTGGGCCCACAGCCAAATTCTCCACACTGGCCCAGTGCCTTCCGCCTCGTGTGCGGTGGCGGGGTTCGCCGCTCCGAGGGCTTGGCGCCGAGCACTGAGCGAGGTGCCAGGTGGTGAGCCCTGCTTTGGCTTTGCTCGCGATTCGTCGTCCTCAGTCGTCGCTGTCGTATTCATCTCATCTCACCTCACCTCTGCACCACACGCACCACTTCCATCCTCATCTCTCGTCGATACCACCACCAAAACGACCACAACAATAACACATCGTCCACGACCAATTCTCTCACAACTCGCGCGTCCGTCTGTAATGACGACGTACCTCAAGCCTCTGACGGCCACCAGCACGTCTCAATCCTACTTCACCCCTTCCTCCTCCTCCTCGGACATGTCCATGGGCGTCTCCCCAGGCGCGGACTCAACGCACATGTCCACGTCGATGTCGTCCTCCTCGGCTTCATCGACCCGCTCCGCCTCGCCTCCTGGCAGTGTCGTCACCTGTCGATGGGGTCAGTGTCGCCTGACCTTTGACGACCCGGAGATCCTCTACCAGCACCTCTGCAACGACCATGTGGGGAGGAAGAGCACGAACAACCTGTGCCTCACCTGCCATTGGACCGACTGTGATGTTACGTGTGCGAAGAGGGACCATATCACTTCGCACATTCGGGTGCATACACCCTTGAAGCCTCACTCCTGCGGCACCTGTGGTAAGACATTCAAGAGGGTGAGTAGCGCGAGACTTGCAGATTCGTTTCTGAGATTGCCGTCCGCTCACATTGAGTCTACGCCTCTTGACAGCCACAAGACTTGCGCAAGCACGAGCGCATTCACACCGAGGACCACCAGCAGAAGCAAGCAGAGCAACGCCTTCAGAAGCAGCAGGCCGTAGCTGCGGCAAAGGAAGAGGCAAAGCAGAATGCTGCCAGGCAACAACAACAACAACAGCAGCATCAACAGGCAGCCGCTGCGTCTCAGCTTTACCCCGCCCCACCACCTCACCATCGCCAGAGTGCACCGGGCAACTTTCCTACGGGCGCCAATGGCCACCCCATCTTCTTCTCGTCGGACGTAGTCGCAGGGGGAGCAACGCCTTCGCCATCCGCTGGTGGTGGTGGTGCTGGAGGTCGTGACAATTCGCATGCCTCCCTCTCCCCGCTCTCCTCACACTTGTCGACACCCTCCAGCGCCCACTCGCCCAGCAGCAATGGCGTCTACATGGCCGGACACCAGTCCCACTCGCAGCCGCAGCCCATCTATACAGGGGGTATGCCGGGCAACTCATACCTCTCCCTCGCCAATCAAGGGCGAGCAAAAGCAGAGGAAGACCCAAACTCGTACACTTTCCTTTCGCAGGGAACTTCGGCTTCTGCGCAGGCTGCGGGTATGAAGCGCGGACTCGACGACTTGTTCTCGGGCGTCAACGGGATCATGGAGGATGCCAAGCGTAAGAGGACTACGGGCTACGACGATGTCATGGCTGATAGGCTTACGGCCGCCTTTGGTGCCGGGTTCGATGATGCGACGCTCAATGCACTTTTCAACCCGTCGGCTACCAACAACCACAACAATAGCTTGGGCTCGCTCTCCGCTTCGATGCCCGTGCAGCAGCAGCAGCAGCAGCAGCAGCACATGATGGCCCAGCCTCAGCACCTGCATGCGCAATCACGCCAAGCGCAGGGCAGTGTCCCGCAGCAGCAGTACCACCAAGGCTTCTCCTCGTCCCTTCCCAATGACGCCAGCAAGCTAGCGGAGATCAATTCTTTCCTCCTTCAATTGGGCAACAATGCCGCCCGCGACCTCTCGATGCAGCCCATGCACTCCGCCTCCTCCTCTTCTTCGTCGACGTCGACGCCCTCGAGCGACCTGGCGAATAGCTTCGACGCCTCGTCCCTCGCCGCCATGGGGTTGACCAATATCCCGGGCTTCGACGAGAGCATCTTCAACTTCGACGCCGCACCCGTGCGCCCCATCGCCAACATGCCTCGCCAGTCCGCACCTGCTGCTCTCTCCGCTTTCAGCTCGACGATGCCTACTCAGCATCACCTCGCGCAGCCGCAGCACCATGGCCACGCACCCATGTACCCAGGGTACGCGCATCAGCCTCAGATGCAGGCGATGCACCACCACCACCAGCAGTACCCCCATCCCCATCACCAGCAGCAGGGGCAGCCCAGCTTCTCCTTCGACTCGCTTCGCACCACACGCGGACCGGGGAGCATGCCCACCTTGGCCCGTCAGGATAACACGGCCAACTTTAGGCACGTCGAGCCACTCATGCGCGCAAAGCCCTCGTCCTCGTCCGCGGTCGACGCTACGATGCGCGACGCAACGGCGACTGAGGAGGCCTCTGTTGGCAGTGGAAGTGCACCAATTAAGGCATCTGGCCTCTACCCCAGTCTGACCAACCTGGTCAATGCCACGGGAGAGTCGTCGTCCCGCCCCTCCAGCATTACCACACAGCGTCTTCCCTCGATCTCGACCATCCTCAATCCGAACTTGAGCGCAGAGACGGACCTGACGCACCGTCCCCTTCAGCACTGGCGCCAGTCCTCGACCGACACCGAGTCAGAGGGCCTAAGCGCCGCTTCACCCGTCGCGTCCGAAGCGTCCGCCTCCAGCTCTACGCCCCCGGCTTCAAGGTCCCGCTCTTCCTCGCCCAGGCGGGCTGGTCAAGAGGAGGGGAACGAGATTGAGGCGTCGGAACGGATCTCACGCCTCGGTCTTACGGCCAGCAACACCGGCGAGTCCAACAGTCCCGGCGCTGGGCTGCGCGGACTTGCCGAAGCGGCCGCAGCTGCTGCTGCGCATGCTCAGTCTAGCAGCAATGGAAATGTGTCACTGGAGACGAGAAGGAGGCACGTCCAGCTCATCAAAACCTTGCTCGTCGCCATCAATTTCCCTGAGAGGGTCGAGGCGCTTCTTTCTCGTCAGGGTGGGGGGATTGAGCAGGAGCAGCAGGAGAGGGAGGTGAAAACTGCCGCACTTCCTCCGGTCAAGCAAGAGGCTGGTGTCGATGATGATGAGGAGATCGACGAGTTGATGGAGACGGAAATGGAGATGGAGATGGAGGGGCAGGTCACACCCCGAGCCGTCTCGCCCACCTCAGGGTCAGGATCAGGGTCAGACGAGCCAGTCGAGGCTGGCAGTGCACGAGGCGATTGGCTCCGTACCGTTACTGGCTCCGAGTCTGCCTCGCCCATCGGAGCTTCGTCCCGCCCACCCGTAGCCGCGATGAGGATGGGGGAGGCGGAGGTTTAGACAGTGAGGAGCGAGCTTGAAGTTGTGTATATACAGTACAGTCTCCTCTTTCGATCTTGTAGCGATCCCTTTCTTCGATTTATTCAGTTCATTTCTTCCATGAATGAGATTCTCATCCATAAGCGTGACTAGGCCGTACCGTAGCCAGCCCTGACGTGACGCGACTGAGTAAGCGTGCAGCCTGCCTGCCCGCCCGATCGATGATGCTTTGACTTGACGGACAGCGCTTGGCCCTTGGCCTTGGCCTTTGCTGCTTTGTTCTGCTTCCGCTCCCTCCTCCACGCGCGACTTGGACCCTCAATTCACTCACTTTCACTCTGCGTCCGCTTTGCTCTTTCTGCATCTCGCTCCCTCTCTCATTCAATCAATATCAACCATTCCTCTTCGCAACAAACTCGACACACAAGCAAGACCACGAGTACGACCAGCATTACGAGCGCAATGCCACCAGACCACGAGGAGGACGAGCAGGGAAGCTTACAGGAGCGACTCGAGGTGCGTTGATTGTCTGCCGTTGCCTCGATTCGACTCGACTCGACTCGACTCGACTCGACTCGACTCGACTCGGTTCAATGCAGAGAGCTCTGAGAGCCAAGTCAGAGGTAAATGCACAGGAGAGCTGACGATTCGGAGTTCATGCGCCTCTCCAGGCCATATACTGTCCCCCTCTCGACCCTTCCCTCGTAGCAGCTATTGCGCACGATGAAGGGCAGACCTTGCAGAGCGCGAGGGAGGTGTTGGACGCTCTTGCCAGGAGTGCTCGTGATGAAGAGGAACAGACGGAGGAGGCAGTCTTTGGATCTGAGGGAGAGGCAGCAACAGCGCCGCCAAGGGAGAGCGTTGTTCCCGATGAGAGTCAGGAGGAGCGTATAGAGAGGATGTTGGACGAGTTTCATTTGGGGGAGGAGTTTGATCAGGAGAAAGGGAAGGGTCACACCGCCTCCTCCAGGAGCAAGACAGGAGGGACAGCTTCACGACGCCGGGAGAAATGGTCGAAGCTGTCCTCATCTGACAACAAGAGCTCCTCGCCGGCTTCTTCGGAGCAATCCTCGCCTGATACGACGGGCGACACACAGGCAGAAGAAGAAGGAGAAGCCAGTACATCCCGCACCTCCCTGGACGATCTGAGCGATCGAGAATTCCCTCCTTACGATGAGGTCGCATCCAAGCTCCACTCCTCCTCCTCCAGCACCTCCACCACCTCCAGCCCCCCCTCTTCATCAAACAGCAACAATGAAGACCCACTCGACTTCCTCAGCCACGCTTTCCCAACTCGCACTCGCGCCTTCCTCTCCGAAACCCTACAAGACTGCCGTCGAGATGTGGGCGTGGCGATTGACACGCTCATGGCTATCGATATGGTGGAGCGCGAGGAGGGAGATGCGGCGGCTGAGGCTATGCTTCGATCTTCTGAGCTAGCGGACATGAGCAGGTCCCCCTCGTCATCTTCTTCGTCTTCCTCGACGGGGGGTGGGCTGAACTTTGAAGCCCTGGCCGATGGGACGCGGGCAGTCAAGGGAAAGAAGGGGAGAGCCTTACGAAGGAAAGCGTTGGAGGAGAAGCTGAGGGCCAGTGGAGGGGAGGTGCCCGTGGGCAAGGCTGGATTGACTAAAGTGACACTGGGTGATGTGCGACAAGGAGGAGGAGGGGGAGGCGGCAGTCGACCGACGAGCGGTAGTGCTCGCAAAAGCGGCGAAGCTGCTGGAGCCGCTTCGCGGGGAAAAGACGACTTTGCAGGGCTCTCAGATAGGGAGATCGCTGAACGTCTAGCAAAGGAGGAGGATCCTGAGGCGGGTGAGCCGGTCAAGTGAGTGCGCGACGAGGCGAGGCAAGGCTCGACTCGCTGCCAGTTCTGTTCTGTTCTGACCATTCTTTCACTCCCTGCCCTCACGCACTGCGCAGAGATAACCAATGGCTCCTCACCAGCTCGGTCCTTTCGCAAATCTCGGTCCTCCTCTCCCTACCTCCGACTCAAGCAACCTCAACCTACAACGCCTCAGGCTTCAACCTTCACATCGCCGTCGGTCGTCTAATCGACTCGGCGGCCTCCTCCTACCCCACCCTCCAGAGCCTCGACAAAGCAGGCGCAGCGCCCGAGGGGACGGCGCAGCGCATCGTGGAGAGTCTGGCATCTCTCTCCGGTAAGAGCAGGGAGAGTGCGGCACTCTGTCTCCGAGCGACCAAGGGACGACAGGACGCTACGCTCGACCTGCTCAACCTCGTCGACGTGGTGCGCGAGGCGGCCGCGGGGGAGAAACCGGACGAGTTGGACCCGTTAGGGAAATTGCGCCATCCTACCCCTGCTGCGGACGAGGCGAAGCGACAGAGGGATGGTGCCCTGGCTTCTCAGCAAGGTCTGAGCAGTACGACCTCCAATGTGGACCCGCGACCAGGCGAGGTGGTCGACTTGGCAGCGATGGAACGGGCGAGGCGCGCCGGTGGCTTCTCACGCGCTGCGGCTGCAGGCGGGAGTGGGGTGGTCCCCACCGGCCAGGCAAAGGCTATGGCCTCCCTACGCGACGGAACTGCGCCCGTGGCCGTGTCCTTCCCTCCCTCCGCTGGCGCCACTACAGGCTCTGCCGGCCTGTCAGAGGCAACTCAGTCCCTCCTCGCTGGCGTCGGCGGAGGCGGAGGCGGCGATACGATCCGGTACGACTCCCGTGCCCCCACTGCTCGCGAGCGGGAGAAGCGCATCGCCCACGCGCAGGGAATGGCAGCCGACTATCGTCTTCGACGGGATCGTTGTCTCCAGCAAGCGGGCAACGCATGGCGTTCCACCCCCGGCGGCAAGGATCGGGGAGCCGCCTTCTACTATGCGGACGAGGCGAGGCGACTCGAAGGTAAAGGGAGGGCTTGGCAACTCCGAGCTGCTGAGGAGCTTGTGGCTTATCGTAGGGGCAAGCCGAGCGCTTATGGACATGCGGGACAGGGAGGGGTGGTGGATCTGCATGGGGTTACGGTTAGGGAGGCGTTGAGTATTGTTAGTGAGGAGTTGAATGTGTGGTGGAGTCGACCTAGTGGGGCGGGGGTCGGGGTGGGGCAGGGGAGGAGGGAGGCGTTGACTATCGTGACTGGGGCGGGGAGACATTCTCCTAATCAGGTGGCCATCTTGACACCTTCGGTTGCAAAGTACTTGCAGCGAGAGGGGTGGAGAGCCGATGTGGATCGGCAGAGGGGAGTCATCGTTGTGCGTGGGCGCGTGTAGAGGGGCAAGAGGCCAGATGGCAGGGGAGAATTGGGAGTCGCATTTTTCTCGCTGGGCTGGTAGACTTGTTGCTGCTACTACTGCTGCTGCTGCTGCTGCTTTTTGCTACTTTAGACAGTCAATTGGGAACCGCCACATCGCACCGTACCACGCTATGCCACACCAGCCTTCTGCTGCATGTTGCGCACCTCCTCGGGTCTCCTCAGTCCACCAGGCAACTCCCTCTCCGCCGCCACATACCCGCATCCCTTGCATTTTCTCCCCTTCTCATCCTGGCCCCACTTGGAAATAATGGGCTTCAACTGCGTGCCCAAATCCGTACACTTGAACCTCTCCTCCCTGACAAGGAAAGGCTTCCCCTCGTGCGCCTCCAGATTCGGACAGTACCACCTCATAGCATCTTCCCCCTCTGCGCCGGGTACGTTGGGACGCGTTCGTTCCACTACCAGGCCGACGGTATTCTCGAAGCGACAGGGGGAATGAGGGGTGTTGGCGGGCAGCATGAACATCTCGCCTTCACCGATGACGATGTCCTCGAACATGCCCGTCTTGGGTGAGATGACTTTCAGGATCATGGCTCCTTGGACTTGGTAGAAGAATTCTTCGGTGGGCTGAGGAGCACCGAAAGGGGTAGAGGGTGAGATGAGTCAGCGAGGTGCGCGATGTGGGGATGTCGTGTGAGCCCCCCTCCGCCTACGCCTCCTGGGAGTCGCCACAGCCACAATTCTCGTGTCCGAGAAAGTGGCTCATGTACGAATGGGGAGAAATGAGGCGATACTCACCTGGTAGTGATAATCACTCCTAGCATTCGGTCCCCCAACAACCATGACCGTATAATCCTCCGTCTTGAAGAGGCAGAAGTTGCCCACTGGAGGTTGGAGGCGATCTCTGTTCTCCTCGAGCCATTTGGGGAAGTTGATCGGGGGTGGGAAGGAGCTCATGGCTGGGCTAAGCTGGGCAAGGGCGGGTGGCGTGCGTCGAGGTGGTGTTGCGATGATTGAGTTGATGGTTTATGTTGAGAAAGAGCCAAAATTGTGCTGCTCACTCAGCATTCAGTCGAGCGGCCTATTCATTTCGCCTCGAATTGCCGGCGGGGAGGTGGGGCGGGAGTGGAGACCGACTCGACTCGACTCGACTCGACTGAGCTCATCGGAACGGAACATGACCCGCCGCCTCCCATCTGGACGGATGGATGGGCTGGTCCAAGCGGCGACGGCAGTCGCTTGCCAAAGCCAAGGCACGGGACGAGGCCCCTTTCAATCTCCCTCTCCACACTAACACGTCCCCCGACACCGCATCACATTGCCATGGTGAGTGCCGCCCTAACTATAGACTTATTCTACCCGTGGTGCTGACCAATGCTACCTACTTGACCTCGTCCTCGCTCGCAAACAGGCCGCTCAACAATCCCAAGGCATCCAGACGCTCCTCGAGGCAGAGAAGGAGGCGGCAAAGATCGTCCAGAAGGCGAGGAATTGTGAGTCCCTCCCCTTCCCGCAATGTCCACTTCGAGATTCTCCTGATCTGATCATAAGATTGACCCCTTCCATCTTGCTTCTCGTCCTCCTCCCTCGTCCCTGGTTACTTGGCACCACACGCGCCCAGACCGAACCCAAAAGCTCAAGGACGCTCGCAGTGAAGCGGCAAAGGACATTGAGGAGCTCAAGGCTAGCAAGGATCAGGAGTACCAGAAGTACAAGAAGGAGGTGCGTCGTTCGATCGTTCGAAAGCTGCATTTGCGTCATCATTTCTTGTCCTCTTGTCCCCTCGACTGACCCCGTCCATCCATCCTCCCCTCGTTCCTCGCTCTCTCTTCTCCTCCCCGCCCCTCCTCTCATCAGCACGAAAGCGAACAATCCACCTCCTCCTCTGCCGTAGAGAAGGAGACAGACGCAGAACTGAAGCGCATCGAGGAGTCGTACAAGAAGAACAGGGACGATGTAGTTCAGAAGCTGTTGGACCGCGTTGTCCAGGTCAAGGCAGAGATGCATCGTAATGCTGTCAAGGTGGAGTAGGTACGGACGAGAATTGAGATTTTGTTTATAGTACATGACATGATTTGCTATCTTTGGGCTATGAGACTGGATGTGGATGTGGTGCGGGGCCGAGGAGGGGGAGGGGCGAGCAGGTCAGGCGATTCGTACCTTCTTCGAGCCGGAGCCCGTGCCAGCTTTGCGCTTCTTGAAGGGATTGGGAGCTGAAGCTGGCGCTGGATCTGATGGCGGCGGTGAAGCTGATGCTGCTGATGCTGCTGCTGCGCTCAATGAAGGCTCCGTAGCCGACTCTGATGAAGGTGGCTGTGCATCCCCTTCCTCCTCCTCCCTCTTGACCTCCGCCTCCTTCTTGACCACCTCTCTTCCCTGCTGCTCCTCCTCCTTCTTCGCAAGACCAGCATCTACAGCACTGCCCCTCGTATCCGCACCCCCACTCTCACTCCGACTTGCCGGCGCAAGGCGCAATCCCCCCGCCCAATCCTCCGGCCTCAATCTGGCCCTCTGCTCCTCCCTCTTTCTCTGCTCACGAGCCATATCCGTCTCTGGAGCCCTCTCTCGTTTCTTGACCTTTATGATCACCCCTCCTTCCCCATCTTGATCGTCGTCATCATCATTATCGTCAAGGACGCGCTCCCTGAGGCGGAATGAGCGAGCCTCGGAGCGTTCACCCCCAGCAGCGCCGAGAGGGGCGGGTGGATGGTCGATCAGACGCTCAGCAGCAGCAGCAGCGGAGGATGAAGCAGAAGGTAGAGTAGTGACCTCCTCCCATTCACCTGGTATCGCCTGACGCTGCGCATCTCGTGCCTCCTCTTCCTCGCGGGCCCGTGTCTCCTCTTCAGCTTGACGTTGCCATTTCAACGCTTCTTCGTCCGCCGCGAGGGAACCGTACGCTTCCAGCTTGTTGGAGGGGGCCCAGCGCTTGGGTGCGGATGGGGCCGGTGGCGGTGGTGGTGGGACCGATTGGGCGGTGCTGGATGAGGCTACAGGTGGGGCAGGCGGTGATGCGCCTGATGCTACATCTTTACTATGAGCCTCCTGTGCTGCCTGCGAGGAGAAAGAAGGGAGAGGTGCATTCGTCAGTCTCATCCTATCATACTGCGTCTCTCTCCCTCGCGACGACGTACGTACCCTCTCAATCCTCATCATCTCCCTCTTTGCCTCCTCCTTTTCCCTCGCCTCCCTCTCCTGTCGCTTGTACACATCCCTCAAGGCCCGCTGCACGTTGTTCTTGTGGCGTAGACCTTCTTCGTGTTGACGCCGAGAGGGGAGATCGTCATTGATTGTTATATCGCAGTACTTGCATGTCCAGCGACGGGTGGAGACCCAGTAGTCTGCCATGATGGTGCGGGGGTGTGGATAGTGTAGAGAGGAGAGGGAGGAGGCGGAAAGAGAGGAGCCAAGGAGAAAGAGGCGAAGGCGAGGGCGAGGGCGAGGGCTCAGCCCGCCGAGTGGAGTCGGTTGGTTGGTTGGGTCCGCCTCGTGTGCGTCTCTCTATCCTCGTTTACCTCTCCACCTCCACCACCACCACCCGAACACACCATGTCCACCCCCATCCCCACACCAGCAACACCCTCCTACCCCTCCGCATCACTAACTGCCCTCTCCCTCTCCTCTCAAAAGGACACATCCAAAGTCCTCGTCCGTTTCAAAGCAATCGGCTCTGCCCCCATCATGAAGAATCGAGACTTCAGGATAACCGCATTCAATCGTTTTCAGGCGGTTGTGGTGTTCCTACAGAAGGAGCTCGCCGCGAGTGGCGGCAATGGTGGTGCGATGGGAACGGGTGGGGTGGGGGGTGGATTGGTGAGTACGGCGTGAAGAGAGAAGGGAAGGGGGCGGGGCTGACACTGATTGTATGCGCTCGCGGCGACAGTTTCTCTACATTAACAACTCCTTTTCGCCTTCCCCGGATGACACCGTGGGGAATCTCTTTCGAGTGGGTTGTGTTGCTTCGATGCCCGGCCTGGCCTGTGGCGCGCAAACGGCTGGCTGACCTTGCCTTTCGCCCCACCTCATATCTCTCGCCCACACCTCTCGCAGTGCTTTGGTACGGATGGCCACTTGATCGTCAACTACTCAACTACGCCCGCCTTCGGATGATCAGCGCGACGCTCAGCAATTATAATGTGACGATTAATCCGAGCCGCTTCAAGACCAAGCAGAATCAAGTAGCGCCAGCAAGCATTTCCGTCTCATCATCTCGCCCACGCAATGCTACGCCGCACCACTGGGTGCACAAGCGGCAGCATCATCCACGCTAGAGCGCTTGCCATCCTGTAAAGCCTCCAACCCCTTCAGAGCCCTCTCCAGCACAATGGCCGCTCCACCGCTCAAGGGCTCCATACTCGTCCCTTCAATCTCCACAAGCGCCGCCGCCGTCCCCGCCTCCTCGACATCATCGCCACCACCCTCCTCGGCACGCTTCCTCTTCTTCCTCTCCCTCACCTCCCTCGACAACCTCAGTAACGCCCTCGCGTCTTCAACCAGCACGTCCAGCCTCCTACTCCCCTCTCCAAAGTAATACTCGCGAACCACCTCCTCGAATCCCTCTACCGCAGCGGGAGCAGTGATGGCCCGCCTCACGAAGCCCATGGTAGCCACATAAGCCCCCTCATTGAAGAGCCTCGCATTCACCCTCCCCTCCTCCGTCCCCTTCAATCGTTCGAAAGCCGGTTCGGTATAGTAAGGTTGGTCCACCAGCACCAAGCTCGCTATACTCACAAAGAGCTGGAGTAGACTACTCTTGGAAGGTTGCCAGCTCTCGCTCGCCCTCTCTCCGCTCCATGTGCCCAGCAAGCTCAAGCAAACTTTCCCGTCCTCGTACAGGTTAGGGCTTGCACGACCTCGCCCGTCCGTCCAGGAGTGGAAGAAGACCTTGGGGGGAAGACGGGGAAAGGAGTCGAGGGCAACGTCAAATAGGAAGGGCCCGTCCGCGTAGGGTGTGCCGGGGGAGCCGAAGATGAGGACACGGAGTAGGTCCAGACGATCAGAGTAGGTGCGGACTACTATGTTCGTGGGAAGGGCTGAGCGGAGTGATTTGTGCTCGCGGGTTAGGCGGGAGAGGAAGGTGCGATCACCTGCGGGTGGGCCGGTGGAGTGATAGTGGTGCGTCGAGGGGGCCGAGTCGAGGATTTCGAAGGGAGACCAGGAGGGGCTGCTTGGTGGAGGTCGGGAGGAGGAGGGAAGAGTGTAGGTAGGCCGGCGGGAGGGCGGCGCGACTCCGGATGGTGGGTGGGCAGGTGGGGCTGATGGGTCCTCCGCTGCTCGAGACTGCGACTTCGATTGCGGTGGTGCTTCGGGATGAGTTGCCGTGGGCTCCATTGCAAGCTGTCGTACCGCTGCGCCCGGACCTGACGTAGAGGTGTCAAGCGCGATTGGTGTCGGCGCATGGGGGGCAGCGCTTGCGCCATTGACGTTAGCGATGGCGTTCCCGTTAGCTCCACTCGTTCTCCCACCAATCTCCTCATCAACACGAATAGCATCCCCGTCCTCTTCCTCCTGCTGCTGCTCCTCCTCATCATCCTCCCACTCCCCCATCTCCACATCCTCCACCTCCCTCCCATCCTCCGTCTGCCATCTCACCTCCTGATCCCATGGAACCCCTACCGTCCCACCCAAGATCCCCATCCCGAGCATGCCCCCTTCCCCATCCATCCCCTCTGCCCCCTCAAGCGGTGCGTCTTCCTGGTTGAAAAAGTCTTCGAGCTTATTCAACTCTGTAGGAGGTACAGTTCGCATCGTCTCTCCGTCCGGTAGCAGTATTTTCGCGTACCCCTGCGAATCGAGATCGACTACCATTCCCAACCAATCCAACTTTGACTGACCCTTCTCCTCCTCAGTGAGATCGACGCTCAATCTAGGGTAGAGGAAAGGAGCACTGAAGCTTTTTGGATGTTTGTCGAGGAAAGATTGGACCACCTGCTCAAAGGAGTCGACCCAGTTGAACCCGGGTTCAACGGGAGCGCCTAATCTTGGAATGTGCGGGAGGGCTATCGAGTCGTGGGGACGACGGCCTATGAGGACTAGCTCGCCTCGATGGATGCCGTGTTGCCAGATGGACTCTAGGCCGGGCTCTTCGCCGTACACGTCGAGCTCGAGGGCAGGGACTACTTGCTGCTGCGGGTGGTGATGTCCCTCTTCCACCGAGCTTGCTGAGCCAGCAGCATAAGGCGCAACGACGGCCGTTCGTTCTTCGGAGTCGAAGGACTGCACGACGACCAGCTGTCCCTGCCCCTGCCCCTGCTCTTGCGTCTGAGCCTGAGCGGACTCAGCCTCGCCACTCCTCCACGTCACCAGCTCCCCCGGGTACGTATCGTGCGGGTCAATCATCGAGGCCACGGGAAGCACGCGCGTCCCCGCCTCGTGGCTGAGGGATCCGTCCTGCCATTTCACCGTGACGTCCAGCGAGGAAGAGACGACTTCGAAGATGGGCGAGCGAGTTTGGCTGCCTGGATTTCTAGGCATGCCCATCTCGCCGGCATTCCCCTCAGCTTCTGTTTGCTCAGTCAGCAGAGTCAACTGCCGCTCTGCCTCGCTCTCCCCGTACGCGTCGACGAGGGCGCAACGCAGATCCTCTTCGCGGCGAAACACGACCATATCCCCCACCAGGGCCGCCCCGTCTGGGCTTGTCCTTGCTAGGATCAACTTGGGCAAGTCTTCTGCCCAGTAAGCTGGGGGTTTTGAGTGTGAGTCCTGCGCAGCTGGGGAAAGGGTTTGGTTGACGGCGAGCCAGTTGACCCAGGCGCCTCGATGCTGCACGTCTATAAGGGTGAAGTCGCTGTAGGTGGACAGATCGCTTGTGGGTGGGTTGGAAGGGTGGGTGAGACGGATATAACCGTCACCAAGGGTCCAGGGACGCTGAGTGAGCGAGCGAAGATGAAAGGAGGGGAGGAGGAGGTTGGGCAGTCAGCGGGTTGTCTCAGATGACATGAAACGACAGGAGATTGACGCAGTCTGCCTTTCTCACCTTTTCCCGCTTGCCTACATCGTAGTCAGAGATGGTATCATATGTATGATAGACGACGTGTTTCCCATCCTCGCCTGTCTCCACACTCGCCCACGTATGCTCAATAATGACCTCTTCGATTACGCCGATCCAATCGTCGTATACGACGTGTGATCCAGGCGAATAGCGACGTGTGGATATGAGTTCGCGTGCGGGAACCTCGAGGAGGCGAGTGTCGTTGACTTCTACTTCTGAGGGGCGCTCAAGGTTGGGCTTGGGCTTGAGTTGGACCATCGACTCGGTATCGACAATGACGCCCGACTGGGCTTGAGTGAGGGACTTTTTGACTATGTCGCCGATGACGAGGAGTCTGGAGCGGGGCGTGCGGAAGGTATAGATGTCAGCGAATCGACGTGAGGTGAGGTGGATAGACTCGGCGCGCTTTGCGCATCTAGCTCACCTATCCACCAGCTTGACCTCGGACGAAGCAACAATGGCTCGATCTCCCTCGCCCGTGGTGCGCCAAACCACGCCCACCTCACCCTTCCTCAGCGGTCTATCCAAGTCTCCATGATGGTGATGATGCTGATTAGGTAATGATGCGCCTGTCTCTGCAATATGGTCTGCCTCTTCGTGCCAGGTGCGCAATACGATGCCAGTCTCGATCTTGCCATCGACATGGCGCTCGACGATGTCCTGTCGATAGAGGAGAGACGTCGGCGGTGGGACTGAGGATGTCGCTGTTGAAGAGGACGACGATGCAGAGGGGCGCGGGATGCGACGACGTGGCATCGTTGCGTCAAGAGTCGATTGGTTGACTGATTCAAGATTGAAGGGGCAAAGAAAGTTGTCAGTCGAGGCCAGAGGCGAGGCGGACAGACAGACCAGCGTCGACGGAAAGCCAATCGACGACGCACGACTCGGTTCGCTTGACTTTTGAATTTACCTTCTTGCTTGCTTGCTTGCTTCTTTCCTTCCTTCCGCCTCGCTCCCTTCATCAATCATGGCCTCAACATCGACATCGGCATCGACGTCAACAATGACCGCCCCTTCATCCACCAACACACAGCCAACACGCAAACGCCGACGCCTCTCACCCTCCCCTCCTGCCACCCTCTCAACCATCTCCCTCCCTCACCCGCTCAACATCAAACCAGCAGGAAACGCCCTCTTCACCTCTTCCCCCTCGAATCGCTCCTCCACCCTCGGCTGTCTCCTTTCCCGCCTTCCCGACGACCTCATAATCGACATAACCTCTCGCCTTACCCCACGAGACCTCGCGCGGCTATCCTCCGTCTCGAGTGGGTGTAGAGCATTTGCCAACCACGAGTCGCTTTGGCGCACCCTTTGTCTCGATGGAGTGTGTCCGCAGGGTCAGATTGAGGCATGGTACGGTAGCTGGAAACAGACGACGGGCGCACATCTGACTGGGAAGGCTGTCCCTCCTCTAGCTGCGGTGAGACCCGCTCAGCCCTTCTATTCCGACGTCCTTTACCTGCCCCATCGCCTCTCCTTTACTCTCATCGGGCACGGCGAGAGGAAGGGGGAGAGACGCGCAGCCAAAGTTCATCAGGTAGAGCGCATCTCGGCCAATACGACGACGCACGATTTCCACACCCGCTACGCAGCGCTGCATCGTCCCTGCATCGTCGAGACGCCCACCGATGGGAACAGCAGTATCCCCGGGCTCGGCATGACCATTCAAGGATTGAAGGAGCGCTATGGTCAGACATACATTCGAGCAGAGGCGGTACGCGCTCGTGTTGAGACGTACGCGGATTATGCGGCTTGTTGTACGAGGCAGCAGGAAGAGATTCGGCGCGCTATGCGGGCTGAAGATCAAGATCAAGAAGAAGAGTACGAACACGCTGCTTCAACGTCCGCCGCGCACCCGCCGTGGTATGACCCGCAAACTATCCCAGACGAATCCCCCTACTACCTCTTCGACTCAACCATCCCCACCCAACTCCACACAGACGGACTATGGACCGTACCACCGCAGCTAGCTTCATGCCCCTCGTCGGCCTACCCTGCTGCGCCTACTCCCTCGCCATCCTCGCCATCCTCTTCCTCCTCCAGCGCCACCGCCGCAGCGCAGCGGAACGCGGACCTCTTCTCCCTCCTCTCGACGCGCCGCCCAGACTATCGATGGCTCATCGCAGGCCCGGCACGCAGCGGCAGTGGATGGCACAAGGACCCCAACTACACGAGTGCGTGGAACACTCCTCTTTCAGGATCGAAGCGATGGCTCCTTCTCCCTCCTCACGTCACCCCGCCGGGCGTCTATGTCAGCGAGGACGGAGCAGAGGTGACCGCCCCGCTTTCCTTGGTCGAGTGGTTTGCCGACTTTTATGACGAGACGCTGAGCCGGCATGGGAGGGGTAAGGGGGGAGATGGGCAGTTATTGGAGGGGGTGTGCGAAGCAGGGGAGACGGTGTACGTCCCCTCAGGATGGTGGCACCTCGTCGTTAACCTCGAGTCGGGTGTGGCCCTCACGCAGAACTTCCTGAGTCTCGCTGAGCTGCCGGACGTGTTGGAGTTCATGAAGAACCGGCCGGAGCAGATCAGTGGTTTCAAGACTGGCGTTGAGGGGGCCCAAGGGGAGGATGAGGACGATGATGCGTTGAGTGATGAGGGCAAAGCCAAGATTTATGGCGAATTTGTAGCGGCGCTGAAGGGGTATGACGGGGAGCTTGCCAGGTGGGCTTTGCAGGGGGCTGAGAGATTGGAGCAGCAGAGGGGTCAAGTCAGGAAGGCCGATGCAGCTGCCGCGATAGGGGCAGGCGCGGGGACGGGGGCGGTCTTGCCGGGCAAGCATGCGAATGGAGGGGATGCTGCAAAGCCTTCGTGGTGGCAGAGGCTCAAGTCAGGCGGTGATGAGGGCCAAGCCAAAACGGAGGCGCACCTAACCACTGCTGGCGAGGGTTTCTCGCTTGGCGGACTCTTGGGCGAAGGAGACGGCGAAGAGTTGGAGGACGTGCCGTGGTGAACTACCAACTTCGTCCTTTACTCCCTCTTCTCGTGTGCATTTCCTGCCCGTGTATCGAGGATGTCGCTGATCGCCGCATCGAGGCGTCTTGCCAGTGCTGGGCCGGCCAATAGTACCAAGACGAGAAGGAGAGGAACAAAGAGCGGGGAGCCCACCGTGAGGCTGTATGGCGCTACGCCGGCTAGGAGCGGGTCGAGGCTGAGGTGGATGGGCGTCGGTGCTGCTGCGCTCTCCTTGGGTTGCTGAGATGTGAGCGGACCGAGGTAGAAGCGCTCGACCAAGTTGGTGAGCCATGAGCTGGGCGGTACATATGTCCCGCGTGGTGGGATCGAGACGGCCTTGCCCCGGCTGGCCTTGACGTGGAGATAGGCGGTAACGCATGGCTTGACGTAGGAGGATGATGATGATGAAGATGGAGGCTGATCAGACGCTTCGATGTCTACTTCGCCTGCACGTAGCATCTCCTCTGCAGTACGAATGGTCATCTCGAGGTCGAGCGGGTGGTTAGCCGGAGAGCTTGCACGAAGAGCGTACCGACTCGTTGAGTCGCGTACAGAGCGAGTCAGAGCAGCGAGTATTCCCTCTTCTCTGGCATGACCGTCATTCTCAAATCGCACCTTGAGCCAGTACTCGGCCTCCTCAGGCTGAGGTGGAGGCCAGAGGGTGAAGAGGCTCGGTCGCGTGGAGGTGGTGAGAAGGGGCCACGAGCGCGAGAGATGGTCTGCTGCTTCTTCCGCGACAGGGTTGTATTGTGAGCAGAGTGGCCTAGTGAATTGGACAATGTGAGTATTTGCGCTGACCAAGGATGCAACAAGAGCCAAGTTCAACGTCAGCGGAGCCAACAGCCATGTCTTGAGCCTCATCCTTGATCTTGCGGCATTGGGTTGAGTCGGGAAAGAGGCGTGGGAGAGCAGCGAGGGCGGACTGGCATCGATGTTGAGCTCCTGATTTTGGTTTCTCCAGTTCCGTGTGTCCCTTTTGACTTTCCTTCCTTCTCTTGGCCCAACTACAACGTCCAATGCGTCTCCCAAAGCGGAGCGTCTTCCACCGTCCTCATGAGGAGATCAGCCATCTCTACACTCTTTTCTACCCAAACTCACTGCATGCTGCTCAGGCGGACGCAGCTAGGCGTCGCGGCGTGGACCTGGTGCATCGCGTCTACCTCTCTCGCTCCTCCTCTCCCTGCCCCGTAGCCATCGAATGCACCGCGGCACTGGTCGATGCTCTCCTCCTTGATGCGGCGCTCAGCCCTAGTATAGGCGGCGCAAGTGGCTCAGCAGTACGGTCAGCACTGTCCCTCTCCCTCATTCGACTGGTCAACTCCCTCGCCGACTCTCTCCAGCAAGGCGTGTACGCAAAGAGCATCGCAGCGATTGCTGAGCGTCAGCTCGGTCTGCCGCAGTCATTCGTTGAATTCAGGCATAGGGCTACACATGAGGATCTGCCTAGCTTGACGGTGTGTAGGGAGGCTGCCATTGCCGTGAGTGAGAGCTGCATGTTTGCTGCCAGGAGGACCTCGCTGATCGCTTTCTGTCCTGTCGCAGGCCGTTTCTTGGCTTCAAATCAACTATTGGATCCCAACGCTTCAAGCGCTCGATTTGCAATCGCAAGGTCACGCAGGATGTGATCTCCAGCAGCGCGCTCGACACGACAGCGAGCGGCCGCCCATCGCCTCTACATCGAGCGTCGTCGACTTAGCCTCTCAGCGCGCTTCCGCCTCTGCCTCCCTGGAAGCCATCCTCAACTCGTATCGCCGCCTGGCGAAAGCAATTGCGCGCGATCAGTCGCTGCGTAAGAGGAATCGTGCCAGTCTGCAGGACATTTTCAGGGAGCTAGATGCGTGGAGGCAGAGGACCGATGCCCTCCTGCCCCGACTTGAGGATCCTGACGAGGACGACAGCGGCGAAGAGGACGAAGGCGACGACGAAGATGAAGAACAGGCAGGTAGGCGTTGGTCTTCCGATGCAGCAGGCAACGAGCAGATCAACGGTGCACAGCTCAGCGCAGCAGACGGGCTCCTCCTCACCTCTCTCCTGAAGCCAGGCGTAGGCATAGTCCCCTTGGCCAAGAGCAAGCGGCCTAAACGCAACCTCGCCCTCTCAGAGGACATAAAGCAGACGTGGGAGTACCTGTTCGAAGCGCAACCAAAACTGCGAGGCCAACTCGTAGAGCATATCGTCAAGGCCCTCACTGACGGAGCAGATGCAGCTGAGGAGGACGAAGAGGAGCCGCCGCTCTTGTCAAGGGACGCATCCTACGCTCGTACACTACAAGCCTGGCTTCTCCACCTCATCGACGCCGATGGCGAGGAAGACGTGGTTCGCCGACTCATGGCATCTCTCCTCGCTGGTCGGTCCAATGCACCAGCAAAGAAATCCGCCTCATCCACCCTCCCAGCCATACTCGCCCTCCTCTCCCGCCGTAAAGAGCGAGGAGAGAATACGGCCCAGCTGGAGAATCTCGTTGCTCTTGTACAGCGAAGGGAGCAGGATGAGACTGCTGCGGTGCAGGCGGAGGAGGAGCCGTTGCTCAAGGGGTTTGAGGACATGGGTGGGAGCGCTGCAGCGCAAGCCGTAGGTGCGCTACAGGTTGACGATGAGGTGGGCAAAGAGTCGCAGGATCTTGACACGCTCTTGACCTTGATGGAGCAGCGGCGGCTTGCTGCCTTTGCACCGCCTCAGCCACCGCCTCCGCGGCAGGAAGGTGGACCAGAGGTGGATATGCAAGTAGATGACAGTGATTCAGAGGACGACGATGGAGCTGAGGGCATTGCACACGCTTCACCACCTGCCCTGCCCCCTGGCTGGTCACTGCCCAGCAAAGACGAGTGGCAGCCTACGCCCATCGGCTGTTTAGCTGGCCAGGTACCGGACTTCTTTCGCCTCACCACTCAAGCCAACAGATTGCAGGCTTGACATTGATACCACATCGATCCAGCAATGATGATACAGTTCCGCCACCTCGTCTCAGTAGCTCATGGACCTCTCAATCACTCGCGTCAAATGCTGCGCACCATCGCTCCCATGCACATCTCCAATACCCGGCGCCAAATCCAACACCCTACGCTGCGGGATGGTCCCCTTGACCAAATCAGGCACATCGTCCTTCTTGTACCCAATAGCCCCCAACCCCCTCGGGATCCCCAGTGTCTTTCCCAAAAATTCGGCAATACGATCGTACACCAGTTTCCCCACCTCCTCATCCGGCAAACGGGCAATGGCCGCATCCTCCGAGGAAGGGCCCTCTTCGCCTCCAGCGGCAAAGACTTGCGCTATGGCTCGATGTCGGGAGGGGGCGGAGGGAGCCGTGAATTCGAAGACGGCAGGACCGGTTAGGGCGACGGATATGCCATGGGGAACGATGGGATGGTCGACTTGGTAGCCTGCGTGCTTGTATTTGGCCAGGCGATAGTTGAGCCCGGAGACGGCGTAGCTGATCCCGTGGCAGAGGTGGACGCCCTGTGCGCACGAAGGAGAGGCAAGTCACGTCAAATCAGCGTGCGCTCAGCTTGAGGTCAGGTCACGTCAAGCCATCATGAGCCGTTGGCTTGCTCACCGCATTACCGAAGCCGATACCGGCAAAAGTAGCAGCCAGGAGCATCTGGCCCCTCGCCTCGGTATCCGTCGGGTCTCGCGCTACCCTAGGCAGATACTTGACCGTCTGCTTCAACGCCCAGAGACTAAAGACGTCGGAAATAGGATTCGACCCCTGGTAGGCCGGTCGCTGCAGCGGGTTTGCCGGGCGAGGCGTGCGCTCCGTAAAAGGGATGGCGGTGTACGACTCGAGGGAATGGAAGAGGACGTCCAGCCCGGAGCTGACATGTACCGATACAGGGCACGTCTCCGTATTGAGTGGATCGACAATCCCCAACAAAGGGCGAAGGGCGCGCGATGCGATGCCCGTCTTGGACTGCGTGGGCGTGTGGTCGAAAATGGCCGTCCCCGTCGTCTCACTCCCCGTCCCCGCTGTGGTGGGCACGGCGATGAGGGGCATCAGTTGGCGGCCGATGGGCGTCCCCTTGCCGATGGGCGCGTTGACAAAGTCGAGGAGCTCAGCGTCCCTATAGCACGTGAATAGGTTCGCAACCTTAGCCGTATCCATCACCGAGCCACCGCCTACGGCAAGAAACCCGTCGAAGTTGTTCTGGCGGCTGAAGGTGATGGCCTCTGCCCAACTCTTGTCGTTGGGTTCCACGCGCGTTCGGTCGAAGACCTCGTAGTCGACGCCCGCTAGCTCTAGGGCGGCAATGCTCTGCTTCATCGGGGTGAGGTTGCGCACTGTAGAGTCGGTGAAGACGCCGATCTTCTTGGAACCTAGGTTGGCAAAGTCCCTGCGCAGAGCGTAGGAAAGGGAAGTGGGTCAGCTCTGGATGCTGCCGTGCCTTTCCGTAGCAGCTGGGCCTATGCCCTCCTCACATTACTGTCGCGTGAGCAAAGTACTTCAGTCAGCCACTAGCCTCCTCTCTTTGTATTTCGCCCCCTCACTCCTACTCACCAACCTCCCTAGTCACTCCCTCGCCAAATCGCACATTACTCGCAGCGAGCTCAAATGCATACTCCTTAGCAACGGCCTCATCGACAGGGGTGGCGTAGCTCCTTCCCCCCTGAGCATTGTGTTTGCCGATCATCTGGAGGCCCGCCTTTGCCAGGTGAGCTCCACTTCCCCTCGCGATGGACTGGCACGAGTGACAGGGACAACCTCCCCCGTGCGAGAGGCGCATCAGGTTGACTGAAGAGGGAAGGCGTGTCGTGCGGGGTAGGTACGGTGAATCAGCGTTGGGCCTGCTGTATCGAGGTTCCGCATTACACGAACCCTCACTCACAGATGGACTTGCGCGACGCGGCTGACCTGGTAGCCATTTTGAAGGTGAAGTCGTGGTGGGAGGGGGGACAATTGATGATGAGGACAAGAAGAGAGGCAGGCACGCGGACACAACCAGCTTCAGGGCTGCGTGGGGAAGTCAAGTCAAGTCAAGTCAGGCAGGCCCGGCAATATCGGCAAGCGGCTCGCGAGAGCAAAGTGCGGGGAAGCTCGACTCGACTCGACTCAGATGCCGGGTGACGCCACTCGAGACGCATCGACTCGACTCTGCGGGGCCCACGCGACATCATCGTCGATGCCGAGTGAGAAGAAAGCACACGACATCGAGTATTCGCTCTTAAACGCGCCTACCCTGCTGACCCGACTTCAATGCGACCCATCGGACACAATCAGCGACCCGTCAGACGACTGTCTGCATGACAGGCCTTTCGAAGGCAGATGCTTATTGTCTCACTGGTATCCAAGCCTCATACACCCCTCTCCAGTCGAATCTCCAATGCAACGCAGTGATCCACCTCCCCACCGCAACGACAAGGAGAGCAGCGGCCGCTCCCACAGCGATGTGGAGCAATGTTGCAAGCTTGACCGTCCTCGCGCCGTCCCCTTGACCTATCAATGAAGTCGAACTTCCTCTCCTCCCCGTCCCGATCCCGTCGCTATCAAGGCTCAGCCCGCCTTGCAAAAGCCCCTCGAGGCCAGTCAGCTGTTCAGGCGCATAGAAGCGTTGCGGACCCAGGCTCGGTGCGACTCGATTTCTCGCAGCCACTCCTGCTCTCTCATCGCTGTCGTCTCGATCTGGGCTCGGCTGCCAATCCATCGCCTCTTCTTCCTCCTCCTCTTCTTCGCCGACCACACCAGCTGACGATAGGGGAGCGCGCTGCGGTCTCGTCGAGGTTGCTGAACCAAAGTGGGGAGAAGGAGCGGCCGCGTCGTGTTGCGGGGCGAGGAGGGAGTCCGTCTCCTTTGATATGGAGGAGAGGAAGGAGTCGTATGTCGCGGAAGATGAAGGGTCTGCGCCTGCGTCGGCCGACAAAGAGTAAGTTGCAAGGGCACGATGATCGAGCTGTTTGACGTTGCGTGCGGTGGACGCGCTTTGATGCTGCTTGGTGAGGTGACGTGCGAGAATTGCAATCTGGGCTGAGGCCATTACAGCGTATATTGCGCGTCCGCTTCTTCGCAGATGGGCATTGGAGGCCTCCTTGACGACATAGGGCAGGCCGTCTTGCGCGAGAGCTGCTGCGATGAGATGTACCCAGGATAGAGCGACGAGACACCGCAGCGCGCGGGCTGTTGCGATGCTCGACTTGATCATCTCCTCCTCTTCAGAGCCCACGCCAGCATCGAGAATCGGGTCGCGCTCTTCTGCTTGTTGTCGAGCGAAATCGATTCGAGGCTGGAGGACGATGTGGGTGAAGGCGAGGTGCGAGGCAATGGAGGCCGTCAGGAGGTGAAGCGGCGGCGGCAGAGGGAGGCGGCGCGATGTAGTGATAGCAAGCACAAAGCCTGCCACAAGCCCTGCAGCAAGAACGTGCAACCAAGCCGCAGCGACGAGCCATCGAGAGACGAATGCCGCAGTCGCATCATAGCCCTGCCGGTGCCGCCTTGACCTTCCCCTTCCCATAGCCGCACTCATGGCCGGGCGCGATCTTCTTCCCTTTGCCTCATCCATGATGTCTCTCCAAATTTCTCTCCTCGCATCCTCATTCTTGGCCTTCAGCCTCGCCTCAACCGCGGGCCGACATTCGGCGCACAGGATCGGGTAGCGGGCGTCCAAACTTGCGCGTAGCTGCTCCTCTGCCCCGGCTTGGCCTTCTGTGGTGGGGTCGTGCTGTGAGAGCAGGGTGGACTGGATTTGTAAATTGGTAAGACAGCGCCTGCAGAAGAGCTTGTGAGCGTCCTTTTCGTCGCCGCGGAGGGTGGATGCGACTGAGCTGCTAAGGGCGTAACGTTTGGGTGTGGATGCCGGGCTGCCACTTGACTCGCCAGCCATCGCCGGCTGCCACGAAGCTATCCTCCTGGGCTGGGTAGCATCAAGTACGTTGTCCGATCCGCAGAGGCAACAATGCCAAGCTGCCGGGCTGCCGTAGGAGATGGGCGTCGCAGGCTGGTTGGATGAGCTCGCCGACGTCCCATTCACCGCCTCATGCCCTGCTGAGCCCCTTGGAAGGACTAGAGAGTGATCATTGCAAAAGAAGCAGCGCAAGAGGGGGATGGAAGGGCGAGAGCGATGCGACGAGGATAGCCATGTTGGCATGGCCGCCTCATTGCCAGGCTCGTCAGGGTGTATGCGTGCGAAGATGGCGAATAGAGAGAAGAGGGAACGGAGGAACGGATGTCGTCCCCTCTCCGCTCTGGTCTGACTGAGTCCAAAACGCGCCACTTTTCCAACGACGCGCTCCATTCGTCTCGGGGCGCCAGTCCGCCCTCCTGTCGATTGCAACGTAACGAGGCCTCTCTCTGCTCCTCCTCCTTGCCATTCATCATCCAACCTCTCTTCGCCCAGCCATGGACTCCATGCTCCGCAAGCGTCTCAAGACTTGGCAAAACGACTTCCGTGCCAAGCACAGGCGCGAGCCTAAGCGTAGCGATATTGCGCGGGTGCCGGATATTGCCGCCATCTATGATACCTGGACTGCTTTGCAAGCTACCAAGGCTGGTACCAGCTCGGCTGGTGGGGGGAGCGTGGGAGGCAAGGGCAAGGAGAAGGAGAAAGACAAGGGCAAAAGCAAAGCTGAGCTACCTCCGACATCGAGCAGCAAGGCAGCCCCACCAGCCACTCCAACAAAGGCGCAGCCAAGAATGCAGCCTCCTCGTACCCCGACCTCATCCCATGCCGCATCATCTAGTCGTAACCCCTTCCGAACGCCCAATAAGGCCTCTTCATCTCAGGAGCGCATCCACACCTCCCCATCGGGTAATGTGGCGCATCTTCGCACCCCATCCTCCTCCTCACGCCATCATCCCGCCACACCGCAATCGCAAACTGGCACTCCCACGCACAACCTCGCCGCCGCAACCTCAACAGCTGGAGGGGCGTCATCATCGTACGACTACAACACCTCCCCCACCTCCTTCCGAGACCTAGTCGGCACGCACTCGGTCATGCGCACCCCGAACAGGCGGAAGAATAACCAGGAGCAGCACAAGGCGGACGCGGCTTTATTGCTCAAAGACTTCACCCCGCGGACAAGGGCGAGGAAGAGGTTGAGGGGAGAAGAAGTACCTCCTACGCCGCAGCAGCAGGTTGCGGGCAAGACGACCGCGGCTGCGGCGGCGACAACGGGTATTGCGGCGGGAGGCAGCCCCAGTAAAGCGGTCAAGGCAGCTAACGCTACAGCCAATGGGGCTACGTTGAACCCGAGGCCGAGGAAGCGTCGAGCTCAGGCCGCTGGAGGGTTGGCCGCTTTCTGGGGGGAGGACTTTGCGCGTGACCCCTCATTATCGTCGAGCGACAATGCTTCTGTCTCGTCACGCCTTTCAAATGGCGCAGCAGCAGCAGCAGCAAATAACAAGCCCACCAGCGGATCGCGCGTTTTCACTCGGCAGACCTCCTCCCAGCAGGCGCAGGCTCAATCTGCCACCGCAATGGCAGCAAAACCCAAGGCCTCGAAAGGAGACGAGGATGATGAGATCCTTGACGCGAGCCCTCCCTCCCAGACGGCGCCGAATCGCTTCGAGCTCTTCCAGCGACGAGCGGAGAAGGCGGAGGCGGAGCGCGACAAGAGGAAGAAGAGATTCAAGAGCCTCTTTGATGAAGGCAAGGATCAGGCGAAGGGAATGGAAGTTGATCACAGCGATGCTGAGAGCGAGGAGCGAGAAGAAGAAGAAGAAGATGATGATGATGACGCTGAGCTTGGAGAGGATGCAGAGATGGCTGAGCCTCCCATGCAAGCGGTCAAACCGACGACAGCAGCCATAGCCAGGCGCTTCAGACCCGCAGCACAGGTTGCGCTTCTCGACTTCTCGTCTGGAGAGGACGACGACGACTGTGACAACGATGGGAAACAAGGCAGCGAGAGCACCGTCAAGGGCATGGGAAAAGCGGCTCCATCGACCAGACGAGACAAGTCCACCTCTGCATCAGCGTCAGCGTCGGCGTCCGCGTCAGCCTCACCATCGAAGATGGTTTACCTCCGTGCCTACCAGCGATTCGGCGAGCTCAAGATCGGGTCTGCATCTGGCGAGATAGCTGAGGGCTCTGGAAATGCTCGGATCAACGGGTCGGCCGACCAGGGCGACGCTGTGACAGCTCATGAGCAGGATGAAGAGGAAGAGGACGAGGACGATGTAGCTCGAATGCTCTCACCCGCCAAAAAGCGGGCCCTCCTGCAGCGTTCAGCTAGCGGCGATGGTCCTCTCCGTCAGAATGGACAAGAAGGGGCAGAACTGGATCTCTTCTCCCCACCGGCGGCAGCAGCAGCGCCAGCTACCCGGCTCAACGAAGCCCCCAACGCACTCCGCTCCTTGAGGCAACACCGTAAAGCCAACCAGCGTCGCGCGCTAGCGTCCTTGCTCCTTTCAGGGGACGGCGATGATGACGATCAAGAAGAGGGCAGGGCTTGTCGCCCTGCAGACGAGGAGGCCATGGTCGCCGAGCTTGAGGCCGAAATAGCTGACTCCGCCTTCAATGCCACCCCTGACGATCCCAAGGATGGCGCTTCCGGCGGCAAGGGAAAGGGAACATGGGGTGCAGCGAAAGCTGCTGCGAAATACTCGGCGCAACAGAGTGGGGCCATCCTGACTAAACGGGGTCGTGGTAGGGCAGGACCTGGGGAGGAGGGTTTCCTGCTGGGGAAGGCCAAGAGGGGTGCAGGGAGTACTTTGGGCACATCGCTCAGTGATGATGAGGAGGAGGAGGGTGACAACAACAGAACGGCGCCTCAGAAGGGCCACGGCGCCAGGGCGGGACAGCCGCAACGTCTCCCTGCTCGCCCGCCTGCGAATAAGGTGTTCCGTCGCGTCGGGCGATCAGGCGTGGATGATGATGAAGCCGGGTACTTCCGTACTGGGCGAGAGAACAAGAGAGCCAGTCATCGGGGCAGGGGCAGGGGCGACGACGACGACGAATTTGATGACGAGGGTGAGGAATCGCCCTCCTCAGACTCAGCCCGCGGTGCTCGTTACGCCGATGTGAGGGACGACGATTGGGCTAGCGAAGCGGACTCGGGTGAGGATGGGTGGGGTGTAGGGGATGGAATGATGGAGGAGAGCGATGTCTGGTAGCGCATCGCTTCCCGCAGCTGTTGATTTCTTTCTTCGTTGCTCTGCTCAATCGTACCATGAATTGATAATGTCTTCACTCGAATCCGGTGGTGAAGAGGCGTTGCTCACGATATGGCTGGAGCAATGCGACGCTGTTTGCTGCCGGCAATTGAAATCAATCGGGACGCCTCACGGCACGCACGCACGGCCTCCACTCAAGGTCAAACCGTCGGCGGAGGACCCTTCCTTGGCCACGCTTCTGCTCCTACCACCACGCTCATAAGACGCTGGAGCTCTCCCTTCTTCTTTCTCCACCAAACCAACCCAGCCTACACTCCCAACGTATCCTCATGATGCCATCTCACGTCCTCGACTTCCAATGCGCCCTCATCACCGGCTCGGGCGGGGGTCTCGGCCTGTCAATGGCTCGTTACCTCGTCCAGACCAAGAACAAAAAAGTCATCTTGGCCGGAAGGACGGAATCCAACTTGCAAGAGGCTTCCAAGTCTCTCGGAGGGGATGTGCCTTACTATGTGGTCGATACGGGCAAGACTTCCGAGTTGAAGGGATTCGTGGAGAAGGTGGTCAAGGAACATCCGGAGGTGGACTGTTTGATCAATAATGCCGGGGTGCAGAGGCCGTTGGAGGTTACAGAGTTGAAGTTGGACCAGCTGGATCAGGAGATTGATATAGTAAGTGGTGTGGCTGTGGTGCATCACATTGGCTTTCGTACAGCTTGTCTTGAGGAAGGGGGACGAAGCTGACCCGACCCGCTCTCTCTCTCTCCCTTTCTCTCCAATCGCACCGCATCGCGCCTGTCAGAATGTGAGGGGCCCTATCCACCTGGCGGACGCTTTCCTCAACCACTTTGCGAGCAAGAAGCATGCAGTCATTATGAATGTGACGAGTGTACTGGGCTTTGTGCCCTTTAGTGTACTCAACCCCGCGTACAATGGGACGAAGGGTGAGTCACGACCGGGCTGCCGTCGTGGCTGCGGTTCAGCTTCTGCCATCTCCCTCAGCTAACCACCTCACTCTCGTTCTCCTCCCTGTACAACTCTATTCGCCCTCTCCCTCTCTCTCTCGCAGCCTTCATGCACTTCTACACCGAATCGCAACGCACCCAACTGAAGTCCACTCCAATCCGAGTCGTAGAGATCATCCCCCCTTCAGTGCACACGGCCCTCCATCGCGATCGCGAGGACCCGGACGACAACAATCCCTCGAAATCCAACGCCCTTACCCAGGAGGACTTTATGAACCAGGTAGCCGAAGGGTGGGAGAAGGATCAGGATGTCATTACGGCTGGGATGGGTAAGGAATTGGTCAAGAAGTGGTACGATGCGTATGGGGAACAATTGGGTGGTGCTCAGAAGGCGTGGCAGGGGAAGGAGGTCAAGTAGTGGAGTCAGATATGAGGGGTTCAATCTGCATATATCATGGATGAATGGATTTGATTTGAGTCTGTGATCCCTCTACTGCTTCTTTGCGTGCTTCTCCACCAGTCTCTGCGATCGCCGCGAAAGGGCGAAGGTAAGGAAGAGTCAGCACCGCCGCCGTCGCCATCGTCTCCCTCGCTCGCTGGCTCGGCCCCTTTTTGTCACTCACCTGCAGCCCTCCAGGATCAGCCCCTACCATTTCCCCCTTCTTCTCCCCTCCCTCAAAGACCACAAAAGTGGGCATCGCCCTCACGCCGCACTGTTGCGCCACTTCGGGCACCTCATCCACGTCCACCTTGTAAAAGTCGACTGTGTCCTTGAACACGGCTTGGTCTGACAGCTTGGCAAAGACGGGGCCAATGACCTTGCAAGGGGGACACCAGGTGGCCGTGAAGTCTATGATGGCTGGCTTCGTGGTCTGGGAGGAGAGGAGAGAAGAGAAGGAGGAAGAGGAGGTGATGCTATGCACTACACGGGTGGGACGGGTGGTGCTGAACAGCCGAGCTGATGAGGGGGAGCGAGAAGCGACATTGCGCATGGAGCAGCTGAGACGTTGCGTGGCGGCCATGTTGATGATCGTGGTTTGTAATGAGGAGAGAGAGAAAGGAAGAAGTGAAATCAGGTGGGCGAGTGGAGAAGATGAGAACGGCAACGCGTGGTCGTCGCCTCTCCCGGCAGTCCGCCGCCAATCGAGTCGACGAGACAATCCAATCCAGTTCCGACGCCTCGAGTCGATGGGCAATTTTGACTTTGCTTCTTGCCGTCGTTGTTGCCTCCTCGCTCGCCTTGTGTCCAACCATACGGCAGGCCCCGGGCTTCACAAGCCCTTCTTCGCCCGCCCTACCGCCACCTTCGGCGCCACGATGTTCATCCTCTCCACACTAAGTGATACGATCTTCATCCCCTCCTCCTCCTTCACCCGAGTCGACCCTAGCAGCTCCGCCTCCTCCTCAGCGCAAATTGCGCCTACCTCCCTCTCCTCGCTCAGCCAGGCCTTGAATGCCAAGTATGCCAATCGGGTCATACCTGATGTCGGGCTCTGTATCTGCCTTTTTGATGTGCTGGAGGCAAGTGAGGGGAGGGTGAAATGGGGAGATGGAGGATTGTGGCATAAGTGCCGATTTAGATTGGCCGTTTTCCGGCCCTTTGTGGGTGAGGTGCTGGTGGGCAAGGTTATGAGTTCTGATGAGGGGGGCATCAGAGGTGAGTGGGCGAGGCTTCGTCATCATGGTGTAGTGGTGGTGCTGGGAGGGAGAGAATTGGCACTGACTCGCTTCGCTGCTACTACATCCCCAACAGTCTCCATGGGCTTCTTCGACGACATCCACATCCCCTTGCACCTCCTCCCCTCACCACACGCCTTGTAAGTCACAATTAACCCACCTCGCGCTTCTCCACCTCGAGAACTTCCATCTGACTAGTCCTTCCTTCGCCCCTATCCACTGCGCCACGCCGCCCCTACAGCGACCACAAGGAGCGCGCCCACTTCTGGCTCTTCGACCCCTCTCACCCCTCATACATCACCGACCCAATCACCGCACCGGACACGGAGCGCTTCTACCTGGATCAACACGAGGCCATCCGCTTCGTAGTCGAAGACGACATCTTCGAAGAGGGCGAGCCACCCCTCCCCGCCGGTGCACTGAAAGAGGGGGAAAAAGCTGGGGACAAGGCCGGTACGAGCGGTGGTGGGTCGGGGGCTATCGGTGGCGGCGTCACAATGGAGGCTATGGAGGCTGCGAGGGCTAAGCGTAAGCCCCCCTACAGGATTACGGCGAGCATTGCGGGGCAGGGGTTGGGATTGATCAATTGGTGGATGGGGGCTGCTGCTGTTGGTGATGAGGGTGGGGAGGAGGGCGAGCAGTACGATGAGGGGGATGAGGTGATGCAGGAGTAGAAGGCCATTGGTGGGTAACGATACGATTCCAATGCATTATATACTCAAACATTTGATCCCTATGCTGAGCGTAGCTATGCTGGCAACCATTCCAAGAACTCTGGCGTAAAGTAGCTCAAAATGAGCGTCGCCCCCGCCCTTCTAGCACTCATACAGCTCTCCTCTGCCATCCTTCTCAGCTCGTACACCCCAGCTTTCGCCCCTGCATGTATCATTGCAAATTCCCCCGAAACCTGATAGCAAGCCAATGGGACGTCCCCAGCCAAATCCCTCGCCTCACTGAGAATGTCGAGGTAGGGCATCGTTGGTTTGACCATGATCATATCCGCTCCCTCAGCCAAGTCCCTCGTGATAGCCCGGCGTGCCAGCCCTCTAGCACCAGGCGGAAGCTGATAACAACGTCGATCTCCAAAGGAAGGGGCAGAGTCCACTGCATCCCTAAATGGGCCGTAGAGTGCGCTGGCAAACTTGGCACTATAGCTCATCAGCGTCGTCTTTCCCGCCAACCCGGCCTCGATCAAACCGAGCTTGATAGCCTTTATCCTCCCATCCATCATATCACTCGGGGCGACGCAGTGCGCTCCTGCTCTTGCGTAGTTGACTGCCACTTCCGCCAGTCTCGCAACGGAGGGTTCGTTGTTGATCAGCCCGTCTGGGTGAAGAACGCCGCAGTGCCCATGATCGGTGTACTCGCAGAGGCATACATCGCATGCCACGTACAAGGTAGGGAACTCCTTACGCAGCAGTTTGATGGCTTGGATCACTGGTCCCTGCGGATCGTCCGCGATTGAGCCTCGACCGTCTTTTCCTGAGCGATTGACTTCGGGGATACCGAAGAGGATGACGGAGCGCAGACCTTTTTGGACGAGGGGGCCGAGGAAGCCGGCAAGACGATCGACGGACCAACGTTTTTGACCTGGCATGCTGGGGAGGTCTACCGCGCTATTCGGGATATCTGTAATGAAGAGCGGGTACCTGTGTCAGGAAGGGGAGAGGACGAAGAGTGAGCATCGTACTTTGAGGGACAGGTTGGGTTGCGGTTGCAGGAATTCACGTACATGAAATGTGATTTGAGCAGACTGGGCTGCTGGAGCTCGCGTGTGAGCTCGTGCGCGTAGCCAGCGTGGAGCTGAGAGGATATGTCTGTCATGTTGGATCCGATGTTGACGAGAGGGGAGGAGGGGAAGAAAACTGCGAAGCTCGTACGACTCGAGACTCGGCATCGAGTGGAGAAGGATCGCCGCCTCGCCGCCTCGCCGCCTCGGAACGGGCGACGCATCTGCTGAAGGCGGACTGAGAGCGAGTCCCGAGGTGAGATTTTGAATTTCATGCCTTCTCCCTTCCGCCGCTCTCACCATCACCATCACCTACCTATCCAAGATGGCCACGCCCTCTTCTTCCTCCTCATCAACCCAACCAGTCCATTTCACAGGCCACACGAACTTCCGCCTGCGCCTCACACTCTCGCTCCTCTCACGCAAGCCCATTCTCATCACCTCCATCAGGCCAAATAGCACCTCCCCTGGTCTGCGGGACTTTGAAGCCTCTTTCCTCCGCTTGATCGAAAAGGTGACCAATGGAAGCAAGGTCGAAATTAGCTACACAGGTACGGCAGTCAAGTTCCTTCCCGGTACTCTCTCGGGTGGGAGCGTAACACACGACTGTGGGACTAGTAGAGGGGTGGGGTATTTCCTCGAGTGGGTGGCCCTACTCGCCCCCTTCTGTAAGAAGGAGCTCAGCTTGACCTTGAAGGGGGTCACGACGGGTGGCGGCGAAAAGGGTGATATGGGCGCAGATGCATTGCGAACCGTTCTTTTGCCTGTCTTGGCAGAGTTCCTCCCTCCAGCCACTTCACTCGCCTCACCACTTGAGCTACGCATCGCTAAACGTGGTCATTTCCCCCTCGGAGGAGGCGAAGTCTTCTTTCGCTGTCCCTTGCTACCCAATGTTTCCTCGGCAGGCGTAGGAGCGGCGGGTGGTGGAGGGGGTGGAATGGTCAAGACGATTGATTGGACGGAGCCGGGAAAGGTAAAGAGGATCAGAGGCATCGCGAGCGCTTCGCGCGTATCGCCTGCTATGGCCAATAGGCTTGTAGAGAGGGCGAGAAAAACCCTCAATCGCTACGTGCCGGATCTCTACATCTTCGCCGATGTCTACAGAGGGGATGATGCGGGCAAGTGAGTGCACGCGATGGCGTGAAAGAACAGCATACAGGCTCGAAAAAATGCGAGCTGACCATGCTCTCTTCGTTGCTACGCCACCAGGTCACCAGGCTTCTCCCTCTCCCTCCTGACCCAATCCACCACCTCCTCCTTCCACTACGCCGAGTCCCACTCCACACCAGGAGCCGTACCAGAGGATGTAGCCACCTCGTGCGTCTCCTCCCTCCTCTGCTCCCTCGCAGCAGCAGGAGGAGGGTGCATCCCACGAGGACTGCAGCCACACGTTCTGGCATTGATGGCATCCAGTCCAGAGGATGTGGCTCGCGTCAGGATTGGAGGGGATGGGACTCAAGACGATGGTGGAGGGTTGAGCGCCGCTGCCGTGCAGACTATGAGGGATGTTGAGGCTGTTTGGGGACTGCGATTCTTGGTTAGGAGGGTGGAGGGACGGGCGCCGAGGAAAGGGAGACTAGGCAAGGCTGGGAAGGTGGGAGGTCGATCTGATGATGGAGAGGATGAGGATGATGATGATGACGACGACGAAGACGACGAGGATGAGGAGAGCAGCGAAGGTGACGAGGAGGAAGAGGAGATGCCCCTGCGCCACGATCTCATCCTCAGCTGTCGTGGCGTGGGAGTGCGAGGAGCACGCAAGGCGCAGTAGTCTCCCCAACCTTCCTTGCAATCCTCCCAATCGCAAAATACCCTCCAAAGTATGTTTGCGTTCGAGACAAACCTGATATTAGCATATGGACATCCTGCTTTTCCCTCTCGTCTATTCCCCACTCAATCCCTCGAGCGCCATCCGCACCTCACCTCTCCCTGATCGTCTCCTCACTCGCGTTGCTCTTCCTTCCCCCTCCCTGCTTGCGCAACGCACCCGCCTCATCCTCTCCCTCTTCATCCTCATCGCCCAACGCAAACACCACATCGTCATTCGCGCTCGCGCTCGCGCTCTGTCTGGGCTCATAGGCAGGCGGAGGGCCCATACCGCCCGAGGCCGAGCCCGAGCCAGACGACGAAGAAGGTTGAGCTCCACTCGCGTTACTCGCAGCGGCCGCCGACTTTCGCTTCCTCTTTGCCGCCTCCTCATCATCCTCATCATCGCTATCCTCGCCCGGCATGCCCGGACCCGCATATTCCCCTCCCATCTCAATATCCTCCGCATCCCCCTCCATCTCCCCCGTAGCAATCTCGTCGCTCATGCTCAACCTCAGATTCATCCCCGTCGGTCTCCAAGTCCAGGCAATGAGCCCAAATACTGCCAAGTAGAGGAGGGAAGTCCAACCATCCAGAAGGAACCACCTGTATCGCCACGTTTGGGATGGGAAGGATTCTGCGCCCGATTGGGAGAAGGCTACCGAGGAGACGACGAAGAATGCTCCCGTGACCACAACTGCTCCCACGAGGATGCGGTAGAGGCGCTTGAAGTAGGCCAGCTTGAAAGTCTGCTTTCGCGCGGTCAGGTGGGAGATTGTAGCATTGAGGCTGTTGAGGGACCACATCATTAGGGAGGTCAAGGTGAAGGCGAGCGGGAAGATGAAGAGGAAGACCCAGGTGCCTCCGGCTTCTATACTGAGGAGGACTATGCCCACTGAGTAGAGGCAGCCGCACACTAGGTGGACGGCGGTGAGTAGCTTGGCGCGGAGCATCACCTTGGGGTCCAAGCGGGGACGGACGAGGCCGTATCCCATGCTTACGATGAGAAGCAGGAAGAAACTCGCACTATTCCGTGCCGAGTCGATGATTGACTCGATGACTAGTAGGGCTCGCGCGGACCATGTCTCAGAGGCGTTGCCTGACACCGAAGAGAGGTGGAAGAAGTCGATGCTGTGCGTGTTGAGGTAGCGATAGTATGCGTAGGTTATCAGTTGCTCTATGACGAGGATGAGGAAGAGGCCGGAGATGAAGTGTTGGATCGTGAGAAGTCTGTGCGAGACGTAAAGAGGTCTATGGGTCAGAGGGTGAAGTTTGAATCTTACTACTTGGCGCGAGCACGCACTCGTCCTTGTGTTTGACGCAGAGGTAAGCCCAGGCCGCTCCCAGGAGGATGTATGTGCAGGTGAGGCCGAAGTAGAACTGCGGGGTGTGCCTCCAAGATGGTCAGTTAACACCACCCTCACGTGCTCATCATCTGTTCTCGCTCGTTGGCACTCACGCCTAGCTTCGGATACTCCCCACCAGGCAGTTCCCCCTTGAACATGTTGTGAAAGGTGATGAGAGCGTCAAACTTTGCATGCTGCGAGTCCGCGGTGAGGGGAACGGCGGCTGCGAAGCGAAGGCAGGGTAGACCAAAGGGTTCCGATCAGCATCTCTCACATCTGCTCGAAGTGAAAGGGCCCCGCATCTCACTCGCACCGACGCAGTAATATCCAGTCTGGTTGACAACGTAGTTCTGCGAAAGCGGGCAAAGGCGAACCGCAGGGTCTGTCAGCATCCTCTCCTCTCTGCCTGCCTCTCCCATCTATCTCTTGACACTCACCAACACCTTCTCGTCCCCCTTCAGATCAACCCTCTCCCTCCGAACAGTCTTCGCCCTCGCCGCATCACTCAAGATGAAGTTCCCTACATCCTCCTCCTTGCAGATCTTCTGGTTCACCGCAGTAGGCGTGCAGATATAAGTGAGGACCGGCTCGCCGAATACGTCCCGCTGGGAGGTTGGAGTGCCAAGCAGAGGGAAGTCCTGCCATTCGTAGAAGCTGTGTGGAGCCGCAAGGGGAGGAAGGCGAGTCGGAGAGTGAGTGAGAGGTGAGGGAAGAGGTGGGGAGAGTCAGGAGAGGGACGTACATTGTAGCCACGCTCCCCGTCGAATTGGGCTTGAAGGTCACTGTAGGCGCATCAGAGACAGCTTCTCGGTCAGATCGAGTACCGCCATCTCATCCTCTTCTTCTGCTGCGCAACGCACAATCGATGCTCGTATCCTTGCCGGCCCACATCCCACTACAGGTCTGCCTCAGCTCGTCCGCATCGCTGATGGCCACCTTGAAGGCACTTGCCGTCGAAGCTACTAGACGCAATGTCAGTAGCGGAGACAGCCACGCCCTCTTTGATGAGGGTAGGAACATGCTTGTTCGTGTCGTTGATGATGATCGAGGGTGAGGAAGCAGAGGAAAGCGAGAAACGCACTCAGGACACGGACCAACAGTCAGGGCAAACCACACCTCGTGCATCTTGGCGGATCGGGACGTCGGCTGCACGCTGCACTGCCCGCCAAGTCTCGCGCCTCCCTCCTTCCCGCCCTCTCTCGTCTACGAGTCGCTCATTCATCTCAGTCTCTCACGGCTCACATGGTTGAAACTTCCAAAGAGCGATTTGATTGTTCTCAGCGTCAACATTGAGGAGCGAGAATGAGATGAACAAGGTATGTGACTATCAAGAAAGAAGAAGGAAAGACGAGGAGCAAAGGGAGCGGGGAGTTGGGGTCAGGCACGCACTATGAAGGCCTTGCCTTTTTCAAGGGGTGGGGTGACTGTTCGTGGTGAGGTGGGATCGCGTGGCTGTATCAAGTCGAGACGTGGGCGTGGTGTAGCTATTGGTACATGAGATGGCACAGAGGCTGGTGATCCTGGGGAGAGCCGGAGCGGGGGCGAAAGCGTAACGACGTGCTAGGGCTCGTCGCCTACTTCCACGTCAGCTTGAGCGCCGCCGGGTCCATGAAGACCTTCATCTCTGGCCTAAAGTCATCGGTGATGATCTGGTTGTTGAACCCTTGGAAGCGGAAGACCTTCTTCGTCTGCTGGTCGTACGCGGGCCAGTACTTCATGCCCCGGTGGTTCGGGTCCATCTTGTTGACAAAGTTGATCATGCTCAACGAAGTGTCGCGAGACGTGGCGGGCTGTTGCGGGTAGGCAAAGTTAGGGCTAAAGGCGTAAGCACCGAACCAGTAGGCCGGGTCGAAGCCGTGCGGGATGCCCGTCCAGCCATTGACATCGGGAGGCGAGTCAGTCTGGTTAAAGAGGTAGACGAAGGCCTTGGACGACTTGTACTTGTTGATCGACTCGAGCAGGATACGACGAGGGGCGTGCCAGCCCTGATCACCGCTGATAGAGGCCGAGCGCTCGAATTGGGAGCCGGCGCCAAAGCGCGACTCGTTGGAAGAACGGGCGGGCCAGTAGGGAGCGCCGTCGAAGACATTGGGCGAGTAGGCGGCGGAGATCTTGTTGAGGAGGCTCTGCTGGGATGCAGGCGTGGTCTTCTGGTTCTCAAAGGCGACCTTGGCGATCCAGGACTGCCAGTCAGCAGCCGAGGTGTGCTGGTCGACAAAGATGGTGCCCTCGTCCTTGACGTTGCCGGTGAGGATGGGGACATCGGGGAACTCGCCACGACGGACCTGGGCGCCAGCGCCGTCACGGTGGTAGACGCCGTCTTGAACGGGCTGGTAGTAGAAGACGCCAGGGTAGTAGTCGGGGCCCTGGAGCGTGGCATCGTCTGGGCGCTTACCGTCACGGAGGTTGGGGAAGGTAGCCTCGGCCAGAGCCATGGGGCTAGCCTTGCGCAAGCACTCGATGTCGTTGCCACAGCCGACAGCAGAGGAGATGCGGTTGAAGGTCTTGGTAGTGATCGGGCCGTCGGGCTTGAAGGCCGGCTCGCTGCCCATGGTACCGGAGAGCATGATGGCGGCACGGTACTTGGGGGGAGGAGAGCCAGGCTTGCCGTCCTTGAGGAGCTGAGCACCGACATTGAAGGCGCCCGATGACTGGCCAGCAATGGTGATCTTCTTCGGGTCGCCACCGAAGGCAGAGATGTGCTCAGAGACCCAATCGAGAGCCTTGGTGACGTCGGTGAGACCAGGGTTGAGGTCGACCTTGCCCGCCTTGGCAGCGTCGGCGTAGGGCTTGCCAGCCATGAAGCCCATGGCGTTGAGACGGTACTGCGGTGTGACGATGATCATGGGCTGACCGGCCAGGATGGAGAGGAGCTCGATGGCCGTCGAGTTGTATGACGAAGCAGCACCGCCGATCTCACCACCACCAAAGTACCAGAGGAGGACAGGCAGCTTGTTCCTGCGGTTCTCGGAGCCATGAGGAGCATAGATATTCATGTAGAGGCAGTCCTCGCTACGTTGTCCATCGTCACCGTTGAAGCTGAGAAGGTAGCCGTTGGGCTGCCAGCAGGTGGGGCTGTGCGGGCGGTGAGGGGGAGGGAGGAGACAGTGAGCGCGAGGGTAAGAGGGGAGCGTTGCGTTTCTAGCATGCGCGTGCTCACCGAATCGCCGTGGCGTTGAAGTCAGCCGTGGTGGGGTCGAGGGTCTGGGCCTTCCTGAATCGCAGGTTGCCAACGGGAGGCTTAGCGAAGGGCACGCCGAGCCACCACTGCTGGTTGAAGATGGCAGGCGAATTGACGCCGTGGAAGGTGCCGACCTTTGTCTTGGCCACGGGTTGAGGGCCGAGGGCGGCGATGCGGTAGTTGACGTTGAGGATCATCTGCTGGAAGGCCGTGGTGCCGCGCTGAACAACGGTGGGGAGGTCGAAGGCCTGAGGAGCGAGAACAGGCGTCATGGTGTTGGGCTCAGGGCCAATTTGAGGGAGGCCGAGCTTCTGGAGGGCACTTGAGAGGCCAGACTGGGCGCGAGTGCTTGCCTCGTGGACGAATCCTCCCACCTCTTTGAGGAGGCGGCGGTCGTGGTGGTGGTCGAGTCGACGAGGGCCATGCTGGTCAGCGGCGACGAGAGTGAGGGACAGGAGGGCAGCCACGATTAGGCTGAGTAGGGTAGAGTACGAGCGCATCTTGAAAGCAGAGTACGGTGTGTTGAAGGTGGCGTTGTGTGGTAAAGACTGTCGAGTCGCGATGAACGGTGCTGGTGCGATGCGTGTGCGGCTGTCGTGTTTGCGGCTTCGGTGAAGAGTCGTTGGCGGTCCGCGGTGCCGGGTGTAGATTGGCGGATGACTTGCTGCCGTGCACGGCTGGTGGTGGTGGTGCCGAGGAGGAGGAGAGTAAAGACGGTGATGAAGACGGAGATCGAGTGGGTAGGGAGTGAGAGTCGAGTGCGCTACTAATGAAGCTCGTGATATCGAGTCGGTGTTGGTAGCGCGAGGGGGTCAATGAGGAGGACGGAGAGGGGGGAGGGGTGTGATTGGAATGAAAGGGAGGGAAGGAAGGAAAGGAGGGTTGATGAAGGAAGGGGGTTGATGAGCAAAAGAGAGCGTGTGAGCGAGTGAGCGAGTGAGTGTGAGTGAGAGTGGGCTGAGCAACGAGGGGCGGGACAGGGTGCTCTCGGCATGCCTCCTCTGTGTCATCGTGCTCCTGTCTCAGCCTAGGTGGGCGGCGGCAGCGGCGGCGGCATCGATGAGGCGACGGCAACGAGAGTGCCGAGCGATGAGAGCGGCTTGAGCGCCCGACGTTGCATCATGCCACTTAGTTCCTGGTGCTGTGCTCGGTGTCGACGACCGATGCTCGGTGCTCGGTGCTCGCCATGGTGCTTCGACGAAAGAACATCCGGGCTGAGTTGGCGCGAACTGAATCGAGCGTCGAGTCCAACGAACGAACCAACGGGCCCCTGTCTCTGCTCAATTGCCTCGCTGACGCGGTGTTGGGTGCACCAGTCCCAGGGCCAAATGGACGTGGACGTTGGGCTTGAACTTTTTCACGCCTCGAAGCGAGGCCACAGAGCATGTGAGCGGGACGCCCAGCTGCGCCCAGCTACTGTCTTTGGCCCGCCGCATCTCGCGCCCCGCGAACAAACAAATGCCCCCACAGGCCGTAGGCGGCGGAGAGAGACGGGAAGGAAAGGAGACGCAGGCGAAGCAGCGGGGACGAGACGAAACGATAGAAGGACGAGAAAAGAACGATGTGCCTCTGGGCGGCAGAGGACGGCAACCGTAGAACACCAGAAGCGAAGCTGGGCGCCAATCTCGATGATCTTTCTCTTGCAGGCGGGGACACACGCATACGCACGACGGGAAGGCGGCGACGCCTACGACCGCTCGACACCAAATGTAGAGCGAAGACACACTCGCAAATCACCTTCAATGAGCATCACGAGAGTGTCTCTTCGCTCTTTCACTCGCCACCTAATCAATCGGTCAGTACAGCGAGAAGGGGTAGGCGAGGACATCGAGGCTCGATCTATCGAGATTGACATCGGCTCGGTAGTGTTGCACGGCAGCGACGGTCAGCCCCGGCACCGGCACCGGCACGGTCAGCGACATCAGTCAATCGTCCCCTCGTCGATTGGTGGGTCAAAGGCCATTAACGCACCAACGTGCGAAGAGATGACATTGATTGCGACAGAATGAATAGGTATAGGTAATGAATGCCGCGCTCGCCCGAGGTGTGACGTGATGGTGGTGAACGTACGTTGATGCCAAAAACCAAGCCCGGGCCGGATGACACGGTGATTGTTTGAGTGGAAGCGCATTGCGTTCCAAATTGCACTCGACGCTCAAGCCCCTCCGCTTCTCACCAGCCAACGGCACGACTGGGCATCTGGTGAACAAAGAAGAACAGAGCAGGGCTCGCTCACACCTACAGATCCTCGCCTCATCGGAGTACGGTCCCGTCGGTCGACCGAAGTGAATCTAGAGCTGGAGCTCACTAAGCCAAGAAGCCGGGCCTGACCTGTTCTTGATCGAGCTCCGCAGGACCTTCCATTCGAGACACGCAGTAGATGCTCTCCTTGGCACATTTGGATTGAAAATGTGCCGTAGACGAAGCTCAAGCCTGCGAAAGGGCGAAGCACGCGTGCGTGTGAGAAGAGAAGGAGCAAGGCTTCTCTGGCAGCAGAGAACGGGAACAAGACGTCTTCAAGAGAGCACGGTACTCCTTTCCCATCAGGGACAAAGGGGCCAAGCGGTGATTGGAATCAGCATCGATCGGGTTGCGTTTACGTCAGTGCCACAAAGGGTGCAAGCGCTGGTGTCGAGTTGAGTGAGGCCTTGCATCGAAGGCAAGAGCGACCACGGCATCGAAGGCGAGAGCAGCCACATGGCGGCGGCGATGGAGTCTGTCCAAGCTTGGACACGAGTGGGATGGGTAGCTAACTATTCAGTTGTTCCTATTGAAGTCCTTGCTTTCATTAAGCATACAATCTCTCCATCAGTCCTCATTCAGCGTCAAACTCGCCCGCCTAAGCGCTCTTGCCGTTGATGGCGAGCAGCTCGACCTCGAAGACAAGGTCAGCGCGAGCAGGGATGACGGGGGGGAAGCCGCGGTCACCGTAGGCGTAGTCGTAGGTGATGTTGAGCTTAGCCTTCTGGCCGAGGGAGAGCTGGGGCACACCCTCGTCCCACCCGCGGATGACCTGGCCGACGCCAATGGCCGTCTGGAAGGGGGAGCCACGGTCGCGGGACGAGTCGAACTTGCTGCCGTTGGAGGCGAGGGTGCCGACGTAGTGCATGGAGACCTACGCGTGCGTGAGGAGAGGCCATGAGCATTGTCAGTGAGATGGAGAAGACAGGGGGTTCAGGTCGAAGGATGCTACGCACCTTGTCACCAGCCTTGGGGAAGTTCTTGCCGTCTCCGGCCGAGATGGATTCAACAGTGACGCCCATTCTGTTTGCGGTTGAGTGGAAGTTGCGGAGTGAGTTGTTCAGTTGCGGTTGCGGTTGACGAAGGGAGCGAAGAAGTGACGAGGCGGCGGATCTCGATGCCATTTTGCGATTGAAACAAGACTCACTTGACCCCTCGCTCGTGCTCGCGCCAGCGTGGAGAGCAAAAGTGGAGAAGGAGATCGCTGCCGGAACGGAGGGAAGTGAGGATCGTTGGGAGCGAAGGCGGTCGCGGGCGAGGCCGGGAATGAGCGGCAGGGGCGAGCGGCAGATGGGACCGGGCGGATAGAGTGGACGTCGCGAAGGTTGCATGAAGGGGGCGGTGGGCTGATTTTGGTGGCCCTGGAAGGCTGCGAAGGAGCGATATCTTGCCTTCTCTCCTTCTTGATCATCACCTACGCTGCATCATGGCCGCTCGTCTCGTCCTTTCCCGCTCAGTAGCAGTGGCTGGTCCTTCTCGTAGGGTAAGTAGCAGCGTCGACCAAATGATCGGGCTCAAGGCCGCTCCCGCCTCTCATGTGAGGTTCAAGTTGGTCTCGGCACTGACGGAGATGAGAGGCGGAGCGTCGTGGCCAGCCTAGCCGGATTCATTCCAACTGACTCTCATTACCCCACATTCCCCACATCAGGCCGCCGCAGCTACTGCTACAGCTCTCCGCAGTACTCCTCGCAACTTCTCGACATCGATCAGAGCCATGGTGAGTTTATCTCGACCGCATATACCCAGTCCTGCGCCCGCTCACACTACCCTCTCGCGCCCCCCTCCCGCAGAGCCAATACCGCGAAGAGGCCGACACCTTTGGCCCCCTCCAGGTCCCCGCCGACCGCTACTGGGGAGCTCAGACGCAGCGATCTCTCCAGAACTTCGACATTGGCGGACCTCAGGAGCGCATGCCCCTCCCGCTCATCCAGGCCTTCGGTGTCCTCAAGAAGGCGGCAGCCCACGTCAATCAGACGTACGGCCTCGACGCCAAGGTGGCAGGCGCCATCAGCCAGGCAGCCGACGAAGTCATCTCGGGCAAGCTCGAGTCCCACTTCCCCCTCGTCGTCTTCCAGACTGGGTCAGGCACGCAGAGCAACATGAACGTCAACGAGGTCATCTCCAACCGCGCCATTGAGATCCTGGGCGGTGAGCTTGGATCGAAGAAGCCTGTGCACCCCAACGACCACGTCAACATGAGCCAGAGCAGCAACGACACCTTCCCTACGGCCATGCACGTCTCGGCTGTGCTCCAGATCTCGCAGCAGCTCATCCCTGCGCTCGAGGAGCTCCACGCTGCGCTTGACAAGAAGAGGGCTGAGTTCGACGACATCATCAAGATCGGAAGGACTCATCTGCAGGACGCTACTCCGCTCACCCTCGGTCAGGAGTTCAGCGGCTACGTCAAGCAGGTCGAGAATGGCATTGAGCGTGTCAAGGGCGTTCTCCCGCGTCTGCGTCTCCTTGCTCAGGGTGGTACCGCGGTGGGCACCGGCCTCAACACCAAGAAGTGGGTGCGAGAAGCAGGTCTGGCGGTCTGAGCATCTTCACTGACTCCTTTGTCCTCTTTCTCCTCTCGCACCGCGCAGGGGCTTCGACGTCAAGGTCGCCGCCGAGATCTCCAAGATTACGCGTGTTGAGTTCCAGACTGCCCCTAACAAGTTTGAGGCCCTCGCAGCACACGATGCCATTGTCGAGGCTTCGGGCGCCATGAACACGGTCGCGGTCTCCTTCATGAAGATTGCCAACGACATCCGCTACCTCGGGTCAGGCCCACGCTGTGGTCTCGGTGAGCTCTCCCTGCCAGAGAACGAGCCTGGATCCTCCATCATGCCGGGCAAGGTCAACCCGACTCAGTGCGAGGCCTTGACTATGGTGGCAGCCCAGGTCATGGGCAACAACACGACCATCTCTGTCGCCGGATCGTATGGTCAGTTCGAGCTCAACGTTTTCAAGCCCGTTCTGATCAAGAACCTCCTCCAGTCGATCCGACTCCTCGCTGACGGAGCCCGCTCCTTCACCAAGAACTGCGTCGTGGGCATCGAGGCCAACCGTGAGCGCATCCACACGCTCCTCAACGAGTCACTCATGCTGGCCACAATCCTGAACTCGCACCTGGGGTACGACACGGTTGCCAAGTGCGCGAAGAAGGCGCACAAGGAGGGAAAGACGTTGAAGCAGGCCACGGTTGAGTTGGGAGCGTTGAGCGAGGAGAAGTTCGATGAGCTGGTCAGGCCGGAGTTGATGCTTTACCCTGACGAGCCTTGAGTGTGCGCGGGAGGGAAGTTCTAATGGCAATACATTAGCACTCGACGATAATAGAGATAGATCGACCGCCTCCGTGACGTGAGATTGCTCAAGGTGGTGCACGCTAGCTAGCATCCTTGACCGCCCGTTGCGCTGTCCAACTCTACGCGGCGCCGCGTGGCAGCGGATTCCGAAACCCAGAGCAACACCTCAGGCCTTGCTGCGCTAGTCTGCTGTCTGGCAGCGGGAAGCAGCTCCTTGGCGTCATCGTCGATCGCTGCCCAGTACGTACGCTTCTCTTGGATCTGTCATCTCATTTCCTTGCCCGGCTGGTCTTCTTCGTCGTACTTCATCCACGCTTCGCTGGTGCTTGCTTGCTCGCACATGCACGACCACGCCCGGCCTGAGTCGACTGTGTCAAGTCGACCAGCGCCGCTGGAATGTGTGTCGTCGGACTCGAGGGGCGCGAGCGAAATCAACACCAAGCACCAAGCACTAGAGCGCGAGCGCTTCTTTGGTCTCCTGCAGCAGCCCATCTGCATTGCAGCAGACCCGACTTCGCGACGTCTCGACTCCTCGCCTCCTCTCCTTCTTTCGTTCGACCGTACGCCGGCAAAGCAAAGGCAAAGGGCAGCCCCAGTCAGGCTGTGGTTGTTTGCTAGCAAGCATGAGCCCGCCGCTGCAGCTACGGTTGGGATTCTCGATTCGAGGCTTTGCTGTTGCTTGCCCTTTGCAGATTGAGGTCGCGTGTCGACTGAGTTCCGTTGACGTTGTTCGGCTCACTGGTCAAACCTACATCTCGTCTCCCATCCCATCTTACCCTCCAACCCCTCTCTCACCCATCCACCCCTATCAACCCCCTCATCCAAAGTTCTGATCGCTGGTCGATCCCACCTCACTCATCTAGCAGCCCTCATAGCCTCTAGCTATCAACCACGCTCTTTACTCACGCTCATTCGCAGCAACCTCAACTCAACACCCAGCATGCTCACCTCTACCACTCGCCTCGCCACTGCGGCTACTCTTCTCTCTGCTGCGCTCGCCTCAGCGTCCGTCGTGCCCCTCAATGAGCGAGCAGACGGTGTCACGCCCACCGCTCCTGGTCCTGGCGACGTCTTCCGTCAAGGCTCTCAGTGCACTACGGAGTGGACGCCAGACACCTCTGGCAAGTGGACCAACTTCACGATTGATCGTGAGCATCCGCGCATTCTGCCGACTCGCAAAACCGCATTTGACTAACGTTCAATCTCTCCTGTCCTCCTGTGCAGTCATGACCGGCAGCAACTTCGCCATGACGAAGCTCGCAACCGTCGCGACTGGGTTGGACGGAACTTCAACCACCAAGACGTCCGTCTCGTACCCGTGCCCGGAAGTCTCGCCCAACTCGGCCATCTACTTCTACCAGTACACATTGGCAGACGGTACCAGTCCCACCTGGACCACCCGTTGGACCATCGCCGACGCCAACGGCAACACCGAGCCAGAGGAGCACAAGACCCAGACTGACGGGTCAAAGATTCCTTGGGGCAAGGGAAAATTGGTGGGCAATGTGCAGGCGACGACGGGTGGTAGTGACAGCACCAGTGGAAGCAGCTCAGCATCGGGGTCCTCATCGTCCCCCTCGTCGAGCGCCTCTGCTTCGCAGGCGTCGATGCAGACCAAGGTGGCCAGCTCGACGTCCTCGGCCGATGACTCAGAGCAGACCGGATCATCGTCAGCTGCTTCGTCCCAGTCATCGTCAGGATCGTCCCAGTCGTCGAGCTCTAGCTCCAACCTCTCCACCTCCGGTGCCTCTCGCAACGTCGGTGGCAGCGTTGCTGTTGTTGGCGCTCTTGTACTCGCAGCAGCGTCTGTGCTCGTTGCTTAAGGACTCTCCCTAGCCCGGACCCGTCTGTCACTGCCATTGCGTCGTCGTATTTGCTTTCGTTCCTGCCCTTCCACGCTACTGCCTTCGTCTGTCGACCCCATCCTGCTCGTAGATTGCCGCCACTGCTGGTGTGCTTGGAATCCCATCGTTGACACTCTGCAGTTCTTCCCTGTCGTCCACCTGCGCGGGTCTCCTTGACGACGAGTAGACAAGGACCGAGCGGCCCTCGGGAAAGGTAGACACAGCATATCATCCACGTCGCGAGCTCAAAGATATAGTACATCGATTGCTTGCTTTGTGCATTGCAGGGCTACAATCAGTAAAGTCCTTACCTGGTCATCGCAGGCGATCCCGACCCGGAAGCATTAGCTTCAGCGCTACTAACTCCTGCACCATCGCCAGCTACCCCTCCTGTCCCACTCTTCGCAGCCGTACCCTTCTCCCGTCCCACCATTCCAGCTCTCCGCCCCTTCCCCGCAAGCTGCAGTACATCTTCCTTGCTCAGCGGCTCCAAGTCGTGCGTCACCTTCCTCCAGCGATTCGTCGCATCAAGCACATCGCTTGTGGCCAGACTTGGGAATCTTAAAACGAAGCCGTGGTCAAGCATCCAAGTCTCCTGGCGTAGGACGTCCCCTTCGGCCATCTTGGTGCTGCAAAGCAGATAGAACAAGACCTCGTCCAGGTCCACACGACCCTGTGCGTGTTGCTCGATCAAGGCGTCACGGAGACCGGAGAGGGGGACGCCATCGATAATCGGGTCATGGGGGCGGGTGAGCTGGAGGTCAGTGGGACGCAGGATGGAGGGCAGACGATAAGACGCGTTGCGGCGATAGTTGGCCATGTGGTAGGCAGTCTGGATGAATGCTGATGTCATGCGGGACATCTCCTCCTCGGTCTGAGGAGAGCCACCATCGTCCGCGAGTGAAGCGGGAGCGATGGTCGAGTCATTCGTGTTGGCGCCGCTACCACCGCGAGGCGAGGCGGAGGCGGTGGCCGCGTCGCCGAAGAGGGAGATGAGGTCCCTTCGACCCTGCGAGGCACGCAGGTGGTTCAACTGGTCGGCGATGGACTGTACGCGGGCTAAGCCTGAGCGATCTTGCTCATCGAGGTGACGCAGCGACTGAAGGAAGGTGTGAGCACTATTTTGCAATGCTGTACGTGGTGTTGTGGCGGGCGAATCGCTACTGGGAAGCGCAGAGGTGGAGCCGTTACCAGTGATCGTTGAGCCGTTGCCCAGAGAGGGGCCGTCCCGGCTGTTGGTATCTAAGGTGGAGGGAGTGGGAGCCGGCCATGCACCGCTTTGTGATGTCACAGACGCGGGACCGAACAGGCTTGCGAGGAGAGCAGCATCGGGCTGATCGCTGCCACCGGCGAAAGGGAAGGGGCTGAACGGTGCGCCGCCATTGAAGGGGGTATTGCCGGCGAAGCTTGGCGCTGCCGTCGAGGAGGAGGGCATGCTGGCCGTTGAAGCGTTGATGTATGGAGCGAGGAAGGGCTCGGCGAAGGCATTCGCGCTGGCTGCGCCACTTGCTGAGGGCTGCTGAGAAGGTCCCGCAGTGTTGTCATCCGTCGTCGAGCTCGTACCGGCAGCCGTTCCTGCTCCCGCCGCGCCTCCCGTACTCTTTCTTGACTTCTTTGCGGAGCCGCCCGCTCCAGCGCCCATCGCCCCTGGACTGCTGTTCCTCATCTCCGGAAGTCCATCGGCGGGAATGTTGGCCTCCATCCTAATCTGCCTCAGTGCCTCGCACTCCTTCGCTCCCGGCCAATTCTGCCATGCATCCGTCATCGTCTTCTCGCTGCGACCGTTGATCATTTCCTCCAGCTGCTGGCGCGAGATACCGTTCTGCTGTAGTGGCCCACCGAGCAGACCTTCACCGATGAAGCGCGCCAGGGAGCCCACCATGGAGCGTAGGGTGTTGTTCTCTGCAAGGAGGCCACGTAGGGCATGACGGAGGCGGTCGACTTGGTCGTCGTGATCTGATGAGAGTAGCTCGATACGGCCTTCTAGGGCGCGAACGTATTGCTGCCGTCGTTGTCGAAATTCTCGCTGGGCGAGACGGTTCTGCTCCTTGCGATGCTGCGCAGCTTCGTCGTCATCGTCTGCCGCCGTTGAGGGCGCCTCCTTCGACGACGCTGCTGCCTTCCCACGCTTCGAGCCGGCTTGCCCGCCTCCTCGTCTACGCTTTGCTCCTACTCCTCCTCTCGCAGCATTGCCCTTTGCCGCACTCGTAGATGGCGTATCCGGCTCATCGTCATCTCCCTCCCCCTCATCCTCCTCTCCAAATCCGTTCCCGCTCGCAACGCCGGAGACGTTTTGAAGGCTCTGCAGCCAGTCTGCGCCTTGCTGACCAAACGGATCGACGCCCATATCTCCTGATGAGGAGCCTAAATTGCTCGAGCTAGGAGCTGCCATTGTGCCTCCCTGTATGCCCCTAGGCTGAGGACCGATGTTCATCGCGGCTGCGAACCCAGCACTGATAGCCGTAGGCGACGCATCGGTGAAGCGGTCGTAGGGGGACTTGCGCTTCTTTGCCGGAGGCATGGCGAGCGCGACTGCTGTGCGAGTGGATCGACGATGATGATCAAGAAGAGATGGTCTTGGTATTCGCAGGTCCGGAGGATCGCTCGTGGCAGCAAATGGGAAGCTTAAAGTCAGGCACACGAAGCGGCGCCGGTTCATTGCTTGCCCTCGATCACTTGCCTCGCTCCCGGTCCGCCCGTCGTCGGACGGGGCGAGCAGCTTGAAAATCTCATCTCACTGCGAGGCAGCGACGAGGACGACTCCACAACGACGGCGACTTCCTCTGTCCACACCTTTCATCACAACTCGCACATCATGTTTGGAGGTGAGCAGGTGCGAGACCAATGGCAGCAGGGGCATTGTTGCTCACGCATCTCTCGCACGGGCAGGCCCACCCCCACCGCCATCCGCCGAGGAGAAGGCTCGCGCTAGCGCTGCCGCCAACAGGACGCTCAACTCGTTCATCATTGGTGCCGTCACCCTCTACGTCGGTGCGTGAGGGAGGCGTCGAGAATGGCATCGTCTCTGAGCTGACTATCGCCGCACTTTCTTCGCATTCGCCATCAGCCCCCTGGCTCCTCGCCCCCGCATTCGAGCGCTTCTACAAGTAGACGACGACACGCAGCTGTATGCACGCAGAGAGAGAGGGGTGGAATTGCAATCCATTCGTGGTATAGTCGAGACAGAATTATCGCAGCGCATCGTAGAGATCAGACGGGGCATTATCGATCACATCAACGCTATACCGACCCCTTGTCCTCCTCGCCTGCCCCACCAGCTTGAGGGCGCCTCGCCTCCCGCCAGGCCATGGGCATCCTGATGACCTCCACGATGACGAATATTGCATACAGGCCCACAATGACGCCGACGTCAATCTGCTGGTCGCTGTGCGCGGGAAATGATGGAGAAGCGATCAGCTTCGGGCTCTTCCTGACTGTCACGCGCATGGTCTTGCACTCACGAATCGAGGTACTCGCTGCCGTACCTTGGCTCAGGCTCCATCATGAGTGCGAGGACCCGGAGTTTCACGCTCGTCATTGCGATGGAGGCGCACCAGAAGAGGAGCGTAGCTGCGCTTGTCCAGGGACGCATTCGTGTCGAAAGCGGGATGTGGATGATGATGAGGACGATGAGGATCGAGGCAAGAGTGAAGGGGAGCAGGCCTACTCCGCGCGTGTTGGGCTTGACGAGAGCAAGACGGACGATTTCCAGGATATCTGTGCGTACGCCGAGAAGAGGAGTCAGTATCTTCTTGGGGTCACATGATGATGTCTGCCTAGCGTACTCACTCATGAGAAGCGACGCAATGATGAGCAGCGTATAGATGACGACCCCCGCCGTCTTGGTCCTTGCTAGATGGCCTCTTCCCTTGCCAGCTCCAACACCCGACCGTTGTCGATATCGCTGCAGTGGTGCGACCGGGCTTGCGCTGCTACGAACTCGAGCAGCAGCTATGATCCACGCTAGCAGCGCAATGTAGAAGATCCATGAAGCCAAAGGGACCAGCACGACATCGTTGAAGCAGGTGGGAGGCAGATTGTACGGCGAGGGAGAGGCAAAGGAGAGGGAATTGTCCAGCCTCACGCCGCACAAGGCGCGGTGGACGGGAGCGACACCGGTGAAGTTGTACATGAGCGAGAGAAGATGATGAAGGGACTAGCAAGTGAGACGAGAAGCTGGGTATATCAAGTCATCGAGAATGCGGCGAAGCACCGCGGTAACATCATCCCAGCTTAAAAGGCCGCCGGCACGAGCGGGAGTGAGACGAACGCAGCGTGAGCGGAACGAGGCGCGGAATCGAGCAGAGGGGCTCGAACGACAACACCTCCTGCTCGCCGCAATGGGTACGGGGGCCGCTTGTGCTGGCCGTCTTCAATAAGCTTGCGAGACGGCAGAGACGACAGCCTGATACTGTACTGAATATGATGACTGGTGCATCTACAGGCTTGAGGTCCCACTCTGTATCTGCTCGCCTTTCTGTGCAACCCCCGTCTCAGTGTCTGAGCGGTGTCACTCACGGATGCTGTTGGGTTCGGGGGCTACCACTACGGTAGCAAAGTATGCTGCCCATAAGACGACGAGCGGCGCCTGGAAGGCGCAACAACCCTCCTCTCATCCCCTCACGTACCAAAACCAGAAGCACCTTTCTGCCATCATCTCGCCCATCATGTGGTCCCCAATCTACATGTTCGCCATCCTCGTAGCCGCGGCCGCCGCAGGCAGCATACTCATCGCGGTCTGCTGTCCTATCAAGTGCTGCATTCTTCGTCGCTATAAAGACGAAGAGCATGAAATAGCTCAAGACTACGAGGCGAGGATTTTCAGAACCTCAGCGGCGCCTCGTTCAGCCTCTGACGCTAGTCACGGTCAAGCCGACTACTACGTGACCATCACGCCTGGTGATCTTGCCATCACCCCCACGAGGCCTAGACAACCCTACAGCGCTTCAAGCCATCCTGTCGCCGCCCGCAATGGCTCAAGCAATCCTGCGACCGTGGCAGGCCAAGCTCGCAAGCCAACGGAGGTGGGACAGGTCCACAGCCAGCAACCACTCTTGGACAACGACGTGATCGTCCCCGCTGCCGCCAATGCACCAATGTCCGTCGGCGGGCCCCCTCCATCGTACGCCTCCAACTGACGATGAGAACGACGACGCGCCTCGCGGGCGCTGTCGAGCCTAAAAAAGGGAGCATACAGCGCAGCGGCGAGCTAGTTACGACTTGGCACAGCGCAGCGGGCGGCAACAGCCCCACTTGTCACCAGCACCACACCACCATCATCGCGTCAAGCTTCAAGCTCCTCTGATCACTGTTGTCGTCGTGCCAACTTTGTACCTCTCTCTCTTCCACCGTGGTACGCGCTCGAAATGGGCCCGGCAGCTGTCGTGCCCGGCGTGAATTGTCTCTCGCACGCGAGGCTTGGTGAGCAAAGGGGGCGCCGACGCGACAGACCCCATCCAAGCCAGGCAGTCCGTCAACCCGGTCAGCAAGCAAGCAAGCCAGGGTCCAACTAAGCTCGGGCTTGGCGAGGCGACATCGAGGGGTGAGCGGTCTGAGGAGCAGAACAACAACAACAACAACAACAACCACAATATGATGGCGACCAGCATCAATTCCGTCGCGTCTTTGATACAATGCATTGCCATGCCGTGCCTCTACCCCTACCATGCCTTGCTTGCCTTGCTTGCGAGAACTCACTCATCGTACGGCACGATCCTGAGCGTGCGTCGTCGCTCGCCGTTAGCTCGCTGCTCAGGTGGACCCTCGCGACGCTCACTCACGCCTGACGTGCAGCTCAGGCTCAGGCTCTCAGCCGGCCAGCCAGCCAGCCTGCCCGCGTCCCTCCAGCCCGCGTGGCCGGCCAAGACGCGGGAGGCCTTTTTTCTGACGTCCCCGTTGCCCGTGCTCGCCGCATCGCCGCTCGTCGTGTCCGTTGTCCTCGCCGATGGTCAGTCACCCTTGACATCCGTACCTTGCCATCCTTACCACTTCGCCGCTGCCCCTTCTTTGCTTTCGACTTCACCCTCCTTACCTCTTCAAGCCCCTTTCGACTTCATCACAACGGACGGCAAAGGACGAAGTTGCCCTGGCCTTCAACGCGCTCAATCCCGCCGCGCCCTTTTTGCTCTTGCCCTCGCCCTTGACTCGTTGATTCGCTGAGCGAAGAAAGAAGTGGGGCTATCTCATCCCGCAACTCGCAAGCCGCAGCCCGTACTCGACGCCCTCGACGCCCACCTCATCAACAACGGCCCTCACCCTATCACTCCTACGCTCCGGCCGCCAATGAACCTTGACCGACTTTAGACCACCGCTGTCATGTCCTCATCTCGTGTCGAAGCCCACGATGAAGACGCTGTAGCCCGTCTGCACGCGAGGATGCTAGCTGCCAACTTCCAACCAGAGGTCGAAGACTACGACTCCCCGTCCTCGACCCACGACTATCACCAGCAGCAATGGAGCTACCAACCACACCTGCCCTCTTCCTCTTCTTCTTACCTTCTCCACCCTCGTGATGCCTCGCCCGTCATTGGGGGTGGTGGGTCAGCAGCGGCCGGCCCCTCGTCGAGGCGTGGTAGCCATGGTCCCGGAGCGAGCTGGCCTCGCACTAGAGATCTTTCAACCTCTTCTTCGGTGCCCTTTGGCGGAGCTTCGCGACGTGGAGAGCAGCGCAATTTCAGCGGCGCCATCTCCTCGCATCGTGCCCCCACGACAGCGTCACAACGTCATTTTCTTACTGTGATCCCGCCAGAGGAGTGCGTATGAGCGGCAGAAAGGCTGAATGCCGGGCTGCAAGCTGACCTCTATCTCCATCTGCCTGCGCTAGCTTCCCGAGCCATCCTCGCAGCCTCTCCGCCTCCTCAAGTCGCGAGCATAGCCGTCGTGGCACCCTCCTTCCCTTGTACCCAACTCTCAACGGCCAACTCTACGCCATCGCTCGCGAGTACGGCCTTCCCTCCATCGGCGGCCTAGCCATCTACCTCTGTGAAGACGCCGAGGGCAATTCGGGACCACGGATCGGCGAAGCATCTTGGCAGGCACTCTGGTCGGCCTACTTCGACGAGGAGCAACAGCAACAGCAACACTCCGAAGATTCGCCTCTGCCCTCCAGCCGCTTCCCTGCTTCACCCTTTCGCTCCCCTTCCTTCCAGCATGAGGCTCGATCTGCGTCGAGTCAACTTCGCTCGCCTGCTTTTCCTCCGTCGCAATCGAGAAGTGCTTCGCGCCGTATCCCAAGCTCAGGCAGCAGTGTCGGTCGAACATCACCGCTGCCCCCCACCAGCGAGGCAGACTACAGCGGTGCTCGACCGGGCTCGAGGTTGGCCGCTGCACTCCCTATCGTTGGTCGAGTCGAGTGGACCGTGGAAAGGCAGAGGGCAGCATGGTGGCCAGGCTGGGCAGGCGAGGCTTTAGAGTCAAGCAGCGACACGCCCAATCGTGCACAAGCTGCGCGCAGGACGAGGAGCCTCAAGCTTTCAAAGGGTCTCACGCCTGCCAAGCCGGACCTGCGCATCATCTCTGCGCCTGTACGAGGCAATTTGCAAGAGAGGAGCGAAGATGATGCCTCACCGCCAGCGCACACAGTCACGCCCTCAGAGCAGCAGAAGAGCAGTCGTCACGCTAGTCATGACAGTCGCGCCAGCCGCAACACACTCGGCAGCCGTAGCAGCGTCGTAGACCGCGGCGTCGAGCCGGCTCAGCCCTCATCGCCTCGTCATTGGAGGCCGACTGGCGGCAGCATACACTCGCAAAGCCAGCCTCTTGCTCACGCTACAAGTCAGCAGAGTATTCCCGCCGAAAACGCTACCTACGCCGGCTACTCTGTGCTACTCGGCGATGATGCGGACACGAAGAGGGATGCGGCACAGGAAGACGAGGACGGCGAAGATGAGGAAATTGAGGAGATAGATGACGATGCTGACCGCACACAGCGTCGCTCGAAGCCGGTGTCCCGCCACGTCAGCAAAGCCAGCATGGAGCTTCGTCGCCAGACTCAGGACGACTTCCCTGCTTCTGTCCGCAGCGATGCACGCACTGACCCGCGCAGCTCAATGCAGCGTCAGCCATTCGAGATTGTACCCGACTCGGACGAGAGCATGTGGCAGGCACTACGTGATGCCCCACCTCCTCCGGCTGATGATCACGGTGTGGACCTAGAAGAGCAGCCGCAACGCCACTTCCTTGGCGGGCGAGACGCGGGCCATGTCACCGACTGGATTCAGAGGACGGCGCAGAGCCCTGACTTGCTGCGGGATCGATCTGCGTTCGTGCAAGAAGACATTCAGCACGACCTTGACGGTCAGAGCGAAGTCGACGATGGAGAGGCAGCTGTGCCGCCCCAGGACGATGTCAAGGATGTCATGGAGCTCTGGGCAGCCACTGCAGCCGCGCCTGCTCCTTCTTCTCAAGCACAAGTAGCCCAAGTGTACGGCAACTCGCTCGCTGTCTCTCGACAAGCGTCGGCGCCACAACTCCTCAGCCCAATCGCGCTTGACGACATGGCTGCATTCGGCGGTGCGCCCCCTCAGCTTGGCAATCTGGCCAGCTCTGGCGCATCCAACTCAAGCTCCCTCCCTCATGAACAGCCGCAACAACCGAACGTCAACCTAACCGCCCTCAAGCCCCCTCAACCCCCTCGCTCGCCCGGAGATGCCAGCACACGCAGCAACTCGACCGAAGTCAGCGGCCTCGAAGATTTCGAACGAGCACTAGAGCTCCTCTCCCCCGTCGCCTCAGGAAACGGGCACGGCTCTCCATCCCTAGCAGCGCTACGTCTCGACAATGGCGGCAAGAAGATGTCCTCCCGAGATAGCTTGGCCGCTGCGCGTACCCTGTCTACTAGCGTAACCCCTTCGCCTCGATGGCTCCAGAAGAATCGTGGGTCCACGCAGGGCAACCAGCTGAGGCAGCGGGAGATCAGAGAGACAGGCAGCGCGGCTGGACGTCGTCCCTTCTCTAGCCCGGCAACGGCTGTTGCTCCTTCGCCTCAATTCCTCGCATCGGTCTCAGCTACGCCAGCCACGGTGGAGCGCACCCCTCGCAATGAGTCGGGCAAGTCCCTCGATGCAAGCTACGTCTTTCCGCCTGGACGCACAGTCATCCCGCCCGTCAGCTCGCCGCTGCGTGGGTTTGCAAGTCTCGAGGAGTCGCCGCAGCAACCGCTTGAGAAGCAGAGCGTAACAGGAGATGGCAGTCCGGGAGTGACGGCGCAGCAACAGGTTGATCACGATGAGCAGCCTTTGAATGACGGCGAGGCATCGAGATCGCCCTCCCTCGGCAAGCGCTCGCCAGTCAGCGATCGCCATTCGCCCACAATAGAGTCTATCAGAGAGGACGGAACTGGGGCGAGTGAGGTAGACGAAGTACCAGAGATTCGCGACAGCGCTTCCGCTGCCCCGTCAAGTCGAGCAGCCAGCATCATCGAGCATCACGCGGCAGAGCTCGACGACGAGGAAGAAAGATTCGCAGAAGAAACAGCTGCTGGCGGCATGACTGCTTCATCCTCATCCGCCTTCACTCTCGGCGCAGAAACGGACGCTCAGACGGAGGGTGAGGCCGATTTTGGCGACGACGTCACGCCAGACTACGACACGAGCCAAGCCAGTGCTCGCGGCATGGGACGCTCCACCCCGACGTACAGCCACGCCGACTCAACGCTTGATTCTTCGAGCCATGCACCACGATCCTACGGTCTGCAGTCCCCTACCCGTTCCCGCCACTCTGGGCAGCACGATGAGCAATCTGTCGTCATCTACGACTCGCCGGGCTCTGCGTCGTCTATTGCTACCGAGCTGCGCGATGAGAGGAGAGACTTTGGCGAGCCCGGCGAAGCCCAACCCCTGGACGAAGACCACACTGAGCAGCAGCAGCACTATCGTCAACTCGCCTCGTCTCCTCGCACCTCACATTCAAAGCCCGAGCCCGCTGCCCGCAGCTCGGACCCAGACACAACCGTGCAGCCCCTTCCTCCGCGCGTAGTCGACTTTGACCCGACTTTCAGCAGCCCAGCAACCATGCATCGCACCTCTCTCGACTCGCAACAATCTCGCGCAACTAGCTCGCCACAGGAGTCACATTTCTGGAAGCATACCGTTGTGGCGCCACCCAATGACCACGGATACGGTCACGAGGCGGCACCCTCGTCGACGTTCCCTCCTGGTACCCCGGTTAGCTATGCGAGCACTGAAGCCGCCGTCACGCCTGCGATGCACCATCTGCCCCGTGCGATCGACGGTCTCTCTCCGCAGTCCATCAGCGGCGGCGGGAGCGAGGAGAATGTTCCGCCTTCTATCTCGCGTATGATCCGCGGCCAGAGCTTCTCGGCTTCCTCCATTGCCGTCACGCCGGAGCGCCTCCTCACTCCCACAGATGAGCCTGAGCAGGCAGTCAGTGAGGAGCATTCCCACACGCCCGTAGCTAGGGTAGAGAATGTCTCACCCGCGCAAGAAGTCAAGCATGAGTCGGTTTCGGACGTCCGCCCCATGTCATATCAGTCGAGCGATGGGTGGAGCCAAGAGGATGGGCGGTATAGTCACTTCTACGATGAGCCGCTGCAAAGCGGATCCAACTCTGGTACCACATCCAATCTTTCGCGCCTCGGCGAGTATGGACCTGAGACGCCCTCCTTCTACCTCGAACAGCAGCTGGACAGCTCACGACCCACGAGCTTCCAGCCGAGCGACAAGGACGTAGAGAACAGGCGTAGTGGCTCTGATGGGGAGGGCATCGGTTTGGGTTTCTCTCCCGGCCCATCGCCTCTGGCCACTCAGCCGCCCTTCAACGAGCAACTCTCCGAGGCGCCAGCACCCCCAACCGACGTCTCGGACGACTTGGATGCGATGCTTTCCTCAATCAATGCGTTCAACAGCAGTGAACGTGGCTGGTCACGCCCCTCCTCGGCACGCAGCCGCGGTACCACCAGTCCTCACGCTCCAACGCAGCAGGACGGTCGCGCCCCCTCGCGGAACGTCTTTGAGGATCGTGACGTCGCCACCATGACGCAAAATACGCGGGAAGCGGTCCGCTCAGCTCTGACCAACAGCGAACGTTTCGCGCACGAAAGGGTACCCGCGCGCTCCTCCCTCACTTCCTCGAAGAGCATGACCAACCTGCAAGGCCTGTCGCACGCACAGGGGCTGGCAGCACGACGCTCCCTCTCCCCTCATCGGAGAGCGTCCATCGGTGAGCTCAAGCTGGCCGCCTTGAGCCCGAGGGCCGCTACGCTCTTCGCAACTTTGCCGCCATCTCCGAGCGTGCCTGAGCATGCATTCGCGGGTGCGGCGGCGGCGGCTGGGCAAATGCAGCCGATGAGTCCCTTGTCGACTACCGTTTTCGGAGAGAGGGCAACGAGGCCCGGCGTCGCGCCGTCTGAATCGGAGGAGGGCGGTGAAGGAGAGGATGATCGGCTCCTCGGGGCTCAATGATCAAGACAGGGCGAAATGAAGGGCGACAAAAATCGAGCGATTGTGGCTGCTCGGTGCTCGGTGCCAGGTACGGTACAAAGTCCCGGCGTGGGCACAACCATCATGTAACACAATTTCCGGCCGCCTTTATCGCTATTCGCTCCGCTTTCGCATTCGCAACTACTGCAGCCCTCTCAGCCTGCGCAATAGAGAACGTTCCACTCAGGAAGAGAGGGTCGTGAGAGCGTCGTGGGGCTGTGCCCTGATCACCGGTTGACGCGGGCCGTCATTGATAGCAAGGCAGCCGCGTCCGTTGCCGTGAGCCCGTCACCAATGGCATCGCCGCCCGTCGGTCAATCTTCGTGGGTCGCGGGCCGTCGAGACCGTGGCAGCATCGCTCGCACGTCTATATATGATCACGACGCATCGCCCGCTAACCCATCCTTAACTCTCCTTGAACCCCACCCTCCTTTGCAAACCTTGCACTCATCCCTATCACTGCCTTCACCCATGCTCGCTACCAAAGCCATCCTCGCCCTCGCTATCGGCGCAGGTGTCGCTGCTGCGGCTGACAAGCCAGCCAAGCACGCGCCTGCCGCCGCACCTGCCTCCAAGAACACACCTGCCTCTGGCACAAAGATTCCCACGGGTGTCAAGCTCAACGATGCAGATGCGAAGCCCTTCATGCTGGACAGCCACAGCTACAATGGCCTGAGGTCGGACGATCAGTTTGGCTATCTGTGAGTGCGAGCAAGCGATCCGTGCACGCGCACGCATGTACCCATGACTGACTTCTCTCCGTTTCCCACGCTTCAGCTTCACCCACTTCACGTCGACCGACGAGCAGGTGTACTGGCACCTCAGTGACGGCGATGACCCTCTCAACTTCTCGCCTCTAAACCACGCCAAGCCCATCCTGAGAAACAACTTGGGATCGAAGGTGAGCAGACGTGGTCGTGAGTTTAAATGGTGCCACGGTGTGCTGACCATCGAGTCTGGGTGCTCGTCAACAGGCCGCTCGTGACAGCTTCATATGCAAGAACGAGTTCACGGGCAAAACGTACCTGATCGCCAACAATCAGTCGCTCATCAGCCCACCTCAGGACTACCAGGCTGTGAGTGCGCCGCGCGTCCTATTCTACCGCCATGCTTCGTCGCTGACTCTTCGCCCTGCCACGTTGGCAGGCCTACATCCAGAATTACACCGGCATCGTCGTCTTCGAGGCCAAGAATGATCTGCTTACTGAGTGGTCGGCTCCTCACCTCTTGCCTATTGCACCCAAGGATAGCCTGCACGTCTTTGCGCCCGAGTGCATCAGCGACCCGGCCAAGAAGCAGGTCCTGGTGAGTGTTGTCATTCGCCGTGAACACCTTCAACCTCACCCGCTCCACCTCCCCTTTGCTGACGCCCGCTCTCTCACTGCAACAGATCCACTGGTCAGGTGCAACGGCCCGCGACCAGACTCAGCGCATCTACGGCGCGTACACTACCGACTTCCACTCGGCCGACAAGCCCTTCCTCTACTTCACCGACGGCCCCAATGGCGTAGGCGACATGACGCTGTTCAAGCTCAACTTCGCCAAGGACAATGCCAAGAACTCATCGTACGTCCGCTTCTACCGCAGCGACGCGGACAAGTATGCCGTGCGCGGCCAGATCAGTGACAATGGCCTCTTTGGCGCTTGGCGCGATATTCTCCCACTCAACAAGTCCGACCCCGTCACCATTGATCCCAACACGAACAATCAGGGCCCGCTCGTCTACAAGACGCACCGCAAGGACCAAGACGAGTTCCTCATCTGGGTCAAGGATGCCGGAGATGGGTACGAGGCCTACGAGACGGAGAATATCCGCATGCTTCCGTACACGCGTAAGACTGCTCCTTACTTCCCTCAGAACTTTGAGCAGGGCCAAGTTATTGGGCTTTGCCGCAAGCAGTACGATGCTATCAAGGCCAAATTCTACAACAGTGGTCGTCGTCGCCGCGGTATCAGGCTTGACGAGCTCGTCGGCTTGGCCGACGTGGCTTGAGTATGAATACTGCCCCGGGCTGGCGTCGGAGCGCGGGCCTCGCTGGGTCGAGGTGGTGATATCGTTGCTGCGCTCTGAGCTTCTTCTTCTTGTCGATCTTTGACCTTTCTCCTCTCCTATTGAATCAACACACAAATTGAATGCTATTTCTGCCTCACCAAATGAACTGCGGTGAGGACTGAGAATTCATCATGACATAGCAGGCGGCGGGGAGGTTTAGACTAGCCAGCCCCTACATTGCACGCCTCCTCCATGGCCTGAACCATCGTAAGATCTCTTCTTGACCTGCATCGTCTCCTCCCACTGTACGACAAAATCGTCGACGAATGGCCGCAGAATGCGAGCGGTGAGGGAGAGGGACTTGACACGGGCAAAGGATTCGACGTAAATGAGGCGAGGTGAGGGGAGAGATAAGATCTGTGCGTGGATGAACCAGATGATGGTCGATCAGTCATTCATCTCACATGGCTCTGATTCATGACAGCTCACCCTATTGACGTAGACTGCGGCTACGAGCGGTACGCATGTGCCTGGACCATTCATCAGGATGAGCTCTGGCGGAGCAGGTATTGAGGGATCCCTACTTCGGCTGAGATGAGGCAATACGAGTCGTCGAGCGCATGCTACGAAGCAGAGGATAGTGCTCAGCGGCGTGGACAGCCATGATTGATGGACGGCCCTAGCGCGAGGGAGGGCCACGATGGTATAGGCAGAGGCCTTCTCGCCAGCCCACTCTTGCTCGAACGCAATGGCTTTCGCTCGACTGAAGTCGTCCCCTGATGAAATGTAGTAGCTCCGCGACACGTATCGTTGTGGATCAAGGGAGCGCAGCAGCAGTAGAAGCTCGGTGGTGTGACCTCCTGATCCTAAGAAGAGAGCGGTTGGGCACTTGTCATCTGGCGAGCGGCGCCTGCGTGGCTGTCTTGAGCTCGAGGGCAGGACGGTGAATAGACGGACGCCCAATATGGTCGCGGCAAGGAGCAGAGCCAAAGCTGTCGTCCTGATGAGCGGCCACAGACTTGCCAGTAGGGACCACAAGGTTGGTAGAGCCATTGCTAGCTTGCCCAGCGCTTCTTGAGGAGCCCAGCTGCAAATCGGGAGGTGTTGAAGCCAAGCCACGCGCGTATGGCATGGCGGTGCTTCGACTGCTGAGCCGCTCTGACCTCGTGCCTGCACGCACCGCTGCCGCCGCCGCCGCCCCGCTCGCCGTCTCCACCCAAGGCAAGTAAGGCAGGCCAAAGCCACTCGGTCGCGGCCACTGATCCGTCCGGCTCATCGTTTCGCTCCATTCGTTCCATCACTGCGACTGCGACGGCGACGGCCTTGACGACAGCTTACGACCACTGAAATCGACGACTACCCAACTACTCCATTCAGATCATTCCTTAGGGCCTCGGTAGAGTGCCGCCACTGCCGTCACCATGTGAGTGAATCCCAGCATCACCCCCCTTCTCCCTACGTCCGTGCGCTCACCTCACCTTATCCTCATCCACCGCCAGGCCACGATTCGACGAGTCTATGCACCTGCCGACTCGGCCAGTCGACCGAGAAAAGGCAGAGAGGGAGCTCAATGACAACATCAAGAAGGCCACGAACGCAGACGAGACGGCTCCCAAGCAGAAGCACGTTAGGAGTGAGTGCAGTGCAGCACTTCCCAATCAGCTGACCATCAGCATTGACTGAGACTTCGCACCTTCTCCCACCGCTGCTCAGAATGTATGGTCTACACCTGGGACTACCATAGCTCTCAATCAGTCTGGACTGGCCTGCGTGTCCTCCCCATCCTCAACGATGAAGTGCAGACTTTCAAGGCGCTTATCCTCGTCCACAAGGTACTGCAAGAGGGCCACCCAATCGTGCTGCGCGAGGCTCAGGCTCAGATGGGTTGGTTTGAGACTTGCGCTCGTACAGTAGGAGGAGACAGTATGAAGGGCTATGCGCCGCTGATTAGGGCGTACGTACAATTCATCCTGGCGAAGCTGCGCTTCCATCGTCACCACAAGGAGTTCAATGGGTTGTTCGAATACGAAGAGTACATCTCACTCAAGAACATTGACAATCCTGATGAGGGGTCAGTAAAAGCATCACAGCTTGCACCGCCGTCATCGTCATGCTGACTCTTCTCTCCCCCTCGCATCCGCGTGCAGATACGAGACAATCATGGACCTCATGAACCTCCAAGATGGCATCGAGCAGTTCCAGAAGCTCGTCTTCGCTCACTTTCGTGGATCTGGCCACAATGAATGCCGTATCTCGGCGCTTGTGCCGCTAGTCAAGGAGTGAGTGCGGCAGCGTAGCCTGGGTGACAAAAATCGCAAAGCTCACCTGCCATCTCCTCGCCTTCGCGCCAGGTCGTACGGCATCTACAAGTTCCTTACCTCGATGCTGCGAGCCATGCATCGCCGTACAGATGCAATGGACGCCCTCGAGCCTCTGCGTGGCCGCTACAATGCCCAACACCACTCCTTGCGCCGCTTCTACTACGAGTGCGCCAACCTTAAGTTCCTCACCAGCCTCATCAACGTCCCCAAGCTCAACCATGACGCCCCGAACCTCTTCGACTCGCGAGACGAGCCTTCCCTCCCGCCTCGCAAGGCCAGCCCGAAGCCGCCAACCCCGCCGAGCGGCCCGTCCCAGTCTGAGATTGATGAGCAGGCTCGCATGCTGAAGGAATACGAGGACAAGCAGAAGGCACTCAAGGATGCCGAGGAGGCAGAGAAGCGCAGGCAGGCCGAGCTGCAAGCGAAACAGCAGCGGGACTTCGAAGAGCAGCAACGCCTTCAGGCAGAGCAGCAGCGTCTGGCACAGGAGCAGCTCATGCGCTCTCAGATGGACCAGATGGCTTCCGGGCGAGTAGCAGAGCTGGAGCGCGAGATTTTGGCAATGCGCGGGCAGTATGAGCGGGACCAACTTATGCTCGAGCAGTATGACCGCCGAGTCAAGGCGCTGGAGATGGAGTTGGCAACGATTGGGCAGAACGTCAATGCCCAGCTGGCAAGCAAGGACGACATGCTCCGCCAGCTGCAGGACCAGGTTCAGCTCTGGCGCAACAAGTACGAGGCCCTCGCCAAACTCTACTCGCAGCTGCGTACTGAGCATTTGGAGATGCTGGCCAAGTACAAGCAGATGCAGCTCAAGGCCGGCTCGGCGCAGGAGGCCATCGACAAGATGGAGCGAATGGAGCGCGACGTCAAGGCCAAGAACCTTGAGCTGGCTGACATGATTCGCGAGCGAGATCGCGCCCGCTTCGATCTGGACAGGATCAAGGCGAGCCAGAAGGAGGAGTTTGAGCGTCTCAAGCGCGACCTCATGTTCGCCAACGAGCGTGCAGAGGATGCTACCCGCGCCAAGAGCTCCGAGGTCTCATCCATGATGGCCACGCTGAATCGCCAGATTGCAGAGCTGGAGGACGAGCTCAGCAGCAAGCGCGGCAATACGGATGACCTGCTCAGCCAGCTACAGGCAAAGGACGATGAGATTGCACGTCTGCGAGAGGAGAAGGATGCGGAGATCATGATCATGCAAGAGGGGATGGACGCCACCATCAAACAGATGAACGACATGACCCTCGGCCAGACGGACAATGATGCTGCGGTCAATGCGCAGATTGACACTTTGATTTTGGACAACACCAAGAAGCTCAACGCTATCATTGATTCGATCCTGCAAGCCTGCGTGGAGAAGGTGGACGATGCCATCTACGAGTTGGAATCTCCTTCTTCCTCCGGCAACAACACCGCCACGCCCGAGTATGTGCTGTCGATGATCGAGAAGGGCAACAACGATGCGACGGAGTTCGCGTCGACGTTCAGCGCCTACCTTTCTCACGAGACTGGCGGTGAACACGTTGAGGTGATCAAGAAGGCCAATCAGCTCGCCCAAACGATCAGCGATGTGCTCGTATCGACAAAGGGCATCACCCGACTGGCGCAGAGCGACGATGCGGTCGAAAAGCTGGTGGGGACTGGTCGCACCTCGGGGGATGCACTGTTGCGCTTCTTCTCCAGCCTGCAGAGCTACCGCCTTGCCTCGGTCACGCCCAACCAGCGTCGTGACGTCGTTGCCCGCCAGGCCATGACTGCTCGCGAGGCCTTTGGTTCTCTCTCCGACGTGGTCGGCACCATGGTCAAGAGCGATGGCGCCCTGGCGAATGCGAATGGAGATATCGGGGACATCGTCGAGCGCGAAATGATGAACGCGGCCGCCGCCATCGACAAGGCTACGCAGCAGCTGCAAGCCCTCCTCTCTGCACCCAAGCAGCGCACAGGCGTCGACCTCAAAGTGCACGACGCCATCCTCGAGGCCTCTCTCGCCATCACCCGCGCCATCGCCGGGCTCATTAAAGCCGCTTCGGACTCGCAGCAGGAGATTGTCTCCAAGGGTCGTGGGACGTCTACTAACCAGCAGTTCTACAAGAAGAACAACCGATGGGTCGAGGGACTCGTTTCCGCTGCGCGCGCCTGTGCTTTTGCCACCACGATGCTCATCGAGGCGGCCGATGGCGTGCTGAGTGGGACGCACAGCTACGAGCAGCTCATCGTGTGCGCCAACGAGGTGTCGGCGAGCGTGGCACAGCTAGTCGCCGCTTCGCGCGTCAAGGCCGAGTTCATGTCTGCTACCCAGGACAGGTTGGAGAGGGCAGCCAAGGCCGTTACGGATGCGTGCAAGGCTCTCGTACGTCAGGTTCGAGCCATCCGTGGTGAGGAGGACAGTAGGGATGGGTTTGACTACTCTACATTGGCCGCGCATGAGTTCAAGGTGCAGGAGATGGAACAACAGGTCAAGGTCCTCGAGGCCGAGAGGGCTCTTCAGCAGGCGAGGCAGAAGTTGGGCAAGATGCGTCAGGCCGGATACCATGAGGTTGAGTGATGCGGTAAGGGATAGTGAGGGGAGGGAGGCAGGAGGAAGAGGATTGTATCTAAGTCTTATCTTTTTGTGCCGCATGGCAATGAAGGCTCTTTGCAGACTTGACCGAGAGGAGTGAGAATTGCGATGGACACCGGGTCCCGTGGCGTGGCGTGAAGATGGTATGCGTCATTGACAGGAGGGAAAGAGAGGCTTTGTCCATCGTACCGTACCGTGACACCAAAATGAGGAGACGCACGCTGCAAGCTCGCTTCCTGATACGACAATCGTCCTTGCCCTCATGACACCAAGATGAACAGCAGGAAGAAGACGATCAGAACCTGTCGGCACCAATGCAAACTCAGTAGGTGAGCCCAATCTGTTCCCCTCTCTCCCCTCTTTCCCAGCCTGCCCGTACTCACCCCAAAGATCTTCAACATCAACCATCTATTACTTGCCACGCTGTTGTAGTACTTGAGTAGTTCCCTCTGAGCTCCAGAGACATTATCCGCCACATCCATGATATTGTCGTCGATCCGCTGTACCGTCTCTCGTTGTTCGGCGACCATGTGAGCCAGCTGGGAGAAGATTTGTCCGAGCTCCGAGATGGTGGATTCGATCGACTCGATTGCTGTGCTGCGCTGTTGCATGTATTGGTTCTGTGTGCGTCGGGCAGAGGGAGGTATGAGGGAGGGGTGAGACTGACTGCTCTTTGCGAAGCGGGGTTTGAGCAATTGCGACACTCACCTCGCCATTCTCCATCAGCTGCATCTGCATGAACTGGTCAGACCTTCCCCCACCCATGTCCAGCGCGAGGAAATCGTCGCCTCCTCCCCCTCCTCCTGCCCCGCCAGAGCGGTCATCCGGCGGCAAAGCTTGGTATCCTCCTGCCCTCGTCGCGACTTGACCACCCTTGGCTTTTGGATCGTATCCATCATCTGCTCCCGCTGATGCCGGCTGAGAGCGACCCGCAGCTGCAGCAGCCGCTCCTCGTTGTCTCGTTGGGTTGTAGAGGGGCGAATCTGGTCGATGGAGGATTTGCGAGGACGGAGGTTGGCGAGAGCGAAGGACTAAGAATGTGTGAGCGTGAGCTTTGCGCTCCTCTCTTCAAGTAAGATGACCTCTCTAGCGCGGACTCACCTGAGTTGTCCCCTTGCTGCTGCATTCCTCCCGAAGGTCCACCTCCTTGCCCACCGTAGGCAAATTGCTCGGTCCTATCCCTGGCCATCTTCATATTCTGTGTTCTGACCTCGAGTACATCTTGAAATGCTGTAGTTGCACTCGCCAAGTTGCTTTGCAGGAGTGTGACGACGTTACTGCGGTGCTCTTCGAGTCGACCTTTCTTCTGCTGTTGTTGCTGAGCGCCTTTGGATTGGGCTTGCAGGTCTGCAAGCTGCCGATTGATGGCGGCTAGATCGTGCTTGATGATGTAGGTCAGCTCGCTGATCTCGACGGGTCGATCGTCGAAGAGGGACTTCTTCTTGGCCACTATCGTTGGAGGGAAGGGGGAAGGAGTGGTTGCAAGTCAGCTCGACGCCTCAGGCCTGGCTGAATGCTTCAATGTGTGGCGTGGCGACGCTACGCACGCTGTGCCAGTCTCGCAAGCTTAGCTGTCGTATCTGTGATGTCCTTGCCAATTGCAGCAGCCTTTATTGCGAATTCTCCCTTTGTTGGCTGCTTCTTTGCCGCGGCTGAGGACGATGCAGCTGCTGCTCCATTTGGATTGGCAGCGCTGCTGGCTGCCTTGAAGTGGTGTACATAGCTGCGTAGCTCGTTGGTCCTGTCCTTGAAGCTCGTATTCGATGAAGAGGAGCCTGCCGCAGAGTAGCCTGAATAGTAGGACATGATCGGCGGTGAGGCGAGGCGAGGCGATCGTGATGGTTGGGAAGCCGAGATGCGTGGAAAGCGGCCTGGCAAGAGAGAGCGACCGACTCCACTCGAGGCCAATCCAGCGGCGGAGGCGTGGCTTGACTGAGCGCAAGCCAATTTCACACTTTCTTCCTTTGCATCAACACCTCGATCCCATGTCATGACCACAACGATGGCCATGCCCGCAGAGGCAGCCACAACCAACGAGCAGCAAGCTGGTCCTTCACAGCCAGCAAAGAAGACTGCGGCGGCCAAGAAGCGCAAAAACCCATCGGCAGCAGCGGCAGATGCGCCCGCACAGCCCAACACCTTGTTGTTCGGAGGGCATATCGGCACCACATCATCTCATCCACCTCCTCCCGGATGGCTAGGCGCAGGAGGCGGCCATCGTCGCACTCTACCGGAGAGCATCTTGCCATTCAAGCTTCCCACTCGCTCACACGGGCAACCCATCGCCCCAGCCGCCAACGATGACCAAGACTCTTCCTCCTCCTCCTCCTCAGACTCGGACGACTCGGACGACAGCGACCCCGAATCCTCAGCCCGTCGCAAACGTCGTCGAGCCACATCAGCTGCGCATCGCAGCGGTATGCTCCTTAACCAATCACTCCGTCAATCCCGCCTCTTCTACATGGCCTCCCTCCTCCCTCCTCACTCTCACCGTACCAAAGCCGGCCTGCAATTCCCCAACAGCATACCAGAGGAACAGCTCCACGGCATGGTGCCGGCGCAGAAGGGGACGTACAATGTCGTGCCCCTCGGCAAGGTGCAGCTGGAGATTGACCCGCACCTGTTTGCCAATACGCGCATCTTCGAGATGACCAAGGCCAGCCTAGCGCCGCCCGGTGCATCAGGCTCCCCTCCTGTCGCCGGGTCCGGTGGTAGACCTACGCCTCAGGGATCGCCAAAGGAGAAAGGAGCCAAGAAGACTGGACCAAAGGGTGGGAGGAAGAGTGGCGAGCCCAAAGCGCCCAAGGTGTCGAAGAAGGACGCAAAGGCTCAGCAGCAGCAACGGCAGGCAGAGCAGCCAGCTCCATCAGGCATGCCACCCCATATGAGGCCCACCGCGAATGCTTCAGGCTCAGGATCCGGTTCCGGCCCTTCTTCGCCTCTTACAAGCCCACCACCAGCAGATTCTTCCCCACGACCCCCACCCCCTCAGGGCTCTACCTCCTCCTCGTCGAGCAACACTCCTCAACCTCCCACCGCTAAGCAGATTGATCCCAACCTCGTCAATCGCGTCAATGCCAAGGCAGCCAACGATCCGGGACTTCGCGCCCTTCTGCACGTCGCGGCAAAGGGACAGGCTAGTCCTGAGCAACTGAGGGAGTTGGGGCTGGTGATCGCCAAGGTGACGAAGGAGATGGAGGTGGAGGGGTTCAAGGTGCAGACGGGAATGGCGAGGAGTCCGCCTCAAAGTCAGCAAGGGTCTAAACCACCCCCGCCGCTGCCGAAGCCGGGGGGAAGTAAGGAGGGGGAGGATGGGTTGGGGAGCGGGAAAGGCAAGGCCAAAAGCAAAGGGAAGGGGAAGGATAAGGCGATCAAGGAGGAGCAACAGGGAGGGCCAGAGAGTGGGCCGTCGTCCGCCACAGCCACCGAATCTGCGCCAGTAACGAAGCCTTCGAAGCCAAAGAAGGCAAAGGCAGCGGCTGAGACTAGCGAAGGTGCGGCCATCAACACGGCAGCAGCACCTTCTTCAGCTTCATCAGGCGCCGCTGATCGCACGCCAGCAGAGGCAAGCGCTACCACTTCTTCCAACAGCACCAAGACTACGGCAAAATCTGCACGTCCCGCTCCTTCCACCTCATCCTCCATTCGACCACTCGCCGTAACTCCCACGCCTCCACCTCCCAAACCCAACCGACCACCCATCCTCATCGTAGAGTTCCGCGAATCCCTTTCCCATCGATACTACCTACCTGTGCATTCCGCCCTCGTCACACGGACGCTACGCCGGCAGACTCCCTACGCCTCGACTGGGGTGCGAGAGATGATCAGCGGTTTGGGCGATGATGCGGAAGAGATGGATGGAGGAGAGGAGATCGAGGAGGATGGGAGCGTGAGGGAGAGAGGAGGGATAGTGGACGTCGTGGAGACGGAGATGAAGTTTATGGCTCCAGTGAGGGGAAGCGATGCTGCGCAAGCTGGAGCAGGCGTGGGGGAGAAGGGCACAAGAGGGTTCCCCGTGACGATCAGATTCACGGCCGTCGCCCCCTCCAAGGATGAATTTAGGCGCGGGCAGGGTCAGCAGCAAGAGCAACAGCATCAGACCTTGGCGGCTCTGTGGGAGGCTGTGGGGAGGGTACCGGGGGTGACTACAATTGGAGGGGAGGAAGAGGAGAGCAAAGGGCTCAACCATCAGGAGGAGGTGAAAGTAAAAGAAGAGGGCAATGATGCTGCTGCCAAGGCAGATCTTTCGGAGCCGCCACCAATCACCCAGGCATCATCAGAGAGCCGCAGCATGGACGTCGATCGTCCTACCGCTGGCGAGGCGGAAAAGGACGACTTATCTCGAGCCGAGGGCGACGAACAAGAAGAAGCACAACGCCGTGCCCTTGAGCTCAAGGCGAGGCACGAAGCAGAGATCCAGCGCCAGCGCGAGGTAGCACGCAAAGAGGCCGACGACCTTGTACGCCGGGAGAAAGAGCACGTCGCCACCCTCGAGCGCGCCCTTAGTGCAGCCCTTTCACACCTTCCTGCGCCCCTCGCTCTCGACTGGTCAAAGCCCCTCCCTCCAGGTCTCGAGCCCCACCTCACGGACAATTTCGCCCCTCAACTTGGGTCGAGCGTCCAATTCGGTATAGCGGGGCAGGTGGACGGGAGGAGGAAGAACACCAGCATCAATGCGAGTGCGAGCGTTCCGCAGCTACTCGGGGCGGACGAGGATCTCGAAGTCGATGGGGATATGACGATAGCTTCCGCCTCTTCATTCAGTCAAGACGTCTCTCATCCGCCCATCCCTACCGGTCTCACCCGTTCCGGCAAGCCGAAACGTCGCCCTCGCCCTGTGGCGACGCACAATGCCGACGGCTCCTTGAAGCGATGCTCTGCGTGCGGGACGTCTACTACACCGATGTGGCGACGTGGTCCGCTCGGGGTGGGGACCCTTTGCAATGCTTGTGGGGCGCGATGGAGGGCGGGAAGGGGGGGTGATTGGGAGGCTTCGGCGAGGGCTGGTGCGAAAGGGGTGGGAGGAGGAGGAGGAGGAGGAGGAGGAGGAGGAAGCGATGTACCGCCTAGCCAGGAGGTGGGCGGGGAGAAGGAGGGAGATGACGAGCAGATGGAGGGTCAGCCTGGTGTGGTGGGAGCTGAGGAAGCGGAGCAGGGTTGGAGCAGACGATGAGCGCCACTCTCATCCTTGCTAATCTATGTCACTTTGACCATCTACATTCGGGACGTCGCTACGACACTCTGATGCAGGCAGGTACGGTGACCGGCGAAGCTAGGAGTCTCGGATCCCTGGCGGACTGATTCGACCCCGTGGGGAACGAAAATGTCGATGTACACGACCGTGACGCGACGCTTGCTTCTCCTTGCGTGGGTTCCTGTACCTTGACGACCCGGACGCGCCGATTGGCCCTTCTCACCGCTCACCACCTAGCGCGACGTGACGTAGTAGCATCGATCGATCACTACCCGTGGCTTGGCTACGCTGCAAGCCTTGAATCGCCTTACCCTTGCCCGCGTCCCGTACCGCAGGCTGCCTCTTGTTGACGACCGCCTACGTCGGCCTCCTGATCGGACCTGCCAGCCGGAGAGTTCGTCCTCGTCCCGGCGCTCACGATCATGCCCGCGATCGGGGTTGAGGTTGGCTTGGCTTGGCTTGACTTCCGACATGGCAGGAGCAAGCAAGCACAGCAAGCAAGCTCGATCCCTTACCGTAGCTTCGTGAGCACATGTTGACCTTCCACCCAGAGCTTGTCGACCTTCTACGCAGAGCCTCAAACGCAGGCGTAGCGGTCGGCGCGCGCACAACGTAGCTTGGCAGCTTGAGCATACCCACATCTCGAGACGATGCTTACTGACATCCCACAGACGACGCTTACTGAGCGCTCGGCGGGACCGGCGACATCCTTCCCACGGCCGTTGCTTAACCTCACTCAACTTCTCTCTTCGTAGCTTCACGCCACGCCACGCCACGACACGCCATGCCGCGGCCGCGGGCACGCCACAACCCCGCTCGTCGGCATCGACATTCGATCTGGTAAGGTGTCGGAGTCGCGGCTCAATCGGCCGCGGACCCCCGGCCCGCTTGCCTCACACCCAGCTCACCTCCTGCTTCATGGTATTATTCATTCCAATATGGCTGAGACTACACACGACTAGCGCGATTGAAGTGTCCGCTTTCTTTGTTTTCCCACGCTTGCATTGCGTTGGCGCCTCTTGGCCGATGGGTGCTCGCGAGCCTGCCGAATCGCCGTTGACTAGCTGCCGTTGTGGACCTCCTATCTGCTCCTTCTTGCTCTCGATTGGTCGCCGTGATGACAAAAAGGCAGTGCCAGGGGGATTGAGGTAGTGAGTGAGCCAGCGGCGAGGAGGGTCGTGAGACGAGCCACCCCCTCACGTCTCGCTCCCGCTCCCCGTGGGGAAATAGCCCCGCGCCGCTTCGCCGCTCGCCGCTCTGACCGCTCTGTAACCTCTGCTCTGGTTCTGCCCTACCTCCAGGAACGAGATGAGCTCGCCCGGTCCCAGCCTGCCTGAGCTGACTGCCAGATTTCGATTCGGAATTGCAGCCCACACGCGCTCTTCGTCGTCGTCTCTCTCCCCCATCACCCGACCCCGCCCTGCGTGCTGTGCTGCAATGCGACCCACTCGACATTGAGCGTCGAGCGTCTCTTTCTTGGCAGCAACGACGCTCTCGCCGCACAAAGACGACATCGACGATGCTACTGACTGACTCGATCGCGCGTGGCTTGCGGCCTCTAATCCTTCTTTTTTCCTTCTTGCGCATACGTCAGCACTACTGAATTGCGTTGAAGCGGCGATCAAGGAGCGACAACACGGGTGCAGGGCAACCAAGGTGCGGTGAACGAAGAGCAAGTGAGTGGTGAGTGCCGCGGAATCCAAAATGGGTCGGCGGCAGTGTCTTAGCGCGAGTCATCGTCGTGCGGCACTGGAGGAGAGAATGCAAGCCGGACCTTGGCACCCAATGAAGACGAGGGCGGAGGGCTGAGTGTAAGGATCGGCAAAACAAGACCAGAGGAGCGCCGGCTTTACGACAGTCAGTCTCGCGCTCGCTCGCGCCCGCTCCGCATCGAAAAGAAGCAGCTTGCAGGCGCAGGGACGAAGGAGATGGCGCTCGTTTGTAGTCGTCTGATGCTCGCGAGCCCACCCCCGGATCCAGTTTAGCGCGGTCGGTGCCCCGCGCTTGCCCTCGCTATCTCCCTCACCCACGCTCTCGCCCGTGTGTCTGTCTCGTCGCTACTCTTGTTGCGGCGGCGGATCGCCCGTCTCATCGCCGGTTGCCCTCTCGTAGCTCAGCCGGTCCATCAAAGTTGAGGACGGCGACACCGGCACATTAGACGAGAGACGAGAGGGGTGAACACCACGGAGGAGGGGAGGGGCAGCGCTGCCGCCACGGCCGCTGCAGTCAAGAACACCGAAGGGAGGAGCCGCCCGCCCGCTTTTGATCCGGAGGCAAAAGAGGGGTGAAAGAGTGGGTCAGCTGTGCCTACTTAAGAGCCGCCCGTATCGGACAATGAGGTAGTTGCTTTGCCCCCACATTGCTCCCTTTCCCCACGCTTTGCCGTCTTACGTGTCGTGACAACCCGTCCGTCCGTCGTCGTCTCCTCTAGATCGATAGACGCAGCAGCGTGTAGCATCCCTTTCTCAGTACTATCCTCCTCGTCCCACCCTCTCGCCACCTTACAAAACCAACGCCGAGATGGGATACAAGAACACTGGTAGCGATGGCTACCCGACCTTCTTTGGTCTTTCTGGCGTGCCTCTGAGCCGCATGATCGGATTTGCTGCGGGTGCCGGTTTCGTGAGTGCGAGTGGCGTGATGGCCCAGAGATAGCATAGAGTGGCGCTGACCGTGATAACGCCTCGTCCCCCTGCCAGCTCCTCTTTGGTTATGATCAAGGTGTCATGGGAGGTCTACTGACGCTCCCTTCCTTCACCGAGACGTTCCCTTCGATCGACACGTCCGGACAAGACGGAACCTCGTACGCTTCTACCCTCCAAGGTGTGACCATCGGTCTCTACGAGATTGGCTGCTTCATGGGCGCCATCTCCTGCCTCTGGCTCGGTGACAGTCTCGGTCGTCGTCCTGTCATCTGGATCGGAACGATCATCATGATCGTTGGCGCCATCATTCAGTGCTCGTCCTTCTCTCTCGCCCAGCTCATCGTCGGCCGTATCGTCACCGGTGTCGGAAACGGCATGCACACGGCCACGATTCCCGTTTGGCAGTCAGAGTGCTCGCCCCCTCACAAGCGCGGTATGCTCATCATGATCGAGGGTGCTTTGATTACTGGCGGTATCTGCATGAGCTACTGGATCGACTTTGCCTTCTACTGGATCGACCCCTCGAGCCGTGACAGCAGCATTACTCGCCAGGACCTTGCTGGTCCCAACTTCCCTCACGCCTCGGCCGCTTGGCGTGTGCCCGTCGCCTTCCAGATCTTGCTCTGCATTCCCACCTTCATCACAATTTGTGAGTGCGAGAAGGCTAGGGGAGTAAGCGACGTGACGCGTAGTTTGCTGACCATTTGCCTGCTCCCCCACTCGCACGCGCAGGGATGCCCGAGTCGCCTCGTTGGCTCCTACTCCGCGGCCGTGACGATGATGCTCGAGCCGTCCTTGCCTCGCTCGACCGCTTGCCCGTGGACGACGCTCTCATCGACCTCAAGGTACAGGAGATCAAGGACTCCATCGCCGACGCTTCCGGCGTGGGCGTCATGGACCTCTTCAAGCAGGGCAAAGAGCGCAACTTCCACCGTACTGCGCTTGGGTTCGTCATTCAGATGTTCCAGCAGATCTCCGGTATCAACCTCATCACGTACTACGCCGCCACCATTTTCGAGAACAACATCGGCATGTCGCCACTCGTCTCGCGTATCGTTGCCGCAGCCAACGGAACGGAGTACTTTGCCGCGTCATGGATCGCCGTCTACACCATCGAGAAGTTTGGTCGTCGCAACCTGATGATCTACTCGGCTTTCGCAATGAGCTTCTGCATGGCCATCCTTGCCGGTACCACATCGCCGGCGGCGCTCAACCCCGTGGGAGGCGTTCCCGACGCCAAAGCCCAGAACAAGAGCCCCGCCTACGCGGCCACCGTCTTCCTGTTCTTGTTCAACACCTTCTTCGCCATTGGATGGCTCGGAATGACCTGGCTCTACCCTGCTGAGATCACTCCTCTTTCGATCAGAGCCGCCGCCAACGGAATCAGCACGTCCGCCAACTGGCTCTTCAACTTCATGGTCGTCCTGGTCACGCCCGTAGCCTTCGCGACCATCTACAATCGCACCTATATCATCTTCGCCGTGATTAACTTCGCCATGGCCATTGCAAGCTGGGCTATATTCCCAGAAACAGCGGGTCGCTCGTTAGAGGAGATGGATGGCATCTTTGCGCAGGCTTCGATTTTGAACCCTTACGACGTCGTCCGCATCGAGAAGAACACGCCGCGCCGATACGACACTTCGGGCAATTTGCTTGCTTACGACAATATGCTCTCCGAGGAGGGCAAGGTTCCCTCTCGCGGCGCCGAGAACGAGAAGAACGACGCCGTAGCTCACGAGACGGGGTCGGCGAGCTCCTCTCACTGATCGAGCGCGTGTTCAAGATACCCATCCTTCCGCCCTCGCGCAGAGCGGCATTTCTCTGATCTTCCGACTCGTTTATGTCTTGAGCTTGTCTCTATCCCTCTCTCTCCCCTCCTACCTCATGTACAACTCCTTGTCTACGAGTCGAAGAGCAATCTTGAACCTCGATGATCTCAATGAACGCGGCGAGAATTAAGAAGTCGGACGCGAAAGGCGAGTGGCTCGTGCACGCTAGCGAGCGGACTGCGTCGCGTGGCTTTTGAGCGCCCCAGCCGCCCAATCAGCTCCCGCGTAGGTGTTGTCGAGCTGGCCGGTCGCTCAGCCTTTCTCCTTTCCTTTCATCCGCCCCATCCTTGCAATCATCACCGGCAACATGAGGCGACGTGGACGATGGCGGCGTGGTACTCCCATTCTTCAGTTTTCAAGATGCTCACTTGAATAGCAGCGCAACCGCGTCTCCTCCAGACACGCCCATTGCTCCACAAATAAGTGCTTAGCACGAAATCCCACCACCCAACACCGGCTCCTCCTCCTCCTCCTCCTCCTCCTCCTCCTCTTCACCACCATCCCGATGCCCTTCGCGACGGCGACTGGTGGCTCCGCCAGAGCGAGCTATCCTGCAACTCTTGGGTCGGCGGAAGCCTTCTCCACGGCGGTCCGAGTCTGATGGGTGCGGGCATTTACCTTGGCATTGTCTTCAAAGATGGGTTGCTCGCAGAGTGGTACCTGGGCAGGACGGGTTGCATTCACTACCGCTTCGTGGAGCACTTCGTCGACGCGTTCCTCAAGCTCACGAGGAACCACTTTTACGACGCGGCTCGCCAAGGCGACTATGTGCTCATCTTCCCGCTGTACCACGACCTCTCGCCTGAGCGCCTTGACGCGGCGGCATGGCAGCAGCGAGCCACCCTCGAGAGCATCTGGGCGACCCTGCTCAACAGCTTCGAGGCCCGCGAGCAGAGATACAGGGGCAACACGGTGGACGTCAACGCGTCGTACCGGGCCTTCCGCCAGAAGTTCGGCCTGGTTGAGCTGGCGGGCGTGCAGGGCGGCAACAACACTCCGTGCTTCGAGGCTCCGGAGATGGAGAAGAGCAGCGAGGAGGTCTGCAAGGGGCACCGCGGCCACGTCCAGAACAAGGACCTGCTCGTGGACATCGGTCGCGAGAGGCAGTACAGGCAGAGGCTCCTTCCTGCCACCGCCAATGGCGACGCCCTCGGCCACCTGCGTCTCCTCATCCTGCACTTTGCTGCCGACCGCGCCTTCGTCATGACGCTCTCGGCGCTTCTCTTCAGCACTGGCCTCGAATGGCGCCACCCAAAGGACAACAAGAGGCAGCCAGCGTTCCTCGTCAACACCATTCTGGAGCGCAATGCCTACCGTGAGGCAGTCGAGGTCTTCAAGACGGGCGTATGGAGGTTTGTGCTGACAGACGGAGAGCCCAGCTCGCTCCCCTGCGTGCCCTTGCTACAGAGGCCCTTGTTCGACAACCTGCTTCTCGTGGCGATCGCCGACGGCATGGACAAGGAGGTGCCGTTCCACTAGTGGAAGAGTCCCTCGTCGCGCTCCACCTTGGACCTGTGGCACGTGTTCCTCAGCGCCCTCCCCCGCACCAGACTCAACGCCAGGGTCGAGGCACAGAAGGAGCTCATCCGCTGGAGCGAAGCGGACCGACCTCCTGCCGCAGAGTGGGCCAAGATGAGCAAGGCGCACCAGAGGGCGTGGGACGGCTTCTGTCTCATCAGCGGACAGGCCCACATCCGCTTCCATGACGTAGAGATCGTCTGCCTGCGCCCGGCCGACGAGCGAGGACCAGTCGGAGATGCCTTTCGCGCTCGCGCGGGGATGGTGAGGGCGTACGAGTGCAAGCCCAACATCCTCCACGCAGCCTGCCCCATCAAGTTCGGAAATCGTGGGAGCGGCAAGAATCCTGCGGTCGAGCTCGGCAAGAAGCACGTCGCCGCCGAGCCACACTGGACGGCCACGGTCTTGCCCATCGGCGCCACCTCCTTCACCAGCTGGCAACATCTAAGCTTCGAAAGCCAAGCAAACCACAAGACATCTACCTGGCGGCCCCTTCACGACGCCATCGACGCTTGGAAGGCCTTTGATCGTGCGTCTGGCATGCACGTCGACGCCGACCTCCCCAGCCTCTTCCGCGGCGAGAAGAAGGCGCTGCTTCCGTCAACGTTGCCCAAAGTCCTCATTGGGCGCAAGCTCACGAAGTGGACCGGAGGTGGAGCTTTCACATACGCTAAGTACGTCAAGGGGAAGCAGCAGCACTTCCGCATCATCTGCTCGGCAGAAGAGTGCGGGAGGCTGCTTGGGGGGCCGTGGCAGTATCCATTCGACTCGCAGCAAATTTATGTACGCCTCACGGGGGCCGGACTGGACTGAAGAGGCAGAGGGAGATGGGCATGCTGGTCAGCCCAGACGGGGATACGTGGTGGCCCAAGGATGACTTCGCGCCCGGCTCGGTCAACTCAGCTCGAGCTTTCGACTACAACAAGACGTTCAGGGCAGAGCACGAGAAGAAGTCGCGCGGCGAGCCGCTCTCGGACAGCGTCCGAGCCAAAAAGCTGCTCTCGCACGAGGCTGAGTCGGCCCGCGAGGCGAAGAATGTCACTGCGGAGGACGGCGGCAGCGGAGGAGAAGGGGATGCGGCAGATAAGGCTGGGGGTGTGGTGCCCGAGGGGCAGGCCTAGGACAGGTTCGCGGAGAGGTGCGCGGAAGAGTTCTACTTCAACGAAGTAGACATGCAGTGGCTGAGCTTACACCTCAAGGACGACTTTGTCATCGTCAACGCCGACGATCTGCAGCACTCCCTCGTCTTCCCGGGGGGACCAAACCCTCAAGGACGCATCGGCCTCATCTTCTCCTTCAACGCGCGCCTCTGCGTTGACCGCAGCGTCCACGACGGCGCTCAATGCTTCCATCAAGCAGTCAATTTCTCTCGCGATACCGTAGCTTCTATAACGAATATCTGGGAGTGCACAATCGAAACCGAAACGTCCTCATGATTCTATTGCGTGTGCTTCCTCTGCTACCCATGAGGTCTCTCTGCTGTGGTCTGACAGACTGCAATCCATGCTTCAATTGGACCACTATCCTATGCGTGACCCGTGATTGATTGTAGCGCCGTTGCCACCGTGTGGTCAATGCAACGATCGCAAACTCCTCACCGTAGGCGGACTCGCCCAACAACGTGGCCCAGTCCGCCTCAGCGCGTGCTTTCGCGATTTTGGATTGGTTGGTCTCGACGACTCGGCGGCGCTCCCCATTCTTCCCAACCAACACCACCATAATCCGCCTCGCCATGGAGCAGCAGCTGGCGGACTGCCTCTCCGGCACCATATCACCCGATGGCGCCGTACGAGCACAAGCAGAGCGCTCCCTCCTCTCCCTCCACGCCAATCCAGCATGTGGACTCGCTCTCTGTCACCTCGTCCTAGCGCAGGAGGCTCCCACCGACCTACGCCAAGGAGCGGCTCTGTCGTTGCGCAAGTGGATTCGCGAACGATGGTCTCCACTCAGCGAGAGCTTCATTGGCTTCGAGGACGGTAGACCAGTCCAATCCCAGGATAAGGCTCCCGTGCGACAGGCATTGCTGCAGACCTTGTCCCAGCCGGAGCGCAGATTGCGAACCGCAGCGGCCGCTTCACTCAGCATCGTCTCCTCGTCCGACTGGCCGGACGAGTTTCCTGAGCTCCTGCCTACCATCCAGTCCCTGCTTCACGTCGAGGGTACGGTAGACGAGACGACCAAGAATCGCGTACATGGAGCCCTCGTCTTCCTCACCGAGTTCTGGAGCGCCGAGATGGATGAGAGGCAGATCTTGGGGGGAACAAAGGACATGCTGCCCTTGATTGAGGCCGTGCTAGCAAATGCAGAAGTGAGATCGCGATGTCATGACCGCATGGCCGCAACCGCTAACATTTACTCCTCGCCCGCCCGCACAGTTCTCGCCATCATTACGCGCCCGCTGCGTCTCGATCTTCCGTCAACTCCTCTCTTCCCTCTACATGGTCCGAGACGTCTACCCAGACGCGGCCAAGTCAATAGCTAGCGATGTCCTTCCACGATGGCTGGCAGCTCTCGATGGGCTCACCGGTCACGACCTCGCCGCGCAACTCTGCAGCGAGACTATACCCGTAGACGACCGGCTGGGCCAGATGACCCTCGTGAACGAGGTGTGGCGAACTCTCAAGATTGCGGGGCATTTCCGAGCGCAATTCAAGGGCAGGCAGGTCGAGCTCGTGCAAAGAGCAATTGAGATCCTCGGCCAGCTCGAACAGCCTTTCTCCGTCTACTACCTTGCACCAGACGCAGAGCCGCTCGACGGCAGCTCGTCCCCGGACGAGTCCAGCCTCGCTACCCTTCCCAACCTCCTCTGCAGTCTCGTTGACTTTTGCGCCGAGTCAATACGCGGTGATCGTGCGCGTAGTCTACTGATAACCGAGCAAGGACCGACGGAAACTCTGCGGGCTATAATTGGGCGCCTCGTGGGCTTTGCGCGGGTGACCAACGAGGAGGAAGAGGAGTGGTCGTCAGACGCGAATGCGTTCGTGATGGCTAGCGACGAGGATGGAGTAGAGTACGGACTGCGAGTCGCCTGCGCGGATCTGGTACAGGACCTTCTCGATGCGTACCCTCGCCCGACCCTCGAGTGTCTGGGAAGCAGCGTCAACCAAGCCGCCTCTGCTCAAGGATGGAAAGATACAGAAGCCGCCCTCGCAGTGCTAGGCGGGGTGGGCGAAGAAGTGCGGGACATTCTCTCTAGCTCGAACTCTCCTTCACCACTCGACCTGGAAAGCGTCTTCAACGCAGCCGTCCTTCCCAATGTGCAACGACGTTCCCACCCTCTCCTCACCGGTCGCGCCTACATCTTCGCCTCGCAGTACGCGTCTGCACTACCCGCGGAAATGGCTCAGCAGTTCGTCGATGCGGCCGTGCAGGCATTGGAGGCTGAGGACATGGGAAGCGCAGAGGAGACGCTGATCATCAAGTTGAGCGCGGTGAGGTGTATCAAGAAGTGATTTCGCTCGCGTCGCAGCGTGGCTACGGAGGAGACCCTTGCTGACCCACATCCTCGCACTTCGAGCACAGCTTCTACCGACAACTTCCCTCATCACTCCTCTCTCCCTTCACCAACCGCATCATCGCCCAGCTCGGTCCACTCCTCTCCCAGACAACGGAGGACACCCTCATTCTCGTCCTCGAAACGATCCACTGCGTCGTAGGCGAGGACGATAGCGGCGACTCTTCTACCGCCGCATCGCACGTCAGCCCCTCAACCTTCGCCGACATCACCCGCGCGGGGCTGCACACTTGGACGACAAGGCCAAGCGATTATATCCTCGTATCGGTCGTTTCGGACCTCATCGAGTCGCTTGCGAAACACAAGGCGCCGGGCGTGGCGAAGGAAGTAGTGCAGGCTGCGCTGCCGATGCTGAGCGGGGCAATCAGCTCGGCCGCTGCCCAAGACGGCGCAGTCGCAGCGTCGGTGGAAGAACAGCAGCTCCCACTCCTCGAGTCGGCCATTGGGCTGGCAGAGGCGCTCCTCAAGGGCGCACCAGCAGAGGTGGTCACCGAGACTGGCTGTGTGGCCCAACTTTGCGGCCCTATTCTTACAGCCTTGCAAGGGAGCGAAGATCGAGACGTTCTCCAAAATGGGATTGGAGCTCTCACGCAGCTCGTGCGCAAGGCCCCCTCCCACGTAGAAGCATGGCAAGGCTCAGGGCAAAGCGCCGTGGACCACTTCCTTTCCCTCCTCTCCCGCCTGCTCATCCTCGACTCCGAGTCCGGTGGCCTGAAAGTAGGAGACTTCACCATTGCCCTCCTGCGCAAGATGCCGAGCTCGATTCTCAGCGTCCTCCCTGCGCTACTGGAGGCAATGATCCGCAGACTGGCAACGGCGAAGACTGCCACCTTTGCTCAGTCGTTGATCCTGCCGTTTGCGTTCCTGATGAGGGACCAGTGCGGGACAGTGCTCGATCTATTGGAGGGGATGCGCGTACCTACAGAGGAAGGCGGAGAGGTGAGCGGATTGCAGGTTCTGGCAAGCAAGTGGGCAGAGAACGGCGAGACGATCCAAGGGTACTGGGCACAACGTCTCTCCACCGTTGCCCTCACACGCTTGCTCGAGAGCGGGCGTCCCTCATTGCAGACAACGATGGTGCAAGGCGAGCCGATCCCGGACGACTCGAACCTCATTCGTACGCGCTCACGGGCCAAGGCTAGGCCGCAGCGCTTCACGAGTGTCCCGCTAGGCGTCAAGGCATTGAAGATGTTGCTGGCCGATTGGGAGCATGCCACGCGTGGTCCGCCGGGTACGTTCCCACGGGAGAGAGACGAGGAGGCAGAGGCGGCTGATACGGACGACGAGGATGATGAGTGGGACGATGAGCCCTCATCCTCTGGCAATGCAAAGAAGACGCAGGAGGACCTCTTCCTTTCCGACCTGCTCGACTCTAACCTGGACGACCTGGCCGCAGGGCTGGATGAGGACGATGATGATGGAGATGATCTGAGGGACGACGAGGTGTACAATATGGATATGAAGGCGTACCTGCAGGACTACTTTGGGAGGTTGGCCCAAAGTCCTCAGGCGGGCATTTGGGGTCAGGGGTTGGGGAGGGAGGAGCAGGAGAGGTTGGGGGCGATCTTGGCGGGAGGGAGGTGAGAGGGAGCGAGGGCTCAAGGGGTCGGGGTACGGGTCAGTATATATCTCGCCGCCATCTGTCCTACTTTTGCATCTTTGCAAGCACACGTAGATTTTGATCCGCAACGCGTTCGTGGCACTGCGTGAGGCAGCCAGCAACCTTAGATGAGTAGGCTGCGGTGGTCGAATCTCCCAGATAGCGGAGCTCAACAAGCGAGGCTGGCTTTGCGTCATACCAAGCAGCATTGCGAGTGATGATGTTACACATTGCGAGCCGATGAGTGGCCAATCAACAATGAACGGTGTCTACTCTCTTCCTCCTCCTTCTGCTGCCTACATCTAGAGACCGGGGGGTGCAGCTTGTGTCCTCTGCTGCTCGAGCTTGTTCTGGCGGGGTTCGACAGCAGCATGGATATCAAAGTCAGCTCTGGTCTACAATGGCTGACTCAGGTCTCTCGCACCACCAACTCACCACCAGGAAGATGCTCGTGTCAAGGAAGCGCTCGACGCAGTTGGAGAGGCACTCCTCTTCGCCGCGACGGAAGGACGTTGAGATGCCTCCGGTGATGCACTGCGAGATAAGGATCAGTGCCAGAGTCAGCTTCAGTGGCTTCGCTCGTTCATCTTGTCGCTATGCGCTCACCTTGTCCCAGCACATCGAGGTGAAGTTCCTTTCAACGTGGGTTCGCCTTTGTAAGCTGCTGCGCCTGAAACCTCACTCATGCTCCCTTTCGCCACTCACTGGATGCTGCTCTGCACCCTAGCCTTGGCTTGCTCTCCCTCGAGGAAAGACTGAAGCTCCTTCTGATCCTCGCCGCTGAGTCCTGATGATGACATAGTCGCTGGAATTGATCGAGAGGTTGTGGTTGGTGGACCGGAAGTGAGAAGATGGCCGCTCTCACTCGCCTCAGAGTGGAGCCGTCTGAGACCGGAGCCGCGGCACCCGAGCGAGCGGGCGGGCTGAGGAGAGGAGGAAGCAATGCGGGCTGGGCGAGGAAGAAATTTGAGCAGGACAGAGAGAGAGGCGAGAGGCACGGGCGAAGGTGCGCCTTCTCTCCTTTCCTTCGCTCCCAACAATGTCATCATCACAGCGCGCCGTCTCTGGGAGCTCAAAACGAGCGGCTGCAGATGTAGAGGGGGAGGCCTCGTCATCAAGACCAAAGGTGGGAGGTGAGCAAGATGCCCTGGCAAGGGCTGGCCAGGACGATGAGGGCATGGGCGAGTTCGAGGACCAGTATGAGGATGAGCTCGAGAGCGAGTCCGGTGACGATGGCGAGGCAGCCGAGCCGGGCATGGAGATTGATGGTGTACCTGTAGATGGAGAGATTCAACGACCAGACGAAGACGAGGATGAAGCGCAAGAAGACGAGGCGCAAGTCTATCTTCCAGGCGACAAGCTAGAGGAAGGTCAGACACTCGAGCCAGATCAATCCGCCTACGAGATGTTGCACCGCCTCAACGTCACTTGGCCCTGCCTTTCCTTCGACCACTTGCGCGATCACCTCGGATCAAATCGTGCCAAATTCCCGCACACGGCCTACCTGGTCGCCGGCACCCAGGCGGATGTTGCCAAGAACAACGAGCTTATGGTCATGAAGGCTAGTGGGATGCACAAGACCAACAAGGACGGAGGTGAGTACGCGTTACGAGACTTGGCAGTGGACCGCTCTTCGTCGCAGTGATGCTTGAGGCATTTGGCTGTATGCGCGAGTATGCTGGGCTTCGGCCTGGCTACTCGTTAGCGATGCCGAAAATATCTCGCTACCTTTTTACTTTGTCTGAGCAAACGAAGCGGTCCACGAGTACGGCAAGGTCAAGAAACAATTGAGCAGCCCGCTGACTCTACGTCGCCCTCTCTCGCTGGACAGCCACATCGGACGATGAAGACGACTCGGACGACGATGAAGACAACCTAGATGACGATGCCATTCTCGAGTATCGCTCCATCCCAGTCCTCGGCGGCATCAATCGCGTGCGCGCCGCCCCCACTTCAACACCCACGTCAGACCTGGAACCCTGCCTTGATCCATACCCCGTGGCCGCATGGTCCGAACTTGGCAAGGTCCACATCTACGATGTTCGTCCCCTCTTCAACGCTCTCGACCAGCCTGGTGCTCAAATCGACAAGCGCAAGGCACACACGCCCATGTACACCGTCGAGGCGCACAGAGGCGTCGAAGGCTACGCCATGGACTGGGCAGGCATGGCAGGGCCCTCAGGGACATCTAGCGGTGGCAAGGCCTCGAGTCTTCGCCTCCTCACCGGCGACATCCATTCGAACATCTATCTCACCACGTCAAACAACAGCGGCTTCGTCACCAACCCTACGCCCTTTACCTCTCACACTTCCTCGGTAGAGGACATTCAGTGGTCACCAAACGAGACAACCGTCTTCGCCTCGTGCTCAGCAGACTGCTCCGTTCGCGTTTGGGATGTGCGTGTCAAGTCTCGCAAGTCGGTCTTGACATTGGAGAAGGCGCACCCGCAGGATGTAAATGTTATTAGCTGGAATAGGAGCACGGACTACCTGCTCGTCTCAGGTGGCGACGAAGGTGGGCTCAATGTGTGGGATCTGCGAAATTTCAAGGGTCAGACAGGCAGCTCAGCGAGCAAGCCATCAGCAGTCGCCTCCTTCCAGTGGCACACGGCGCCCATCTCCTCCGTCGAATGGCATCCCACCGAGGAGTCCGTCTTCGCCGCCTCAGGGCGAGACGACCAGGTCTCTCTCTGGGACCTGGCGGTGGAGCACGACGATGATGAGGCTGGTGGAGCAGGAGCGGAGCGCTACGGACCGGATGGGAGGGAAGTGCCCAGTCAGCTCTTGTTCTGCCATCAGGGTCAGAACGATATCAAGGAGGTGCATTGGCACCCGCAGATTCCTGGCGTGCTAAGCACTACGGCGTTGAGTGGGTTCAACATCTTTAGGACCATCTCCGTTTAGGGCGTGCGTGAGCGCCATTGTACTTCGTAATAGCCATTGCCTGTCTATCATGTTTTGACCCTCATCGCCGTGAGATTGAAGCGTCGTCGTAGCCGCGAGTGAACGCATCGCCCTCCTCCTGCAGGCGGGCGGCGGACTGAGGGTCAGATGGCTTGAATTTGGTCGGGGTCGCGCTCGCTTGCTCCTTGGCTTCCTCCCTTCCACTCCATCCACACCTCATCATCACCCTCGCCCTCACCCTCGCGCAACGATGTCGCAACGCATCGAGAAGGGCGCACCGCGCTTCAAGCCGGGCATGGGTGCTGGTGGTCCGCCCAAGCGCAAACAGCTAGGCATGACAGGCGGGCGTGCTCCCATTGCGCCTCCAGCTGGAGCGGCGAGGAGGACTCCGGGAGCCATGTCCCCTCCCCCTGTAGCGCCTGCGCAGATTGCTTCATCCCCTGCCACTCATCAGCCCACAAGAAGCTACGCGCACGCCGCACCCACCACCTCGTCATCATCAGCAGCAGGCGGTACGGCTGGCTCACGCGCATCCGCCACCACTGGCCCTTCCTCTGCCGGTGGGATAAGCTTCAAAGCTCCTACGCTCAAGCCTCGCACTCCTGGCACAACCGCCGGGAGCGCTTTTACACCCCGAGCGCGCCCTACGCCTACTCCCTCCGTTGTAGACGACGAGGGAGCCAATCAGACTGCCACGCCTGTCCCGTCTGAGGGTCGACCTAGGACGTCCTTCGCTCCGGGGTCGAGCTCCATGTTTGCGCCCAGGGCTCAGGCTCCAGCTGCAACCAACAAGGCACCTTTGGGATCGAGAGCATCTGCTGCTGGATCGCCGCCTCCTCTTGCGGCGACGGCTGGACGTCAGAAGTCGGCCACTCCCCTGGCTAGAGCAATGGCAGCATCGCCTCCTCGCAGCGAAGCGATCCCACCAGCTCAAGGGCAGAGACAGGCAGAGGCGGGGCCTTCGACGGCGGCAAGCAAGGCCATGTCGCCTCCTCCTCCTCGATCAAAATCATTCGCACCAAGGGCAATGTCCCCGCCAGCTGCTCGCTCAGCTTCCTTCGCCCCTCGAGCAATGTCCCCTCCAAGGCCAAGCCAAGTGCAGCCTGCGCCCTCAGTGATGGTGCCTCCTCAGCTGCCTCCCTCTGCTTCAGCCTCGACCTCAAAAGCCAGACGCACGAGCAATGAGAACGACGACCAAGCCGAATCTCAGGTCGCCTCGTCGGCCGATCCTAGCCAACCCTCGGCACCCAAGCGCCAATCGCTAAGCCAGAGCACCTCTGCTTCCCAAGTTCCCCCGTCCTACCCCAACAAGCCTCCCCAACCCTACTTCCTCTTTCAAGCTGAGCGTCGCCCCGCCCTACGACAGGAACACCCGCAAGCCTCAATGTCGGAGCTATCGAAGCTGCTCGGCGCGGAATGGAAGGCGATGTCCTCAGAGGGAAAGGATCAGTTCAAAAGGCTACACGCCGAGAAGACGCGCGAATTTGAGACTCAGGTAGAAGAGTGGATTAGTCAGAACCCGGAGCAGGCTTCGCAAATGAGCGAAAAGCAAAAGGGAAAGAAGAGGACGAAGCCGAGTGCAATATTGCCTGAAGGGGTGGCGCCTCCTCCAAAGAAGGCGCCCTCTGCGTACTTCCTGTTCGCTCAAGGGTGCAGGGAGAATGCCAAGGAGGCAGCAGCGGCTGAGGCGAGGGGCTCGGATGCGGATGATGATGACAACGAAGCTGCAGGGGAGAGCAGCACGGCCAATGGCAAGACCAAGAAGAAGAAGCGCCGTCGCTCTAGCACCTTAGGTCCCGGACCCAGCGCTCGTGAGATAGGCGACAAGTGGCGTCTCCTTCCCCTCGAGGAGCGTCAGACCTACCTTCACCAAGCCAAGCAATATCGCATCCGGTACAAGCGTGACCTCTCCGCCTGGCGTCAGGAGCACCCCGAGGTCGCAGCGCAGCTTGGCTTGCACGAGGACGGAGACGATGAAGACGATGGAGCAGAAAGCGAAGTCTCCGAAGGCGGCACACATCATCGCCGCAAGAAGCGCAAGCGTTCCGCTGCGAAGCACAAGAATACCGCGTCAGATGATGAGCGGGAGTACCAAGCCCTCGTTGCCGAGCATGGTCCCTCTCTCGCCGCTACGCGCCTGGACGCCTCCTCAACCATGATGACTGACATCGCAGGGGACGGCAATGACTACAATTCCAAACGTGGCCGTGCGTCGGATCGCACATTTGAGCTCGACCGTATTCGCGAAGGCCAACTGGCAGAACAGCGCGCGGCCCGTAATGCAAACAAGCAAAGTCTCGAGGCGGTGAGGAATGAGCTGAAGGAGCGGCTCAGGCGCGCCAGAGAGGGTGAGAGGGTCGAGCTGCCCACCCGAGAGGAGGCTGAGAGGAGGAGGGAGATGGTGGAGCAGGAGCGCTCAGCAAATGGAGATGAGGATGAGGAGGACGTGGAAGACGAGCTTGGCGGCCGACCACAGGACCGCCGCAGGCAGCAAGAAGCCTTCACCGGTGTCGGGGATCTGGACGCCACCAGTGCAAGTGGAGCAATTAGCGACCGCGAAGGGGATGGGGACGAGGAGGAGGTAGAGACCCTGGATGGCGGGGGAAGCACCAGCGCCCGTCGTCCCAGCAACGCCGGCACCGATGCCGCCTCTGACGCTGGCTCAGCTCGCACAGCAACGACGATGGGCACCCATCACTCGCTCCGCGAGAATGCCCAAGCCCCTCAAATGCGCATCGTCGACGGTCAAATCGTCGTCGACCAATCCTCCCTCACCATCAATCGTAACGAGGAGACCATCTTCGAGGAAGCGGACATGGTGGAGGAAGTGGCAGGACACCGCTTCGTCAATTCTGCCACACACTCCAAACGTGGTCGTCTCACTGCAGCCGCCAATGCCACCAATGGCAAAGGTGCCGCAGCCACAGCGACAAAGGCAGCCGCGGCAGCCGCAACGGCCAAATGGTCTGCGGGGGAAACGGACGAGTTCTACCGCGCCGTCTCTATGTGGGGGACCGACTTTGAGATGATCTCTCGGATGTTCCCTGCGCGTACTCGAAAGCAGATCAAGGCGAAATGGACGCGCGAGGATAGGGCCAACCCGCGCAAATTGGACGACGCATTCAGGAGGAAGGTGAGCGTCAAGCTGGACGAGTATGCGCTTATGGCCAACGTGGATCTGAGCGGTCCAGCGCCGGAGGTCAAGGTTGAGATGCGACCACAGGAGAAGAAGGAGGAGGAGGAGCCCGATGAAGACGTGGTAGACGAGGGTGAAGAGGGAGGAGACGCGGGAGCGAAGAGTCGCAAAATCAGTCAAACGCCAGACCCGCTCGCGTCTGGAAGAGGACGTCGTGGCTCTTCGGTCGCCTCTGCCCGCTCGGGCACTGCTGGTGCTGGAGGTGATGCTGGGCCCAGTCGCTCCAGTCGCCATCGCAGCGCTGCGTCGGATGCGGATGATAGGCAGGAGAGAGAACGCAGGCGTCGCAGGAGGGAAGAGGCCGAAGCTGGGCCAGACGAGGAAGAGGTGGTGGATCTGCCCAGCGATATGTAAGGCAGGGCGGGAAGAAGAGACAAGAGGCAATATCACAAGATATCCAGTCATAGACTACAATCCAGCCATTTCATTTCATTCTTCTCGCCTGCCCTTCTCCCTCACTTCACTATCGCCTTCTGTTTCGCCTTCTCCCTCTCCTTCTCCGCAACGGCAGCATTATGCCTCCTAACAACCTCCTCGACCCTATCATCCGTCTTTGCCCCTCTCCTCCTCCAGATCTGCAGGTACGTCTCCTGCAAGAAGAGCATCTGACGATTGACTTCTTCAACGAAAAGATCCTGCATTTGAAACCATCGCTCTCCACCTTCCACTCCTTGCTCTTGAACAGCATCGTTACCATTGCTGGCTTGAGCGTCAGAGGTGCCAGCTGCCGTGTGTACCTGGGCACGCCATACGCTCTGCTCCCTCACTGTTCCCGGGGCAGCCTCGTGCGTTACATTCGCCACTAGGTCGTACAGAGTAGCCAAGCTGGCCTCACCGGCTCCAGCGTCGTCCGCATAGTCGGCTAGATCCAAGCCTTTAGAGGGAAAGTGGACAATTGTCGGATTGCGCTCCTCGACAAAATTGTTCCTCGTGAAGCGCCTGAAGTGCAGAACTACGTAGGGAGGGAGACGAGCAATCTTGTATCGTCGGATCATCCCGCGAGCTTCTTGGAAGGAGACGCCGTCGTATTTGGCGAGCAGAGATGCGATGGAGACTTGAGGGATGATGTTCTTCTCCTGAGCGTCCTGGAATACCGGTGGTGGGGGGAGATCCAGCGCGAGTAGGAAGAACGGGGAGCGAGCGACCTGAACGTCACGGGTGAGGTTGAATTTGGCATTGCCGTGCTCGTCCTCTTGTCCACCCTCTTTGCGCCCATCAGAGTCTAGCTTGTCCACAGCTTCTTGAGGCAAATCATCATCTGCCTCCAGTCCCGTACGCACGTACACCTTCTGACTTTCTATGCGGACCTCCCCTTGGAAGCAGGTGGAGACGACGCTCGGCCTCTTCCTGTGTTGGTGGGTGAGGTCCATGTGCAGCTGATTGAGCAGCCAGCCCAGAAAGTCGACGGGATCCCCCTGCTCCATGAGACGGAAGCGGCCTTTGGAGACGCTGTTGACCTCCTGAAGGAACTCGTGAGGGGAGACTTGCGCTTTGAATGCTCGAGGGTTCCAGAGCTTGCGGACCAGGGCGGCGAAGCGGCGGACAAGCTCGCTGGAGTTGGTAAGGGCGAGGTTGACGCCTGCGGTGCCTTGTTCGTGTTGCTCATCAGCACGCAGCTTGCCGGCGAGAAAGTAGTTGCGGATAGGCGTGACGTGCGCCAATGCTTGGAGCACCACGTTGATGTAGTCATTCCCGCCCACATTATTCAGCCCCACGAAGCCGGGGCGGTACGTCTTGCCCTGCAGATCCAGCGAAGGACGAGAGTCCGGCGCATCAAGGCGCTTAATCTGCTGCGTCGAGTAGGTCGGGTGAAGCAGGTATCGGATATCGCTCAGCGCAGGCGAGTCGACTTCGTAGTTGTCTGGGAGGATGTAGAACTTGGACGTCTCCAGGTTCATGTAGACGCGATGGCCTTCGTCTATCGAATGGAAGTAGGCGTAAGATGATTTGCCTCTGTACATGGCGACAGGGAAGATCGAGGTCAGTGGCGAAGATTGCACAGATCACCTCAATCACGCCCACTCACCTGCCCTGGAAGTACTTGCCGCAGACTAGGCAGGCGTATATGTTGATGTTGGAGAGGGACACGCTGCAGAGCTTCTCGAAGTCAAAGTCGAGAAGATTGCGATTGATCTGCAGGTGGGGAGGCAAGGGTGTAAGTAAGCCTGCCTGCGCAGATGAATTGTTGCTTGGACTCACCGTCTCGAGGTAAAGGTCTTTGACTCGCTCCTCGTCCTTCTGCTTCTGCTCCCTCGCTATCCTCTCCCAATACTCTGCGTCTTGAATCTCTTCTTCCTCTCCGCCATCGCTATCAGCTGCTGGATCGATGGGCGGTGGGGGCGGAGGCGCAAAGTCGGCTGGAGGAGGGGGAGGAGGCGCTACCTCTTCCGGTGGTGGCGGCGGGGGCTCGTCTACCGGAGCCGGCGGGGGCGGAGGCTCGTCTATTGGCGCAGGCGGGGGCGGAGGCTCATCTGCAATGGCTGATGGCTTCGCTGCACCATCGTCTGGCTGCTCAGTCTGCGCTTGGTCACTCCTCCTCGATCTCTTGCGAGGTGGACTAGCCTGCTGCGCCTTCGCCCTTGTACTAGGTCCTGCCTCATCAGGGACAGCCTCGACTTCTGCCTCCGGCTGCGCAGCGTCCTCCTCCTCTGCTTTTTGGGCTGCTCTTGTCCTGCGAGGCGGCATGCGTCGTGGTTGATTGGGTAGGAAAGAGATTGGAGGATTAAGGGATGACAAGGAAGAAGCGATGGACGGACGCGAGAAAGCGAAATTGATCACTCGAGAGCGGAAGAGAAACGGGCGGGCCGTGCGCTCGCTCACTTTGCCTTCTCGCGTCGAGTCGTTGAACAGCGAGCGGGCAAGAGACCCAATCATTGCGTGCCTCGATCATCTTCGCAACCAAAGTGCAACAAGATGGCTACCTGCTCTCATCAACAGCCGCAGCGACCGCCTTTCAAGAGCTCATCACAGCTTGCGAGAGCAGCAAGATGCTTGGGCAACATCTCTGCTTCTCTCACACCGCTCACTCGCAAATCAAGCTAGAGGGACCATGGCGCCCGACCGCTGCCAGAGGTCCAAATCACAGCCTGCACGCCGCATCGGACATGGCGACCTGACGCGAGCCCAATCTGTTGCCCCCACATCGAGTCGAACAGCTGCTCGGTGGTTGGTCGAGGTCAAACCGGAGCCTCGTGAGGAGAGGCTCCCTAGTAAGGGCCCTCCAGCGACACCCACAAGCAGCAGTACAGCCCTCGTCTTGTGGCAAGGGCCCACCAACGTGACCACCCCTTCAGCTGAGCAAGGCAGCCGCAGTTGTCGCACGCCGACGCCGTCACCTCGACGAGCGCAGCTTTTCCCTTGGATGGGCAGGCAGCCAACGCCTTCGCCCACTTTCAGCAAGCGGTATCACCGCGGGATGCCCAATAACCAGTCTTGGACCAGACATCAAATCTCTGCTACACCAACGCCTGGACAGCACAGTCAGCATCGAGCGCCTTCGTCTACCCCTGACGCGCGCCAGCAACGGGCACCCTCCAGCAGCTCGACTCGCCTCACCACACCGGGCGCCTCCTTCTTGGGCGGAGACGGAGGCGATGGCGGCGGCAGTTCGAGCGGTACAGCCATCGAAGTGGACGAGGAAGTCGAGGATGACAGCGACAGCGGTGATGACTCGCCAACGCCCACTGCTCACCGTAGCAGGGATACTCGCGCAGAGGCCCGCTCCTCTCGCACTGCACCTCCTGGCGTTCAGCTCGTCATCTCCGCGTCGGTTCGCTTGGCGTGGGATTGCACTTCCACGAACCGCATTCGCGATACCTACGCCATCCCCATCAACGTGCGCGTATCGCTACCCCAGAATGCGGACCTCAGTCACGCTCGCGACAATGTCGAATCCTTGGTGCGGCACGGTGCTATTGAGAGGGAGCTGAGCCTCAAGTTGCGGACATTGGTGGGGAGGGCATTCGACAATGCGAGGACTTGAGGAGCGGATGCGAGAGACAGGTGGGTTTGTGGTCAATCTTCACGTCATCTCTTCGTGTCTCCCCGTCTTCTCAAGCGCTATCGCGTGCCACATTGAACACCGTGACACTCCAGCGACACGTGTGCCTGAACCGCGACGCCCCAGAGCTGGATGTTGATGTCTCATCCTTTGGTGTTGGTTCCGGTCGTGTGACTTGTTGCCGCCGGGAATCAGTAGATGCTCGTGTGTCTGTCCAACCCTTCTCTTCTTTTCCCCAGGTTCCTCATCGTCACCTCACAAACACCTCATCCAGCTTGAATGGGCGTGACGAAAGTTCATCATCTGGCGGTCAAGCCCGGTGCTGGCAGCCATACTACCGCATACACTGGTCCCACGCTACTCACTCAGTCATCACTGTTCAACAAGACAGGTAGTCAATGGACGAGTCAACCTCATGCTGCGACGTCGCATCATGGCAAGACATGTTCAAGTCGTGCTCCAACAAGCCCGCTGGCCACCACCTCGCTAGGTACAGCAACCTCAGCCCCGACTACGCCCCGCCACGTCCATGCACAGCGTATGCCACTGAGCGAGAGCACACGGCAGCCTTGTACGGCGCCCATGACTCCGATCCAGCAGCAAATCAAGTCACTCGTCGGACCACAGTTCAAGAGCCAGCGCAAAAGACTCAGACGCAAAGAAGTGCACGAGCGACGCCTTGTAGCTGAAGCAGCGAAAGCGGCGGCCGTTCGGTCTCGTCTTGAGGCTCAATGGAGGATGGAATCCAGACAGCCAACTTCGCCCACGCCGTTGAGGCCACAGGTGACTCCGACGCCACAGGTTCAGGCTCCACCACCGCCACCATCACCGCCTGCTCCTCCTCCTCTACGTCGCAGCGCAAGGCTAGCTGCGAAGCGAGCAAGGCTACAAGGAGCAAAGGACGAGTCGGCACCAGACGCCAAGCCCGTGAAGATTGTGACTGAGAAGGCAGTGTCAGTGACTCCATCCTCGGCAGCGCCCCCAGCAGCACCTGAACCAGCACTGGTAGCCGCACCGAGACCAGCCTCAGCAGCGCCAGCTCTACCACCATTGGACAGGCTCGCAGCAGCGAGCGCTAGTCCTACTGCGCCTGAAGTGGCCCCGTATCCTGCTCGCGTACCCCTCAGGGGACCACTCTCGAAGCTTCCTCCCACTCACCCTCTGCTCGCCGGACGTTACGCCCGAGACCCGGAGTATGCCCAGCCCATCCTCATCACCACGCGCAAACGGTTTCCAGCCGATCCCATCGCGTCTGGCCTTGATCCGGCTTTTCATCTTCAGGCTCGACCACAACCGCCGCAGCAGAAAGCACAGCTAGCCATTGCTTCGCAAAGTGCCATTTATCGCTGTTGCCCGGTACTGCAAAACACTCTGCCCGGGTCGAGAAGGAGGGACTTGCTTGACGCAGGGAGGGTACTGGGATGAATGGTGGGTGATGGTGCCGACAATCAGCAAGAGGGGGAGCAGGGAGGAGCAGTATAGCTTGTCAGAACGTCAAAGCAGCGCAGAATTGCAGAAAGAAATCTCCATTGTCATTGCCAATGCCGATGATACTCTGACTGATGTAGATGCTAATGCGCGGCCGGGTATGCGAGATGCGATATGCGAGAAAGCAGCAAAATAACGGGCAGGGATCTACGCTTCGGGTATCACATGTGTATCTCATCCTTCATCCCACCCTTCAACGATCCATCGAGCCGGCCTCCACCGAAGCACCCCCGCCATGGCCTCCAGGCCGATAGTGATTCCAGAAGCGCTGCATGACTGCACGACGAGCGCCCGCTGCCCCACCGCTGCTAGCACTGCGTTGAGGGGGTGACGGTCCAGGTGAGACGGATGAGCGCGGCGAGGCGGGCGTGTACCATCGATCATTAGAGTCCCTTGACTGGCCCGACTCGATGGTGCGCATCCTCTCATCCTCGCTCCTCATCGTCGAGGGCGCGCCACGCTCCACCATGGGCGAGCGCTTGCGATGACCGCGCTGTCGCTCCTCTGCGGCCTTCACCGCTTCCCATTTTGGGCTGCGCGGCGGCTCCTGCTCGGCGTTGACATAGCGAATGGAAGGTGTGCTGCCGCTGCCACGGGCGCTGCTGGTGCTGCTTGTCCTGCTGGTGTCTCGACTGCTCGACGCTGCGCTGCTCCTGCTCCTGCCGAGCGGAGTAGCAAGATGAGCCCAAGGTGAAGAGGATTGCTCGGCCTTATCCTTAGGCGCCGAAGTGGCGGTGGCGGCCGTTGCTGGTCTTTTCGCGCGCACTCTAGCATTGCCGCGGGTGGTGCGGTTGCTGGTGTCGGGCACAATCGTCCCGGACCTGGTCCTTCCTGCACCACTTGACGTCGAGGCCGAATTCGAAGAGCCCGTAGACGATCCGAGCTTTCCCACCCCGATTGCTGGGCTGGCAGGCATCAGCAGCTCGTCAATCCCACTGCGGGTGCTGGTACTGCTTCCCGTGCGCGGCGTAGCGGGAGTGGACCCGATAGGAGCCACGGAGACAGGTGAAGGCTGCAGCGAGAGTGGCATTGGCTTCTTCGTTCTCTGAATACCCGAGCTGGTCAGAGGGCGGGAGAAGAAGATAACAGGCTCGGCAAGAACTTCGTGCTCGTCGCGATCATCCTCCGCATCTTCGAACTGTCCTGAAGAGGAAGAACCGGAACGCTGCATGGAGCTGAGAAGCTCGCGCGCCATCTTCCGTACCAGGACGGCGGAGTCTTTCTTGGCTACGAGCTGGACGGCTGCTCTTGCCTCAGCAGCACCACGCACAGCTTGGTCGCCCGGCGTGGTGGCGGAGAAGAGGACCAGCTTGAGGATGCGCAGCAGATTGAGTCTGACGATCGCCTTTGGATGTTCTTGCAGCTGACTTGCTACACTGCGGAGCAGCGATGTCGAGCATTTACCTGCCTCGCGGAGCACTGCAGCAAGTCGAGGAGAGGCACGGAGGAGCTTGACGGTAGGCTCAACGAGGGAGTCGAGTGCCGCGGACGACCGAGTGAAAGCCGTCAGGATGGCCTCGATGGATGCCGGGCGAAGTAGGATTTCTTCCACCTTGCTCGCCCCACCTGTCTGCTCCTCACTGAGCCAGATGACGATAGCCTCCAGCGCCATTGTCTGCCACTCCGTCTGCGTCGCAGCCGCTACGCCCTTGTCAACATCGCTGGCGAGCAGCTTGAGGAAGCAAGGCAGCGCCTCGCCTTTCCAGAGCACGCGCCTCGTCTCCCGACTTGTGGACGCCAAGTCGCAGAGCACGGGCAAGGCGTAGTGCCGAAGCAAACCTGACTGGCTCTCACAGGCTGCAATGAGCAAAGGCAAACCACCAGCGGCCGCCAATTCCTCCTGTCTGGCGCGGTTCAGCCTGCAAAGGTTGAAGAGTGAGAAGAGTATGCGCCTTGCGACCTCCTTCGCCCAGATGCCCGACTGGTGCGCACTGAGGATGCGTACCAAGGTGGGAATAGCGCTACAGTGTTGGAGCGCTTCCAGGGTAACGGAGCCGTGGAGCGTGAGATTGCGTATGATTCGAAGCAGGAGGATGGAGAGGGGCATGCGGGCAGTCGAGCTAGCATTGTCGCCCTGGGCTCCGGCCATCCGCAGACAGACGATGAGGAGACGTCGAAGGATGGTGCGTTGAGCGACGCGTTGTTTGACTGCTTGATCGTCGATGGCGGAAAGTACGAGCAAGATGCGTAGAGCTTGTTCGAGTACGACGAGGCTGTCCTCTTGTTCGTCTGCTTCTTGAATCTCGACCGCATCGAGCGCCGAGACGAGGACAGCGCTAAGCGGCTCGAGAAGTCCCTCTTGCGCCAACAGGCGGCACAGATCCATCTGGGATAGATCAACCTCACCTGCAGGTGCTTTACTGCTGGCGAGCACTTGTGCGATTCCCCTGACGCCGAGCTGCACGAGCTGGCCTTGCTTCGTAAAGTCGCTGTCGACGAGGCGGACGAAAGTCTTCATCCCCTGACAGGCAAGGGTGCAGCGCAACGTGTCTGCCGAGGTGTTGACGAGGGTGGCAAAGAGATGCGCCGCCTCTGTGCGAAGAACAAGGCCCATCTGCTTCTTGGTGGTGCTGCTGATGATGGTGATCAAGATTGGCAAGGCGCCGAGTAGACAAAGCTTCTCGCGTCCCTTGACTATAGCTGGCGTGGTGATTGCCTCAGCATCCGTACCGCAAATGAGGCCAAGCAGGGTGAGGCACTTTCCCCTGACCTCGGTCGAGCGCTCACTCTGCTCAACCAGCTTGAGCAGTCTCTCCGGTCCGTGAGCCTGCCAGAAAACGGTAATGAGCGCCTGGGCTGTGGTCTCGTCCTCGTCGAGGAGAAGGACCTCAAGATCGTTTGCAACGCGAAGCAACTCTCTCTCGGCGATGTCTACGCGCGAGGTGAGACGCTCAGTGAGAGCTACAACATCAGCGCAAGCTTGGGCCGTCTGCTCGCGCAGGACTTTACGCTGAATTTGAACATCCTGTCCGGCGGTGGGCTCGCTGTATACCGCCACAGCAACGCTTGGCGAGTAAGGCAGAGCACTGTGCGTCTGTCTGGTCGGCGTGGCGGCGATTGCGGCTGGCGTCAGGATGACCGCAGCAGGTGCTGCTGACGCTTGTTGAGCATCGCCGTCCGTGACCGCCTTGCTGTGCCCGCCCACCATCCTTCGTCGACTCTTCAAAGCAGGGCTGGGTGGTTCATCTTGCACATTGCTTCGGAATGTTGACAATCGCACAACTGCATTGTCTCCCGCGTGCGCCATTTCGTCCTCATCGTCGTCGCTGCTGCTGCTGCTGCTGCTTGCGCTGCCGTTGTTCTGTCGAACGCGCTTGACCGACTTCTTGACTGCGGCAGCCTGAGATGGGCGAAGAGAGCCAGTCTTGGAGATGGGCGAGGGGCTGGGGCATCGCTTGTTGGATGTACGAGCTGGCGTGCCGGTCGGAGTGAGGAGTTGCGGCACGGCCGGAGCTGGAGTTGCAGCTGCCTTGATCTTGCTCGCCCTGAGCGTAGCCATTTGCTCATCCTCCTCGGCGGTCGAGGCACATTTGGTCGAGTCCACGGACATGGCGTCTACCACTCGGGGTACTGCTGGCGTCGAAGGACTTTTGAGCGGGTCCACCACGGCTTCGTTCTCCTGAAGCGTCGCAAGCGGCTTCAGTGGCGTCCGCGAACCAAGAGTCGCGCCGGAGGTGGAAGCTCTTTGTCTTGACTTGGGCAGGTCTGGCGTACTTGCTGATGTCCGACGTAGCGCGCGAGGACGGGCCGGTATCTCTTTCAGCGCCTCATTCCACCGCTTGACCGTCTTGACCGCCTCGTCGTGCGTCACACCTCCTCCTCCGGTCTGCTTTGCACTTCCTCCTTTGCGCGAGTTGAGTCGCTCCAACTGCCACTTGGCAGCCATCATCCATGGGTGTTCCAGCAGCTGCTGTGCAGAGGCGCGCAAGTCGACGTCCTTCTGAAAGCACTTGAGAAGGAAGTCCTTGACGACCGTTGAGAGGCCATCAGGGAGGGGCGGGCAGTCATCCTGAACGATGCGGAAGAGGGCTGGCATAGGCGCAAGGAAGTGATAGGGCGGCTGGCCTTCGAGGAGCTCGACGACCACACACCCCACCGACCAAATATCGCTGGCCGTCGTTGCGCCACTCTGGTCGATCACCTCCGGCGCCATCCAGTAAGGCGATCCCACGACCGCCCCATCCGCAAGCGCTGCGCCCGCTTTTGTGGCCACTCCGAAGTCGGCGAGCTTGACCGCTCCTTCCTTGGTAGTCAAGATGTTCGCTCCCTTGATATCTCGATGTATTACTCCCTGATCATGCAAGTACGCCAACCCGAGCAAAACCTGGTAGATGTATACGCTCACCAGCCCCTCAGGGAAGCGGCCAAAGCGCTTGCAAATGTGCTGTAGTGAGCCGTTTTCGCAGTATTCAAGGATGATGTAGAGCCCATTGGGCGTCTTGTCTGACCCGCGGTATTTCACGATATTGGGATGCTTGAGGTTCTGAAGCAGGTCGATCTCGGACATGATCTCGGACTGCTCGGATGGGGGGACGTCGGCGAGGGAGATATGCTTGATGGCTACAGTCTCGCCCGTCTTCCAGTTGAGGCCGCGATACACTGAGCCAAAGGCGCCCTTGCCTAGACAGTCGCCCAGAGTCTGTGAAGGTGGGACAGCAAAGGATGTCAGCCGTCGTGGAGACAGCGTAGTATCGCAGCTGCACTTACATAGTCTTTGAGATCCGTCTCGCTACTACCAGATCTCGGCCTGCTTGCGCTCGCATTGCTCTGCTGGTGCTGAGCAGGAGCGGCAGCATCGTGGGACGAGGAGGACGCGCGCGGCGTTGCCTTGACTGTCGCATCTTCCATCTTCTCTCCCATGGCGGCGTCGGATAATAGAAACGAGAGAAGAGAAAAGAGGCGCCGCTCCTGTACGCTATCGTCTTTGTAGTCTGACACCTATCGTCACGAGCTCTCTGGGGTGCTGCGCAGTCATGTAGATTCTTGCAAAGCCTCGTTGGCCCGCACGAGGGGCTCAATGAAGAGGAGTCAGAGCCGGAGAGTTGGTGTGGACGTGTGACATGAGGCTGAATCTAGGCCGAGGCTCCTGACGAGCGAGCGAAGAAGACACGCGGTTCGTAATGCTGACGAATAGGAGGTCAGACCTGGAGGAGAATGGGAAATGAGGGGAAGCAAGCCAGGCGTTGACCCGCCGACCGCGGTTGAGCCTCCTCGACTTCGCGGCAGGCACGGACGGACAGAGCGAAAGCAACACAAGAGCCACGCGACGCGAAGGCGAGTCCAACACCAGCACCCGCATGAGATCAACGTCGAGCTCGCTTGAAGAGTGAACGGTAGTCTAATGTGTTGGGTGATAATTGAAGGTGTCAGACGCAATGCACCCTTGATCAGCTCTCCCTTTCGCCCTCCATCTCAATCACCCCCAACTTCAGCGCTGCCCTCTTCAGCATCTCGAGCTCCTCCCCGTCCCCCTTGCCAAAGACGACCTTCAGCGCCCTCCGCGCAGCCTTGTTCCTCTTGCTCCTCATTCTCCTCTCCGTCTCTGCCTTGAGCTTCTCAGCCCTCTCGGTTGCGACCTCCAACATGGCCCTCGGCAAGCCGGCCAGGGCAGCACAATGAATACCGAAGCTACTACTTGCCGGTCCCTCCCGCAATTGGTAAAGGAACACGACCTCCTTCTCCCCATCCACTGGGTTCGCCCTCTCCACGAACGCCATATGCATGTTTCTCACCCCTGACAGTCGCTCAGCAAGTGTGCAGAGGGAGGTGTAGTGGGTGATGAACAAGGTGGTCGGCTGGCGGTGGGTTTCGCGCGTCATAAGATAGGAGAGGACCGATGAGGCGATGGCTTGCCCGTCGAAGGTTGAGGTACCGCGCCCTAGTTCGTCGAGGATTACGAGAGAGCGCGAGGTGGCCACGCGAAGAATCTCGGCGGCCTCCTCTGCTTCGACCATAAATGTGCTGCGGCCCTGCCGAGGGAGCAAGGGGAGAAAGGTTCACTGTCAGCCTCGTCCTAGACGAAGTGCTTTCCTCGCTTTGCTCGCGCGCTCACCTTCGCCAATTCATCGCTCGCCCCCATCCTCGTCAATACAGCGTCCCTGATGCTCAGCCTCGCCTCGCTCGCAGGCACAAAGCAGCCAACCTGCGCCAGCACGACACAAAGCGCGATCGCTCTTACGGTGCTGGACTTGCCACCCATATTCGCGCCAGTAAGGACCAAGCCCTTCTGCCCGTCATTGCCCAGCTGAATATCATTCGGCACGTAATCGTCCCGCAGCGCCTCACTCATCGGGTGGCGCAATCCCGTTAGGTGGAGAACGTCCCCTCCGCTCTCGGGAACGAAGACCGGTCGCGTGTACCCGGGGAGGGCTGCTACGCTTGCCAAGCTTGTGAGAGCGTCCAGATTGCCCAGGGCAGAGATGGTGTTGCGCAGCACGGTCGAATGCTCGCAAAGCTCGTCGAGAAAGGTAGAAAATGCCTCCTTCGCTTTCGCCTCTAGCCGCTCGCGGTGCTGGTCACGTCGCTTGATGTGCGCAATGATTTCTGGCGTATGGAAGCGTACTACACTCTTTGTTGCTGAGATGCGCAACCAATCCGCAGGAACTTTCTTCGCGTCCCCGACTCGCACCTCGACTAAGTAGTCGATCCCGCTCACCGTGGCATACTGCAGGGTAGGGCGCTTGAGCTGCTTGCGGAGGTCGATGAGGTGCTCCTCTAGGTCCGCTTCTACTAGGCTGATCTGGTCCTTCTCATCTTGCAGCTCAGGAAACTTGTCTTCCGGAAACAAGTTCTCCTTCTCGCCCTTTCGCGCAGCGGAGACGTTGAATTCCTGTAGGGCGGTCTTGATCACAGAACGAGCACGAGGAAGTGCGGCTATGGACTCGTTGAGGAGAGAAGATTTCAATCCTACGTCGCCGGGATGGGTAACAGGCTCGAATTGATGGGTGATCCGGTTCAGGGCGAGCAGGATGGTCGCGACCTCATTTGTCGTGGCACGTCCGTAAAGCATGCGGGCTAGCCCCTTTTCCAGGTCGGGCTGTTTTGTCAGGAGCTCGGGTACTTTGCTCAGGAGCGGGTCCTTGCCCTCCAACATCTCGCTGACTGCGTCCATCCTCTCCTCCAATCGCTTCACATCCGTCAATGGTCGGGCAATCCAGCGGCGCAGGGTTCGCTTGCCAAAGATGGTCTTGCACTTATCCAGCAGCCAGCAGAGGGATCCCTTGTAGGTCCCCTCTGTGGTGGCGAAGAGCTCAAGGTTGTGTAGCGTGCCGGTGGAGAGAAGCATCTCAGAGCGCGCCTGGAAGGAGACGAAGTTGCCTGTGACTTTGAACATGGACGCCAGGCCGAAGGACCTGAGGTGAGAGATGCATGCTGCGAGAGCCTGGACAGTCAGAGGGGGCAGCTTCATTACCGTGGCAATTGTGGCACCGGCGGAGGCGTCGTCGATCACGGAGCGTTGCTTGCTACTTGATGCGGGGTCTGAGCCCTCGCCGTCGGCCATGTCGACATCCTGCATGCCAGTCTGCCCCGCTTCCTCGTAGAAGGACGTCACCCTATTGAAAGCTTCGTTGTATGTGAGCACCGACTCTGTCCTCTCTACTCGCAGACGAGTCGAGGCGATGCCGACCGAAGACGACGTAGATGGGTTGCCTGCCAGGTAGCGAATGAGCTTCTCTGTTGACTTGCTCAGCTTGCCAAGCGGCGGCAGAAGAAGCTCTGCTGGCTGCAAGTGAGCCAATCGCGTCTCAAGCTCGCTCCTCATACTGCTGTCCATGAACTGATCGTAGACGACTGCACCCGTCGCAGCTTGGACGGCAATCAGTCCGATGGACACTCGCTCGTCTGACCCCTCCATCTTCTCAACCAATGCCACGAGACTGTTCTGTGCAACCGGATTCTCCATACCTGACTCATCACCACCGACCGTCTCAAGGTCCTCGACCCAGGTACTGGCAGTGTACAGCTCAGTCAGGCTGCGGGTAAAGGGCTTAGACGAGTTCGACGAGGCAGCTTTGAGTGCTCGCGTCTCGGTCTGGCGAACAACGCCGACTTTGTAGCCCGCCTTGATGAGGCGTCGAGCATGGATATGAAGGCGATGCACGGGAATGCTTGCAATGCGCATATTCTGCTTGGGAAAGCACATGACGTTGAGCTCTTTGGAGGCGTTGACTGCATCCTCTTCGTAGGCGATGAATCTGTGCGGATGTGTGTGTGTGTCTGATCTTTAGAAAGAACTCAGGCTCAGTGACGGAGTCAGGCGCACTCACTTGTATCCCACTTCGAAAAGCAGCAGCACGTCAGGGTGCTTTGCCCTGAGATCGAGGACCTGTAGCTCGAGTGGCGTGTACTTGACCTTGCTCGACGATGGTTGAGCATTCTTGCCTTTGCCTTTGCTCGAGCCACTTCTAATGGCGGTACTGCTGGCAAAGCGATGAAGATTGGAGCTACCCTCTTGCTTGTCCTGGCTTTCGTCTTCATCCTCATCAGCGCCACCTTCTCCGTCTTCGTCAGCTCCGTCGCCTCCCTCGTCGCGCTCGGCAGCCTTCGCGGCTTGGTCCCACTTGACGATAGGATTAGCATCACCAAGTAGCTTTTTGCGAAACGTGTTATGCCTCTCTTCCTCATGAGCACTGCGTTGCGAAGAGGTGGGGAGGGGCAGCTCCTCGGTGCTCTCGTCCAGCGCGGCTTGCTTGGAGCGTGGGGTGAAGCGCCACTGCTCTACGCGGTCTCTGCTGCTGGAGGACGGCTTAGATGGCGCAGTAGGGGGCCTGACGCGTTTGATAGGAGGCTCGTCCTCGTCGTCGCTACGGATGTGGTCGCCATTGGTCTGGCGACGACCAAGCGTGGAAGAGGTGGCAGCTGCGTAGGGGGGGGAAGCGGCTCCAGAAGGGGAGCGGGAGGCTGAGGCAGATGGAGCGCAAGGCGCCTGATTAGCTGCCTTCTTGGTGAAGAAGGACGAGATCGTCGGTTGCCCGGGTGCTTGACTCTTCGGCGGCATGACGAGTGACGTTATGGGCCGCTGCCACCGCAGAGTCTCGCGATTGATGGGAAGTCAGAGAGGCGAGAACAATTGGCTGGCTGCGCCCATGGCGGACTGGCGGCAAGACCAACTTGAGACAAAGCGCGTCGAGTCCGTCCGCGTGAGCGCTTGGGCCACTTGAGCTTGGGCCGGCTGCAGCTGTTGGCTTGATTCCTTTCGCTCCTCTTCAAGCCAGATCGCCTTCCTCTTTGCGACTTTGCGCCCGCCATGGCGCACCTCGGTCTGCACGTCGACGAGGCCACTCTCCTCAAGGAGTATCGTCTCGAATCCCTCGACCCTTCCTCCTTCCAAGACATAGACCATGCCGAAGACTCACCAGCCACCGCCGGCTTGGGCGTCAACGAGGAGCCTGATCCCCTCGGCCTTCATCAACGCATCACCACCCGCAACCTGCCAAAGGACATCCGACCCCACGTCACCGTCTCCTCCAAGACGTTTGATCCCAAGCTCTTCCTCTCCACCATCCATCCTGATGCTACCTTTGCCGATCTGACGCATGGCCTCAACCAGCTCAAAGACAACATAGAGCAACGCAGCCAAGCCCTCAAGGTTCTAGTCGAGGACAATTTCGACCGCTTCGTAGCCGTCAAAGCTACTACAGATGGCGTGTATCGTGAAATGAAGGAGTCGGACGGCGGGCCTCTCCAGCGCGAGTCAGAGTATGGCGTCAAAGACCTCAAGTCCATCCTCGCCCAGGCGAGCGCGAGAGCAGATCAGGTCTTCACGCCCGTGCTCGAGAACAATCTCAAGGCCATGAAGCTGCGCTCTACGCTCGGCGTGTTTGAGAAGAGCAAATTCTTCTTCAACTTGCCGGGCAGCTTGGCAGAGAGCGTTGATGCGAAGCGATACGATGCTGCGTTGCGAGACTATAACAAGGGCAAATACCTCCTCGAGAATCGACCAGGCCAGCTACTCGCCTTCAACACTGGACCGGCGAGTGGAGACAACAACATCACAGAGAAACAACGTCAACAGCAGCAGAGGCTGTTCAAGAAGGTGTGGGATGCGGTGGAGGCGGTCATGAAGGATATGGAGAGAAAGTTGTTTGCCAGCTTGAGGGAGCCCAAGAGGAGTGTGGACGAGCAGGAGAAGACCATAGAGTGAGTGGCGCCACTAGTCATCAACAGCTTCGGCTCTGGCTCTGACGACTATCCCCTGACGCTGCCCTTCCTCGCTCTGCCCCGCACAGAGTCCTCCTTGAACTTTCACCCCGCGAAGACCCCGTTGCGGTCTTCCTCGAGTCCCAGCACAAGCACATCCACACGCTCATGCGCTCCTCCTACCAATCCGCCGAAACCAAGGTGGGCAATGCACGCACAATGAATGACCTCCTCCCGCGGACAGACAAGGACAGGGCGAGGGACATTCAGTCGTGCCTCCGCCAGATTGGCAGGGGTGATCCCAACTTTGAGCGCAGCTTTGGGGCGCCGGCTTGGAGGGCTATTCATCATCTTGTGAGGATGGTGAGCGAAAATCTGCTACAGACTTTGCCTTCCTTTTGGAGGGTGTGTAAAAACCAAAGCGAGGTGAGTGCGCGGTGATGCTGGCTGATGGCCACGTCTCGTATGGCTCACAAGATCAACTCCCTCATCTCGTGATACTCAGGGCAAATTCTCGAAAAGCGTTTCCCCTGGCATTCAGTCCCGCGCCCGTTCATGGGCGTCCGAGAGCATCGACTCGTACATATCTCTCCTCTCGGCCTTCTTCACCCTTACCGACGTGTCCATCCTCGGACGGCAACCCCTGTCCCCTTTGCCGGCATGGGTACCCGCCAATTCCAGCAGCATGACTGCGGCGCATTACATGCACCTGATCCTTCAGGATCTGGCAGAGACCGCCAATACGCTCAGTGCGCTAGGCATTGGCGGCACACCTGAGGCGCTGAAGACGTTCGTCATCAATGCGAGATTCAGCTTTACGGAGGTTCTGTGTAATCTGTGGCAGGGAGATGCGAAGTTGTTCTACATGCTCGAGGATTGTAGGTAGCAAGCGCTGGGTACGCAGATACTCCTCACGAGCTGACTGACACTTACCCCTTCTCCGCGGCGCACGCAGGGACGATCAACCCGGATGAACAGTCCACCACCCTCTTCCTCAAAGATCTCTCTTCGTTCCATCGCAGCAATGCGCGCGCAGCCTACCACATAGCTTCGGGCCGCACGCGCGATCCCTTCGACTCCTCCTCTCGCTCCCGCTCTACTGGTGCCGATCGCGACACCGGCGTCTCTACCGAAGCGACCTCTCGCATCAAAGCCGCCTTCCTCGATAGCATCTACGCCTTCCTCGACGGCATCGTCCACCTAGCCTTCAGCGAGTACGACCCGCTGGATCCCACCACCTCCACCTCGCACAAAGTTGTGGGCAACTCCCGCCTCACCGTAGACGTACAAGAGCTCGACACGCGCATCCTGCTCAGCGTGACCAACCTCTCTCACCTTTCGCGCATCGCTATCCCCACCATGGCCAAACAGTTCCAAGAAGTCTATCACTGCAAGATGAGTGAGGACCTGGCCACGATCGAGGAGGTGGCCAGTCAGCTGGACAAGATCCTCTTCCATGACTTCCTCAAGCGTCGCAGCGAGGCACTGAACGATGTCTTCCGGACGGGCATCTTACACGGCGGGATAGACTGGGCTCGCCTGCCTCGCCCCTCCGAGGTGCATCCCTTCATCTACGAGGCCCTCCTGGCGCTGGTACAGGTTCACGCGCAGGTGCAGTCCGTCGCAAAGGCCCTGGTGAGCCGCACGATCAGCAGCCTGCTGGAGGGTTTGACCGAGGTGATTCTGCAGTCCTTCAAGGAGGTGCCCCGCTTTGGGATGGGGGGCATGTTGCAGGCCACATTGGAGATCGAGTTTGTTCATCAAACCTTGAGCGCCTTTGTCTCTTCGAAGGCCGAGGAGAATTTGAAGGCGACGTACGACGTAATTTCGACGAAGTACCAGCAAGGGCGAGGAGGAAAGGAGGATGGGGCAGAGCTGCAGCGCGAGTTGGAGGGGGTGAAGAAGACGTTGCTCGCGAGCAGAAAGATGACGGCGTTGGAGTTCTTGTGTTTCAGGAAGGGCAGTGGGAGCAGTAGTAGCAGCAGTGGATCGAAACATAGGAAGGATTCGGGGAGTAAGTCGGGAGAAGCCAGGCCGGCTTCGTCTGCAAGTGCCACGACGTCGTCGTCGTCACGGCGCTAAGGAGATGATGGCGCTGAGGCCAATGGACGTTCTTTTTCATTGTACAATAACACAATACCAACCCAAGTCCTGCACAGTGAGCTGAAGACTCAAAAGCCAAAGTCGAGTTCATACTCCTGCCTCTTCCGTTGCCCGCTCAAGCTGTCCGTACCCTCTCTCGACCGTTTCCTCGACCCATTCTCGTCCACCTCATCCTCACCTCGCCTCCGTCTCGGCCCAGGCGGCGGTGCACTTGGCGTTCTTTCCCTCAGATCCACCTGCCTCCTGACCTCTCCAGCAGCCCTACTAGGCCAAGTCCCGAAGCTCTCCGGATGAGCAGGTCTAGGTGGCTCCCTTGCGAACCAAGAATGCTTCTCGGCTTCCTCAGCAGTCAAGCGTTGCGAAGGGTCGTAGCAGAGCAGACCAAGCAGTAGGTCAAGACAGGCGGAGCCGTGTTGCTCTACCGAAGTGGGGAGATGGGAGGAGAGGAGGGAGCGCGGGGAGCGAGAAGTGAGGGATGGTGTGCAGAGTGGGGAACGAGAGAAGGATTTGAGGATTGAGGGGGCAAGAGGGAGGTCCTTCACGGCGGGCCAGCTGGTCGTTGTTGGGGGACCGAGGGTTGTGAAGATCTACAAGACGCCGAGGCGAGTCAGTGGAGCCTGTTTCTCTTTCTCGTGGCGCAGAATTTTGCTCACCTTGATGATCTGATCACTCTCATTCTTGCCTTGGAATAGCGGCTCCCCCTTGAGTAGCTCGGCCATGATACACCCGACAGACCACACGTCGATGGCAGTATCGTAGTCCGTCTGGCCCAGGAGCAGCTCAGGGCTGCGATACCACAGTGTGACGACTAGGTCAGTAAGAGCACCTGGTGGCGGCGATCTGGTTCTGTTGCTGCTGCTGCTTTTGGCTTGGTCACCGTTGCGTGAGGTAGCCTCTGGCTTTGCTGCGGGCCCGCCCTCCCCATACAACCTCGCCAGCCCAAAATCCGCAATCTTCAGTCTTCCTCGATTATCCAGCAACAAGTTGCTACTCTTCAAGTCGCGATGTATAATCCAATGGCTATGCAAATGGCCTAGCCCACTCAGTAGCTGCCTGAGCAGACTCTTGATTTCGGACAGCGAAAAGAGGCCAGGCCCCATATCCATCAATAAAGTCTTGAGGTCGTGCTCTACGAACTCGAAGACGAGAAAGATCTGTGTCAGGGTATCGCCGACGGCTATCTCGTGTAGCCGAACCACGTTGGGGTGGGACGAGGCCATCATGAGTGTGCGGATCTCCCGGAGTGAGGTGATGGGAAAGCCTTGCCGCTCATTTTGCATTTTGAGCTTCTTGAGCGCTACGATACGTCCACTTGAGGTATGTCTGGCGCGATAGACTATGCCGTAGGACCCTTCCTCTATGCGGTTGAGACGCTCATAGGCGCTGATGGAGGAGCATTGTTGGATCGGAGGATGGAGGTTACGAGGTGGGGGGATGCGAGGCGCAGGGTAGAGGGGACGCTCAGCTCGCGTGACGCCCGCACTAGAGCCCTCGCCGTTGTTGTCGTCTATGTCTTCGCGGTGGCCAGGATTGATGCTGCTCAGCTCCTGTGGCCGCTGTTGCTCTTGATTCATTGCATGGTGAGGGAAGAGAAAGTGAGGCACCGTTGCTGCTCCCGTCTGTCCGTCCGTCGAGTCGAGTCCAAAGTGGACGGAAGGCCAAGTGAGGCGACGCGCTTCTCGCGCCGGTCGACGACTCCTTCGCATCTGATCCTCACTACCCGCATCCGCACGTCACTTCCGCCTCTCTTTGCCCAGAATGTCGCGAGAGGCACGCACAGTCATCATCTCTCATGGCTCACACACGATCCGTGCAGGTCTGGGCATCCATGAGGTGTTGCGTCAACCTACCGTCAATCTGACGGCTCGCGTCGGCCTCCGCCGATCTCAGCTGGAGGGAGGAGAGAATGTCAAGCCGGCAGACTATCTTGTCGGCGCCATCCTAGACGAGGCATTGAGGACACAGACTGCTGAGGACCCTGTGACAGTCTCCTGGCCGATGATCGGGGGCGAGATCAGAGATTGGGGAGGAATGGCTGCACTCTGGTGAGCATTCCAGTTATTCCCCAGCCGCCGAGTGTATACACTCACACTTCTCTACCCGCCTCGTTCACGCCCAGGTATCACGTCCTCTTCTTCCTCCTTCCCGTCATCCGGTCCTCCAACAGCTCCGTCACCCTCCTCTCCCTTCCTCCCACCACCATTACCCGCTCCTCATCAGCGCGCATCCACAAGATCTTCTTTGACGAATTCAACACGCCCGCCTTCTGCCTCGTCGATTCCGCCCTCGCCTCATCATTTGCCGTCGGGCAGATGATGGGAACCGTGGTGGATGTAGGGGCGAGAGGCAGCACAGTAGCATGCGTGATGGATGCGCTTATGGTGCCGCAGAGCATCAAGAGGTGCGAGGTGGGACTGGGGGAGTGCACGGCCTATCTGGCGGGTCAATTGGGCAGGGATGCCAAGGTCGTTGAGGCGTTGAGCGGTGTACAAGAGGATGAGGAGGCCATGGCTTCCACTTCCAGCGCTCCGTCCTCGAGACAATCACGTCTCCTACTTGCTCTCGCCCGCGAGCTCTTCGCACAAGGGCACGTAGTAGCAGACGAAGCCTCGGCGGCCGCAGGAGGGAGCGGTGCGGGTGCATCAGGCGACCAAGCAGCAGAGGACGATGATGGCAACTTCGACGTTCTGGGCGCGCTCACTAGCGGTAGAGAGAAGGAAGCCATCGCGGAGCAGGAGCGAAGGAACAAGGAGCTCGTGGCCCAGGGCAAGGAGCCTGAGCCCATGCAGACCGCAGGCGATATGGCAGGGCAGACGATATCGAGTGCCGCGGCTCTGACGGCAGAGAATGGTGATGATGGTGGAGAGGACGATGACGCCACAATTAGGGTGCCGTTCAAAGGACGCAACATCCGCGTACCGCGCTCAGCCCTCTCAACGGCTCTCACTCCACTGGTAGACCCCTCCGTCCTCAGCAAAGTAGCAGCAAGCACCGACCTGCTCGACCTCTTGACTCCGCTTGGCTCATCATCTTCTTCGTCACAGCGCACAGACTGGTCGTCCACCCCCTCCCTCCCAGCAGCAATCCACGCCTCAATCTCCACGACTCTCGACGTTGAACGGCGCAATGGTCTCTGGGAGCATCTCATCGTCACCGGCGCGCCCGTTGGGCTAGTCAAGGGTCTCACGCCAAGCCTTGTAGCAGCTCTACAACGCTATGTCGCCGCAGCCTCCGCCGCTGCCAATGGAGCGCAGGGAGCGGGCGGGCCTGCCGGTCCCGCTGGGGGAGATGATGACGGGGACGATGGTCCAACGGGGACGTACACGCCTAATACGGCCCAGTCGGGCAAGCTGGCACCAGGACAGCCAAGCAATGTGCGCGCTCTCCGCACGCCAGACTATTTCAGCGATTTCAAGGAGAGGGTAGACCTGGCACCCTTCCTTGGGGCGACGATCTATGCCAAGCTGGTGTTTGCGGATAACCAGGCGCGCGGGTATGTGAGCAAGGCCGGGTATGCTGAGCGTGGGCCGGCGGGGGCTTGGAGTGTCATGGCTAGTGACAAGTAGGGGGTGCGAAGTCAAATGAAAGAGAAGTGAATGAGAAATGCTGATGAGCGTGAGCGGGTCGTGCGAGACTGCATGACGCGTACAGTGGTGGCTTGCCGTGCTTGCCGCTCGCTCAGTCCGCCTTTTGTCTGTCCGTCCATGCGCTCGAGTGGAGTTGCAAATGAAAGTGGCGGGAGGAAAGGCTTCGCGGCCTCGTTGCTTCTTGAACCACACACCAATCAATCCTCTCTTCTCGTCAGCGGCGACGCAGATGAAGCCAAGAGAGGCGCCGATCGTGATAGACGACGACTCGGAGGATGAGAGTGGAGATGTGCTGCTGAACGAGCAGAGGAGCAGCAAGAGGGCGCGGACGTTCAAGGTGGATGATGAGGACGACAGTATCGTGGAGATTACGAGGGAGAGGCAGGCGGGCCAGGCGGCTCAGCCGGGCCCCGAGGGTTTGTCATCGTCCCAGCAGCAAATCCAAGCTAAGGAAAAGGACCAGCAGCAGCAGCTAGCAGCGATAGCGCTCGGGATTGGGGGACTCAGCGGCCTCGACCGAGCTGCTCTGGAGAGGGAAAGGAGGGAGCGCCAACGTCAGAGAAGGAGGGCGGCTGGGCTGGCGAGTGAGTCAGAGGACGAGCAAGACAACGACCCTGGAGCTGCGGGCAAGGCGCGGCCAACTCAAGTATCATCAGCTCGACCTTCAGCCTCCTCATCGTCAACTCGCCCCGGGCCAGGCTTCTCCTTCGCCTCCTCGTCCTCGTCTGCCACTACATCCCGCGTAGCCGCAACGTCAGGCATCGGCTCCTCCTCTCCTCCAGCACTCCGTCGGATCCTCTCAGGCGATCCATTCTGGGATGGGGCTGTGAAGCGGTCTTACAATCGGTACACCTCAGATGGAGTCCCCTTCTCCGACTTTCTCCTGCCCACGACAAGGAGCAATGCTGCTGGCCTGCAAGCCGCGATCGTCGCCTCATTCGACTGGGACTTTGCCTGGCTTGGCTCAATGCTACCTACAGAGCGTGACGCCCTTCCCGGTAAACAAGGCCCGCAGATCACATTCGTGATGAAGGAGCGCCCAGGCCTCCCTGCGGGAGTACACCAGATGGAGAAGCCGGGGTGGGTGACACTTGCAGTCAAGAATAGGGGCAATGACTACTCTAGCATGCATATCAAGATGCTACTCCTCGTATACCAGGATCGACTTCGCCTCGTGATCTCCACCGGCAACTTGAACAGGATCGATTGGGAAAGCCTGGAGAATGCGGCCTGGGTGCAAGACTTTCCCCTTCTACCTCCTGGCGCCGCAGCGAGCTTGTCTGCTCAAGGCACAGACGTAAAGGATCAGCTCGTCCGCGTGCTACGCGGTATGGACGTCCCTGCTGCCCACCCGGTCTCTCGCGCTCTGCAGCGTTACAATTTCGACAAAGGGCCCACATTGGTCGCCTCCATACCGCGACGCACAGCATACCAAGGGAGGAACGAGATTAGCCTGGTAGGACTAGGCAGGCTCGCTGACCAGGCGAGAAAGCTGCTAGGCGATCGCGCACAGGTCGAAGTCGAGGCACAAGGATCTTCAATGGGCTCTTACTCTCAACGCTGGCTCCAGCAATTCCACCTCGTTGCTACCGGAAGCTCCTCTGGATCGTCGGCTGAACTCAAGCTAGACGTTCTGCCTCCCAGCGGCAAGGCGGCCACCAAGGCATATCTCGATCTTGTCGGCAAGCCCACACAAGCAAGCAAAATGGATCGCGCTGCTGTGCTTAAGCGCCATGACGACACTGGCAAGGACGATGAAGCGGCTTGGCCCCCAATCAAGGTTCTCTTTCCCTCGCGTGACTTCGTGGTGCATCAATCCGTTGGCGGGGCAGCAGGTGGTGGCTGCCACTTCGGCAAGCCAGAGGCATTCACCAAGTGGAAGCATCTTTGCTATCACGCCAGAGCAGAACGGCACGAAGGAGTTCTGATGCACCAGAAGGGCGTGCTCGTTGTCAAGAAGGGGAGGGAGGTTGAGCAGACGGCGGGCAGCAGCAGTAGCCATTCGAAAGACGAAGAGGAGACGATCGGCTACGTCGTCATGACCTCCGCCAATTTCGGGCAAAATGCCTGGGGCAACCTTTCACGTCCTTCTGCACAGGCTGGCATTCAGCTCAGCGTCAATAATTGGGAGCTTGGCGTTATACTGCCCTTGAAGAGGAGAGATTTGAGGGCGGAGGCGAAATTGACGACGAATGCGAGGAGCGCTATTTGCTGGAAGAGGCCGGCCAGGCAGTACGGCGAGGGAGATGTGCCTTGGTCGCCTACCGTCCAGTAGGAGGGTGGAGGATGGAGGAAGAGGCGGGGAAACAGAGCATCTATCATACCCATGTCAAGCAGCGCAGAGCTAGCATCTGCGTCAATCAATACGAATCCGATCACAGCTCGCTGTACAGCCTCTCTTGACTGGCTGTCTATTGATGAACGCAAGACGTCGCTGACACCGCTCCTCACCTCTAATCTTCTCCGAACAAAATTCTCAAATTCTCCACCGTCTCGCTCTCCCTCTCACCCTCCTCCGTCCCCTTGCTGCCTGCAAGCGCCTCATTGACAAGGGCCGTCTTGCGCTTCTGAATGCGCAGAATCCTCTCCTCGATGCTGTCCTTGATGAGGTAGCGATGCACTACCACATCCCTCGTCTGACCAATGCGATGCACACGGTCGACCGCTTGTTGTTCGACACTTTCGGCCCACCAACAGTCCAGGAGCCAGCAGTGGTGCGCTGCTACCAAGTTGAGGCCTACCCCACCCGCACGGAGGGAGACGAGGATGAGGAGGTGACCATCGAAATTGCTGAAGTGGGACAGCACTTTCTCTCGGTCTTTTTGGGAGGTAGTTCCGTCGAGACGGACGTAGGGGTGGTGCGCGCTGGAGAGGGAGGATTGGACGAGGTCGAGGAACGAGGTGAACTGCGAGAAGATGACGCCTTTGAACTTGGGTTCGGCGGCGCGTAGCTCGGCCAGGTCGGTCAGAAGGGCTGAGAGCTTGGTCGAGGTGCGCATGGGGGCGATGTCGCGACCTTTGAGAGTGTGAGCACTTGATGACTTGGTTCCAGCAGACGTGGGCTGCTTCGTGTCTCCGGTTCCTTGTCCCTTGCCCTGGGCGCCATTGCCATCGATGTCATCAAGCTCTCCATTGAGCGATGCAGCCAAAGCCTGCACCTGCTCCTGGCTGCCGTTGACGCCGCCGTCATCTCCCTCTTCGCCTCGCTGAAATTGCGCCACCAGCTCCGCTACCTCCTTCTCCGCCTCCTCATCCTCTGCTACCTCTTCTGCAGGGGCAGCCTTCCCTCCCTCCTCCCTTGCCTCTCGCGCACGCTTGTGACTCTCCTGCAGTGCCTTCAGCACAAGCAAAGGATGACAGACGGCCTGTCTGAGCCTCATCAAGACCGTAAAGATGACACTGAGGTTCTTGGTCACGCTACCATCCCTGCTGAGACGCTGATACTGGACCCAAGCGCGATCGAAGCAAAGGTCGTAGATCCTTCTCTCCACCGCAGAGAAGTCGAGGTATCTCATCTCAACCGTCTTGCTCGGCAGGCTGACGATGGGCTTGCCCTCCTTATCCTTGAATCCCTTCTCTCTTCTCAAGAGCAAGCTCTCCAGAATGACCTGCACAATCTCCAACGCCTTGGGATTCTTGTTGGCAAACGGCTTCCCGATGAAGGAGTTGAAGAAGGCAAAGTCGCCCCATGGCTCGACACGGAGGAAGTTGAGCAAGCTGTACAGGTCTGTCAACCTGTTGACTATCGGACTACCCGTAAGGCACCATCGCTTGCGCGTGACGAGATCGCGGCAAGCGCGCGCATTTTGGGTCGTGCGGTTGCGGATTGTATGTGCTTCATCGAGAATGACCCGATGCCAATCGACGGCGTAGAGTGGGGCTTGACGAGCGATGCGGGAGGTAGCGATTGAGTTGGCGCCGGCACCGAGGTCACGAAATCGCTTGTACTCGGAGACGAGCGTGCCGTACGATGTGATGACCACATCCACCGTCCCGCCCTCGAGGCGATCCATGACATCTGCCTTCGTGTCGCCGTAGTGCAGAAGGGCATTGAGCGTATTGGCGTTGCTGGCCCGGTCTAGCTCGCTCTTCCACTGGCCCACGAGACTCATTGGAGCAACGACGAGCGTAACCTGGCCGGCGATGGTAGCTGTCGCGGCGCGATTCACTCCGGCGGCATTGCGGCCGAAGGCTGAGCTGATGGAAGTTTGACGGGGCCCACTGCGCCCTTCGATCTGCTTGGAGCGTGCTGCGTCGTCTACGTTCGCAGCGCCGTTGTCCTCGTCGTCGCCTTCCTCTCCTGGTCTGGCAGGACGATTGGCATGGATGAGTGAGGCGACCATGATTCTGCATGCGGGTAGTAGGCTGCTGTCAGTGATGATTCTTCGAGACGCAATGGGACGACGACATCTGAAACACACGTTTTGCCAAGCCCCATCTCGTCTGCTAGAATGCCACCGCGCGTGCCTTGGCTTGCCGGTTGGAACTGCATGCTCATCTCGCCAATGTAGGGATTGAAATAGAAGCTGGATTCGCCCTCTTGCGCTCTCGACGATGATCTTGCTCCTGCTGCCTCGTCCTCTTGCGGAAACTTGTACTCCTGCCAGAGAGGGTGCAAGCTAGCATCCTGCCTCTGCCCTTCACGCCCTTGTCGCATAGACGCTGGTCTCTCCATGTTCTGCATCCAGCCCAGTGCCTGCTTCTGGTACGGTCTGAGGCTGAGCGCAAAAGTGTCGGGCGGCTCGACCTCTGGTAGCTCTCGATCGTGCTTTTGAGCCTTGCTGTAGACGTCGGCTAGCTGCTTGTCTTCAATCTCTGTTCCATCATTCACATCAGGCTCGGCTTCGTCTTCGCCATCTACTGCGATGGCCGTTGAGGACGATGCGCCTGCTCCGTCAGTGCTAGGTGCAGGCGTTGCCGGTGTCGCTGACCTCGACCCATTTTTTGGCATGCTTGGCCCACCATTGCGCACAGACGTGGGACTCTGACTTCTTCTCAACGTCTCCTGCCCGCCGTAGTGATCGAGCATCGACGAGCTGCCAAATTTGCCATCTTCCGCGTGCTGCTGCAGTATATCGCTTGACTGCGTAGGCTTGAGGTCGCATGCCTTGAACAGACGAATGAGGGCAGATTTGCGGGTGCGCAGCTCCTTCTCATCCGTTGTCTCTGCTGTCTCTTGGAAGAAGTTCTTGGTGGGCTCGTTGCGAATATTGCGAGAGCGTCGCACGTCTGCCATGTCCGGGAAGGCTTCACGACGAAGGTAAGCCTGCGAGCGTGGCAATAGCGATGCGGGAGTCAGTGTATGCCCTCGTCAGGTGGCTATATGCTGCGCCACTGACCTTGATGTCCAGCAAGATATCGCATCCCACGCTGAGCACTGGAGGGCAATCGACGACGTAGCCTTCAAATTCAGCCATATTAAGATCCATGAGCTTGGAGACCCAGATGGCTGCCTCTGTGGGTAGTCTGCCGACCTCGAAGCCTGCGCGGGTGGGATCGGAGGAGGCGAGGCGGGAGGAGTCAGCGCGGGTATATGCTACTAGTCCTGAATATGCCTGTTCACCTCTCGTGTTGGCGAATCGTACCACGTAGTCGTCCGTTTGTTTCGTCTTCTGCGTAGAAGACGAGGAGGCAGTCTTGCCGCTCGAAGGTCCCGCTCCACCAAAGCTGAGCTTTGTCTGCTTCTTAGCTGGTGGCTTCTTGGCCGGCGTGGCAGCCGTCGCAGCTTGATTGCGCTGTTTGTCTCGCTGAATTGTTACCTTTGCACCTTGCTCTGCATAGCCCCTTCCCTTCGACAGAGCCCAGCCTGCGACGCAGAAGTGGCCGATCTGTGCAGTACGAAGAAGTGGGTGAGCGCGGGTGGCGTTGTGTTAGAAGGCCGCTCTCTCTCACGTATTTGCGCTGCCATGATGGCCCTGGTTCGGCTTCCTGAGGGGGTGATGTGCTTTTCTCCTGCTTGTGCATGCTTGAACCACCATTAGCAATGCTGCTGTCGGCCTCGACCTTCCTCCTCTTGTGAACCGTCACACGCTCAGCGTCTCTGTCCTCACGTCCATCGTCCTCGTAATCAGCGCTGCTCCCACGAAAGAGGTTCGGCCCAGTCGGCGAGGGAGATCGATCCTTGGTTCCAGCTGCTGGCGGAGGAGGCGACGATGCAAAGAAGTCGACGTCCTGCGAGCTGGTTGCCATGTCCACCACAGAACAGTCGAGGATGAAGAACTAAGTCAAGAAGCTGAAACGCGTGGCCCGAGCGCGACAGGACGGAACAGAGAAATCCAGTCGCGGACACAGCGGAGTGAATGAGGGCGACAGCCACGACCAGCTTTCCTTCCAACCACCACCTCCTTCCCCGCCCCTGAAGCCTCATCATGGTGGATACATCAGCATGACCTTGTCCAGCAAGCTTTGCGCACTCAGAGTCGCCCTCTGGGGCCCGCCTCCGGCTTCGGCCCTGGAGGCGAGACTGATTCGCAAGATCGACTTTCTCGTTCTCACTTTCACTTGTCTCATGTATTGGTCAGTACGCTGGTCAAGCAGCACAGCCCCGTCATTCGCTCTGCTGAAGATGCTCCAAAATTTTCATGCCCCTCCTCAGGTCCAACTACCTCTCCCGCACCGGCTTCCAATTCGCCTATGTCTCCGGCATGTCAGAGGATCTCTCCTTCCAAGGGAACGACTACTCAATAGCCAACACCCTCTTCACCGTCGGCTACGTCCTAGGCATGATACCCAATATCCTCGCTCTTCAAGTTGTTTCGCCCCACTACTGGCTGCCGGGGGCAGCCGCGCTATGGGCAGGGCTGGCAATGTGCCTCGCTGCGGCCAAGAACCCTGCGCAGGTGTTTGCGATTCGTTTCTTGCAGGGGCTCGTGGAGGCAAGTACGTTTGCAGGCTCACATTACATCTTGGGATCGTGGTACACGGAGACGGAGATTGGCAAACGCAGCGGAATATTCGCCTCCTCTGCACAGCTTGGCAGTCTCTTCAGTGGAGTCATCCAAGGGGGCATCCATACGAACATGGACGGGTATAGGGGCCTGCGCAGCTGGCAATGGCAGTTCCTCCTTGATGGCTTCATTGGCATTCCCATTGCCCTCTATGGATTCATCTTCTTTCCGGACGTGCCACGCAGGGCGAGAAAGTGGCTCTTGACGGAGGAGGAGCGCAAATTGGCCATCGAGCGTCTCCCTCGCCGCCAGCAAGTGAAGACGAGGATGGGATGGTCGCTCATCAAGCGCGTGTTGGGCCGATGGCACTGGTATGCCTTTTCCGCATTATTTGCCTGGTCAAGTATGCTCGAGTCCATTGGCTCAAATGGTCTCTTCGCCCTCTGGCTTCAGGCCGAGAGGTACCCGGTCAGGGATCGCAACTACTGGCCTCTCGCTCTTCAAGCAGTCGCGATCTCCTCGACTATTATCGCGGCGGCGGTCACAGATCTACCCAGCATCCCGCGCTGGACAGTCAATCCCGTTATGGCCGTCAGTCTGATCTTCACTAGCATCGTCCTCCTCATATGGACGGTCCCCTTCGGCCTAAAGTTCGCCGCCTTCACCATAGGAGGGATGGGCTACGCGGGACAGGCGACAAATTTCTCGTGGGCAAACATTGTCTGCGCCGGAGACGAGCAGGAGAGAGCTGTTGTGCTCGCCTCGATGAACATGTGGAGTAGTACGGTGCAGGCGTGGTGGAGCATCGTCTTCTACCCGGCGACGGACGCCCCGCGCTTCCGTAGGGGATGGATCGCGATGATTTGCATTGCGGTTGTGACGGTCGGCATCGCGTTGACTGTGAGGTGGATGGAGTTGAGGGAGAGGAAGCAGCGCGAGGGCGAGGAGGCGGTAGAAGTCGACCAGATGCTGCAGCAGGGCATGACAGTACAGGCGCAAGAAGTCAAGGACGAGGAGCCTATCGATCCCTTCGCTGGGGCGGAGAAAGCGTCTACTGTCACGGGACCGCAGCGGCGTCGAACGTCATCAGGGTCACGCCACAGCTCTCAGTCAAGGCTCATGAGCAGCCTGGCTTTCGTAGCACCCCTGCTGTGTCTCTTCATCGCCGCTCCGAACGCGGCTGCTGCAACATCGGTTCCATCCCTCTTCGCAGGGGATGACTTCCACGAAGCGCTCCACCTCCGTCCACTCCCCACCGGTCGGGTACAGAGCACCTTCTCTTTTACTCTCACCTCGCCGCACTCGCCCTTTTCTTTGTCATCGTCGCAAGGTCAGCCAGGTCGGCATTTCGGCCTGCTGCCTGCATCACTCCTGTCGACGATTGAGACATCAGAGCTCCCCATTGAAGAGCTGAGCTTGAGCTTCAATAAGGGGCGATGGAACTATGAGCGATGGGGGATGCCAACCTTCTTCGACGGGAAGCAGGAATGGGGCTCAGAGATGGTGGCTACGGGGGCGGAGGTGTGGGCGCGATATGACTCCACGACAGACCGGGACAATCGTCAGCACCCGCTCGCACATGAGGCAGATGCCTTTCATGGACTGCTCTCGCGACTTTCGGGCCAATTTTGCTCCACCCTTGCCGCCGCAGGCTCAAGAGAAGCAATCTCCGTCCCCTCCAATCTGACGCGCCCCCTCTTCTCCCGCAGCGCCAGCGATGACGGCAAACTAGTTCTCCACCTTTCCTCGCCTCCTTCTCCTTGCACCGAGGTCCTCCACCCCATGCTCTCCCTCCTGCCTTGCAAGAGGGCAGCCGGACTTGCGAGCGTACTGGAGCCGCATAAGTGGTTGGAGACGGAGTGGCACGGCATTGAGCTCAACATTCGTCGACGAAGCGGAGGCGAAGGGTGGGAGGTAGTAGTCAAGGTAGGAAGCGTGTGGAACGGGGTTGCAAGAAATGGCAAGAGGGACTTCTCCATGAGCAAGATCATGGGGGAGCCGCTACGCTCGACTTGCCCGCTTGCTAGTAGCAGCTTTGTCACTCTTGTGGCTCCGCAGGATGGGAGCGACTTTACTGCTGAACCTTTGCAGATTGGCGCCTTCATCGAGGCGGACGCGCAAGGTGGTGACGAGGAGCAGAACGACGCTGAGGACAAGGCTAAGCGGGAGCATCCTCTCATCACCCTGGCGGGCAAGCTACGCAAGGAAGGACAGCTGCGCTACGACACTGCCTCCTTCCTTTCTACCGCACCCGACCTGGACGTCTCCCTCCAATGGCTCAGCGAAGAGAAGTTCAATTACATTGCCGAGCGGCTCGTCCTTCCGGCACCCTCCTCTCTGTCCTCTCCAAGCCTCGGCGTACGTCGCTCCTTCATCTCGTCCTCCGCCCTCAGCGGGACCCTGCAACTCCACCTCACCAATCCCCGCCCAGACACATCTCGTCGGCTCATTTACAGGGACGTCCTCCCCTGGTTCCTGGACTTCTCCCTCCCTACCTCGCACTCCGTCACCACACTCCAGCCTCAAGACCCCAATTCGCCGTACATCCGCTTCGAGTCAGACGAGAAGCGCGATGCGGTTCGAAGGGTGAGCTACACGCCCTCCGCGCCCAGGAGAGGCCCTGCGGTACTGGAGTTGGAACTCGTCGTCCCGCCTGCCAGTGAAGTGACGTGGAGTGTAGAATTTGACAAGGAGACGCTGCGCTATGAGGAGCACCCACCCGATGCGCATCGCGGTCTCGACGTAGGCGCTGCGACTGTGTGGGAGGTGGAGGACGACGATGCGCGGGACGACCCGAAGGGCACTGCACGACCGCCTCGCCCTTTGCCGGGGAGGGTGTGGAAGACCCAAGTGGGGCTCATCGAGGTGGCAGTGCCCGACTTCTCGATGCCCTACAACGTCATCATCTTCACTTCGACGATTATTGCCTTGTTCGCAGGAAGCGCGGTGAACATTCTTACGAGGAGATTCACGGATGTCGAGGTGCCGCCGGATCTCGTTAGTGCGGCAGCTGCGGTGGTAGGCGTAGCGAGTAAGAGGCTAAAGGGCAAGGAAAAGGCGATGTAGACGAAGGTAGAGCGGGGAAAAGCATCTGCAAAATGGTATGATTAATCGCAACACGTCCAGCTGTCCCGATCACGGTCCGATCTGGCCCCACCTACGCTCCACTTGCCCTCTTCTTATTTCTCTCCTTTACGACAAAATTCCTCGTAATCCTGTCGCCAAGCCCCATAGGCATCGCATTGAGGAATTTCAATCCCCTGGCATGCGCACCCCACGGCACGATGACCGGTCCAGGCCTCGAGCTCATCCAGCCCGGCGCAAGGGAGGCGATGGCAGACTTGACCCAATCGTGTGAGGTGGGCATCATGCTTGTCGGTGGGCCGTCATTCATACCGCTGATGACCGTACCAGGGACCATGCAGACGACGTCTACTTGAGAGGGGGAGGGGGAGCTATGTTGCTCATTGTAGAGGGAGCGGGAGAAGTGGAGATTGTAGGCTTTTGTGCCACTGTAAACGGAGAGGCTACGCATGCGAGGGGTGAGAATGACGGTCAGTCTCTTGCCTCCCTCGCTCTGAACGTATGCCGCGCATACTCACTAAGGGCTCGGCGCCCACGCCCCGAGACTGGCAACATTAATGAGCAGCGCCGGTCCCCCTGCGGCCTTCATCTTGGGCAAGGCTCGCTTCGCAACCAGAGTGGGGAACATGGTGTTGAGCGCAACCATCGCACACGCATCCTCATCGCTGACCTCCTCGAGCAATGGATAGTCTTGATTCGTGATGCCGATGTTGTTTACCACGACGCGCAGCGAGAGGGAGGGGTCATCGATGGCTTCGGCGATCTGGCCAAGCTGAGGTGGTACTGACCCGGCGTCCGCTACCAATGTGCGAACTTCAATCGGGCGTGAGGACGAGGCTGATGCGCCAGTGAGGTCCGCCTTGACTTTGTCCAGCTTAGCCTGGTCGCGCCCATGGATTAGGACATTGAAACCTAGCGCGGCCAGCTGGGAGGCCCACTCGTAGCCCATGCCGTTCGTCGCGCCCGTGACTAGAGCCCACGAGGGCTTGGTATCGTCGGTAGACTGGTATCTGCGAAGAGCGTGGGAGGCGGTCATGACTGATTGAGATGGGGAAACAGACGTGAGGATAGGAGGTCAAGACGAGAAGACGCGAGAGAGCGGACAGAGCAGGACAAAGCGGAATGACGGACAGGCGGATGTGCAAGCATTCCGCGCTCCACAGTGTAGGCCTTGCCCGGCCGTCAAGGCTTACTTCGATGTCTACCTTTGATCTGGTTTGGTAGTCTTCTTACGATTTGGTGATTGAAGCAAGGCCGCTTTTATGACTCTCCATCCCATCTCTCTTCGATTGACTGAGGCCAGAGCTGTTGCTCCCACGTCGGCCCGATTGCCGCCTCCGGCCCGGCGATCTTGATTCGTGCTCGGCACGGGCCATCGCGTTTAAACCGGAAGCCCAAGTCAGTTTTGACCCTTCCCTCTTTCCTTACGCTCCTCATCCTTCAGCCGTAAAAACATGGCTCCGCTGACCTCACAGGAGCTCAGGCTGGACTCACGAAATGAACATGAGGACTCGGCCACCTTCAGCGCTCCATGGAATGAGATTGTACGTGCGCTTGCCTCTCCCTTCCACTTGACAGCTCGCAGCTTACCTCTCCTCCCGCTTCGCACCCGCAGTGGACGATTGGCGTGTCCCCGCAAGGCGGCTATTCCCTCTCCCTCATGATTCAAGCAGCACAAGCATGGGTCCGCCTCCCCTCTACCCACTCTCACCCAACTGCGGCCCCGCACATCGACCCGCTGCACGTAAGCGCAACCTTCGTGTATCCGCAGTCCATCTCCAAGCCGCTGAGTATCGTCGTCAAGCCACTCAAGAGGGGCAAAGGAGTGACTCTGGCCCAAGTAGACCTGACACAGGAGAACACAGTAGTATTGACGGCCAAATTGTACCTCACGAACTTCGCCGCAAGAAGAGGAGCGGACCCACCAATAAAGGGGCCGTCCTTCCCTTCGCATCCCTGTCCCCTCACCAAGCCAGGCGAAGTCACGTCACAATCAAAACACTACGGCGGTAAGCAGGTCAAGTTCAGAGAACTGATATCCATGCGGCGTGATGATGCTTTTGAGGAGAGGAACAAGGGCAAAGTGGCGGGGGCGTGGTTTGAGATTACAGGCGATGGGGAGCGGGATGGGCTCGCGGACGGCAAGGAAAGAGGGGTAGGATATCACTGGCTGCCGATCTTTTGCGACATGTACCTGTGAGGAGGCGATGCTGCGTCATTCAGCTGAGCCAGGACTTGCTGACCCACTGACGCTCTTCGTCCGCAGTCGCCCCCCAGAACAGCGCGACCTCTACCCTAAGGGAACAGCGTGAGTGTACGACAGATCACGCTTCACCTGACGTCGCATTGTTGACTCCCCTCCTTCTTGCTGCCTCGCCTGTAGCTGGTGGTACCCGACCCTCTCCCTCTCAATAGAGTACAAGCGCTCCCTCCCGCAAGACGTCCTCCTCCGTCGGTGGGGTGAAGTGTCCTGGGTCGACTTTACCCAGGATGGGCAATATGACAATAGCGTGAGCCTGACCCACGGTGCCTTCACGCCTCTCCTCTCTCAGGCTGACTTGTTCTCCCTCGGACTTGTTCGCGGCAGGTACAAATCTGGAGCCATCCGGCAGATAACCATCTCCTCGACCCATCAATGCGAGAAGAGGACGGCCCGCAGATCCTGGCCATCGCGAGGCAGGTGGCCTTGTCTACACCGCTGGGACAGCAAGGAGGTGAGAAGAGGAGGATGCAGGCTAGGAGCACCAGCGAGCAGGGCGAAGGAAAAGGGGCGAAGCTATGATTGGCCAGTGGGCGTGCCGATGGGCGAGCGATGCAGGAGCGAGGTCATGAGGACAGTGAAATCGTGTTACGTCTAATGAGGAGAGGGAGCTACAAGTCGAGGAGGGAGATGACAGCGAGGGGAGCAGAAAGAGAATTATAGACATCTTGGAGAGGGCGATCCGCGCAGCGGGTTTGCGAGAGGAGAAGGTCCGTTAATGTGTCGTAGGTGACGATCGTGAGGTAGAGTAATTTGATGACAGGGCAGCGATACGTTGGTCACTGTGGCGTAGCAGAGTGTTCGAGGAGTTGGTTGGCTGGCTGTCCATCGTTCTGCTTGATGCGATGAGCTGCTGCTGCTGCTGTTTCGATGCTGATACTGTCCATGACCCACCTCACAGTGCCCTACCCAAGATGTTCCATCCTGATAACCCCACAGCCAACAGGGTAGCCACCAGCCCCACTACCAGCGGTTGCGGCATGTACCCCAGCCCAGCCCCACTCTTGCAGCTTGCACAAATCCACCCAGCGCTCAAAGGCGTATACGCCTGAGGGATGTAAAGCGCAAATTGCACCTTCTGATTCGGCTGGAACACCCCGGGGCTTGCTCCCACGCCGAGTCCCCTCTCATCCATTACCTGCAATCTATACGTCTCCTGCACTAGCGCTGGCAGATTGCTCGCCGCAGCCGTCATTGAGTAGCTATACGGGTTCCAAATCGCCTGCGTGGCAGTCCCGGGCAGCGTGGCAATGGGATAGGTGTTCTTGTTGCTCGTGCAGTACGCTTGGAGCGTGAGGGAAGTAGGGTAGGAGAGGATGCTAGTGAAGTTCCATGCAAAGGTGACGTCTACTCCAGGAGCGATCTTGTAGTAGGAGGCTTCTGCGGTCTGGACAGGCTGGGTTATCGTGATGCCTCCGGCTGGGGCGGATGAGGGGATTGAGACGCCCGTCGTGGAGGCGGTATTGCCGCCATTGTTGCCATTCTGGGCTGCGGTGGTGGTTGTGGGTTGGATGATGGGGTCTGCTGCTTGAGCGAGAGCGGGAGTGAAGGCGAGTGCAGTGCAGAGGAGGAGGAAGAGGGTGGGAAGCTGGCATGGTGTCATCATGGTGGAGAGCGTGGAGCCTTTGCTCCTGGTCGTGAGTGCGACGTGCAAGAGTGGAGCGAGTGAGGTGTAGAGGGATAGTTGATGCTGATGATGAGGACGGCAATGAAGCGAAGGAAGGCGACGTGTGTGCGCGTCCTGGCCTCTTCTCTGAGAAGTCGATGGGAATGGCAAGTGAAGCAAGGAGGTGCGAGAAGCGAGGAAGCGAGGGAGAAGTCCAAGTCCAACAGACCCGCCTCAGGGTTCCAGAGAGCAGGCGGGCACTTTTGGCTGGACTGAGACGCGGGAGTGCGACGCCCTCACGAGACGGGGCTGTGAGTCGGAGCTCCGCCCGAATTTCTCGAGCTCGGGCCTCGTTGAGAGTGGTCACAACCAAGAACTCTTGGAAGGTGCTGCGGGAAGCGATGAAAGGGGACAATGACATGATTGATGCGATTGCATGGTGGTGACTTGGTTTTCGTGTATGAAGAGCGTTTTGCGTTCTGCGCTCTGACTGTCATCTCTCACTCTCTCGATTAGCACGGACCCCCATTCACGCGTCCACCAGCCTCAAACCCCCCACCAACTCCTGGCTCGCCGCATTACCCTGCAACAAATAGCGCAGTGTGAACACGGCATGCTCCCGGATATACGGATTGCTCACATCCAGCTTGGTCATTCCCAACACGAGGAGCAGTCCACCACTCTCCCTCACCAAATCCTGCACGGCCCGCACTTGGTCTCCTTCCTCTGCATTCTCTAACGCTGAGCGCTCCTTGAAGGACTCGGGGAGGGATGACGGGGAGTGCTGGAAGACTAGGACGCCGAGAAGTTGCACGAGGGCTCGATTGAGGTGATCGAGCCGCGGACGGTCCGGTTCGGCTTGTGGGCCGGTGCCGCTGAGACCAGTAGAGGTGTGTGCGTGCCCTTCTGGCAGGCTGCCATTCCCATTTTGCCCCATCCTAGATGTGAAGGGCGAGATAGCAGGTGCAAATTCGCCCACCGCTCTGAGGAGCTCTACCACTGCCTCCACAAACTCGCGTGTCCTCATCCTGCGCAAGACTTCTTCGCTCTCCAGCCTGAACTGCTCGTCGTCCTCCATCCCTTCGCAGCCTATCATGCCCAGCTGGATGAGGTTCTCCAGCACAAGTACCAGAGCAGCGTGCACCCCGAGCAGGCGGCGGTCAACATGACCTGCGCTGTGCTGAGAGATAGCGCCGCGAATGAAGGTGGCTAGCCTTGCAAACTCGTCGACGAGTACGCCAAACTGGTCCATGCTTGAGTTCTCCCTCATTGTGTGCTGCTGGCCACCCGCGTTGATCCAAGCATCGACTGTCTTTAGCAAGAGCGTTTGCTCGGTGGTGACAATCTCCTCGTGCTGCCCGTCCAGCTCTCCCGAGCCGACGCAAGCAGGCCCGAGATTGCGGTACATGTGCCTGAACAGCCCGATTTCGAACAGGTGAGCGAAGATGGCGTAGCCCACTGTGACTTGCATGGAGCTGGAAGGGGAAGAATGGGTCGATGTGCGCTTGTGCTTCGATAGCTTCTGCGCTCGCGGCTTCGAAGCTGGTGTTGAAGGCCCATCGTGGAGGTCGAGCTCCCCCACACCAAAGTCTTCCAGCTCGCCGTCGTCATCGTCGTCGTCTTCGTCACTTTCGCTATGTCCATTACGCCCAAGCCTATGGTCACCCTCGTCGTCCTCTGCAAGCGTTGTTTCGAACAAGTGGAGCAGCTGGCCCAAAAGCCTCCGTCCTGCCAAGCTGGCAGCCAGGGCAGTCGAGTTGGTGGCGGACGACTTGATGCAGTTGAGCAGCAGCACCTGAACCGCTTCGACCGTACCGGCGTCAGGGGAGGCAAGAAGATTCTGCAGCACCTCGACGCGTTGTGTCGCTTCTTGGCTTGCTGTGCCATTGACTGCGCTGCTAGGCCTGACCACCCTCAACTTGTGGAAGAGGGCCTTCTGTAGGTTCTTGTGCATCGTGACCATATTGCAGAGCAGCTGCACTAATGTGCGCACGAGCGGCTGTATCTCAGGGTCGCTGCTGAATGCCAAGCTCGAGCCTAGTCGGAGGAGGGCAAGCGTGTCGCTGCAGAGGCAGTCGAAGATGAGCTGCTGGGCTTGTGGGTGACCGGCTACGAGGTTGCGGAGTAGGCGGGAGGAGAGGAGAGACAGGTGAACCTGCGACGAGAAGAGCGAAAGGAGTTGAGTACTGATGCCGAAGGACGCCTCCCCTTGGCCGTCTCTCTCGTACCCACCTTGATCTGCACCCGCTCAGACTGCGAGAAACCAGAAGGCTCCTTAGCCTTGATCTCGAAGACGCTCTTCCACAATGGCGCGAAAACGGCTGCTCCTCTCGGCGATCCCGATCCAGACTCGCGCAGGGCAAGTAGAGGTAACAGCTCCTCTCTTACGCCTTCGAGGTTGGTTTGCGCCAGCGATGACGCCTGCTGCAATGCTAGGAGGAGGTCGGACTCGCGCACGGGGGCTGGCGAAGATGAAGACGACGATGGTGAAGAGCCTTCGCTGAGCAGACCATCACGCAAGAAGGCTTTCAGCGCGGCTGGTACCGAGGTAGACGAGGTGGTCATCTCGCGAGCGGTGAGACGGCGATGGGGATGGTGGGAATACTGGTCGTTTGAACCCTTGATCTCGACAGCACCGCCTGGCTGCTATCTGGTCGTCCTTGACTCGCGCGTTCCTTCGGCGTCCATTCGGACGGATGCAGCGGCTTGAGTCGCTCGACTCGCAGTCCGTGCCCTCGCAATCTACGCGGCGCACCACTTCACGCCAGGCCACGAGGCGCGAGGCGCAGGCAGCCAGCTAAGCGTCCACGAGACGATGGGATGATACGATTGCAGTGAGGAATGGCGGATATGTCAACAAAGGGGGCGGTGAAGGAAACGAGGTTGATGTTGCAGACAAGCCTTGTTCGAAGTCAGATGGATCGCATGCTAGATCGCTCATTGGCCCTTCTCGTGGCTCCGGCGGTTGCAGCTCATCGACGCAATCACGCGGATTCACGCCGAGAGCCGGAGCCCACCACCACTCGACTTCGACCTCTGCGATCAGACGCCCTTCTCCTCGAGAGATGGCCCACGCAGCGAGCGACAGCATGATCAGAGCAATTGATACATCAAATTGGAAAGCATCGTGACCACAACCTGCTTGTTGCTGTGCTCTTCTTGCATCAGGCTTTCGCGGGGTCCCACACTATGGCCGACTTGGCCGTCGGCGAATGGGGCAGGCGGGGGGTGGGCCAGCCACGCTCACTGCCCGTCGCCCGGTCCGCCCTGTCGGCGGAGGCAGGCGCATCTCTCCGGCAATTGGCGAGGGGAGAAGGGAAGGCGGCCCTCGCAGAAAGCGTAGCTCCACCCGAAGAGGTAAAACGTCGACCAAGGATTCGCAGCATTGAAATCGGCTTCTCCTCTTTCCTTCCTGACCCCAATCATCTTGCATCCTTCAACTCCTCTGCGTCGGCTGGCATGCTCCTCCCCCGCCAATCACTGGCCACCGCCCGATCAACTCGAACATCGACGACGCCCATCCTCCGCCTCTCCCAGCAACAACAGCGTCGCACCATGATCCTCAAGGCATCGACCCTCGCCAATGGCAAGGGCAAGCTCTTCGAGGGGCAGCAGTCCCTTCCTTCTCTCCCCGTCCCCGCCCTTGAGCAAACCTTGAAGAAGTACCTGCGCTCCACCGTGCCTCACCAGGCCAACGAACAGGCCCTCGAGAAGACGCAGGCGGCTGTCGAGTCGGCTCTCAGCGGCAAGGACCACGAGCTCTTCATGACCCTCCAGAAGCGATTGCAGGAGCGTGCTGCCTCGCCCGAATCGGACGGCAACTGGCTTGCTAGCTGGTGGAACACCGCAGCTTACATGTGTGAGTGTCAGCGAGGCGCCCGAGATGCCCTTCTCCCCTTGCTAACCCGTCTTATCTACGCCCCTCGCCGCCAGCGTATCGCGACCCCGTCGTCCCATACGTCTCTTACTTCTACGCACACAAGGACGACAAGCTGCGCACTACTGCGCCGAAGCGCGCATCTGCCCTTCTCAAGGGCGTTCTGGCCTTCCGCAAGCTCGTCGAATCCGAAGAGCTCGCCCCGGAGAAGACCAAGACAGGCTACCTCTGCTCTGGCTCCTACCCTTGGATGTTCAACGCCTCGCGCATCCCGGTCAAGGGAGAGGACGAGGCTGTCAAGTACCCGGCGGACAAGAACAACCATGTAGTGGTGGTGAGGAAGGGCAGGTTCTACGAGTTTGACCTCGTGGATGGCAGTGGGAAGGAGCTCAGCGCGGCGGATATTGAGGCGCAGCTGGACAAGATCCTCGCCCAGGCCTCTGAGCCCGAGTCTACGCCTGTTGGCGCCCTCACGTCGGACAACAGGGACAAGTGGCTCTCCTCCCGCGAAACTCTCATGTCCGCCTCGCCCAAGAACAAGGAGGCGCTCGAGCGCATCCAGTCTGCCGTAATTGTCCTCTGCTTGGACGACCTCAAGCCCGTCACGCGCGAGGACTCGGCATGGCAGCTCTGGTACGGCGATGGCAAGAACCGTTTCTACGACAAGCAGCAGCTCATCGTCTTTGACAATGGCAAGTCGGGCTACATGGGCGAGCACTCCACCATGGACGGCACGCCCACGCTCCGCATGAATGACTTCATCATCCAGGCCATCGCCGCCAACAAGATCGACATGGGCGCTTCCGAGCCGCAGGGCAATCTGGGCACCCCCAAGCCGATTGGCTTCGAGCTCGATGCAAAGAGCAAAGATGCGGTCAAGCAGTCGATCAGCAACTTCGAAGCCCTCAAGGCCAAGCACGATCTCTCTATCCTCGACTTCCAGGGCTACGGAAAGAATGCCATCAAGGCGTACAAGTGCTCACCGGACGCATGGGTTCAGATGGTCATCCAGCTCGCATTCTTCAAGAAGCATGGCCACCCTGCCCCAACGTACGAGTCTGCGCAGACCCGCAAGTTCAAGTGGGGACGAACAGAGACGATCCGCTCTTGCTCGCCTGAGTCGCAGGCATTCGTCGAAGCGATGCAGGACCCCGTCGGGAGGGATGAGGACAGGTACGCAAAATTCCAAGCGGCGGTAAAGCAGCACCTCAACTATGCGACTTCAGCTGCGGACGGACAGGGGGTGGATCGCCACTTGTTCGGACTGAAGAAGCTCCTCAAGGATGGAGAGGAGGTGCCCGCCCTGTACAAGGATGAGGCCTTTGGCAAGTCCTCCAACTGGCAGCTGTCCACCTCTCAGATCTCGAGCGAGGTCTTCTCTTCTTGGGGGTACGGTGAGGTAGTCCCGGATGGGTACGGCTGTGCGTACGCTATCAAGGGTGACTCGCTCACGTTCACGGTTACGAGTTTGAAGCTGGGAGCTGGGGAGCTGACCCACTACTTGAATGAGGCGGCGTTGGAGTTGAGGGAGATGCATGACAGGTTGGCAAAGGCGAGGGAGGCCGAGAGTGGCAAGGGGAAGTTGTGAGAGCGCCGCGTGAGGAGACGTTGGATGTTTTTGCTTAATGTTGATGCCGTTCGGCTACTAGAGGACGATATGCATAAGAGTGAAGCTGTGAATGGCATGTGTGATAAATTGAGTCCATGTACGACGAACATCAGAAAGCAAGGACAAGGCAGTGAAGGATGGGAACAGATGGCTGGTTGGCTTGACTATCTGCCCTGGTATTATTGCCCCAATCCTCATCTACCTCCTGCTAACGGTCCTGAACAAACTAACAGCAAATACCGTCACGTACGCCAACAAGGTTGTAAAGCTCAACCCGATGAATGCTCCCTGCAATCTACAGATGTATGGCTGCAATCCCGGGTTCTGAAGCACGTTGGGACCCTCAGCTTCCGCGCAAGAACCGGACGAGGAGGCAGAGGTGTTGAATGGGGAGTACCAGTTCACGCAGACGAGGGAGGAGGTGGCGTAATTGTCGAACGTGAGGGAGAGGAGTGAGGACCAGAGGGAGATGAAGATGAGCTGCGTGCAAAGGAGAAGGACGAGGGGAAGGGGATCCCAGTCAGGCCACATGTGCGTGGATGTCTCGAGACACGGTTCTCGCCTACTCACCTCGATCAACTGGTACCCCAGCTTACTACCAACGCTCCAAAGCCCGATCGGTCTCCCAAAGTACTCCAACCACACCTGCGTCGCCACATGCACTAGACTCAATGGCGCTACCACAATTCCGAACAGTGGGGACGACCCAACGCTGTCGCTAGCCCTCTGTGCTCGCAACGTGATGTAAAGCTTGATCGCAATCGCGAGCGTGGCGGTCGTGAAGCAGAGATTGATGCAGCGCAGCAGCAGCGGGGCAAAGGGATGGTGCAGCAGGAAGGAGGCCCACGCCGATTCGGTCGTGGAGCGATGCGTTGAGGCGTCTCCGTGGATGGCGCGACCGGTCTTCTCGTCGAAGGAGATGATGGGGGCGCCACGACTGCCTTTCTTTTTGCTCTTGCGTGAGGAAGTCGAGGCGCCACGCTTGTGCCCTCTACTCTCTGAGGCGCCATTGCGTTGATTGCGGCGATTGAGACCCATGAAGGCGAGCTTTTTCTTCCCTTGTGAGCCAGAGGGTTTGCCATCCGCCTTGCCATCTCGGTCCCCTTGGTCGGCCCCATCGAGGTCGTACTGGTCCCACTGCGACGCCTCTGGCCTCCACGGTGACTCCCAGCCGGGCGTTTGAGCTTGAAAGCGAGTGAACGACTTGCCTAGCTCTTCATCATTATTGTTGGCAGGGATACGTGCGCGCATCTCCGTCGCAGGGAGGTACGAGGAGGGGTCGCTCTGCTGCTGGGCTTCCGTGTCACTTTGCTTGCTTCGGGGTATGTTGCCGCTCGAGTCGTCTCCGCTTGTGCTGGCAGGAAGGCTGTTGTCGCCCTGCTGCTGCTGCTGCTGCTGCTGCTGCTGTTGCTGCTGTGTGATTCGATTACTACTCTGCTGCCTTTTCCTCGCTCCTTGCCCGCCAAGAAATCCGGCAGCAGTGCCGGCGCTGGTCGCCTCGCCAAGCCCGATAGCGTCAGCTCGACGATCTTTCTCTTTGTCCTTGCTTTTGCCTTTGCCGTGATGGCGATGATGCTTGTGATGGTGATGATGCTCCTTCTTCTGACGTTGCCTCCCATCGATCCCACCGGGAACAGCCCCGCTCAGCCCCTGCAGATTGTCGTTGTTGTCACCGGGAACCTCCTCGTCACTCTCACACGTATCGCTCCCATCGCCGCTCTCACTGCTCCCACTACTGCTACTCTGCGAAGAGCAGGCGCTATCCCGTCTTCTAGCGCTGCCGGTAACAGCCTTGCCCTTCTTCTCGCGCTTTTGGCGCTCTTCGTCAGCGGTGCGCTCCTTCTCCTTGCTCTGGTGGAGCATAAGGAGGTGATGCTCGTGCAGCCTGTTGCGGTACTTCTTGGGAAGTGTGAAGGTCCAGAAGCGATCCGCTCCGCTGCTGCCTTCGTCTTCGTCGCCATGAGGTGAGGAGGAAGTGGCGCCCGTTGGTGTGGGCGCATTGCTGCTTCGTCCGCCCATGCCGCCTACTGAGGCTGAAGGGGTGGATATCGGACCTGGAGGTCGGGTCTTTGACGATGAGGGTTGAGGTTGGGATGCTGCGGGTTGTTTGTTTTTGCTGCCGGACGAAGAAGCTTGAGCTCCCTGGCTGGCGTCTGCTCCTCCCTCTAGGCCTCCGACATCATCCTCTGTATCCCTCGCCCAAGCCGGCGTAGTTATAACGCTGCGCCGGTCCTGTTTTCGTCTCGATGCTGTCGTAGAAGGAGCGCTGCCGATGCTGCCCACGTTGTTGTTGATGCTACCTCCACCGCCTTCGCTGCGACGACGAGCGTCGCGGATCGACGACATGTCGGGATAGCGGTATGAGGAGGAGGACGATGAGGGGAAGATGTCGAAGCAAAAGCTCGTGGGAAAGGAGGGAAGGAAGGGGAAAGGAGCTAGCCTAGGGTCCGGTGCTCTCGCCCTCTCGGTGATGACGCCAAGGAACGCGGGCGGACACAAATGAGGCGGCGGGCCGGGCGAGCGGAGTGTGACACAATCGAGACCAAGAGTCGTGCGGGACACGGACGGACAGAGAGGCGAGCAGAGACTCGATTCCTTGGTCTCAGGCACGGCTTGGATATTGGAACGTCTTCGCCTCGCAGCACCGTATCAAGTTTAGAGCTCGACTGGCGCTACCACGACGACGACGAGTGGAGAGGAGTGAATATCGTCGAGGAGAGCGCGATGAGTCAAGGTATCACGGAGAGGATGCAGGCCACTTCGCTCCTGGATCCACCTGCGCTGGTCCACACGCTCGCTCACGGCGCACACGACTCGTCAAGCTCATCATCCTCCGTCCTCGCTTTGGCGGTCAGCGCGAGCGACAACGTCAATGGAGATGGCCCTCTCATCTTTTCCGCCACCTCCTCTTCAGAATCGATCCACGTCTTCTCCTCTCACACATACCTGTCACACCCAACCACTCCCCAGCTACACGGGCACACGTCGTCCATCCTCGCCCTCGAAATCGCCCCCTCCCCTCGCAATTGGCTCTTCAGCGCGTCAGCAGACGGCACGGTTCGGATCTGGGATACGATCAGCTTGGAGTGCTTGTATGTGATACTGGTACAGGGAGACGATGAGGAGGACAGCAGTGTAGGAGACGTATTCGCACTGAGGTGGCAGAAGGAGACGGAGACGTTATTCATTGGATGCCAAAATACGAGCTTGAGATGGTGCAGCTTGGCCAAGCTGCCGTACTCAAATAGGAGTAGGAGAGTGAGGGGAGCAAAGGCTACAGACGCTATCGGCAGAGGAGCTCGTTCACGCGCCTCGGGCAGCGACGACGAAGACGAAGACAACGAGCTCGACGCAATATCCTCACCTGCGACGGCTGCGGCAGGCGCGTCCTCCTCAACCTCTCGCTCCTCCGCCATTCCGATCCCAACACCTCCCCTCGTGCGGCCACACAAGTTCTTTGACTCAGATGCGCTACGACAAAGCAACAATGCAGCGACTGCCCAGGCATTAGGGCTCTCATCCTCTTATCCGTCAAGAACTAGCAGCTTCTCCGGCCCGCCATCGCCTGGACCTCGTACGCCTCCATTGAGCAGCAGGATGGGCCGATATCCTTCTCACCAGGGAAGTCCGGGGCCGAGCGCCCCATCACCGGTACTGCCGGCTGCTCCCAACATCGAGGCCCCGCCAGCGATGGGCGCTGATTCTCAGAAGCCAGCGAGGACTGCACGCTACATGCAACTTGGCCCCTCCTGTGTCCTTCCCAACGCACACTATGGATACATCTATGCGTTAGCCCTCTCTTCGTCGCCGTCCATGACCTCCTCTACCACACCCCCTCTGCTTGCCTCGGGCTCAGGGGACGAGGATGTTAAATTGTGGGCTTGTCCCACGCCATCCTCATCAACGGCGTCGTCAACGAGCTGCCTAGAGCTGGTCTCCACCCTGCCCGGCTCCTCGACCACTAGCGGCGGAGCAGTCCTTTCACTCGCAACGTGGGGTCAGACCACACTCTTCGCCGGCAAGCAAGACGGCGGAATAGACGTTTGGGATCTGGACACGCGCGCTCTCCTGCGAACGTTGGAGGGAGGGCACGACGATGATGTGCTCTGCCTTGTTGCGCAAGAGGGTGGGGAAGACGAGGGGGACGGAGCAACTCTCATCAGCGCAGGCGCAGATGGGCGCGTCTGCCGCTGGGATGCTGGCTTTAGGCTGACACAGCGCTGGAATGCTACGCAGCATCAGCATGGCGGAGCGGGCAGCATTCAAAGCTGTACGGTTCTCCCCGCTGAGAAGAGGAGCGGTGCCGGCCTCCGCCTTCTCACAGGCGGGTCAGACGGGCTCATCTCCGTCTGGCAGCTCTCCTCCCATTCCGACACCACCGCAGCGACTAACAGCGTCATCAAGCGCGTCGGCTTTGAGCTTGACACCCCCTCCAACACCACCACCACCACCACCACCTCCTCCTCTTCCATACGCTCAGCTCCGCGCAACATCTCCTACGATACCCTCCTCCCCTCTCTCGCTGCTTTCGTAGCATTTCGGTCCGTTTCCTCATCCGACTCCTCATCAGAAGGAGCCGCAACGCAACAGGGATACCACCGCGAGCAGAGCAGGCAATGTGCCTACTGGCTGAAAACCCATCTCTCTTCCCTCGGTGCTAGCCAGTCCCAAATCTTGCAGGGCGCTCCAGGCCGGAACCCGCTCGTCCTCGCCACATTCGAGGCTCGCAGTGGGCTTCCGTCAGCGTCCCCCTCGTCAACAAGGAGAAAGCGTGTGCTATTCTACGGCCACTACGACGTAATCACCGCCCCCTCGACTGGAGGTGGGGGAAGTGGCTGGAGGACGGCATCGCCTTGGACCTTGACGGGGCAAGACGGTTATCTATACGGCCGAGGCGTGTCAGACGATAAAGGTCCGATCCTAGCGGTCGCCTCTGCAATTCAGCGTCTCCACTCGCGTCGCAACCTGGAGGTAGATGTGGTGATGCTCATTGAGGGAGAAGAGGAGAGTGGATCGGCGGGATTCAGGGAATGTCTTGAGAGGCATAAAGGCGATATCGGTGAGGTGGACGTGGTGCTGTTGAGCAACTCTTACTGGTTGGATGAACAGACCCCGTGTGTTACGGTCGGCATGCGCGGGGTGATCAAGGCGAGCGTCACAGTCTCCAAGCCAACCAGGCGCCTCGGACACAGCACAAGCGGGTCACGCTGTGACGCCGCAGGCGGCGGAGGTGGGGACGGGGATGATGTTCACTCTGGCGTGCAAGGTGGCTCACTACGCGAGCCTATGCTCGACCTCGTACGACTTCTCGCCCATCTGTCCGATGGCGGACAGCGTGTGCTGGTGCCAGGGTTCTACGAAGATGTGGCGTCACTGAGCACAGGAGAGATCAAGGAGTACGAAGAGATCGTACAGGTGCTCAATGAGAATGCGGAGAAGGAAGCAGGAAGCAAAAGCGACAGTTCCTCGCCCAGCGTCGACTCCCTCATGGCCAGATGGCGCTACCCCTCGCTCTCGCTGCATGGCATCACTTCGTCGTCGGCGAGCACCATCAAGCCGTCCTCCTCTAACAGTATCAGCAAGTCATCATCCTCGTCGTCCTCAGCTGGACACAGCGGAGCGATCATCCCTGCCCGGGCCACTGCTCATCTCTCACTGCGTCTCGTCCCCAACCAGTCCCTCTCCACGGTACGCAATCAGCTGGAACAATACCTCCACGAGCGCTTCGACGCCGCTCAAATCGAGCTCACCTCCAGCGGCATAGCGCTCCCTCCCCCACCAGGTCGCAACACACTCACCGTCGACGTCGGCCACGAAGCCGGCTGGTGGGTGGCGGACTCCTCCAGCGCCTACACATCTGCGCTACGCGAATCCATCCGTCAAGCTTGGTCCTCCTCGGACTCTCCTGCTTCCTCATCGAACAGCCCCACCCTGCCCCTAGCAATCAGGGAAGGTGGCTCCATTCCGGCCGTCTCTATCCTCGAATCCTTCTTCTCCGCTCCAGCCGTACATTTGCCCATGGGACAGGCCAGCGATAGTGCCCATTTGAGTGATGAGAGGATTCGCTTGTTGAACTTGTTGAAGGGGAGGGAGATTGTCATGGGATGGTTGGGAAGGGTGGCGGCACTTGACGATGGAAAGTGAGAGGGAGAGGACGCGAGGTGGAAATGTCACTGTCTACATTGTACTGGGATGCCAATCGGATAGTCTAGATACAGAAAGGGAATCGCGGTCGTAGGAATGGAAGCGCAGTGGTAATGACGAAGCCAAGTTTCGATGACGATCTTGCCCTTACTACGGCTGACACTGAGCCTGATGGGTTCTACCCGTCTCTCTCTCTCGAGCCACCCTCCCCTGCTCTTCAATTTGATCCCCTTCTCTCCTCGCCATGTCCATGCTCTGCACTGACCCCACCATTTTGAGCCCAAGGACAAGGGCAAGGGCATTCTCCGCAGGGAACAGACGTGGCGCCCTGCCTGCTCCCACTCGCACTACCACTCGAAGCTACTCCACCATCCAACATCCTCAACGCCTCCTCAACGCGATCGTTCTCCAGGTAGAGACGGCGACGCTTGTGGTGCGCACCTGTCTGCGTCTGCGTCGCTGCTGCCGCTGCCGTGAGCTCGGCTGCTCCAGCTCCGGACGGACCACCACGAACAGCGCTCGTAGGCGAAGTGGCCGTCGCTGGCCCACGACCAGAGACCACGTCTGCCAGCAAGTTGAGGCCGCCCTCCCATTTGGGGAATCCGGGGTGGGCACGCAGCTGTTTGAATGCAGAGGGAATCGAGAAGCCTTGCGCGTGCGAGCTGGACGAAGGGGAGCCGAGAGGCGGCAAGGTCAGGTGGGAAGGACCACCAACGCTCCCACGCGGTCGGCGATAGTAGGATGGCGTTGCGCTGGAGGTGGGGCCCGTTGTGAGGCTTCGAGGGGGTAGGGTAGGTCGAGCAGGCGAGGCGGTTGAGCCAGAGCCTGAAACTCCACTACGCTGCTGCATCGAGAAAGAGAAGTCGCCTGAAGGAGGCACAACCCCCTGCGGTGCGGCGTTCGGCCAGCTCTCGGCCCCCGCCTGTGCGTTGTATCTCCTGGCCCCATTCGCACTGTATGGCTCTGCGGGTCTGATCGTCTGACTACTACTCGCCGTCGCCTCACTCTCCGCCTCGCTCAAGTTGGCATTATCGTCTGCGGCCACAGCCTCACAGAAGGCGGCTAGGGCAGGGTCCGTATTGCATGCCGGACAGTTACGGGGGTCGCCGGAGCACATGGCTTCGTCTGCTGTCTCGTCTTCTTCGTCTTCCTCGACGTCATCGAGGCCATCGTGGTAGCCGGGTGGGAGAGGAGTGGGCGTCCAGCTGTACATTGCGCTGCTCGTCGACGAGAGGGTGCCGGTGGAGGAGAGGGGCTGGGTCCACCAGAGCTTCTTCTGGCCAGATGATGTGCTGGGAGCCGCCTTCGACGGGGTCGTCGTGGCCGTGGACTTGGAGGCTTGAAGGAGACCGGTAGCTGCTGCGACGGCGGCTGGGGAGCGGCTGGCTGCGCCAGCGCCTATTGTCGTTGGTGGCGCGGCGGTCTTAGAGGCCGATGCGGTAGTGGTGGCCCAGAGCTTGGGCTTGTTGGATGAAGACGTAGAGAGGCGCGACGAGAGGAGTGAGGCGACGGTGACTGCCGGCCTACGTGGGACAGAGAATGACAGAGTGGTGTCATCCTGACTTTCCGATGCTGCCGGTGCCGTCGCTCCCTCGTGCACGTTCTCATACTCCGACTCTTCGATCTTGACCATCTGGTCCACCCCGTCCATCCAAGCCGCCGCAGCAGCGTTGGCCTTCTCGCTGACGTCATCGCCGTCTTCGTCCATGCCTGTGAGGTCGAGCACCGCCTCACCGCGGCAAAGGCAGGGCGTCGCATCGGTGCAGAAGCCACAGTCCCGATCCATGTCAATGTCGCTCATGGGCATGAGGTCGGGCGAGCCGCGCGTTGCCGTTGCGGAGGAGGTAGCTGCCCCTCCGCCACCGCAGCCGCGGCTTGTTGTGGCTACGGGAGGTTGCTCGAAGAAGGGCGTAAGCAAGGGCTGTGAGGCTGACATTGAATTGCCATTGCTGCCATCGAAGCGAGTGGTAGGCGATCCGAAAGTGGGGGGAGAAGGTGCCGCAATGCTCATTGCTCCAAAGCGCGAGGTCGACGCGCCCATGTGATCCGCAGGTGCGAGGGGTAGTGATTCACCCGCTCGATCAGCTGAGGACGAGGGGCGTGAGGGCAGAGGGCGCTTGCGTCGGGCTGCCAGCGTTGGCCCATTCTCCTCCCGAGGTGGTGACATTGAGGACGATGCTTCGTGCGCCGGTGCACGACATCCTGCTCCTGATTGAAGGCAGCCGTTCCACCCTTGTGAAGGGGGCTGCTGATGCGGATGGTACTGTGGCTGCTGCTGCTGGGTCTGCATGGCTCGCAGCTGACCATGCGTCTCCTGAGCCTGTAGCTGAAGATGCTTGACAGCAGCTTCGAGGTCCTTGACTTGACGCCTCAACGTTGCATTCTCCGTTGTGAGCTCCTCACTCTGGGTCCTGATTTCCCGCTGCGCTTCGGCCTCTTTGGCGTCGCGCGTGAGCTTCTCTGCCTCATATTCGGCAACCTTGGCCTCGAGGGTTGCGACGTGGTTTTGCTTACGTTCGCGAACTGGAGAGCGAACGGAATACGTGGTCAGCGGATGTCGGGAGGAAGACAGTGAGGCGCTTAGTGCTTACAAGCTCTCTGGCTTGCTCGATTCTGAGCCTGACGCTTGGTGAGTGGCTCCTCCTGGCTAGGCTTGCGGCCTGGCTTGGCTCGTTGAGGTACGACCTGTCGTTGCGAGTAACTTCCGGTCAGCGATTGGATTATCGACATTGACCCGCCCAACGCTTACTCACCCAATCCTTCTTATCTTCAAGGCCAGGTGTAGGTGTAGGACTGCCAGCTCCGGTGCTGCTGGTGGCCCTCGATATAGAGCTGGTGGCGTTGGAAGTCGAAGCGGATGCCTTCTTGGCCGCTGCGGCCGCCTTTGCGCTCGCTCGCTTCGCAGCCGTGGAAGCCTTGGTCTTGCTCGCTGGCTGAGGAGGAGGGGGCACAGTCGTCTCATTAGGTGTCGTGGGCGAGTTGGCGCTGCTCGACGATGAAGAGGCTGATGAAGCCATAGATCCGGCTGAAGAGGCTGACACGGACAGCTGCGAGGCTGCACCCTGGTGTGCGTTGTTCATCGTCGTGTGGAAGGCTGCCATGTACGAAGGGCGACCCGTGGATGTTGAGACCGATCCTCCTCCTGCTACGCCTTGACTCTGACGGCGAGAGAAGGGGATGGGCAAGGGAGAAGCGGGTGACGACATTCGTCGCGCTCTCCGAATTCAAGACGAATGGATCGAGTGGAAAGAAGCGGAGCGTCGGAAGGGTCGGGTGTTCGTTGTTTCTGTGTGCGAGCAAAGGACTTGCGTGCCGTTTATCGTCGTTCCTGGGCAACGCGCGAGGTCAAGGGGATGAATGGACTCTCAACTCAAGCAATGTCGATGATGGTCGTGTGGTGGGAGTCAAAGAAAAGGGCGGAAGAGATGGCGGCGATGATCCAGTGGGACTAGTCTGTGAGACGCCGTCTGCCGTCTGCACTCGGTCACGGCCGGCTAAAACGCTCCATTGGGCCCACAATCAGATTTGCCTCGTCCGTTGTCTCCGCTGCCCACCTCGCGGCCCTTCACTGTCGCGGCCGCGCTGCGCTCCCACGTGGAGAAACTCGATGGCGCCTTCCGCCGTGTCTCTCCAAGCTCATTCACCTGCCTTTGTCTCTGGCTCAGCGCGCTCCGGTCGGCATGCTATGGATCTCTCTCTCTGTGGATCAGACGGTGTGGCAGTTCATCCTTACAGGTATCCCCGTCCTCCATGAGACGCCACCTATGTCCCTGATGCCATCGACCTCGGTTTGGACTAGCCTTAGCTTCTGGGCTGAAAGGAGGCTTTCGTGGCACATGCAACGCCGGGCAGCTGGTGCAAGAGCAGCAGGGGTATATTTTCAAGCGCAAATGAACAAGGGCAGAGACAAGAGCGCCACAAGATGCAGAAGATGTAGCAGTACAAAAGTTTCCAGGAAGCCTCCCAAATACGCGCTCGAGCCGCCAGAGCCCCTCAGTCTCCTCCATTCCAACACCACCCCTACGGTCACACGAATGTCGCGCTCCCCTTCCGGCGAACTTTCGCCAGTCCTCATGACGTGGGACTCGTAGTCCTCAGCGTCCTCATGTGCACCGGCCTCAGCCTGGCCGTAACAGCGTAGATCTGCGCAGCTTCAACTGACGACCCTTCCAGATCGTCGTACGTACTGCTCCTCGCACTAGTAGTCGTACTATTCGACCCAGTCGCCCATCCCGCGTCCGTCGTGGTCGCCACAGAGTCAGGACGCCTCTGTTGCTGCTGCTGCTGCTGCTGGCGGCGAAGCCACTGTCGCCACTCGTTGCCCGCTCGCTCCAACCCGTCTTCCCCGTCGTCATCAGCGTCGTCGCGTAATTCCTCTTTCGAAGCGCCGTGATCGAGTGGCCCGAAAGAGCTGTGCGTCATGTCCATCGCACGAGGTTGCTGGCGAGTAGCCATGAGCGAGTGATGACGCGAGTGCCCTCCGCGACGCGAAGCTGAGGTGGAAGAGGAGTGAGTGCTCAGCACTGATGAGCGTCGGCTATTCGTGCCGCTGTTGCTGCCGGCGCCGAATTGATAGAGGGAAGCGTGCGAGGCCAATGAAAAGCGACGCGAGGCTGCTGCCGCGTCCTTCGTCTGCCAGGGTAGGGTGGATGGCGGAGGCATCGCTGACGCGTCATCATTGTTCTCCTTGTCTGCGGCAAGAGCGGCGCTGCGCATGCGACGAGGTGGCGTGGCCATCTTCCTCGGGGGCGAAGTGAAGGCCGACTCGCGGTTTTTGGCGGGCGTCGATCCTGCGATGGGAGTCATTGCGGCGGAATCGGCCTCCGCAGCACAGCTGAGAAGGGGCGCCGAGCGCTTCTTGCCCATTTGACGGGGTGGAACCGGAAGGCCGATGGAATGGCTGACTGGCGCTTTGCTCATCTTGGCCACCGATGCAGCGGGCACGGCGTTGGGACGAGTCAAGTCCTCGAAGGGGATGCGTGGCCGTGTCGAGGTACTCTGTAGCTGCTGATGAGAGCGCGATGTTGGGAGATGGTGCGTAGTCTCATGACGACCCTCATCGGCGCGCACCTGCTGCTCCTCATCCGCAAAGATGCCCAGACCCAAAGTCGAGCTGGCGCTCTTTTTCCTCGTCCTCACATTGCCGCCCAATTCTGCAGTCGCGCTCATGCTCGGTGTCAAGGCCGGGCTCGTAGCCGCAGCCTCGGAGCGCAGGTCACGCTTGGCCTCAGCAGCCTCGTAGGGGCCCAGTCGTCCGATGGCGTCCATACGGGAGACCATGACCTCGGGCGGGAGGATCCGCTCGATGATCAGCGGGGATGGCGTGTCTTCAGGCAGCGGAGAACCGAAGACGGTGTTCGAGCCTTCCGTTGTCGGTGAAGAAGGAGCAATCACCTCGCAGATACGACCGGGCGACTTGCCTCCGCTAAGATCACGGCCGGCCGTGCCCAATCGCATCATCTTGTTGGCGCCCTTGCCAATGATCCTACCCAGCCCTGTAGGCATCGAAGTCGACGAAGGCAGGCCGGAAGCACTACCATTTGCCTCAGTCTCCGTCGCAGAGAAGGAACGCACCGGCTCGTGCGGAGCGACGGTAGCGCTACCCGTTGCAGGGAAGACCTCGCGCACGCCTACACGGGAAGCAGGCTTGCGATGAACGGACTGCGCTCCAGCAGGTATGCTTGGCCGGATGGAGGACTTGAAACTGAAAGCTGCAAACCGACTGGTAGCTTCCTCGATGCCAATGGGCGTGCGAGGAGTTGGCGGCTCCGTGGCCGTCATCGAATCATCGCTACCGACGTCACGCGCTGCGCGGTTGTTCGATGTGGAAGACGAGGCGTTGCTCGACACCTTGGACCGCATGGCTGAGGAAGAAGGTAGCGGCGGCGAGCTCATCCATGAAGCGCCGCCCATCCCACTATGAGCGCTCGACTCAGGGAAAGGCAGCGGGGCGGCGGCTGCCAATGGGTCTGGCGCTTCCATTGTAGGAGAACCAGCTTTGCGCAGCTCTGCGAATCGTTGCATGGCGTGTCGTCGCTCGTTGCCCATGATCTCGTCGAGAGAGCCATCCTGAGCTGGCTCGGGAGTGGGTGACATGGCTCTGTTCGGCTGGAACGTCGAGACGAAGCGCTGCGGGGCTGATTGTGGAGCAGCCGTTGTTGACCGGGAATGCGGCTCGTCTGGCGTGCCGCCACTCTTGAATAGTGCGAACAAGGCCATCGGCGAGCTGGCTCTACGGTCGCTCTGCACCGACGTGCGGTGATCCCCAATGGAGCTGACAGAGCGACGCATTGAGCCGAACGTGGACTTGACGCTCATTCCCGAAGACGTGTTGGGACGAGACGAGCCAGCCATCGCATTGCTGCTCGTATTGCTGCTACCGGAAATGAGACTGAGCCTCTTGCCCGTCTCAATGGACAAGCGGCGAAGACGTCGGCGAGGTGCGGAAGGCGGGACGACAACGCTCTCTTGAGCAGTCTGGGAGGCGTCGCCTGACCCGGCGGACGACTCGACACGTCGTCGTCGCGCATTGTTGCCAGCATCCTCCAGGAGATCCGTGATGGAAAGGCGCGACCGTACGCGCGTCATGGCGCCGCCCCAGCTGGAGCCCGACGAAGTAGCAAGGGCGCATTGTTCGCCCTTTGGCGGTCGAGAAGATGGAGATGCTGTCAAGGAGCTTTGTGCCCTATTTGAGGGCTCATTGCTGGGAGGCTCAGCTCGCTGAAGCCACGGCGAGATCATTTCGGCCCATCGCGTCATTGCTGAAGCGCTCGGAGCTCGCACGACGACCACAGAAGCTGAGTGGTCCTCTTTTGGTGAAGTGACGGCTTCGCGACGGAAGCGATCGCCGAGTGCACGATCGCTCCCACCACTCTTGGGGCTGAGCCTATTGAAGCTCGAGACGCGAGGGCGGCCAGGCAGGCGGAGCCATGAGCTCAGCCTCGATGATGTCTGTGGTGGCGAAGCCGCTTCGGCTGGCACGTCTGGCTCCTCTTCCGCGTCGACTCTAAGGTTGAAGCGCGGTGCTGTAGCTGGCGCGGCATCGCCGCTGGGCTGCGGACTCTTGCGCGGGGCGATGTTGGCTGAACGCTCAAAAAGGGCGTGCAGAGACCCGCTCGTAGCAGCGCGAGGCAACATGGAAGACGTGCCGCTCGATCGCCTGCTGGAGAGTGAGGGCCTCTTTTTGAGGGAAAGGATCAGCTCAAAGGGCCCCTCTGAGGCTCCCCATGATCCAGAGGTCTGCAGGCTGTCGAAGGAGCTAAGCTGGTACGTCGCTGCGACTAGCGTGGGATCAGTCGCAGCAGCCACTCTGTGCACGGGAGAAGAAAATTTAGCGTCTCAGAGTCTTGCCAGGTTCGTCGTCGCGATTCTGCGTGCTCACCTTGAATGGTATACGTGTAGGCTGCCATCGAGCAGTGCGCACCACTTTTCTTCCCACCTTCCCGAAAGGTTGACGAGCAGACTGCCCTCGTATGTCGGAAGGCGGTGAGCGCTGGTGCTTGCGGCGGCTGCGACGCTCATCGTGAGGTTGCTGTAGGTGGCAAATAGAGCTACTCCGAGCTTGTGCTAGGCCCTCGTGGCTGCTTCAGCGCCGAGGCCACCAGCCAGCATGCGAGGTGATGGCGAGCGCCTTGTGAGTCGACGCGGGCCCGGTGATGCCGGCGAGAGACGATGAGGAGGGAATGAGGAAGTGAGGGAGCTCGAGGATGATGAGGTGGGAAGAGCGAAAGGAGAGGATGATCCTTTGTCGACGATCAATATCCACCTCGTGTTGTCACCCAATCTGAGCAACTAATTCGAGGTGATTGCAAGCACGCCTCCTTCCTTCCCGCAGGCGCGTCCGCGTCCACGTCCAAGCCGTCCAAACGTCGAGGCAGGCTGGGCTCTGCTCTGTCTGTCCTTGCCTTTGTCTGTCTGCAGGGCCCAAGTCGACCCAGACGTTCGGCTCTCATCCTCGTTTGCCCATCGTCCATCGTCCGTTGTCGGATGTTGCATCTCGCTGCACCTCTCACACTCAAGCTGTCACATTATTTGGCGGCCAATGTGGATGTGTTGCTTTCGTCGCCTGGCTCTCTCTGGCCGCTGCTCCGTCGCTCGCTGCGCCCGAAGATTGGCTTTTTCAGGTCCGTCGCGCTTGACTTTGACCCGCGCCGCCGACGCTAGTCGACGTCAAAAGCAAGTCAGTCACCTCAAGTCAAGACGGGGCGAATCTCGCTTGGCGCCCGCTCCGGCCCCGCCGTCCGAGCTGGAGAGCCAGCTTAGCGGAGGGCCTCTTGAATCAACAACACGTAGAGGCCACTTTTGAGGCTGGACGCGACGCACGCAGCTACGGTCCCGCCTGCGTCGCATACGATTTATGGTCCGCCGGTCTCTTTGAGACCCCCGCTTCGAATACGAGAGGCGCGCGCGCCGGATAACAAGAAGAGAACGAAGATGAGCATCGTCTGTTTGTCCGTCCCGAGAGTCTGAGCTTCTGAGATGCCGGTAGTGGCGTATCATTGGCCCCCGATGGATGCACGACCAGCTGCGAGGGAGCGTGTGGGCGAACCTCTCCACGAGCCAGACCGCCAACGGGCCAAATTCACCTCGAGTGGTATGAGGACCACTTCTTCCGATCGTGCTCCGAGGTTGCGCTGAGACAGAGAGCAATTTGGCGTCGCAAGGCGAGCAGAGCAACGATGGATAGCGAGCCGCAGAGGCGCCTGCTAACTCCCGCCCTTCATATGCATCTATCGTGTGCGAGTGAAGCAGCCGCCGCTGTCCGTCGCAAGGTCGAAATGAGACAGCTCGACAAAGTCGTAGGCTCAGTGATGTCCAGGCATGGGAACGAAGACGTCCGTAGACTTGCTCAGTCATCGCACAGCCAATCGTCCTTTCACATCGATCCCGCTCGCCCGCCTTTTAGCGTGGACGCGCGCCTGGGCCGCACAAAAGGCAAAGCTTAACAGCACGGCAAGTCAACGGCGACCTCGAGATGAGAAAGCAGATACCCCAATCATGTATCTCGCAGCGGCTGTCAAGAACATGCACTCCCTCTGATATCGTCTGATATGCAGTAGAGAGTGGTTGTTGGAGGACAGCTTTGGAATGATGAGCAGTCAGTCGAGCTTCTGCTTTCATCGGCCGCGGCAGTGGCACGGCGGGGAGAGCGGCAGGCAGGCAAGCGATCGCAGTCCAAAGCAGCATCGTCGGCGCCGTTGCCACGTGTAGTGAGAGTGAGAGGGGCCAATGTCGTGTAGTGAGAGCGAGGGGCCAATGTTCTATCTGATCCAACCGAGACGTCCTCGAGCATCAAGAAGAGCATTCGCCCTGGTCCTCTAGCCTTTCCCCCGGGAGCCTCCGTCAGCTACGACCCGCTCCTGATTCACTCGTCACGCACTCGCTGGCACTCCTTCAGGCGACAAGCATTGCTGCGGGTGGTGAGTCTGTATGATTGGCTAGACGGCCCCATTTTGATGGTGATACAAGGGTGACGGAGCACTCGACGCCCACTGATCAGCCCGCTGTCTACGCTCCGAGCGCTGCGACAGCGGTCAACGCTTCCCCATGCAACGACAGCTGAGTTCGTCAGACTTGGATTCCAGCCCGGACGACCCACCCATCCCACCTATCCGTCAATGGCGAGTGCGGTGCAGTGCAGCGCTTACTCGTCGTCCTGGTCGTCACCGGCCGAGACGTTGTAGAATCGGACGATGAAGCCACCGCCGGGCTGGGCGACGACGCGCAGCCAGTCACGGAGCTGAGAGCGCTTGAGGTACTTCTTGGTGAGGTACTTGAGGTAGCGCTTGGAGAAGGGGATGGTCGTGGTGATGTTGATCTTGCCCTCGCCTGGCGGGGAGATTGACAGGCGTGAGCAAATTGATCTTTCCTTGACTGCTTGTCACAGCTTTGGTCACTTGCTGCCGTCTGTCTGCTACTCACCCTCACGCTGGACCTTAACGACGTCACCGAGCTGGCCAGCCTTGCCGTCAACCTTGATGCGGTCGTGGAGGAACTTCTCGAATCCAGCGGCGTCGAGGATTCCGTCAGCGGCGGGTCCGGAGAAGTCGATGAAGTACTTCTGGCCGGCGGCCTTGGACTTGCCAGTGGTGGGCTTGGGTGCGGCGGGCATGTTTGCGAGATGAGACGAAGTGGTATGTGGAAGGGAGCGTTGACTCTACCAAGTGTTAGTCTGGCAAAAGGATGAGGAGAAAGGGAGAAGAGGAAGCCAGTCGAGCGCTCTGCAGTCCTCTGCCTGCGGAGCGGGACGCAGAGAGTCAGACAGGCCGCGGCGCAGCGAAAAAGAGAGGCGGGGTCGAGGTGAGCCACGTGGTTGACCAGTCTGGAATTTCGCAAAGTCGGCTCCCGCTCGGACGGGCAGGTCGACTGGAGTCGAGATGAGGACAACGACGACGACGACGACCGTCGAGGAAGGCGGATCTGAAGCTCGAGCGCAGCATCGTCATCACCACCATCACCACTTTCACCTCGTCCTCACCCCTCTCGTCATCGTCGCCATGGCAGCCGTCGCATCTACGTCTGCTCAGCAGCAGGCAGCGGGCGACTTCATGATTCAGCCAGAGAAGACGGGCCCCGTCCTCAACACTTCTCAGTGGCCTCTGCTTCTCAAGAACTACGTGAGCAACGAGGCGGCGGCGGCGACAGTACAGCATATATGCAGCGAATCGCCCCTCTGACATTCAATCTTCTCCCTCCCCTTTCGCTCGCCAGGACCAGCTCCTCGTCCGCTCATCCCACTTTACCCCCATCCCTCACGGTTGCTCGCCGCTGAAGCGCGACCTGCAATCCTACGTCAAGTCGGGAGTTATTAACCTTGACAAGCCCTCGAACCCCTCCTCACACGAGGTGGTCGCTTGGATCCGCCGTATTCTTCGCGTCGAGAAGACGGGTCACTCCGGCACTTTGGACCCCAAGGTCACAGGATGCCTCATCGTCTGCATCGACCGAGCCACCCGTCTGGTCAAGTCGCAGCAAGGAGCAGGAAAGGAATACGTTGCCGTTCTGCGACTGCACGATTCATTGGGAGATGTCAAGAAATTGCCTCAGGCAATTGAGACTCTCACGGGAGCCCTGTTCCAGCGGCCGCCCCTCATCTCGGCCGTCAAGCGTCAGCTGCGTATCCGTACCATCTACGAGTCGAAGCTCCTCGAATTCGACAACAAGCGTCACCTCGCCGTCTTTTGGGTTAGCTGCGAGGCTGGAACCTACATTCGTACGCTCTGTGTGCACCTGGGACTGCTCCTTGGCGTCGGCGGTCATATGCAGGAGCTGAGGCGTGTTCGCTCAGGAGCCCTCAGCGAGAACGACGACATCGTAACGATGCACGACGTACTGGACGCTCAGTGGCTGTATGACAACCAGCGCGACGAGTCGTACCTCCGCCGCGTCATCCGCCCGCTCGAGTCGCTCCTTGTAGGCTACAAGCGTATTGTCGTCAAGGACTCGGCAGTCAACGCCGTCTGCTACGGCGCCAAGCTGATGATCCCCGGTCTCCTCCGCTACGAGGCCCAGATCGAGCTCAACGAGGAGGTTGTGCTCATGACCACCAAGGGAGAGGCGATTGCGCTCGCGATTGCGCAGATGACGACGGCGGATTTGGCGACGGCGGACCATGGGATTGTGGCAAAGGTCAAGAGGTGCATTATGGAGAGGGACACGTACCCGCGTAGGTGGGGTTTGGGACCCAAGGCGATCGAAAAGAAGAAGATGGTCAAGGATGGCAAGCTTGACAAGCATGGAAAGCCGCTGCCCGGTGTCACGCCGGATGCGTGGACCAAGGGATACGTAGACTACGCCGGCGATGCGGGCAACGCGGGCGCCGCAGCAGCAGCGAGTGGCAGCGGTGCTGGTGCCAACGGCAATGAAGCAATGGCAGCTACGGCAGCAGCAGCAGCGGCAGGCGCAGCATCAGGTGTCGAGGCAGCAGCGGCGTCAAAGAAGAGGAAGGCCGACGAGGATGACGATGACGAGGCCGATGAGACAACGGCGACTGCGGGCGGCAAGCACGATGGCGAGACGGAAGAGGAGCGTAAGGCGAGGAAGGCGGCCAAGAAGGCAAAAAAGGAGGCAAAGAAGGCCGCGGCTGCAGCAGGGGGTGAGGAAGATGGCAAGAAGAGAAAGAAGGAAAAGGCGTGAGCCAGAGTCGCGTGGTCCTCTTCTTGTCTTGTAGCCTCGTCTTCGCATCTTCTATGAGCATTCATTCATGATCGTCACAGCATCGCGCGCACGCAGTGAGGCATGAGAGTTTCGATAACAGTGGAACGCAGCGTTATCGTAATCGACTGGTGGCATTGTTCATCGATCTCGTCGGACATATTCTCGCCGTGCTGCTGCTGCTCCTCCGCGATCTCGCCTCCTCAGATCGCACTAGCCACAAGATCCACTGCCCTCTGGTGTTGCGCTCTCACAGCCAACTCGAGCCCGACGCCCTGCTCAGCACTATAGGTCATCCTCGCCCTCACTAACGTCTTGCTGCTCTCAACCCCACCGCCCGCCGACGCTGCACCAAGCACCACGCTGCCCGCAAGATTGAGCGTATGCACACTCGTCGAGCTAGGCGCCTCAGTCCCACCGAGCGGGCTGAGTCCGAGCAGTGGGACCAACAGATCGCATGCGTCCCTCAAGCTCGCAACTGCAGTAAGGGCATACGTCTCCGTCGCTTCCGCACCAGAGGAGGACAGGTCCTCCCACTCCCTTGCAAAGTCACAGAAGCGCCCCTCAACATAGTCCGCCACTCCGAGATCGAGCGCCTCAATCTCGTACGAGTCTTCGAATCCTTCCTCGTCTGCCTCGCCTGTCGAGGGGTCCACCTCTTTGCTCGTGAAGCGCAACGTCGCTGACAGCTGGCCTTGCGGGTAGGCGTCTGCCTCGGTGCGAGTAAAGGAAACGTACACCGTCCCGCTCGGATTCTCCTGATTGAGCAAGCCGATGGGCAGGATGAAGTCTTCAGTGAGTCCGGCTTCGTCAGCTCCACCGACAAGGACAGCCACATTCTCCAGCACAACCTCCGGCAAGGTGTTGGTGACGTTGAATTGGAGGACGACATTGCGGGCAAAGACGTGCTTGACCGCTGTGACGACGTATTCCGTCTCGCGCTCGGTGAGCTCGACGGGCTTCGGGGTGGACTTGAGGAGGGGACCATACGAGGAGAGTTGGGGGATGGCGGAGAGGGTCGATTGGTAGTGGGCACGTGTGGCAGCCGCTGATGAGCCGTCGTCCAATCCAGCGCCAGGAAGGGCATTGCTGGCGGCGCCTGCCGCAGAGGTGGATGCCGTGGAGGGACCACTGCCGCCCTGCGAGGCCATGGCTACCTTGCTCGCTGCTTCGGCCTTGGCGCGCAGTGCTTCTTGCTGTGCTTCTTCGCGGGTGATGCGCTGCACTTTACTCGCGTCAAAGGCTGCTGAGGACGGGCCTGCAACTGCCTCGCCGTCTCCTTCGACTTCACCGTCTGCACCGGTACCGTTGGTAGCGACGCCGGCCTTGCTGAGATACTTCTGCAGCCTACTCTCCAAGTCCTGCAGCTTGAACGACGATTCGTCATTAACGAGTCGCTGTGCCAGCTTCGTGTCACGCAGCAGCCTCAGATTGAGTGCCGCTCGATCCCTGACCTCGTCATCTACATCGTCCAAGCAACGCTGGAGCAGCACCTCGATCCTCGCACTGAGCGCCTTGTCCTGCACTCCAAACTTGGCCAGCGCATTTACGGCCGCTGCCCTGACGATTGCGTTCTCCAGGATGACTCGATTGTAGATGTAGCGGATGTACTTCTGTGGACTCGACATTTTTGGTCCCTCTGCTCCCAGTACGTGAAGAATGCGCACCGAGAGCTTGGTGAACTCGCAGTCCTCGATGAATTCGCAGAGGTGCGCGAGGGCCGCCTCTTTGCAGTCGGCAATGAAACGGATCATGTCGAAGATTGCCTCCACCACTGCACGCTTGAAGTCGTACCCGCCTTCGTCGCGCAGCACGCCGGAGAGGAAGGCAAGCATGGCGACTTGCTTCGAGGGGAATTTGAGGCAGAGCGATCGGATGGCGTCGACTACGATGACCTTGAACTCGTCGCTGATCTCGCTCATGAAGGTGCTGATCTGCTTCATGAGTCTGTCGACCGAGGCTTCCGTGCCCGTCTTGAGAAGCGTGGTGATGGCGTACGTGGCCACACTGCGGTTCGGGTCGGTGATGAGGTTCTCCATGTCGACGTTGCAGCTTGAGACGGCAGCGGGCTGGTGCTGGGCCAGCTTGGCCAAGGTACGAATGGCTGCGAACTTGAGCGTGGACTTGGAAGAGGAGAGGAAGAGCTGAAGGATGGCAATGGGCTTCTGCAGCTCAGTCGAGGTGACGCCGCGCAGCTCGCAGATGGCCTTGGCCGCTTCGTAGTTGACCATGTCCGACTTGTGACGGAGCCAGTTCTCCAGGAGCTCCAGCATGACACCTCGCAGATTGGGGTCGTCATCTGCGATCTTGGCTGCGTAGCGAACGAGCATGCAGAGGGCCATGGGGCTGCGCAGCGTGATCGAAGCAGAGCCGCGACCACCACCGGAGGCGCCAGCGAGCTGCTGCACCAGCTTGATGACGGCCATGCGGTCTCCCGAGCGGATGAGGTAGAGAAGGCCCAGAGCGTGGTACTGAACAATGTAAGAGCTTGAAGGGATGCTCTGGAAGCCGCTCTGTTGTTGAGGCTGGGCGCTTCCTCCGCCAAAGTAACTGCCCATGCCGCCGAAGCCGGCCCCAAAGGCACCGCTGCCACCACCGCTGCCTGACTTGGCGCTGAGGGCCTCTTGGACCTCGTTGCCCCATCTGCGAACGACATCGCGAGCGCCTACTTGGAGCTGGTACGAGGAGACGAGAGCTGCAGACGCAATGGACGAGTTGCGGTCGACGATGGCTGACTTAAAGAATCGCTCCAGTCCTTGAACCATGGACGCATCGACGACGCGGCTGAGCGCGCGAATGGCATTGGGACGGTAGACAACTTCGACGTTAGGCTGCATATCCTTCATGATCGATGCGGTGACCATGATGACGTCGTCAGCCAAGGGGCAAAGCTCCTTGATGGCCAGATAGACCATCTGACGCAAGGCAGGATCGCGATTCTGGAAGAGCTTGGTGCAGCCAAAGAAGAGCGTGGTAGCTTCCTGCCTGGCGAGCGTCTCTCCCGTGTATAGGAGGTAGAGGACCTTTGTGAGGACGATGCGGCATTTCCTCGGGGATACTGGCGTCTCATTGAAGACGCGAGCCTCTTGGACCACGGACGCCTTGTCCTGGTAGAAGGACCCGACGCCAGCCTCTTCGTTCTTTTTGCTCAGCGACATGGTGCGCGAGACGAAGAGGTAGGGAGACGAGCGGGCAGAGTGAGTGTATGTAGGCCTTCCTCGAGGCTGGAGAGGGTGATGATGAGGACAAGGCTTCCAAGTCGTCGATCGTCGATGTGTCGTTCTCTCGCACCAGCCACGCCCGGCCAGCGATCTTCGACTGGCACGCGGGGGGGCGCTCAACACGTGGCCGCGACTTCACCTCCCGCGACCTCACCTCCGCGACCTCACCTCCGCGACCTCACCTCCATCTCCATCTCGTAGGCCATCCGAGCGACGAGAGCGCAAAGACACAGAGATGCCCAGTGGGACGCAGCCCTCATGACGATCTTTGCTATGTTTCCTGTTAAGCGTGATCCTCTGCTGCCTGCCTGTCACCACTTGGGGTTGGGTCCCCTGGATGCCACTGCTCATTGCTGGGCCACTCCAAGCGCAGGATCGCCACCCCCTCCATGACACTCGCCGACCAGTCCCTGAGCTCAACCATTCTCTTCACCGAGAAGCTGCGCATTTACTTGCCACCATCGTCGCCGTCGTCACCGTTGCTTGAATACGGCTGGCTCCTCGCCCATCTCTCGCTCCCGTTTCAGCCCGCCCGCCCGCTCACCCTGCTTGCCATGTGCGGCTGCTCAGCGTGAGTTCAGTCGCGGCGCTGCAGCCTTGCCGCTCTGACCCAGTGCCGCGCCGCCTGCTGCCCAATGAATTTGGGCCCACCCACGGTCGCTGGAATAGAACGACGGCATGGGCGGGCGGCAGGCTGAAGCGGCGTCCGGCCCAAAGGTTCGAGGCGAGCTCAGTGACGGCCTCTCGGTCTCGGTCAGCGACGGCTTCAAGGGCGCATGAGTCGAAGCCAAGGCAGGCTTGGAGGCAGGCGCAAGCGCAGCAAGCGGCAGCAAGTTGTCCTATCCCCCGCGATATCATTCCACCTCGACTTCTTCGCATTGATCCCCACGCTACCATCTCAACGTCGCATCGCATCGCCGCCTTACTCCCTTTGCGATCGAGATCATACTCATCTTCCCGCCGAGCGTTGTTGCGGCTACCCCTCGGGGTTAAAAACAAAGGACCGATTCGTGATCATCGAAATCGTACTGCCCCCCGCTCGAATTCACCTTCGTGACTCAACGACAGGATGGCTTCCTCGAACCAAAACTTCTATTTCCCTCCCAGCCTGGGCGAGGCTGAAAAGACGCCCTCTGATCAGACGTCGCCTGACAAGGACACCAACGTCAATCAGCAGCCTACCTCCATCCTCGCTGGCCTAAACGCATTCGACGGCGATGAATCGACAGGAGCCGATGCCGAGAGCACCGCCAGTGCCAACTTTGCCGACCAGCTCGCCCTCTGGACCAACGCCAATTTCTCCTTCGATGGGCCTACAGGCCATGCTCTGCTCCTCGACGAGGACAAGGACGACGACCAGAACCAGCCCAGCGGGAGTGGGGGCAATCAGAATGGGCAGCAAAATGGCGTTGCCCAAGGCAACGGGGGCGGCAACAATGGCAATGGCGACGTAGCTGGACATGACGGCGTCCCTGCTGAGCCCACGCATCGCGACCACAAGCAGCAGGCTGATCAGCATCAGCAGAGCCAGTACTTTGCTCCGCCTTCTTCTGCTGCGGGTGAAGGGCGTAGGCCTGGACGGAGTACGGGGTTCCGCGATGAGCTTGCTCGTCGCAATGCCGAGAACTCGACGCCAAATGGTACCTCGGGCAATGCTGGCGGCAGCGGAAACGGTAGCGGTGACTCATCTCTGCCTTTCTCCGTAGGCCAGAACGCCTTCTCTGCGTTCAGCGCCAGCGACGATGGTCGTCAACAGCAGCAGCAAGCGGCTCAGCCTCAACTTCAGTCCCAGCCTCATCAGCAAGCTCATCAGCAGCAGCAGCAACAGCAGCAGTCCGCCTCATTCAATGCTCTGGGCAATTTCGGCGGTGTGCCGTCCATGTCTCCTGACCTCTTGCAAGCCCTCGCCTTCCAACAACTCCTCTCCGGAGTGCAGAATCCCTTCGCGCAGGGCATGATGGGTATGAGCGGCTTCAATCCTGCCTTTGGTGGAGCGGGCGGTTTTGGCGGCATGGGGATGCTCGGCCAGTTCATGCCGAATGCCGTGGATGCTCAACAACAACAGCAGCAGCAGCAGCAGCAGCAACAGCAACACCGCTCTTCGTGGCAGTCACAGCGGGGTTCATCCAATACGCCGTCAGACGACGAGCTTGAGGACGACAGCGCGAAGCACACCAAGGCGTCCGGCTCCACCTCCTCCAAAGCGTCGGGCAAGAAGCGTCGCGTCTCCTCTGCATCGGCAAGCAAGTCAGAGAAAGCCAAAGCGGCCGCTGAAGCTGCTGCAATCGCCGCAGAAGAAGCAGAGATTGGTCGTGCAGCCCGCGAGGAAATCCCCCCTCTCCAGCTCATCGACACGGGCAATCCAGAGGCCGACGCAGAGGCCAATCGCCTCGCCATCGAAGAGGACAAGCGTCGCCGCAACACTGCTGCGTCCGCTCGCTTCCGTATCAAGAAAAAGGCACGCGAGCAAGCGCTCGAGCAAACTACGAAGGAGCTCGAGGGCAGGGTGAGGGAATTGGAGGAGCAGAACTCTGCGCTTACGACCGAGAACGGCTGGCTCAAGAGCCTCATCACCATCAGACCAGGAGGCAACGGTGTTGCGACCAACGCGAATGCATTGGGCGGAGGTGGTCTAGCAGGAGCTATGGGCTTCGTCTCACCGCAAATGGCCGCTGCAGCAGGCATGATGCCGCCTCACTTCAAGGACGCACAGCAACAACAGCAGATGATGATGTTCGCCAATGCTCAGAACGGCGATGCGAGGGATACTGGGCTGCGTCCTCGTGGCGTCGGCACGGCTGAGGCTGGTGGCTCTGGCTCTTCCTCTCAGCGATCTCAGAACGGTAAAGGGAAGAGGGGACGCGACGAGTAGGCGAGCAAAGTCAGCTCTCCGCCGTCATTTCGCCCGCCTCTGGCTCCTCCCCCACAAAAGTCTCACATCATCTACTATCCCTTCCCATCGTGTCACCCTTCGGTCCACCCCCTCTCCTCTCCCTCGCACTCCTTCCTCTATATCCTCTTCCCATAGACGATTCGTGTATTTAGTCCAGTCCAACCTGTTCTCCTAGCTCTCAGTCCAACCTGGTTGTCAGATCTCGTGTTTCTCTTTTGTCGTTTCTTCTGTATCTCTTTACGACCTCCAACAGGTCACCTCAAGGTCTCCAACAGACCTTCTTTTAATCATTCAGCCAGATCACTCGTAGACATCAGCGTTGCGTGAGGTTGAGGTGGTGTGGAGCGTGAAGCAGCCACGGCGAGGAGACGGACGGAGAGGAGAGACGGGAGCACGACGGCCCATCCGCTCGTGCAGCTCAGCTTGAGATCTTCGCAGACGACATTCTACTTCCTCGTCATTGTCATCCTCGCCGTCTTTCAAGGCTCCGTTGCTCGTCTTGCTTCGCCTACGTGGACTCGTAGAGCGTACGACGCAGAGTTTGACCTGACGACGACGGCGGCGTCGGCCCCCTCCCTTCCTTCCTTCCTTCTTCTTCAGCATCTCCTTGGCCACCTGCCCTCCGCCGCCGCGATGCACCTCTATAACCTGACCCTCTCGCCGCCCTCAGCAGCGACAGTCGCTGTAGCCGGCCAATTCTCTGGCACCCGCAAGCAGGAGATCGTCGTCTGCCGTGGTGGCTGCAAGCTCGAACTGCTCCGCCCGGACACCACAGTGAGCGGCAAGGCGCATGCCATCTTCGAGCAGCACACCTTTGGCGTCGTGCGTAGCCTCGCTAGCTTCCGCCTGACAGGAGGAAGCAAAGACTACCTCATCGTCGGATCTGACTCGGGCCGCATCACCATTGCTGAGCTTGACGTCAAGGCAAATGCATTTGTCGTCGTGCATCAGGAGACCTTTGGTCGTTCAGGGTCGAGGAGAATCGTACCGGGCCAGTATATTGCGACGGATCCCAAGGGGAGGGCAGCAATGATTGGGGCGATGGAGAAGTCGAAGCTGGTCTACATTCTGAACAGGGACGCAGCTGCCAATCTCACCATCAGCAGCCCGCTCGAGGCGCATAAGCCCAATGCGATTATCCATGCCCTCGTAGGGCTCGATGTAGGCTACGAGAACCCTACTTTCGCAGCACTCGAGGTCGACTACGAGGAGGCCGACAGAGACTCGACGGGCGAGGCGGCAGAAGCCACGCAGAAGTTGCTCACGTACTACGAGCTCGACTTGGGTCTCAATCACGTAGTGAGGAGATGGTCCTCCCCTGTAGAGAAGACGGCCAATCACCTCGTTCAGGTGCCCGGAGGGTACAACCAGAATACGGAGCGATGGGAGGGTCCAGGAGGGGTACTGGTATGCTCAGAGGACTACATCACCTACAAACACAGCGTAGGGGAGGAGCATCGCGTGCCTATGCCAAGGCGCCTCAACCCTCTCGATGACAATGGCGCCTCCAGCTCCTCAAGCGCGCCACGCCGAGGCAACATCGTCGTCTCTTCGGTATGCCACCGAATGAAGAATGCCTTCTTCTTCCTCCTCCAGAATGAGGATGGGGACCTCTTCAAGCTCACCATAGACCACCAAGACGAGGATGTGCGAGCCCTCAAGATCAAGTACTTCGACACTGTGCCCCTCGCCTCTTCCCTCGTCATCCTGCGCGCGGGTTTCCTGTTCGTGGCAGCAGAGTTTGGCGGGTCGGCTCTGTACTCCTTTCAGAAGCTGGGGGACGACGATGAAGTGCCGACGTATTCTAGTGCGGATCTACCCGAGTTGGGGATGACCGAGGTCAAGGTCGAGCCGCCCACTTTTACACCTCGTCCATTGGACAATCTGCTCCTTACCGACGATCTGCCCGCTCTCGACCCCATACTGGACGCAAAGGTGCTCAACCTCCTCGGAGGAGACACGCCGCAAATCTTCACGCTGTGTGGGCGCGGGCCGAGAAGCACATTCAAGATGCTGCAGCACGGCCTAGAGGTGCAGGAGGCTGTCAGTTCTGATTTGCCTGGTATTCCCAATGCGATCTGGACGACGAAGCTGAGCGAGCAGGACGAGTATGACTCCTACATCGTGCTCAGCTTCGTCAATGGGACGCTCGTCCTATCGATTGGCGAGACGATCGAGGAGGTGAGCGACTCTGGCTTCCTCACCTCTGCGCCGACGCTGGCCGTCCAGCAGCTTGGCGCCTCTGCTCTGCTACAGGTCCATCCAAAAGGCATCAGACACATCATGGCAGACCGTCGTGTGGTAGAGTGGGCGGCCCCTCCTATGCCCGATGGCGAGCAGACGAGCATCGTAGCTGCGGCCACCAACTCACGGCAAGTCGTCGTTGCCTTGGCTCCAACAAACGAGATCGTCTACTTCGAGCAAGATCTCGACGGGCAGCTCAACGAGTATCAGGAACGCAAATCCATGGGCGCGCCCATTGTGGCTCTCAGCATAGGGGACGTGCCGCAGGGCAGACAACGTACGCCCTACCTCGCCGTTGGTTGTGAAGACCAGACGGTGCGCATCGTCTCCTTGGACCCAGAGTCGACTCTGTCGCCTATCAGCATCCAAGCCCTCACAGCCCCGCCGCACAGCATCTGTATCGCCGAGATGCAGGACGTGACCGTCGATCGCAATCACCCCACCTTGTTCGTCAACATTGGCCTGAAGAACGGAGTACTACTGCGTACGGTTCTGGACCCCATCTCTGGCCAGCTGACAGACACACGAACCCGCTTCCTCGGTGCCAAGCCCGTGCGACTCGTCCGTATCAAGCTACAAGGCGGGGCACCGGCCGTGCTCGCATTGAGCTCACGGCCTTGGCTCAACTACGCACATCAAGCTCGCACCCACTTCACGCCGCTCTGCTTCGACGCCCTGGATCATGCGTGGACCTTTAGCGCAGAGATGTGTCCTGACGGCTTGATTGGGATCGTGGGCGGGTCGCTGCGAATCTTTACCGTCCCCACGCTGGGTACGAAGTTGAAAGCAGACTCTGTTGCCCTCTCCTACACGCCGAGGCGCATGGTGGCCCATCCGGACGGCAGCGGGCTCTTCTACATCGCAGAGGCGGATCATCGTACCCTCTCACCCTCGGAAAAGGAGAAGCGAATAGCCTCCCTCACTCGAGAGCCAAAAGTGGGAGAGCGAGGAGTGCTTGACCTCGACCCAGTGGAGTTTGGGCCCCTCCGAGCTGAAGCAGGGAACTGGGCTAGCTGTATCCGTGTCGTGGACGCGAAGGCGAGGGAGACGACGCATGTCGTTGAGCTGGAGGGGAATGAGGCAGCCTTCAACGTTGCGCTCGTGCCGTTCGCCAACTCCATTGACCCGACGACGGGGCAGCCGGAGATCTTCCTGATCGTCAGCTCCGCGCGAGCCGCGACGGTCACACCGCGCTCACACGCGCAAGCCTTCCTCACCACGTATCGTCTCGTCGCGGGCTCAAATGGGCGCACATTGGAGCTCCTCCACAAGACAGAAGTAGACGATGTGGCTCTCGCCCTCCGTCCCTTCCAAGGCCGTCTCCTCGCCGGCGTGGGCAAAGCGTTGCGCATCTACGATTTGGGCAAAAAGAAGCTCCTTCGCAAGGTGGAGAACCGCAATTTCCCCACAGCCATCGTCGCGCTGGATACGCAAGGTCCGACGCGTATCGTCGTGGGGGATGCGCAGGAGTCCACCTTCTTTGTCAGCTACAAGGCGGGGATGACGACCGGGGTGGCAGCAGGGGACCCGGCAGGGCAACAACCTCGCCTCGTCATCTTCGCAGACGATACAGTCCCGCGATGGATCTCGGGTGCGAGCGCCATGCTCATGCTGGACTACGATACCGTCATTGCAGGCGACAAGTTTGGGAACGTGTTCGTCAACAGGGTACCCAGTCAGGCTAGCCATGATGTCGACGAGGACCCGACTGGATTGACCGTCCTGCACGAGAAGCCCTTCCTGCAGGGCGCACCAACCAAGTGTGAGCTCCTCGCCCACTTCCACGTCGGGGACGTGGTGACGAGCTTACAGAGGGCGGCGCTCAGCCCCGGAGGACGGGAAGCGGTAGTTTACACCTGCCTGGGCGGCACCGTCGGAGTATTGGTACCCTTTGCTAGTCGAGAAGACGTAGAGATGCTCAGCACCCTCGAGATGCACATGCGGACTACGTCGCCCTCTTCCTCTTCCTCTGGCCCATCAGCAACAGCTCCTGGGTCCGCGTCGTGCTCGCTGGTGGGGCGAGACCATCTGGCGTACAGGGGGAGCTACGTGCCTGTCAAGGCGTGTGTGGATGGCGATCTCTGCGAGACTTTCGGGTTGCTAGCGCATCAGAGGCAGGCGGGGATTGCTGAGGGTTTGGAGGGTGAGAGGACTCCTGCCGATGTAAACAAGAAGTTGGAGGCGCTGAGGATCGGAAGTGCGTTCTGAGCGGGCGAGACGAGCCAACAGGGAAGAGAGGAGCGGGGAACGCATGGCCGAGAGGGAAGGAGTGGGTGGCAGCGAGTGGAGAGTAGGGACGCGATCGTTTTCGAGGCAGCCTTCGAGGGCAATACTGTGGAATACTCATCTGCTCTGACTTTCCGTTACCAACCTCAGCGCTGCAACATGTCAGCAGCAGCAATCTCGAGCTATCGTGTGAATGTGTGCCGCCCGCCCCCTTCCGCCTTCACCTTCCTCAGCGAATGTGTCTGTTCTGTCATGACTCGTATTTGGGTAGGCGAGCAAAGGAGGAGCGTCGAAGAAGCGGGAGATTGAGGAGTGGTTGACCAACGGTATGCCTGCGTGCCTTTCCCTCCCCTGTTCCAGCGAGGAGGCGCCAGTTGCCATTTGCAAAAGACGAGACCAAGTCCTTCGCTGCAACGATCTCGCCCACGAGCCTGTTTCGCTCTCAGCCACAGCTTTGAGGCTGCGGCGATAGCTCTTCTCTCGTCGGCACTGCATCCTCCGCCGCTCTGCCGCTCCGTCATCCACACGATCACCCATCCTCTTCGTGCTCCCTTCCCTTTGTCCGTCCCATCATTTACTGAGCCTCGGGGGTCTTGGAGATGTACTCGATGGCCTGGCCGACGGTGGTGATCGCATCGGCGTCTGCGTCAGGGATCTCCTGCGAGTGGTCGAGGGGTCAAATGAGGCGAAGTCAGTCAGCAGCGAGTAGAGATTGGACTCGCGATCGAGCAATGAGCAGCGAGCACTCACGATGTTGAACCTGAAACAACGCGGGAGTGAAAGGTTGCGTAAGGAGAAGGGTGGAGAAGAAACGGTCAGCTCGTGCTCATTCCTGTACACCTGCGCGCCCTCCCGCGACTCACTCCTCCTCAATAGCCATGACAACCTCGACGGCATCCAAGCTGTCCAACCCAAGCGTGCTAGTGAAGGACGCCTCAGCGTTGACCTTTGCCGGGTCCACCTTCTCGAAGCTCTTGAGGATCTCAACGATGCGGTTCTGGATCTCCTGCTGGCTGAGACCCGATGACGAGGCGTATCCGCGGCGAGCGACTGCGAACGAGGTTGGGGCAACGGCGCGAGGAGCGGCGGTGCGCAGCATTGAAGGCGCAGCGAGGCGAGGGGCAGCGGTAGCAGCCATGACGGGCATGCGCTGGCGGACGAGGGAAGAGGCAGCGAGACGAAGAGTGGGTGCGACCATTGTTGCGATGGCAAAGTGGTGAAGTTGTGCTGTTGGTAGTGACGATGAGTTGGGTGGAGAAGGAAGATTGAAGTTAAACCGCCGCCTGTCATCCCATCGCACGGTCGAGACGGCCGGCCACAGGGCCACATCGATGACCAACGCGCGGCTCAGGTCGGCGAGCAGCACGCAGACCACGTGGCACGACTTCGTCTCCCTCTGTCCGTCGGCGAGGCTGAGAAGATGGAGCTCACCTTTGCTCCTCACTTGAACACCTCCAACTCCAACTCCTCACCTCGGTTCGCTCGCTCGCAATGAAAGGCCTCGCCTTCCGTAAACTGTCCCGCACATCAGGGCATCGCAATCACCTGCTGCGTAACCTCGTCACCTCCCTCTTCCACCACGAGCGCATTCAGACTACAGTCGCCAAGGCAAAGGAGGCGCAACGCGAGGCAGAGAAGGTCATTACCGCTTTGAAACGATCGCACGATGAGCAGAGGAGGGGTCACGACCAGCAGTGGTATGCAGCAAAGGGCTACGTCTTTTCAGCGGCCGATGATACCATCTTGCACAAACTGGCGAAGCGCTATGCGGAGAGACCGGGGGGCTATACGAGGTTGCACCTCTACGGCAATCGACCAGGGGACCATGCTCCGCGAGCGCTTTTGGAGTTGGTGGATAACGACAAGGGAGATCTAAGACTGGAGTTGACGGCGAGGTGTATGGCTAGGCAGGTATTCATGGAGGGAAAGAAGCGCAGCAGCAGCTCCTCGTCGGCGAGCATGACGGCCATCACGCCATTGACCTGCCCCAACCCGGAGAAGGACTCGCGCTTCCTCCCTCAAACACGCACAAGGATCGCACAACTTCTCCGCTTTCCTGATGGGAGGGATGCAAGGTTGGCGTCGTTGCTCTCGCGCGCAAATGAGCACTTGTTCAGGCTGAGGGCAGAGGATCAGCTCGACGGCGGAGCGGTAGTAGTGGACGAGGAACGCATGGCGACGGGAGAGTGGAAGGACATGCAGCCGAGGGGTAGGCTCTTGACCCCTCCTGTCAAAGGCAGGAGGCTGATGGCCGGCATGGCTCCTTCCCTCTCGATGCCAGGGGCCCCCGCAGCCGGCGAGACTACTTCGAGAGCCACAGGCGGCAAGGCGCAGCAGCAGCGCTCTCGCTTCTTCGAGCCGCAACCTCTTAAGGGCACGACGCAGAATTCTGTCATTCGACTGGGCAAGGGGGCCTTTGCGAGACGAGGTGGGGTGGATAGGGTGGCAGGCAACCCGGTTGCATTTAGGAGCGCGGCGAGGAAGGGGGAAGTCAAGGCGAGGGCGAGTGGGAATGCGAGGGTCAGGTATTCATGAGGCGGAGAGGAGAGGGATGAGGCGAAATTGTACCACCATCATTTGAGCGCAAAGAGCGCGTAGCATGCATACACTCTTACTCGCCGGGCTCCGATTGACGTGCATCTCAAGTCGATGAAGGTGTGAGCCCGAAACGCTTGGCATCGCGAAGTGAATCCGCCGCCACAAGAGCATCAGCTCAACGCGGCTCAGCGCTGCACACCTTAATGGTGCTGACATCCTTGGCCTCCAAGCAGGAGGCAGTGGCAGCGCTAATCAGAAGGGAGCAGCGGCTGTGACGGTGCGTCAGACGCGATTGATTGGTTGCATGGGTTCATAGGATACCTCTGAAGCCACCTCTACAAGCTGGGGAAATAGCTCAGGGGTAGAGCGCTTGCTTAGCAGAAATCGTCACGGTTTGCATGAGGCCCGGGGTTCAATTCCCCGTTTCTCCATCTGTTTTGGCTTCCTGGTCTGCCAGCCCGCACAGCAGCGCGGCAGGAACACCTTTTGCGCTAGCAGCCAGTCTCCTAGGCGATGGCGCAGCCGACATGCTTTACATGCGATGACGATGTGATTCCACAATACGTACCTCTCCTCGTTGTCGTACAGACTCGTCACCTCATCTTCATTCTCACGTCTACCGCCGTCATGCTCAGCGCGGACACTATCGTCCTGGTGATTACGGCGCTCGTACTTCTACACCAGCTTCCACGCTTCGTCCAGCCCAACATTATCGTCGTCTGCGAGAAAGACTACATCGACAAGGTGGCCGAAGCCGAAGTCATCGACAATGGCAATGCTGGCGTTGCCGACTTGCGCCGCCGCACCTCACCAAGCGCTCCACGGTCCAAGCGTCACAGCGAGAACTTTGAACTTGCAGTCATCTTTTCGGCGATGTACCTTGGGGGGTTGTGCCCGTTTTTCGCGTGGGAAGCAATGAACAGAGGTTGGAACCCGCTGGCAACAGCGGCATACCCGGTCTGCACGGTGGCTGTAATCTGGCTTCTCCCTTCCATCTTCAGCAGGTGGTACACCGCCTATTACCAGTGGCAGCGGATTCGAGACCTCACTATTGTCTGGCGGGCCAAGAGGGGTTCAGATGGTGCGAATGCGGAGGACACTCAGAAGCAGAAGTAGCGAGGAGACGCGAACGGAGCATGGGAGCGCACCAGATTGAGGCAAGAACGTCGGTGGTGGGATATGTGTAGCGTTGTCGGCTAGTATTGGGCACTTGCCGGCTAGGAGCGATGTGGGTGCGGTGGCGGCGAAGCGATCCCGGATTATACGGTGCGGCAATGCGGCACGAGTAATGTGATCTAGCCTCAGCAGACCTCATAAGAGCGTGATTGGGGGGCTCAGCGTCGACATAGGCCCACCCTGATCCCCGCTGTCATCGTGAGATGGTGGAGGCGTCGACTACGAACGGGGCCGTTGCAGAGAATCGCTGCTGACATTCGTTGATCTGCGCGAGCCCCTGGCCGGCGTTCCAAAGGATGCCGAGGAGACGCCGCGAGTTGAGCAAGCACTGCGATCGACATGATGGGTGGGAGTGAGGAGAACCACCCACGCTAATCATCTGATTATTCTGGCAAGTACATGCACAGGATAGACAGAGACGTACATCGGCGGACCGAGAACAAGCTTGAACGGTTCCTCGTTGGCTCTACATCTGCAGACCCTTCTCGCAGCGCCAGTGACGTCTGAGGCTCCTCGCCACCTTCGCCCGCTGGACAGCAATGCAACACGAAAAGGAATCGCTCGCAACATCGTCTTGCCAGCTTCGCTCGCGCTCCCCCTCGCAAGACGCGTGAGCGTAGGGAGACAAAAGAGAAGGGATGCGCACGCGCACGTTGACAAGAATGGGATTCGAACCCATGCTCCGAAGAACTGCGAATCGTCGAGGATCCAAAGGATTCCTTAACACAGCGCCTTAGACCGCTCGGCCATCTTGCCGTTCTGGCAGTTTGGTCAAAGTGATTGTTTATGAACGTTTCTTCATTCCTCATTGTACCCGCGTGTGGAGGAGAAACGCACGGACAGAGGCGCCGACTCCCGCTCGATGTGTTGCTTCGCACCGCCCTCTTGCTCGCAATGGCATCGAGACCAGCATCATCGTCTGCGCCGCCTCCCTTCAACGGAGCGCAGGCGCAGGACTTCCTCGCATTGAGATGGGCCGCTGCACAGCGTGGTGAGTCTTGTCGCGCTGGGTGGACGACATCGAGGGCAGGCTGGGCCACTGATTCGAGCATGTCGCCACACGCGCGCAGAGAACCCGACCATCTACCAGAGCGAGCAGGGCACAGCGTCGCCTGCTGGTTCGGCGGCTGCACAGAAAAAGGCGGGAGGAGCGTGGGGCATTGCGGGCAATAGGGGTGGGTAAGCGTGTCGCGCAAGACCCGCGTCACCTCACCTCGCGCTGATCGTCTTGCTCCTTCCTGCTTCATCCGCCAGCAGGCGCCGCTGCCCAGCGAGGAGGCCCTGGCACCGCTTCCACAGCCCCTCAAACGTCCAGCTTCGCTACCAATCTCATCAAGGCTGCGGGTCAGCGTCGTGGTACTGGTGCAGGCGCTGCGTAGGAAGGCTGCGTGGCCACCAATCAATATCAGCATCTCACTCTCCATCACGCGGCATGAGGGTAGAGCTAGTGTGATAGAGTCATGGTAGAGGTGACAACATGGTGTGGATACAAGAGTGAGAAGAGAGACGAAATGGAGCGGTCGAGTCGATGAGAAGCTGGTGATTTGCCCCTGCTCGTTGCGATGATGTCGTTGCGCGCCTCCGCCGCCCACCTCGCTGCGGCTTCACGCACGCCGCCCTAGTCGAAGGCGAGCACCCCTTGCCCCCTCTCCGGATCATTCAACCTCTGCACATTCACCTCAGGCCCAAAAGTCGTGCTCGACATATTCTGCGGCGTGATCAGCACGTACTGCACGTTATGGCTCGTCTTGCTCTCGTCGATGATCATCTTCATCGAGATGCGTCGATTGACCGCATCCATGAAGACGTCGAACTCGTCGAGACAGCGAATCGGGCAGCCAATCGCGCCCCACAGGGAGAGCAGCAGGCAAATGGTGCTAAAGGACTTTTCGCCGCCAGAGAGGGATCGAGGGTCCTTGTTCTTGGAGGCTGTGCCGCTACGCCCGCCAGTCGCCATGGGGTCATCCATCTGGACCTTGATGCTCAAGCGCTGCGCATCGTGGTTGAAATTGAGAGAGCCAGTGTAGCCGCGATTGCTGAGATGGTGCGTGAACATGGCACGAGCTCGCACTGCGATTTGGGTGCGGAACTGCTGCCACATATCGAGGCGACGCTTGAGGGCGGACTTGAGGGCCCTGGTCGCAGCCTTCATCGCATCCATTTCGCGATTGGCGTCGTCGAGGGCCTTTTGGCGGCTGCGGTACTCCGCCACCACTTCTTCCAAGCTGCCGCCACCCTGTCGCCTGGCCTCCTCGAGTAAGTTTTCAACAGCTTGGATCTCCTTTTCGTAGTACTCGTGCGAGTGGCTAGCCTCAACGCGTTCTCCCTCCGTGTACTGTAGTGCCTGCTCCTCGCCTTGCATCCAGTCGTTCTTCCTCTCCTCCTCTTCTTCCTCGATCTTGGCGAGCTCCTCTGTGATCTTGACCAGACTGGAAGCGCGGGCCTTGCTTTCCTGCTGACACTGTACGCGACGCTCCACGGCCTTCTCGAGCTCCATGCGTTGCTGACCGTATGCGTTGGCCGCTTCTTCGATGAGGGCGCGCAGCTCAATGTAGCGGGCCTGTTTGGGGGCGATCTTGTTCTCGAGTTCCTGCGCGTCAGCGAGCAAAGGAGTGAAAGCAGTCAGTATCGTCGCCCTCCGCTACCAGCCCCGCACGCGCGCACGCGCGCACTCGCACACTCGCACACGCACCTCCTTACGAGCTTGAACCTCCGCAAACCCCTCGCGACACTTCTCCAACTCCTCACGTGACTCCTTTCGAGCATGCTCCAGCGCAGCAACGTTCGCAGGCTCATCAGCGCGTAAATCCTCATCAAGTCTCTCCAGATCCTCGCGCGCCTTCTGCTGCTTCCTGCTGACCTGCTGCAGTCGCTCTCGAGCCTTGCGCACGCCCTGCTGAGCCTCGTTGCGCTCTCGCTGAATCGCTTCAATCTCCTTGCCAATGTCACGCAGCTCCTGCTGAGTCTCATTGTAGGCGGCCTGAGCTTCTGCAAGCTTGGCCTTGACGTCCGTCGAGAGGCGTGGCGGTCCACGGTACGGGTTGAGCGTCTGAGTCGACGAGCCGACGGCGCCTCCCTTGATGGAGAACATGTCCGCCGAGTAGCAGAACTTGACGTTGGGGAGGTTGCGACGTACGAGATTGTCTCCGTCCACACGCTGCTCAACCAGTGCGCTCGACTCAATGTGCACGCCATTGACGAGCTTGCGCAGCACAAAGTCGTCATCGACGTCCAAAACGCGCAAGATGGTCAGCACATCCGACGGGGGCTCGCCGCGGGTATAGTCGAACTTCTCGTCCGAGCCGGTGAGGATGGGTACTTGACCACAGCCGATGCGCCTCTTGAGGTCTTCGAGTAGCTTACGGTCGTGGTGATTGGTGACGCAAAATGCGTTGAGGGTATTGCCGATCACAGATTCCAGGACGGGTGTCCACTTGGCATCGCGTAGCTTGATGTGGTTGCCAATGGGGCCTACGGGCTTGCGGCGCCAGCGCCTGTGCGGATGAGTGGGGACAGTGTCAGCGCAAGCTCGCGTCTGTCGCTCGACCCCTCACCACTCACCCCTCGTTGTTGATAGCAGCAACGAGCTGGGGTACTCCCTGCCCAAACGCTTCGATGCTGTTTCTACTCGCAGCCACCAAACGCTGACACAGCAGCTCACGCTCTTGCAGCTGGTTGCGGAGTCGCTCCCTCTGCTCAGTGGCTTGCGACTCTTTTGCGGAGAGCTCCTTGGCCTTCGGGTCGCCGCTACGCAGTTCATCACGAATGCTGGCCTCCTCCTCTGCACACCGACGTCGCGTCTCCTCTGCCGCCTGTCGAGCCTCTTCGTGCTCGCGATGACGCTCCCTGTTGCCGTGCGCCAGCTTTTTGGTCTCCTCCTCGATACGCTTCGTCAAATCATTCACGCTCGCGCTCAACGACGCATACTGAGCCGAATACTCTGACTCTTCGCCTTGGATCTTCTTCAAGTCCGCTCGCATCGTCTTGAGCTCTCCCTTGATCACCTCGCGCTCGTCATTGAGAGGCTGCGTCTTGGTGCCCTCGCCGGCGTTGCGTGCGTCAATCTCAGAGACCTTTTCGCTGAGCTCGGTCAATTTGCCCTCCAATCGCTGGATCTCCTCCTCGAGCTTCGCCTTCTTCAGCCGTGCCCTCTCACCCGCACCCAAGACCTTCTCATAAGCACGCTGCTTCTCTGTGACTTGCGCCCAGACCATCTGATTCTTGAGCGTCTGGAGACGGTTTCGCTGTGTCTGCTGCTTCTCAACGAGCCTGTACCTGCGAGCTGCCTCCTGCGTGGCGTCCTCCAAGTCGGGTAGGGCCTCCTCTTTGGTAGCAATGGTGCGCTTGATGCGATTGACGTTCACACTGATGAGGTCGTACTCGTCGCTGAGCTGCTTGAGCTGGGTACCCCGCAGGAAGAAGTCGTACATCTCGGCCGAGTTGGACGAGCTGAGGAATTGCCTAGCCGCGTCTTGGGTGAGGACGTTCATAGGATTGTCGACTTGAATATTGGTGTGGTCGCAGTAGGCATTCAGCTCGTCGCGCTTCGATGAGACCATCTTGTTCTGGGCATTCTTCATCTTCCAGTGCCCCCCGCCATCGGCATTGATGCGCCTCTCGATGATGATGCGGTCGCCGTAGACGTCGTGCTTGAATGCTTCGGGACCCTTGTTCTTCATCCAGAGGACGACCTCGGCCGCATTGCATCCTTCCTTGACGAAGCTCTTGAGACTGCTACCGCGATTGGTGGATGCCGCCTTGCCTCCGAGGGCGATTGTAATCCCTGTGAGGACGGCGCTTTTGCCACTGCCATTGTGGCCAATGATGAAGTTGGTCTGGGGTCCAAAGGGAACGGTGAGGCGCTTGTGGCACATGAAGTTGACCTGAGCGGGCGAGGGGGGTGAGGTTAGCTAGGTGAGGATCGCAGACACTGCGCGTGGATGCTCACCAATTCGATGCGCTCAATGACTCCGGCTTCGGCGACGTGCTGGGCGAGGGTGGTGAGGGGGCCCCATCGTCAGCTCAGTCGCCGCCAAGCTCTCGCCGCCTCGTTCACTCACTGCCGCTTGCGATCGCATTTGCTGAATCTGAGCCATCTGCTCTTGCTCTACCTGCTCCTCGTTCTCCAGCTCATCCTGCGAGTTCATCTCGTCATCCTCGTCGTCTTGGTCGTCCTGTTGAGCGCGAGAGGCGTTGTACTGGCTCTGAGAGAAGGCCTCCATCTTGGGGAGGAAGTGGGAGGTCTGAGCCTCGGCATCCTCCTCGTCGTCGTCATCGTCGTCGTCTATGCTTGCTGCGTCTATGGGAGCGAGACTCTGTCGTCGAGATCGTGAGGTACCTTGGCCATTGCTATTGTTGTTGTGAAGAGGCGTCGACTCTCTCAAGGGAGAGCGCGATGGTCGACTGCGCTTTGAGACGCGGCTGAGACTGTGGTCATCGGCGGCGTCGCTGCCCCCAGCATCTTCGTCATCGTCGTCGTAGCGTCGCTTGGAGCGCGACATGGTGCGACGAGGTGGTGATGATGAAGTGAGATGATTAGAAGCTGGCGGCCATCGATGAAGGAGACGACGAGACTTGATTGCAAGGGAGTCAAGGAACGAGGGGCGGAAGGGAAGTGTTGGGCGGACCCACGGCGAGGCCAGTCCGCCCTCGAAGCGCGTCGCGATCGTCGAAGCCAAAGAGGCGGGCGGGCGAGCGGACGGCAAGAGGCGAAGCGCAGCTGCTAAGCCTTCCTTCCACCCAGCCATCATCGACGAAACATGGCCTCGTCATCAACTACTGCGCAGCCAACCTACGAGCTGCCATGGTGAGCAGAGAATCGCCGTCATGTAGGTCATCTGCCATCGCCTCTGACTCCCATGACTCCCTCACAGGGTCGAAAAGTACCGCCCGGTCAAGCTCGACGACGTCGTAGGCAACCGTCCAACAATTGAGCGCCTCAAGGTCATCCAAGAGGACGGCAATTGCCCGCATCTCCTCATCTCGGGCCTTCCTGGTATCGGTAAGACGACGAGCGTCCACTGCCTTGCCCACGGTCTCCTCGGCGATGCATACAAGGAGGGAGTTCTCGAGCTCAACGCCAGTGATGAGAGGTGAGCGGAGCGACTAAAGCGGGGCCAAGCTGCACGAGCCTTTTGCTCACATACGCACCACCTCATCCCGCAGAGGAATCGATGTCGTCCGTAACAAGATCAAGAACTTTGCCCAAAAGTGAGCAGAGCCGTCCACCGACGACCGCCCCTCGCAGGCAACTGACCCACCACACATTGCTGCTCACGCTTTCTCCTCGCAGAAAGGTCTCCCTCCCTCCGGGCAAGCATAAGCTCATCATCCTCGACGAAGCGGACAGCATGACAACGGGCGCGCAACAAGCCTTGCGCCGCACAATGGAGATCTACAGCAACACGACGCGCTTCTGCCTGGCCTGCAACCAATCCAACAAAATCATCGACCCCATCCAATCCCGTTGCGCAATCCTGCGCTACTCCAAGCTGAGCGACGAAGAAGTCATGAAGCGTCTTCTCGAGATTTGCTCGATTGAGAAGGTCGAGTACACCGACAATGGACTAGAGGCGCTCGTCTTTACCGCGGAAGGCGATATGAGGCAGGCGATCAACAATCTACAGAGTACTTGGACGGGGCTGGGACTGGTCAATGCGGATAACGTCTTCAAGGTGTGCGATCAGCCTCATCCGATTGACATTCGAAAAATGTTGATGGCGTGCTACAAGGCGGATGTGGACGAGGCGATGGAGGTGCTGGACAAGGTTTGGAGCGCCGGGTACGCGGCGGTGGATATTATCGGGACGCTGTTCAAGGTCGTCAAGGTGATGGACGCGATTCCTGAGGCGGTCAAGCTCGACTTCATCAAGGTGCGTGCGCGCGTGTGCCGGATGGCGGGGGCGCTTTCTGGATTCATGCTGACCTGCACGCTCGGTTGTGCCACGCCAGGAGATTGGCTGGACCCACATGCGAATCCTCGAGGGAGTCTCTACGGTCATCCAGCTCGGCGCCTGCCTCGCTCGTCTCTGCAAGCTCGTGAGCAGATGCGGAGGCGTGACAAGGAGCGTGACACGTCCTGCTAATGCCTTCTCATTCTTCTCTGCCCTCGCGCCCAGCAAATGGACCCAGTCGCCTTTGAAGCAGTCAAGTTCTGAGCCGGTGGCAGAGCGGCGTAGCGGAGAGGGAGCGAGCAGGCGGCGGTCGCGGCGGCGGCAGCAGTGGCCCACCGCGCACTCATGTACTTGTACCAGCAATCATCGATCATCATCACCATCGCCATCGCACTCACGCCGTTGTCCGAGCAAAGGAGAGTGTATTTGACATGTCACGAGGCCGAAGGGAAACAAAGATGCGTCCCGCTAGTGAGAACAAACAGAAGAGGAAAGAAATGGGGGGAGACCACGACGGTGGACAAGAAGGGGGAAAGCAATTGATCGTAAAGTCCTTGGGTGTGTTGTCGTTGCGGCGTTGCATTTCGTTAGAGCCGGGCGTCACCTCACGCCTTTCTCCTCACCCTCAACTGCCTCGCCGGCCAGCCGGCATACACCGCCCCTTGCTCAGCGATCTCACCTGACGCGACGAGCGTGTGCTCAAGGAGCATACTCCTTGGCTCCATGCTTGCCCCAGAGAGCAGACGCGAGCCGGTGCGCAATGCGCACCCTTCGCCCAGTCGCAGCTTGTTGAGGGAGAAGCGACCGCGCGAGTTGATGTGCGCCACAATGGAGCAGTCGTCGAATGAGACGCGATCACCAATGGTGACGAGGTCCGGCTCGGTGAGCTGCAGGCTGGGCTTTCCTCCCGCCCAGACCGCCACATCCTTGCCCACTGTGGCGCCGAGGGCTCGCAGATACCACACGGCGTAGGCGGTACCGGAGACGAGGCCGATGAGGTGACCGCCGTGTCCTCGACCGAGAATACGCTGCAGGCTGAGGTGAAGCTGCCAGCGCTGGCAGTAGGAGCTCTTGTCCCAGTCGTACCTTCCCTCGCGCCTGCGCCCGATGATCATCCACTTTGTCGCAATAACCCAGGCAAAGGCGAGAATACCCTGCACGCACAGGATGACGACGAAGCACACCGCAATGAAGGCGTAGATGAGACCAGGGCGGTACCAGTGGTCGCTGATGATGACCGTCTCGCTGAATTCCCAAACCTGGCGAACCTGGTTGAGCATCACGACTGTGCCCACCGCAGCGGTGGCCCAGTAAGCGGCAGAGAAGATTGCCATGAGGATGTTGATGAGGACGAGCACAACGTAAGGGATGACAAAGTAGTCTGCCTTGCGCTTGTAGAATGCACGGCCAAAGGGCGTGATCGTCTCGTCTGCTCCGCTGACGTACTGCTGCTCCTTGTTGTCCACATTGGCACGACCAAAGGAGACGGCAGCGCCATTCTTGGAGCCCATCCAGACGGTATGCTCTTCGTACTGACCATTGCGGACCGCGAGGGCTCCAGAACCCATGACGCACTGCTTGCCGATGGAGACGCCGGGGAGGAGCACGACTCGGTCTGCAATCATGGCTCCGCGGCCTACGCGCACGCGGGACCAGCCAATGGAGTCCGATGTGAAGACCTCCGAGCGAGAGCCAAACACAACGTCGTCTCCAATCTCGAGGAGCTCCGGGTCCGGGCAGTAGATTCCTGATCCAGGCCAGTACACACGCTTGCCCACCTTGGCGCCCATGGCACGGTAGATTGCCGATGTCATCTCGTAGTGAGTACCAAGGATGGACATGGCGCGACGGATGTTGGGCTGCGAAAGGAGCTGGTTGTTAAGCCAGCGGCGGAAGAGCGCGAACTGCGTCGCGTTGCGCATCGAACCCTCGCGATTCAGCCCCATGCTCCTCTTGATGATAATGCCCAAGATGAGGTTGATGAGAGGCGGCATCGTCGTACGGACGACGCGGGCGACGTAGTGCCATCCGATACGACGCGGGTAGGCAAACCAGGCGATGACGCCCTTGACCGTGTCGTGGTGATTGAAGGAGAAGGGCTGCGAGAGGAGCATGAAGAGAGAGGCAAACCAGGGCACGTAGGTGATGATGCGGACGAGGAGGATGATGGGCACGCCGATGAACCAGATGAGCGCCTTGTGCGGTTGCGGGCCGGCGGAGCGGTTGTAAGCAGCGTAAGCGTCCGAGGAGGGCTCTTCGTGCGAGGAAGACTGCGGGCCCCAGACGGTACCATCGGCGAGGCGGGCGCCAGGCGAGATCTGCGTGAAGGTGTTGATAACACAGTCACGGCCAATGACGATCGGCTCAAGGCGGAAATATCCATCGCGCTCAACGCAGAAGCCGCGGATGAGCGACTTGTCCAGGCGAGCGCCGTCGTGGATGGTGATGAGATCGTACTCTGCCATGCGCGTGAACTTGTCAATGACGACGTCTGAGCCGATGCTCATTCCCAGCAGGCGGTAGTACGTCTTTTGCAGGGAGGGCGTCAAGTTGAACAGACCCTTGCCCCCGACCTTGAGCGACTGATTGACGATCCACCAACGCAAATGGTAGTTGCACCACATCGGATACTTGCCGGGGCGGTAGCGTCCGATGACGATCCACTTGAAGGCAATGGCTGTGATCGGGCAGATGATGCGCGACGTGACACGAGCGACAATGACCGAGGCCAAGAGCACGGCGACGCGCTCCCAGAATTGGTCATTGATGTAGTAGGCAGAGAAGGCGAGACCGTGCAGAATGACCGTCCACGTCCACGCAGCCTTGAGCGGGTAGAAGAAGAGGAAGGGGATCGTCTGAATGAACATGACCCACGGATGAAGCTGGCTACGGTGCTTGTAGCCGTGGCTGGCAAACGCCGGCTCGTCCTCGTCGTCGTAGCGATGAGCGCCGTGGAAGGCAGCCATGCCAGGGGTCTTTTCGTCCGTGTAGCCATCAGCGTCGTCGTAGCTGTCATCGCCTGTGCCGTTCTCCTCGTCGACCAAGGCTGCGATTCCTGCGACCGTCGAGTTGTTGAAGAGGGACGAGACTTCGAGGCTGGCGCCCGTCTCTTTGCGGATCAAGGCGACGAGACGGCCGAGCAGCAGACTGTTGCCGCCGAGGAGGAAAAAGTCTGACTCGGCAGTGATAGTGCCGCTTTCGGTGTCGAGGAGACCCGCGATGATGTCGCGCACAGCCAGCGCAGTGCGTGACATGGCTGAAGCGTTTTGCGCTCGCACCTCCTCCTCCATCGTCTCGAAGTCGATGCGGCCGTTGATCTTGGCCAATGGCTGACGGAAGACGTGAAGCGGGTTGGGCACGACGTAGCCGTGGAGTACCTGAGCGAGGGCGCGATCAATGTCTGATGCGTCGTACTCGGCCTCCTCTTCGACCTGGATGAAAGCCTCTGGAGCGCCATCACGTCGTTGCCTGACTGCAGCCTCGATGATGCCTGGGATGCGGTAGCATGCTCGCTCGACGGCTCGCACATCGATGGTGACTTGGCTGCACGGGATCGGCTCGCTCAGAGGTACGCTCTTGTCTGGAGCGCGAGCCTCAAAGTGACGCTGAAGCGGCGGGATGTCATCCGAGAGGGGGCCGATGCTCAACCTGGTCCCAAGCTTGATACGCAGCGGCTTGCCTGCCTGATTCTTGGGCAGGTCGTCCATGTAGACGGCGGCAAAGGGCCACTTGGACGGATGAAGGTGGGCTCGCAGCAAATTCTGCAGCTCAGCGAGACCGATGCGTGGCTGATTGGGGACGGGGACAATGACCACGCCAATGGTCTCTTGGAGGACGGTATGCTCGATTGAGAAGGCGAGCGTCTGCTTGACGCGGTCCTTTGCTGCTTGCATGATGGCCTCTTCGACTTCAAACGGCGAGACGACTTCTCCTCCCTTGTTGATAATCTCCTTTGATCGACCGGTGATGAAGAGGTAGCCGTCTGCGTCCATGTGACCCATGTCGCCCGAGTCAAACCAGCCCTCCGTGGAGAAGGACGAAGTGTCGAGGGGCTCAAAGGGGTCGGTGGAGACTTCGTAGCCAGAAAAGGTCGGCAGGCCACGCACGGAGACGGCGCCCGTCTGGCCGACTGGCAACTGACGCTCACGATCAAAGGGATCGCGGATGGAGAGGTCGGGACCGCATGCCACGCCAGAGCATCCTGGTCTGTCGAGTTGATAGTTGGTCGGGGGTGAAGCGATGGGCATGCACTCGGTCATGCCGTACGAGGGGAGGACTGCAATATCGCCGAACGTCTCCTTGAGCTGGACGGCGAGCGAAGGAAGCAAACCACCGGCGGCGTTACAGATCATCTTGATGCGCGTGTCGCGAGAAGGCACGACACCTTCTGGCTGTGAGGCGAGAATGGCGTGGTGCATCGTTGGAGCTGCGTAGTACCAAGTGGCGCCGAGCTGCTTTGCTAGGGTCCACCACATGCTGGCATCGAAACCAGCGCAGACGATGGCGGAACCGCCGGAGAACATGGGCGACCAAAGATTGCGAACAATACCACCGACGTGGAAGAGCGGCATCATGTTCACTAGCGAGAGCGAGGGGGTTGAGAGGTGAGCCTGGCGTAGACGTGACTGCGCGCTCTCTGCACTCACTGTTGACGCTCTCTGGCCTCAGGTCCCAACTTTTTACGACGCAAATGGTTCCGACGATGAGGTGGCGCAGGGAGTACGGGACGACCTTCTTCTTTCCCGACGTGCCCGAAGTGTGAAGGACAAGAGACTGGTGCTCGAGGCCATGGAGGCGAGATGGACGCCTGCCTTGTGTGTTGGCCAAGCCACGCTGGCCATGCAGCGACATGTCGAAGAGCCCCGCCGGTCCAGATGATCGATTTTCGACAAAGATGATCTCCATGCCTTCTTCGGATCGCAGCGCCTCGACGTCGAGACGCTCAGCTGCGTCGCGCGTGGTCACTACGGCTTTCGCTCGGAGTCGTACTGCGTCATCTCTGAGCTCACCCGCCGTGCACGAGGCATTGACTGGTGCGCAGGTGTGGTATGCAGCAACTGCGAGAAGAGCCACAGCGTTCTCTGGTCCCGTAGGGAGGGCCATCATGACGCGATCATTAGGGCCGAGGGGCTGGCCGGCGGTGGGTAGGACAAAGTTTGCAATAAAGTTCTTGATGGTGCGATGATCGATGGGAGGACGATTGAGGTCGGGCGACCACAATGCTGGGTTCGTCGTATTACAGAGACAGTCGAGGAGCGAGGTGACGCGACCGTTGTCTGTGACATTCTCTGCCATGTGATCTCCCAGCGACTTTGTGCGTGGGGGATCGGGCAACGAGTAGACGAAGCCGAGCGGGAAGTCCCGCGCCGATGATGACGAAGACATGGCGGCGAGCATGGCGAGCGAGGAGATGAGGAGGGAGAGTGGGTGTTATGCGTGTGCGTACGTCGTCCTTTTGCTGATGTTGCTATGTCGTTGGGAGCGGATGGCTTGCTACAGGTAGAAGTTCGAATGAACGAGCGCTCTCCACGACTGTTCCTCTTCGAGAGGTGGGTGAGGAGGGGACGAGAGACGAGGCCCGCGAGGCCCGCGAGGCTGGTTGATGTGAGACGACTCAGTCAAGTCGGTGGCAGTTGCTGGTCTGAGAGGGCCGACCTGCGATCAACCTCGACGACGGCGTTTGCGCGTGTGGCGATGAGAAGGGGGAGAAGGGATAGGAGAGACGGGGGAAAGGGAACCCTTGGCGGTGGCACTGGTGGTATTGAGATGAGGAGGAAGCGATTGAATCGAAAGAACAAGCAACTTAGCCACCGACCAACGGCAGCGGCGGGCGGCGTAGCGTGCGGCGTTTCTGGTCGCTGCCTGCCGCGCCGCCTTGGCCTTCTCTCTGTGCGTGGTCTGAGACGAGTCTGAGCCTGAGGCGAGGGAAAGGGGGCTCCGTCGACGCACTGCTTAGGCGCCCAGGGGTGGTGAGCGAGGCGGGACGCAGGCGGGCAACAAGGCACACACACGCACGCACACACACAAGCAGACGGGCGGAGCGGCTGCTCAACTGTGTGTCATGCCGGGCGCGCCTTGGGACGCGGCGCGGCACTGCTCGCTCGACGCTCGTCTCGACTCCTTGCCGATGCTCCTCGCGGCCGGCTTCGACGTCCAAGCCACGCCGCCCCCGTTTTGGAAGACAGAACCTAGAGTGACGCAGCGAGAAGAACACGGCGACTTGGTGACTGCGGTCGAGCACGACGTGTGCAAAGGCTTGACACGTTGATGGCCGGCGTGAGCGCCGCCAAGCATTGAGCGACGCTCGTCTACCTTCCCGACGCCACCTCGAATCGTGGCGATGCTGTCGAGCCCCGTCCGGCGACAGCACTCGGCATGTCGCACGAAAATAGCGTTTCCACGTTACCAATTCGAGCAAGGCGAGCGCAACGCTACATGATGTGAAGAGGTATATCATTTCGTGCAGCACCTTTGCAGAACCTCGTCATCCTCACCCGCTCACGCCTGCACCGGCCTATAGAACACAGTCGTCACGTACTTTCTCTTGTACCTCGTCGTAGTACCCACAGCCAGCACGCCACCCTTGATCGCAGAAGCGGTCAAGTGATTGAGCACGACGTGGTTAGGTGCCGGTAGAATGGAGTTGTCGTCCACCAGTCCCCCAGGAGGGGCGAGGGCAGGATTGGCCGGGCTCGAATTGAGGATGACCTTCTCCAGCTGACGGGGCAGAGAGGGGGGCAGAGGGAGGTTGGAGGAGTCGGGTTGATCTGCACCACCACCCTCGTTCGCTTCGATCGCGTCCCGATATGCCTCCTCAGCCTGCTGCGCCCTCAGCACGCCCTCGGGCACCTCCTGCACCCACGTTTCCGCGGCTCTGAGCGCCTCATCGTCGAGCCCAAAGACGTCCTCCAGGTTCCCGTTGCGCACCAGCTCTGCGCGCCTAGCTTCCTCCTGCAAGTCCAAAACGGCACGACGGCGTGACTCATGGTGAAGCTGAGCGGCTGCGCTGTCGCTCGCGGCAGAGGCTTCCTTGTTGCTGAGTTGAGCTTGCTGCGAGGAGAGGGTGGTACCACTTCCCCCTGATCCACCACTACTCCCTCCCGGGCCCGAAGCAGCAGTGAGGGCGGCGGTGTCACGCCCATCGCTGCTTCCCCTCCCCGCGCTGCCGGGCCTGCGTTTCTGTGCCTCTCTGATCCTCTCAACATCGCGCTCCCTCCTCCTCTCCCTCTCTCGCGCAGCCTCGACATCTACCAGGTCTTCCCCAGGAGCAGACAGAGGACCAGAGTGTGCCGGCCCAACATTGGGGATCTCGAGGTAGTTGACTAGATTTCCATCACCATCCGTTGCAGTGGGCAGCTCTCTCGATACGCGCCACCTATCGTCGACGATGAACTTCATGCGATGCGTTCCCGGGGGCAGGTGCAGGACAACGCTATGCTCCTCGCTACGATGTGCACCTGCGCTTCGGCGTGTAGGCTGGTGCGCGCCAGGGGTAGAGGAAGATGCCCCATGACCTGCAGCCGTCTTCTTCAGTAGAATCTTGGAGCGCCACTCATTTGCGAATGTGCCCGTCACGAACACCTCACGCCCTCCACCGCGCCAGGTAAGGACGATCGGCATGAGGGAGACGGGCCCGCGAGCATTGCGGAAGTAGTAAGGGGTGAGATGAGGTGGGGCTTGTTGCGCTTGAGATTGGGCTTGCTGGCGGGACTTTGGTGTCGCTGAGCCGGCGGGGGCTGCCACCGCTGCAGTAGGGCCTGTAGCGGTCGTGTTGGACGAGGTCGAGTCGCTCGCTGTCATGCCGCCGCCACTGCCCGTGTTGCCCGTCGGAGTCTTCTGCCCACTGGAGAGGGGGATAGAGGGGGCAGCCGTCGCAGCCGGCACGTCGATGGACAGATCCGCCAGGCGCTTTGCCGTCGAATTGTCATCCATTGACTGCAAGCCGTGGCTGGATCCGCCAGCACTGCTTGATACCATGGGCATGCCTGCAGATGGTGGGGCCGAGGTCAGGCCAGGAGGGATGGGCATGACGGGCGTGGTGGCCCCGCTGGCCAGGCCAGTCGCGATGTGTACCCGCTGGCGTTGCGCTGCGGCTGCAAAGTCCTCCGTCGTGGGAAGCCAGGCCGGAGCGTCGCTGCCGGATGAGGGGGCGCGCGCAGGGGTCAAGGCCTTGGCTGCGTGCGACTTTTGCGTCGGTGTTGGCGTGCGAGAGAGGGAGGCGCTGCCCTTTACCAATTCTTCCTCCCCTCCCTCCTCTCTTTCCTGCGATCCAGCCTCGTTGGTCTCGTCCGCAGCGTCTGCAGCGTCCTTGGCTATGGGCGCGGCGGTCGGCGTAGCAGGTTGCTCGGGCAGTGGCACGTCCTCGCTCACCGGCGAGCTGACACGACTTGCACTACCCGGCGCAAGAACCACTTCCTCTGTATTCAAGACGGCGGATGGGGCCTTGGCTGTGCCTGCAGCGGCACTCCAGCCAGACGAATTGGGCGTGACGTGGCCGCTTCCTGGTGCGCTGCCCGTTGGAGAGCTGGGCGCGGACGGAGACGACGATGTAGGAGGCAGGGTGGGCTGTTGCTGTTTGGAAGGGATGAGGGTTGGGATCTTGAGATAAGAGGGAAAGGCAGCTGTCATGGGCCCACTGCGTGCCTGACTCTCCGCTGTCGAGGGACCAGATACGGAGCCGCTGCGCGAGGAGTATCCTTCCGATGCCGTAGCAATCGAGCTGATTGCGCTCGAGTCTGCCGTCGTCGTCGTATCTCCGTCGAAGCTCGTGGGTGAAGTCGTGTCTGAGCGCATCGAGCCTGGGAGAATGGCTGTTGCGATGCCCTTGCCAAAGGCGCCGCGACTGCCGGATGCGTTACCGCCCGGCGCTCCTCCGGTCGGCGTGGACTGCTCGTCGAGGGTTGCCAGTCCCAAGGCATCTTGTGTCACGTAGCTTGTAGTGCCCGACGCATGGCGAGAGTCGGTCGCAATGCTGGGTGAAGGGTTGGGGGAGATGATGCCTTGCGTAGAGAAGGCGGCGGTGGAGAGGAGAGTGGGCGACAAGCTCGGCGGCGGGCGCGACGTCGTGGCGCTGGGAGCATCATCATCGACGTCGATGATGTCGAGATTTTTGCCCTTGGCGCTGGGACGTTTGACAGCGGGTGGCCTGTTCGCTGGCGTAGTTGAGGAAGAGCTTGCTGCGCTACCAGAGGCGGCTCGCGCTGGCTTGCTCAATGTCGGGGAGCCAGTGGCCGTAGCAGATCGCTCTCTTGGAGCTTGAGACGAGACGCTGGGCGTGGAGAGGGATCCAGACCTCGATCGAGCACGACCAGCGGCCGACGAGGAGGATTGGGGTAGTAGGCTAGAGTCTTGGCTAACCGCTCCACTGTCTCTCATGTACGACGACGAGCGAGCAGTGGAAGCCCCTCTTCGTACAGAGCCATGTCTGCTCCAGCTAGGGGACGCTCGACCGGGTGTAGCAGGGTGACTGGCAGCTCCGCCGTGAGATCGAGGGCGAGATAGCGGGTTGAGGGATGAGGAGCCGCCGCCCCCTTGCCCACCACCGCTCTCATTGGATGCTGTATTGCCCATCGGCAGCGGCAGCGGGGGTGTTGCGCTGTCCTGTCGAGTGGTGTGAGTGGTGAGGTCGGCTAATGCGTGCGTAGTAGTGGTGGTGGTGGCGGTAATGGATGTACGAGAAAGAAGCGAAAGAAGCTGGGACGACGATGGACGGACGGACGGACGGATGGAGGAGAGGGACGCAGCGACGCAGCGAGGCAGCGCCGGCAAGACGAGAGCGGATTGATTGGACCCTCGCCTCCCGCCCGCCCGCGCTGCCTGGCTTGCGCTCAGTCGTGCGCCGCCGCTCTCAGCCCAAGGCGTGCGGGGCGCCGACGTCGATGTGACTGCACGCAAGGAAGATACGCAAAGCGCTCACAGTCGGTCACGCATGACATCACGCTGCACGCAACGATACGGGGCAGCGATGGTGGGGTACACGTGCGACAGGTGCGACGAGTGCGGCGACGGCCATGGCGGCGACCAAGTACAATTCTATCGATTCATTGGCGCGCTGCATGCTATTCGAGAGATCAGGGGAGAGTGTAGCCTCCATCGACGACCTGCGTGAAGGATGAGACGCAAGTCAGGCCAGGTCAGCTCATGCTGCGTCCTCTCCTCTCGCACAACTCACCAGGTCGTGACCTGTGCAGTAGGTCGAGGCATCGCTAGCGAGGTAGAGGTATGCCCCCTTGAGCTCCTTGACATCTCCCTGACGCCCCTGGACGGCCATTCGGAAGGCCTCGTTGCGGACCTTGGGTGCTGCCTACGAGCCAAACAGCAGTCAGTACGAGCTCGCTCCACGTCGAGCGCAAGACTCACGCCAAGATCCGTCTCGATGTAGCCAGGGCTGACTGTGTTCACTCGAGCAAAGTCCCTCCACTCCCTCGCCAGACTCCTCGCCAAGTGGATAACCGCCGCCTTGCTAGTATTGTAGCAACCCTGGTCGGTGGGCACGTTGACGATCTGTCCGCTCATCGAAGCGGTGATGATGAGGTTACCTTTGCCCTGCTGCTTGAAGACCTCACCGCAGGCCTTGGCGCAGTAGAAGACGCCGTGCAGATTGACGTCCATTACCTTGTGCCACTCCTCGACGGGCTGCTCCAGGATACCACCAGCAAAGGCCACGCCCGAGTTGGCGACAAAGCAGTCCAGGTGGCCAAAATCCTTGACTACCTGTGCAACGGTCGCGTGGACGGCCTCGTAGTCTGTCACGCCGCACTGATACGCCTTTGCCTTGACGCCGTTCTTCTTGGCGAGTTCCTCCGCCTTCTGGACCGCAGCCTTGTTGGAGTTGTACCAAATCGCGACATGAGCCCCCGCCTCTGCCATTGCTTCTGCCACCGCAAAACCAATACCCGCGCCTGCCCCACTGATGGCGACTACCTTGCCCTTCATGCTGAACATGTCCATCACGTTCGAGGGGGTGGAGGGGGTCGGGTTGGGCTTGATCTCGCCCTTGACGTCGAGGAAGGAGCTCATGGTGGGTGGGTGCGTGCCGGGTGAGTGACTGAGGATGAGAAGGCAGGTGAGAGAGGTGATTGACAATGAGCGAGAGCTTGAAGTGAGATTCAATTGATAGGCAAGGAGAAGATAAAGGTGAGGTCCTGCCCACTTGTACCCCACCACCCGGCTGCTATCTAGGCTGGATCTTCGGAGAGACGCACGGCCACCCTCCACAATCGTCGGAGCCCGCGTCGGCATTGTGGCCTTTCAGATTGCCGGCCGCCTCTACGGTGACTCGTACCAAAGCCATCGGCACTCATATCACAACGGGCGAGATCTTCCGAATGGCAGTGTGACGTATTGCGCACGTCGTCGTGGTATCATTGTATTGACTCGAAGGTGGTCATCTCGGCGTCTTCTCAAGCCTATCTACGCCGCGGTGTGGATTCTTCCTCCCATCCCCTCTTCCCCAGCGAGCCTCCGTACGACATGCTCGACGTCCTCGGCGTTCCACTGCGAGCTAGCGGCGTAGTTACACCGCCACTGCCGCTGCCACCACTACCTCTCGGCGTCATCCCTCCCAGTCCCTTCGCCGTGCTGCGATTGAGCAACGTCTTCGCTGCAGGGGAGAGCATCTCTGCTCTTTTGCTTGCTGGGCGCGAGGATGCCGACGAGCTTGAAGAAGCACCGTCCCTTCGCTCACCTCTCGCCTTACGCCCACCACCATTCGCCAGTCGCGCCGCAATCTCATCTCTCCTCGGCGTAGGTGGAACGGCGAAGCCTGGCCCGACTGTACCGCTCGCATTGCCTGAGCCCCTGCTACGCGCAGAAAGGAGACGTCGCCTGCTCATACCCGGCGTGCTCGTCTGCTCGCCTTCATCTTCCACCGCAGAAGGTGCGGGACTGCGATGCGGCGTGACGAAACCGTATCCGTTCACGGTAGGTCCCGCGTCCACCCTCTCGCCATCCTCATCGAATCGATCCCCGTACCTCGACCCGCCGCCCAAAGCGCTATCGATCCTGCTTGACCGTGGCGTCGAAGCTGACGTAGACGTGGAAGACGAGCGATGCTTGTTCGCCTTCATCCCCGGGTACTTGGACTGAGGAAAGAGCTCCTGCTCAGGGAGAGCGGTGTTATGGAAGTTGGTTTGACGTTGAAGAGACTGACGAGCGTGGAAGAGGCGATCTGCTGCAGACTGGGTGGGCACATGCCTTGCAGCCTCGGAGGTGGTAGGGAGCGAAGAGCTGGCCTTGTCCACCGTACTGACATCGGCGTCCGGCCCGTAGAAGAGGGCGTTGCGCAGCTTGTAACGGAAGGCTGCTGCGCTTGCTGCGGACGGGAGGATGGGCTTGGTGGCGAGCACGCCGTCTGGGTCCTCGTCCGGTCGCAAAAGGCTGGTCTGCGCTGAGGAGAGGGGTGCTGATTGGTAGAGATGGAGAGGGACGGCAATCTCTGAGCGTGGATCGAGGGAGTGCTTCAGTGGCTTGAGGTCCGAGGGAGGAGATAGAGAGCGCGGTCGCGCAACGAGAGCCTTGTTGCGAGCCTCTTCGTCTTCTTCGTCTGCAACATCAGGCAGCTCCTCGCTGGCCGACCGGATGAGCCTGATGCCCTGCCCTTGTGGCTGGGCTGACTCGAGCAGTTTCCTATCTTGCCCCTCCCAGCCTTTCAGCCGCTCGAGCTGGCTGACCCTCTCCCTCGTCCCCACATCCATCTGACCACTTCCAATGAGCTTCCTCCTCTTCCCCTCGGGCAACGCCAAGACGGAGCGTGCGTATCCCTCATCGGCCCTCTTCCTCGCCTCCTCAAGCACAAAGGTGCGCCTGGCATTAGCCTCTTGCTCCTTCCCAAAGGCGCGAGAGTATTTTTGCCGACGCTGGGCATTTGTGGCGTGAAGCAGGGAGAGGAAGGAAGCATTGTCCTCTGATGTGTAGGCGTGTTGGAAGGAGGAGAGTGTGTGGCCTGCCACGCTGACAGTCGATGAAGTTGCGTCGTCTGATGGGTCCTCGTAACGTGACTGCCTCATCGGCGAGCCCGGGGTCTGGCCACCTCTCACTGGCGTGGGATCCCAGCCACGATCGAGAGGACGAGCAGGCGTGTCTGCCGGCGTACCCATCCTGCTCATCAATGAGGGCGTCATCGAAGCCTGCCTTGCCCGGCTACTGTTGCGACCCCGTCTCCCTCGCCTGCCAAGCTCCTCCTGCGCATCCAACTCATCCAACACCCTCTCCGCTCTCCTGAGCCTCGTGTCTCCGCCTGCTTCCCCCTCGTCGAGCGCTTGAAGGGCCTCGAGATACTCGTTCTCTGCCTTGAGGCGGGGCAGTCCGGGAAAGAAGTCCCGCTGGATGAGGGAGGAGAGGGAGGACATGTAGGCTTCCTCCTCTAGCACTCGTTGACCCCGCAGCGACGTCGTCGATGGGGTGAGCGCGGTCGACGACCATCCTGATGACGACGACGAAGACGAGGCGCCATTGCTGGCCATGTCTGTCGAGCCTCGGGCGAGATGATGGATGTGGCAAGGATGCACGAGGGCTGAACGAGAGCGCGGACAGGCGAACAGGCGGACCCAACTTTCGCAGCCTCCACGACGGACGGACAGGCGGACAAATGGCGGCGGCGACAATGTCTCGCACACAAAGAGGTGCGACGGCGATGAGGGCAGGTTCTTCACTTTTCATTGCAATCGTTGGTCTGCGCATCCTCTTGCTCGTCCGCGCCCCCTCACGGCGCCAACCTCTTCGGGTCACGCGGGAACATGCTGGTGCGGCGAATGTTGGTGATGCCCAGGAAGAACATGAGCACCCTCTCCAGTCCAATGCCTCCTCCTGCGTGAGGCGGGCAGCCCATCCTGAAGCCTTCGACGTAGTGCTGCATCGACTCTTCCGAGATGCCGACCTGCGGGCGGGCCAGGGGGCGAGCGAGGGGCCGGGAAGTCAGCGTGAGGTGTTCTTCGTTCTGGGCCCACGCCTGCGCTCACCTTGGCCATCTGCTTGACCAGCAGATCCGCATCGTGTACTCGCTGCGCCCCCGACATGATCTCCTGGCCCCTCATGAAGAAGTCGTAGCTGTTCGAGTAGTTCTCGTCCTTGGGGTCGGGCATGGTGTAGAAGGGCCTGACCGCCATGGGGAACTTGTCCAACATAAAGAAGTCACTCTGGTACTTTTCCCTCACGATCTTGCCCAGTACTCTCTCCTGCTCCGTGCTCAAGTCGTCATAGTCGCCCAACTCCTGTCCGGCCTCACGCAGCATCTTGACCGCCTCAGGAAACTCGAGGCGGACCAGCTTGTCCGGTACGAGAAAGTCGTCGGAGGGGAACTGCTTGCGCACCGTCGCAATCTCCTTGCTGTATCGCTTGGGGAGTTCGCGGAAGATGAAGAGGAAGAGGTCGCCCAACAGCTCGAGGACCTCATGGTAGTGCTCGTCAAAGGCCATCTCCAGATCCAAGCCCATGAACTCGGTCATGTGGCGCGGCGTGTTGGAGTCCTCTGCACGGAAGACGGGCCCAATCTCGTACACCTTGCCAAAGTCGGCTGCAATGGCCATTTGCTTGTGCAGCTGCGGCGACTGAGCAAGGAAGGCGTTGCCCTTGAAGTACGAGACTTTGAACACGCTCGCGCCGCTCTCGGTCGCTGCACCCTGCAGTTTTGGGGTGTGAATCTCGACGAACTCGCGCTGCTCGAGGTACTCGCGGAACAGCTTGGAGATGCCGTGCTGGACACGGAAGATTGCTTGGTTCGTCGTGGTGCGCAGGTCGAGGATGCGGTTGTCCAGGCGCAGGTCCATGGGAATGCCAGGCATAGGGCGGTCCGTTGATTGGGAGGCTTCGATCTCTGCCTCGGAGCGAGTGGCATCGTCGACGTAGAAGGGCTGGCGAGCGGTGGGGATCAGGATGTCAGCGGGCGTTGCAAAGAAACAATACGGCGCGCCCGCTCACCTGAGGGGCCGAGGGCGCCACTTTGGACACGAGGAAGATCTTCGAGACCTTGATCTCAGCGTCCTTGTTGGTGACGGTGGAAGACTCGATGGGCTTGGACACCTTGGAGATGGTCCCTTGCACCTGTACGATGCTCTCTGAGGGAAGCGTAGCAGCCCACTTGACCCTGCGAGGAGGGTGGGCGATCAGCGCTCATACCCTCGCCGTGTACTCCCGCCCTGCGCCCACTCACATCTGCTTCGACACTTTCTCAGGCGCCTGTGCCAGCACCGCTTGAACGCAGAAGAAGGCGTGGCGCAACGTGAGGAAGACAAACTTGGCCGAGGGCGTGCGGCTCGTCTGGATTCGCGCAGAGAAGAAGATGTCCTTGCCGTCATTCTCGGCCTTTACATCTTCGAGCGAGGCGTAGGTGCGTCCATGACGCTCTTGAGATTGGTTGAGGGGAAGCTCGCCGTAATTTTGCGAGGCAAAGTCCTGGCCAGCGAGGGGAGGGGACGTGGTGAGCGAATGACGGCTGGCGTCTGGCGGCTGCGGCTTGACACCCACAACCTCGTCTGCCTGGCGCTGAGCCTCCTGCTGCTGTACTTTCGCAGCCTTCTCGGCCTTGAGCCTCTCCTTCTCGGCCTGCTTTGCGCGCTTCTTCTTTTGGTTGTCAGAGAGGGGTGTACCGTCGGGGCTGCGTGAGGGTCAGGAGCGAGGATGGGTCAGTCCAAGCTGCGCCGCACAATGTCTCTTGCGACCACGCACTTGAGCTCCTCCTGACCGTCTGCGGCGGGCGCGACGGGCGCCACGGGCTTCTGCTCCTGGGTTGGTTTCGTCTCTGTTGGCTCTGACATCTCGATGCGCTCGCTATCTCTGTGTTGAAGGTGCAGCTTCTGCGTCGAAGTTGTTCTCGCTCTCGACGTCCGCATCTCACTCAAAGCCCCGTCCGCGTGGAGGGAGGGAGTCGAGTCAGGTGAGTCGGCCCGCGCGCTGACTCCCCAGACCGGCGGCTCGCTCGACCCGTCCTCAGCAACGAGCGACCACCTCACTCTCGCCAATGCAAGCGCTCAAGTTCGTGTCGGCCTCGCGACCTTCAATACTACGACGTTCGACAGCACGAAGGAGCGTTTGACGTTCTTGGGACGAGAATACGGGCAAGAGGCCTTAGAACTGGTTCTATCAGAAGGCGCGACAGTGCTGCAGCTTGCTTCTGCTTCGCCTCATTCTCACTCAAAGGTGCTCCATGTCAAGCACCTGACTCGTCCGATTACTTTGCCCAAGACGAGCGAGGCGGGAGTCGCTCTCGCGCTTGAGTCTCAGACGTAAAGCTCATCACCAAGCTGTCTTTCGATCTATCAAGCTGATTTACTCGCTGGATGAAATCTATGGAGAGGAAGAAGGAGTCGGGAGAAGCTCTGGCTTGTCTGGCTTCATGGCTCTCGCGGGGAGATTGAAGCTGCGAGAGGCGTTCAGGCCTTGGTGTCAGCTCGCTCAACTGCCGTGGGTGACTTGATACGGCGTGTCTGCTCCTGCTCCTGCTCCTCCTCCTCCTCCTCCTCCTGCTCCTCCTCCTCCTCCTCCTCCTCCTCCTCCTCCTCCTCCTTCATCTCCTTGTCCGTCTCCTCTATGGCGTTATGAGCGAGGAAATGTTCACGAAGTTCCTCCTCGACGAGGGCATCGATCTCAGAGTCGGAGGCGCTAAAGGTGCTGGAGGGCGTCGAGACGCGAGGCTCCGGGTAGGAACTGTAAGGCGGCTCGACAGCCTGCGAATGCAGAAGACGATGAGCTCACTGGACTTATATGAGGAGCTATCCTCTCCGCGGCTGCGAACCTCACCGGGCGGGAGTATTTCAGCACCTCTCGAAGGTCAGCCTCGAACCTTTCGTCGGTGCTGCCGTCGGACTCGCTGCTACTGTCACTCATGACGTGTCAAGTGAGAGGAGTAAGAGGAGGTGGTGAAGCGTGAGTAAGATGAGGGCAAGGCGTGACGGCTAGTCGCAGGGGCCATGACAACTGCCAGCGTCTCGGCTCGCATCGCGGATGGGCTCGGGGAGGGACGAACGTCGAGGGTTGGCTTGGCGGCGCATGCCCTGGCGCGGGCATCGACGGGCCCACCAACTCCTTGAGCACAACACACGAGCAACAGGACGATCAGAGTAGAACAGGCAGACCCACGACGTTGAAAGGAGAGAGCGACACTATGCAATCTCATGCACGGCAGTGGAGGACCGCCTACTTCGAGGCCACTGCTCACGTAGGCGAGGCGAAGACACGGTGGCGACGAGCAGGCCCTGAAGGAGCAGGCGCTCACGCAGCGAGTAGCGCAAAAATGGAGCAGTGTGATGAGAGTGGGAGGGCCAGAACTGGTCGCTGAGCGTTTGCTTCGACGTGGGCCACGACGAGACGTGTGCGGGCGCGTTCCTGAGCCGCCCCCACCGCACCGTACCCGCAAACCCGTCGACGGCGTGATGAGCCGACGAAGAGCACAGCCCACGGCCACAGCCAGGAACCAAGGTCGAGTCACAAGTGATGAGCTGAGTGTTGGAGAGTCTACCTAGCAAAGGCGGCGAGCGAAAGCAGCGTGCGCTGGCATCCAATCATCTTGCCTCCCATCCACTCACTCGATCCTCCCCCTCCCTCGTCTACTCGCTCCCTCATCCCTTTCCCCCCATCTGCCCTCCTCTGAAACTCGCACCTCATCCCTTACCACTCCATCACACCACCGCACCGTCCTCTACTCGGCTCATCGTCCTCGTCAGCACGTCATCACAACAAGCCAGCTTCGCTGCCACCGTCAACGCCACCGCCATCGTCACCGTCAGCGCTACCGTAGCGTCGTCGATGCAGTCAGACTCTGGACTGTGCCCGACTTCCACGGCAATATCCTCACCGCCCTCGTTGCGTGCAAGCATGTCGCGACAACGCCACGGGATCAAGAGGGAGGAAGCTGAAGGAGACATACTCGATCAAGAGGAGCAGGAGAAGGCGTCCAGGCGTGAGCTAGCTCAATCTCAACCTCAGCATCTGTCCTCAAGTCGGTGGCACTGCTACGGGAGCAACACCATCCTTCTATGCGACGTCGTCCGACCATCTCAACTCACCTCGCTACTCGTCATGGCACATCTCACCGTCGCATCAAGGCCATCTCCGTCTCCTCACCTTGCGCCTCTCCGCACTCACGACGACCTCGAAGGCCGACGACGTAGCTTCCCTTGCCTGGCTGCTGCCGAAGCATCTCGGACCTCGTCGCCGCAGCATCAACAAGGTCATCAGGGAAAAGGACGCCAACGTGTCGCGTTAGTGTCGAGCGTCGAAGAGGATGCGGAGAGGGTAAGCAGAGCAGGAGAGAGCACTCGGCGGGCCAGCATGCGACGCCAGCTGACCAGCACGTCACCTTGCTCTTCTTCCCTTGCCTCCTCACCATCACCAGATCTCTTGAGAATGGCTGGAAGGACAGACTACGTCGCGACCTTCAGGTGGCGTGCCAGGATGCGACATCAGCTGGCCATCTTGACCTCTGTCTTCCCTTACGATGTCTCCCAATAATGACTTCTCGAACTGACTCCGTCGCGGCCGCGGCGGTAGCAGCCTTCAGATACCCTCTCCCTGCCCAACTTGGGCCATTTCCACACGGTCTCAAGAAAGCCATCCAAGATAAAGACCTCAATGTCCTCGTAGAGTTTGCCAAGTGGCAACTCCAAACCCATAGAGAGGCACTCCTCGCCGAAAGGCTGGTAAGGAGCGTCGAAAAGTTGCGTGGCCAGATATCGGTCAAGCAGGCAGCAGACCTGCGAGCCAACTTCCATATTCTGCGGCTGGCTCGACAGAGCTCAGCCCTGCCCATCGAGGTCAATGTCCCTCGCGCCTCGCGCCCTCATACGAGTCAAAATCGGCCAGCGAAGTTCGTCTTCCTCGCACGGGAATCCATCAAGTGGAACAAGCACAAGAGGGTCCCCGACCATCGTCTTCGCGCGCGGAAGATCGCGAGGAAGACGTGGGCAAGCATCCCCGAGACGGAGCGCCCCGCAAAATTCGAGATTGCGACGTACGTCGTCGCAGGGAGCGCCATCAAGGGGATGGAGAGAGGAGGGTGTTGAGCTTTGGCTCGACTAGACTAGCCTGCGCTCATACCCCTTCTTTGCCCCTACCTGGTCTCTTGAGCTCGAGTCTGGATCTTCTTGAGCTAGAGCCTTTTGATCTATCACTTTGGATCGACGTGCTTGACATTACACCTCGCTCTTCTGCCCCTCGATCAGCAAGGAGGAGCCCGCCCTCTTCGTCTTCCTAGCTTGCGAGAGGACCGAGTGGACGACCTGCGAGCCAGCTTCAACATCCTGTGCATCGCCCGTAGGGGCTCGGCAGCACCCATCAAGGTCAACGTGCCTCGTTCGGCCCCACCTAAGATCACGCCAGACAAGCCAGCTCTCTTCGTCTTCCTTGCTCGCGAGAGCACGCACTGGGACCTCAGTGTGCGCAAGCCCGACCATCGCAGGCGGGCGAAGCGCATTGCAAAGAAGACGTGGGCGACAATCCCCCCCCCAACAGGGCCCGAAGAAGGACGAGGTGGTGGTGCGAGTGGTGGCCGGGAGCGCCATAAAGGGCTTCCAGGCCGGTGGCAGCGAGGAGGAGGATGAGCACAAGCTCTGGGAGGACGCGATGGGAGACATCCGTCGTGCCTTCCGTATCTTCGTGCTCGGTGAGTAGGCGGAGGCTTAGCACGAAGCAATTGTATGGCCCGAGCATCGCTGATACACTTTACCCTCGTCCGCGCAGGGGAGGATGGGGTGGCATGCGACAAGGCGAGCGTTGGTCAGTATGCGAGTCACGGTGCTATCGCGGGCGCAAGCTTCTGACATACCTCTCTCCTCATCATCGTCGCCGTCGTCATCCTTGTCGTCATCCTCCATCTCTACCCACTCGTCTTCGTCTTCATCTGTTGCAGCGCACGTGCTCTGGCAAGGGCACGCCGACATCGTGTTCGTCTACGACGACGAAAACAAGAAGACGCAGTGGGTACGCATGACACGCGACGAACTCGTTGCCCAGCTCGAGACGCAGGACGAAGAGGCCAAGGGGCCTTTCGTCAAGTCAATTGAGCGAGGAGAGGTAAGCACGCGGTTCGTTCTTGGCTCAGCTCTGTGACTGACACACATCAGCTTTGCCATACTAAATTCGCCGTCGCCTGCTCGCCCTCCAGGTATCTCTGGCCACGCACCCAGTCGGCCACCGCCAGGGCTTCCTGAACGAGGCGCATCCCTTGGCTATGAAGGCGGCCGGGCCAGAGCCCAGCTGGGAGAAGGTCAAGATGTTGTCGATCGAGAAGAACCAGCGTGCAACAAGTTCGTGGCGCGCGCTCCTCACGGTACGAGCCGAAGGCGGGGAAGGGTAGGGCAGCAGATTCATTCTTCGAGCTCAATGCAAGCGCAGCGACAAGTACATCGAGCACCAGGTTGCGCAACTCGCGGTCACTCCTCAAGTCAGCCCCACATGCCAGCCGAGACGCTGCGGTCGCAGCGAACCCGGGCCATCACGCTTGTCCCTTAACTCCAACTTCTCCGGCTCCGCCCTCTGACTCGCACACTCTTGGACTCCATTCTTCTCCTCCGCCATCGCCGCCTTGTTCACCTGCTTCTTACAAGCTACATGTACGTCGCTTCGCCCCTCATCGGGCCAGCGTCATGACCAGCCAAGACGACGAAAGTGATGCTGTCTATAAGCGGGAGCTCGCAAAGACGCTCAAACAACTGCGATCGGTGAGAGCCACGACCGAGGAGACGGAGGGCATCTTTGGGAAGGTGAAGTGAGCTGACCCTGCGCACCCTCCCCATCCACCTCTTCATTCGCAGGCCGTCGAATCCACCTATTGCCCGTACCGGGCAATTCGTCCTACATCGCCTTCTCTCTCGGACACGTCTGAGGACGTCGAGCTCGACTCCTTTGTCGAGGAACTGATCCACGACGAGCTGATTGCCAACGACGAGCTGATCAAGACTCGTCGAGAGGCGCAAGCAGCTTATCTCAAGAACTGGCGTGCGGAGAGGGACGCCGGCACAACGCCCTCGCAAATTCGAGATGATCACATACGTAGTCGCAGGCAGCGCATTCAAAGGCATGGAGAGAGAGGAGGTCGTTGAGCTCTGGCTCGGCTAGACTAGCGGCGATCACTTTGAACACTCGACGGTGACGAGGACAAGCACCGTCTTTGGGAGCACGCGCTTCCTGACCTGTGCCGCGCCTTTAGGGTTTTCATTCTTGGTGAGTCACCTAGGGTGCGACATAGCACGCACGTCAGGCCCGCCGCTGACGCTACCACTCTCACGCACTTGCACGCACAGGGGAGGATGGTGTTGCATGCGGCAAGGCAAGCGTCGGTCAGTACTCGAGTCGTGCCACCACGGGTGCCAGCTACTGACTCTACCCGTATCTTGACCTTCACATGCCTCTCGCCTCTCTCTCACACACCCTCGTCATTGTCGTCGGCCTACTCTTCCATGGCTCGTCATCATCGTCACCCTGCTTTTCGATGGGTTGGCAGCCTACATCCCGTGCCAAGGGCATGCCGATGTCCTGTTCATCTGGGCCGACCACCAGAAGAAGACGCAGTGGTCGCTGGTCCCTCGTGATCAGCTGGTCCACCAGCTAGAGACGGACGATGGAGGAGGCTCTCATCACCACGTCCTCCTTGTTCTCCACCACTTCTCTCACCGGCTCTTCGACACCTTCCTCATTACTCGCCACCACCACCTCCCTCACCAGCTCTTTGACAGCGTCCTCCCTTCTCACCTCCGTGAGCATGACATTCAACGTCAAAGACGTCGAGGCCATCAAGAAAGGCCTCCGAAAGGTGCTCAAAAAATCGCACCCGGAGAGAATCATGACCGAGAAGTCGTAGCATACACTCTGCTGTGGGCTGACCCTATTCCACACCCGTGCGCGCATCCGCAACCGCAGACTCGCTGCTCGCGCTTCTGTCCGTACCAGAAGCCCGGCGTCTCGCCGACCTCCCCCGCGCCAAAGATCGATAGAGAGCTGGTCAAGCAAGGCTTGGCCAAGAAGCTCTTTACCCAAGACGCCATCGTCAAGAAGCGCAAGGAGGACATGAAGCAATATCTCAAGGATTGGCGCGCCAGGAGGAACGCAAAGGAGACGGCCGAGGAGCGCAAGGCCCGCGCTGAATACCACAAGGAGAAGGGCACCCAGCATCGCGAGAAGCACAACAAGAACGACACGGACCAGGAGAGGAGGAAGAAGTTGAAGAAAAAGGCAGAGGCCGAACAGAAGAGGAGGGACAGGATCAAGGCAAACGAGACCGAGGCGCAGGCCAAGCAGCGCCGCGCAAAGCTCACCGCCGCCTCCAAGGCCTCAAGGGCCAAGAGGATGGAGAAGGAGACGGAGGAGGAGAAGGAGGATCGTCTCAAGCATCGGCGCCAGCCCGACAGCCTGAGGAGGGCGAGGGACGAGGAGGGGCTCGCGGCGACGAGCAAGGCGACGGGGCCGGGGAAGAAGGTCAGCAAGGTCAAGAAGATGAGGGAGGCCATGTAGGCCGAGGAGGAGTAGGCGGGGTGGAATCAGATGCACCTATGGTACGGCTAACATGTAATAAGCTGGCTACCATAGGAAACGATATCGCCACCTCTCACTCATGCCTTCATCACTCAGCTTCAAGACATTTGGAGTTGGCGACGTTGCACCCTGCATCCACTCTGCTCCCTGCAGATCCTTTTCAGCCTTTGCCTGACCTTGCATAGCAGAGGCTTCCATCCGCTTTTGCTCTCGCCTGCTGCTCTTGCTCTCTTACTGTCGCTGAGTGTAGCAGTGCCAGCTGCCTTCCATAACGCCGCCCCGGCATAGCTGGACGTATTGTGAGTGTCGCCAGCCTCACGCGTGAACGCGATGGGCGAGAAGGCGGACGGAGCGCGAGTCCGTGAGCAGCACTGCACGCTGCTCCGCCTTCCGTCGTCTGGTTAACGTTGCTCCATCCGCTCCAATCACTCCCTTCACTTCTTTGACGGCCAGATACTGCATTGCTCCTCTTCCTATATAGCATTCTTAGCCCTGCCGTAGGCAAAGAGACAACAGCAACATCATGACATCGCGCTTCGGCGGTCGTTTCGTCTCATCAAACGCGGCCAACCCGTCCAAGGAGCCTGTGCCGTGAGTCTCGCGCTCCACCCCCTCCCTCTGCGCCACGTCTTTGCTCACAATGCCCCTCCTCTCCCCACTCGCAATAGCATCTGGGAGCAGTCTTGGGTACTTCCCGCCCCCAATGCAAGGATCAAGGTCCTTAAATGGGTCAAACGTACGGACTTGCCCGGCCGCACCTTCCCCGAGGAGGAGGACGCGGGTGTCATCTATGAGAAGGAGCAGCAGAGGTTGAAGAGGCAGAGGTTGGAGGAGGCCGGGGGAGGAGAAGAGCAAGCGGCAAAGGTGGCGGAACCAGCAAAGGACGTAGCAGCTCCTGCGACGGTCGTCGAGGCGGGAGGATCAGCCGGTGGGCAGGATGTCACAATGACCGATGCCCCACCAGCACCAGCAGCGCCCTCCGCTTCACAAGAGGCAGTAGCAACATCAGCAGCCGCAGAAGGAGGTGACGCCCTCTCAGCAGGCGTCACAGCAGACGAGACTCAGGGTCAGCACCTCTTTGACGAGACGCAAGCGGCGCCCATTGGAGGCGGCGGTCTGCAGGACGATGCAGACGAGACGATGGATGCCGGATCCAAGATCCTTCCCACGGCTACTGCGACGGCCGATGCAACACCTGCAGGCGCCATCACTCCTGCTGTAGCAGAGGGAGCGGGCAAGGCGGAAGATGACGACGAAGGCGAGGGCGGCGAAGAGGAGGAAGAAGACGAGGAAGAGGGTGAGGAGGAGAAAGCAAAGCAGGTTGTGGACAAGCGCGCGACCATCCGCATTGGTGGTCCTTTGCCTGCCGGTGTAGAGGAGGAGCCGATCGTAGAAGCGCCTGCCAAGCCTCAGGGCGAGGTCGAGGCTACCGCGGCCGCAGGAGAGGAGGGCAAGGACACCCAAGCAGACCAGGCTGTTGCGGCCGCAGAAGAGGTACCAATCGCTGCTCCGCCAGCAGAATCAACATCGACGGAAGAGCAACCCGCCCCTCACGTCGAAGCCGAGCTCAACCCTTCAGCACCACCACCGCCATCAGACGCACCAGCGCTGGACGCTCCGCAGGACGTGGAAGGCGACGCACTCGGTGGTGTCGAGACTACGACGCGGGCTGACCCGGAAGTCAAGCAGGCCGAGCAAGCCGCTCAAGGTGAGGGAGGCGAGGTGGCTGCCGTTGTGCACTCGATGCCGGGAGGTGGGGAGAGGGTCAAAGTCGTGGTGAGCGAGGAGGAGAAGAAGGCGGAAGAGGCGCAAGAGCAGGGAGAGCCGCAGGCGTGAGACTCGCATGATGTGTACTCTTGCACTTCTACAATTACATTCAACCTCACCTCGTCATCACACGCGGCTACGCCCTCCAGTCAATCTTCGGCGCATCAGTCCTGAACCGTTGCGTGACAGTGCTTCGCTCCAGCTCAACCGTATGCCCCATCCTGAAGGCCAGCAACCCAGCATGAGCAATCATGATGCCGTTGTCGATGCAAAATCGCTCATCGGTCGCAAAGACTTTGCCTCCCCTCTCCCTGGCCATGTTGGCCATCATCTCCTGCAGTCGCGAATTGGCCCCCACACCGCCCACGATGAGAACTTCTCGCGAGCCGATGTGAGCCATTGCTCTCTCGGTGATTTCGACTAGCATGGCGAAGACGTGTTCTTGGAGGGAGAAGCAGAGGTCTGCGGGCGTGATGACGTCTGGGAGGCGGGCGCCATTGGGGATGCTTGATCGTAGAGCCGACGCTTCGTCGTCGTCGCCGTCGTCGCTTTCTTCCTCGTCATCTCCTGGGCGTACGACATGCCTTCCATCCCCACTCCACGTCTCTCCATTCGCCATCTTTCCCCACTCTCCTACCTCTCCACCGCCGACCTCGCTCTTCGTGTCCGGCTTGAACCTCTTTCTGTCCTTGGTATACGCCTCGACGCAGCTCAGCACCCCGCCCAGGCTCACATCCATCCCTTTGGTAGCGTAAGGCAGTGGGACCAAATGTCTCCCCTTTCTCGCCTCGCGCTCGACGTTGTATCCCGGGCTGGGATCATTGCTCAAGCCTACAACGCGCGCGAAACGATCCAGCATGTTGCCCACAGCTATATCCAGCGTCTCACCAAAAATACGGTAGCGTTGCGCAGAGTAGGCTATCACCTGAGTGTTACCGCCGGAGACGTAGAGAACTACCGGATTAGAGGCGCCAGTGATGGTGCGACCCATCTCGATATGGCCCACGCAGTGATTTACGGGGACCAATGGCACGCCGTATTGCGCAGCGAGCGTTCTTGCTACGATGGCCACGCTGGCTAAGCATGCACCCATGCCCGGACCCTTGGTATAGCAGATAGCGTCGCAGCCGCCGACATCCTCGAGCCCTGCTCGTCGAACAGCTTCGCTGACCACTCGGACAATCCATGCCCTGTGATGGCGAGCCGTATCTCCTGGCTGAAAGCCCGAGCCGGGTGGTGTGACGTAAGTGTGACGGACATTGGAGAGGATGGAGACGCTGCCGTCGGGGGCATGGGCAATGACACCTGCGCCTAGCTTGTTGGCTGAGCCTTCCAGGCCGAGGGCATAGAGGGTGCGCGGGGGAGGCGGGAGAGGATCTTGCGCAGCGGTGACCGCCCTTTTGGCTACTCGACGTGGGCAACGATGTACTGCGCTGTTCTGAGATGCGCTGCTGCTCCCGCTGGGAAGCGCAGTGGCTGTTGGAGTCATTGTATGCTGTTGGTGGAGTGGTGTGAGGAAGTGGACAAGGCGAGGGTCGCAGTCCGCCGTCGATCCTTGCCCAGTCGCTTATATAAGCACCGCGTCTCAATCTCGACAGGCGGGAGGGCGGACTGGCGGCTCTTGAGATCTTCCCGTCACTCAATTCACCTCACAACGAGCAAGACCACAATGGCAGGAGACACCAAGATGACCGTAGCAACGGAGGAGGCGATCGTAGAGCTGCAGCTTAAAACGAACGAGGCGCTGCTCATAGCCGCATCAGCTGGAGATCTACCAACGATCAAGACGCTCCTCACCTCGGGCCTCGCCTCGTCCTCCTCGTCTCCATCTGCCTCCTCGGAACCCATCCTCGCCCAACCGTGGTACGAATCACCGACCATGCTCAACTGGTCTGCCCTTCACTTCGCAGCAGAGAATGGTCACACAGCCGTAGTGAGGTATCTGCTGGCTAATGGGGCAATCTGGAACGCAGTCGATGTCAATGGGTTCACGGCGGGAGATGTGGCTTGGAGTGCCAATTGGACGCAGTGCTATGCGGCTCTGTTGGAGGAGGGGGTCAGACAGGGGCTATTGGGTGCCTTGTTGGAGAAGAAGGCTGGAGGAGAGGAGAGCGATGAGGAGGAAGACGACGACGGCGAAGAGGCTGGTACATCGACCGCACAAGTCGACCCAGCCACCAACACCCTGACCCTCAGCGCACCTGCGGACGGAGGCGAGGTCGTCAATGACAACGAAGGCTTCCTCAAGTCGCCCCTGCGCTTCGTAAACGACCCGAATGACCCGCGCAGGGCGAGATGTATGGACCAGGATGATAATATGGTCATGGCTGGGTGGGAGACGGAGATTATGCGCAGATCGGCGGAGAGGTTGTGTGAGGGACTGCCAAAGAGGCGGGTCGTCAAGGATGAGGATGGCGAGGAGAGGATCGAGGGATTCAAGGTGAGGGCGCGAAAGGCATGAGACGGCCACTCGTGAGCGGCGACCTGACCATCCCTTTTCCTCCGCGGCAGGTCCTCAACGTCGGCTACGGGCTGGGTATCATCGACGACTTCCTCCAATCCCACTCCCCAGCCCTGCACGTAATCATTGAACCCCATCCGGACGTCGTCAAGTATCTGCGCACCTCTCACCCCGAGCTGGCCTCGGCTCCCGGCGTAGTCATCATCGAGAAGACGTGGGAAGCAGCCCTCGAAGACCCGCAATTGTGGGAGCTCGCCCCCGAGGGATTCGACGCAATCTATGCGGACCCATTTGCGCAGGACTACAAAGACCTTAAAGTCTTCTTTGACCGGTTGCCCGACCTGCTTCGAGGAGGAGATGGGACTGAGCCCCTTTCTCAGCGCGCGAGGTTCGGCTTCTTCCACGGACTGGCGGCCACGAATCGTTTCTTGTACGATGTCTATACGCGACTGGTTGAGCTGGACCTGAGGGATATTGGGCTAGAGACTGAGTGGGAGGCGGTCAAGGTGGATATGGACGATGCGGAGGAGGTCTGGGAGGGAGTGAGGAGAAAATACTGGACGTTGGACGAGTATAGGCTGCCTACTTGTCGGATGGGAGTAATCTGATGCGGGAGAGGGAGGAGTCAATGGTATCACACGCCGACCTCCCAAGGGAGTCATTCTTTGACTGTCGCAGTCGTGACGGTGATCAAGTCCAAGAGTCTCGTGATTCGCATGGAGGAATGACAGGCATTTTTGAGATCGTCCGCCCCTAGAATCCTTCCTGCGAGCGTTAGAGGGAGCCAGAGTGTCAGCTACGATTTCATTCCTTGCATCAGCCGGCTGAGCTGAGCACCCACGTCGAGGGTCAATTGCCGCGCAATATCGGTATTCGCAACCTGGTTGGTGAACTCCTCGAAGGAGAGCTTGCCGTCGCTGCGGCCGCGGGACAAGAGGTGAACAGGGAATCAGCCTGACGATCCTTGAGACCTCTCTGCGCCCTTCGTCTCGCTCGCGCTCACCCATCGGTATCCGCCTCCATAATAGTCTTGTCCACAATCTGCTGCAGCTGTTGATCTTTCAAGTTGTTCCCGACCATCATCTTGAGCACCAAGAAGAGCTCGCCATTGCTAATCAACCCATCGCGATCCATATCGTACACCTTGAAGGCGAAGCGCAATTTCTCCTCCCTCGATCCTTGCGAGCTGAAGGCGGAGAGACCAGCGACGAACTCCTGGAAATCGACGGTTCCGCCTCCATCGTCGTCAAAGATTGCGATCATGCGGAGGGCGAGGGGATTGTTTGCTATTGCGGGAATCTGGAGGAACTCATCACGATCGATTGAACCTGAGCCGTCGCGGTCAAGCTTCATGAAGCGTCGCTTGAGGCGATTGATTTCTTGTTTGGAGACTGATGCGAAGGAGGGGAGAGGAGGATCAGCCGACGCGATGGAGCGAGCGAGTGAGACGAGGGCAGTACTGACAATTGGAGTTTTCCTCAATCTCCTTCATCAGCTGGCTCCCTTGCTGACCCATGGCTGTGCGTGTTGCTCTCGAGGGAGCGGGAGGTCGGGAGAAGAGGAGGGCAGAGGCCTATGCAGGCTTGATGAGAGCTTGTAATGAGCGTCGAGGCAGGCGAGAATGCGAGTAGAGGATCGAGCGATGGGCCTATGTGAGGTCGAGAATGATCCAAAGGAAGGCTTCGTGTGTGTGTGGAAGGATGCGGTGAACGCTATATGCTACACTTTGATGGTGCCCTGTTACCGCCGCTGCTGCTTCTGGCGCTGACGCTGCCGTTGAGGTGGCGTGTGAGGGGAGCTGCTTATGCTGTGCTGCCTTGTGTATGTTGAGAGGCGTCAAGTTGCTCGATTGCCTATTCGGAGGACGAGGCTGCTTGAGGAGAAGAGAGTAAGATAGCAGAGACGTCAAGATGAGTTCAAGGTGTTGGTTCTCGTCGTTCGTCGTCCCATCTCGCCCTGACCAACCAACTTGAAGCCTCGCCCCGCGCTCGCTCGATCCGCCCTGAGGCGCTCAGTCCGCCATCGTGGCATTGCCTGGCCACGCGGGGCAATGGGCGCCCAGCCCGCTCAGACGCATCGAGGGCAATCAACGCGATCTTCCTCCGCCCTCCTCTGTTACCATCTTCGAAGCCTTTCTCCCTCTTGAGCACTACGCAGCATGGCAGACAAGATCAGGGACATTGCGGACATCCCGCAGTCATTCTTCAAGGAGGGCACGCAGTTCATGAACAGGTGCACTAAGCCGTCCAAGAAGGGTGAGTAATTGCCGGCAATCGTTGGAGAGGGAGCGTAGAAGTCAGGCTCTGGATGTCCCTCCCACAAGCTGGCCGACGACGTAGAGGTCATGGCGGAAGAAGCAGGGAAGCAAGGATGCTCGTCCTGGTCTCGCTCCATGCTCCAGCATCCTCTCTCAAGGTCCAAGAAGCTGACATGCATCCTTCCTCCCCTCTGCCCTACGCCCAGAGTACATCCAAATCTGCAGAATGGTAGGAATGGGCTTCGTCGTCATGGGTTTCATCGGCTACTTTGTCAAGCTGATCCATATTCCGATCAACAACATCGTGAGTAGCGGCAGCGGCTCGCAGCTGCGCATGACGTGGAAGGAGACCGAGGGGAGGGTGATGCTGACCTTGCGCCCACCGTTCGGTGTAGCTGGTCGGTGGAGCATGATGGAGGTGATCGGGAGGGCGAGGAGCGAGTGAGGGGCACGCTGTGCAATAGTCAGACAGACAAGAGCGGGGACACAGGTCGTACTCAGGCGATGGACGCCAAGCTATCTGGCCTCCCTCGTCTCCAATCCTTCCCAACCAATTCACTTCATCACGTCAACACTTTCGAGGATTGTCGCAGGCTCATGGCGAAAAGACGTCTGCAGCAGATGAACGCCACTAGTCGGTGTCATTTCATCGCCGTTCTCCTCGATCTTGAGGAGGCCAGCTCGACGCTCGACAAAGGCTCACCGTACCTCGCTAGATGGCGCGCTGAATGCTGGGGTAGATGCTCGGGGGAGAAGGGTGACTATGGAAGAGTGGAAGGCTCTATCGATCTAATGCGGTCGTGCGGTATGGGCAGCTCTGGCGTATATGCTAAGGCTGGCCGTGTGCGGTGTGAGTGAGGTCACGGTGATGGTACAGTAGGTTTCGCGTGATTGGAGGATGAGGCGTCTTGAGGAGGTTGAAGAGATGCCGATGCTGATTTGGCGGCTTCTTGACGTTGACGCTGGCATTCAGGCGCCGCTGACGATGGCCCGCGCCTTGCAGGCTAGCTAGCTTACTGCTGATCACTCCCAGCTGCCCCACGGTAGTCCCCTAGCACGCGGCAGCGATACATCTCTTCCAGCTCCCTCCTCGACGACTCGATCCACTGAGATTTCAAAGCCTGCCTCATGGTGCGCCGATATCGAGTATCAAGCTCGAACAAGTCATCGAGGAAAGCCTTTGCAGCCCTCACACTCCCGTGATGAGGACGCAGCGGCGGCAAGATTTCCCACCTCAACCCCTTGAGGATGCAGCCAATGATCGCGACATAGTCTTGGCGGAGCTTGCCCTGCTGAATCTGCTCCTCTTCGACGCCTCGTTCCATTGCGAGGATGATGGGTTCGGGGTCCACATCGCAGCCCACGTGAGGGAGACCGGCGGATGAGGTCATGGGGTGGCTGGAGAAGATGGTTGTAAAGATTGTGCAACCGAGGGACCAGGAGTCGTGCTGCGGACAGGGCGCAAGGGGCAATCGAGGTTTAGCGACGCCGCTTAGCTACACCTTCTACGTCGAGTCCACTAACCAAGAATGGGCTGTACCCCGGCTGCCGGCTACTGTGGTTGATCAGCATTTCCGGCGGGGCGTAGAGAGTAGTACCCATGTGCTTCTCCCTGCACCTGGGCTCGCGCAGCACTCGATCAAACGCAGCCTCATCCATCCCCTTGGCCTTTTGCGTGACAAGGGGATCCTCCCAAGCCATACCAAAATCAGCGATCTGCACGTGCGGGAACCTCGTGGCCGCCGTAACGAGGATGACGTTCTCCGGCTTGATGTCATGGTGCGCGATCCCCTTGTCGTGCATGTAGACTATTCCCTTTATCATCTGGTAGGCAATCCATTTGACTTGTGCCTCATCGAGCCCGCCGTTGGGGACATGTTGTTGAATGTAGCTGAACAAGTCTCCGCCCTTCGCCGCATCGACTATCACACGTACAATGACTTCCTTGCGAGACCTGGAAATACGCCCCTCATCGACGTCGAGGAGACCGTTGAGGTTTGGATGGCGCATGAGCGAGAGGACGCGAATCTCTTCCTTTGCAATGCTGCCAGTCTGGGCGTCGGTGTTCTTGAAGCGCTTGCAGGCTACTTGGCGTTGATGCTTGCGGTCCCAGGCCAGGAGCACGATGGCATGTGTGCCTTCGCCGAGCATGCGAGATGAATATTGGTAGCGGTGTGCGGGTGTTTGCTGCGAAGACAGGACGTCTGATCAGAAAGGGCACCAGCGAGAAAGTACGGACAGAGAGCGCTGACTCACACTCGAGCTGTCGTCTTGATCCCAGGCAAGGGATGTGTCGACCATGCTGCTGAATGTGAAGCCTGCACGCGCGAGAAGATCGTGTGGTCAGTCTATCTGAGCGCTCAAAGCAACCGCAAGCAACCGTAACGGCCACTAACGCTGCTGGCCAGCCTCTACAACGTCACCATGACTGAGGAGCACAGTGTCTTGAGAGATCTGATGCCCGTTCCATTGTATGCCTTGCCCAGGAAGTGAGCGATCCTGCCGAACGGTACGATGCCAGAGCCCGGGGGGACGATAGTGATCAGAGATGGGAGGCCCTCATGGATGGTTGGGACCAGGCCGCCCTGGCCGTTCTACGAACTTCGCACGACACTGTTACCTCTCGACTGCTATTGCCCTCGCAATGATACGCGAAGAGTCTGAAGGACTGCAAAAGCGATTGCAGGGGAACAAGAGTTGATTAGCAGCTGGAAGAGACGCCTCTATGCTCTACATACTCACGATACCCTGGGCCGTGCTTGTCTCAATCATGTAGTCGCTGAGGGACAGCATATACGGATAATGTCAGCAGGCAAGCCTTCCGGAGCCACGCAGACTTCATATACCGACCTGCTCTCGTCGTAGCCGACGGTGAAGGGGCGATGAAGCTGAATGGCGATGGCTGAGCGAGGCATATGGGTGTTAGCGAGACGTTGCTCGAGCCTGTACGGCCCACTTCGATCCGCAGCTCACCCATCTTCTCCTGGGCACGAAAGCCGCCCTCGAATTCAAGCAGAGCGACCGTCGCCAGACTGTTGTGACTGCCGCATCGTTCCTCCTGCTCGTCTTCGCTCTCCTCCAGGCTAAGATTCTTGCTACGCAGCTGATTGATGCGCTCGATCTCCTCGAGAAGGCGAGGGTCGTTGCTGAAGTTGGGCAAAGGGATGAGCGGGCCGACATCGGAAATGACTGGGTCGCGAGAGGACAAGAGGGCTCCATAGCTTCTCTGAACCTGCTGCTGAGGGCTCACACTGCTTCGCGCAGCAGCCGGTGTGGTAGCTACACTTGCTGCTGGCCTGGGCGTGTGCGATTTTGTATGACGTCCACCACGTCGACTGGGCTGCGCCTGACTGGCGCGGGTCTTTGGCTTTGACAACCGCTTGATCGCGGGTCTGCCTGCGGCCATAGCGTCAGCCGATGACGATGGCGATGGCGATGACGATGTAAGTAAGTGATGGCGAGAGAGCATGAAGGGAGAAGGAGTGAAGTGTCAGGAACGGCCGCTGGCGCAAGAGGGGTGGTGCCGGCCGCAAGCGCCGTGGTTCCACCAAAGGCGGCCGAATCGCCGACTAGTTCGTGAAGCAGGCTTCCCCATTAGCTGGAAACTAGCATCAACCACCGCAGTATCAGTGGTCGGACTATGAGATGGAGGGCAGAATCCTCTGCAAAGAAGCACGAGCCCAGCTCTGCAAGTTGTAGGGGACCACTGGTCGGCGACGCAGGGAGCGCGGACGTCTCGCTCGCCATGATTGCAACGGAAGTGTTAATCAGGCCTGCGTCCCCTTCCCCTCTAGCCCCGGCAAGTTGCGCCTTGTCGCGAGCGTGAGGCTCGCTGGGTGACCTCACGATGCTGCTTGAATGCTCGCCTGAATGCCTGGTGCTGCGACGCGTTACCATGATACAGCCTTTTGCTCGGCCGGCTGGCGTGAGCGTCGAGCTCGTGTTGCTCTCCGTCCCTCGCCGCTCCTTGTGCCGACGCGAGGCGCGTCGTTCGCAGCGACGGACCAGGCCGCCAAGTCGGTCGATCGAACGGAGCGATGAATGGAGCGGGAGCGAGGGCGACGAGGAATGGGCAGCAAAACACGCGACTACTCGTTTTGGCTCCGGAGTCTCATCACTATCATCATCATCACTACCATCATCATCACGCTCTCTGCGACACGGGGGTTCCTCATCTTCATCATCGCGAGAGACGCGCTTCAGCTGGTGTAGATCGACCAGCTGAGGCACCTCTGTAAGCTAGCCTCGCTGTCGCCGCCGCGGCGCGTCAGCAAGATGGCAGCTCCAGCCCAACACCACTTCATCGGCGTCAACGACGGCCATCAATCAAGCGTCATGTTCCAGCACAGTGGCATGGCGCCGCCTCATCAGCAACAGCAGCAGCAGCCCCAGTCGTACCAGCACCAGCAGCACCACCCTCACTTCTTTGGAAGCGGGCCATTGTCTCAGCAGCAGCAGCAGCACTTTGCAGCTCACGACGGCAGCGGAATGCAGATGTATCAGCAGCAGCAGCAGCAGCAGCAGCAGCATCCACATCATCATGCGCTGGCTGCCCAGTATCAGCAGTACCACCAGCAAATGCCTCCCAACATGTCGTCGATGTCAACGCCATCAGGCGCAGTCTACGCTCCTGCTGTTGCCGGCCCTTCACAGCATCATCACGCCCCCCTTCAAGGCTGGTCAGGCGTCAACATCAATGATGGCGCAGGCTGGCATCACCACGCCAGTGCGAAACTTGAAGACGAGGGTGATATGACACTAGGCGACGGCGAGGGGTGCGGAGACGGCGAGGAGAATGAGGACGACAAGGGCAAGACCTCGTTCAGCTGTCCTCACTGCGACAAGACCTACAAGGGCAAACACGCCCGCTCTATTTGGCGTCGCCATCTTCAGGACAAGCACGGCATCCCTCTTTCAGTCCAGCCACGTCGTACACGATGGGATGCCGATGCCAATCGACCAAAGAATGCAGAGGAGCGCCGCGAGAGGATGCTCGAGTCCAAGAGGCGTTGGGCGAGGAAGAAGCGCGCTTTGGACAAGATCGAGGCAAAGAAGGCGGAGGCGGAGGCTTCGGGAGCATCGCCTTCTATGATCGCTGCCATTGGCGCGTCGCCTTCCTCGAACGATGACGTAGACTCGCCAGCTCTTGGAGGAGGACGTGGGTCAGAGGCGCTACCTCTCCCCGAAGTGTCCCAGGAGCAGTCAAGCACGTCATCGCAACCCGCAGCTGGCGTTGCCCCTCATGGCGCCGTCAGTGGCTTGCAGCTTCATCCTCAGTCTCTCTTCGACGGCAATGGGACGCGCCCTCCCGCCGACGGCGCCTATCCTATGGCTGCCACCAACGCCGCCGCCCCTCATCCCCAATTCATCTCTTCCGATGCCTCCAATACCACGGCAGCCAACGGTGTCTGGTCCGCGCGAGGGAACAATGTGCCGCCTTCATCTTCATCCGCTTCAACTCTCACAGGTGCCTTTGCATCGCCAATGCGCCAGATGCCCGCTCGTCGCGGGGTGGCCAGCCCTGCGACCGCGCTCACTGCTACTACTCCATCACGCCCTGGTGCAACATCCCGCAGCGGGCCAAGTACCAACCCCTTCTCCCTCGAGCAGCACAAGGTCTCGCCCAGTGCAACACAGGCAAAGGCCCTTCACCCGGCACACGTCCTCTCCGAGATGCAGCAACAGTCTGGCTCTCCCTCCCGCCTCGCAGCTACATCGTCCCCCTCGTCCAAGGCTGCAGATGGTTCGCGCGTCCTGCCGCCTCTGGTGGGCACGCCTATGCGCCCCTACATGATTAGAGACGGGGTAGCCGACTCTTCGATGTTCCTTTACGGGTCGAGCGATCGAGCTGCTGGTCGCAATTCTGTGACGCGCATGGCGGCCAAACGCGCCCGTCGCAACGGCTCTACCGCTGGCACTAACCTGTCAGACGACGAGAACGATCCTCGCGGCGCTGGTGAGAGCAGGAACTCTTCACCCATCAGCCGATCTAATGCTGGCGGCAGCAGCAGTGTCTCACGCCGTCGTGGCCCTGCACGCCGCAAGTCCAGCATAGCGGACGAGGACAGCCTGATGAGCAAGTCCCGCGCAGGCATTGCCGACGATGACGACGAGGACGACGATGGGCTCATGGGCAGCTTCCCTGGATCAGCGGACGACAGTGGCATCTACATGCCTGACTTCACGCCCTTCCACAAGAGCATCGGCCGCGCGGCTGGTCTCGGCGGTGCGGCAATTGGGATGACACCGGGACCTATGGGAGGGGCCTTTGACTCGCTCGCTTTCCCTCGTACGGTGGGCAGACCAACTCCGAGCAAGCGACGCCGAGGAGCTGGGCAGGATGGCAACAGCAGCGGAAGCGAGGAGGCTGCTTCTTCTGCTGGCCCCCTGGGCGGACATCGTGGGGGCGATCAGTTCTCGAGCCCTCATCATCCTAATCTAGCACACTCTTTGGGTTTGGCGCCACAGTCCGCCTTGAGGAGCAGCGCTGGAGGGCGCGGCGGCAACACTGGAGGGTCAGGTGCAGCCCATGGAGGAGCGCGAGGTCGCAGCGGAACCAACGGTGCGAGTCTTCCCTTTTCCATCAGCTCGACGCCCCTGCCCGCTTCGACGACAAATGGCCTGCTGGGCATGACGCTGGGCTTCACGCCCTTTGGCACCAAGGGCAGTGCAAGCGTGGGAGGGCACGGCGTCCTCAGCACTATGAGCCCCGCGGGCGGGAGCTTGCTTTGGCCAGACAGTGTGCGTGCCTCTTCAAAGAGGCGCGTCAACGGGAGTGGTGCGGTGGAAGACACTCCATCTTTGAGCAGCAGTAGTAAAAGGCTGCGCTTCAGTGGAGCCAGTGGCAGTGATAGCAAGAAGGGAAACGCGACCAAAGAGAAGGGCAGCAAGGGAGCGCTGGATTGCAGCAGCGGTAGCAGCGATGACGAGCAGCGCCATGCCAAGGCTCCCAAGATCGCGGACGAGGATGATGAAGATGATGACGAGCAAACAAACGTGCTCAGCAAGGAGAGTCTCGGGCCTGGTGCTCGCTACCACACTGTCGATGAGACCCCCAGTCGACCACCGGCTCTGCGCGGCCTCAGCCGCAAGGGAGGCAAGGCCAAAGGACCAGGCATTGCTGAGGCCGAGGAGGACGATGAGGACGACGACGAGGAGCGCTCGGTCCTCAAGCCTCTACGCTTCAATGCTGCTGCTATTTGAACATTTCCTGACGTGTCACCTCCCGCCAGCTCAACACCTTCTGTCCATACTCCTCGCCTTGCCTCCTCTCGTCGCCAGACCCTAGAGGCGATACGGCCGCAATGCTTGTGCGAGCCCGTGCCACCCGCGTCTACTTGCTTCTCTCTGTATCCGAACAATTTTCGATCTTCAATCATACCGTGGCCTTACCACGCACATATCTCTCTCTGCGTTTGCACTCTTAGAAAGCCTTGACGCCTACAGCCTGGCCTTGCCCTCCCCATCCTCCGCCCACTCCTCAACCCTCACAGCCTGCAAGCCCTTCCCAATCGCCTCAGGCATGGGTCTGACAGGTCGTCGATTCTGTCGGTCCACGTAAACATGCGTTGCCCTTGTCAGTGTCCCCGCAAGGGCCTCGCCATCCAACTCGCCCGGCGCTGGGGCCTGCACCTTCCCTCCCTCCAGGGCAGGTAGCCCCTGTCCCTTGGTAGGATCCGGCATCTCAAACATTCCAAGCTCGTATGTGACGCTCGACTGACCCAGCTTGATGACCCGCAACCCGACGCGCAATACGCAGGGGAATGTGGCGGGGGCGTAATAGATTGCAGAGGTTGAGATCATCAAGCCTAGCACGTCGGCGCGAGGGTCAGACGGGGGCGGGTCCGTGGGTTGGCGATACGGTTGGAGGGCGCAGTGCGATACGAGGTACGCGTTGATTGCTGCATCTGCTGCGAGATAATAGACGGCGTTGCTGCGAGTGCCGTCGGGCGAGGAGAGGAGTGAGCGGACCGAAGAGGGAAATGCAGTGTCGTGTGCAGTTCGAGGACTCACTTGATATGTCCGTACCTGGGCGAGTGCCATTCAAGACAGTCAGCATATAGTCACTCTCGTTCCTCCAATCGTACTGCTACGCGCACTCACTGATCATTATCAATCCATCGAGTCTGCACATCCAACCAATACCTAAAGCCCGATGCCTTGCGTCTCCCCTCTGCTTTGGCCGGAGGCGGCGTTGGTGGGGGTGGTGACATGCGGGGAGAGAGGGTTGAGAAGGCGATTGAGAGTCGAGGAGCACTTCTGACCGGGGCTGATGGTGCGGTTGGCCTTGCTGCTGATCGTAGAGTTGAGATGATTGGGTATCGTAGCATGATGGAGGAAGACAAGAAAGCGTCCGCCGGTTCTCGTAGCCGGCAATCCGGCCCAAAGCCACGCGCTGCAGTGCGGAGATCGGGAGGCGGAGCGAGACGAGCGGGCTGAGAAGACGATTTTCTCCAAGGGCGGGAAGAGGAAGTTGAGCGTTGAGCGGCGAGCGGCGAGCGGGTCCATCTTCCTGACCGCCGTCATCATCATCATCAGCATACACTCCAGCATTCCGTGACTATGTCACGCATAGCGCGATGGGGTCAGGCGGCACTGCACACCCTGCCGCGCCAACAAATATCCTTGGCTGCTCCAGCGCAACCGTCTCGCCGCTGCTACTCCAACGACTACGACGGCCAAGATGATGGGTCCGGTCCGAGCACCTCCTGCTTCCAATCTCCAGAATCACAGCATCCTCGCTCAGACAGGCATCAGAATCGAGGACCCAGCACCTCAATTGCGCCACCACCAGACGGATACGACCTCCTCCTCAGCCAATTCGAAGCAGGGAGCGCCCTCGCCAAGCCCACCCATTCGAATGATGAGCTCAACCTCTCTCTTCTACGCAAGCTGCGCCCCTTGCCTGGAAAGCAGCGCAAGCACTTCAGAGGAGAGCGGCTGCGAGAGAAAGCACAAATGGAAGAGAAGTTATGGCAGAAGAGCATAGAGAGAGTCTCGAATGCTTTCGGTCTTCCGCAAGTGAGGAAACTGGCGAGGGAAGCCGGGCTGGAGGGGCAGATTGTCAGGGGGAAAAAGCAGGTCATTGTTGCTGCACTGGTGGAGAAGGTGTTTGGCTACAAGCCGCCACGTACGCTTGAGAGCACTGCCGCTGGCAGATCAGGCTCGTACGACCAAGCAATTGGGCAACTCTCCTCCGCTTCACATGAAGTGTCGCAAACGGACCTGTTTCTGCTCTTGGCTGACGGAGGGGCAAAGCTGAACCAGCTTGCGGGGACTTTCGGAACAAGGCTGACGCCGAGGGTCAGCACGGATGAGGAGGGACGTAATGTGTACTCGATTGAAGCTAGAGGGGATGAGCAACAGGTGGGCGCGCCGATTGAGAAGGCGTTGCAGTCTGTTAGCGAGGTGAGCAGACGTGTGGCAGTGAGGATACTGAGGCTTGAGTCGCTGATCATCCCGGGCCATCCCACTCTTCGCAGCTCAAAATCTTACAACGCGTCACTCTGCAACTCCCACGAGCGGCCCTCGACCCCAAGACAATACGCTACATTGCCTCTCGTACAGGCTGCTTCATCGAATACACCACCACACCCTCCGGCCCTAATGCCAACCCGCACGAGACCACTTTGGACCTCTGGGCCTTCCGCGCCTCCTCGCACACTTACGCGCGCATCTGCCTCGCTGCTTTCCAGGCTGACCTCTATCAAGGGGCTCGACCGCTTTTGAGCTTTGCGAAGAGGAGCCATTCGGATCCCGATTATGCGCCGAGCGACGAGTCGAGCCACCAAATGGAACGCTACTGCTTCCACCCGCACGCCCTTGCTTCGCCGCAAAGCTGGCTCACGCAGCTCACTGCCGGCGGTTCGTCGGCGCAGATGTTCAGGCTAGGGAGGTTGAGGGGAAGCCGAGGAGGATTGCTAGGGCGGGGCGACGATGATGCAACGCAGGCTTCCACCCTCGTTGAGCTGGAGACGGGCAATGCGCTTGGAGCAGAACGCAACTGGGCTTGGCTGGAGGAGTATATGGCTGCGGACAAGCTTGACCTTGTGTCCTCCTCGACCGCGGGGGAGGCAGGCGGACTCACCACATCCTACTCCCTCACTGCGGGGACGCTGGCCTTTCCTGGCCCTCAGAGCCCACCAGAAGACGTAGGGTCAGTACTGAGTCACTTGGCCAGCTTGCTCTCCCCTCCTCTGCCTGGGTCATGGCCGCTCGACACTGCCTATCAATGGCTGCGAAATCGAGATCCTCAAGCCCCATTCGAGCGCAGGCCATTGTGGGTCCCTGGCCAGCTGCCAGGCGTGGCGTCGGATCTGGAGGGTTCGATGGGTGAAGGCGTCAAGAGACTCCTGTCGAGCGAGGTACAAGAGGGCGATAGCGATGAGGCTGCCGCTGCCTCGCAGCGAGAGGTGCTGCGCATGACGTACCGCGTTCAGACGAAGGACGGGGAGGACATCGAGCCCATCTACAGACTCGTCGTTGACATCGAGGAAAGGGAAAGCGAGGCTGTCGCGGAGGAGGCGGCGAATACCGCAACACTCGACGCGCACCTCGACGGAGCAGCTGCAGAGCCATCGGTCTCAAGCACGCCTGTGTTGCACCCCTACAACTATCGCGTAGTCTCGGCGCACGTTACCACCGCACGCGAAGCAGACATTCTTGCTCCTGAGCATAAGTCAGACCTACGTCTCACAACGCGCAAGGATCGCCAACTCACTTTCTTTGAGCTCGAGAGCTTGGCAGCATCACTACAGCCCTACCTCGAGCAAATGCAGAGCAGCGTCGGGGAGAGCGTTGTGAAGCGACGCACGAAGAGGATGGAGGAAGAGCAGCGCCGAGGCGGCAGCGAAGCAGCAGAGCATTCATCATCCCCTTTAGCTCCTGCAGCGAGGAAGCAGGAAGCCTACAGCAGCACCGAAGAATTGCAGCAAGACCATCCGCGTCTTCACGAGCCGTCCGTCCCTCTGCACGCGCATCATCAGCCTCAGCCACCTATGCTGCTTGAAATGAAGGGGATGGCACCACTGCGAGCTGTTGAGGCGGGTCAGAAGACAGCGGAACTGGCGTGCCACTTTGAAGGGATCGAGAGGGTTTATGAAGCTTCTTGGCCGTTGAAGATGGGCAGTGAGATGGAGGGGCAACCCGAGATCTCAGTCGCCGGAGCGCGCCCCCGTCTCCTCAGTACGACGGCCCTCTCAGACCTCACCGGTAGGCCGAGGACGACTACGAGTGTTGTATGGTCGCACAGCAGCGAGAGTCAGCACCAACAGGGCAGCGAAGAGGGCTGGAGAGATCGGGTAGGCTACGTCGCGCGCACGTTGATGCAAGCAGGGGAGAGGCGATGACGCGGACCGCCCTCGCAATGATCGCCATTTATTCGTGTGGGATATCATCATGTCTGGCATTGCAATTGGTCGTCATCGTAAAAAGTAGTAGTCCGTGTCCGTTTAGTGGATGTCATCAGGGGAAGCGTATCGTCGCGACTCGTAACAACAACATAGTAATCCCACCTCTACTCATCCACATCTCCAGCTGCCATCTAAGCGCCGTAGTAGCCATTGTACTTTGTCGACACTCTGTTGTACGTATGCTCGATCCTCGCCTTGAACCTCCAGCTCAAGAAGTACGCGTAGATCTGGAAGCCAAGATCAATGAGCAACGCGAGGACGAAGGCGATGTAGAGCGAGTGGAAGCCTGCAGAGCAGATCCCGGAGGGCATGGCCGCATCCGTCCCGTAGCCATCTTCGGCTGACTGACCCCAGAGCTGGCCGCCGTTGTTGCACTCCCAGACGATCTTGTATTGTTGGCGGTTGAGTTGGAAGACTGCACGTGCGGGAAGGGGAACGCGTTGTCAGTGAGGTGAGCGTCATGAGCGTGGCTTTGTGGCGGACGTGAGACTCACTCATGAAGCCGGCACGAACGGCGCTGACGACGATGATGAGAGGCCAGAGGAAAAAGGTCAATCGCGTAAAGAGGTACGACGAGTTGCTGAGACCAATGATGGTGATGACTGCGACGGACATGACTGCCATGCCTATTCCACCGTAGATTTGCCATTCGGGCTGTACGAGCAAGGGGGCCGCGAGCAGTGGTGATCGTGGTCAGCGGCATGCCTCGCACCTCTCCGAAAACGTACTCACGAAGTTGAAGAAGATGTACTGTCCATAGCGGAAGAGGAAGATGGAGCCGGCGAGGGAGTAGAGGGCAATGAAGACGTTCCAGGCTATCGCGCCGTGCTTGAGGGGGAAGACGAGCAAACAATTGTCGCACCACATGTGGGCGAGCTGGAGTGAGGGTGGCTAGGTGAGATCGATGTGCGGAGATGGTGCGAGGCGCTAGCGAGATGAGATGGGCGAGCGAAGATGGGCGTTCGTCGAGGTCGTGAGGTCGTAAAGGTCGTTAAGGGGCGGCGTGAAGGGACGACGAGGAGTGGACTGGAGGGTAGATGAAGGGATCAAGAAGGAGCACAGGCGCAAAGAGCAGGAGTCAAAGCGAACGGGCCGTTCCTCGTCACGGAGGGCATGATTTCGATCGAGGCAGGCTCAAGCGGGCAACGAGCCCCTGAGTGAGCTAGGCCCGTATTGAGCACCGTCGGAAAGACAACGCGGAAAGGGCCACGTGCCACAGCAGGAGGAAGCAGCGATCGCGTGGCAGGAACGGAGGCTGAGCTTGCTTTCCGCCTGGCTCGAGCTGAGTCGTCCCCGCTCGAGGCGCTTCGCCGCCTATAATATCTGCCATCCTGACCTCAAACCCCGCCCCCCGTCTTCGTTCATCCTCCTCTCCTGTCCCTTCCTTCGCGAGCGCGCCCGCCATCATGGAGGACGAGACGAGCGCCGTCTCGCAGCTGGGCTCGCTCGCCCTAGGCAATCTCCTTCAGGAGATCGGCGTCGAGTCGGAGGCGGGCATGGATCGACTGGGATTGGGGCCGCGTCCTTCTGCCGTCTCGAGAGATCAAATCTACAATGATCAGTTCGAGGACGATGACGATGAAGAGCTCAGGGGGATGGCAGGTGGTCAGCAGGCAGAGGAAGAAGATGCAGCGGAGAAGGAGCGACTGGCCAGGGAGAGGCAACTGCAAGATCGCTACTTTGCCAAAGGGCTGGCTTCGATGCAGAGTAATCGTCCTGGGATACGAGGAGAGACGGATGACTTTGATGACTCAGAGGACGACGAGGACGAGAGACCTATGCCAGCGCGCGCTCAGGAGGAGCAGCCGTTGTCGCTACCGATGGCGTCACCCACTCCTCGAATCAAGACGGAGCCAGAGGAAGGCCTCGACGCCTTTCAGAGCGGTGCAGGCGACGATGAACTCAACATACCGCAACCCGGGCCGTCAACAGCACGCTCATCGCCATCCGTTCGCACACCTACACCGCCGCCTCCGATGCGAGACGTACGCGACTTTTGGCCAGACTTTGATCCAGAGGCCATCCTTGATTTCACCGACTTCTTCGCTGCGCCGAGACGAAAGAAGAGGAGAGTGGCGCCGGGGAAGCAGCTCAAGATGCAGGCAGCCAAGGCGGCCCTACAAGCTACGCCGTCGACGGTAGATCTGGCTCTGCGTCCGTCCGTGGACGCAGGCAGCCAGCCTTCTCACCTCGCGACCATCGCCGGCGACTTGCTCAAGGAGGAGAGGCGGCTTGCACGCCTTCGACTGGGCAAAGGACACGGCGATGACATCGACTTGCCCTCAACAAGTTTATCACTCCCAGAGCTCGACGATTGGGAGAATCGAATCCTCACCGACGGCTCGACTCTACCTTCCTTTCAACCGGTTGGATCTATCTCTCGGCCGCTCAATCGCAACTTGGCCTCGGACGACTGGATCGAGGCCATAATCTGGTCGCGCGATCAGGCTCGAGATCCTCGAAAGGTCGAGCTCAACAGCAGATTGGTCTTGGACCTCAACGATGAGGACATGATGATCGAGCGAGTCGATCCGGACGCAGAGAAGGCGAGGGCGGCCGCCATGCTAGCGTCGAATGCTCCCTTGCTCTCTCGCCGAGCAGCCGCTGCTGCCGCGTCACTAGACCCGCTCAACATGAGCAACGATGGCTACTACGAGCTGTCACGCGAGCAGAGGCAGCGCATTCAGAGGCAGACGCTTGGCGCACTTGTCGTCCAACACACCAAGACGGCTCGCAAGCTGCAGCTGCCCTTCTACAAGACCCGCCTCACCAAGACCGAAGCGCGCTCCTTCCATCGGCCAGCGATGCAGTTTCCCATCAACATTCCGCTCACCTTTTCGCGCGTCGAAAAGGCAGGCGGCAAAAGGGATCGCAAACGCAGCGCAAAAGAGAATGCGGACGAGGTCTTCAAGTCCACGAGGGACCTTACGCTCAAGGAGCAGGGTCCCTTTATCCTCTACGAATACTCGGAGGAGAATCCGCCCATCCCGAGCAAGATTGGAATGGGCAGCATCCTCGTCAACTACTACCGCAAGAAGGATGCGAAAGACGAGCATATACCCAAGCACGACCTCGGCGAGCCATTCATCCTCGAGCCCAACGACCAGTCGCCCTTTCTCAATTTTGGGTCCGTCGAGCCCGGCCAGACCCAGCCCACCCTCTACAACAACCTCGTGCGCGCTCCGCTCTTCCGCCACCAGCCGGCCACGACCGACTTCTTGTTGGTCCGCGTCACGACGAAGAATGCGGTGCGCTACTACCTACGCGACATCAAGAACCTCTTTGTCGTCGGGCAGAATTACCCTCTGTCTGTGATTCCGGGACCGCACGCCCGCTTGGTGACCAACGCGATCCGCAATCGTCTCATCATGGTCGCGCGCCGCCTCGTCGAGCAGAGCAAGGGCAATCGCATCAAGATCCATCGCATCATGAAGTACTTTCCCGATCAGAGCGAACTACAAATGCGTCAGCGCCTTAAAGAGTTCATGGAGTACGCGCGCAAGGCTGGTGACCCGAATCAGGGTTTCTGGAGGTTAAGGACGACAGTGACCCTGCCTACAGACGCGGACATGGAGCGGCTCTTGCCCCCCGAGCACATTGCATTGGCCGAGGCTATGCAGGCAGGGCAGCGTCGGTTGTACGATGCAGGCTACACGCGCTCAGCGGAGGGAGCAGACGAAGACGAGGACAAGGAGCAAGGCCTCGACATTGAACAACAACTGGCTCCCTGGATCACGAGCAAGAACTTCCTCCAAGCTACGCAAGGCAAAGCCATGCTTCGCTTGCACGGCGAGGGAGACCCCACGGGCCGCGGAGAGGGTTTCAGCTTCGTCCGCGTGAGCATGAAGGACGTCTTCTTTAAAGCAGGCGAGGACATCGAAGCCCGCCTGGCCGCGCAAGCAGAAGAGGAGCGTCGCAGCGGCCACAAGTACAATGTAGCGCGCCAGCAGCAGATCTATCGCGAGGAGATCCAGCGAATTTGGGATGCTCAGCGCAGCGCGCTGTCCAACCCCGTGCCGCCCGAGTTGACGCCGGAAGAGGCCAATCCGCTCCCCACGCCCGAGCCGGATGAGGAAGAAGAGGAGGCGCAACGGATGCAAGACGAGGAGGACGAAGATGTGAAGCCCGCGCTGTCATCGCTCAACGGCGTAGGAGGCGATCTCGACCGAGGGAAAGTGCTCCGCATCCGTCGCCAGGTCAACGGTCGCTGGCAGACAGAGATTGTGCGCGACCGCAAGATCATCCAGTCGTACATCTCCTCGCGCCTGCGCATCGCAGATGAAGACACAGTGACCGACGAACTCAAGCCGACGGGCGACGCTGCATTGGATGCTGCTCGTCGCAAGCGACTGGAGGCGGAGCTTCTGTCTCGCAAGAAGAATCAAGAGCGACGCTTGGCTCGTCACCATGCCAAGGCCGTCGCATCGGGCGAGGCGCTACCTGGAGCGTATCGCAAGTTGATGGCCGAAAAGCCCACAACGAGTCGTCGCTGCGGCCGCTGTGGGCAGGTGGGGCATATGAGCTCGAATCGGTCTTGCCCACTCTGGGGGCAGGTACCGACTGCAGGAGCTCCGGGCACGGTCTCGTCTGCTTCCGGGTCGAAGCCATTGGGATTGGATACGGGCAGCGCTGGTGGGAGCTTGATGGGGTCCATGCCGGGTACCCCGGCGTCAGGAGGAGGAACAGTCCCTGCCTCACCCGCTACGCCTATGACTGCGGGCGGGGCCGCTGCTGGACCGGGAGGTAGCTTCTTTCCTCCCGGTGCTGCGGCGCCGCCGGGTATGTTTGCGACGCATTCGCGCACGCCCTCTTTCTCTGCTGCGGGAAGTGCGATGAGTCCGACGGTCGGTGGAGCTATGAGTCCGCCTCCGCCTGGTGCGCCTGCGAGCAGTAGTGGCGGGAAGGGAGGAGGGAAACTGAAGTTGAAGATCAAGCCGAGGCCGAGTGGGTCGTAGACGACAACAGGGGGAGGGAGAGAAGGGAGAGAGTACACGGGTGGAGATAGAGTGGACGAAGAGGAGTGTGCGCAGCGACGAGATCATCATGTATCATCACCATCACAATCACTATGCATCGCGAGAGACCCTTGAAGAGTGAGAGCAATCCTCGCTGCAGATCTCAGACGCGTCCGATCACTTCGCCGCATCGGCTACCATCCCCGTATTTGGAAACTCAACAAGCGCTCACGCAAACGCAGTCTCGAATTGTTGGTGGTTGAAAGTTGATTTGATTTCTTTGGGGGGGGATGCCGCACAGCCTGACTTCACTGCACTTCTTCCCTTCTCACCGCCATCGAGGTCTCCACCCTCAACGAGCATGGGCGTGTTTGATGAGATCTTGACAGCGCTTGACGGGTGAGAAGGTCCAACGCGGGATGAGGCGCGCTGACGAGGTGACGAGTGGGTAGGAGTGGGCGGGATTGGTAGGGCGAACGATGAATGGTTGTGGAAACAAGACGTTGACGAGTGATAGAGCCGTTGTGGGAGTTGAGTCGCTTGAAGAGAGAGGGGAGAGTGACCATGTAGGTGCGGGAGGCTGGGAAAGGGGACAAAAAGTAGAGCCAAGATGAGCATGACATCTTTATTTGAGATGATTAGGCCGCTCAGCGTCTTCCGGACTCACCCATTGTTGCCTCTGATCCACAGCTAGTCCTGCAGGTTACCGCCCTACTCATTCACGCGACGCGTCCCGCCGCAGCGCCGCAGCACGCTACGCTGCCATTCCATTACTTGGACCTGGCCCTCATCTTCCTCCTCTTCCTACGGAGACGCCTCATCCTCTTTTTGCGCCATTTTGCTCTCCTGATGAAGTAGAAAGAGTGAGAAAGAAGTTGTTGTTGTTAGAAGAGGAGAGGGGAGGAGGTGGAGAAGGAAGGAGGAGACGTAATGGGGTACCCGGGTCAGTGTATATTCATGCAGTGCGCAGTAAGTCAGCCGGGCTGAGCTGCCCAGAGCTGCTCCGTCATGGCCTGTTCGTAACTATACGCACATTGTCGATGATGTATCGAGGTTGGTAAGAGCTGTTGGTAGGTAGGAAACAAGAGCCCTCTTCGCAGCCTCGCAGCTTTTGTGTCTACTCGAGCTAGCCCTCCCTGGTCAGGCGAGGTGCTGTGCTGCGCGCGCGATCTTCATCATGTCCAAGTGTCAATAAATTCCGATCCGACTTTGTACAACTTCCTCCACTTACAAAGTTGAGATCAAGGACCGAAGCTCACGCTCATTCTTGTGTCAGGTGCCAAGTGAGACTCGAGTCGACGCTGAGGCCGAACCACTACAATGACGACGTTGGAGTTGCAGGGGCAACGAAAGTTTCACACAAAGGGGCGAGACAGCATATCAGAAGTGGCCCAAAGATCTACGTTTGGCGGCATTAGAGGCGTGGTAGAGGCCAGGTTCGAGCAGAAATAAGAGCAGAAGGGCGCCTTTCCCGCCGCAGCGGTCAGACGGCGCCAGTGCAAGGCGAGTGCGTGGCCTGTTCGATCCGCTCATCCACCCTCACCTGCTCATAGCATGGGGCAGTCTGAATTTGGTGTTACTTGTCTCATTGCGTAAAATTTGCCAGACTTCAAGACAAGCGCGCTAACCTTGAGAACATGGACGGGCCGAGATACGATTGCGGCCGAAGGCGAGAACGGGAGTGAGGGCCAATAAGGAATCCGAGCGCGACGAGAAGACGCATCTCGAGAGAAGGCATAGTCCGATTGATAGCGATGAACAAGGAAAGTGTGTGTGTGTGTGTGCGCGCGCGCGGGCGTGGCTTCGAGCGAGCGCCAGGCTAGGTGTACGGAAGCGATCACGGGAAAGAGAGAAGGATAGCTAGCTACAAAGGAGAAGTGGATTTGAGGGTGGCCGGGAGCCCTAGGCGGCCCACTCGGTCTCCTTAGTTGTGGCTGGTCAATGACCAGTCAGACAGCGCCACCGACGGAGGAGCCGTCTTGTCCGCGTCGTTGAGGTTGTCCCACTGCGGCTGGAACCAAACGGCAATGGTGCCCGAAGGGCTGGGAGCCTTAATCGAGAGAACAGTGACGCCCTTGTTGAGCTGGTCACCCTCCTCGTTGGCCGCCGTGTTCGGGTCAGAGCCGTACTCGCGCTCGGCGGGCGGACCCTGCGTGCTGAAGGTGGCACCAGAGGGCTGCTGCAGGGTGAGAATGACCGTCTCCGTCTTGGGGAGAGACTGCACAAAAGGCTCGTCAGCGCCACCGTAGGCGTTGGGGTTCTCGACCTTGCTGATCTTGAGCGTCGCCGTCCTCTTGTCGTCGGAGAGAGTGACAGTGGCATTGGTCTGCATGCGCCACTCAACCGAGGTGATGGAGCTCGACGACTTGATCTCGTCCTGAACGAGCATCTGGCGACGCCCGTTGAGGAAGCGGATACCACGCTGGACCGAGCCACTGCTGGCCTGGTTGTAGCACGAGGACATGTCCGTGGTGAAGTAGGCGACGTCAGACTTGCCGGGGACAAAGTCAATTGCGCCAGTCTGCTTCACGCCGGTCGTCTCCATCTTGTTGATTGGGTGGCACGAGGCCGCCTGGTTCTCGTTGTTGATGACGAGCGTGTTCTGACCCTGCGTGCCCTTGCGGTAGTACTGCCAGCGGACGGCATTGTCTGCCTCGGACTTGAAGTAGTCGGTCGAGAGGTAGTTGGCCGAGCCGTACTCGCCAGCCCAGCGGGTTCCAAGGGCGTCAAAGACAAAGTCTCCGGCGTCGAGGTCGCCGTGCGTCTGGTGGCCAGTAGCGTTGGACGACTTGACGCCGATGTAGGTGCCCGACGTGTCGGTCCACGAGCTGCGCATGCTAGCCCACGAGCCGAGCTCGTTGTCAAAGAACTTGTCGAGAGCGAGACCGTTCCAGAAGGCGCCCTTGGACGACGTGTCGTACCAGAACATGCTCAGCGGGTCGGCTGCGTCGGCGCGGTCACGCTGGAAGAGGCCGTAGATGGGCATCTTGTACTGCTTGGCCCAGAGGAACATGCCGTTGGCCGTCGTCGAGTACTTGTTGGGTCCGTTGTCTCCGTACGCGAAAAGACCAGCTTGGCCAGTCACGTACATGTGGAAGAGACCAGTCTGTCCCCAGCCCTGGTTGGCAGAGAGAAGTCCCTGGTCGTTGCCCGTCGAGGTGAGGAGAGAAGACATGGCGCGAGCCTGAGCATCAGTGCCAAAGTACCAGTAATTGGCCGTCTCGGACCAGGTTCCGTCTTCATAGGCGCCCTGCATGCAGTTGCTCTGCATGTTGGGCACAGCGTTCTGAACAATCTTGGCTGCGGTGCCAGTCGGGTCCTCGGTCCAGATGGCAAGGGCGCCCAGGAGGAGACCAGAGTTGCACACGCAGTTCCAGTTACCGTTGGTGTTCTTCCACCAGCCAGCGCTCGTCGAGTACTGGGTCATGCCCTGGTTGAGGCCGTTGGTAATAATCGACCACATGATCTTCTGACGCTGGTCGGGTGTCCAGACGTCGTAGAGCCAGTCGTAGGCAATACCAAAAGCGGCGGTGAGCTCAGCCGTGTCGAGGAAGTGAGCAGGATTCCAGACTTGGTCGTCGGCGAGGCCAGCCTGGACAGCAGAAGGCTTCCAGACGTCGGTCGACGAGTTGCCCGCAGCAGCCTGGAGCTCAGTCCAGGCACGGTCGACCCACTTGGTGTTCTTGGAGATGCGGTAGGCGTAAGCCCAAGCCTTGATGCGCTGCTGGACATCACGGGCGGGGTCGAGGATACCAGAGCCGTCGAAGCCGCCGTCGACGTCGTAGGCAGTAGGAGGCTGGTTGGCCCAGTTTGTCGCATTCTCAAAGATGGATGCGTTCCAGACGGTCAGGTAGGCGTCCTTTGCAATCTTCTGAGGCAAGCAGTCCCACTCGTACTGAGCAGCCATGAGACGAGGGTGGTCACGGAGAGCGCCAGAGGTGAGGGAGCCGCTAGGAGGGCTGTTGTCGGTGCAGGTGGCGACCTCCTGGCCGTTGCCCGTAGGGCTAGCGGTAGTAGCCGTCGAGAGGAAGGCGGGGTTGCCGTAGAGGTCGGTGCCCTGATAAGTGAGCTGGTCACCGCCACCGGCTGCCGCAGCGCTCGAAGCTGCAGATGCGACGGACGAGTCGATGTTGCTAGGCTTCTTTGAGCCTTCCTGGCCGGAGAACGTGCTGGCGCCCGTCTTCTGTCCGCCGTTGTTGCTGGCAGCACGAGAGCCAAAGATACCACCGAGGACAGCGCCTGCGATGATGAGGATGGCTAGGATACCAAGCGGAATTCCCCACTTGACCCACTTGGACTTGCCCTTCTTGGCGGGCGCATACGAGTACTTGGCAGCGGTAGCTTGGGCTGCGTTGGGGCGGCGATACGCGCGAGTTGGTTGAGAGCGCCATGACGAATCGTAGGGATCGTCGGACCAAGCGGCATTGACCGAGTCGTCGAGTGATTGAAACGAGCGGCGTTGGTGGGAGTTGGGGTGATGGGAGGTGAAATGGTGCAGACGAATGTCAGCAGACTGATCGTAATCCTTGTACATATTGACAAGCTCGCAGAGAAGAGTGGGAGGAAAGAGGCGTCGTCGCAGCCATCGAGGGTCGCCGACATCGCTGCCCTGCTCTGTGCCTGACGCCTTTGCCCTCGCCTCGTCTTGCGTTCTCATCTCGCCGCTCGCGCTCGCACTCACCCGGATTGTTGCCGGAGCCAGGCGCACCACCGTAGCTTCCATCTTTATAGTAGTGGTCGCTCTGCGGCGTCTGCGAGCCGTAGTGGTATCCGCTCTGCTGCGAACCGTACTGTTGGCCAGGGGAGTCATAGTGCCCAGAGTACTGATTGTCGTACTGCGAGGCGTTGGAGTGCATATAAGGGTCGTGTGGGCGTTGATAGGACATGGTGGGCAATGAGAAGAGGGGGCCGCAGAGAGATAGGGAAAGGGAAGAGAGGGTGGCAAAGCCGACTGTCGCGAGACTTTTGCTAAGCCTTCGACTCGACTCAAGAAGTAAAGTGCAGCGCCAGCTATACGCTGAATGCGCTCAAGGATGGAGAAAACGAAGCAACGAGGGGGAAAGAGGGTATGGTAACAAGGATAAGAAGCCTTTCGAGGATCAGTCGACTCGACGACTGCGATGCCCAGTCGGCGAATCAGGTGTTTCGTAGCGTTGCGTTGCGTTGCGCTGCCTTCGTCGTCGTCGCGGCGTCGTGGCTGCTCTCCTGTTTGTTTCAGCAGTTGAGTGGCGGCGGCGGCGGCGGAGGGCGGCACTTGCCTGCAGCAGCCCCTGGCCATCGGCGCGGCGCGGTCACTTTCGACGCCCGTCCACCACACGAGGGCAGGCAGGCAGGCAGAGAGGCCAAGAACGCCGCTGCCCCGGTGGTCGATCAAATCTTTTCCTCTGTCGGCACGCGAGCCAGAGAGAGCTTCGCCAGCCGTGCGAGGAGCCAGAGTAGGTTGGGTTGGTTCCGCGCTGTCGCCAAGCTCGCAGCGTACAGCGAGCGTACATTGATCGAGGAGCAGTCAATGGCAGCGAGGAGCGTTGAGGGGAGGGACCAGGTGGTCGTCGCGCGAGCCGCCGGCACGACGGCATAACGGCAGGCAGGCTGGCAGGCAGGCTCGACAAGCACGTCTCGTGGCAAAGCTCACTACCTGACATTCAGCGGCTCCGAGGAGAAAGACCTTCACGATGTCGTCCTTCTTCGCCCTGATCGAGCGCTAGCGGGCTCAATTGAAGGCGACGAAGACGGGCGACGAGGCTAGCGTGCGCTCGCGGTGTCCGTGCGAAACGTGGGGGCAATCCGAACACCAACTTTGGGCTCGCCGCGTACACGAGTCCCTTTGTTCTTGCCCGCGCGTTTCCCACGTCGACACGTCGTGACAACAGAGCTGTGAGCCCGCGATCATGGCAGGGTCGCCCAAGCTCGGCAGAGGCACAGAAGTCTCATCTCGATCAACATCGGCTCTGTGGAGCGATTCACCTCGCGAGCGAGCGTGCACTCAACCTCGCCCGTGACGGGAGGTCGGGGCAGAAGTCATTGCGCCGCTCGAAGCGGTGATTGCGAGGAAGTCGTGTCGCTTCTTCGTCCCGCGTGAAGCATCGTGGCTTGCGAGTCGTTGCTGGTCATCTCAGCACTGGAAGAGATCACTTTACCTCCCAGGCGAGATGGAGCCAATACGCTGGTTAGGGAGCGAGATGCATCGTCAGGGCGCGCGCTTACAAAAGGGAGAGGTCGAATGTATCTTGATGCCCGACCTTCCCCTGCCTCCTCTCCCGATCGCATTGCCCAACGTTGCACTCACCATCATGCCCTTCCCCTGCCACCGCCTCTTCCACGTCGCCCTCGCTGGCCTCCTCTTGGCCATCTGCTGGTGCTCGCTCTCCATCGCAGCTCCAGCCTCGTCACCTACAACCATCGAGCCAGGAACAGCCAATGCTACGCTCACCGCTTCAGCAAAGAAGCGCGCAAACTCGGTTGGCCCTCCATACAACTCCAAGGGGCAAGGCTGCTGCACGGGCGGATACCGCGACCCGAACAAGTGAGGGGCAGTCGAGCGACCCTATCAGGACCGCAGCGCTCGAGCTGACCATCCGCCGCTTCCCTCCCGCTTGTGCGCATGCTTAGGTGCTGGAACGCCAACCGTGTGTATTCGACGTGCAACGGGGCACGGGCTGAAGGCCAGGAGGAGAACGAATTCGGGATCCCGCTTCCCTCGCACGGCCCCCATCGCTTAGCGCCTACCTAGCGTGCCACGCACTTTTTGGCAAAGCTTCTTGTTGCTCGAGTTGAATCGTCGATGGTGTGTCGCGAATTGGGTGTATGAGCCTCGCGCTTGCCTTTATGCGGGAACGAAGGGACACGCCGATCCCCGCACGCTCACGCTCGCTACTCAGTCGGCCCTCGCGGTCGCTATCATCGTATATATTCGTGAGGTGACATCCGTGACATCCAATCCTATGGTGACAGTAAAGAACAAGGTGACGAGAGAAGACCGAGACAAAGAGCAAGATGGAGCTCACGCCACGTTGCCACTCTGGCGGATAACACCTGCTGGTGGCGCCGCGTAGGGCAGTGTGGGAAGGGCAGCAACGATGATCCTGCTCTTCCCAAAGGTAGCTTTCCCTTCCTTGAGATCGATCGGAGCTACACTTCCACCGCTGTCGCGTCCGCGCGTAACCGTCGTCGCCATAGAGCTGCGCGAGTCCTCGCGCACAGAGAAGAGACCGGTGGACGGTCGAGTCGAGGGAGCGTCCTGCGAAGAGTCGGAGGATGATGCCAATGATTCGGTGTCGTCTGTGATGCCGGTGAATTGGCTGTCTGACCGCAGCAGCGCGGCTGCCGTCGCGATGTTCGAGACTTTTGGCTCCTCTTCGAGTGCATCATGGAAGTCGACGTCGTGGAAGTCCTCGGAGATGCGCCTGACGGCAAAGTTGGCCTTCTCCTCGACATGCTCTTCCTCGATATCGGAGACGTGCTCCTCCCTTGTGACTTGAATCGCGACCTGGGGCGGCGGTGACGTCGCAGTAGCTCGGTTGAACGGAGAGGCGGGGCCAATTGCGGGCGGTGCCATCGCTGGAGCCGGTGTCTTGGCTTCGACCTCAGCCTCGCTGCCGTGAATGCACTCTTGATCAGCAGAGTCGGCAGCCAGAGCCCTGGTGCGGCCCCACGAGAAGTCGTCCGCGTGCTGAACAGCGTAAGCGATGATGCAGCAGCCCATAAAGGGGCCGCAGAAGAAGAGGAGAAGCAGGCCAAGGGCATATTGTACCCTCTGCTTGGCGTTGTTGTTGGCCCAGCCCACACCAACGATGGTGTAGCACCAAGGGAGGAAGATCATCGACGAGAGAGAGAGCACGACCGTGTAATCGTACCCTCCTTGGCTGATGTGCACAATGGCACGGATGAGCTGACCGAGGGTGGCAAAGATGAAAAAGGGGATAGCCCAAATGGCAATGTCGACAAATGCGCAGAATCGTTCCCAAATGTTTTGCTTCGAGCCAAAGAGGACGACGAGGTCGTTGGCCGAGGTAGAGAGTGTCCAGCGACGGCGTTGGGAGAGGAAGACTTTGAAGCTTTGAGGCGGGTCCGTGTAGGCGTGGGCTGACCAGCACATGCGCGTCTGGCTCTCGGGAAACTCATTAAACATGTTGACGACTGGTGTGCGGCAAGGTGGATCAAGTCAGCGTGGCGTCGATGGCTTCAAAGATGGACATCATGCGCGCTCACCATGGTTGCGGTCTTCGCCCGCAAAGGCGCGGATGGCCTTCGCGAGAGAGTCTTGCTGAGTAGGGTAGTAGCCAAAAGTGTCCACACAGATCTTGTCACCGCACGTCTCATCGACGACCTTGAGGATCTGGCAAGCTCCAGGGAGACAGGTGACCTTGTGCGTAACCTCACTCTGGTGCGTGCGTCGCAGAGCTTGCGCACGCAGATATTCCGCATTCTGATAGAGGGACCAGAATCTCCAGGCTGTACCGTTGCGGAAGGCTACACGAATGACTCCAGATACGCCCACCGTCTTGGGGTTCTCGCGGACCTTGGCGATGAGGTGCGCCGTGGCTTCGTCGCTGAAGGTCGTGTCTGCATCTGTGCCTACAATGTAGTCAAAGTGCCTGATGTCGTTGCCAGCGATGTCTGAGCCAAAGCTCTTGAGGAACTCCTCAGAGAAGATGGTCTCTTCGGCAGGTCGATTGTGGTTGAAGGCGTAGAGGAGACTTCGAAGTGCAATGAGTGTGTCACGCTTGCCGCGATTAATGTCCTTGTTGATGACCAGGTAAGGCAAGCCCTTGTATTCTCCCCATTGACAATTGATAGAGACTGAAGTGCCGGTCCATGATCGGTAGGCCGACTCATAACGTCGTTGAGCCGTGACGGTCACGTCCTTGCTGGCCGCAAAGAGGCTTTCGAGCAGCATGTCCGCTGTGGTCAACGACTCGCCAGCGCCCTTGACATGACCGTCGCAGAAGACAATGAGGAGTTTGCGGTGCTGCTCAACCTTGGCTTGCGAGTAGAGGGACTCCACTGTAGCCTTGACTTCAGCCTCGCTCTCATTGTAGCACGGCACGACGTAGGCGAGCGTGCAGGGGTCCGTCTTGCGCTCCAATGCCGCGACCTTGGCTGCGTCAGCCTTCTCGTTGACCTCTTTCGATCGCACAAGGCGTGCGAGGGCGGAGGCTGAAGGGGTGAGGAGTCGCGTGTGGATCAGCCAGCCAGTCATTGAAAGCACCATGCAGGTGTTCATAAAACTGATGCAGGCGCAAAAGGGGATGAAGATGTACCAGATCTTGGGGATAGCCCATGACAGACTGATGAGGACGATGTTGGACAAGACCATCATGGCCATGAGGGCGTATTTGGTGTGACGGCGTCGCTGCTTGCCGTCGGCGGTGAAGCCCGCCATCTTGAAGAGGAAGTGGGGCTCGCTGGCAGCGTCGCCCTTGGTGTCCAACTCGGTGGTCGAGGAGCGCAGCATGATCGCAACGGCTGGTGAGGAGCTGATAGAGGGCGGATGGAGGATGGCGATGATGGCGTCTTCCAAGCCCTCGACATATCGGGCGAGCGTGTATATATCCTCGTCGAGGATCCCAACCTCTGCAGAGAGGGCAAAGAGGTTGAGAGGAGAAGTCAGCCAGTTTGCAAGGCGTTCGACGGGATCGCGTGCGCCCCTTCGGCCGCGCTACGGTCGAGACACTACGCCACCCCTTCGCAACTGAGCCAGACAAGAGCCCTTGGCAAGACTCTACGCCACTGAGAGGATGCTGCCCTTGCTCGCCCGAAGGGAAAGATCTCATGCGTGCTTGTCTCTTCACCTCGTGCTGATCGCCAGGCCGTAATACGTCGCCTTCTGGCTATTCCCATCCCCTTGCTTGACTTTCCCGCTGGCGGCTGCCTCGCCCTCGCTGCGCATTTGCTGCTCCTGCACGTCGTGCTTTCCCGCCTCTGCGGCCACCCGATATAGAACAGCCACGGCTGTGATCGAGTCGACGCACCCGCAGTGGGCCCCGCTCACCTGCAGTCGTCGCCTGCATCTGAGAAAGGCAAACAAACAAATGTTGAGAAAGCTCTGTGCTCAAAGTGGTAATGCACTAAGTGTCGATGGCAAAAGTGGCTTGAAGCCGACGGAGCAGACGCAGCTGCGAGCGGCAGACGCCACTGCAAACGCGACCGGGAGGCCGGAAGCGCAGGCCGGCCGGACCTTCCCTTTTTCAGGCTCTCGCCTTCATTTCTGGGTGCGATGTCGCCACCGCCAACCAGTCCAACATCACACGCGCCAGCGCGTCTTTCGAATCGGTGGTGATGCATGGCAAAGACTCCTCGCGAATGCTTCGCAACACCTTTTCGTCCCGCTCATACATTCGAGTGCAGCGTCGCCTCACTTTTCCCGGCGGGGAGGGGGACCCCTCGTTCGAGGAGGCTTCGCGGGCCATGAATCAACGCCTCCTCATGGTGACATGGGGTCGAGACCAAGGTCATTCAGCGAGATGGACTGTAGTTACCACGCTCGTCACCTCACCCGGCTCGTCTGCCGCGGCTTAGTAGCCTTGGGGGCGGGGCCTTGAGAGGACAGGAGGCGGAACAAGCACACGTCCAGTAGCCAAGGCAGTTCCGAAGACGGGCTCAGGCTCAGGCTCAGGCTATGGTGGCGCAGGACGATCGCTACCTCAGTGGTGCGCGACTGAGAGAAAGCTTGCATCGCTGCAGCATCTTCGAGCCTTCTTCAAGAGTACATATGAAACGACTGAAACATGCGATCTGAGATCTTTCCCCCATCACCATTCCTCTTCACCTAAACGCGGCATCACCGACCTCGCCAGTCTCACTCTATCCTTTAGCACCATGTTCGCCACGCCTACTCGCCAGCCTGCGCGCGCCTTTCGCCGCCATACTCAGGCCTCTTTCTTCACGCCCGGTCCTCAAACACCACCCGACACAGAGGTCGAAGCGTCGCCTTTCCCCGGCAAGCTTGACCTCAGCTTCCCAGCCTTCACCGATCCCTTCGCCTCCGTGCGCATGGGCATGCCAGTCATCGCCCCTCCCAGTCCAGCAACATCAGACGAGGAAGATGATGACGACATGGACATCAAGACGCCATCGAGCATCAGCCGTCTGCCCAGTGCCACGGCTCGACCCTCGAGCCTTGTGGCCAAGCCGCAAGTCCAGAAGCCTTGCGAACCACGACCCACCGTCCTCGTCGTTGGTGTTGGCTACGTCGGCAGACATCTCGTCGAGCGCTTCAGCGATGCTTGCGATGTTGTCGGCTTGGACCTCAGCGCATCTCGCTGCGATCTGCTCTGCCGCGAGTTCAAGGCAGATGGCTTGAGCAACATCACGATGATCTCAGACATCGAGCAGGACGAGCGCTGCTCTACCTTTGACTTGGCCCTCATCTCAGTCCCGACGCTCCTGCTTGCGGACAACAAGACTGTCGACACAAAGCACATTCGCGCCGCCGTGGAAGTCGTCTCTCAGCGAGCAAGGCCTGGAAGCACTGTTGTCATCGAGTCGAGCGTCACCGTCGGCATGACCAGGGCTCTCCTTGGACCCGAGGGCGCCAATCTGCGTGCTCGAGGCATCTTTGTTGGCTTCAGCCCGGAGCGCGTAGACCCCGGCCGCACCCTGCCGCGTTTCGAGGACATTCCCAAGGTCGTCTCAGGCATCGACGACGCAAGCCTCGCCGCTATCACTCGTCTCTACTCGCGCTCCTTCAACAGTGTCGTACCCGTGCGCTCCCTCGAGACGGCCGAGTTCTGCAAGCTCTACGAGAATTGCCAGCGTCTCATGCTCATTACCTACGTCAACGAAATGGCAGACGCTTGCGAGCAGCACGGCGTCAACATCCACGACGTGTGCGCCGCGAGCGCTACCAAGCCCTTCGGCTTCACGCCCTTCAATCCCTCTCTCGGAGCGGGCGGTCACTGCATTCCTGTCAACTGCTGGTATCTTCTGCAAAACTGCGAGATCCCTGTGCTGCGAGCTGCTGCCGTGTCCAACAGGCAGCGACCCGCACGCAAGGCAAAGGAGATTGCTCTCCTCGCCCACGAGCGCAACAGCCGCGCGGGAGACCACCCTCCCTCGGTCCTCATCTACGGCATGGGCTTCAAGGCAGGAGAGGCGTCGCTCGCCTACGCACCAACTGTCACCCTCGCCAGGGAGCTCGAGGAGCAAGGTTGCAGGGTCTCGTACTTTGACGACTACGTCAAGACGGAGGAGTGGAGGAGCTTGCCGCGAGAAGCCTTTAACAGCTACCGCGTCGACGCCCTTTTCGACATCGTCGTGGTAGCGCAGAAGCCTTCTTTCAGCGACCGACGTGTCCTCGACGAACTCTCATCTGCTCGTGTCATTTCATTCGTGCAGTAGAAGTGGCAGGTGCCGCGACGCCGCCAATATCTTTCTCTCATTCTTTCTTCACTCATACACGGCTTGCCTCTGTGAGGCCTCTTCATGTCATCGTTCAGCATATTATGTCACCGAGAATCAAAGTTGCTTTTTCTAAACACTCTGAATTGCTGCGTCGCGTCCGTTAGTCTCCTGCCTTACGAGACAACGATCCTTCTCAGCACGAGGTATCAATTGCCAGGCGCAAAAGAACGTCTCTACTGCTCTCTGCCATCTCCCAGCCAGCCTTTCGAGCTTTGCTGCTGCTGTAGGAGCCTGTCCAGGAACTTCTTTCGGGCGACGAGCTGCCGCAACGTGGCCAGCCCCTTCGCCTGCATCGTCAGCGCTGATTGAGAAAGCCCGCGGACCGTAACGGAGCAGTCATTTTGCAGAGCCGCTGTTCGACGGAGCGTCGGGGGATGTGGTGGCCGCCCCTCGCCACCAACTCCCGCGTCTGCCGAGTTACCGTAGCGGGAAGGAGTCCCCAACCCCTTTGTCGCACGACCTCACGCAGCGGCTCCGCTTCCCTTTCCTACTTTGTCGCTCTACTGTGCCCGGAGCTGCATCTGATTTTTTTCATACTCGTCGCAACACCTCGGTGGGCCAAAAGTAGATGTTGAGACTTTCACGACAGCCCTACCTTGTCGTATGCGTCGGCAATGTTGTAGTGATGAAGCCGATGACTGCAATGCAGTACGGGATGCGCCTTGCAGTTGCGTTGCGTGGCAGATTTCTTTGCCTGGACCTGCATCGATCCCCGCTCGAAGGAGAGGCCGGGCGGGCTGCAGAGGCCGGCAAGCGCCACCACTGCGCGTGAACCACGCGTTCTGATATACCCAGATTCTTCTAACCGCGGCTGGCTGGACCTCTGACAGGCAGTGATTCGAACGGCAGGCTATTTTGATTCTTGCCCTGCGAGAGCTTCCCGCTCTTCCTTGAGGTGGCTTACTGGAAGCCTAGACATCCTTGATGGTGGCTTTGACTGAAGAAGAACGAGGACGCCCACCAAGGTAGGCAGTAGTCCTTGGACTACATAGGACGCAGTCTCGTTTGCTCGAGTGGCAAGAACTTCCTCCTTGCTCGACGTCGCCACCACCAGCATCCTTCCGACTTCCCTCTTCATCCCGTCGTCGCCATGAAGCTCTCTCTGCTCTCCCTGGCTGCCAGTCTCCTCCTTCTCGCAGCATCATCGCACGCCTCGCCTCTCCACTTCCTCCTGAAGCGTGAGAATGCCCTGGTAGCTGCTGTTTTCGGTAGCGTGAGCGATGGTTGCAAGCGCAGCTTGTATAGCCTGGCGATGGACGCGGAGGTCGAGTCGTGCTTGCACCTGCACGACTTTGCCAAGACGCTGTACAGCGTGAACCGGGCCAGCGAGAGCATTATCGAGCCAGTCGAGCAGTTCTTGTCCAAGGTGAGCGAGCACGCGAGGGGCAGTGTGAAGCAGTGGCATGACATCGTCAAGCTGACCGCTTCTTCTTCCCTCGAACGCTCCCATAGCAAGTGTGCAAGAAGGACGCCTGCTCAGCGGATGCCATCAATGCGGCGCAAGCCAACATCGCAGACGACTGCAAGGACGACCTCGCCAACAATGATGGCTTCAACATCGCCTACGTGCTGCAGTATGTCCTGTCGCGCTACAATCCTGCGAGGGAGGCTCTCTGTCTCCAGGACTCGACTCACCAGAACATGACGTGCTCAGCACAGCAACTCGAGTGCGTAGACCATCGTCGCCGTAGCTGCGCGCTCTCTCTCAATCTCGCCGCTCATCTTGCCTCGCCTTTTCCCCACTCGTACCACAGCCTCATCCAAACCACGTTCAATAGCAACGTCTCTCAATCGAGCCTCCTCAAGTTCTTCCAAACCGAAGAGACACCGCTCGACACCATGCTTCAGAGCATCAATGCCACGAACGAAACGCGAAGCGCCTTCTGCAACAATTGCACGTACGCCTTCGCTACCACCTTCCTCCCCTACGCAGGGGACGACGTGCTCCTCAACTCGACGCGTCTCGACGCTCTGAGAAGCAACATCTCGTCCATCTGCGGTGAAAGCTTCCTGGATGGAAAGATGCCCGCTTCTGTCATGAACGGGACAGCGAAGAGCCCGTCAAAGGTGCGAGCACCTGTTCCGTCGGAGAATGGTACGGTGAGCGCCACCACGCCGGCGTCGAATGGAGCGCTGTCGTACGGGCGAGTTGCGGCGGCTACCTTGTCGAGTGTAGGGCTCGTGCCGTTGCTACTTGCTGCAGCCGTAGCGACGGTCCTTTGAACGTATGGGCCAGACAGCCGCCTTGTCACCTTTTGCCTCTAGCGTCACCGATTCCAGCTCATGTACACCTTCACTCGGTCTCCTTTCAATGCCACGCATGGCCTCTGTCGCCTTCTCCATCCATTTGATGTGATTCAATTGATGTCGCGGCACAAGGAAGAATCTGAGATGCATCAACGATCGACCGGTGGGTTGGGCAAAAAGGGGCCGCCGTGGTGTAGATGAGGTCGGTAGTCGAGCCATGTCATCGTCTTCGACGTCCGCCTAGTGATCCTTGCGATGGAACAAACCATGCGACTTCTTCTTCTGCTCATCCGTGACCAGCTTCGTATGCGGATGGTCAGGCTCCTCCCCCTTCTTCCCTCCTCCATCCACCTGAATATGCGCACAAGTCCTGATAGATCTGAGCCACTCATCCCCATTATCGTCATCGTCCTCAAACTCGGCGGGCAAGTTCGTTGGCCTGTTGAGACTTGACAGTCCCGGATCATTTGCGTGAGAGGGGTGATTGAGCAAGTTGAGTGCGTCTGAGCTGTTTGACCTGCTCATCACAGGCGTGCGCGCGAGGGGTGAGTCGATGTCGCTGAAGCGACGCCCGCGCAGCAGGTCCCCAAGCGTGCAACGTAGATTGGGCTCGACAGCCATCATTCTGCTGAGGGCTGAGCGGGTCTCGCGGGGCAGGAGACGGAAGATGCTGTCCGCGGCGCCTGAAGTGTACGTCGCAACGGACGAGATGCTGTCGCTGCGCGTCATCTTGCGACGAGGCGTGAAGGCGCTGCCAGTACCGCTGCCGCCGCCATTGTCGTCCGTCCCCACGGTTGTTCGCTCCTCGCTCGGGGATGAGACATCCGCGTCGACGCCTGCGTTGCTGTTGCCCGATGTCATGGCGCCTCCTGCTGCGAGGAAGTCGCTGCCTCTACGCGAGTTGCCTGGACGCTCGGCCAGCGTAGAGCCCGTAGTCGTCTCCTCGACGGGCGAAGCCGCGCCAGAGAGGTGACGCTGCGGCGTCATATATCCTGCCTCTCTCGCAGTCAGAATCCTCGGCGTTTGCACGCCCGAGGGCTCCGGGCTGTCCGTCTGCTCCACCTGAGATAACTTGCCTCCTTTACCGCCCCCCGCCAGCGCCGCAGCGATACTATCTCTGACGGGAATGCCATCGGTCATGTACTCGCTGTGGGACTCCATCGCCTCTGGTGCCTGGCATAGCTCAGGATGGGAGCGCACGTACAGGCTGAAGCTCGGATCCGTCTTTGGGTCTGGGAGCTTCCACGGGAAACGGCGCAGCACCATGCAGAGGAAGATGATTGCGCAGCTCCACACGTCTGTGAGGCGCGGGTCGTACGTCTGCTGCGAGAGGACCTCAGGAGCCAGGTACGGATCTGATCCTACGACGCCCGTTGCGACAACTTTGCTCTTTCCGGGACTGTGGAAGACGGTCGCTGTGCCAAAGTCGATGATCTTGACGATGTTGCCCGTCGTCATGACGCAATTGTCGAGCTTGAGGTCGCGATGCGCCAATCCCATGCTGTGCAGGTAGTCGACACCGTCGATGATCTGGCGGAAGACGCAGTAGATCTCTTGGCGACACATCTTGCCGCCCATGACGACGGAGAAGAGGTCGAAGGGCGCGTACTCCATAACCTCGTAGTAGTGGCCATGGTCCGAGATGATATCGAGCGTCTGAATGATATTGACGTGATGTAGTGTGCTGCCAATGCAGAACTCGGCGGTCACCTTCTTGATGTACTCCTTCTCATTTTCGCCTGGTCTGCGCTGGCGAAACTCCTTGACGGCAAAGGTCGTGTGATCCTTCGAGCGCTTGATGAGACGGACAGTTCCACCTGCGCCTGAACCTAGCACCTTGCCCCACTTGCCGTACTTCTTGGCCAGATGCGCATGATCGTCACCCAAAGGCGGCGAGTCGTGGCCGTGCCGTCTACCACCAGGCGTAGCGCTACCCGATCGTTCACCATCGCTCGAATGATGGCCGATGTGATTCTGCAAGAAGCGGCGCAAGTCATGCAGAGGATTATGATGCCCTGCGTGATCCTTCTTCTTCTTCCCTGTAGGCTTTTCATTCTCGACGGGAGATGCAGCACCGCTCGAATCCTGACCTGCAGCACCAACCTGCTCGCTGCCTCGGCGGGCACCCAACTTGGCAAAGATGAATTGCGATGGCGTCGACGAGCCGCTATCGCGTTGATTGTTGTGGTGGTGCAAGTCGTGCGCCGCATCCACCCCTCGGGCGCCCGAGAGACCCGCAGCGCCAGGCCCTTGGCCCGCGCTTTTCGAAGGGTTCATCGAGCTCAACGTGTTTCTCCCAGAGGTATGACCACCCGTCTGGACTGGGGAGACGGTCATTGACTGCTGAGCGCTCGAGGGCCCTGAAGAGGCAGGCGACTGTGAGGTAGATGTGGGCGTCTCCCCAATGCTGCCTAAAGCGGGCGCCTTTTTGCCAGTCCCCACATGCTCAGCCAAGACTTCGCCCTCTCTCGCAGACGAAGGATCCGCGCCCACATTGCTCTTCCTTGCAGCCAAGGCTGCCCCACTGGTACCGCCGAGCTCCGAAGCATCAGCGAGGGCTGCGCCGCCGCCGGGCAGGATGGAGGTGCGACCCGAAGCAGCTGTCAAGGGCGCTGCGGTCGGAAGGCCAGAAGGAGCCCTATTGTTGCTACTGTTGCCGCCCGCACCACCGTTACCATCGCCTGGACTTGTGGAAGGGGTGAGGACCTCGTATCCGGGCGCGTCCTTATTCTCACGTAGTCGCAGCTGCTGCGTAGCCGTGCTGAGGTGGACGACATCCGTCCCGCCGGGCGTCTTTGATCCGCCCTCGCCCTTTTTGGCGCCGCCGTTGCCGTTGCCGCTGTCTTGGCCAGCGCCGTGGGCGACGATAGCCTCCATTGGCCGTGAGGAAAGCATGTTATCGTGTGAGCGCGAGGAAGTGACGCTATATGCTGCACACGAGGCCTGCAGTCGTCTGGCTGGCTAGCTGGGATAGCTCTGTCCCGGCCAACGTTGAGGGTTTGGAGATGAGGATGAAGATGCGTGCGAAGCTGACTGTATGACGGACGACTGATACGCCTTTGCTGAGCGTGTCTCACGTCTCAGCGTCGTGATGACACGAGATTGGACAAGATGATGTCGGTAGGATGCGCTGATGGTCGAGTCGAGTGGAGTCAAGGCCACGCGCAGTCGAATTGAGGCGTGGTCGGCGACGACGACGACACTCGACTGCCTTGCTCGCGCCTGTTTCAGGCCCAGCGGAGAATGATGCAGCACCTGCCTGCCTCGCTCGCACTCGCGCTTCAAAGGAAGGCACGTCGCCGCTCGGTGCTGCTCGCTCGGCTCACTCGCTTGCCGTTGGTCAATGAGGCAGCGAGCCAGAAAAGCAATCGCCGGTGGTGATGACGACGATGAGGGCGGCAAAGATGAGGTGACAAGATACTGGTGTATGGCGGACTAAGGGGATTGAGTGGATGAGGTCCAATGTCAAGATGACTCAAGAGGAGATCGGGCAATCTACCTTGCCCTGCGCAGTGAGCGCCAAAGGCAGGGCAGGCAGCTTCAAACCGCCACTTCCCCTCGGCGCCGATTCGACCGATCCGACCGCGACTGCCGGACCAGAGCAAGAAAGCTGCGCCGGCTGAACATGTCGCAGCGAAGAGGGCGAAGATGACCGGATCGCAGAGGCGCCACCACACCACGAGATGATCGCAGTCATCGAAACTAGAACGACATTGGTTGACGGCAAACAACAATTGGAGCAGAAGAGATGGCTATACAAAAGCTACAGGTCCGTCAATTCGCTAGCCCGTCGCAACCTCAGTACTTCTCGCGCGGGTAGTACGACTGCTGCTGATGGTGCGACGACGAGGAAGGCGGTACAGCAGGGAGGGGTCCCCTGCTCCTGCTAGTGCCCGCAGCACTCGCGCTCCTGCTTCCTCCACCCGCCCGCCTCGCCGCCTCCTGCTCAGCCGTGATCGCTCCAATGGCATGCTCATAGCTAGGCACGTCATGATGGTTCTGACTACCGCCTCCGCCGCCTCCGCCGCCATAGTAGTGCGACGAGCTCGCGGCTCCATTGTCCTCCTCGGCGTCGAAGTACATGCCGCTTGGCTCCTGCCAATGACCCTCACTCGTTCCGGCGCCTCCCTGTGTAGCTTGACGTTCCCTCTCCGCCTCTGCAGCACGTAGCTGCGCCTTCTCATCTCTCGGCGGCGAAGTGGCGGAGGCAGCGAGAGCTGACAGACCAAACCCATCGTCCTGGGTAGGTCTCCTACGCTCATCTCGGTCGCGCTGCTCCTGCTGCACAGCTGATGCGTCTGTAGGCGCAGCACTTGCGCTTCTTGCCAGGATGCCTCCGGAAGCCGCTGCTGAGCCGGCGGCGCGTTGCGGCGTGGGCATGGCGAGGGCGCCTACTGCAGGTGCTGCGCTGCTGCTGCCAACGCCGCTATCATCGTAGTATGAGCCAGAGGGGCCAAGAGCGACGCCTTGCTCGTGGTGCGGTTGCTGCTGATGTTGCGGCGCGTAGTAGTCTTCGTATTGACCTTGGCTCTGATCGTAATAGTCCTGTTGCTGGGCATCGTGCGCACCGTAGCCTTGCTGCTGGCTGTGCGGGTCATAGTAGTCATGCTGAGGCTGCTGCTCCTGGTTCAGCCCGGCGCCATGTGCTCCAAAGCCGCCAACCTCATTATAGGCAACGGACTCGCGGTTATTGCCATTGCCCTGCCCGTAGACCGGTCCTACCCCGGGCACATAATGGCTAGCAGCGGCGGCACCTGCAGCAGCGCCCGCGCCTGCCGCCACCGTTGACCTGCCAGCGCCTCCCTGGCGTGCATAGCCATTGTGGTATGCCCCGTCATTGCCACCGCCGTAAGCCTGCCCGACAGCGTGGTGAACCTGACCATTGCCTCCGTCATCATAGTCATGCTTGAGGGGCACCTCATGCTCGGTCACATACTCAGCGAAGCGGGGAAGCTGCCCCTCCCCACCGTTCTTCTGGCGCCTGAGCCTGTCATTCTCAGCCTGCAGCGCATCCATTCTCATCCTCTCGCCGTATGACGCATCAGGATGCGGCGTGCTGTAGTCGTCTTTGTCCTTCTTGTTCCTCTTTCTGCCCCCACTCCCGCCTCGCCCGGCACAGCACGAGCAACAGACGGCGCATTGTGCTACGACCAGCACGATGAAGGCCGCTAGTGTGAGCCAGATGGCTGTACCATAGCTCGCTGTGCCACCATCGCTCTCTACGCGCTTCTTTGCGATGGTGAAAAGAGCGAAGTCCAACGCGAGGGCGATGAGCGTGACCGTCGTTGCGAAACCGGCCACCATGCTTGTGAGGAAGGCTGTCGCGAATCCGGTGCAATGCTGCAAAATTCCGAGCAGGAAGGCAACTGCGCTCAAGCCACACGCTACAGGATGCAGTACGAGTGTGTAGCTCAGCCCATGTAGGACGCTGGAGGAGAGCTGATTCGCATAAGGGATGTTGCCGTTGATCCCGAACAAGGAGCCAGCGTCAGAGAGCTTGTAGCCCACGGTCGTGCCGCTGCATTGGTCGCCTACGCAGAAGCCCAAGCAGCCGAAAGTGACCGTACGACGTGCGGCGGTAACGGAGAGGAAGTAGATGGACTTGTTGACTGGGACCGAGGCGGTGCAGACTGCGAGGAGAACCGCAGCCACCAGGATAAGAATCGTTCCTGGCGTAGCGGGATTCATGGTTGCCAGCGAAAGAGGTGGTGCTGGAAGAAATCTGACTTAGTTGCAATGGGTGGCGTGGGTCGCGTCGTGGGAGCAGGCGGCGCTAGGCTAGCTAGTGTGCTGCGAGGGCGTAGCTGGTCAGAGCGCCTCTCGATTGAGCCCCTGTCCGAAGGTGGAGAGGAGGTGCGAGCCAGCCAGGCTATACGCGATGATGGCCGAAGAGGATGATGAGCCTGCGTGAGCTACAAACACGTTGATGGCTGATTGAGCGAACGTCAACGCAAGAAGGTTGAGTGAACAGCAGTGATGAATGTCGTGAGAAGTCAAGAAGGGTTGCAAGCAGGCTCTACGCAGGCAACGGCGAGGGCAACGGCAAGGGCAACGGCAACGCGCCTCTTCACCGCCCGGTCAAGCGCGCTGCTGTGTGCCCGTGCTCGACTCCCTCTTCGCGTTGGCGCCCTCATTTGCCCTCGCAGCTCGCAGGCTCCCCCACGCCACGCCCACGCTCGCCCGCGCGCCCGCCCGCTCAACTCGACTCGACGCCCACTCGCTCACCGACGGCAGGTTGCCAAGCCCCTCAATTCTCCGCAACTTGACTGGCGAGCGGCACAGCCAACTAACTATCTGGACTGGCCAGAAAGGGAAGGCGGTGCAGTTGAGCGATTTTGAGCGAAGGAAGCTTATGATCGCTCTTAGTTGTGGTACGCAGGTTTCGATCAGCAAACCAGCCTTCGCTAAATCGCGAGTGCGCGAGTGAGATGCTAATGGCCAACGGGCGTCTGAGCAGCTCCTACGTCCAGGTTCACTGCGCCGCGTCTTCAGCCATCACCACGGAGCGTGCCATTGTTTCAAGGTTGTCGATTGAAGTGAGGAATATGGATAAGGCAATTGAAGAGAAGTGCAGGCCCCGTAAGAGGGGCTCAAGAAGTAGGAATGAGGGCAGGCGATGCCCTAGAGGCATACGGATCGACAGAGAAGGGCGTAAAGGAGGGTGTTGTTCGAGACAGGCGGTGCAGCCGTAAGATGAGGAGTGGCAAAGGAGCGGCTGAGCGGGAAATGCCTTTGAGAGGACACCGGACGCCGACAAGAGACGGCTCCAGGCTTGAAAATGAACGCAGAGGTAGGGGCGAGGAGGAGGAGGTGTAGTTGGGTATCGTGGTTGGTCGTGTGCTGCGTGCCCTTGTCTTGCGTCCGTCGCCGTCTGTCGCCTCTCTGACTCTCCGCTGCTCGCTTTGACTCTGTTCACCATCGCGACGCCGCTCAACACGCGGCTGCAGCGGCAGCGGGTCCTTCCAGTGCCTCTGCCCGTAGCCATCTCCTCGGCCAATCCCCTGATCGCAGCGCCCTCGCATGTCGACGGCCCAGCCGCCACGTCCGTCTACGCCCAAACCAACAGTTTCGAGTCCCAGCTACCAGTGCAGAGCGCCATACCGTCACCGCTAACGCCCAAGCAGCTCACCCGATTCTCATGTCCGCTGAGCACGCCCACCCTCTCGCCCTTCATCGTATCCCAAACATTACAGTTGTAGTCGTCATAACCAGCAAAGAGTAACCTCCCCGACGAGGAGAAGGCGACCGAAGTGATGCCGCAGAGGATATTGTCGTGTGTAAACTGGTTGAGCTCCCTGTCCGCCCTGACGTCAAAGAGACGGCAAGACGCGTCGTCTGAGCCGGTAGCGAAGGCGTCGCCATTAGGGAAGAACTGCACAGCATTGATGTCGCTCTCGTGGCCCGCAAAGGTCTGAACCGCCTTTCCTGTGCGGATGTCCCAGATCTTGGCTACCGTATCGCAAGCCCCTGAGACGAATGTGTTCGGGTTGGGACCCAGCGAGACGCTCATCACGTCGCCTGTATGGTCATTGAACTCCATTGTGCGTACGCCAGCATCAATGTCCCAAAGCATGCAGGTCATGTCGCCCGACGAGGTGAGAATTTGCCTGTCGTTGAGGAATCGACAGCACGAGAGGTAACCCGTGTGGGCGCTGAGCTCGCGAGCCACCTTGACCGAGCCTTCCCGCGAGCGAAGATTGTAGATTGAGCAGATGTTGTCAAGACCACCGCAGGCCACGAAGTTGCCCGAAGGGGAGTAGGCGCAGGTCATCACCCAGGAGGAGCGAAGAGGAATTGCGTGAACCTTGTTCGATGTGTAGGCATCCCTGAGAGCGACGTGGATTAGGGCGGGGTCAGAGAGGCAGCAATAGAAAGTACGATCGCTTGCCTCGAACTCACCATACGATGAGCTTGCCGTCTTGCGACGCTGAGACGATGTGACGCTTGTCATGAGCCCAGTACATTGAGTAGATCTTCGCCAGGTGACCCTGCGGAGCGAGCACGATGCCGCAGAAACAAGTTAGCCTTCAAAGTCATGATCTCTGATCGCCCTCCTCGCATCTCGCCCACGAACCTTCAATTGGCGTCGAACCTTGAGCACAATACGAGGCAGCGGTGCGAGCTCGCCGGCTGCAGCTCGGACTGTGAGGCAAAGGGCCAGCGAGGTAGAAAGGGGATCTTGTGAGCAGCTGCCAACTATCGGTGCGACACATTGTATGGCGAGACTGGTCACGCACGTGTGGTATCAGACAATCTCTCCTTCTTGATGCGGATCTCCTCCTTGAGGGTATCAGCCTGCCTCTTGGCCGCCGCGATGCGCTCAGTGAGGTCGGCCACGCCTGGTCCGTTGGCTGCCATGGCGATGACTGATGGAAACGTGGGGGAGTGAGTGGGGATGAGAAAAGGGAGGGATGAAAGGGCAGGAGGATTGCCGCTTGGTGCTTCGCGCTTGCTTTGCTGATCTGCGCTTAAGCGGATCGGTTGAAAGGGAGGACCGGAGAGTGACAAGGGCGAGCTACGGGGCTGTGGCTATTGCAGGCCGAGGTCGTTGATGCTGGCTAGATGTCGAGAGTATCTCTGAGGGGAGCGGAAGGTAGTAGACAGCCGGGAGTGTCGTTCAGGAGTGCGTGCGGGTGTTGGAGAGGAATGCGTCGTTATCGCGTCGGGGGAAGGCGCCCTGTATGCGTCGCTCTTTGTAAGAGGCGATAAGTCAGGTGGTGGGATAGGGGATGAAGGACCGTGCAGTAGGGTGGTACACACACACTGCTCTCTGTGTGTCGCAGAAGGAGTCGCGCAGGTGATGAGGATCAGAAGGGAAAGAGAAAGGAGCTGGATGAAAGGTGGTCCGGTTCCCCTTCCCCTCGGCCGTCCTGGTTGGTTGGGCGCTCCGCCTGCCGCCGCCCCGCCCACGTCGTCGATGCCGCCCCCCGAATTGGACTTGCCTTCGACTTGGCTGGCGAGACGAGACGAGACAGTCCAAGACAGGGCGGCCAGACGGATCGGCGTCGCGGCGCTGCATCTGTCGGGTCGTGCGTGCACAGACACGCCTCGCTCCCTTGTTCTTCGCTCGGAAGAAGGCGAGGAGCTCCTTGCACGGCCCACGCTACGAGCTGAGGGACACTTTATTGACCATCAAGACTAGTTGAGATCGCAGAAGATCTTGGGTCAAAGCGCATTGTCATGTCATTGCTCTTCAATCTAGTCGACCTCAAGGCTGGCGATCACCTCCTCCCCATGATTCCAGAAGCTCTCGAACAAGCCAATCAAATGCTCCGGGTCCTTGACATGCGCCGTCTCCCTCACACTGTGCATCGACAAGCACGCTGTCCCCACATCGACCGTCTTGAAGCCCTTTGCGCTAAGCATAGGCCCAATGGTCGACCCACATGGCATCGAATTTTTGACCGAAAAGTGCTGCACGGGCACGCCGCCATTACGCGCGAGAGCCGCCCATCGGCGAATTGGGAAAGCAGTCGCTGCGGTGGTGGCGTATCGTTGGTTGCTCATCGTCTTCAGCACGATGCCTCCGCCCAGGTCAGGGCTGTTCTCCGCCTGGTAGCGATCCATGTAGCAAGGGTGCTTGCCGTGGCTCACATCTGACGAGATGAGGAAAGAAGCTGCTCGGGCTACATCGCCCCCATCTGCTGTTCCCTTGGCCCCCTTGAGGGAGATGTGCGACAATCGCTGCACAAGGGCGGGTAGCGTGTCGGCATTTGCTCCTTGGAAGGAGGTGGAGCCTACCTCTTCATTGTCGAAGAGGCTGATTGCGCGTACCGACTTTGAGTCGGCGAGAGTTGATTGACCGGGCGCGACCGAGGCGAGCAGAGCAGTGACGGCGCCGAAGGAGGACATGAGGTTGTCGATGCGCGGAGCAAAGATGAATTCGTCGCAGGCTCCACCGATCGAGGAGGGGTGGACGTCATGCAGGGAGAGGTCGAAGTCGCGGATTTGGGAGGGAGAGCAGCCGAGCTCCTTGGCGAGAAGGTTGAGCAAGATAGGGTGGTGATGCTGCGCCGTCTCATCTCCACCATCTGCTTTCGTGCCGAGCTGCTCCTCGATGCTGCTCTTGAGGGCGAGCATCGGGATCGTCTCGTCTTCGAGATTGAACTTCTTGCCATCCCCAGCCGACCGGTCCAGATGAATAGCCAAGGACGGGATCCTCAGAATAGGTCTGCGGATCTGTACCAGCTTCGCTTCATACGTCCCCTTTTCACCCTCAACGATGACCCTCCCCGACAATCCCAAATCGCGATCAAACCAAGTACTCCACAACCCTCCACCATACGTCTCTACTCCCAACTGGACAAAACCTGCCTTCTCCTTCTTGCTGACCGGCCGCACCTTGAAGCAGGGCGAGTCGGTATGCGCCCCCACTGCATGTACGCCACCGATGCCAGGTTGAAATTTGCCACCTACAGCAAAGGCGACGAGTGCTGAGCCATTTCGTGTAAAGTAGTAGCGGCCCCCAGCCTCAATACGACCGTCCCACTGATCGGTTTCCTTGATCTTTGTGAAGCCGGAGGCTTCGAGAAGAATGGAAGCGGACTGTACCGCGTGGAAGGGGTCGGTGGAGTTGTCTACGAACTTGAGAAAGTCCAAGGCCGTTGTTGGCGCATGTGATGAAGCCGAAGCGGCATTGTTGTTGGATGAGGTCATGATGCTACGACGTGAGATGGTAGGCGAAGGTGATTGAGAGAGACGTGTCCAGGTGACCATGCGATTTGCCTGGGTAGAGAGTGTGGTGATCGAGTATGATGCGCGAGGAATGAATCTCGACAGCATGCAATGAAGGAGGATGAGGAGAGGACAGATACGAAGGGGGAAGCGAGCAGCTGACTTTGCTCGGGTCGTGCGACTCTGGCCCGAGCCAATCGACGACGATACCGGCGGAAGCGGGGTCGAGTAGGACCTCCACGTGGGTTTTTCGGCGGCAATCTTGCTCTTGTTGCTTTCGCGACAGCAGCTCAGCAACTCACCACTTCAAAGGCGATGCAAGGCGGATCCTCGGACGATGTCTTCCCAGTAGACCGAAGTCTCCTCAATCCAAAGTTCGAGGCATACAAGTTGCTTACCGACGGTGTCACTTCAGCATGTCACCATCTGCCCTCTAGCGTGCGCCTCTCTGCGCCAGACGGCGTAGGTTTCAAGGAGCTTCAGGATCGCCTCAACTACAATCACCTCGTGCCAGCAGCTTCAAGCAGTAGTCAATGCGTGTACATCGACGACGCAGGCTTTGTGATCCTGGTTGATTTCTCTGCAGGCTCTGTCAAGCCGAGCTTCCATCCTCTACATCGCCTTGAGAGCACGCCGAACGGATGCGCAAGTCTCGTAGCCTTGGAAAGCGACCAGTGGCTGGTCTCGGACGCCAAGGGCGGCATTGTCTGCCTTGAGACCAAGAAGCAAGGATCGAGATGGACAGCGGAAGTAGTCGCATCACTAAAGGTGGAGGGGTCCTCACGCATCCTCGAGGCACGACGCTCCGAGACGGATGCCGCTGTAGTGCTCGCTTTGGTACAGAGCACAAGACGACTCGCAACCAGCACCGACAGCGGCGGCAGCAGCAAACCAACGCGTTCAAGCAAGGTGGCCTTTGATGTCTCGCTCCTGGAGCTGCCCATACCGATATCAACCACGCAAGCTCCTGCGGCCAACACCTCCTCGACCTCGCCAGAGCCTATCTTCGTTCAGCCAAGCTGGACCGTCACTGGGAACGACCCAGCCTACCATACTCAGCTTGGCCCCTCTAGCGAGTCGCAACACCTTCTCATTGCCGAGTCAAGCTTCGAAGACACAGCGACCCACGCTGCTCGGCACTCAGCAAAGACGCAACCCAAGCCAGCCTCGACGTCTACCACTCCAGCCGCCTCAAGCAACACCGACACCCAAGCACCGTCACCCCTTGCTACAACACGACCCCTGCGCCCGCCGCCCCTCTTCTCGTGGCACCAAAGTAGCGACACCGTCACCCTCCTCTTCTCTCTTCCAACATCCATAAACAAAGGAGACACACGTGTTCACTTCTCTCCACCGAGCGGGCTCAGCATCCACCTTGCGCCGCACGCCGACCTGGATCGCGCCGCAAGCGAGTCAAAGATAGTTGAGCTGCGAGATGACGAGCAGGAGGCGCGAAAGGTTGACGAAGAAGCAAAGCCTTCAATCAGGACTGCCCGAGCTCTACAGGCGGGTTGCTTTGCCAATCGCACCTTGTGGGCTCCGATTGACACCAGCGGCTGCGTCTGGACGTGGGAGCGTGTCCCTCCCGCTGGCGGAGCAAAGCGCACAGCGAATGGCCAGGAGAAGGTAGGGGAGCAAGGGCTACTCAGTGTCTTTCTTGAAAAGAAGGACGAGGGTACTCGCTGGGCTGCAGTCTTTGACGAGGCAGAAAGACGTCGGCGTGCCGAGGCCAACGGTGGCGATGAGGATGACGAGGACGATCCGCCAGAGACGCAGGACCCTTCTGATTTGCTGGGGATGGTGCAAGGCCTGGACAAGTACACCGCTGAAGGCGAAGCGGATGGTGATGATATGGAGTACAATCCGCTCTTCAGCGCACAACGCGACTCATTACTGCACGACGGGCTGGAGGCGGAGGATGGAGATGTTGGGAGACGGTTGTGTGTTACTGCTGTAGCGCGTGGAGGTGATGGGCAAGGCATCGCAGTCAATCATCCGCAAAGCGAGGCAGGCGCTCGCTCACAATTGGCTTCGTGCCTGGCGAGACCGCTGCCTCAAGCCGACCGAAGCGACAGCGACGCAGCAGCTCTTCGACCGCTCGTCGTGCGTCGTGACCTCGATGGTCTCGTCTTCTTTCCCCCCTCTCCCTCCTCCTCCTCAGCATGGCATCATCGCACGACCCTACCCGCCCTCAGCTTCGTCCTGGCATCCAAGCGTGACCTAAGGGCAACATACGTCGTGCCTACCTCACGCTCCTCGAGCAAAGGAGGACGAACAGCCGTCCTTGCATTCGAAGACGCGCCTCGCGTTCGAGACGACTACGACGAGGCATCGAAAGGCGCCGGCAACCTCTTCGTGTACTACAGTACGGACGAGGAGGAGGCCACGGGTGCTGCTGGGAAGAAAAAGACAGAGTACGCGCCTAGCCGCGTCATTAGGCTTGAGGGAGAAGGCGGTACAGGCAGCTTCATGGGGGCTGCCCTCTTGCTAGTGGACGGGAGAAGGGTACTCGCCGTGCTCTGTGAACGGGCAATGCTTCTGTTGAGGGGCGTGTTGGACGATGAGTAGGAGAGCCGCACAGCACGATGAGCAGGGATGCGAATGCACGAGGAGTGTAGGACGCAGCGATAAGATGTGTGATGTTATTCAATATAGCCGAATGAATGGATAGAGCGCAATGAGCCAGCAAGGAGCGTGATCCTAGTGTAATTGTAGGTGGTCTTTTTACACATTCGAAAGAGCGAGAGGGGAGGCCAGTCTTGACATCCATATGATGGAGTACGGTAAGGTAGGAGGACGGGCCGTAGAAGGAGGGGCCGGAGAGAGAGCGTGACGATGAGGGTGGAATCCGGAGCTGCATGAGGTCGGTAGGAATTGTTCGTGAAGCGTTGGTGTTCCTCAAAAAGGTGTTAAAAAGTTGTATAGCGACCGGAACATGGTCAAAAAGAGCATGCTGCTTACTGCTGCGACTTGCCTCTGCCTGTCGTAGGGGAGCGCATAACCTCATCCCCCTCGGCATCTCCACCCGCGTCCTCTTGCCCCTCCTCAGCATCTCGCACAGCCATCTTCGACATGCCCAGAGCGGCCCCGCCGAGCCCGAAGCCGCCTGAGCCGCGGCGGCCGCCGAAGGAGCTGGCGAGTGAGCCTGCTACCGAGCCATCATAGTCGCCAGAGTAGGAGAAGCCGCGGAACTTGTCTTGGATGCTGGACGAAAGTGCATCGTCTTCTGCTGAGTTGCCGTTGGCCTTGTTTATCGCAACACCATTTTTGCCCTTCGCTGATGTTGCGCCTGCGACCCCACTAGCTCCACCGGCAGTGCTTGCTGCCTTCGATGAGCCTCCCGCAGCCGCTGAACCACTGCCGCTACTGCCGCTGCCTTCGTTTGCTGCGTCCACGCTCCCGGGGAGGAGGGTTCCATTCTCGATCGCCTGGGCAAGCCCTTCGTCGCCGCCACCAAGCATGGCCACCTCAGCAAGGTCCGTCTCTGTGAACTCTGGGTCGAAGTTGGCCACGCTCTCGTCCGACTCCACTAGCGGCTTGAACGGCGGGGTAAGCTGCTTCCTTGCCAATGCCTCAAAGTCGATATCCTTGAAGAAGGGGTGCTCCATCAGATCCTGCGCATCGCGCCCTGCTCCCAACCTATGCTTTGGGTTGCGGTTGAGCAGGCCCTTGACGAATTGCTTACCATCATCACCGATGGCGCCTCGAGGGAACTTGATCTTGCCGAAGCAGATGTTGCGGTACATCTGCTGCGTGTCTTCGGCGTAGAAGGGGGACCAGCCACAGCACATTTCGAAGAGGAGAACGCCGAGCGACCAGAAGTCTACCAATTTGGAGTAGCCCGACTCGTCCAGGAGAACCTCGGGTGCCAGGTACTCGGTCGTACCGCAGAAGGTGTTGGTGAGCTGCCCTGCGCCCAAGTCAGGCTTGGAAAGCCCAAAGTCGCAGAGCGCTACGTGACCCGTTGCGTCGAGGAGGATATTCTCGGGCTTGAGATCTCGGTAGACGATGTCGTACTTGTGCAGATGGCCGAGCGCGATGACCAGCTCTGCAATGTAGAATCTTGCCCTCTCCTCTGTGAAGCGCCCCTCACGCTGCAAGTGCCAGAACAGCTCCCCGCCAGACTTGTAGTCGGTGACGAAGTAGAGCTCCTGCTCGGACTGGAAGCTGAACTTGAGTCCGACAAGGAACGGGCAATCGAGCGACTTTTCCAAGATTTTTCGCTCGCCCATCGTGTGCGTAACCTCCTTCTTCTGTGCTATCTCGCGCTTGGACAGAACCTTCATTGCGTAGATTCTTCGCGTATCCTTCTTGCGAACTTGGAAGACGCGGCCGAACGTGCCCCGCCCGATGAGCTTGAGGTACTCAAAGTCCGCTGGCGTAAGCTTCTTGGCCGGGAGGCGCTCGTAAGACACCTGGACGCGGATCTCTCCGGCGCTGTGCGATGGTTCGCCTGCTTCGGCATCATCGCGGTCAAGGAGCGGGTACCACTGGTCCGAGGACATCTTGTGGATGAAGCGTGGGGTGATGACGCGCATGCCAAGAAAGCCCTCCTCTTCGGCCAGACGATCGTAGACGCTTACGTAGACAGGCTGCTTTTCTTGTGTGACGTCCTGTGGGCAGCGATGAAGTCGACGATCAGTGAAATGTACAGAGCTGGCGGCGCTCATGCTCGGCAACTCACGAAAGTGACTTGATGCTTCCACACAGGGTTGTGAGCATTGAGCGACGAAGACGATGATGCTGCAGTGTTGGCCTCTTCCGCCGTACTGGCGGGCGTGATGGTCCTCGCTCTGGTACGGTTGCCTGCCTCTGCTCCTTCCGGTCTCGGCACAGGTTCCCCCATGGCGTCTGCCATTGACGGGTCGATTGGTTCCCTTCCAATGAACTCGTTCTTGTCAAAGGAGATGACAGCGTACGGCGCTGAGCCCGATGCTGAGCTGACGGCGAGATTGCGTGCCTCGATGACTTTGACGGTCAGGTGGCCTCGAGGCGCAGCTGTATTGCGTGTGGGGGAGGCACTTGATGACGAGGATGAGGCATCTAGGCGCTGCTTTGCTGGTGGGAGTTTCATAGTGAAGTCAGGTGCTGCGAATCGGAGGCGACGAGGTCAGCACGAGGGTAAAAGAGTCATTCAAGCTTGGCTGGCTCGCGAGCTCACCTTGTGTCGAGATCGACGTCGTGGGAATGGCAGACTGCGTCGCTATGTTCCCACCGGGCGTCAAGAGGCCCGAAGGCGTCATATCGCCTGCGGCTGTCCGTGGTACGCCCAGGGCGAGCATGCTGTTGCCGCTCGTACTCTTGCGGTGTGCCTGGGCGGCAGCTGCTGATGAAGATGAGGACGACGCCTGTGACTGTTGCAGCGAGTCGAACGGATTCGCTTCCTCTGCTCTCGATGAGGTGGGAGCCGCGCGCGGTGTCGTCTGTGACATGCGTGAGAAGAGATGTTGTCTCAGCTGTGGACCTCTTTGCTGGCTGGCATGGCGTGAGACCATCACATCACTGGGTTAGACTCACCTGATCCTGCGGGCCTGAGGGCCACATGCTGGAGATGCCCTTCATCGCTGCTTATATGCAAGTGGTAGCAGTGAGAAAAGGCAAGAGGGGCGGCTCTGTTCGCAGCTCAGGGGACGGAGCGACGAGAGCGGGGAGCAAGGGACGTAGCCGTGCGGCTTTAATGCTGCTGCGAGGCCTCTACGTGGAGCAAGGCAATAGCGGGAAGAGGAAGGGAGGTGTCTCAATCGTCGAGTCTCGCCCTGACTCGATGATGATGATGATGCGATGGCGAGGATGAGAGTGATGGTCACGAATGAAGAATAGCTCTGCCGTCGCTGCCGCTGTCGCCGTCGTCGCTGTCGTCACCGGGTGATCTGAAGAGAGGAGGAGCCTTGTGTTGGACACGGAGAGAGAGAGGGAGGGCCAAGCAGCAGCGGGGACTTGGACTCGGGCTTGAGCGAGCTGAGCTTGGCTGGCTGGCAGCTCGTCTCGTCGCCTCACTTCATCACGCCTCGCGCCCACGCCCACCCACGCTCACACGCAGGTACTTGCACAGCTTCTTTTTCGATTGCCGCCCCAGCCCACCTGCCGTTCATCCACTTTGGCCGCACATTACTCCCCGCTCCGCCGCCGTCGCCGCTAGCCGCTCCGCGTCCCGTGCCTTGGTTGGCGAAATCGATGCACAAGCGACAGCAGTGCCGCACCCTTGCGAAGACTCCACATCATCAGATCGAGCTTGATGCTACCCAAAGTAGCGCGCTAGCATGAAGCACGAGAGCGTCATCGAGCGCATTGTGGGGAATGGGGAAGAGCATACAGTCAAGGGTATCACATTGCGCAAGGGGTCGAAAAAAGAGGTGCAGAACGCAAAGGGAAGCTGTGGGGAAAGCACTCGCTCACCCCTTCATCAACGACGACTTTCGAGGTCGCGTCACGGGCGTCGTCTTCTGAGCACCAGCCGGAGGTAATGTCTCACTACCGCGATCCTGCCCTGGTGTAGTGGCTGGCGGCTGCGGTGCTGTACCGCCCATCTCAAAATCCCACGCTCTTGGCACAAGGGCAAGCGGTATGACCCACGTAGCCGCAAGCACCACTCCCTTTCCCCTATCCGCCTGCTGAATGGCCTTGAACTCCACATCGATCGCCATGCTGATGTACCGTATGAATGGGAGCATCTCAGGCACGCCTCCCGTCACCACCATAGTTGACAAGAAGTTCAAGAACGCCCCGGAGACGGAGCGGGCCGTCCCTAGGTAGGACATAGTGGGGGCAGGGAGCGTGAGCTCGTATCCCCACCAGTGGACGAAGAGGGCCATCCTGTCCAGTGGTGGGTGGAGAGCAAGATCACTTCCGCTTGCGCGGACTGCATAGTGCGAGAGAGAGCTGAGCGCAGGAAGGGCTCCGCTTGCGTCTAGGCCTGCGGACATCGCTGCGCCGGGCAGGCCGGTCGGCGGAGAGGTGAGCAGGTTCAGAGCTGTAACGCCTATGAGGCCGCCAGGGCCGCTTGAGGAGCTCTGTAGGCTGGAAAGGGCTGAGAGGTCACGCTTGGCTACTTGGTCTGCTGTGCTCGAGGTGCTGAAGGAGGCAGAGCTCGCCAGAGCACCCGAGCTGAAGCCGAGAGCTTTCATACGGTTGCCTAGGCCGAGTAGGAGATCCGTCTGAGGGGTGGAGCTCTTGGCCGAGTGGCCTGCAGCAGCTTTCGATACTTGCGGGTTGACGGCCGCTTCGTGGCGTCGCTCTGCTTCTGCTTCGTCGCAGTCTAGACATACTGCTCGTCGTGGTGCGGGTCGAGAGCGCGTCGGCGTGGGGGCGGCAGAAGAAGGAGATGGCTTTGTCGAGAGAGGGGCCGTGGGGGCAGATGCGGTTGAAGTAAGCCGACGTCGCAATCGCAACCCGAAGCCGGGCTTGATCGCGACGTCGTCGGGAGCCGCAGCTGCTGCTTGAAGAGCCACCTGCGCTGGGCTAAGAGACTCTGGAGACCCAGGAGCTACCTCCTTGTCTGCATCGATCTCCAGTACTCTGCTTCGTGAGGCACTACCCTCGGCCACCTCCATCGCCCGCAGCTCCCCAATAATTCCATGCGCGAGCTTCTCGTCCATCAACGCCTTTTTCAATTTCTTGACCTGGCGTTTGCTGACACCATCGTCGCCGTGCTTCTTGCCCTTGCCCTTAGCCCTGCCTCCTACGACAAGAGCAGCTCCCGAGTGGCTGCTGGAGGACGAAGCATTGACTAGCTGTTCAAGCGCTCTTGCATGCTTGTGCGCCTGCGCCGTCTTCTTGCTCAGGGACGAGGTGGATAGTCGCCTCTTTCTTGGTGGCACAGGCGTGTGGATCCCGGCGTCGTCGATGCAGATCTGCCTCGAGGCTACGCTGTCCAGACTGACACGCGGGCGCAGTAGAGCAAGGCTCGAACGGCGTGCTCGCACCTCTGGTGTCCCAACGAGACTCTCAGCACTTGCACTAGTCAAGCCGGCGCTCTTCCTCTTGTTGTTCTTCTTCTCCTTCTCCTCCTTCTTCCTCTCCTTTTCCTCCTGCTTCTTTTTGCGCTGAGACTCAGCAAGCGCAGCTGCCCTCGCATGCCCAGCGAGATCCGTCGACGGGCTGAAGGAGACGCGCCGTACGATGTCCCCTTTGCGTGCTTCGGCTTTGAGAGCCTCCATACTAGCCCGCTGGATGGTGGGCAAGGGAGCGCTCTGTGCTGAGTCTGCCGTCGACTCAGGTGTAGGAAGCGGAGCTACATCGTTGCTCGATGTGCTTTCCACGTCTTCTTCCTCCTCGTCCTCCTCTTCATCCTCCTCGAGCTGTTCGTGAAAGGCACTCCCAGTGTCAAAGCTACTTCGCCGTCCCTTGAGCTCCATGCTCACCGGTCTTGATGGGAAAACAACTCCAGTTGAATGATTTTGTGTTGGTGTTGTCGGAGCTGACTGTGCGCCTTTGCCCTCCCTCTCGCCCCTCCTGAACAATCCTAGACTGATGCGCCTCAATCGGCCACCCTTTCTCACGGGAGCTTCTTGGGATTGATCCTCCGAAAGAAGAATCTCAACGGTCGTCTCATGAGTATTATTGCTTTCCACCCCATCTGGTAGCAGAGAGCTGAGCGTAGCGGCGGTACTGCCATCGACGAGGGCGAGAGACTTGATACCGTCTTCGAGGCCGTCTTGCGTGCTGGGGAAAGGCGTCGCGTGCGCGAGGGAGGGGGCGGCGACTGATGCCATGGTGGGTCGAAGAGACGAGGATGAGCGAGTGCGTGGGTTGATAGATAGATGAGAAGGGTTTCTGGCTGTTTGTGTCGTCAAGTGGTCGTGATAGTCTTTTATGTCCTGCTGTCGTTTAGGGTCATTAAGGGGGAAGGAGCGTAGTGGTACCAGGCAGAGTCCGATGAGGCTTTCCGCCAGGTCTCAGGCAAGGCGAGAGGGCTACCGAGTGAGAACACCTTGGCAGCAGCGACCACGGAATCGGAGATGAAGGAGCTTGTCCATTACTGGCACACTAAGGGGCCCTTCGATAGGGGCCGAGGGGAAGCAAAGGCTGAAGTCGACCCCTATCCGCTCTCCGCTCGCAGTCCGCGCTCCTCAATCATGCGCCGCTTCCGCCTTTGCCGAGCGGGGTCAAGCTCTACCTCGGACTCATCATACGCTCTCGCTCACTACTTTGCGCGATCGCAGGTGCGCCAATGTTCGAATAGACTAGCAATCAAGTGACACGGTCCAAATGAAGAAGGACATCCGCACGCGCGCCGCGCTCACCCAACGACTACCTCCTCCGTCTCCTCGAGGAGCTCCTCGACCTCCTCCTCGATAGTCTGATCGGCCTCCTGCTCCAGCTGCTCCGAAACACTCGGCAGCGGAGGGAGACCCATGTCCTTCCTCTTGCTCTCCAGCCTCTCCTTGGTTGATGCCCTCCATGCCTTCCACTCATCGATGGCGCGCAAGTAGAGCTCCTTGTTCTGCAGCGCGAGGTTGGATTCCTCAGCCAGGTCCTCCTCCTCGAACTGCTTGCCCAGCTCGCGGATGTTGCGCCTCACGCGCTTCTGGTCCTCCTTGCTGAGCAGGCTGCGCGGGCGAGGGCGCCACAGGATCTGCTTGAAGCGGTCCTGTACGTGCTTCTGCAGCTCCTGGCCTCTAAAGTCCCACACTGCGTAGCCGTTCTCGAGGGAGTGACGCCACGCACTTGCGCTCGTAGCCACATAGCGGCCAGAGGGGTCCCACTCGAGGTCGGTGATACCGTAGTGCTCGCCCGAGCCGATGAGCTTTACCTCGTCCGCCGGGTCGACGGGTGCAGCACCCTGACGGATCTCGGCGTTGAACTCGACATCGTACCACTCGAGGTCGAACTTCTGTGATGAGCCGAGCGTCGCAACGACGACATGGCGTCCCTTGGGCGACCAGAAGACGGTGTTGCACGTCTTGTTGTCAAGCATCTTGAGGAGGCGGAAGTCTCCCTTCTTGGGGTCGAGGTGGAAGAAGTTAAGCTGCGTCTTGATCGTGATACCGGGTGCGGTCATGCCCAGGTTGGGGTCGTTGCTCGAGATGACGGCGAAGTGCGATCCTTGCGGCTCCCAAGCGAAAGCAGTGACGGGATCCTTGAGCTCGACGACCTCGACAGGGAAGTCCTTTTCCCTCATTCTAAAGATCTCAAAGTTGCAGAACATCGACTTCTTCGTCTTGGTGTGTCGGTCAACCTTGACGCAGAGGTAGTTGCCCTGCGGGTGCCAGTGAAGCTTGCAGTCCGAGACGTTGAAGAGATTCTTGGAGCGAACAATCTCGCGGTTGGGAATGGTCATGACTGATGCTCGTGCGGGCTGGTTGGCAACCTCGGGAACCCAGAAAGCGATCATGTTATCACGCGGCTTCTTTGCTCCCTTTGCGGGGTTCGAGCCGTCTCCCCAGGCATCGATGGCTTCCCTATCCTTGTCGCCAAGCGGACACCACTCAAAGTCGACGACACCCTCGATGTTGATGCTCTTCTTGTCCTGGAGGCCCATTGACGGAGCCTCGTAGACGCGGATCTGCTTGCCCGGGATCACCTGGGCGCAGTATTGGTCGTCGCCTGACCACTTGAGCATCGGCCATTGGAAACCCTTCTTCTCATCCTGCGCCATAGGGAAGGTGCGGAGAAGGTGTCCTGTCCTGACCTCCCATACTGCTACGCGGTTGCCCTCGTCCTCTGCGGTGAAGTGCTGAGGTCCTACAGGCGCATTCTCGGGCACAGCGATGGGCTCGTGCGACCAGGTGATCATGTACTTTTCTGATGGAGAGAAGTCGACGAGGCGAGCACCGCGGTGGCTGAAGCGCATGAACTTCTTGTACGACGGCCCACCCCAAAGCGCAACACCAGGGCCGTGGAGGGTAGCAAGGAAAGTACCGAATGGTGACCACTGAACGTATGACTCTGTCCATCCTGGTCTTGAGTCGATGACTTGCGGCGGTGAGGAGCGGTTGTGCCATGCTACTGCGACTTCGTTACCGCGGCACATGACGACTTGGTCTCGCCCTTGCGGATCGAGGAGCCATGAGCGAAGGTGCTCATTAGGCACGTACTCCTCCTGCTGAGGCTCTGTAAAGTTCTCATCGATGTCTGCGAGAGCCTCGATGTCGCTGAATCGGTTGACTGCGAAGCGATGGCGCTTGTCGAGGGGGAAGCCATCGAGCGTCTTGACGGCCAAGGCGGCATCGTCTGCGCTCGCGAGCTCGACAAACATGTAACTGAGCGGGGAGAGGAGGGATAGGTCAGAATCATCAAGATGAGTATCAGGGTAGCAAGGACGCTTGCTCACCCCTTTGAGTTGCCATCTGAGCCAAAAGGCATGTGGAAGAGCTCCTTGTCGACATCGACGCCGACTTGCGACTTGATTCGCTTCTGGATGATGTCAAAGAGCTTCCCCTTCTTCGCGTCGTCTACTACAGGTACGTTGTCGATGACTACGACGTGGTCGAGTCCCTCGTCGAATCGTACGGCGTATCTGCGGGCAAGAAGAGAGAGAGAGAGCGCAAGTTCAGCTTGGGGCGATCCTTGAAGGCTGTCGCGTGATGGCTTGGCTGTCTTGGACTGACTTTTGCTCAATATCTGAGAAATCAATGTCTTCGTCGTCTAGCGACATGTTGTGCACGCCATTTGTGAGCTTCTCTTGCGACGTCGACATGTCGAGCGACGTGATGAGGAGCGAGAGGAGGACAAGACTAGACGAAGGGCGGTAGTGGATTCGTGGTAGCGAAGGCGGCGCCTCTCTCGTGCTGCCTCGACACTTTCTTCGCGGGTCAAGCCTGAGGGCGAATCGGCACCGACCTGAACTCACTTAGTCGGCGGGGCGGACTTGCTCGCGTGGTCCACGGACGAGGAGATGCAGCGACGACGACGACGGCGACGACGACCGACTCGAATTTTGGACGGAAGAGGCGCAGAGGCGCAGAGGCGCAGCTTGACTTCAGCCACTTGCTCATCACCACCACAGAACGCATATAGCCATGCCAAAGAAGAGGGAGAAGAAGACGGCCAAGGGGTGAGCAGGTGCATCGATTGTAGAGGTGACTTAACATCATTCTGAACATCCCCACTCCTCTCGCGCAGCCGTCTCGACAAGTTCTACTGGCTAGCCAAGGAGCAAGGCTTCCGCTCTCGTGCCGCCTTCAAGCTCGTTCAGCTCAACAAGAAGTTCAACTTCCTCGAGAACGCTCGCTGCTGTATCGACTTGTGTGCTGCTCCTGGAGGATGGCTCCAAGTAGCAAGCAAGCACATGCCCCCCAACTCGCTCATCGTAGGAGTCGACCTCGTACCCATCAAGCCAATCCCACGCTGCATCACCTTCGCAGAGGACATCAACTCTTTCAAATGCAGAGACGAGCTTCGAACCACCCTCAAAGACTGGAAGGCGGACATTGTGCTGCACGACGGTGCGCCGAATGTCGGTACCGCTTGGGTACAGGACGCCTACACTCAGTCTGAGCTGGTGCTCCAGTCCCTCAAGCTCGCAGTCGAATTCCTGGCCCCTGGTGGTCACTTTGTCACAAAGGTTTTCCGATCAAAGGACTACAACAATCTGATGTGGGTATTCAATCAACTCTTCCGTAGAGTGGAAGCCACCAAGCCCCCTTCCTCCCGTAACGTCTCTGCGGAAATCTTCGTCGTCTGCCAAGACTTCAAGGCGCCCCGTCGCATCGACCCCAAGTTCCTCGACCCGCAGCACGTCTTCAAGGACCTCGAGCCGCTCAAAGAGGCAGCAGGCGAGGGTACATCTGGAGGTATCGATCCGGCGATGAAGGGCACCAGCGCTCTCAATGCGCACGCGAACGTCTTCGAGCCAGAGAAGAAGCGACGCAAGCGTGACGGGTATGAGGAGGGAAACTACACGCAATTCAAGGCCATTACTGCGCAGGACTTTGTCAGAGGGCCGGACGCTGTCTCGATGCTGGGTACGTACAATCAGATCACTTTCAAGACACCAGAGGACAAGGCACTCCTCGACCATCATGAAAGCAACGAGGATATCCGCGTCAACTGTGAGGATTTGAAGGTACTCGGTCGCAAGGACTTCCGCAACCTCATGAAGTGGCGTTTGGCCATGCGTGAGCACCTGGGCATCGAGACGCCCAAAGCAGCGCAGCCTGTTCAGGAGACGGTCGAGACGGAGGAGCTCGAGCCGATGGATTCGGATGAGGAGATGGACGCGGAGTTGGAGCGCTTGACCGAGGAGGAGCAACGCAAGTTGCGCAAGGAGAGGAGAAGGCGGAATGAGGCGAGGGCGAAGAAGGTGTTGAAGATGCAGCTGCAGATGACTACGCCCATGGACATTGGTATGGAGCAAGGGGACGCAGCATTGCAGGGAGGGTCGGAAGACTTTTTCGATCTGGGCAATGGGCCGCAAGGCAAACCCAAGGCTAAGCCGCAGCTAGACGTCGAGGACGACGAGGAGAGCGATGGCGGAGAGTCAACGACCATCTCGAACAACGAAGACGACGAGGACGGGGAAGAACTCGACTCAGACGAGGAGCGCGAGCGTCGTCTGCGCCGCCTCGAAGGCGACATGGACGGAATGTACGAGGAGTATCGCAACCACCTGTCCGACCGTGATGCAAAGTTCCGCGCCAAGGAGGAGCGACGCAAGAACAAAGACCTCGAGGAGTGGGGCGGCATTCAGGAGAACAAGGGCGATGATGACGGGGAGGACTCGGACGCTGCAAGCAGCGTGGGCGGGTACGATGTCGTGCAGAGCAGAAAGGGCCGCATCGACGTCGATGATTCTGATTCGGACTTCAGTGACGATGATGAGCAGGAGGAGCCAGCGGCAGATAAGGCTCGACGAGCTGCTGCCAAAGGAAAGTTGCGCGCAGTCGAGAGGTCAGCAGCGAAGCGCAGTCGGGCGGAGGAAGATGACGACCTGGACGAGTCATCCCTTGTGACCACGCTGGAGAGCAAGAAGGCGGCAGAGGCGAGGCAGAGCAAGGAGGCCGCGATTTGGTTCGACAATCCGCTCTTCAAAGGAATGCCGGGCCTGGACGGCGCCGATGTTGACGATGACGAAGATGAGGAAGAGCAAGAGGATGACAGCGAAGTCGATCAGGACGAGGAGGACGAGGACGAGGATGAGGAGCCAAGCGATGAGGAAGAAGATGCCGCGTCCGACTTCGAGGTAGTCCCACGCGAAAAGGACGACGACGACTCAGAGTGGCACGTCACCGACCTGGACGTCGACGCCGAAAAGCAGCGCTTCATCGACGAGCACGGTCTCACGACCGCCGAGGCCGTGACCCTGGCCCAGCAGCTTGTCAACAGAGAACGTACCAAATCCGACCTCATCAACGCGGGCTTCTCCAAGCAGAATTTCACGGACAAGTCCGACTTGCCAGACTGGTTCCTCGACGATGAGGGCAAGCACTGGAAGGCCAACATCCCCATCACAAAGGAGGCCATGGCTGCTCTCCGTGCGCGTCAGAAGGCCCTCGATGCTCGACCCATCAAGAAGGTGGCCGAGGCGAAGGCGCGTAAGAAGTACAAGGCGGCTCAGCGCATGGCCAAGGCACAGAAGAAGGCCGAGGACGTGCTGGCAAACGAGGATGGGGAGATGACGCAGAGGGACAAGGCGAAGAGCATCACCAAGTTGCTGCAGAAGGGCGGGTCGAAGGCCAAGAGGAAGGAGACGCAGCTTGTCGTTGCCAAGGGGCCGAATCGCGGACTGAAGGGTAGGCCAAAGGGCGTCAAGGGTCGCTTCAAGATGGTCGACGGTCGCATGAAGAAGGAGCTTCGCGCGCAGAAGAGGATCGATAAGCGTGATGGGAAGAAGAGGAGTAGCGGGCATGGAGGGAGGACCAAGGGAAAGCCGAGGGTGCCGAACGGCTATGGAGGAGGTGGCGGCCGCTGATCAGCGTGATCGGATCCGCCTTTGGCGTCTTGTACATTCTCCAATTTATACAGCATCACTACATTCACTCGCACCGTCATATTTACATTGCCTGCGGCTCCCAGCTTAGCACACTCATTCGCTTGTCTGCCTCGCTTTGAGCAGCGTCGTCCTGAGGATATCCGGAAGATAGTCCTTGCTGCTGCTGTCCGTGTGCATTCAGCTGAGCAGCATTGTATAGATGAGCATCGCCAGCGCCAGATGGCTCCGCCGTCCGGTATGGGATCCGCTGGTAGCGTCCATCGTCGTACCCGCGACTCACGAGCGTGTCATCTCCCTCTGTCCATCTCGCTGCTGACGAGGGAGGCTGGGGGAAGGCCGCGGTCGATATCGGTGTTGAAGCGGCTGAGCTGCCTGCGAATCGGCCACTCCAAGCGCCTGCGCTTGGTTGGGGCTGATGCTGCTGCTGCTGCGGTGCATAGCCACGGGTGTCGTACGAGCCGTAGCCCGCCAGAGTGGGGCCGCCTCTTCTCATATCCTGCATGTCGTACATGCCCGCTGCTGAGTCCTCGTACTGGTATTGAGGCTGCCGTTGCTGGTACTGCTGCTGGTTGCCCCAGAGTGGCTGCTGATGCTGCTGTCGGGGCGAGTACTCTGCAGGCGTCCCAAATGATGAGGGAGCCGCCCGACTCTCACTTCCCCTTACGTCGCCCTCATCACCGTCCGCGCCAGCTGGCCGAGCAGCTGCAGCGGCAAAGATATGCTGGAAGTCCAGACCAGCAGACTTGTCCTGCCCAAGTCTCGTCCCTGCTGAAGCAGCTGAGGTGGTCGTCAAGCCCGTGCGAGTGCGGCCTATTGTAGCGTCGCCCAATCTCGGGCTTGCACTCAAAGCAGCGAAATGATCGTACTCCTCGGAGTCTGGAGCATGTCTACCATTCGCCGCTGCGCTCTCGGCGTTCTGGGCGCGGGCAGTGTCGAGGGCATACCGATAGTCCGCTTGGGTATACTCCTTCCCTCGCATACGATCCCAGGCGAATCGCATTGAGTACCAGAGCTCTGCGAAGAGGTCCCCCAGCCAAAGAGCGAGCCAGATAGCGTAAAGCGGATTGGTATACCGTCCGCGGCGACGTCGACGAGGCGTCTGCGTCTGCGTCTGTGGGTCGCTACCGTCGTCACCGCCCTCGCGCAGCTTCTCCTGCTGCAACGCCTCCATCTCTTCTTCTTCACGGCGTAGCTGCTTGCCGTGCTCTCTATATTCTCCCCAATGGAATGCCCATGCTTGGAAGGCAGCAACGAGGACCATCTCGAGGGTTACAGCTAGTGAGTTGAGTCCGTCGGCTACATTGGTGGAGGTCCAGTATTGGGAGGCCCGAATTACGCCGTGATCCTGGAGAATGGAGAAGACGAAACTTTGATAGAAGCAGAAGAAGATTGCGAGCTTGATGGCTGAGGGAGGAAGTCGCAAATTGGAGGGCAGGAGCGGTAGATGGTGACGGGAGAAAGAGAAGGTGGTCGTGAAGCGTAGATGGGGTCAGTTGCGCGCGTAGTGGAGCAAACAAGGACTTCAAGGACTTGATCTACTCACTCATGAACTTTGCAAGCGGGCGACGCCCACTGAGATCCTTTTTGATCAAGTCGTAGAGCACAATCAAGGCCATCAGTGCCACCGAGATTGACGCGAAGTCCACTGCGGTTATGTAGACGTGTGCATACTTATACGAGTAGGTTTCGTTGCAGTACAAGCCGAACGCTTCCGTGACGATGCCCGCAATGGAGAGGAGGGGCCTGATCACGACGTATTGTACGACGGAGAACTTGAGGATATAGAGGAAGTAGGCCTTGCTCGGTCTGTAGCGAAAACAGCACAGAGGGATCGGCAGCTTGGTCTTGTCCTTGGCAGCGAAGCGGGCACGCTCTTGAACGACATCTCCATCGGCGAGATAGGCCAAGCAGAGCATCAGGAAAGCGGCTACGGCGATTGCTTCGTAGACAGTTTCGGAGACCTCGAAGTATTGGTACGCGCGGAAATACACGTAGCCCAGGAAGGACACCACTGCGTAGACGGGCGCGAAGAGCAGAATTCTGATGATCTGCCGTTGCTGTGCCGGCTTATGAAAGTGTAGGGCATGTCCCATGACTGTGGTGAGGGAGATGATGAGAGTGACGGCCGCAGCCGCACCTGCTATGGTCCAGCCGATGCGATGCGCATCCCAGTCCCCATGGAATACTGATTGCCAGAAGTCCTCCTGCTCCCTCTCGGCCGCGTTGATCGAAGGACATTTTTGAACCATCTTGATGGTGCTCGTGGATCAGTAATCACCAAAGGCAATCGTCGGCAGCACTCGACGGGAAGGAGATACTAGACGATCCGCCGTCCCAGTCTGGGAGATGCTGAGTTGTGCGTAGAAGAATGAACTGCCGCCAAAGGGTCGGTTGAAGTAGCAAGTCGTGAGGGGACGAGAGGTAGCTATTCGCAGAAACCAAAACACCGGACGAGGAGATGCACCAGTAGCGTATATGCAGGCGTCCAGGGCGTCAAATGAGGTACATCGGGCGGACGATGACGAGGAAGGAGAGCAAGTGTGCAGTGTGATGTAGTCTAGCTGGCCGAGGAATCCGTAGCAAGAGCAGGGTGAGAACGAGGACGAGGACAAGGACGAGGACGAGGAGAAGAGAACTGTAAGAGGCCTTTTGCGCTGCGTTGCGATGACTTCACTTGACGGACGCGGGAAGGTCAAGCGAGCTCGGCGAGGGCTCCAAAGAAAGAGAGCTCGTCTCACTCCGCTGCTGAGACCGTCCTGCGTCTCAACTCGATCTACCGGCGGCGAGTGAACGGCGAGCGGCGAGCGGCGAGCGGCAGCGGGGCGCAGCCTTCGGCTCCAAAAGTGAACACAGCCAGCCGCTTCCTCCTTTCTCCTCTTTCTGCTCCTCTCTTCAATGTCATGGCTAAAGCATCTTCAATACCAGCTCGTTATGGCTCCTGTCTCTTCTGCTACGCTTAAACCTCCTCATCTACCCTTTTGCCCGCTCAGCCACTCGCAAGGGCACCCGCAAACAGACGTCGCCTTGTCGAGCCCACATGGGGGGACGCTAACGGGTTCCAGAAGCCCGAGATCTCTTCACGTCTATCAAAAGGTAGCTTTGTCGATTACTTTCTTCCTACAATGCCAACTCCCTTTCGACGCCATTCAGTCCAATGTGATGCTCCGCCTCGACGACTCAAAGAGCTCCCAACCTCCTCAAAGCCCATGCCGCCCCTTCTGGCCAATATTGCACGCGGCCGCCGGGCTGCTCACCGAAATCATCTAGGTGGAGACGCTGCTGGCGTGATTGATATTGCTCCGATGGCTTCTGATCGAGGACAAAGTCGGAGCGTACCTCGCATTGCTGAAGGCGTCTGTTGCTTGCGACGGTCATCGCCAGGATAGCTAGGAGGGCGAAAATCATCAAGGAGAGGAGGCGGACCTGCGCATGAAGATGCCAGTCAGCGTCATGCGTGGCGCCACGGAGGGTGGCTCGATGACTCACTCCTCTGACTTTTTGAGCGCGTTCGTCCAGCACGTCAAGCACTATGCGAGCATCGAGCTGCCGAAGGGCATTGTCTTTGTGCATGCTTGTGTCGGACTCGTAGAGCTTGCTGCCTCCCTCGTTGCCCTCTGCCCTGGTCCTGTGCAGGGTCTCCTGCCTCTCACTTCCAACAGCAGCCTCAGCAGTCTTGACCATCTCCTCCCTGAGCAAGATCAGAAGCTGTCGCGCATCCTGCTTGCGACGCTCGTCTTCCTCCGTGCGCTGCTCGGCCAAGTCGGCAAGGACGGTACGTACCGCTTGGGCCACGATGGCGGTGATGTCGACTGTGGGCACGTGAGCGAGAGGTGTCGTTGCTTGGCTGGAGTGGTTGCTGTGGGTGAAGCAAGGGGAAGCAGGAGAAGTCGAGGAGGGGCCGTTCAGCAATGTGGGTGCGGCGTTGAGTGGCGCCCCGGCAAGCTGATCTTCAGGGCCCAGGAGGACAAAAGGCTGCGAGTTATGGTGAGCCGTCTTGTCATCATCGCTGCGGTTGACCTTGATCTGACCATCCATCTCGGGGGTAGTCAGATCATGGACGCCCCTCTTGAGCTCTTGGACGTCGCCAAGGGGCAGAGGCGGATAGCTGTGGGCAAAAGCGATCGAGCTTAAGCCTGTGGATATCGAGTGTCCAAAGGTGGACGAGGATGGTAGGCTTGACCAAGTAGAGGCGGAACCGGATCCGGATGCCTTGCTGGCCATGGAAGACGGGTTGGAGGAGGTGGTAGACGAAGTGGACCCGCTGCGGGGCATGAGCGGAGTGAGGAAGAGCTCTTGTGCAGTGTCACCCAGGTGTTCACCGCAATCGTCTTGATGATGCTTGTCACTCAGGTGGTCCTGGCTGTCACCTTCGGCGACTGGACTCAAGGGCGGCAAGGCTTGTATGCCCCTCTCGGCTGGTGATGGGGTCGCCGGGATGATGTTGGTGCTCGGCAGGATGGCCGAGACGGCTTGAGCATCCTCCTCACTCTCCTCGATGCTCTTGTCCCCCGGCACTTGCATCGACTGGCTCAGGTCGAATCCCATACCAGGAGCAAGTCTACTGAGCGACGAAGAGCGCTGAGCAAGCGGGCTTGAGTTGGAGGAAGAAGATTCGCTGCCGGCGTCGCTGATACGGAAGCTTTGGTCTGAGATGAAGCCATGGTTGATACGGTGAGGGTAGAGGTTCTGCGATGTTGACATTGAGTGGGGAGGGGTTGTGGGCACCTCCGCTGCCGCTGCCGCTACGGGGGATTGAGGTAGTAGTGGCTCAGGTGGTGCGACTACACTGAGGCGCATCGATGGAGGCGAGTTGATCGAGGGCGGTGTTGACGAAGTGGGCAGGGTGGGCGAGTGAGGGGCGTCTACATCACCGGGTGAGGAAGGCGGGTTGGAGGAAGATGACGAGGCGGGCGAAGATGAGCGGGTGCAAGGCGAAGGAGGGCCCACGTCGATGGCAGCCGCGGATGGATCGTACTCGAGGTCCCAGGGGTCTACGGGGATGGTAACGGGATTAGGAGCGCTCCTCGCTGCTACGCTCATAGTAGCGTGTGAGGGGGCGGAGTGAGAGGATGGAAGGGAAGAAGCGAAAGCAACAAGTGAGGGAGCGTGAGCGCAATCAGACCGACTCGACTTGTCGGCAGACGGCGTGCGAGCCAAGTGTCGCTTGCTGAGCGGCAATCGATTGAGCGACGGGGGCACGGCCGCGGAGAAGCGCGTCGCAAGCAGGCGAGACAAGCTGACACGGGTGGGTGAGAGAGGCGGATGAGATTTTGTCATCAAGATGGATGGCGAGCATCAAAGTGGTATGTGAAGCATCAGAAGTGGTAAGGGGGAGCATTGGGCTTGACAGTCTCCCACTGCGGGCAATCGAGGGGGAACACATCAGCACCCTGGTCTCTCGATTCTCACCAGATTCGCGCAACTCACCGCCTCATCAACCGACTTGACCACATCTGCAGGCAGCGGGCCCTTTTCAAAGTCGACCAGGTTCTGTTCGATATGGGAGAGGGAGCTCGCCCCAATGATAATCCCATCCCCGTACTTGCGGTCCAGCTTGGAGTGGTGCTGCATCCAGCGGAGGGCCACCTCGGCCATGCTCAGCTTGGCCTTGTCCGCCGCGTCCGAGACGATCTTGATGGCCTGGAAATACTCGTCACGATAGTAGCGCTTGCGGTATGACTGGCCTTGGGTGCGATTGGCGTCGAAGCGTGAGCCGGACTCCACTACGTCATCAGGAGACTTGATGCGGCCCGTGAAGAAACCGCCTCCTGTCGAAGGGCGATGAAGAAGGAAAGCAAGAGGTCAGCTGTACAGGACATTACGTGCGATACGCTGGTCGCACTCACCAAGAGGGTTGTATGTGTAGTAGCTGATATTGTGCTTGCGCAGTGTCGGAATGAGCTCAGGCTCGGCCGTACGGGTGACGGCGTTGTACAAGCCCTGATAGACGGAGACCTGTCGAGCAAAGAGAAAGTCGCAGCATGTCAGCTGCGCACAGATGAAACCACTTTCTCCGACTCTGCTCGCTTACCTTGAAAGGATACTTCTTCTCCTGGATGATCTGAACAACCTTCTCAATCTCATCAACCTTAAAGTTGGAAATGCCAAATCGCTCGAACCTGCCCGCCTTGTACGCGTCATTGATCGCCTCGAGCGTCTCAGCAAAGTCGACCTCTCTGTCGGGCGCATGGAGGTAGTAGAGGTCCACCTTGTCCGTTCCCAGCGCAGTCAGCGACTCGTTGAGAGCCTCCTGGACGCCGGCTCTCGTGTGGTCGTAAGCTTTCCCGCCTACCACACCGGGAAAGCGAGCCGAAGGAAAAACCTGCGAGCGTGAGTGGTGCAAACCAGCTCAAGAGACTTCAGCGACAGCGGGCAAGGTCGAATCCCGTGGCTGGCTCACCTTAGTGGCAATGGGGAAGCCCTGCTCCTCGACCTTGAGGTTCTTGAGCATCTCCTCGCTCGAGCCTCCACCGTACGCTCGAGCGGTATCCAGCTCGCGATGTCCATGCTTCTTGAAGGTATCAAGGATCTTCTGCGCCGTCTCGAGGTCAAAGACACGGCTCTGCTCAGCACCCTCCTTGCCAAAGGTCATGCATCCTGCCGGCAAGTGAGAGAGGCGGGGGAGTCAGCGAGGGCATCGTGAGCTTGGACGCTGCCTTCACTCACCGAAGACGACCTTGATGTTAGTCTTCTCGCCAGCCATGCTGATGTCGATGATGATTGGTGCTGGAATCGATGATCGAAGTGAGGAAGAAAGGGACAAAGCTTGAAGGCACCACAAGCTCGTCATCTTACTGGGCGGCCGCCTTGTTCCTCGGAGTCGATTGCCGCTCTCGGCAACGACGGCAACGCAACGCAATGCAAAAGCGCACGGACGGCCAAAAGGATCACGCATGGATGTGGAGTCGAGCACGTAAAGGTGGGTGGGCTAGGCGGGAGGCGCGCTCTCACTCATCGAGCTACTAATGGTGCCGGGACGTCAACGCCGTGTGTACTATTCCGAGTGCAAAGAGCTGTGTACTATTCCGAGTGCAAAGAGCCAGCGAGAATCGTTGTACAGGAAAAGGGGACAGGAGGGGTACTAGCAGATGCGAGGCGTTCTACTGCAACAAACGCACACGCCCTTAGTTGATATTCGAAGGAGGGTCCTCGAGATGACCCGGGTTCTCAGCATGAGCGTTCTCAAAGTTGCGGTGGCCGCCGTGCTTCTTTCTGCCCGCGGCGAGCGACTGGGCAAACTTGGACCTGCGCCTGATCTCGGGACCCTTCGCGTAGAAGATGTAGACGGGGATACAGACGAGGATGGCCAGGAAGCCCAGCAAGGTAGAGGCCCACTCAAGGGACATGGGTCCCAGGTTCTGGTACAGCGGGGAGGCGTACATGGCGGATACACCTGCGAGGAAGTCACGGGCGAGGGCATTGCCTCCGGTGGCTGAGGCCGAGTAGGGGCCGTAGGCCGCGACCATGTAGTCGATTGTAGCCATGTAGATTGAGTAGTTGGCAATGGCAATCAGCGTCGAGAAGATCATAGGGGCGATCCAGTGGACTTGAGGGGGACCCAGGGATGTCCAAGCGAAACCAAAGAGACCAATCGGCTCGAGAGGGGCCGTGTAGAGGAGCCACCAAAGACGAGCCTCGGGCTGCAGCGCATCAGATCCCAAACTCCTGCGCACCTTGCGCTGAGCGTGGCAGATAGGCAGGAAGGACAAGAAGCCCAAGAGGTAGCCGATGTTGATGGGCACATAGGCGAGTCCGACCTGGTAAGGCTGGAAGCCCCACTGCTTGTACACATATTGGAAGGCCTCGAGGAAGGTGAAGATGAGGGCGTCGGAGAAACCAGAGAGGAGCGACATCGAAAGCACAATGGGCTCGCGGACGAACATCTCAAAGGGACGGATGATATAGTTGCCGAACTCCTTGACCGAAAGTCGGTTCTCCTTGAGCTCGTTTGGACCGTAGATGTTAGGGTGCGATCCATCCTTACGGCGGCGCTTGGCCTCGCGGTCGAGGAGAATTGTAGCACGCGTCTCGGGGACCGTAAGGAGGTGGATGATCTGAACGACACCTCCAAAGATGAGCTGTACCCAGAAGAACCAGTTGTATGTGGAGAAGTTCTGGATGAAGCCACCCACGACTGGTCCGACCGAAGTACCACCGACGGAGGACAGGACAACGTAGGCTACAGCGTACTGCTGTGCATCGACGTCGTACAAATCGGCGACCATGCCCAGTGTGACGGATCCACCGGCCGTGCAAAGACCGCCAAGACCTCGTGCGACGATCAGAGAGCCAAAGTTGGGCGCGAAGACGCCCAACAGCTGCCAGATGTTGACCAAGAAGAGGGAGATTTGGAGCACCCACTTTCGACCGAACTCCTCGGAGAAGGGCGCCCAAAGCTCTGAGCCGAAGGCGTACAGAACGAGGAAGATCATCTGCGTCGTGCGGGCTGCTTGGCTGCTGACACCGAACTTGGACGAGACCTCCTCGATGGCGTTTGGCCAGACGGATGTGTTGAAGTTCATGGACATCTGGACCGAGAAGATGACGGTGAGAATCCACCTGCAAGCGAGCGCGATCGGAATGAAAGGATGAGCTACGGCGTCGAGAAGGCAACTATTCGAGGGCGCCTACTTACCACTTCTTTGCAGTTGACCACGGGTAGGCCGTAGCGTGCCACCCAGCCTCCTCGGTCAGCTCGACCTTGCCGTCTTCCCTAGGGTTAGGCAGGGCTTCATCCGTCCCCTTCATTTTCTCCTCTGGCCTTTCCTCCATAGGCGTGACTTGCGACTGGGTCAAGGTGAGCCCCTTGCCCGTGCCGTGCTTCGTCGTATGCTTCTCGCCATTGGAGTCCTCGCCCGAGGCGTCATCGCCAGCTGCATCGTTGGCGTGTGTTTGTGACGAGTCGGAGCCAGACTCTCCCCGAGGCGTCGTGTTGTAGTCGGGTGCCTGGTGGGCAGCCACTGGCGCTGCCGCCTTCTCAGACATTTCCACCATGGTCGCTTGCGGTGTAGTTGGGTGAGTCTGCTAGATGAGTCTTGATGCGAGTCCCGTGTTGATGGTGTGGCTTGCTGACCAAGACTTATGCCGCAACCAAAGAAGACAAGACCTTTGTCGAGGATACGTTGAGGATTGTAGATGAGAGGGAAAGAAAGGATGCCAGGCTGCTCGTAGTCCAACGTCCTTCGGCGACTCAAACATACAGAGAGATGACCCAATAGCATTGTCTAGCCCGACTGAACTCACCTTCCCGCCGCTCCCGCCGCCGCCGCCGCATCGCCCGAATGCATCACTGCCTAGCGTCCAGATCGGAGCGTCACCTTGCCTTCATTCGCAATATCGGAGCACGGTCGCTGGATGCTGCTTCACTCCTCCCACGCCCCTTTCGCTGAACCCTGATTCCGCGATGGTCCAGCTCAAACGGAGCGCAAAATGCGATGAGGCGAGGGGCGGGAGAGGAGCGCGAGTCTCGTTTCCAAGGGTTCCGCTTGCGAGTGACGTCACAAGCAGCCGCCGCATCGTCGCAGCGCTCCAGCGGCGGCAGCGCAACCAATGGCGCGAAGGGATCACATCTTGCCAAGACGGCGGGTCGTAGAGCAAGCGTGCGAACAATGGGGCGAGTAGACCAGTGGACCAGTGGTAGCGACTAGCTTCCCCTCACGGCAAAGATCGTCCGATTAGCCGTCCGACCGGCCTCTTCTTCTCGTCATCATCGTGAAGGCCGTACTCTGCTAGTTCCCTACTGAGCGTCGGCCCAGCTGATCTGGATACGGCGATGCAGCAAGTTCGCTGACTGACTGCGATTGACAAGAGTAGGCTCGGACGTGACGCCCGCCCGCACCCTGAGGCTCCAATGTTGCGGTTGCGATGAGGTTGCGTGCGCTAAGACACCGAAGTCAACGTCATCCTCACCGATTTTGCTCTAGGATGAATACGCAGAGGCCCGCCAAGAAGCTTTGGAATCAGCGCGTCGAGCTACGGGTCGGTAAAGTTCATCAGAAGCCGAGCGTGGGGAGGATCGGCACAGGCAAAGGGAAGCGAATGCAGGGACACGCCTTTGGTGCGCAGAATGAGATCGGCGCTGTTGACGAGGAGAGAGCTGCTCACTCACACGAAGCGACTGCTTAGGCGAGAAGCATGTAACGATTAAGATACTGCAGACGCCAGAAAATATACGAAAACTGCACATTGGTGAGAGAGCGCTCGGCGAGCAGCATTTCTTGGTGGTGTCGACCGAACGTCATGTAGATCCACGGTCAGTGGATCCTAATAATGGCTCGACCTCGGGGGCTTGGACCATGACTACGACGCTGCAACAGGCCATTCTCTTATACAAAGTAGAGGATGTGCTTGCTGAGTAACTTTCGCCGCGTCGCCGCGGTGTAGAAGCACAGAAGTTGGTAGATGGCCGATCTGGGCGAGGTTCTCCCATTGTTGGTACTGCTCGCTGCCATGACCGGCCTTCGTGGTCCCATACGCTTGGACGAGCTTGGCGTAGGCAGCATCCTTGAGGCTGACGTTGATCGCCAGGACGTCGTCCGCCTCTTCGGCCCTGCGAGCCTGCTCAGCCGTGAGGGGCGCGTAGGTCTTGCGCTGCAGCCCTCGTGGCGCCAACTCACTGGGCTGCTCCTCGCAGTGCGCCATGATGCCCTGCAGGTCGGTCGGTCGCCATGCGTTTGGAGACATAATGGCGCTCGTACATCCTTGTGCCGGGCTGATGGCCGATGATACGGCGAGCAGTCCCCTCTGGCACGTCCGGACGGTTGAGGGCCGTCGCCACGCAGCGGCGCACCGTGTAGCAGGTGAAGGCTGGCAACCCCGCTCGTAGCGCAGCATCCGCCACGGCCCTCTCCAAAGCGCCAACCCTCCAACCCGCCACGTCATCAGCAAGCCAGCCCTCGCCGCCTTTGATGATCCGGCGGCAAACCATCTGGTCGAGCTTGTCCGCCTTGATGACGAGCTTGACCTCCTGGAGCTCGCCGCCGCTGCCGCCGTTGCTGCTAGGTGGAGCGTTGCTGTTGGAGAGCTCATCGTAGCTGGCCAAGTCGTAGAGTGTCGCGTCCTCGAAGATATCGTCCTGCAGCGCCAGGGAGAAGGCGACACGGACGGCGTCGCAGAAGAAAGGGAGCGAATGGTCCTCGTAGAGAGGCTGCGTCCTGTATGCCCCAGTGCTCCTCTGCCCCTTGAGGCTGCGAATGGTCGAGTCCATTTTGACCCGAGCGGAGCCCCTCTCAACCACGAGCCAGAAGTCGAGATCGCCCCATCGCAATCCCTCATTGACCTCCTCATACCCTCTAGCCACCGCGATCTCCCCGGGCCGGCAGCCGACGAAGGCGAGGAGAAGAACGACGAGCACCACCTGCGCCCTCTCCCGCGCACACTTCCACCGAGGAGCTTGCTGGCCAAACACGCCCTGCTCGACGAACCGGCGAATGTCCGCGAACGTCGCCCAAGCCTGGCGTTGTGTCGGCGCCAGATCCAACTCTTCTCGCAGCGTGCCGTCGAGGTACCTGTGGCACTCGATGCGCAGGCCACGGGGCACTTCATTTTGCGTCTCCGCCTTGTACGCCGAGAATGTCATAAAAAGACGATGCTCGGCGGTGGCGAACGATGCGAAGGGGGACGAGGAGGAGGCGGCGTCATTGCCGGCGGCCTGCTCGGCGGCGATATGCTTGCTGTCGCGACCGATCTTGAGGCAGCAAGCCCTGGTGAAGAGGAGCCAGAACTCGCGTGGCATTGTAGAGGCGCCAGGCTTGAGAAGTGCATCCGCTGTATGGCTGTGACCTTGCTGCCGTACCCACTTCTCGACGAAGCGGCGCAAGTACTTAAGGGAAGCGTCTTTGAGCTTTATTGTCCCAGGTGCGTAGCATTTGCCGATATCAGCTGGGTCTTCTTCGACATCAGCCCCTTGTCGTGTCGTGACAGACTTGCAGGAATGCCATGTAGGACAGGATCAACGTTGCGAACTTGGAGCAAACTGGTAGAGAGCCTGCGTCGGCCAAGCGGCGGCTGCGCCCACCCCATGGTCTGTCTTTGATCCATCCATGTAGGTGTCGACCCTGCCTGCGTGGCTCGTCACGGCCTGGTGCTCAGCGACAGCCTCGTCCTTGCCGGCTAGGATGGTGTTCAGCGGAGGTTGCCACGTCGGCGGGCGCATTGGCTGCTGTGGCTGGTTCTTGGCTGTGGTGACGGCACGGTATGCTAGCTGGCTAGTCGTCTTGGCCAAGGAACAGATGGGCACCCCTCGACGCCGTAATGTGGAGGATCCAATAGCAGAGCTCAGTTGTGAGAGATAGCCTATAGTGTCGACGAGACAATGAGTGGGCAGCGTCGCCGATACTGTCCGTTGCCGTGCTCTGGCAGACGAGGCGAAGATGATGGCTATGGGCGGGGGAACGCTGAGGCTAGATGACTGCGCGATGAGAGGTTCAGGGAGCTAGGCAAGTCTGCGCCCAGGGGCTTGATAATGAAGCTTCTGGGCGCAGGGTCTTGATGTTTGGTGCACAGTGGCTTGTTTAGCGGTTGAGGTTGAGTTAGTAGGGAGGGGTGGGTAGTTGAGCAGATGAGGGGAGAAGTGGGTGGTGCGAAGCGACCCAGGAGCTGAGAGCTCGTCTGCCCTGTTCGGCGGCCACAACAGCACAGCCCGCCAGCATCGTCGAGGAACAGCTCTTGATGGTGTGATTGGTAGAAAGTCAATGTGCGGATCGTGCCTGAACGAACGACTGATCTCCCGCGTTGGCTGCGCTCGACGCACGCCCAGACCAACACCCGTGCACGGCCCCTCGGTCCAGGTCGCCGAGCGCAATGAGCTCTTCTTCCAACTTTCGTAGCCAGGCTTCCTCGCGCTCGCATCAAGATGGTCAATGCAAAGCAGGCGACGAATGGACAGATATCATGTGTAGCTATTGGATCGAAATAAGTATGAGTCACACAGACGAGCCTGGCGGACGGAAGAATCGCCCTATCGCGACCACCGCCCGTCACGCGCTGCAGCCCACGACTAAGGCTCTAACACCTTCTTCCTTCTCCTCTCCTCATCCTCTACTTCTTCGCAAACTGCGACTCCGAGTTGTAGCCACCCATAGAAGCGGTCGAGCTTACGCCTCCTGTGACGGTCTTGAGGAGTGCATCGACGTAGTTGGCGCCGGACCAGGTCTGGTGGGTGAGGACGTCGCAGCCAATGTCCCTCTCCTTTCGCTGAATGACGCCGACGTACGCCTTCATTCCCTCGGTGGCAAACGCTCGTGCGAACTGATCGGAGATGAGCGCATTGCTGTGCAGACCGGCGAGTGTGATGAACTGCCAGACGAAGCCCAGCTTGGCCAGGTCCCAGACGTAGCTCTTCATCTGCTCCTCGCTCAGCTTGGCGGCGTCCCAGTTGAACGACGGGGACAGATTGTACGCGAGCCACTGGCCGGGGACTTGCTTGCGCACGCCCTCTGCGAACTCCTTGGCCTGGGCAAGGATGGGGCTCTTGGTCTCCATCCAGATGAGGTCGGCGTGCGGGGCAAATGCAACGGCACGGTTGACGGCGCATTGTGTTCCACCCTGATACTGGTAGTAGCCCTCGCGCGTGCGCGGGTGGTCCCAGTCCCAGAAGAAGCCAGATGAGGCGTCGACGCCGTGCTTCTTGGCGATTTGGCGAGCGACGTGGTTGGACTTGTTGGCCGCTTCGTTGAGGAAAGCCTGGACGTTGCCGCCCTTCTCGCGCAGCTTGTCAGCCACGGCGTCGGTGAAGAGGCGCAGCTTAGCCTTGGCGGTCCAGTCGCTCTCGATGGCAGCAAGAGCATCACCATTCTTTCCCTCGCGCTCGGCGCGGGTCATAACGGATACGAGGGGCTCGAGGTCGGGGTTGGTGGAGCCCAAGATGAAGGCATGGTCGCGCTCGTCGACGTTAGAGGTGATGAGGGTAGCGGCCTCAGAGTCGGTACGGGCAACGACGAGGTTCTCGACACCCATGACATCGTACTGGAAGCGAATGGCGACAAGGCGATTAATGTGCTCAGAGATGGGCACGAGCACCTTGCCTGCCATGTGACCGCACTTCTTCGTGCCAGGAGCCTGGTCCTCAATGTGAATACCAGCGGCTCCCTTCTCGACAAAGAGCTTAGTGAGCTTCATGACAGCCGTAAGACCGCCGTGTCCCGTGTCGGCGTCAGCGACGATGGGGCGAAGGTAGTCGACGGGTGCGTTCTTGGATCGCTCCTCGGGTGTCATGCGAGTACGAGCCTCGCGCTGCTTGCGGTCGTGGAAGAGCTGAGCCATGAAAAGGTGCTCGACCTTGAGGGGGACAGTGTTGTAGGGGTAGTCTGCGAGATCCGGTCCGGGCTCGTTGGTGCTCGAGGCCGTCGACGACGACTGCCAGCCAGAGACGTAGACGGTCTCGAGGTACTTGGCCATCTGCGTCACCTGAACAGGGTCGAGGGCACCGTAGGTGTGAGAGGTAGTGCCATTGCGGGCGTGGCCCTCGAGGGTGGCCCAAAGCTTCTTGGCCTGCTGGTTCGAGGGGTAGTGGAGGGGAATGGTACCGCGCTTCGAGACGACGTCGGCAGCGGTAAAGGGGCGCTTAGTGCGAGCGAAGCGTGGTGACTGCGGGCGTTGGGAAGAGACTGTGAGATCACGACCAGTTGGGAGAGCTTTGCGTTGGCCCGGCCGCGCCGACTCACCTTCCACCACTGCTCTACGGCCTGGACGTCCTGCTGGAACTGCTGTCCCTCTGCGTCGTTTGCGGATGGCATGCTGGCTACGTATCGATGCTTGTCAGGCTAGATGAGGATGACAGGGATGGTGACGAGGGAGTTGAAAAGGCGAACCTCCGTTGCTGCTCTGAGGTCTTATATTACCTGGATCGCCGTCGACCCCGTACACAGGCAGGCATCACCCATTGTCCTCGGCCGCCCGGCTCACGCCTCTCCCTGGGCCGGACCCCGCATTCGCTGCTGCAGGGCTTCCCGCGACGGTGCGGCCGTTGCTGCCTGGCCACCCTTTCACGCCTTCACGCCGTCCATTTGCCGGCCTCTGACGGAAATACAACACGTGGCACAGTCGTGAGCAATGGTCAAGTCCGTCGACGCCCGCTCGACGATACCATGGCGGCGATCGCCAGTGACGACGATTGAGACGCTCACAAAAAGCAGCAGCAAGGTGCGAGAGGAATGACGTGCGACACTGGGCAAGCTTTTGCCCACCGTTGTGAGTCAAAGACGCCAAACGCGAGTCATTATCATCGGGGACGCACACCCTGCCGAACAACGGCGGCTGATGACACAGAGCATTGAGCAGAAAGTGCAAATGACAGCTACGATCCTGTCGCGCTTGGTGAAATGTGGTCGAATTCACGACGAGGATGGTATGTGGTGGTACGCAAACGTCAGGCGTCACGGTATTTGCCAGACTAGCTGCCTCACTCTCTCCGTTCCGGTTTCGCTTTCTTCGCGCGCTGCGGACCCAACCAGCGGACTGAGTTTGGCCCTGCAAGCCGCCGCCGCCGCTGCCCACACGGCACTGCGTCCGCCCGCTTGGCCTGACTTTGAGATTCTCCCTCCCCTCGTCACTACCACCACCTTAACCTCTCCCTCACATCACAACATGGACTCCTCCAAGACCCCCGTCAAGCTTGCTCGCGTAAGTGTCTGCCAAGAGAGCACGCACACATCATCTTCTTCATCGTGATAGAGGGGCTGGCGGCACACAATTGCGGAGGGATCGAAAGTTATAGCCGCCCATGCTGGTCGAAGGACTGCGACGGTGTCGGCCTCATCGGGAGGCGATAGCACCGTCGATGTTGCTGCTATCAGCGTCTGCGCAATGGCTCAAGAGGTAGACGTATGCTCCGTCACGAGAGCGAGCAACCTCTACTGAGGCTAGACGATTTGAAGCTGGAGTTGGCAATGGGAGGATGAGGGTTGACGAGAGGCATGGAGACTGCTCCAGGCAATGCTCTCGCATTTCTAGCCAGAATACTGCGCTTGAAGAGCATCGCTCGTTGAAGCTCGTATTGCTGCTCTTCGTCGTCGTCGAGCAGCCAGATGATGATTGCTTGGTCATTCCGAACTTCTATCCCACGCATTCCCGGACATCCTCACTCACATCCATACCGCCCCTCTACCTCGCAGGTCACCAAGGTGCTCGGCCGTACCGGCTCTCGCGGTGGTGTCATCCAAGTCCGTGTCGAGCTCATGGGCCCTGAGGACGGCAACCGCTCCATGATCCGAAACGTCAAGGGCCCCGTCAAGGAGGACGACATCCTTGCTCTCCTCGAGTCGGAGCGTGAGGCTCGGTGAGTTGGCGAGGAGGCAGACGTCGTCGTCATGAAGAACAGTACAACTGACCCTAAGTACCCTCGCTCGCACCATAGCCGCTTGCGTTAAGCATCAGCCAATACCTGGCTCGGCTTTGCGCATTCTGTTTACCTTGTCTCTCAGCACACATCATCATCACGAGGCCACAAAGGGACTGCTTGTTGACAGCTCTGCGTGGTCGGCGACGGCAACACTGTCACGTCGCCACCTTCGTCTCCTTGTACAATCAACATCAACTTTGAGCCGTCCACGCTGCGAGAGTGCGAGAGAGAAAGAGAGAGAGAGGAGAGAGAGAGAGAGAGAGAGAGAAGCGAGGGGAGAGACCCCCTCACGTCGAGGCAGGCGACAGAAAGGTTACCAAGCTGTGGCATCGATCTGATCGATGGGCAGCGACGTCAACATTTCGGGCAGCGACGAGGTAGCTCAGCGATCCTCTCGTTGACGACTCTGAGCCGCGAGCCGGCTGCCTCGTCCGACGCCGCTGTGCGAACCACGGACATTCCTGCTTCGCCGCATTCGCGATCGTTCGCTCCTCCCATGGCACTGCTTGCACATCTATCCCACTCGGCACTTCTTTAAAGCGCCACTGAGTCCTCTCGGTCTCATGATGACCACCGCGACCCGACCCGTGCTCCAGCTTGCCTCCCCTGACCCTCCCTTGCCTGCCATTCTGCCGCTTACCGAGAGAGAAGGCGAGCATGCGCTGGCCTCAGACCGAGCAGAATGTCACGCCTTGCATCGCTGAACGTTGCACAATGCAACGGGACGTCCCTTGATATGCGAGCAGAAAAAGGTATCTACAGGGAAAGGGCAGTGGACGCGAGCGGGTATGATACAAAAGAAGGTAGTGCGAGGCGACTCATATCGAGCACGGGGTGAAGGGGTCAATTGATCATCTGACCACCACCCCGCTCGCGCCTACAGGAGGTCGCGACGAGGATGACCCGTGGTACATGAAGCTGCTCCTCTTTGCTGCGACATCGGCGCTGATCCTTCTCGTCACCGTGTACGGTATGTTCGCCGCTGTGGCCGCAGAGGGGGCACCAGGTCCAACCACGCTGCCCGACGGTAAGGCGAGGGAGGTGACGGCGCAAAGGCTGAGTGGCCTGAGACGGAATGAGGGGGAGAGGGGAACAGTCGGTGCTGCCGGCGGTGAGGGTGAACGAGAGATGGACGGGCTGAGGGAGGGTGAAGTGCTGCGTGGTGAAAGAGGAGCGGGATTGCTCCACTGTACCCCTGCGTCGCCGTCAAGCTCGTCGAGATACGGCGTCACTGTCTTCCTCCAGCTAAGCACATCTCCATGCCCCCTCTCCTCAATAGGCAAACTCGAAGAAGCGGGCAATCGTCCCTTCTCCTTCACAGCTACCGGGGGGCCTGGGAATCGAGCCAGCTGTTCATCCCACGGCGAGCCGAGCTGGTTAAGCAGGTCGAGCGGAGATTGCAGATCCCGCTGGACGGCAAAGGACGATGGACGGGAGTAGCTCCGATCCTTGTCCCCACGAAGAGCTGCTGGCGAAAGCGCTACGATTGTGGGGATGGGTGGTGGAGGTGAGGGAAGAGGGTAGCTGGAGGCTGGGGAAGCTGCTGCTTTCGTCCTGGCGATCGCGTCCTGTGGTGTACCGGATAGGGAAGAGGCCCACTTGCCGTGCTGCATGATGGGGCTGGTGTTGGTGCGCTTGTGCTGCCGGCGTTGGCCTCGTCGTTGCAGACTGGGCGCTGTCGTTGGGCTTGCCTCAGTGTCATTGTCACCATCGTCCTGGCCGTAGTCGTCCTCGTCGCTGGTCACGATCCCCAGCCCGGAGGGACGGCGCCCTTCCACCATGGAGGGCTCAGCACCTTCGTCCTTGTGTGGCTTCGTCTCCATGAGAAGCGGGCCGCAGGCCTCGAAGCTTGGAAGCCTTCCGCTGGTAGTCCTGTGTACATGTCCATCTGCAGCTGCGTCCTGACTGTCGTGCGAATCGTCCTGCGTGCTTACACGCCATTGCTCCTGCACGAAGCTGGTGCTGTCGCCGAGCCAGGGGGAGGAGGTGGCTCCCCGACTCGCTATGCTGGCGCTGATGCTCTGGCTCGCACTCACGCTCGCAGTGATATCGCGTGACTTCTGGTATGTCGGCGGCTGCTTGCGCCGTTGTCTTCTCGCGCGGGCAACACTGGAGAGGGCGGCGGCTGTACTGACGGTTGCTGATGCCTTTGGTGGGGCTTGCTGCGAGAGGGCGACCAACTCGAGCGTGGAGAGGTCGCCATCAACAGCGTCGCCTTGTTGCTTGTTACCCCCGGGCGGTGAGCAGGGCAAGAGGGTGTGATGGAAGTCGGACATGAAAGGTGCGGTCGTGTCGACTGGTTCCCCATCGAGGATGAGAGCCGCGGAAGCCACCTGATGTGCGGAGGTTGGTTGCAGTACAGTCGCTGCGGAGGTTGTAGTAGCGGCCTGCTTGCCTTGATGCTGCGCTGCATCCTCGGGGGCCATGACAGAGGTAGCAGCCGTCTCTCCCGCTGAGGACCGCCCGCCCAGACTCGAATCACTTGGTCGCGAGCTGAGCGCCTCTCTTGTTGCTGTCGTGCTCTCGCTCGTCGACGACAGGAAGGCTGACGTTGAGCGCTGCATAGCTGGTAAGATGGGTAGATATGGTGACGGTGTCGGTAGAGACGGAGGCTCACTCGTGGACAGAGTGTTCTTGATGTGATGAAGGTCCGAGCCGCTTGGTGGTAGGTCCAGCGCTTGTGTAAGGCCGCGCAGGCAGTTGGTCGTGAATGACGAGTGTGGGTCGTACTGGATGGACGCCTGACGTGGGGGAATGATGCTACTTCGCCACTCGTCTTGATGATACTGCCTTGGCGCGACCCCATTGAGTGAAGCATTGGAATACGCCGAGGCCAGCGGCCCTAGTGTCTGCGAGATCGGCAAGGGAGCGACTGCAAAGGACGCAGAAGAGGCGAGGTTGCCAATATCTTCTTCGTTGTAGCATGTTGGGTTGACTGCTGGTGAGGTGGAGAAGCGTACGGCTGAGCTGTTGGACTTGTGGCGGGGGAGCAGGTGTCGCTCGCTACGGCGACGAAGTTGATGCCAGCGATAGAGGAGGACAGAGCCGATGAGGGCTGCTGCGAGGAAGAGGGAGCCGATGGTGATGAGTGCGACTGAGGCGGGCGAGAGCGATGATGGAGCAGCCGAAGCGTCTTCTGGCGCTCTAGCATTGAGCAGGTGTGGTAAGGGTGCCATCTCGAGCAAGGTTAGCAACGAGCGCGAAAATGGTAGATGGAGCAGGAAGGAAGAGTTGATGGTAGCAATGACAAGGGTCAGCCTTCGCTCTCACACCGCTGCCTGTCATCTTTCTGTATATTCCGCTCCATTGGCGGCATCCTTGCCTGTCTGTCAGTCAGTCAGCCCATCGCTGCTCGAATTGGATAGTGTTGGACCCATAGAATCGGATTGGTCGAGAGTGAGATGCACACGGCGGAGAGCAAGGAGGCTGGCGCGTTCGGCAAGGCGACTCGACAGTTGAACCCTCGAGTGCAGACCAACCTCGCTGCTGCCAGTCCACTCCCGTCCGTGCTCCCCGTCGATGGTCGTGCAAGGAGGCGGGCACGCTACAACGAGGTCAAGACAGGGTCGAGCATGTGCAGCGAGATCCATGACTACCACCACTAGCTTGCCGTCGGTCTGAGCTGCAATTTTTGGCAGCACACAGTGCCATCGCTGTTCATCAATGCGCCTTGAGCGAGGCGTGGAGAGCAGCAGCGTGGAGCAGCCCCTCTCTCCAGGCCCGTTCCGTCCTGGACACGCTCTCGTCTGTCTGTCTGTGATGTGAGCCTCAGGGCAAATTTCTGGTCCGCTTGACGGCAGTAGCGACTCGACTCGACACTCCACTCTGACTTCTTCTCAACGTCAACGCATAGAAGGCATTCAAGATGGTGAGTAGTCAAGACACACCACTCTCACTACATTGCAGCACACTGACCTCTTCTTGTTTTCACGTGGTAGCCCCTGCCCTCTTCAAAGAAGAATGTAGGCCTCGGCCACGCCATCATCAACCGAGTCTCTCGCGACGCCAAGTCACGCCCCCGCTCAGAGTTCCACACAACGGACGTCTCCTCCTCTTCAAAGCACGGCCTCGCCTCAGTCACTCAACAAGGAGATCTCGAGGAATTCCTGAATACGGCTCAGCTGGCCGAGCAGGACTTCACCGCCGAACGTAGAAATGTTACCGTTGTGCAGGCTCCGAGCAACGCGAGGGGAGCAGCCAGCCGGAGGGGGGAGAACCCTTTCCTCCTCGGTGGACACGACGAGGCTGTCACACTTCAGCGTCAACGAGAGAACAAGCAGCGACTCCGCGTCCCCCGACGTCCGGCTTGGGACGCCAAGACCACTCCCGCAGAGCTGAACAGGAGGGAGAAGGATTCTTTCCTCGAGTGGCGCAGGAACCTCGCGCAGCTCACTGATGCGCAACATTTCATCCTTACGCCCTTCGAGCGCAACATTGAGGTGTGGAGACAGCTCTGGCGAGTATTGGAGCGCAGTCACCTTGTGGTGCAAATTGTCGACGCAAGGAACCCACTCAAGTTCAGGTGCGAGGATTTGGAGAGATACGTCGAGCAGCTGGGCGTGGTGAGCAAGGAGGGATTGAGCTATGTAGGTGGAGAGGGGAGTAGCGGAATGGGCCCGAGGCGGAACCTGCTACTCATCAACAAGGCGGATCTGCTGGACGAGGGGCAGAGGAAGACGTGGGCAAAGTGGTTCGACGAGCGAGGCATCCGTTACGCCTTCTTCAGTGCGGCGAATGCAGCGGCGGTCCAGGCGGCAGCTGCGGCCGCTGAAGCCGAGCAGGAAGCCAAGGAAGCGGAAGACGAAGAACAAGGAGACGAGAACGACGTTGAGGAAGCCGAAAGCGAGGACGACGAGGACGTCGCAGAGTCAGGCGACGAGGACGCTAAGCTCTCTGAGGCAGTGCAAGCCGCACACCTCGCCAAGCCTCTCGTAGGCTCCGAGCCTGCGACCGTAGCTCGTGAGACAGCTTCCGCCGGCCACCAGTCCACCCTCAGCGAGGCAGTCGACGAGGCTACCACCACGCACTCGGCGGCGGCCCCCTCTCACTCGCAAGCCGACCCCACCCGGGTCCTCAACGTTCTTGAGCTCGAAGAACTCTTCATGGCCTCCGCTCCACCTCTGAGCGACTTTCACAGCAGTGCAACAAATGGCACTCCCTCGCACCTCACAGTCGGCCTTGTCGGTTACCCCAACGTAGGCAAGTCTTCAACAATCAACGCACTGCTCGGCTCCAAGAAGGTGTCCGTCTCCTCCACGCCCGGTAAGACGAAGCACTTCCAAACCCTCCCCTTCAGCGACCGTGTCACTCTCTGCGACTGTCCTGGTCTAGTATTCCCGCAGTTTGCTACGAGCACCGGGGAGCTGATCGTGGATGGTGTGCTGCCCATTGATCAGATGAGGGAATACACTGCCCCTGCTGAGCTTGTGGCTAGGAGGGTGCCAAAGGACGTGTTGGAGGGCTTCTACGGAGTGAGGATCCAGACGCTGGAGGTCGAAGAGGGAGGGACGGGCAGGCCGACCGGATTGGAGGTGCTGACGAGCTACGCTGTTGCGAGGTGAGTGGGCGCGGCGTACGCAGCGGGCAACACGATTGGACGTACGACTGACGACCCTCCTTCCCGCGATCTCTCGCAGAGGTTTCGTCCGTCAAGGTCAAGGAAACCCAGACGAGTCCCGTGCAGCCCGTTACGTGCTCAAAGACTACGTCAACGCTCGCCTTCTGTACTGCAACCCGCCACCAGGCGTAGACGAAGACGAATTCAATGCAGCACAGCGTCAGCGTGCCCGCGAAGCCCTCAAGGGCAGGCGATACGACCCACTCAAGGCCGAAGATGAAGACGCCAGCGGCACAGCCAACGCAGCTCCTGTGGCTCGAATTGGCGCCAAGTCCCGAGCACTGGATGCCGCCTTCTTCTCGACTGGTCAGGATGGTGGGGCTAGGGCGAAAGGGAGGAAAGGTCAGCCGGGCAGCGGTGTCGTTTCAGGGAGGGTGGGGGCGGATGGTAAGCCCGTGAGCAGGGCAGAGGCGGCCGCTGCGCAGGGGATGGCGGCTGGTGCTTCAGGCGGGAAGAAGCATTTCAAGAAGAAGCAGGGCAAGGTCAGGTATGCGGGAGTCACCAATGAGTGGACGGGGGCTCCGTAGAGTGCGTGTCTAGTGGGTATAATTGCAAGATGATCACATGCAATGCCGTGTTGCTCTATGTGCGCCTTCTTGACTAGGCAAAATGTACCCCTCTGCGATGGAAGGCCGCGAGTAGTCTAAGCAAGTCATCTACATCCATCTGCGCCGCCCTCTTCTCAGCATAATCGGTATCCTCGTTGAGCACCTTCCTCAGCAAATCGTCGAAAGTCTCTCCCTTGTCCAATACAGTGCCCCTCTGAGAAGCCACTGTCCTCCAATTCTGCTCCAGCATCTCCCTCACCCCCTTTGCCTCAAAGCTTGCCCTGACCATCCTATTCCTCCTACTGAACAGAACACGATTCATCCCGTCGAATTCCTCGAACTCCACATTGGGAGGTGGGTTCAAAGGTACGATGCGTACGACGCTAGACTCGACTTGAGGTGGGGGACGGAAGGAGTTGCGAGAAACCTTCATTACGTGGTCGACTTTGCTGTACAGCTGGACGTTGGCTGATAGGCGACACCAGAGGGAGGAACCTGGTCGGGCGACCAAGCGCAGAGCGAACTCGCGTTGGAACATAAGAATTGCGCAGCGCGGCAATGGGCGGTGTGAGAGAAGTTTGAAGACGATGGGCGATGAGATCTACGAGTGCGAGAGGTAGAGAGAGAGAGAGGAGGTGAGTGAGTGAGTCGGCGATGAGATGGTGGTGAGGAGAGGGCTCACTTGGTATGGGGTGTTCGAGATGCAGACGTCGAAGTAGGGTAGATCGACCTTACAAAAGTCGCCTAGCACAATGTCCAACTTCTTTCTCTCGGGCGTGCCCGCCACCCTCTTGTGCAGCTCAGCCGCCATCCTCGGGTCCATTTCCACTACCGTCGTCTTCTTTGCCTTCTCCAATATCCTCACTGTCAAGTTTCCCGTACCGGGTCCCACCTCGAGGACGGTATCGGTGGGCTTAAGAGCAGCACGATCAACGATGTGCTGGGCGACGAGCGGATTTTTGAGGATGTGCTGCCCGAAACGGTCGGTGTTGAAGATGGGATTGCCGGCATTTGAGGAGCCAGAGGCATCTTTGGACGAGGAGCTGCCACTACCGCTGCCATTGGTGGCCGAGCGGGATGATTGACCGGGCTTGGCGGCTGCGGAGTGGATTGAGATGAGCTTATCGGATACTGCGCGGGGCATGGTGGGCGACGAGTGACGTTGAGGAGAGGAGGGTTGATGGAGAAGAGCCAATAGGCGGGCGGACGGACACACGGACGGAAACGCGACCAAAATTTGGCGGGGAGACGACAAGGCGGCAGCCACGCCACGCGAGTCGAGACAAGACGACAGTGATTGTATGCTATATGCTATTCACGTTCGCCGCCCAGCGTTGATATTTCACCCACTGATACTGATCCTGCAACGTCAACGATCGAGTAGAATCCCCGTACAGCTCAATAATGCCTCCCTCTCCCTCTTCTCCGCAAATCCACACCCAGCCCACCTGATCTTCCCCTCTGGCCCAACCAAGTACGTGTACCCTACGTGCTTGTTGTGCACATTGAGATCCTCACGATGAATTCCACTTGCACTCGGTGAGTCCAGATCCAGCTTGGAGAGGAGATAGGTGTCATGCAGAGCCTCGGGCACTTGCGAGCGGACAGAGGAGAGGAAGAGGGAGATGAGGTAGTGCTTGAGCAGATTGGGTTGAAGGTTGAGCTGGATCAGTTGGAAGCGAGGGTTGGAGCCGTACAGATCCAGTGTCGGCTCGTAGAAGGACTTGCTATGCTCCTGTCGCAGGGTGAAGATCAGGGAAGACGATCAGCTCTCAGCTTAGACCTGGCGTCTGTCGGACTCGCCCGACTCACCTCCGAAATCTTCGAAGTCAAGAGCGTGACCACGCTAACTTTGCCCTCGCACATATCCAGCGTACTTTTCTTCCTCTTATCCTTGAGACAAGTCCCCTCGACGTTTGGGAGCCATCTCGCTCGATCGCTCCTTATGAGGGTATTGGGCGCCCTCCACGTCTTCCCTCCATGAGAGCGCAGCGAGTGAAAGTCGTGAAAGTACCCCTGCGTAGCAGATTGTACAAGACGACGACGTTCTTCTGCTCTACCGGACTCGAGATAGGTTTTGGCTCGTTCTGAACTGCTCTTGGCGGGCGTATGACGGGTGGGCTTGGTTGCTACGCCTAGTGGACGATCCAGCCAGGGTAGTGGGAGCTTGTCCTGCTCCGAGGAGTAGTGAGATTGAGAGGTTGAGAATATGGGCTGCTCTTGCGCTGACGTCGATGATGAGGATTGGGAAGGAGGTGTTGATTGAGACGGTGGAGGAGGCTTGGGCGCAGCTTCAGAAGAAGAAGAGGAAGGCTGTGCTGCTGCGCGGCTCTTGGGCTCGTCGCTCGAGAAGCGCACGAGTGGCAGCCGTGATGGGCCAGCTACAGCTTGCGTGCTTGAGCCCAAGAGGCAGCGATGAGCACCTGTACGGAGCATGGCTGCTTCTGCGATTGGCTTTGACTTGTTCTTGAAGTGACTGTGTTGCGAAGCTCTCGTCTCACCTTGCAAAGCGGACTGGCCGGCTTGAGCGTTGAGCGGTGAGCGGAAGGAGCGCCCGCCGGCCGCGGCTCAATCCAATGGCGCCACGGTCAGGCCACCAGAGGCTCATGAGCGACGTGCGAAGCTGGCAATGGCATCTTTGAATCAGGATGACGGCATCTTCTCACACTGAAGCCTTCTCTCAACCATCAAGGGAATCCGAGCATCCAAGCGTAGCACCGGCGACCAAAAAGCAGAACTCCGGAGGCTCGCGCGCTCGTTTCTATTAATCGCAGCCGACCTCGTCGTCGTGCCACGGAAGACAGGGGCGCTTAACGCATAACATTGCGTCCTCTTCTTCCTCTCACCGGGCTCGGTACACTCCCGAGCTATTCTATTCTACGGCGCTTCGGACAACCGATGGACGTAAAATAGCCTTCGATGATGCCCAATCGGACGCAGGCAGCTCACACGCTGCGCCGTCAATATCATGATGCCCCTCTGCCTCTCTACGTGCCATTGGCGTCGTCAAGAACCCGCGTGCGAATTGCTCTCAAGCGGAGATCCGGAGCAACAGACCATGACACCCCCAACGACTAGCGGACTCTTCTCGAAGGGACGAATCGCTAGCGAATCAAGCTGCTACTCAGCCGGGGCTTACAACGGGCTACAGATGGCCTCATTGTGGTCTGTATGCGAGGGCACGGCCCCCCTTTAGCGTTGCCATTCGATATAGTGGTGATGATGGCGGGAGCGGAGCCCAACGGGCACCGTAGCTCAAGTAGCAGCCTGCGAAATGGACCCCTAGCTGCCTGATGCTGCGAAGCGATGCTGCCGCTCTCTATTTTCGCCCGCCCCGCCGGGTGCGCTGCGCCACGCACTACTCTACTCACCTGTCGTCTTTGGATACGCCCGCATAGCTCTGCAGCAGCAGCGGCCGGGCAGCCTGGACGTTGGAGTCGAGACCGGGGCTCAATTTCTGCCTTGTGAGACAGGGCCAGGGCCGGCCAGGCGCAAGGCAGCGCACCAACGCCTCGGACTAGCCGGCGGATCCCCGTGCGAACGATTGAGAAAGAGCAGAGGCGGGGGCGTGGCGACGAGGACGAGAGGGATCAGGGATGGATCGGTGCCTTTCTATCTCACCTTCCCTCTTCATCAACAACATCCTTTCTCGTATCCTTTACCTCACGGCACGCATCGCAGGTCGCTGCGATCCCACGATACCACTGCGAGATCTCCTTTCCTCCACCTCCTCGCAATCTCGCCTCAAGCTCCCAGGTTCACCACCCGTCTCATCGAAGTCTCAGGGAGTCGCTGGTCTCACATTGCTCACCAGCAGCCAGCGGTTGACCTGGCTCGTGGGTGTTGTCTCTTCATCCTACTCTTGATACCACCTCTTCCTCTCTCTTCTCGTTTTTCTCCACACGTCAATACCCCAGATATCGCCACCATGCGCTCTTCATCCTCAACGGCATCATCACGACGCAGCTCTCACGGGCGCGCCCTTCTCGGACTCCTTATCATCGCTCTCCTCGCCACGCTCAGCAATGCGGCCCCTACCCAGCCAGGTGGCAATGTGATCATCGCTGGCGTCGGTCAGCTTGAGCCAGCACTCGCAGGCGAGGCCTCTTCACTACCAGCAACGCAGCAGCCCCTCGAGCGATCTCATCACGAATCACGGTCCGCCCAATTTGTCAAGCGAGGGATGACAGAGAACGCCGTTCTAGGAGCGAGGACGTTCTCCTCTGGAGGGATGGGATCGTCGAGATCACGCGTCGGCAGACCGAGATTGATGCCCTTCCCCGCGTTGGATGAGCCGATTAGACGAGTGGGCGGTCTGATGGAGGCTGTCAGGACAAGGGGATATTAAGAAGCTCAGAGACTGCGGAAATGATGTTCAAGTGGGAGGGTTCGCTGCGTTATGCTGTTTTGACAGATTTCACCGCGGTACGGCGTTCGCCGCTCGCGAAGGAGCCAGCTTAGCCGCCGGCGATGGGGCAGCGGGGGACTCTCGTGGCGAGCAAAGGCTGCGTCCTCTTGCTCTTTTCCACGCGATATTGCCTCTGCCTTGCGGATCACTCCCCAACACCAGCTCTGATTCAAATGCTCCGTCTGCAAGATCCTGGATCGGCATGTTCAGCATCCCCTCTCCTTGCCTACGGACAAAGTTCATGGCCACGACTCATGAAACGTGCTTCCCTGCGTCGTTTGCGCAGGATCATCCCTTCGACCCTATGGACAGTAGACTCAACCTCACATCGCTATTCAAGGCTCAATGCCTATCCCTCCTCCTACCAAATAGACCTCTTCTCCCCCACTCACCTCCTCGGATTCCCTCGCCTCGCCAACTACATATTGTCACCTTTGCTCCCATTCTATTCTCAGTTTACTGCCGCTTCCCACATTCCACCTTGTACGTAGCCCTCCTTGCCTCAGTCAATATCCCCTCTCCTACTCGTATGTTACCCCACGTCTGACGTGTCGAGCGAAGTCAATGGCACGCACGTCGTGCCTCTCCTGAACGTCTCCTCATTGTCTCTCTTCGTGAAGCGATCGCTGCAGTGATGAGAATACACGAAGTGACAAAGATTCAAAGGTGATGCATATTCAACGAGCCTGAAGTCCGGTCAAGCGAAGAATGATTGCATGACATCGCGTCGTCGCAGCCAGCAGGGCAGGGGCAGCAGGTAGCCTAGGCTGAAGCTAAACAGCAGCCCACTCTCTCCTCCCACTCTCTGCCCCGCTTGCCCTCAACTTGCCCGCAACCTCCTCCCACTCGTCTCCAAAAGGATCCGCATCGTCCTCACCCTCTTGATTGAGATCCTCATCCTCTTCGCCGCGGATCCATCGCTCCTCGTCCTCCTTACTCCAGAGGCTGGACGTCTCCTCGCCAATTCGCGGGCGATGAGATTGACGCCAGGATTCCAGCTCGGCACCGTGGTCGAGGCGAACGACGGAGGATGAGCCGGAGTGGGTGGTGCCGGCGATGGCGCTGCTGCGTGGTGGGGCGAGACTAGATCGCGGCGGCTCCTCGTCTTCTGATGAGTCGTAATCGCTGTAGTCTGAAAGGCTCCCACCACCTCTGCCTGATCCACTGCCCGCAGCTGTAGACGAAGTCGCTGCAGCGCTCCCACTACCCCTCTGCGGTCGCAGACTCGGCCCAGCGCTCACGCTACTTTGTGTCTCATCGAAGTCCAAGTCCAGCAGATCCTTCATCGCCTCGCCTGGCTCGGCGCGTCGTGAGTTGTGCCTGGCGATACCTCTACGTTGCTTAAATTGGAGCTTTTCGATTTCGCCCTCCCAATCGTCACCACCAGCACCCGCAGCACCACTGGCGCCTGATGCAGGAGCGAAGTCGGCGTCGGCTAGTCTTTGACGGACAGCTTCAATTTCTGCGTCCTCTGCTGCAGCCTTCTCCTCTGCAGTCATTCTATGCCCGGGCGCGTCGACCAACTGGCTTCTCTTGGCCCCTCCTGCTCCTTCATCCTCCGAGTCCGAGTTGTCGGGCTTGCTCAACTTATCGTAAAGCTGCAGCGCGATCACAATGCGCTCGTTGGCCTCGATGAGGGCACCGACCATCTCCTCGTCCTGAACCAGCTGAATGTAGCGTACCAGCTGCTTGCGTTCAGTCTTGACACGTTCGAGAGAAGTCTGGACGCGTGAGTTGGAAGAGACCGACTCGCGTTCGCGATTGACGTGCTGCAGGGCGTTGACGAGGTTGGTGCATGATCGGGAGGAGACGGCGAGGTGGTTGAGGATTTGAGGCTTTTCTCTACAGGCGGACGTGAGTGGAGGAGAGAACAGTAAGCTCGTCTTGCCTCGTGACCTTCCCAAACCTCGAGCGCTACCCACTGCTCGTAATTGAATCGTCGCACCTGCCCACGATTCTTGCCTCCCTTTCCCTTCTTCTTATCCTCCTCCTTCTGCATCTTCTCTGCCGTCTTCCTATCCATTCTGATTTGCATATCTCTCCTTCGCTGCTCGTCCTGCTTGCGATAAAGCTCCTCTGCCTCGCTCCTCTTCCTCTCTGCCTCTCGCTGCTGTCTCTCCCTCCCACCTCCGCACGCTGCATACAGGCCAGAGGCAACGCGCATGGTCGGTTCACGAGAGTAGGTCTGTTGCCAGCTCAGAAGCAGACGCATGAGCTTGCGCCGTACTGAGGCGTCGACAAGAGGGTCGGCTGCAGTGAGCTTGATCTGTTGTACCAGCCGCTCATCGGCAAAGGTGGTCTGGAAGCGTGGACCACAGTTCTCCACCAGGGCACCTAGGATGGTAAGGGCACGCTTTTGGCCGTGGACGCTACCATACTTGAGCTTCTTGCGAGTGCAACGGGCTGCTTCTGCTGGTCCAGAGGACTGGAGGTTGATTGATTCGACAAGCTCGGGAATGCTGTGTGGGAGAGGTGGGAGTGAGGCAGTGGGTGTGTCAGTAGATGGGACTGCGATGTTGTCTCTTTGGTACGCACCCTTCGTAGTCATCCTCCTTGTAGGTGTTGCTGGTGAGGCGGTCGAACCAGACGCTCACACTGCTGAAGGGCTTGGCACCCGATAGGGCTTCGTTGACAGACTGCGGTGGTGTGGAGATAGAGCGAGCGGAGACTGGTGAATGTATGCTCTCATAGTACCATCCTCCTGCCTGTTTGGCCTCACCTTGAGCCTGTCCATGGTGACGCCTTGAGTTGATCACGATAGCGAATGTGATGTGGTAAGGAGCAAGGAAGCGATATCGTCGTCGGGGGATGGCCGAGTGGGGAAGGAGGCAGGCAGGGTCCGCTCAACCAAGCGCTTGAGCCGGCATCATTGCCTTCGGGCTGGCGGCCAGGCCACCGACCGGCCCTCTCGCAGTCCGCCCAATGTCGCTTGTCATCGCGCATCCAGCCACACCAAAGAGGCGCCGAGCGGAGAAAGCGAGCGTGCTCGAGCCATGCCGACTAAGATTTGCCAGGAATCCGCGGAGAGGCTTCTTCCCTTTCCGCCATCATTCAAAAGCTCAGAGATTGACTCGATGCCATCGGCTTTCAAGCGTGGACCGAGGACCATACCACAGGCCAACACGCCGTCGACTGCATCTGCGCCAAGTACAGATGCTCCAAGCTCATCGACAGGTCAATCTGCGCCGGTAGCAGGGAGCAGCACACCGACCTTGAGCACCCGCCCAACGACCCATCCAACCCTCCGGCCCTCACCCTTCCCTCAACAGCTCCCCCTTCCACTCTTCTCCCTAGGTCTTCACGCCATCAACGATGTCTTCACCGGTGTAGGCCTGCCCTCTGCTTCCCTCGCCCTCTTCCTTCCACACCAAGACCCATCCAGCGGACGGGATGATGAGGATGAACGAATGCGAGTCGGAGCGGCGCAAGCTTATGCTGACCTGCTGAGCAAATACGCTGCTGCACAGGGACTGGCAGCGGGTCAGAGGGTGCTGATCATCGGCGAAGGGGTCGAAAGCTGGACACAGGGACTGATGGGATGGGCTGAAATGGATGAGGACATTGGAGCGTCGAAAGGGGAGTCCTCGTCATCGTCGCAGCCACCACCAGCAGAGCCTTCAAAAGCAACTCCGGTGGCTACACCGGCCGCGCCTGATGAGGAGAAGCTCAAGGTTGCCTTTCGCTACGAGCGACTCAAGCGCATTAATGATGGGGCGACCGATCGCGAGTCTTCCTCGTCCAGCTCGACTTCCTCGCAGCCCTTTGTCCACCCATTCGACCTTTCGACACGCATCTCACCTCTCGTGCTGCAAAAGGCAAAGAGCGAAGGAAGGCTGGTGGTGCATGATGTTGCTGAGGATGTTGACGAGGAGGAACATTCCAACACATACGAAGAGGTCTGGGGGTTGGTCCGGTCCACCGTCGAGCGCTGGAGGCAGTCATCGTCGACGGGCGAAGAGGACATGAACAGCTCACTGCCAGCACGCATCCTCCTCCCCTCGTTGGGATCACCATCGTGGAGCGTCCCTCCCGAACGGAGCCACGCCGGAGAGGCATACCGTCTTCTGCTTCGGATCAAAGGCCTGCTGCGACAGACGGCATGGCCTTCCGCCTCATCATCTGCGTCCGCAATGCAGCCACCAATACCGATAATTGCCATCTCCTCACCCTCAACTTGGCTGCTGCTGCCATCGCCTATCGGCAGCGCCGCAGCAGACGTGGCCCATCGCCTCTCCTCACTAGCGGACGGCGCCCTCACTCTCTCCTCCTTCTCTTCCGACCCACGAACACGCTCCCTCTCCGACTCCACTTCCATCCCTTCCACTTCCTCCCCCTCGCCAACCCTTTTCACCGGTGCCCTCCGTGTTCTTCGTACGCCCGCGCTGGGATCACTTCGCGGACCCTCCATTCGCGCCTCAGCATTAAGGGGAATGGGCGGAGGAGAGGAATCCGGTGGAGGGGCGGGCAGCAGTGAGAATGCTCTTGGGTTCAGAGTGAGAAGGAAGGGGGTCAAAGTCGAGGTCATGGGGAGGGATTTGGTCGCTGGAGGCGAGCCGAGCGGAGGAGGTGGTGATCGAAAAACCGAAAGGAAGACGCAGTCGGGTGAGGGTGGAAAGGTCAAGCAGGCGGGAGCAGAGGGGGCAGGGAAGAACAAGACTACAGCGGTACCGAAGGCAGCCTCGCCGTCGGTGAGCGTGGGGATCGAGGCTTCATCACCACCGAAACAGCCAACCGCTGCAGCAGCAGGAACAGCTTCAACTCCCCCGCAGCCCGCCACCGCTCCAGCTCGTGCACCCCTGAAAGGTCTCGCAGCGCTACGGGCTCGTGGGCTTGAGGCGCAGCAAGGCCAGGAGACTAAACCCTCACCGAAAGCTCAGCATGGAGGGCCGCATGGCTCGCACGATTGGTGATGATGGTAGGGGACTTGAAATGGAATGCACGATCACACTGGGGCAGTCATACAGATGTCTAAGTCGTGTGTGATTGATGAACGGAGAGTGACGAGATAGCTAGCTAACGAGGCCGCAAATGGCCCTCGACGGTGAGAGAAACAGGAGGAAGAGAAGTTGAAACCTCACGACTCTTGCGGCTTCTTGGGCGATGCCTCTGCTGACTGAGCAGGCGCCTCAGATGCTGGCGCTACCGAAGATTGCTGAGCCATGCTCGCCCGCTTCTTCTTCGGTGGAGGAGCACTGCCATTTGCGCCATCAGCGAGTGGTGCAGCTGTGGAGGAAGCGGTATCGCCAACTTTATCCGCGCCATCTGCTTCGCCGTCACCCGTGCTGGTGCGGGGTCGCTTCTTCGATCCACTAGCAGTGGCGGGGCCGCCTTGCTCCTCATCACCAGCGGCCGGACTTCCATCTTTGGACGCTGCGGTGGCTGTCTTTTTCTTCTTGTTGGGACCCTTAGCGGTGCCGCTCGCAGCGCGCCCACTGCCTGAAGGTCGACCGCGGCCGCGTCCCCTTCCATTCCCACTGGCCGCAGGAGACGCCCTGCTCGAGTCGATCTCCTCAATCTTGGGAGTAGCAGAGGGAGGCTTTGCGCCGAAGAAATCGTCCTCATCGTCGTCTAGCGTCCAGTCCAGCAGCTTGTCCCTCGCATCTTCACCCCTCGACCGTCCTCCACACTGTGCCTGCTCCTTGTTCATCCTCCTCTTCCTGTGCATCTCCCTCGCATTATCCGCCTTGCCCTGCGCCAAGGCAGCCTCCTCCGCCTGTCTGCGCCTGAGCATCGCATCGGCAAGCTGATCGTCGTCCATGAGCAAGCTGACAATCTCCTGCGGCTTGGCGAGACCAGAGGCTTCATTGTACGTCTTGTTGCCGACGACCATGTCCTGGACCTCCTTCTTGTTGCGCGCCATCTTGATGATGCGCTCGTCGATGGTGCCCTTTGTGATCAATCTGTAGACGGTGACCTGCTTCGTCTGGCCCAGTCGGTGGGCGCGGTCCATCGCCTGCTGGTCATTCGACGGGTTCCAATCAGAGTCGAAGAAGATGACGGTGTCCGCTGCAGTCAAGTTGATTCCCAGTCCACCAGCGCGAGTAGAGAGAAGGAAGACGAACAGCTCCGGCTTGGTCTGCCAGTCAGTGACCATATCTCTCCTGTCGGAGATCTTGGAGCTACCATCGAGACGCAGGTACTTGTACTGCCGGTAGATCAAGTACTCCTCCATGAGGTCGATCATCTTTGTCATCTGGAAGTAGATCAAGACGCGATGGTCGTTCGCCTTGAGCTCGCGCAGGAGACGGTCAAGGTGGGCGAGCTTGCTCGAGTCGATGATCAGCTTGTTGATCTGAGGTACGGTCATCTGAGCTGCGGGAAGCTGGTCGACGGAGGACTCGGCGAGGACACCTCGAGGCGGCAGGCCAGGCAACGGGACGCGCAATGCCTCGACGAGGTCTTCGCGCTCGCATCCTGGTGGGGGCACGCCGTAGAGCATGCTGGAGACGAGATGGTCGCGACGTTGACGCTCTTGTTCGGCTTCGAAAGGCCCATCATCCGCGTAGAGGCGGACCGGAGGCGCGATAGCTGGTCCTTGCCAGACACGAGCTTCGGGATTGGCGAGCGGTGAGGCTTGCACGTAGGCTTGGCGGACGTCGGTCAGCGGCGGCAGTGATGCTGCGGAGTCGATTGGTCCGATCTCAGCGGCACGAGGCGAGACGCGGGCGAAGGGGCGCACGGAGCTGGCAGCGAAGTCATTGTCGCAGAGGTAGGGCTCCAAAGCCGCCAGTCTGTCCTCGCGATGGATGTTCTCGATGATTTGTTGCGCCGTGTGACCGTGGAAGGCAGTCTCGGCCTGCTTGGGCGAGACGTCGACGAGCGGCAGCGCATCGAAGGCAGATCCATCTCGCTGCAATTCCTTGGCGATGTGCCCTGCTCGCCAGATGTTGAAGAGCCCATCGAGGTACTTGGTCTCGAAGCCAGCCTCGGTGTGCGGGCCAGGTCGTTTGATGAGGCCTCCCTCGCGCACAAAGAGCTTGGGCAGCCTCATCTCGATAGCGCTCGTTGCTGAATCGGGGCAGTAGAGCTGGTCACCCTCGCGCGAGAAAGTGCCAGAGCGCGAAAAGTTGCCAAAATGAACCGGCGCTGTAACGTCTGCCCTCTCAAACAGCTCTGGGTGATTGCACACCTTGCGAAACTGCATGACCAAGTTCATGAGATGCTTGAGGCCGGCCTCGTCGTGCAGGTTGGACGCTCTGTCCATCAGCTCAGCGATGGATACGTTCTCCCTTAGACCGCGGTAGAGCATCTTCTGCCTCGCGCTCATCTCGCACATGACGTCAATCTCGATTTTGTCTCCCAGCTCGTTCTGGACGTTCTTCTTGATACGACGCAGCATGAAAGGTTTGAGGATCATGTGCAGGCGGCGCAGCTGGCCTTCGTTGAGCGTGCCCTTGTTCTCTGCGTGGCCTTCGATGTCCTTGGAGAACCACTCGCTGAATTCATCGTGCGAGTCGAAGAGTGAGGGCATGATAAAGTGGAGGAGAGCCCATAGCTCTTGCATCGAGTTCTGCACGGGCGTACCCGTGAGGAGCAGGCGATTGCGGCAGTTGAAGCTCAGCAGTGTCCTCCAACGGGTACTCTGTGATGACTTGATAGCCTGAGCCTCGTCCAGGATCATGTACTGCCACTTGATGCGCTTGAAGTACTTCTCGTCCGTCACGACGAGCTGGTAGCTGGTGACGAGGACGTGGAAGGGCGAATCGCGATTGTATGACATGTGCTTCTTGTTCCAAAACTTGCGCAAGATGTTGCGATCTTTGACATTGCCCCAGTATGGCAGGGCCTTGAGGGCTGGCGTGAAGCGGCTGATCTCCTGCTGCCAGTTGTGCAATGTCGAAGAAGGCGCGATGACGAGGAAAGGACCCCAGATGTCGTGAACCTCGGCGAGATAGGACATGAGCGAGATACTCTGCACCGTCTTGCCCAGACCCATCTCGTCTGCGAGGATACCGTTGATGCCTTGCTCGTAGAGGTTGGCCAGCCAGTTGAGACCTTTGAGTTGGTACTCTTTGAGCTGGCAGGTGAGCATCTTGGGCTGTGTGACGTTCATCTGGCCCATCGAAGTTGGGTTCTGGAAGTTCATGTCATCCGAGTCGAAAGCCTTGCCCAGATCTTTCTCTTCGATGCGCTTCTCGCTCGTCGATGCCGCTGCGTCCTCGCCTTCACCGCCTTGCATCTCTTTAATCTTGCGGCGCTCCTCTTCAGCGACGGCGTCAAAGGCCTTTGCCTTGTCCTTAGCCGCCAGGACGGCGGCCTGCGCGTTTCTCGCAGCGTGTGCTCGCAGATTGCTCTCGTCGTCATCGTCAAAGTCGATGTCCTTGAGCTCCGGGTTGTCCGCTGAATCATGCATCGCCGCATCCTTCTGTTGATGCGAATCCATTGGTGGCACGCTGGCAGGAGCATCCGTGTTATTCGGCGACGGATCAATGACCTTGGAGCCGCCGGACGTCTCCTCTGACTCCTCAGCCTCGCTCGTCCTCAGCTTGTTGCCTACGAAGTGCGAGTAGAGCTCCGTCTGTGTGATCAAGAAGTTGAGCTTGCGAGCCTGTCGCTTGGCCTCACGCATCTCCTCCTCCTTGCGCAGTCGATCCGCGGCTTCCTTCTCTGCCTTGCGACGCAGCTCCTTCTCTTCCTTTTCGTTGCGGCGCCAGAAGACGAGCATTTCTCGCATCGCCTTGCGCGAGCGCTGCTGGACGTCCTTGGTCGACTTGCTGTTGCGCGCTTGCACACGGCGAGATTCCCGCTCGACAACACCTGCGATGCGCTTGGCGAAGCTGGCTTTTGAGGACGTGGTTGACTGGACGTAGCGGTAGACCTTGGGGATCTCCTTGCGGGCCATGTTAACCCAGATACGGCGGTGGGCGTCTTCAAGCTGGCGGACACGTCTGGCGTCGAGCGGCACAGGAGGGCCGTCTGGGTCTGGAATCTGGTCGCCAGCCCCAGCGGGCTCCATTGGCATCGACTCGTCTGCGTCTGGAAGGGGCGTGCCGCGATCGCTGCCAGCTGGAGAGCTTGCTCCGGGAAAACCTGTAGGGCCATCTTCCATCCTTCTCTTCTTGTCTCTCCATCCCCGCGATGGCGTCGAAGCACCGAAGCCGCTCTCGTCGCCGGCCTCGTCTGGCGGCCCTGGCCTGCTGGCATGCTTGCTGTGGCCCTTGCTCGGCCTCGACTTGTTCTTGCTTCGATGCGCAGTGCTTGGACTGCCCTCCTCCAGGGTGGCAAGCAGCTCCAAATCGAGCTCAGCTTCCTTCTTCCTTCGAGCGGCCTCTCGCTGCATCTTCGCAGCCGCCTCTGCCCTCTTCTGCTCGATGAGTGCCTTCTCCTCTTCCTTGCGCACGACGGCGCTGAGTCTGGCCTCATATCCCTCTGCCAGCCGCTTCTCGACGGAGAGGTGACGCTCCTCCCACCGCACTTCGTAGGCTTCCTCGATGGCTTGGGCTCGCAACTGGAGTCGAACGCGATAAGCCTCGAGCTCGTCCTCCCACATGAAGCGATTGCTCTCGTCTGGCTCTTCGAAGTCGTCTCCTTTCTTACGGCTGCGCTTTGTCTTGTAGCCTGACTTGCTCTTGGCTGCCATTGATGCTGCTTTGGGTGGACGAAGCTTTGAGTGCGATGCTGCAGCGTCCGTCGGGGGTGAAACGCCATTGGAGTATCCTCGAGGCTGAGCGGAACAACGTGGTGAGATGAAATTGTCAGCTTCATCTGCTCATAGTAGCTCTGTGCTAGCGTGGAGCTACTCACTCTGCTACTGCTGCCCATTGCTGGCTCTACTATTGCAGGCCTGCCCCCATCTGCAGAAGGAGAAGCAGGTGACCAGCGCTCCATCGACGAAGCGGCAGCCATGGGTGGTGATTGCTGAGGATGCTGAGTATTACGTCTGCTCGCGCGAGGTGGCGATGAGGCAGCGGCGAGACCTGCAGCTGAGCGCTCAGCATGCTGCTGCCGGGTTGAGTGAGCATTGTCCCAACCTGCTCGGGATGGTGGAGGAGGCGAGAGTGATGATGCTGAAGGAGGCATAGGGGATGCCGAAGTCTTGGAAGGCTGCCGTGCGCCGCCGTCATTGAGGATGCTAGATATGCTCATCATCGGACGAGAAGGTACAGCAGACGCGGCAACCTCTTGCTCCATCGCGACGCCATTAGCTGCGAAGCCATTGCTATTGGCCCCATTGGAAGAAGATCCTGATGCGCCAGGCGACGTCAGAGAGGTGTGATGAGATGGCAGGCCGCTCATCGTGGGCGCGATGTTTGGTCGTCCTCGCGACGATGAGGCAAAGGCGGGCCCAGCTGGCGTGGGCACAGGCGTGGGGGCGTGCGTATATGCAAAGGAAGGATGAGGCTGAGCGTGATGGCGGTGGTGATGGTGTTGGGTACCAGCCTGAAGCACGGCCTAGGGGCGCCGAAGACGGGAACGCGGTAGTGAGCACAACGGGAAAGGGAGGGAAACAAGGGGAGCGGGTCTTGCTCGCTGGTGGTGGCTGGCTAGTCTTTGCCTCTGGCTCCTCGCTGACGTCCTCCTCGCCTCCCCTTTCTCTCTCTCTCTCTTGGAGACAGAGCGCAGCGTGCGTGGGCGGAGGCGGCAGTCGGTGTCGGGCGGGCGGGAGAAGTCGAATCGATTTCGCCCAGACCACACACACGCCGCCGCGACCACGCCGCCAGCCGCGACCCTTTCCCTCGACGTCTGCAGGCGCGACCCACCGGCAAGCAAGCAAGGCATCTCTCGAGATCGCTCACCACATCGCTCCCGGCCCGCGAGCTAAGGCCAGCGCGCTCCTGGCCGCTGGCACCTCGTCGTCGCTCAGACGAGGGGTGGCGACGATCAGGCCTGCTCAACACAGTGCCGATCGCCCAACTACCACTACGATCTCGTGATACGCGACGCGTTCGAGCTAGGGCTATAGCGAGGATATCAACGCGACCACTCTCACTCACCTTTGCGTCTGCTATCACGCCTCGCTCGCGATCTACTGAGTAGGGCAGCCTCGCCGTCGGGTCAGCGCTCGCATATCGATGGTCGTCATGCCCAATCACGTCGATTCTACTACTATGCTGCAAGTGAATAGGCTCGAGCCTGCCTTCTCGTGACGGTGATGAGGCAGAGGGAGACGTCGAAGTCGAGCCTCTAGCCAGGATCTGCGTCCAGTCTTCTACAGGTATGGGAAAACCCTCTGCAGGTAGCGAGGAGAGCCAGGTTGGTCGATTGCAGTGAGGCGGGTACGACGTTGACGAGGAGTGAGGAAGGCCACGAGCAGAAGTCGGCAACAAGGCTCCAGGTTGGCCAGACTCCTGCTGAAACTGGAGCTGAAGCTGCTGCTGTCGCTGCTGCTGAGCATGCTGCTCTGCCCTGTATGTCATCAGCATACTCTCGATCCACTCTGCATCACCCTCTTCGCAGCTATCATCATGGACGTGCGGGCCATGCCGGTGCTGACCAGCATCATCTCGACGGGACATGGTGCGCAGCTAGGGCGGTGTAGGCGAGAAGGCGTGCTGGAATAAGAGGCAGGCGGAGGGGGAGGAGGGGGGGGGGGGGGGGGGAAGGGGGGGGGGGGGGGGGGGGGGGGGGGGGGGGGGGGGGAGGGAAGAGAGGATGGTAACGAGGCAAGAGTTCGGTGAGGGGAGCCGGCGGCACAAAGGGGCCAATCAGACTCGCTCCCACACGCAGCCTTGCTGCTCGCCGCTCGCCGTCACAATGCGCGCCCTTCATTAGCGTCAGCCGGCGCCAGCAATGCGCTACCTGCCTGGTATGCCTTCGCTGAGCGTACGTGCGTGGCGATTGATTGCTCCGGCTCCATCGTCGCCTTGAGCCTTTGGCCCTCGCGCCCGGCCGCCGAAGCCGCCGCCCACGTCCACCGCTTTGAGTGTGGGTGCGATACGGGGGTGCGGTTGCTGGGCGGGCGGTGGCGGCGCTGCGCTTGGAAGCGGCAGAGGGCTGAGCGGCCGATGAGCGTTTGTTCTGCGTGCAAGGATATTAGATTGAGAAACACGGCAGGTGGGCCAACGAGGATGGAACATGACGCTGTGCCTGAATTGACGGACCGTAATCGCCGGGCCCGCCAAAGCAGCAGCCTACTGTGGCTGGCAGCGAGCAAGCCAGTCCCGGCCACTCCTTCTCCTCACATTCCTCAGAAATGCTCTTTCGCTGGCCTCAAATCCATCTCAAAGGTCCAAGCAGCTCGCTGCTGTTGTGCCAGAAACAAGTAACTCTTCGCCGCCTCGCTGGGCAGCACCACTGTCCCATCCGCAAATCTCTCCCCCTTGCTCGTATCGAAGCCAAGGAACTTCCTCGCGGTATCCGAATCGATAAGTCCATCGACAAAAACGTGTGCTACGTGGACTCCGTCTGGTCCATGTTCCCTCGCTGCTACTTCGCAGAGCCGGCGTAGCCCTGTCTTGCCAGAGGAGAAGGCCGCAAATCCCTCCCGGCCGCGAGTGGCAGACGTTGCACCTGTGACTAAGATGTTGCCGCCAATCGGGCCTTTTCTCTCCTGATTGCCGCTGCTGGTGTCGGCCGCAGGCTTGATCATCTCCCTTACCGTTGCCTGCAAGAAGGCGAAAGCAGACACGACGCTGGCCTGTAGACTGTCCTTGACCTGCTGCTCCGTCTGCTCGATAAAGGGCGCCTTCTTCCTCACAGAGGCGTTGTAGATTGCTGTACCCAGTCTCCTCGTGGGAAAGAGCCGCAGTGCTTCAGCCATGCCTGCCTTCACCGAGTCTGTATCCAGTACGTCGCAGCTGACCGCCGCAGCTAGCTGCTCCTCTTTTGGTGCAAGCTGGCCTTCGGACTGAAGCTTCGAACGGGCCGTCTGATCTAGCTCTTCTGCCCAGCCTGCGAGCCGTTGCTTATTTCTGCTCATGATCACGACGGCGTATCCTTGAGCGGCGAATACTTGAGCGATGGCCAGTCCCATACCTGGCCCCACGCCGACGACGAGGACGAGATGCTCGTGCCGCGCTGGGCCATGCAGAGCGGTAGAGCCGAGGGGACTTGTAGGTGGGAGGGGAGATGTTGTAGGCGTGAGGAGGTCTTGACGACCCGCGCGATCGATCTTGCGTGGCATCGTAGACTTGCGATGGTATAGAGGGTGAGTGTGTGTCGTACTCGGTCCGGCAACAGGCGAAAGACTCGGGCCGGTGGTGTGCTTCTCCCCGTCCGCTCCACCTCGCACTCCTGGCTCACTTCCTGCTGCCTTCCATCTTCCCAGTCATCTGCCAATTGCACGATGACACTCCCCTCTCGTCCGCCACGCATATTCGTAACAGTAGGCTCGACCCAATTCGTCGACCTCATCTCGTACCTCCTCACCCAGCCCTTCCTCAACTCGCTGCCGGCAAAGACGAGCCTGACCATCCAGTACGGCAAGAGCGATTTGGCTGCAATCCTGACGCGGGAGGACAACGCGCTCACTTCATCGGCATCGTCGACAGCGCAGGATGACGCTAGCTCGTCAGTCGCATCTTCATCTGCCATCCGACTGGATGCTGGCAGCGAAAGGGTCCCTGAGCCGGGCCTGAGGGCTTCGAAGCAGCATGGGCTTTCCTGGAAGGGCAGCCAGTTGACAGGGATGGATCCGGGGAAGACGGGCGCCATTGATGGGTGGCAGCTAGTTGGAGCCGACGAGGGGCAAAGCAGCGAGGAGAGCAGTCGAGAGAGCGAGGCAGACGACGAAGAAACAGCGGCGGAGGATAGTCTAGCAGCGCCACCATCCCCGAGACGGCCAGCTGGCGCTAGCTTCACCTCCCTACCCTCCTCTCTCAAGTTCCGCACCTCCGCTCCCCAATCCATCAGCATAGAGCTCATAGACTTCTTGCCCGACCTATGCTCCCACCTCTCATCAGCGGACATTGTCATCTCCCACGCCGGGTCGGGGACCATCCTCGAGACGTTGCGCCTGCCGATCCCACCACGCCTCATCGTGGTGCCAAACACGACACTGATGGACAATCATCAGGTAGAGTTGGCTGATGCAATTGCGAAAGGAGGGTGGGCGACGTGCGCCAGAGTAGAGCTGCCTGGTGTGGGCGGGGCAGGGAAGAATGAGTCCTCGCTGCAGAGGGTGGTGAGGGAGGCTCTCACGCAAGCGGAGGAGCCGACGCCTTTCCCACCTGCCAAGCCAGAGCGCTTCAGAGGCTTGGTTGACGGAGCGATGGGCTTCGCATGATCGTACGAGCATCGAGCAATGCCACAAATACCCTATTGGCTTGATTCGTATCGTCTGTTGCACGACGTCGTGTGCTCTCATAGACGCAGTGGAAGCGGAAGGCGGACAGGCGCAAGGCCGAGCGCCCCTTCCGTCGTTCGCGCTCGTCTCATCGCTCAGCTCCTTCTTGACTTGCTTCGATCCACCATCCTCCCTTGTGTACTTCGAACGTACCACCTCACACCTGCGACTGCCCCTCGCCCAGCATGGATCGCGGAGGCAACAAGGGAGCTGGCATTGCCGGCTCCTCGGAGACCAATGTCGACAGGCGAGAACGTCTGCGCAAGCTCGCCATGGAATCCATTGACCTCGCCAAAGACCCGTACATCCTTCGCAACCATCTCGGGTCCCTCGAATGTCGTCTCTGCCTTACCATCCACACCAATGAAGGCTCGTATCTTGCTCACACCCAGGGCAAGAAGCATCAAACCAACTTGGCGCGCAGAGCAGCAAAGGAGGCAAAGGAGCTGGCGCAGAGAGAACAGAATCAGATGGGCTTGCTTACCATGGGTCCTCCAGGGGCGATGGATCAGACACCCAAGAAGCAATTTGTCAAAATTGGCCGGCCAGGCTACAAGATTACGAAAGTGCGCGAGCCGGCACCGATGACCAGTGAGGGGCACTACGATGCTCATGCTCGTCAACCGCGCATTGGTCTCCTTTTCCAGATCCAATATCCCGAGATCAAGGACGGCGTCAAGCCCTTGTACAGATTCATGTCCACCTTTGAGCAGCGGGTCGAGCCACAAAATAGGGCATGGCAGTACCTGGTGGTAGCGGCGGAGCCGTATGAGAGCGTGGCGTTCAAGCTTCAGGCGAGAGAGATTGAGAGAGGGGAGGAAGAGGATGATCGAGCTGGCGGTGTCGGAGAGCCACCGACTTGGAGTCATTGGGATCCGGATACAAAGACCTATAGTGAGTGACCAACCGAGACCGATCAGCAAGGGGAGTGCTACGAGCTGCGTGCTGACATCGACCTGCCCTGCCCGCCTCGACAGCCATTCAAGTCCTCTTCAAGTAGCTGCTAGGCGGCGAAACGACACGGCGTCATCCTGTCGACGGTCTTGTCTCTCTTTCCTCCGCAGATCCCACTCCGCGCCTCAACGCTCCTCGCCCCTCTTTATCTCTCGGTTCATCTGTACCACTACCTCCTCAGATCAGCATCAATGACCATTAGTAGCACTCACATCGTCCTCGGAGCACGTCTTCGCTCACGCTCAGTCGAAGCTTAATCTCTTTTTGAATAAATTGAAGGGCAAAAGAAGGAGACCATAGAAAGAGGAAAGCGAAACAGATTGTCGTCAACCCTTTCGCCTTGGCCAGATGGCAAGCAAGCGAGTAAAGGGAGGGGAAAGGGGGGAAGGGATGGTGTGGTGGGCGAGAGGGAGCTAGCATGGAGGGGATGCGTGTGAGTGTGGTTTGGGTGTAAGGTGTACGTGACTGTGCGTCGTCGTCATCATCGTAAGATCCGTCCTTCGGTCATTGTAGCGTCCGCTGTCGCCCTATCCTCTTCTGACCTCGTCCTCCTCCTCATCTTTTTCCTCTTCCTCAGGCTCTCCTCTTGCTCCTTTTTCAATGGAATCATTCAAAGATGCACATTCGCCCGCCTCGATGCAAAGCAGAGGCGTCGTCGTTACTGGGGCAAATGAGAAGAGAAAAGCGGCACATGGGTGGTGGCCATCTAGAGGATCAAGCAGTTGTTCTTCTTTCGCGACTTGATGGGTGCCGGTGCGAGAACCGAGCGGATTGCCTGCATGGCGAGGCAGCAAAGCGAGAATGTCAGTCTTACAACGTCTCTCCTCTCTTCACGCCTTCCGCACTCGCGCCCACGCTCACCTCATCGAAGACCCCCTTGAGCCCCTTCTGCGTGAGCGCTGAGCACTCCAAGTATCGCGTAGCACCGATGTCCCTCGCCATCTGCACGCCCGACGGGTACGAGATGGGCTGCATCCTCCTGTCGCGCAGCTTGCCAATCGTCTCCGGGTCCTCACGAAGGTCGAGCTTGGTGCCGACGAGGATGATGGGGATGTTAGGGGCATGGTGGCTGATTTCCGGCCACCACTGTGAGCGATGACGAGCGAATGGGATGTCAGCCTGCTGTCGCGAGCGCAAGAATATGCTGAGTGCTCTACGAGGAACTCACCTTTGTCCTGACGTTCTCGAATGACGGCGGTGAGACGAGGGAGAAGCAGATGAGGAAGACGTCGGTTTGCGGGTACGAGAGGGGACGCAGCCTATCGTAGTCTTCTTGTCCTGCGGTATCCCAGAGGCCTGCGTGGAATGGCAAAGGATGAGGGTCAGTATCGCGGCTCAGGAGGAGCCTACACCACCTCCCTCGCGCCTGCTCACCCAAGCTGACAGGCTTGCCGTCTACCATGACATTGGCCGAGTAATTGTCGAAGACCGTAGGGATATATTCGCCGGGAAACGCATTCGTGGTGTAGGAAATGAGCAAGCAGGTCTGTTTACGTGCGATTCGTGTGGTGGAGGATGGGTTTAGGAGTAGGAGGGGGAGGTGAGTAATGGTTGCTGCGTACGGCTCCGTACGCGTGCCTCACCTTTCCGACGGCACCGTCACCGACGACGACGCATTTGATCGTCTGCATGGCTGATGACTGGCTGTGTGCGAGAGAAAAAGGGGGGTCAAGAGGTCAATCTGGGGTCCTCTGAAATGAGCAAGGTGTGGGAGACAGTAGCGTGTCATCAATCGCCAGACCGCGTACGGACGCCGGCGGCAGCGAACAACGAGGAGCTGGCTGCGTCTTCGATATTCTCGGAATCGCCCGTACCAGTCCGAGGCATCTTCAAACGTGCTCGCCCTGGACCTTCCATCACTTTGCCTGTCCTACTTGCTACGACGCCCTCGTGATCCTCGATATTCGTCCGGCTTTGCGCCGGCAAAGGTGCTGCCGGATTTCCTCCCCATCGTCCTGCAATATGGCCACCTCTTTCTCAAGCACAGATGCCTCCCCTTTCTGACGCTTTTGCGAGCTTTCAAAGCAGGCACCTCGACCCCCTGCCATGATCATCGAGGCGGTGGAAGAGGCCCCTACGGCTGATCGCATCCTGATCGCCGGTCCGCGGGTGCTACTCACCTCCTGAGCGCGGGCAGAGGGGCGAGAATTGGCTAGATCAGGAGCAGCGACGGCTTGTCTAGCGATGGTGATGAAGAAGGAGGTGTCGCGCTTGGGGCGGATATGTCGTCCAGTCCTTGCGGGTCGCTGGTGAGATTTGGATTGAGATCGGGCGAAGTGTGTGTGTGTGAGTCGTCGAGCGAGCGGAGCCAGTAATGGTTGGTTGAGAGCGAGGGGTCGACATCACGCCCAAAGCCAAGGCGGCGGCAACGCAGCGCGGGGCGGGGCGGCGAGCCAGACAGAGAGACTGAGAGTCGCGCGCCACGAGGCAGCGAGGCCGAGCGGAACAAGACAGGGAGAGATCGTGACCTCCTGCGTAAGTCATCCAACACTCATCATGCGTCATCACCGCGATAGAGTCGAGCGCAGCGGCAAGGGGGCGTCGAGATTGATGATAGCCCTATGCTTGACAGATCGATGAACTGCAAGACCGGTATGCGTGGCTCGTGGCCCGCAACGGATGGTGGCCTAGCAGCCTCTTGTTTTCCGGCCTGGTAGCCTCTTGGCCCCTCCTTGTAAGAGCCGCAAAGTCACTGATGCCTCACGCTCGTATTCATTCGCTCCACTCGATGTCGATCGCCTCACTCGCTTCCATTGACTTGGTTGATCAGACCTCTCACTACTGGCCATGCTATCGACCTAGAGCTCGCTCCCTCGGCCGCTTCGCCGGCGAAGACGCCCACGGCGCTTGCTTGGTCCGGCGGCTGCAGCTCGGCGTCGATGGGCGCCTGAGGCAGAGCGAAGCAACACACGACGTCAAACGCGCCGTCTACGCCGCCGACCTCTCCCTCTCCCTCACTCACACGAGCACCACCTCGACCTCTCAATGAGTACGTCTCCCGCTTGTTTCTGACTTCTCTTTTCGCTCTGACATCTCGCTTTTCCTCAACAAGGGCGGCGTCAACTCGTCTGGATACCGAGAGCCTTGTTCTTCGACGCAGCACATCCAATCGTCGCTGCTCGCCGCTCCTTTTCCGCCGCCCCGCCTGACGGTTCAACATCCACCATAGCGAGGTACGCGAGCGCGAGGGCAGGCGTCATTCTAAGCTCGCCCGTGTCTACGGTAACTCATCTGTTGTACGCAGCATCGCAGCATCGCGGCAGCGAAGGGGCCGAATCTCCGCGACATGCAAGCAAGGCTTGCCTTTGCTCTTTGCTCGCAGACATCATCATCAGCCTAGAGGCTTTTGCTTGCAGGCAAGCGCCCACCGACAGGCCACGACTCACGCGTCTCCTTCGCTCTCCGCCGTCAACGTTCAGCCTCTTCTCCACTCCATTCTCCATCGCTGTCGTTGTCGCTCGCAGGTCGCCGGCGGCCGTCCAAATACCCAAGTCCTCAAAAGGAACGAGCAAGAAGGAAGGTACCGCCGCCAGTCGCCGATTCGAGATCGTCGTCCTTTTTGGCCATCACCTTCTCCCCCGTCCTCCTTCTCCTTCTTCTTCGTCACGCAACACGAGCTGGTCTCGACGTCGACACGCTACCGCTGGTTCGGTTTCATCCTCTCACGATATCATAGCTCCTCTGTTGCGCCCTTTTTGTATTTGCCCTTTGTCGTGTTCGTCAACCCCTCGCCTCACCTTCTCAAGCTCCTCGGGCCGGTCCCAACGCTTTCTCAACCTCAACGATCCCAGCTCCTGCACCGGCTACCTAGTCAAAGTGAGGGCTCCCCTCGCACTTCGCACCTCATCAAAGAGCCCACGCTGACCCCCACCCTCGTTGGTCACACAGCATGCTCGCAGCACGCCCTCATCCCAACGCCGAAGCCGGAATGGCGGCAGGCGCCCTGAAGTCCGTCACATCGACCAGTCTCTCACCCGTCTTGACTCTGCAGCACAGCCTTGCTGTCGAAGCTTCCGCCTTCTCTGACAGCGGCTCGGAGCCTACGACGTCAGACAGCAGTGACTCGTCAGACTACGAAGATCTGGACGACGAAGTCGGCGGAGGCAGGGCGGTTCAAAGCGCACCTGCCATCGTCGGCATCGGTCTCACCGTACCTGGCTCTTCCTTTGGCCAGCACCATCAACTGCATAGAGGTGCCCCATCTGATTCGGACAGCAGCGATGAAGAGTACGCAGCAATTGAAGTCGAGCAGGGTGACGATTTCGAAGATCGACCGACCGCACGGCCTGCTTGGACGCCAGCGATGCAAAGGTCCGCCGCTTCTCGCAAGCTTTTTGCTGCGCTCTCTCGAGACGAGAGTAGTACCGAGAAATCGGCGTCACCGTCTGTCAAGGTGGCGAACAATCTGTCCTCCCGCCGAGGTCACCATCGTCTTCCTTCCCTTGATCAGCTACGGACAAGAATGTCAGGCTTAGGCATCCGTGACGGCGCATCGCCAAGGTTACACGGCAGTCCAGCCCCTCGTATCCTCCTCTCGCAACCGTCGCGTGTGTCCTCGCCCGCTTCCAAGATCACCACCCCCCGCCCTCCTCTCCGCCACAAGCGCAGCGTCAGTTGCCCAAGTCCGAAGCCAGATGAGGGCGAAGTTTGGCAAGTCAATGATGATATGACGATCACGATCACTCCACCTACGCCTACACCGCAAGCCAAGTCGCCCGTCATGGGATACATCCTCCAGAACGCGGGGCAACCAGTCCACCCAATCCGGTTCAGGCGTCGTCGCGAGGACGCCCTCTTGCTACATCCACCCTGCTTCGAGCTCGCGCCAGGACGCCAGAAGATGGTCGAAGCGCGAGCCAAGCAGGCTATAGAGCAGATGGCGGCCCTACACGCTGCCGCCAAGGACCAGCATCGTGTCATTGGGCCCGGAAACGGGGCTCTGGTCGGATTGGGCTGGCCAGGGTCGTCAGGCGGTGGGGGCTTCCCGCAATCTGCACCTGCTCCCCTATCTTCCAAGTCCATCCGCTCTACGATCCGCGGAGGAGCTCCAGCATGGTCGGCAAACCGCTCTTCCCGCCCGCACCGTGCGGAGGATAGCCCACCTCGACCAGCGTATCGACGCTCCCGCTCGTCCGAGAAAGACCTGCAGATGCCCAAGTCCCAATCACTCAGCAATCTCTCTGATGACTGGCGTCAGCGTGCAAGCACTACGGTGCCTGTACCACCTCGCGCTGCTTCACCGCCGCACGTAGCCAGCGCCAAGTACATTCCACCGTGTCGTCGTCAGGGCCCGGCGTACCAGCCTCCATCCCCGCCCACGTCGCCTACGAAGGAGGCGGCACAGCCGATTCTCCACGCTCTTCCTCCGCGTCCTGTCTCACCGCCGCGCAATGCGCCGTCAGTTACTTTTGCTCCCTCGTCGTCCTCACCGCCTTCGGCGCGTGCGGCGGCTGGTCGTAATCTGCTTTCGAGGCTCGGGGAGCGTGGGGCAAAGTGCTTCTGAATGAGGGGCGGAAGAAAGCGTTGACCTGTTGTCGCGACGCACTGTGTCTTGTTCATGACTCCATCGCAATTGCATTGAACAATGACGACAATTTCCTCTCTCTACTTGACTTCCTTGACGCGTGAGCCCTCCCCACCTTCTGAGATTGTGATGATGGTGGCTGGCCTAGCCTTGCTTTTGGCCTAGCCCTCGACGTTGGTGCCTGATCTGCAGTCGGCCCAACTCCTCTTGGCTGCCCCAAAAGGCCCGCGTCGACTCGCCGCCGCCGCCGCCGCCTCCGTCGTGTCCGCTCCGCTCGGTGCCCTTGCCGCTTTGCTGCCGTTGAGCTTGGAGCTAACTTCTCACTTTCTCACCTTGTACCAACGCCCGCCCGCACGCCCGCCTGCTTCATACCCGCCCTTACGAGGGAGAGCTCACACTCCTCACTTCACACCATCATCATCATCACCACCACCACCACCACCGCTAGGATGTCGTCCGCTGCTGCTTTGCTCCGCCTTGGGCGAGCCTCGACGATGGCTCGCTTCCCGTCGTCGGCTTCTACCGTCCTTCGCAGGAGTGCGTTCGCTGAGCCAGCCATTTCCAATATCGACAAAGGGAGCGTGCCATACTGACCGCATCATACCCCCTTCCATGCTCTCTTGCGCACAGACTTCCACCCTTCGGTCTCGGCTCTCGACCTGACCAAGTTCGCCATGCCGGCCATGTCGCCCACAATGACTGAGGGAGGCATCGCCCAGTGGAAGAAGAAGGAGGGCGAGGCCTTCTCAGCTGGCGACGTCCTCCTCGAGATTGAGACGGACAAGGCCACCATGGATGTCGAGGCTCAGGATGACGGTGTTCTCGCCAAGATCGTCGTCGGCGATGGCTCCAAGAACGTTCCTGTCAACTCGATCATCGCTATCACTGCTGAGGAAGGTGACGATCTGAGTGGGGCAGACAAGATGGCTGAGGAGGCATCAAAGGAGGCGCCGGCATCGAGTGGGGGTGAAGAGGGCGCAAAGGAGGAGCCCAAGAAGGACGAGCCCAAGAAGGACGAGGCACCAAAGAAGGAGGAGCCTAAGCAGGAGCAGTCTCAGCCTTCTTCATCGTCGTCGTCGTCAGCCCCGGCATCAGGTGACCGCATCTTCGTCTCTCCCCTTGCCAAGAAGATGGCTCTCGAGCGCGGCATCCCCCTCGCCCAGGTCAAGGGTACTGGCCCCAATGGCCGCATCATCAAGGCTGATATCGAAGGCTACAAGGGCTCTGCTCCTCAGCAACAGCAGGCCTCCGCCCCGGCCTCTGCCTCGAAGCAGGCATCCTCCTCTGCCCCCGCCCCCTCGAGCGCCCCTGCTCCGGCCGGCGCCCGCTATGAGGACATCCCCGTCTCCAACATGCGCAAGGTCATCGCTCAGCGCCTCACCGAGTCCAAGTCGACCGTCCCGCACTACTACGTCGCCATCGACATCGAGATGGACAAGGTCCTCCGCCTCCGCCAAGTCTTCAACGACGCCTCGGCCAAGCGCTTCGCCTCTGACCCGGCACGCTCCAAGGAAGCAAAGCTGTCCGTGGGCGACTTTATCACCAAGGCCGTCGCTGTAGCCCTCGACGAGGTGCCGGAGGTGCGTGCAGCCTGGATGGGAGACAAGATTCGTCAGTACAGCGACAGCGACATCTCGATTGCCGTCTCTACCCCTACGGGACTGATCACGCCCATCGTCAAGGACGTCGGGCACCGCGGTCTGTCAGAGATCTCGAGCGAGACAAAGAAGCTCGCTAAGCTGGCGCGCGACAACAAGCTCAAGACGGACCAGTACCAGGGTGGCTCCTTCACCATTAGCAACATGGGCATGTTCGGACCGACGTGGTTCTCCGCCATCATCAACCCGCCCCAGGCCGCCATCCTCGCCATTGGAACCACGAGGTCGGTGCTGGTGCCCGACGCTAGCGAAGAGCGTGGATTCAGGACGGCGCAGGTTATGAGCGCAACTGCCAGCTTCGACCACCGCGTCGTTGATGGAGCGATGGGCGCCAAGTGGTGTGATGCGCTCAAGAGGGCATTGGAGAACCCGTTGAGCTTCATGCTCTAAGCAGGCTGAGGCTTTGGCAGAGTGTGACTGGGATATATAGTGAGCGAGGGAGCAGGTGGTATGGAGATCCGGGCTTGCAACGAGAAGGAAGGGAGGAGTCGCGGAGAGAGGACCAGCAGCAGCAGTGCTGCCAATCAGCTCGAAGATGTACGATGAGCTATGTCTGCGGACACAAAAATCATCACCAAGCAACACACAGACAAGTCACCCTTCAACGCACGCGAGCAATAAGGGTTGCTATGTCTCGATCGTGTCCCTAAGTTCCCTTGTGGCCCTCGTCGGCAATCATCAAACTATAGAATCCTTACATCGCGCGTGCCCACGACCGGCCTGGAAGAGCATCAGATGAGGGGCTGCGCCCTGTGTGATGGAATGAAAGGCGCGTCTGAGGATATTGATACAGAAATGAAGAAAGTCAAGGGACAGAAAGAGCATCGCGCTCATCAAACCGACCTACAGCGCACGTCCCTCCTCCATCTCTGCCTCCTCCCTAGCAAAAGCATCCTCCAGACTCGTCCCTTTGCCATACCCCTTCCACTCGTGCTTCGCAACACTCCCACGTTGACCGTCGCTGCCGTCCCATGCCGTACTCATGATAGACGACTCGCTCGAGTGCCACGCAACGTCACGCACCGTGACCGCGTACGATCCACTACCGCCGCGTCGGCTCGCTCCGTAGGCATGAGAGCGAGAGTAGCCACCACCAATCCCGTCGCCTGGAGTAGCACCAGCACCAGCGCCCTCGTTGTTGTTGTCATCGTCGTCGTCCCTGTCCCATTCGGGAGCAGAAGGATCTGCAGCATTCTGTTGCTCCCCCTCATCACCGCAGAAAATGCTCTTCGCCTTACTTCTGTCCAGCACGCGGACCACCCGCCCATCCAGGCCCCAGATATGAATTCTCCCATCCGCTGATCCAGAGTAGACGTACTTCTGCCCCGTTGTCGCTTCAGGACTGAAGTGACATCTAATCAGTGTCTTGAGCACCGCATGGCCGCGATAGGTCATGACGGAACAGTCCTCGGGGTGTGACTGGTATCGCGGTTTGCGGTAGTACATGTTGCGGTAATCCCAGTTGGAGAGCCCGTAGGACCTGTTCGACTTGGAGGGGTCGGTGCGCTCGCCGGGTGTGGTGGAAGAGGAGTGCATGGAACGCAGGTCCCATAGCTTGAGAGATTGATCCTTGCCGTTTGAGATGCAGTAGCGACCGTCGCCTTTGGGGGAGACCTGCAGGCAGGCGAGGAGAGAGAGCATTGGGAGGTCAGCCCGCTACGCAGATTTGTGGGGAGGCCTCAGCTGCGCTCTCTTGCTCACATAAGTGATGCCCTCCGTATGCCCAGGCAGTACGCCCGCCGGCTTGCCACCAGACAGGGAACGCCTATCCCACACCTTCACAAAGGAGTCGTCACTGCCTGAGATGAGGACATTCGAGGAGGCAGAATCCGCGAAAGCGACACCGTTGACGTCGTCTCTATGGCCTTCGACGCGCAGCACTCGGCGACGCGCTTCAATGTCGCTGCGAGCGAGGGGAGGAGAGAGATAAGTGGTCAGTCGGAAGAACCAAGCGGAGCGGTGCAACTCTGTCGCTGCCTCACTAGACGTAGATGTCACCGAAGTGAGCGCCAGCAACAATCTCCCTCGAGTCGCCAGAGAAGCGAATGGACCAGATCTATGCGCCAAGAGGGAGGGACGAGAAGGTCAGCTTGAGTTCCAGTGTCTTGAGCGCAGGCTCTGCCTCACCCCACTGCGATATCTCACCCCACCACCATCATCTGCCGCAGCCCCAAAGTCTAGTGGCACCTGCCTATCGGAAAAGTCCTGCCCACCCTGACTCTCCGCCCTCGTCGACACCAGATGCACAACCGGCGTGATACTCGAGTAGATCATCCACTGGTTATCCGGACTCAGATTCGCATCCGTAATCGTCCAGCTGCCCATCCTTCCCTGGATCGTCTTGATTGGCTTCAGGCTCGTGTACTGCGTAGTGCCGAAGGAGGTGTAGTACTGCGATCGCCGAGGCCCAGCGCGACCTTCGTCCATGCGCAGCGTCCGGCGAGAGTTGGCAGCAGTTGTGTCGTACATCTGAACTCTAAAGTCTTGTGTGCAGGTGTAAAAGAAGGACGAGTCTTGGCTATATTGCCCGCAGTAGACTCGAGCGGGGTAGCGGGCCACCTCTGTTCCCGAGGAGTTGGGGAGGAGGTCGTCCATCTCGTCCTTGGGGATGCGGTTGAGCGCCGTTCGTCGCTTAGAGATGCGGTCTGCTACATTACGTCCTGGGTCAAAAGCGCTCTTAGCCGGTGAGTCCACGGGTCGCTTAGGAGTGCGACCAAAATCTCCACTGAGAAGGAGCTCCTGACCGGCGGGTAGGGGCGATTTGATCGGCTCCCAGAAGTCGGCCATGCCCGTGTGACGTGTGGTGCCGTACCAGTTGGCACCGTCGTCATCATCGTCATCTTCATCGTCGTCATCATCGCCGCCGGTGGCACGAAGACGGAAACCGCCTTGTGCTAGGAGCTGGCGAAGACCCGCAATGCCAATGCCTTGGATCGCGCGAGCTGTGCGGCTCTCGCCGGCGCCTGGAGTGGTATCATCGCCTGTAGAGCGCGGGGCGAGTACTCTTTGTAGGAGCTCTGTGAGCGTGGAGAGAGATGGTTGATCAGTGATTAGCGAAGAGGGGGCGCATACATCCAGCTTTGCTCGAGCGTCTACCCACCCTGTACTGTGAATGTGACCCTATCCTCACCCTCATCATCACCGTCGCCTCCTTGCAGCTCGATACGAGCCTCGTCCTCCTCGTCATCTTCGTCTTCGTCTTCGTCATCATCATCATCATCATCATCATCATCAATCTCAATTCCCTCGACCTCGACATCCCCCACGACGCCCTCCATATCCTCAACATCGAAATCAATATCATCCTCGTCCTCGTCCTCCTCGTCCTCGGCATCTTCGTAATCTTCGTCGTCTTCGTCCTCCTCGAAATCTGAGTCTATCAGGGCATTGTCCCGTGCCTCGGCCTCTTGAGCCATCTCTTCTAGGGCATCAACCATGGCCATACGCTGTTCGGACGAGTCGGACTCGGCGTCGGAGGTTTCTTGCCACTGCGGGCGGGAGGACATGACAGAATATAGCCAGGCGGACGAAGAGGGAGATGGTGTGGGGGCGAGAAGGGGAGGAAGACGCGGCTGAGGGAAGTGGGAAGCTAGCCTAGCCTCGTAGTGCCAATGAGTCGGACTCAGATGATGGGAGTTGAGGAGGTGGTGTCGAACGAGGAATCGCTCAAAGTGTCGGATGAGCTGACATTGCCGCCGCTCATGGCCCCGCCGGCAAGCGTCACGCACGAGCCAGGCCAATCCAAGGCCGCTGCGCGGGAGCGGGCAGACCAAGCAAAAGCAAGCCTTGGCTGACGTCGACTGGGATCGCTGATGCAGCAAAGCGGACAAGCGCGCCTCGTGGCCTCCAATCCTCGTTTCAAGGCGGACCGAGGGTGAGGCGAGGGGCTGCGACGAGTGGAGACGGAGGAACCCTGGCTCCTTTGCTCCTCCAACGTCCTCATAGACTTGTCCTTGAACACTCACACACGATGCCATCCTCATCGTCGTCGTCAAATTCCTCTTCAAAACGAAGGGATGCTACTGCCCTCCCGGCTAGCTACTCGTCAAGACGATCCGCCCCTGGTGCTAGGGCTGGACCTCAACGGTGAGTGACTGCGCTGCAGACGACGTCGATGAGGCCCTCCTCTCAGGGACACGAGAAGACAAATTGCTGATCACGCCCCGCCTTGTCCATCGCATCGCAGCACTACAAAGGGGTCCGGCAAACTCAAGATTCTTCCCGAGGAGCCACAGCAGAGCCACTCGTCTACGTCCCAGGATCATCGCCCCGACTCCGAGGAGTCGTCGGACGACGATGACGACGATGACAATGAGGCGGATGCGAGCGACCGCAAGGCTGCAAGGGAAGGGCGTGAAGAGGTTTACAAGCAGCTGGCTCAGATTCCAGAGGGAAGCATGAGGAGGGATGCGCGAAGGCTGACCAGAAAGGGAAGGGCAAGTCTGCCTAGAGTAACGGCATATAGTACTGCGACGTGAGTAACAGGCCCAGTCAGAGGATAAATCATCATCCATCGACAGCTGCTGATCATGCTACGCCTTACTCGACCACAGCTCATACCGCATGCGCGAACTCACGCGCTTCCTCCAAGCACGATCCGACTCCCACCGCACAAACGTCATGACCTTCGACGAGTGTGTCTACACCACCTATTCCTACGATGTAGTCGACGCAGCTCGTAACGGCTACCCAGTCTCCAGCACCACCTCGGGCGCAACATCAAATCATCCGCCCAGCAGTCGCGATAGAAAACATTCGTCGGGAGGCAGCGGTGGCGGTAGTGGCGCCAAGACGGGCGACTTGCTGGGCATCCCAGAGCTCAATGAGGACGAGGCTGAGCAGCAGCAGGCAGAGGATGGCACCAAGGCAAATGCGGCCGAGAATGGCAACGGTACGTCGTCTTCTACCACCCTCGTCGAGACCGACGCAGACGAGGCCCGCCGCCTAGAGCATGAGCGTCTCCTGCGCCGCGAGGAAGCCCGTCGCGAGCGTCGCGAGCGCTTCACGGTCAAGGGCGCCACGCCCGAAGTCTTCTTCATGGAGTACGGTACCGTCGTCATCTGGGGTATGACCCAGTCCGAGGAACGTCGCTTGCTTCGCGAGATAAAGCGCTTCGAAGTGGAGCGCCTCGCCCCGGAAGACGTAGAGAGCGAGGAGCTCAACTGGTACCTCGCCGACTATTCGCGCATCTACAACGACGTCATCACCCTGCGTCGAGGCTCTTCCTACATGACGAAACTCTCCCTTTCCCACGCTTTGGCCCAGTCGACCAAGATTAGCTTCTTCGAGGGCGTCATCGACAATACCATCGACACGACCAAGGACATCCCGCAGAGCATCGCCGAGTCGGGCAAGATCGGCATGCCGCCCGCTGAGATCATGAAGCAGATCGGTCATCTCTTCATCTTGCGCATGAATATCCACCTCGTGGGATCCATCGTCGACTCGCCCGAGATCTTCTGGGCGCAACCCGATCTCGAGCCGCTGTACTCGGCAGCGAGGAGCTACTTGGAGATTCCGCAGCGTATCGACTTGCTCAACGCCAGGGTCGAGGTGCTGCAAGATATGCTGCAGTTGCTCAAGGATCAGGTGACGAGCAGGCATAGTGAGAGCCTGGAGATTATCGTTATTATCCTAATCGTGCTGGAGATTATCCTCGGGTTGTTGACCATGTTCGTCGATCTGTACTTCAGCTAGCTGAGCCGACGGAGAAGGAGCGCTTTCGATCTTTGTCTATATCCTCTCTTCCACTTTCAATGCAGCATCAGATCCATTAGCACGACGATGCGAAGGCCCCTACAACTCGAGCACAAAGTCCGGGTGCTGATCACCGAGCAACTCTCTCAGCTGCTCCTCGCTCGCGCCAGAGTATCGCTGTCGCGCCTCCTCGAGCTTCACCTTACTCCTGCTTCCCTCCACCTTCCTCGCACGTCGATCGTAGAAGACGTACAGGTCTGTGAGGACGGTGAAGACCACCCCTGCGATATGAATGATGAGGCAGACGAGGTAGCCTCGGCGTAGCGTCCCATTCCAGAGCCAGGTTGAGGCAATACCGCCGCTGTTCGTCAGGACGATCATCAGGGCAGCGGAGGTGGCTCGCTGCAGGTGTCAGAGCAGGCATGAGTCAGTGATCGCCTTGTCTCCAGCCCTTCTTCGTTGTGCCTACGCACCTTGTAATGGCTCGCCGTGCCCACGCTCACCCAGCTGAGCGTAGCCGATGGACCCGAGTACGCTCCCGCAGCGATGAGCATCAGCCCAGCATACGCCACGCCCGCGCTTCCATTCGACCCATACGCCATAGCGAAGCCTATCGTCGCAAGCAAGAAGCTCACTGCCGTCGACGGGCCTCTCAGCCTGTACCTATCCGCAGCCAAGGCCAGAGCAATGGACACCAGGAAGGCCAAGGCGTACGGCGGGGTGACCAGAAGTAGGGACTCGGCCAATGTGAGCTGGCCATTTTTGAGGTTGAGCGACTTGACGATAGTCGGTGCGAAGAAGGCGACCGAGTAGACGCCCACTGCGGAGCAGAAGTGGACACAGCCCAGCAGCCAGACGAAGGGGTCTACGAAGGTGCGAAGCACGTCGCCGCGGTTGAAGGTGGAAAGGTGGCGTGCGAGGTCGGCGTTGCCTTGCGGCTTACCGCTCTCCTTCTCGCTAGAAGGTGAGGCGCCATCACCGACGACAGTCGCCGTCTCTCCCTGCTCTTCTTGCCCTCCCTTCACTGCAGCAAAAGTCGCCTGCCCACCTTTGACGCGATGCACCGCCACCTGTCTCTCCAGCTCAGTCACCCCCTTCAGCTTTTCCGGCCCGTTCGGGAGCAACCAGAAGCTCGCCAGGCCGAACAAGACCGTGGCTATGCCTTCGATGATGAACAACCAGGACCACGGCTGTAAGCCACCAGCATGCAAAGGAGAGATGGCCGCAGAGAGCAATGCACCCAGACTACCCGCCAACGAAGCGCCAGAGAAGTTGAGTGCTTGCCTGAGCTGGATCTCCTCGGGGCGGTAGAAGAAAGAGAAGTAGACGACGATGCCGGGTAGGATGCCCGCCTCTGCCAGGCCGAGGAAGAAGCGATTGATGTACAAGCCAGTCCTCGTCTTGACTATGCCCTGCAAAGTAGCCACGATCCCCCAGGCGGTCACCAGAGCAGGGATCAGGCGCGCGGGCCCGACCCTTTTGAGCAGAAGGTTAGAGGGCAGCTCGAAGACGATGTAGGGCACATAGAGTACGGTGAGGGCCACCGAATAATCATGAGGAGAGAGGTTGAGCTGCGTTGCGAGACCGAGCAGCTTTGCTTGACCGATGTTAGAGCGATCCAGGAAGGACCACAGGAAGAGGAGGGCGGCGAGGAGCGTCACTTGGAGATCGGTCTTCCAGAGGACGGAGCGCGAGAGCTGAGAGTACTCCGTGGGGGAGAGTCGTGACACCAAGTCGTCGTCACGTAGGCCGGACTGCTGACCGGCTGCGATTTCACCGCGGCCCGCGCTGCTGCTTGGATCGCTCGTAGATGATTGCCGTCTTGATGATGATGCATCCTCGTGCTCTTGAATGGCCATGCTCCCCTCTCTGCGTGGGGGTGACGTGACGGGTAAGAGTCAAAAAAGGCTCCCGATTTGACCCTTCTTCTCATTCCGCTTGTCCCGCTGCACGACGCCGATGCTCGTCTCGCAGTCCGCTCCCATCTTGCAGGGAAGGCGCGCGCTGGGGGAGTGCTTGCCCCGCTTTCGTGTCTTGATCATCAATCTTCCGTAACGGCTCGTTATTGTCGTCGCTCTGAACCTCGTCACACTGTTCGTTTAAGGGAGTTGAAGCGTGATGTGTCGTCCGCTGTGCTGTTCAGCTATTGGCATAGTGATAAGAAGATGGATTGAATGAAAAGAGAGAGAGAAAACAAAAGTTGATCTGGTGTTGTTGTTGTTGGAGCGCCGCGTCGTAAATTTAACCCTCGTTACCCTATTCGCCTCCCTCCTCGTCACCCTCCTCGTCCTCATGCTCGTCCCCCTGCTAGTCCCCCTGCTCGTCGCCCTCTTCATAGTCTTCCTCGTCACCCTCGCCATCCTCCTCCTCATCGCTTCCATTGTGGCTACCATCGCCACATCCAGACGTCCAGAATCGTAGGCCCTGGCATTCTGGATCCGACATGCCATTCTGTGAGACCGAATCTTCTCGGTCGTCCGACAGGCTTTGGAGCGATTCTTGATCAGCTGAATCTCCTCATTCGTCACGGACGACATCGAGGCGCCTTGCAGGTGGCCAAAGAATTTCCACGGGCTTGCGCGCCCGCTCAACACGCTGCTTGATAAGCGCGGGCGGGTCGGATCCTAGTGCGATATTAGTGAGCCACAATTGGTATTGGTCTGCTCACCGTGGACTGTCTCGGGGTCGTCGTCAGAGGCGGCTCCGAATGTCTGCGAGTGGTTGCGGTGCGTCATGAACGATGGCTTGAGGGAAGCACTCTTCGTGCCTGAGAAGTCCATTGAGAGACCCGAAAAACGGCCTCTCGAGGCTCGGCGCGCCCAGTGCACGATCAAGGTGAACCAGAGCTGTATCCAGCCGTAGCTGTCCCACTCGCAAATGTCGCCGCAAAGGATGATCGCGGGGATGTCACAAACAACAAGGCCTCGCAGAGAAGCGCGCAAGAAGAGCTCGAAGAGCTTGTCTGAGTCTTCTTTGTCAAGGGACCTGTGGGGAGGCCGTCATCGTTCCGCACGCGGGCTTCCTTTTGCACGCCGTGGCGCTTGTCAACCTCGTCCGCGAAGGTGACAATACTCTTTATGAGGCGCCGACGCGCTTGCCGTCCATCTCATCGAATGCGTTGATTATCTCGTTGATGAGCTGACAACTTGATGTTGCCCCTGCTCACCGAGGGCGGCGCACATCGTCAGCGAGACGTGGTCAAGCGTGATAGCCGCTGAGAGTGGTATCGATTATCGGACAGAGGAGAGACGTAGTTGTCGCGGGCGGTGCGGAGGGCGGCGAAGTCACTGGACGGTATATCCTCGAGAGTGATTGAAGTGATCAGGCAGGTGAACTCCAGGACGTGCTGATCAGGGCATGCAGATCCTGCTGGAGAGGGGCCATGGTCAATCTTAACGCAGTATGATCGTGGAAAGAGGTGCTGCACTTACTTTCGAACGGCTGTTGTCGAGAACTCGATGGTTCCGCTTTGTCGTTGCCGTTCTCGGACAGCGATGACGAGAGCGAGACAGCGACTGCCTTCGTCAGGCGTGTGGCTATAGAGCAGCGCCGTAGCACGGGTGTGGAGCGCACGAGGCTGCTTCACTGCTGAGCTTGTTCCCATTCAAGTCGTCTGCAAAGGACTCACTGCCGCTGTCGGTTGTTCTGACGAGCGGTACACTCTCACCCGCCGCTCTCGGCCGTGGAGGCGCGCCCGAGGGGGGTGAAGAGATGGTGATGGTTTGGTGGAGAGGAGAGACGAAGGAGAGAGCCGCGAGGGCTGAGATTATATCAGACCCGCTGACGCGGCCTGGAATCTTTTCAGACTTGGCCAAGAGTAGCTTCGGCTCGAGATTGGACTGAGAGTGTTCTTGGAATGTTTTCTCTCGCTGGTCGGATCAGCAAGGTAGCTAAACTATCAATCATCTTTGTGTTAGCCGGTCGGAACGGCGCCTCGAACAAAAAGGGCGAAGGGAGGCCCATCGACGTGGCAGTTACGGTACGGGAATCTGTCTGGCCGCTCGTCCACTCCTGCACGTCGCGACGACGAATTTCCTCTGCACGTCCAGATCGGACGTCGTGGGCGAGCTCGAGCATCCTTGCTACGCAAAGGATCGCCACATTTCAGCAATGGCATCCATCCTGCAGCCTGTCCTCTTCTCTTCGGCCTCACCAGCGGTTCGCAGCGCCTCGTTCTCCGACACCTCTGCTTCCACTGCAGGACCAACCTCCTCCTCCTCCTCCTCCTCCTCCTCCTCCTCCTCCCCCCCTCGTCGTTGGCTGGCCAATTCGTCAAGCGCTGATAGGTTTCACACAGGCAGAGCGAAGGAAGATTGTGAAGCAGCGATGCATTGCATGAGTGCTGAATGGCTGAACAGGAGCAACCATTCGCCAAGCACGGTGAGGATCTCGTGCCTGCGCCGCCACCACCGTCACCATTCATGCCATCAGTGTGAGTCAAGGCCACACCCATTGCAGCCCACATTTTCGCCCTCTAGAGTGCCTCGCCGCATCCTTTATACTCTGGTTGAGTCACGGGCTCTCCGCTAGGAGCATCGAGGTGAACGTTATACACCGTCCAGTAATAGTGACCGTCTACCTTGTCACCATAGTTGATGAACACGTGTCCGTTCTGGGGTTGGTAGTATTGAACGGCCGTAAATTGCTGCAGCGCAGAATGGAGAGGAAGACGTTAGATCCTGACTCTCAGACTCCTCGCAATCACCATGACTGCGGCGTACTCACGCCGTGCTGGCCAGGGGGCACGTCCATGCTGAAGTCGTTGCCATGGGCCTCGGTCGTCGTGTGGCTGATGCCCGAGGTGAGCGAGGCAGAGATACCGGGGAAGTCGACCTCAGACGTCTCCGTGAGGGAGAAGGTGCTCGTGAAGGTCGTCGACTCGGAGAAGGTGTGCGTGACGTTCGTCTTGAGGTTGCCGCAGTTCTCGATGGGCTCGCCAATGACCTTGGTCTTCGTGTACTGAGAGCCGGCGTTGCCGTCGCTAGACCACTTGCAGTTGTCGGCTCCCTGGACGGAAGACTTCTTGGAAGAGCCAGGGCAGCTGTTGAGCAGGTCGGTCGTGCTAGGCCCGTCACGACGGGAGTTGGGCACGGGTTGGCCAGTGCGGCGGTCGTACTGAATCGCGTACGAATGGTCCGCGTTGGCAGCGGGGGCTGCGTTGACGGCAGCAAAGGCGGCAAAGAGGCCGAGGAAGACAGAGGTCTTGATGGAGAACATGTTGGTGTGGAAGAAGAGGTGCGAGGCAAAAGGAAACTTTGAGATAATACGAAGAAAAAGTCAAGGAGCCAGCCCGAGACTTGAGAGTTGAAGTGGTAGAAGAAAGAAGCTTGAGAGTCGTTGAGTGATGGTGAAAGGAGGAGACGACGAGGCGAGGGGAGGGATCTTATACCTTTGCGGGTCCAAGTCAATCGTCAATCGAGATTTACAAGAGGGCCCATCCGACGCTGTACATCCCCGTATAGAGAGGTCAAAGAGCTGGCTCTACGCCCGCGAACGTCTGCTGAGAGCGCGCATCGATATGGCGTCACGCCAAGCTCCGTGAACCATACAAGGTCAGCGAGGAAGGTCAATGAGGGGAGACCGTGGTCTGAGAGCATGTTTCAGCTGTAAACCCATGACATCGACGCTGCGTTGAGCCACATCGCTTGGGAGCGATTCGCAAAGGAGGTTCTCGGGCGCCCGATTGACGAGGGCGTCAGGGCATGACAGCCAGCTGACTGCGGACATTGAGGTTGGCGAAGTGATGAGCGGAGGTCGCTTCAGCTGTCAGGTACCAGGGCACGCTTGTTTCGATTTGGAAGAAGCTTACTTTGGGTATCGAGACGCGTGTCGGCGTCCAATGCTGCGTCATGGACCAGAGAATGTGGAGCAGAAGTGAGATGTAGGCTCGCTGCGCCTGGGCGTTGCGACGCCAACAGAAGCGAACGCACGGACGGGCCTCGCGTGGCGCACCCGATTTCAGGCACCAACGACCGAGCGACACGAGCCTGCCGCGCCCCAGCTCAACGGGCATTGATGCGAGCCGATGCGAATGACAGCTTGAACGCCGCAACCAGACCAACTCAACTTAACTCAATCCCATCTTGACCAAACCACACGAGTTGCTCAACCTCATCAATGCAAGCTCTGAGACGAGGCCCGAGCGATCTGGTCCACCATGCTTACAGCTGCGCGGGGCGTCGAGGTCAGCACCTGACGATCTTCAGGGGCGGGAGGCCACCCTCAAATGTTCCTTTACGCGACCAGATTTTGCCTCACATTGACAACAATGACGCCTCGCTCATCACGATGCCCGATTGAGAGGCGCCTCTCTGGCTCATCGGAGCTCGCGTACCTCACTATCAAGGTACCCTCGCCCTGATTAACGTCCGAGAAACGCCTGGCGTCGCAATCCCAAGGCAACGACAATGGCGACACCCTTCTTCGCTATGGTTCTCGCAGCGTTGCTGTGTAGCTACACGATGAATGCGAAAGATGTCATTGCGATCGTCGAACTTGCTCGAAAGCTACAAAAAGGGCGTCCTGCCAACGGTCGTCCTCTTCTTTCCCCATCCTCTCTTCACTCTTCTCTTCTCAGCTTACCACTTCAACAAGTCCCAGCGCCGGTCGCTAGCCTTTTCAACACCTCCTTCTTAGCTTAGCAAGATGTTCTCTCTCAACCAATCTCGATCCCTCATCGCCTTCGCCCTGGCCAGCGCAATGATGGTCTCAGCCCTCCCCGCCGCCATCCCCGGCGATGACATCCACGTCCGCGACTCGAACAGCGTGGTCCGCCGTGACGGTCCCTCGATCGAGCAGCTCCTCGAGTCGTGCCCTGGTGGATCGACGGGCAACGCGGACAAGTGCACCTTCGAGCCCGACGGAAACACGCAGACTGTCTACCAGTACCTCGTCTCGGACACCATCTCTAACTGCGACTCCAACTCCCAGGCACCCGCTACGGCCAATGAAGTCGTCACCAAGACTTCGACCGACTCCTTCTCCTTCGGCGGGTCTGTCGGTTCCGGCGCAGAGTACGAGGGCATCGGAGCCAAGATGACCATCACTGCCACCTACGAGCACGGCAAGACTGTCTCGCACAGCGAGGGCGTCAAGGTCACGGCAAACCCTGGCCAGCAGGCTGGCCTGGTCGTACAGCAGGGCTACACTCGCCACACCGGCCGCGTCAAGGTGCAGTACGGTAATCAGGTAGACGGCCATTACTTCTGGTATGTCAATGGGATGAACCAGGACACCGTCAACGAGGGAGACGAGCACAAGAGCGGCTACGGGTTCGATTGCGGCTCTTCGCCTCAGAGCAAGATCGACGAATGGAACGCCAACCCTACGAACAAGCAGTTCAAGTAGAGCGTGCGCGAATGGCGACGCGGAGGCTCCTTATCTCTCTCTCTTCTCTCGGCACGCTTGATGCGGCTGAGCAGCTTTGTCTCTCTAGGCTCCAATTTCATGAGCCTGCTCTGACTCCTCGCTCGATCGATGGCTTTGACTGACGAGTGAGAACGCTCTGCTCTTATTGACGATATGCAACGATGTTCGAGTGTCACTGCGAGCCCAACGAGTCTGAGAGATGAAAGGTTCCTTCAGCCAAAGAGTCGGATGTCGAAACCATCCGTTACGCCGCAGCTTGCACAGGCACAGCCTTCTCCCCCTCTTCCTGGGCCGCTCCTCCTGTACCATCCAGAGTAGGTCCGGGAGCGCCGGGCACCTCAATAGGCTCAGGCCCTGATCCAGCCGCTTCCTCCAACAAGCGGCACTCCTCCTCCACCTTTGCGTTCTTCTCCGCCAACCATCGCATAAGATCCACAGCTTGAAACAGGACTGCGCTCTTGCTTCCCGCGCCACCGCCGGCCGATCCGCCTCTTCCTCTTCCCTTGCCCTTGCCGCGAGAAGCAGCAGCCGATGCCGCCGCCGCCGCCGCTGCGGCAGAAGAGCTCCCGGGCCCACCAGCAGCAGCAGCCGCAGCGAGCGCCGCCGCCTTGGCAGCTTGTAGAGCTTGCGTCTTCTTCTGCCTCGCCTTCTTCCTTCTCTGCCGCGCGACAGCTCGCATCTCCTCATCACTCTCCTCCTCGCAGCTCTCCACGTCCGTGCGATCATCCAGCCCTTCGTCTTCGATTCCCGTGCCGGCACCACTGCTCAACCCCAGCCCGCGCGCTCCGTAGAGGCGGCCGAGGTCGAGCAGGGTGACAAGCTCAGTGAAGCCCTCACGGATGTGGTTGCGACGACGTTGCTCCGAGAGGATGTGGTTCTGACGCTTCTCCTTCTCGGAGAGGAGCTCGCGCTTTGCGAGGTCGGCAGCCGAGGCGGATGCTGATGCGGATGATGAAGGGGCACGGGCATGGCGTGAGGGGGACGATGAGTGCTGCTGCTGCTGCTGCTGCGAAAAGGCAGACCAAGCAGCCGAGGGCGGCATGAATCCTCCATTGCCCTGCAGACTGCTCTCGGCTTGCTGCTGCGAAATGGCGAGGCTTCCTCTCCTCTTCTCGTCGCCTATTCGCCCATTGAGCGCGGCGTGGCTGCGCTTGCTGCCTAGTGCGCCTGCTCCTGGTCCCTTGCCGTAGCTCGTGGACCCATCCTCGTCCTCGTCATCCATGTCGTCGAGATGATGAGTTCCAAAGGCCGCGCTCGAGGTTACGTCGTCCATCGAAGCTGCGCCTCCGGGAGGGGTAGTACTCTCCCCTCGCCCATACGAGTGCGTGCCGGTTCCCACTCTCCTCCCTCTTCTCCTACCACTGATCGTCCCTTCTCTCGGACTCGTGACGGTCTGTCCACCGGACGAGTTCGAAGACGACCCTCCTGCTTGCCCCGTAGGCGTTCTCCCATCCGCACTGCTGGAGCTCGCTGCGTACCCTGGCCCACTCGGGTATCTTGCGTGATGCTGTGCGGCCGCAATGGCGAACGAGGGCATGTTCTCTGGCATGCCGGCCGGGTTGAAGTCCCAGTTTTGCTCAAAACCCTCCAAGAAGCTCGAGAGGAAGTCCGTCTCGCGGGTATCGAAGAGAGGTTGAGGCGGGGGTGGAGCGGGGAAGGGTGGACCGCCCACACCGTGCCCGGTCGGAAATTGCTGGTGAGGCTGCTGATGCTGGTAATGATGCGGCTGGAGATGAGGATGTGATGAGGATGAAGGTGGCCAGGGTTGGGATGCATTCGGATTGGAGGAGATGACGAGGCCCGGCATAGTGTTACTGGGGCCAGGTCGTGTCGAGGAAGAGGCCTCTGTCGGGCTCTTGGCGCCGCCGAAGAGCGAGTCGAAGGAGAACATTCCCTCTCCCTGTGGTGGCGGGGGAGGAGGACCGGTTGGCGGCTGCGGCGGTCCAGCTGGAGGTTGGCTGCCACTGCCACTCGGCGTGCTCGTCATGACTGAATCTTCGCCTCCATGACCCGTCTGGCCCATCGGCGTGTTCCCCGTCGGCCCGCCAGTAGCGGCCGCAGGTGTATGCACCGCAGGCGTCGCAGTACCAAAGAGGGCCGACGAGGACACGAGCGAAGGCGTCATGCTGCCTGCGCCGCTAGAGCCGCCGAAGAGCGTCTCAAAATCGGACGACTGGAGCAGGGAGAGGTCGCTTGCCTGAAGGTTGTCCGGGAGGTCAAGGGAAAAGTGGAAATCTGGGAGTAGAAGCATAAGGGTCAGGACTCTACGCTGCATTCCTGGAGCTCGAGCCTCTCGCTGAGCTCACCTTCATACGGCACAGGCATAGGCGGAAGATCAAAGCCAGAAGGCTGTTCCATCCCAGAAGACGTCTTAGACATGGCCGGAGTCGCCTGCTGACTACTGCTTGCTGTTGCCCCACTCGTTGCAATCATCGTCGAGGTTGATGGTGAGAAGAAAGAAGGCGAAGCGAAGTCCCCGCTACCGGGCGTACTGGCAGCCGTCGTTGGCGGGCGATGTTGGCGTGGAGTCGTCGCAGTGCTCATGATGACGACGGCAATGGGCACTGCGAGCGGCTAGAGGAGCGGCCTTTGAAGATGAGGATGATTGAACAAAGGAGGGGAGCGAGGACAGGGAGAGGGAGAGATGCGGCGTCTCCGGCTCTCGTGTGCGTGAGGTCTCAGAGCAAGTCGTGACAAATGGAGATGAGGGCACGCCGGCGTACCGGTTGTATGCAGCTAACGTCGCCGCTGACGATGAGAAGCAGCGACTTGGCGAAAAGGAGGACGGCGGTGTTGACGAGGAAAACGAAGGGGCCCGTATGCTCGCCGTTTGCGGGGTATAACAGCGATGATGATGATGATCTTGGTGGCCGAGGGCCAGGCTTCGCTGCCTAGCTGCGCGAGCGGGTGACGCTTTCGAGCTGCACAAGTCTGCAGCAGCAGCCTCGTCCGTCCGTCCGTCTCAGTCGACCGGGCGGAGACGGCGACAATGGGTGAGAGCCTCTCGTACGACGGGGACTGAGATCCAAGCTGAGTCTCAAGGACGAATACCAAGGTCGACGACGACGTATGCACGCAGCAGCTTGATGGAGTCCGAACGGTGGGTCAGGGGACGACTGATGTGGTGAGGATGATAGGGAATGACTTGGTAATGAGGAGAAGAAGAGGGAGATGGGGGAGGGGAAAGTGGCAGCCTAGCCGGGACTGTGGAAGGAGCCCCGCACGGCAAAGTGAACTACTGGACCCAGGCAGAGGACAAGATGAGAGCCGAGAGCCACAACGACGCCCGGCAGCCAAGAAGCGCTCAACCAGGCATCACAAGCCTTGACAATTGCCATTGAGACCATCTCGCGCTAGGACATGGCATCCATCTCTGCTGCTTAAGCGCACTACGCCAACGCCATCTGCCGCTGCGCTAAGACGCTGCTGCGCTTAGATTGACTGATTGATCGCGAGCCTCGAAGCGCTCGAGGGGGACCCTCCTTTCCTCCCGCTGCGCCTACTCTGCTTTGAGTGGCTCATTCTTTCTGTGCTCCGCTCGCTCGCACGACCGCTTCGCATCAATAGATCGCTTGTGGCCCTTGGCTCAGACCCGAAGATCGACGCTATATCGTGCGACTTTCTTCGATTTCAGAGACGCTCCGCTAGGCTGGTGGATCTGGAAGCCGTCCATCGATGCCGTTCAGCAGCAAGGGGCGGATGAGACGACAGGACCTGGAAGCATGACTGATCGGGGTGATATTGGATACGGGAGGCTGCATACGATATACGGTGGCTTGAGGCGGAGGCGGGGACGCCGCGGGATCAAGACGTCATGCTCACAAAGCAGCGCAATATCAGCGCTTCGCACAGCCCGCCATCCTCCTCTCACTATAGTCGCCGTTGAATGAAGGCGTCACGAGTGCTTGCTTGTACTGCTTCATCAGTTCCCACCCCCACGCTGAGGTCGAAAAGTAGTGTCCTTGGCCGGCTTGCAATGTGGTCCCCGTTCGATCATCGTTGGTCCTGACGCACAGATAGCGAGGCCGCCAGCCAGCCAGCCAGCCAGCCAGCCATCACTCGGCCTTCCCGTGTCCGCTGCTCCTGCCTCCCGCCTCGCCCCTCACTACTCAACCCCACTCTACGCCAACCATGACGTCCCCGATCACCTGCCATGTCCTCGACAGTGCACTTGGCAGGCCAGCTGAAGGTGTAGAGGTCCGTCTGGAGCTGCTCAGTGATCGCGACGACGGCACTAACAGCTCAGAGCTGCTTGGCACAGGGTGAGCTCAATTGACGTCCGATACTAGCCTCAGCCAAGGGAAGGGCTGCTCGCTCACCACCCTTCACCTTCCCCGATCGTCAGCCAAACAAATGCAGACGGACGCTGCACCAGCCTCCTCCCATCGTCACACACCCTGACCTCCGCATCGTCGTATCGTCTCACATTCCTCACTGGCCCCTACTTCGCTCGAGACGCACGCAAGACCTTCTATCCGCGCGTGGAGATCCTGTTCACTGTGAGCGAACCGGCAGAGAAGCATTATCATGTACCACTGCTTTTGAGCCCCTTTGGTTATACGACCTATAGGGGTTCGTGAGTGTGGGCGAGAGGAGGACGAGAAGGGAGGGGGGGGGGGGTCGAGGTGGAGTAATTTGTAGACGAACGACGATGAGTTGCACGACCTCAATATCACACAAAAGGTCACACAACGAGGAGACTTCTCGACGGCTTCAGGATCCATCTGCCTGCCTCTGCGCCATCGTCGTCCACGAGCTCAATCGTGATCCCTCATCTTCAGAGTATGAATGCGCGTACGCAGATGTTGAGATTGCTATCTCACCTCACGCACGTCAAGGCGTGACAGGAGGTTGGGTGTGATGAAGTGTACAAGAGAGTGCGGGAGAGGAAGCCACGACCGACCGAAGAGCTCCAAAGCTAATGGAGAGCTTTACGCCTTGAGGACGTAACGGCGCTGGCCGAAGTGGACCTGCTTCTTGTGCTCGCGCTCAGTCTGCTGGCTGCGCTCGTGCTGGAAGAGGAGGAAGGAAGATGATGAGTTAGTCGTCTCTTCGATGATAGTGATAGTGATTTCGGACGGCTGGGGCGACGAGGCGAGGGAAGCCCAGCTCAAAGAGAGTCGCTCAAATGAACGCCTTTGGCCTCTCGACGGCTGTAGCAGGATGTCCGCCCCCGGCCTAGCGCCCGCCGCCTTTGCAACCCTTCATTCCATCGTCTGCATCCCCGCAGCACCGAATCGCTATTCCTGCCTTTGTTGATCTCGAAGACGTGCTTCAAGCCCCATCCCTCTTTGTGGGACCTGCCGCCCCCGTCTCCCTGCCCAACCCGTCGTCTTCGCTGGTGCCCTCGCCCTTCGTCTCAGCTTGATAGCGCATGCTCACCTTGGTCAGCCTCCTGCGGATAGCACGAGTCTTCTTGGCACGGAGGTCGAGGGGCTGGTACTTCTTGCCCTTATAGAACTCGCGGAGGTTGGCGCGCTGCTTCTGGTTCATGACAGTGAGGACGCGGGCGATCGACTTGCGGGTCGAGTTGCTGCGAGGGAGAAGGGAGGTGAGGAGTTGATGTGTGAGCAATCATACTCGGTAGATTATTTGGATGATGCCTCCTCCAGGCTGCCTCCTCGTCCATCATCGTCCTGCCCGCAACGAGAATTCGAACATTTGCTCGAGGCCGAAGAGGGTCGCCCTGCCCAAATAGTCCACCTCCCGATCTCGTCCATGGCCGAGCGATCGCTCTGCTCCCTCCCTTGCGTCCTCTTCATTTGTCCAGCCATGCCCACGTCACGCCGCCTGCGATGCTCACATCCTGGTCAGCTTGCTGGAAGCACCACCAGCGACCTTGGCCACACGGAGCTGGAGGAGCTCGCCCTTGAGCTCCTCGAGCTGCTTGGTGAGGTCGGCCTTGGACTTGCCGGTGAGTTCGTGAGCCTTGACCTTTGCCATTTCGACGATGAAGAATAGGGTGAGGGGATAAGAAGGGGAGGTGGTAGTGAAGAAGATTCGACGATCTCGAAGTTGTCGTCGAGGCGTGCGGCGAGCGAGGCGGGTGGGCAGGCGGGGCGGCACAACTCGATTCGTCTGGCTGGGCGGCTGCTGCTTGCTTGCCCGCCTTGCTCGCTCGAGACTTTGAATCGAGCAGAGGGCCAGGCGGAGACCGCGCGCAGCTCAAGGCCTCATCTCCGTCGGCTCCGAGACGCTGCGATGAACCAGCCCTCTTTCCGTCCGACCCAAGCCAGCAACAACGGCCGGATGCAGCATCGCTCCTCTGCATCAACAGACAAGACTTCGTGTGGTAACAAGCTGTAGGCCACGGCTCCCACCTGTACCAAACTACCCCGCTGCGCACATTTGGCAGAAAGCGATCACTTCCTGTACACGTCCGCTAGTTCGCTACCTCAGGCCACTTGGCTGTTGTACCTGTAAAGCAGTTGGCCGAGACGAATACGACGAGGCAGACGAACTCGTGGCTCTCTCAATCGCACTGCAGTCGCGTGCTTGTACCTTAGCAAAGTAGACTTGCAGCAATGGACGACGACAACTTTGACCTGTATGGCGTGAGTAGCTGGTCCACATTGCAAGGCTCCGTAATAGCTAGGCAGCGATCGACGGAAGGCAGGCATGGAGAGGATCCATTTCAGTGGAGGTGGCAGCCTATATGCCACAAAGAGCGCTCGCTGACGCTCGATCATCGCTTGTTTCATGTACATCTCGCTCTCTATTCACCTTGCGCTGCCAGGATACGGACCTGTACTCATCGGCTGCTGGAGCAGGTGGAGGCGACGATGAGGAAGACTTGTTGGGCCTTGATGACAACGATGCGCAGGCCGGTGACAAGAGGCGACGCGAGGACAGCGTAGGCCGCAATGACGGCGGAAAGGTAAGACAGAGATGACAGTGGGAGGAAGTCATCAGGGTGTGCGCGTGCTGACTCGTAGCGTCTTCGTCGAAAGGCCGGCACGTCAACTTCGACTCCCTTTTTGCCGCCTCCCCGTGAACAACAGCAGCCTCAGCAACAGCCTCAGCAGCCCTCGCCTGCTCCTCAACAGCAGTATCAGCAGCCTCCGCCCCAGCAGCAGCAGCAGCAGCCTCCTTCTCAACAGCAGCCCTACTCTCAACAGCAGCTCCCCACATCCCCCATCTCCGCCCGCCAAGCCCTCGCTGGCCGCCCAAAAGTACAGGACCCCACAATCCAGAACGCTCTGTACATCGGTGACCTCAACTGGTGGACATCAGATGAGGACATTCGCTCCGTCGCCGTCTCCCACGCTGGCGTGGACCTTCTGCTCTCCGATGTGACCTTCTCTGAGCACAAAGTCAACGGCAAGAGCAAGGGGATCGCATTCGTAGAGTGTGCGAGCCAGGAGGAGGCTACTAGACTAAAGGAGTGGTTCGATGCGAACGAGTTTCAATTCAAGCGCTGCAACGCCACGCTGACGACGAGCGCGAATGGAAATCCGTTCAAGACGTGGGTACGAGCGACGCAGGAATGAAGCAAAGGCCGCGAATGCTGACGAACGACCTCTCTGCGACACCTCTCACGCGCGCACAGCCTGCCGAAGGAAGCACCGCAACGCGACAACGCATCCGGTGGACCCAACCGTGGCGGTGGCATGTTGAATGGCGGGCCCCGTGGAGGCGGTATGATGGGCAACAACGCTATGAACCGTGGAGGCGGCAATATGGGTGGGATGGGCCGAGGAGGCGGCAACATGGGTGGAATGCCCATGGCAGGCGCGCCTATCCGCATGGGCGGGGGCCAGGGGGGACGTGGTGGCTTCAACAACAATGCCAACAATGGTATGATGGGCGGCGGGATGCAAGGCATGGGCGGGATGAACATGGGTCAAATGGGTATGGGGATGCCAATGATGGGGATGCAAGGGATGATGGGTGGTGGCGGTGTTGGCGGGAACAACATGAGAGGAGGCATGAGAGGGGGCTTCCGAGGAGGACGTGGAGGAGGAATGAACATGATGGGTGGAGGGCAGGGTCACTTTGTGAGTCTGAGCATCGCCAAAGCGCTCAGCTTCGTCAGTGTGGGCGTCAGACTGACCTGACTCCTCTTCGACATCGCTCACAGAACCCCAACTTCTTCGGTGGTGGAGGCGGCAACCCGATGATGATGATGATGGGCAATCAAGGTCAAGGTCAAGGGCAAGGTATGCCTGGCGCTCCCTCTGGCCCTTCTGCTGACGACAGGGCGCCCAAGCGACCCCGAGGGGACGAGGGTGGGCAGTAGCCACGAGAAGGGGGAGGGAGCACGATAACAACAACCCGCAACATTTGCACATATTCACCACGCCTCTTTCTGACATACGAACAATGCTATTATGATTCGAATGCACTCAACAGATGCGTGACGAGCAAGAAGTCGTATCGTAGCGCTCAGTGCTGCGCCGCACCATTCACGGGCGCGGTCCCCTGCGCAGCCGCAGCGTCTGCAACGGCGCTGTCCCTCCTCGCGGGGCTCCTGGCCCCAACAGGCGTAGCCGCTCCCTCTCCTGCCGCTGCGTCGCTCAGCGCGGGCACTGCAGTAGTCTTCTTCTTTTCCCCACCCAACTTAGCCATTGCCGCATCTTCCTCCGCCCGCGCTTCACCGTCCACCTGACCCAGGACCATCATGCTACTCGGGTGCGGGGGCTTGTACTCCCCACCGCGTCCCAACTGCTCGCCCAGCACATCCATACCGCAAGCTGCTGCCACCAGTCCAAGGAAGGGCGGAGACGGGTTGAGCGGCCGCGAGGCGAACTCAGGGTGGGCTTGCATGCCCACGAAGTACGGGTGGTCCTGCATCTCGAGGATTTGCATGCGTTGGCCGGAGGTGGAGCGGCCGACGAAGCGAAGGGAAGTCGAGGGCTCCACCTCACCGCCGCTCTGCTCGCTGCCGTGAATGGACGCTGTTGCTGCGTCTGAGCCGAGGGTCGAGAAGGCCGATGCGGACGAAGACGCACGACGGAAGGAGCGGACAGAAAGGCCGACATTGTCGGATCCAGGATAGCCAAGCCGCGGGCTCGTAGGTCCGTTGGACGCTGCGGACGATGTTGAAGCACTTTCCGCCTTCGCAGCAGCAGCTGCATCCCCTCCAGCTTCGAGCTGCGCAACCAGGTCCGGATTGATCTCGTAGCGATGACGATGGCGCTCCCAGCACACGTCGCCGTTGCCATAGAGTCGGCGGATCTTTGACCAGGACTCGCTTCCTTGTGAGAAGACGGAGGGGCGGAGACCGAGACGCATCGTACCACCGAGGTGGGTTTTGGAAACTTCTGGCATGTAGAGCACCACGGGATGGCTGCACTCCGGCTCGAGCTCGCTCGAATTGGCGCCTGCCCATCCGCAGACATTCCTTGCGTATTCGATGACGGCCACCTGGAAGCCCAAGCAGATACCAAGGAAGGGCACTCCCTTCTCTCTCGCCCACTTGGCCGCGCTGATCATCCCTTCCGTTCCTCGGTGTCCAAATCCTCCGGGCACAATGATGCCCTTTGCGCTGCAGAGGGAATGCCATGCCTCATGGTATCGTACCGGATTGTCGCTAGACGTCTGCGGCTCCAAGTCGGACGAGTCTACCCACTTGAGCTTGAGCTTGCGATGGCACCTGAGTGCAGCGTGCTCCAGACTCTTGACGACTGACATGTACGAGTCCTGGAGGGATGTATACTTGCCAACGAGGACAATCTCGACTGAGTCGATCATCCTGTCGTGGCCCGCCGTGAGCTCCCTCCAGCGTCTGCGCAAGTCACGCCCGACGTCCTTCTTGGCCGCCTCCATACCGCGCAGCTCGAGGCCCAGCCTTCGCTCGAAGAAACGCACCATACCCTGCTGTTCGAGAAGAAGCGGTACGTGATAGGTGGACTCGACGTCGTGCACGCCCAGCACCTGGTCGGGACCGACATGGCAGAACATGGAGAGCTTGTTGATGACCGCCGGCGAGAGAGGGATCGGGCATCGTGCTGCGATCATGTCTGGTACGAGGCCGAGCCCGCGCAAGTCGCGAATGGCGGCTTGGGTAGGCTTCGTCTTTTGCTCCCCACCGATGACGGGAACGAGGGAGACGTGGATGAGGGCGAAGTTGTCTTGTCCTACACGGAATTGGAACTGACGGAGAGCCTCGACGAAGGGGGCTGACTCGATATCGCCTACTGTGCCGCCCAGCTCTACGATGCAGACCTCGGGGGGCAGGCCAGTCGAGTCGACTGGTTGGGATGCGACGCGCTCCAGCCAATCTTGAATTGCGTTCGTGAGGTGGGGAACGATCTGAACCGTCTTGCCAAGGTAGTCACCTCGGCGTTCCTGCGAGAGAGAGATCGCGCACGAGCGAAGCGGGCCAGTGATCAGCAAGAGGGCAGTATTGGCGCAGAGATGTCGCTGTGGCTATCCTCACCTTTTCAATGACTTGTCGGTAGATCTTTCCGGTCGTGATGTTGTTATCGCGGCTGAGGGTGACATCGAGGTATCGCTCGTAGTTTCCTAGGTCGAGGTCAGCCTCTCCTCCGTCATTAAGGACGAAGACCTCTCCGTGTTCCGTAGGGGCCATAGTTCCAGCATCGATGTTCATGTAGGGGTCAATCTTGATAGCTGTGACCCTCAGACCAAGCGTCTTGAGCAAGAGACCCGTCGACGAGGCTGAGAGGAAGAGCGCAGCACAGCATAAAATAGCAGAGGTTGAGCAGGCGATCCTCTGAATCAGCCTGTCTCGCAGCGATGCTCACCAATGACACCCTTGCCAATGCCCGAGATGACACCTCCGCTGACGACGATGAACTTGGTCATGGCGGGCGACGAGGGGGAGCGCAGCAGGAGCCGAGGGTTGATGGAGAGGTAATGCTAGGATGGGATGGATAAAGAGTCGGAGACGGCAGCCAACGAGTTCAAGTCGCGTCGACGACGAGCGGACAATCTCAAATTTCGGAAATTGGCTCGCACAGGCGCGCCGCGGCGGCAACGAGGGAGGGAGACGGGCGACATCGAGGCGTCCAGCGTGGGTAGGGGAATTAAGAACAATGGCGGCAGAAGCATTGGTGAGGCTATTGTTGGGTTCAAGTTGAGATGACCCCGTTTGCACAGCCCAAGGCTGACTGACGAGCGACTGCTATTCACACTGCCTGGTTGGACACTGAGAAGAGTCAACCTTCGTCGTCGTGTTGGCTGCCTGCGTTGCCCGCCCGGCTTGGCTTGCCATCCTGCCCGTTCGCCCGCCCTGCTCCCGTCGTCGTTGGTTGACGCGGCCTCACTCGAGCGAGCGGGTGGAGCAACCAACGCCGCCTCGCTCGAGCCTTGCAACCTTCTCACCATCATCACCACCATCATCACCCTCGCATCGTCACGATGAGCAACGTAGAGAAGAAGCAGGAGGCGGATCTGTGAGTAGCAGGCACGCCACTTAACAGCTCATCTGCCATCAGACTGACCGTCTGCCCTCCACCGCTCGCAGCACCGCCGATGTCGACGCTCTTCTCCCCGAGGCCGAGCAGCTCGCCAAGTCAGGCCAGCTCCCCTCGGCCCTCGAGAAGCTCGCTGTCCTCGAGAAGAAGTCTCGTCAGGCAGCAGACATGGTCAGCACCACTCGCCTCCTCCTAGCCTCCCTCGCCCTCATCCGCTCCACCCCGTCAACCTCCAAGACAAATTGGCAGCTCATGAACGACACCATCATCTCCCTCTCCAGGAAGCATGGTCAGCTCAAGCAAGCCACGACCAAGATGGTACAGGCGGCCATGTGCTACCTTCAGCCTCCGGGATCCGCCCCTGTTGAGGTGACGGAGCCACCCAAGGAGGAGGAGGACACGAAGATGGAGGAGGCAGCGAAGACGGTCGAGGCTAATGCCAAGGATGGGGTATCAGCCGCTGAGGAGCCCAAGTCGGAGAGGGAGAAGGACAAGGAGAGGAAGAGGCTGGAGAAAGAGAGGGAAGGGAAAGAGGCAGAGGCTGTCACAAAGCTGCTGGAGCAGGCGAGGAGAACCGGAGATGAAGGACTTGACCCGACAGCAAGGAGAAAGCTGGTCGAGACGCTGCGACAGGTGACCGAGGGCAAGGTAAGTTCGCGCGAGAGGCGGAGGTGACGACACGACGTGAATCTCATATTGACGCCTTCTCATTGCCCTTGCAGATCTTTGTCGAAGTTGAGCGAGCTCGCGTCACCCGCATGCTCTCGACAATGCTCGTAGAGGAGGGCAACCTCAACAAGGTGCGAGCGAGCGAGGGGAAAGGCAGCATACCGTCTTGATATTGGCGCTTACATCTCAGTCCTCCTCTACTCGCAGGCCATTGAAGTGCTGCAGGACCTTCAGGTCGAGACTTTCGGCAGCATGGAGCGTAGGGAGAAAACGGAGTTCATCATCGAGCAGATGCGCCTCAATCTCGAGAAGAAGTGAGCTGAGCCCATCACAGCATGGAATGACGACCTTGTAGCAGCGAGTGACTAATCTTGACTCTGCCTATCCCTCTCACAGGGAATATGTCCAACTAGTAATCGCCTCGCGCAAGATCAACACAAAGTTCTTCAAGGACGCAGCCCAGCACGACCTCAAGCTGCAGTACTACGAGTACATGATCCAATGGGCTGTCCATGAGAAGAAACACCTCGACGCTTGCAAGTTCTGGCGTGAAGTTCTCGACACGCCCCGCGTCAAGGAAGAAGAAGCCAAAGCCGCCGAAGCCCTCCGCAATGTGGTCGTCTTCCTCGTGCTGGCGCCCTACGACAATGAGCAGAGCGATTTGATGGCTCGCGTTGAGGCTACGGAGGATTTGGACTCAGTGCCCGAGCACAAGAACCTGCTCAAGTGCTTCACCACACCCGAGCTCATGCGCTGGCCTGGTATCGAGGCGCTCTACGGCCCTCTTCTGCGTGGCACAGCCACCTTCGAATCCAACACGACGGAGGGGCAGTACAGATGGGAAGAGCTGCACAAGCGCGTAGTAGACCACAACATTCGCGTTGTATCCAAGTACTACACGCGCATCACCCTCGCCCGCCTAGCACAGCTACTCGACCTCCCCGTTAAGGAGGCAGAGCAGGCCCTTTGCGGCTTGGTCACTTCAGGGACCGTCTGGGCGCGCATCGATCGTCCGGAGGGGGTTGTGTCGTTGCAGAAGAAGCAGGATACGCAGGAGCAGCTCAACAGCTGGAGCGGAGATATCAATAAGTTGATGACGCTGGTGGAGGAGGCGGCGCATTTGGTCAACAGGGAGAGGGCGGTTGTGAGGGCGGGGTTGGGAGCGTGAATGTGCGCACGCCGGATAGAGCAATGAAAACGAGATGACGAAGTGCGGAGCATTGACCTTCCGATGCCGTGAATGGTGGACTCGCTGCTTGAGGTCGTCACCACACGATCCCCTTTCTTCTCAACGCCCGTGCGTGACACGCGCTTTTGACCTCAATCGAAGGTGTTGATTGCTGCCTCCTCGCCCGTCCCGCTGCCGCCTGGCGCCTGGAGCTTGTGCCCGCTGGGCTGGATGGCTCCGCCCGTCTTCCGACGCGACGCCTTGACTTCTCTGCGTGCGTCGTCCTTCCAACCCAACACCATCCGATCCATCCGCTCCCCGCTCGCCCTCTTTATACCAGTGTATATCCCCACGTCGAGCTCGTTGATCGGACCGTGAGCACGGCGGGACACAGACACCGCGCAAGGAGTATCCTGCTCACAGCACACCCGCGAATCGAATCACCTCGACATCCCATCGCGCACGCACTCGCAGGCACGCCTCATCTTCTCCCCATTTCCCTGACCCCACTCTACAAGAATGAGGGAAATCGTACGTGTCAAGATCGATGTTTGAGACATTCGGAGCACCACTCTGACACCCATATATCCCCTCTCTGCGCCCGTCGCCGCGCTCAGGTTTCCATCGGTGTCGGACAATGTGGTAACCAGGTCAGCCAGGCCTTTTGGGCCGGCCTCCTCTTGGAGCACGGTCTTGATGAGAATGGAGTAAGTAGAGCAGTCATAAGCAGGTGAGAAGAGTAGGATACTGACAAAATACTGTCGCTGTACTCGTCGCGCCTCGCAGCAATACGTCGGCAACAACCCAAACCAGATCGACAAGGCCAACGTTTTCTTTGAACCTAGTGGAGTTGAGGGAAAATGGGTCCCCAGGTGAGCTACGTCGATGCAAAGAGATAATATCAGAGAGCACTGAGTCTGATGCTATTCCCCGCTGCTCGCACACAGGTCTATTCAGGTTGACTTGGAGCCCGGGACAATGGACGCCTTCCGCAACTCCAAGTGAGGACCAATTCCAATTGCCGCACGAGATCGTCTACTTCTGCCCACATGCTGACTACGCGCCGCTTTGCCGCAGATACTCGCATCTCTTCCGCCCAGACAACTTCGTGGCAGGCAACAATGGAGCGGGCAACAACTTTGCCAAGGGTTACTACACCGAAGGCGCCGAGCTCATCGACTCGGTCCTGGACGTGGCCCGCAAAGAGGCCGAGCGAGCGGAGATGCTGCAGGGATTCTCGCTGATGCATTCGCTCGGTGGCGGTACCGGCTCCGGACTGGGTACCAACCTCCTCTCCAAGCTGAGGGAAGAGTTCCCTGACCGAATGCTCAGCACCTGGAGCGTGCTCCCAAGCCCCAAGGTCTCGGACACCGTCGTTGAGCCGTACAATGCTACGCTGTCGTTCCACCAGCTGGTCGAGCAGGCTGACATGTCCTTCTGCTTGGACAATGAGGCGCTGTACGACATCTGCCAGCGGACGTTGCGCAAGAAGGATCCCAAGTACGAGGACCTCAACGCTATCATCGCGTCGGCCATGAGCGGGTGCACGACCACGCTGCGATTCCCGGGCCAGCTCAATGTGAGTGGGCCTAAGACAAGACAATGTTCGAGAGAGACGGAAGGCTGACACTGCTGATCATCCCCTCGTCAGGCCGACCTCCGCAAGCTCGGTGTCAACATGGTCCCGTTCCCGCGTCTGCACTTCTTCACCTGCTCCTACACTCCCCTCATCGCCCCCGGCGCCAAGGCCTACCAAAATCTCTCCGTGCCCGAGCTCACTGCGCAGGGCTTCGATCCCAAGAATGTCATGGCTGCCATCGACCCTCGTCTGGGCAAGATCCTGACCATGGCCGGTATCTACCGTGGCAAGATCGGCGGCAAGGCAGTAGAGGATGCCATGAATCAGCTGCAGACCAAGCAGAGCAATCTCTTCGTCGAGTGGATCCCGCAGAATACGCTTCACAGCTTGTGCGATGTGCCGCCGCCGCAGAGCAAGATGTCGGCCACATTCATCTCGAACAACACGGCAATCCAGGAGCTCTTCAAGGTGAGTGTGCGGCTGGCTAAAAACTCGCATCGTCTCTACAAGCGGGCGCAGAGGAACCAGACTGACCCTCGACCTCACCCCTCGACCGCCCCTCGCAGCGCACCGCCGACCAGTTCGCGATCATGTTCCGCCGCAAAGCTTTCCTTCACTGGTTCACGGGCGAGGGAATGGACGAGATGGAGTTCACAGAGGCCGAGTCCAACTTGCAGGACCTCATCGCCGAGTACCAGCAGTACGAGGCTGCAGGATACGACGAGGACGAGGAGGGCATCTACGAGGAGGAGTACCTGCCGGAGGGCGAGGATGGTGGTGCTGTGATGCAGCAGGAGGGCGCAGAGGAGTCGTACGTCGAGTAGCAGAGCGTGCTCACGCAAGAGGAAAGGAAAGAGATGAGATGAGAGAATGTACGCCGCTGCTCCGGACTCTCTTCTGAATGTATGCGTTGTCGACCATTCACTCGTCCTCTCTCTAGAGCCTCAGCCATCGTATCGCACTCGCAGCTCGCAGTCGCCTTCGTAGCCGTGCGTTGTCGTCTGCGCCCTATTTGGTCGCTTTCAGGCACGAGAGCAGAGGCCAGGGGCGGGGCGTCGATCGTTGAGCCGCGGAGCGGATGGATGGATGTGGTCTCAGAGCGGGAGGGAGGGCGGCTCAGGCTGGTTGGCGGCGCGACGGACGAGCGAGGTGGGCGCGTTCATCTACTCGCCTCGACTTCCACTTCTGGTCCTCGCTCCCACTTGTCACTACGTCGACTAACCCACCCTCTTCCCATCGACCGTTTCCCCTCTCCCCTCCCCTCGACCCCATCCACGACCTCTACAACGAAACAGATCAAGCGGCCGAGAGGCGGTGACGATTACGACGAACAATAGGAGCAGGCTCTTTCGCTCGCTCACTTTCTACCGGCTATCAACGCATCATCCGGCAGACATCCTCGATCTGCGCGCAGAAGACCATTGACCCGCCTTGCTTTTACGACCAACTTGGCGCCCGACAACGACGCTTAGGACGACCACAAAAGAGCCTGCGGATTGTCACCATCATCTCTTTCACGCTTCACACTCTCCTTTGAGCGTCTTTGCTGCAGGACTTTCGACTCTGGCAGCCATCCATCCATCCTCGACGCCGATCTGCGCGCCCTCATCTTCACCGTAGAGGCCTCAAGCTTCCCTCCGACAATCTTTTCCCCACCCCGTACCGCGCCCAGCCATGGCCATCTTCGGCAAGAAGAAGGACAAGGGCGACAAGGAGAACTCCTCCGCCGGTACGCAGTCTCCCTCCATCGATGGCACGCAGGGAGCAGTCGGCCCTAGGGCAGGCAGCGCAGGTCCTCGACAAGCCAGCAGAGAGGTCACGCCAGGCGCAGCTGGCAGTCTCAATGGCCACAATACCAGCGGATCTCTCTCTGGCATCGGCATCTCAGGCATTCCACAGCCAGGTAGCTACATGGGCGGAGTTGGACAAGGAGGTCCTCCCGGCGCAGGCGGTTATGCTGCGCAGCCTGGTCCCAATGGCCCCGTAAGACAACCAGGATCAACCGGAGTCATGCCTGGAGCAGCATCCGGATTCAAGTTCGGCGGACCTCCGCAGCAGGGGCAGGCACCCAGCGGTATCCCGCAGCCTGGCAGCGTACGCAGTCGCAAGATTAGCCAAGATGTCGGAGGTGGTGGGGAGCAGCAGGGTAGCTCAATGGCGGGCGGCATGGGTCCCGGCTCGACGATGATGTCACAGGGTGGTAGTCAGAGCGGTTTGCCTCCTTCCTCTACGGGCGGCCCGCCCAATCTTGGTGGCAGCGGAAGCGGCGGCGATCGAGGTCGTCAAAACGTAGTCTACCCCTGGAGCCAACGGTCCATCACCATGAATCCGCCGCGCTACCTCGACGACTCGAGGCAAGGTCCGCCTGGCGCTGTCAGCCCCTCTCCCTTTCCCCGCTACGGTCACGCAGCCAACTCCGCCGCCAGTCCAAGCGGTGAGGTCTACCTGTTTGGCGGTCTTGTACGCGAGAGCGTCAAAAACGATCTCTACACAGTTCACGTCGACAAAGTCTCACAGCCGGCGCCCAGCGCTACATCGCCGACATCCCCTGCTGCCAACATCAACGGAGCCAGCGCGACTCTGGTGCAGACGACGGGCGAGATCCCGCCGCCTCGAGTCGGGCATGCTACCGTCCTCGTATCCAATGTCTTGATTCTCTGGGGAGGAGATACCAAGATCCGCGCCGATGACAAGCAGGACGAAGGGCTCTACCTTCTCAACTTGAGCACGCGGGAGTGGACTCGAGTAAAGTCAGACGACCCAAATGCAGGCCCCGTCGGTCGCTATGGTCACACCGTCTCCATCGTCGGCTCGCGCTTCTACGTCTTTGGTGGACAAGTTGACGGTACGTTCATGAACGACCTTTGGTCCTTTGACCTCAACAGTCTCAAGGGCACGCCGACTTGGGAGCAGCTTCGCCCGGCGACTGCAGACGTCCCACCTCGTCGTACTGGGCACGCTAGCGTGACTTACAAGGACAAAATCTTCGTCTTCGGTGGGACGGACGGCCAGTATCACTACAACGACACCTGGTGCTACGACGTGGCGACGAACACTTGGAAAGAGCTCTCCTGCATCGGGTACATCCCTGTCCCCCGAGAAGGACACGCAACCTGTCTCGTCGACGACGTCATGTACATCTTTGGCGGACGAGGTGTCGATGGCCGCGACCTGGGCGACCTAGCCAGCTTCAAGATCTCAAACCAGCGCTGGTACATGTTTGCCAACATGGGCCCCGCCCCGAGCGGCAGATCGGGCCACGTTCTCACGACGTATCAGAGTAAGGTCCTCGTCCTTGGCGGAGAGTCTTTCACCGGCGGTAAGCCGGATGATCCGTCCGTCGTCTACGTCCTCGACACAGCCAAGATCAAGTATCCGCCTGATAACCGCGCAGCGACCGCAGGGAGGAAGACTTCGCTGCAGGGTGGGTCGATGCCGCCTGGCGTGGGATCGCAGCCCGTCTCGCCTTCTCAGTCGCAAGACCCGACAAGAGCTGTATCCCCGCAGCAGCGAGCCATGTCGCCCATCCAACAGCAGCAGCAACAGCAGAACACGGCTCCAAACGGCCTTGTCAGCATGATGCAGTCGACGGAGTCTGCAAAGCCGTCGCCGCAGGATGCGACTCGTGCCTTCTCTCCCACTCAACAGCAGCCTCAGCTTCAGCAGCAGCCCCAGTCCGGCTCGATGCGGATGGCAGGTGGTCCACCCCCGCCCAGTCAATTCCAGTCGACTGGTCAGAGGATCGTCTCGCCGACTGGAGCACCGGCGCCCTACAACGGTCCCCGTAGCCAAAGATCCATAGAGAACATGCGCAATCAAGGCGCCATATCTCCGACCTCTGCTTTTGCGCCCCGCTCCATCAATGGCACCATGGACCGCAGCGCTTCGCCCTCCAGCAGCGGCGTGCAGGATGGTTTCCACTACGGACGAGGCTCCGACGTAGCGAGCAATGGGTACGTGCCACCGCGAGGAGAGCTCGAGGCCATGAGGAAGCGCGAAGCCTGGATGAAGGCAGCATTGGTCTTGGCGAACAAGAAGGGCTTCATTGCACCTGACGAGCTTGAGATGCCAGATGGCACGAGCGCCTCTGCCCGGGACTCGCAGCTTGATCTCGAGGCTTTGGACACGGGCGCAGACGGCAGCGACAAGGACAAGGTGCTGCGTGCTCTCATTGGCCTCAAGTCACAGCTCTCAGCGGCCAAGGCGACCATCGCCCAGCAAAATCAGAGCGAGTCGGATCGCGTATCAGAGGCGGACCGTGGTCGTCTTGCAGCTTTGCAGGAGGCTGCCTTCTTCCGTGCCAAGCTCTACGCCCTCGAGAAGGGCGAAGTCGGTGAGGCGACACGCCTGGACCGCGAGCGTGCTGCTCACTCGGAGCGACAGCTGTCAGACGCGCTGCGCGAGTCGGCAGAGCTCGAGCGCCAGATTCAGTCGATGCGCGAGGATCTTAAGCTGGAGCAGAACCTGCGGTCGAGTGCGGAGGAGAGACTGTCTGATACGGCAAAGCGCGCCATGTCGGCTGAGGCGGCGCAGATGAGGGCGTACGACGAGCTGGCAATGCTGCAGAAGCGATCGTACGGGCAGGAGACTCAGCTTAGGGAGCACCAGGAGCAGAATGCCCAGCTCGCTTCGTTGGTGGCGAGACATCGTAGCGATCACGAGACGGCGAGAGGTCAGCTGGACGAGGCTACCTCATCGCTGCGCCAGCACGCCCTTAGCTTCACGCAGCTCCAAGCTGCATTGCAAGCGGCCGAGACCAGAGCTAAGGAGCACGAGCGCCTGCACTTCCAGCATCGCGACGTCTCCACACAGCACCAGGATACCATCAACCGTCTCCGCTCGGCCCTCGACGCCAAGACAGCCGAAGCCGATAACCACGCAGCGCGCGTTGCGGACCTGGAGTCATTGGCGAACACCCACAAGAGCGAAGCAGAGGCTCACCGCGGCGCCCTCAATGGGCACTTGACTCAGCTCATCGCCATGCAGCAACGCAGTGTCTCTCGCGGCCCATCAAGCGAGGTGCCTGAGCATATCCAAGACAAGATGGCTGCCCTCGAGACAGAAGCAGAGCAGCTGCGCCAGCTCCATTCTCAATCCCGCAGTGCTGCGGACACCGCTTCCTCTGCCTTGCAGGACCTGCGGGATCGCAACCTCGCTCTGGAGAAGCAACACTCCGGCTTGCGTACAGAGCTCTCTGCCATGCGATCGCAGCTGGCCATTGCCCTGCAGGAGGTGGCGCGCCTCAAGGACCAAGGGTCGAGCAAGGACGTGGAGGTGCGAGACCGTGCTCGCGCTCTCGAAGCTGCGCAGCTCAGGGACAGCCTGCTTCGTCAGTACATCGCCGACCGTGGGCTGGACGTACCTGGCGACGAGCAACTCAGCGCCAAAGGCGGTTTTGCAGACAAGCGCATCCGCGAGCTCGAGTCCGAGGTGGATGCCAAGGCCAAGGAGGCGCAAGAATCGCAACAGCGCCTCCGCGAAGCCACATCTCGCATCGACGAGCTCAGCCGCAGTGGCATCTCTGGCAGCGGTGGCAACGACGAAGAGCTGGAGCGCCGTGCAGAGCTGGCTGAGCGTGAGCTGGCAGACGCGACCTCTTCGTACAGGGAGCGCATGTCCCAGCTGGAGAGCGACTACCAGACCGCTGTGCAATTCGTCAAGGGCTCGGAGAAGATGCTCCGCAGGATGAAGGACGAGCTGACCAAGTACAAGACGGAGAATGCAAGCTTGCAGAGCGAGCTTGCCACGACGCGCAGTGGAGCTGGCGCTTCTTCCTCAAACATGGACGGCACGACCGGCTCATCGGCGGGCGGGTCACACGAAGAAGCAGCAAAAGATATCGAAGCTCTTCGCACACGCTTGGTAGACGTATCACAGCAAGCGGAGGAGACTGCGGCCGAGAATCGAGACTTGGAGCGCAAGCTTGCCGCGCTGATCGCCGAGCAGAAGGACTTCCATGATCGCTCAAGGCAGAGGGAAGACCACCAAATCGACCACTCGAGACGAGCTGCTGAACTGGAGGGCGAGGTTTCCAGGCTGAGGAAGGAGGTGCATGAGATGCTTGCACTCAACCAGCACTTGAGCTCCGAGCTTAAGGCGGCAGGATCGTCCACGACTGGCGTCAACGGCTCTGGAGCGGGCAGCGCGAGAGATTTGGCTGGCCTTGGCGGCGCAGGAGGAGCGAATGACTACTCGTCGCTCACATCGCACAATGAGCAGCTCCGCAGCGAGAATGAGGGTCTGGCTCGTCGCCTCCAGGAGACGGAGGACAAGCTTGGTCTCCTTCTCGGTCGCATCGAGTCATCAGTTGATGAGGACGATCTGCGCGGCGGTCCCCAACATAGCGGTATGGATGGAGCGGCAGGCACAGCCGGTGCGGCTGGCACTCCTTCCATGAACTCATCAGCGCACGATGGCAGCATTGCGACCAGCGGTGGCGGGAACGGGCAGCGCTTCAGTATCACGTCGGAGCTGGAGCGATGGGAGAAGGATCAACAGCAGGCACAAGCAGGAGTTGGGCGGGGTTCGGTTGATGGGTACGGGGTGCCGTAGACGCTCTCAGATAGCAAGAACAGGCGACGACGGTGGGTAGACGACGGGATGCGACGACGATAGCGACGAAAGCAGAGCGGCAAGAGGGGCAAAGACTGGAGGGAGTGGCTGATTTGGTTCTCTGGGTACCCGATCTCGATAGTGATGAAGATGGCACATCTCTCTTTTATTCTACCCGTCTCTTGCTCACCTTCCCTCCCTTCATCTTCCCTTGTACTTCGCCTCCAAAGAAATGACGACTCATTATTGCAAGCTCTCCTCTGCACCGTCAGGATGCGCCGCTCTCTTCCTCCTATCCTTCACCTTTTGCCAACGCTCCCTGCTCAGATCACCTCCTCAACAGGCAATTTGATCCCGGGACCCATAGTGGAACTGATGTGCACCTGCTTGACAATCCCCTTGGCCTTCTTGACAGCATCAGGCGGTGCCCTCTCCCCATCCCCCCTCGCAGCCAAAGTGCTCCACCTCGACCTTCCCGTCGAAGACCTTGACGCTGAAGAAGCATTGCCGCTGGTTGAGTTGCCGCCCGACAGGGTAGAGCTCGTTGCGCGGTCCAGTACCGAAGCCATGAATGCCCTCAAGTTTGTCCTGACCTCTGGGAGGGAGAAGGAGGTACGAGCAACAGCTGCACGCACGACGGCCTGCTTGTCACCTCTCCAATCCACAGCTCCCACCGCCTCTCCGATGGCCTCGGCCATCTCTTCCTCTCCCTCGGCAACCGTCCCTCTCTTTGCGTTGGGCATAAGACCCTTCGGTCCCAAGCTCCTAGCCAAGGCCCTGCTTAGCGCAGGCATCATCTCCGGGCTTGCAAGAACCTTATCGAAGTTACCCGCGCTACCGTCCACCACGGCTTGGATCAGCTCGGTTCCCCCGACTTGAATCGGGATCGTTGGATGCGACGATGCGTAGGCTTTCGCCGAGGCCGAGGCGGGTGTACCGTCGGCTGCGAAGATGATGAGGGAAGGGGGCCGACGCGATGTGCTTAGAGGGAGGGTGAGGCGTCCTCGAAGGGCATTGGATTGGTGCGAGGAGATGGAGGTTACGATGTGTACTTCGAAGCTGGAAAAGGGACGAGCAACCTCGACTGCCTGACGAGTGCAACGTGAGAAGGTGAGCTGTGAAAGATAGGTTGCGGGTCGCTGCTGCTCACCTTCAAGATCTCAACGGCCTCCTGCAATGTGTAGAATTCTCGCTCCTTCTCAATCTCATTCTCGCCACTCTTGGCCATACGCTCAGCCCTTTTGCGACGCTTGATTGCATCCTTGCCCTCGCCTGGGCGTGACTTTCCGTGATTGGCAGGGGTGGTAGAGAATAGGCGTGGCGCAGGGTAAGAGGATGAAGGATGAGGAGGGAGGAGAGTGCGGGACGTTGATGCTGCTGATGACGACGCAGCGCCAAGAGCAGCGGCTTGCTGGGTCAGCACTCTCGCTGCCCTACGAGTCGTTGAGTTGATGAGGATGGTCATGCTGAGTGGTAAGGTGCATACAAAGACGAAAGGACCAGACGATGGATCTTCGGGAGCAGCCAGAGAGCGGACCGAGCGAGCGACTTCCTCATCCTCGCTCCCGCCTCTGTCCGCCTCACGCGCACGTGACACGCTCCCGCTCACAACCATGGCCACTCGTGACGATATGACAATTTCAAGCAGCAAGCCCTTCCAGTCTCGCTCTCAAATCTGCCTGCACACTCAAACCACTTTTGCCCAGAATCTCCAGAACGACTTTCGCAAGACGTTGTCCTCCAGCTTCACCGCATTCCCTCATCAAGGGCCAAGCGACTCGGGAGACCAGTCGATCCACCAACGCCTCCAGGACTCTCAGTTGGGCCTCGCCTCCCTTGCTTCGCACCAGTTTCGACAAGCTGAGCAGGTTGAAGAGCAGGCTGCCCTCCCCTCCCACCAGCCTCGTAGTGAATGCCAGCCGGGCAGGGATACTGAGCGGGTGGAAGCCTGGTGGGGGGAGGGCGGGGGAGGAGCAGAGAAGCACTTCGTCGAGCCTTCCGATGTGCTCCTCAAACGCTTCTAGCAGAGATGAGACTACGCTCTGAAACCTCGCCCCCGCCTCAGGGAGCACGTCCGCCATCCCAACAAGAAGGCGTTGCGCCTGCCGTGTCTGCGTCGCGCTCCACGGATCGTAGGCCGTTGAAGCAAGCCGAACCAGGCGGGACATGAAGGCCGAGTTGACCAGGGTGCCGATGACTTCTTCGTCCTCTCCACCCCCAGCGCCTTCCACAGGTGCATTTGCACACTCTTCCAAATACTGATAGATCGCCCCGAGGCATTCCGACCCCTCTAAATCGAGTGAAGCCCAGTCGCTCAACGCGACCTCCTTTCGTGCCCAAAATTCCCAGATACCAGCCAGGGCTAGTGAGCCCCACGACTGCGCATAGTCTTGTGGGTAGCGACGGCGCCACTCATGGAAGCGGCTGTGGACTGACGAGGGGTGCGGCTGGCCGCCCTCGATTGTTACGGCAGGCCAGAGGAATTCGGGCGCCTTGACGCTACTGAGAAGGGAGGTGAGGCGAGAGTGCAAGGCCGACTGCGCTTGAGTGAAAGCTGCAAGGTCGGCAGGTGCAAGGACGACCTCCCGTAGCACGGCGGCGGATTGATTGGCGGGGACAGGTCCACTTTCCCGCCTTTGAGCGCGTAGAGGTGATGTAGCGTCGCCGTCATTGACTGGTGCATGCTCCTTTTGCGTCGTTCCGGCAGCACCATTCTCGTCGTCCTCCTCCATGTCTCCCATCTTCTTGTCCTTGGCACTGTTCCGCGCAGGCAAGAGCGACTTTCCTGAGACACCCCAAAACAAGCTCAACTCGTCCTCCATCTCCCTCGCCCTGACCCCCTGGACAAGTGCCACCCTCTTCATCAGCACCTCATCCCACTCAACCTCCACCTCCTCCAACCCCTTCCATCTCTCCTCAAGCAGCTGCGCCAGACTCTCCACAAAGGTAGCAAGCTCGCGAGCCCAGCCCTCTTTCTCGCCCCAGGCGACAACTGAACCCTTGTTCGCTTCTTCGTCTGCGTTGAGGGTGCTGAGCGTGTGCGTGGAGCGCTCCACCAGAGCTTCGTGCGAGGCTTGCACCTCTTGGAGGGAAGTGAGGCGCGCTTCGAGACGTGAGCGCGCCGCACCCAGTCCCGGGAGGGGGGCAATGGCAGGTAGAGGAGCTGACCTGTGCTGCTTTCTAGGCCGGTCGAGGCTTCTCGCCTCCCTTTCCTGACGTAATGCCGCGCCCATCCTTCTCATCTGTACGCGCTCGAACTCATCATCCTCATCGTCATCGCCACTCCCATCCATGTCGGCATCACTGTCCGCTGCGCGTGCTTGCTCTTCGCGACGTTGTCGCTCAATCTCCTTCTGTCGCTTGACAGCATCCAAGCTGATACGCTGTTGCGCGCCTGTGAAGTCAGCAAATTCGTCCTCGCCTGAGCCTTCTTCATCTTCCTCTCTCCGTAGTGAGGGGACTGTACCGTCCTCGCGACTGCTGCGGGTATCGAGCTCGTAACCCTTACTGCGCGAGATGAGAGAGCGCTTTTCTATCGCTGAGCCACCTTGATCCAAGGAGTCGAAGTCCTCAGAACCCCCTTCGCCTTCGCCAGCCGCAGCAGCTGCTCGCCGCCTGCGCTGCTCTTTGGCAGCGTCAATGACGGCTTGGCTAGGCATGGACCCCGAAGCCCCATCCAAGTGCTCAGCGCCGAAGAAGGCCGCTGAGTCATGTCCACTTGAAGCAGTTGGGTCGGCTAATGTCTGGTACGCTGAAGGGGTAGCGGAGCTGTCGGTGTGATCCATAGAGAACAATGGGTTGCCATGCTCATCCAGCTCGACGGTTGCCGACGCACTGTCTTGTTGTAACGTCTCGAGGCGTCGACTGCTCGCTTGTCGAAGGTCGGCGAGGTGTTGCGCTGAGTAGTGAGAGGAAGGACCGGAAGCAACAGCATCGTTGTCGAGGAGCGAAGGGGCAATGCTGGCTTGATCTAGATTGGAAGGTACAGCCAAGCCAGAACGAGGTGCCTTGACGGCTATGGGAGCATCGAGCTCAGCATCACCGTCTGCGTCGGTGTCAAGGGCGGATGAGGAGATTGTGCTTCTTGCGTTGGGTCTTTTTGAGGATGAGGAGGAGGGGGGTATTCTTGAGCTCGACCCGATCGCAGCTCCCCCTCGCCGCCTGCCAGCTGTCCTGACGACGACGCCACCATCATCGTCCTCCTCCTCCCCATCATCCGGGGCAGGTGTATGCGCCTTGGAAGATGGCTTCGAGGACGCTGCGCTGCCTGACCCTCCTACTGCCCCTGAAGATGTCGCTTTCGGTCCTCTACGCTTCTTTGCGAATGTAACGACGGCCGGACGGGCTTCGTCATCGCTCATGACAGGGCGAATCGGAGGAGATGTGATGAGGTGCAAAGGATGCAGCAAGTCTGGAATCAAAGGCGGACTGAGCGTCCGTCAATGAGAACAAGACAAGACGGAAGCGCGAGCCGCGAGCCGCGAGGGGCCAACGCTCCACTTTTCACGCTAGACGAGACCCTTTGCCCTTCTTGGCTTCCTTTCCCTCACTACCACCAACTGAGGCGTTCCCTTCCTCCCCTGCGATACCCGTTCACCATGTCTACCACGACGCAGACGAAGCCACGCCGTCCGCTGACCCTTCGCGGTCTTTCCAGTCCTTATGCTCCCATCCCAGTAACCACTTTCAGCAGCGCACTCATCGGCCTCCTCTGGCAGCTCTACACCATTCTCCTCGAGCCACTCCTCTGCCACCTCAATCTTGCCCACCCCGGTTCTCTCCCTCGCAACGATGCCACGTACGGTCGTGCGCAAGTCCCACTCAACGACTGGGAGAGGCGACTTGTGTACGAGAACCCGGAGGTCAAGCATAGAAGGGGAAAGGTCTACCTGGATGGTGAAGCTCTCAAGAAGGCAGGAACGTGGGATAAGCCTGGAAGGGCGACTTTTGTCTCTTATACCGTCTTCTGGATTCCGGGCGCCATTGAGAGCGAGAAGCTCGATGCCGATGTGCTCCTTTTGCATGGCATCAATGACTATTCCGGAAAGCTCGTACCGCACGGCCATCGATTCGCTACACGCGGCTTTCGAGTCATCTTGGTCGACCTGCCTAGCTTTGGAAGGAGCAGCGGGCTGCACGCCTACCTGCCTAGCATGAAGCTCCTCACAGAATCCGTTCACGCCGTCCTTGCCGATGTCGCCGAGTACGACCATGGCGCTCGTGGTTCCGGCGCAGGGGACAACGGCGTACGAGCCTCAGTGGACGTCAAGTCACGCAAGCTTTTCCTAGAGGGTCACTCCATGGGAGGTTTCACTGCCCTCTTCTACGCTTCTCAATTCTCCCCCTCATCCAAGGGGAACAGCATCGATGGCTCCGTTTCGGGCCCAGCACACGACGACAGCAGGCATCGCCCCACTATCTCTGGTGTGGCAGTAGCGGCTCCCATGATCGGTATCTCGCCAGAGTCGCGACCACCCTACGTCGTAGAGCTTATCGGGCGTTGCCTCAAAGTCTTCCTCGGTCGACTGCCCCTCGCCTCAGCAGTACGCGGGAATGTCAGTGATGACGATCGAGTCGAGGAGGAGTTCCACCTCGACCCCATGACCTACAAGGGGCGATTGCGCATCGCCACCGGCCTGGCTATCCTTGAAGGGCTCAATGAGCTCGACGCTTCTGTAGAGCAGATCCAGGTGCCCGTGTGCATCCATCACGGCACTAAAGATCGCGCCACCTCCTACCAGCATTCTCAGCGCTTCTACGAGAGGCTGCCCCTCAAGAAGGACGGGAGGAGCGAGCTCAAGTTATGGCAGGGGTACGAGCACGTGATGATGAAGCGGGTAAAGGGGCAGAGTAAAGAGGACGATGAGAAGACGGATGCTGTCTTGAATCAGATTTGCGATTGGTTGGTGGCGAGGGCGAGGGAGTAGGCGGCGAGGAGTCGGAGAACGTGATACCACTTTAGATGGCGAGCATGGACATCGCTGGCTCCTTTGACAAGGGCACGCTCATTGACACGCTACACTTGCTTTGCAGCAGGATAGACGAGCAGCAGCAGCAGTAGAGAAGGCACAATCTCGAGAATGTCGCGTCTTCAGCCTTTCTAATGTATGACCATTTCAGTCCAAGCCAACAGCCCAAACCTCGACGAAGACAGGCTCGAACTTTTGCTCTCGTTCCACCCCACCGCCTGCATCATCGTCTTCCCCGCTCTGAGCAAGTGGCGCATTCTCAAACGTCTCGCACCTCGCCGTTACTCCGCGCGAGAAGTCCTCATCGAGCCAGAGGCCGTAACCCGACGATGCTCCTGACGAGCTCGACGACTGCTTAGCCATACTCGAGGGTACAGACCCATTGCGCCTCGCCCTCTCCTCTGCCTCCCTCCTCCTCTCCTCCTGATACTGAGCGCTCGACCCTCCAAAAGCCAAATAGCCCTTCTCGCCCAGAGCGTAGAAGTTATTCCTAGCAGTCGCAGCATACACTACCACCTCTTCTCCCCTCGTTTGGCGGAACAGGAAGCATTCTCCATTGCCGTAGTAGCCCCGGTGGACGCGCGTGAGGCGCTCGTTGATAAAGGCGCCGAAGACTTGGTCGCGTTCGTCTCGCACGGCCAGGATGAGGCCTGCATCGCGCATCGAGGTGAGACCAGAGCCGAGACGGATGCTGTTGCCTGACAGAGAGGATGAGCCGCCTGAGGTTCTCAATTCGTCGCCGCCCAGCGCCGCTCTGGTGGCAGAGGAAGCCCCACGGAGCCATCCGTCCTGCCTACTGGAGGCACTGCTGCTCCCGCCGTAGCCATTCCGGTCATCCTGATCACCCGAGCCAGGCTTGGAGTCCATCGCTCTCCCCACTCTGTCGTAGAGCGTTTCAAGGCTAATCCCATGCTGATCACTGGAGTAGCAGAGTCGCCACGTCCTGCCCAACTTCAGTCGCGGCGGGAGGTGAGGCTGGAGATGTGCAGCGTGCGAGTCTGTGATGACAGGGGAGGAGTCTTCCCTTCGCCCAGTCAAAGAGACTGGCAGCGGGGCAAGGCGGGTCTGCTTCTTGGTCTGCGAAGTGCTCTTTTCTGAGTGCCCATTGGACGCAGCTGCGGCCATGCGCTCAGCGGACGCCATGCGCGCTCGTGAGCTCGTCGAGGGGTCGTCAGCCGGTAAAGTCCAGCCACCTGCATTCCACTTGGGGTTCAGCGAGCTGAAGTCCACGCCAGGGGCTCCGCTGACCACCTTCGCCGGTGCAGAGCTACCGCTGCTACTACTCCCTGCGGTCCCCTTTCTCTCTGGCTTGCCAGGAATAGGCGCAGGCGTATTGCCTCTCGCTGGTGTAGCTCCCCCAGCAGGCGTGGCCGTCCGACTATCGAGGTCTATGACTCCCATCTTGCGGGCAAGCTTAAGCTCCTCGTCCGAAAAGTCCACGCCGGGGTCGAGGTAGTCGGCAGCGCGATGCGCCCAGTCTGAGCCCAGGTGGCGGATAGAGCCCCACCAGGAGTTGTTGGCCGCTTGCTGCTGCTGCTGCTGCTGCTGCTGCTGCTGCTTTGATGATGATGGAGGTGGTGCGAGTCTGCCTTGCGAGAAGTAGTCGCTGCCCCTTTCCTGAGGCTTAGGTCGTAAGGGCGTCGGCAAAGGACTTGCATGCGCTTCTTTCATGCTCTCGAGCTGTTCGCTGCCCAGTTCTGCTTGGAGCTGCGAGTCTGATCGACCCCTGCCGCTTTTGAGATTGCGCTCGAACTTGGCAAACCAATCCTCATCTGCACCCCCACCTCCTCCCTCCGCCTGGACAATCCCTCCTGCCCTCAACTGTCTATCCCGCTCCTCTATTCTCCTCTGCTCGAGGTCAATCTCCGGCGGTGAAGGTGGGCGGACGACAGGCGGTGTAGCCACGCCCATGGGGAGTAAGAAACCTTCACCACCCCCTGCAGCAGCTGCGGCTGCGGCCGATGCTGTAGCTGATGAAGTTGCTGGGCCCTCGCCAGGCGTTGAGCGCTCCAATGCCGCAAAGAAGTCATCGTCTGCCTGATTTTGGGCGGAAGGTTGCGAAGTGCGCTTCGCAAAGCTGGGTCGACTGCTGTTGCTAGGGCCTGCGGTAGTCGTAAAGTCGTCCCACTGATCCCAATCTGGGAGTGACGAGGCAGTCGCTGTTTGCTGGTGATCATCAAAGTCGCTCACCATCGTTGCAGGGGCCCAATCGTCATCTGAGGGGTTGCGGGCGTGGGCCCCAACGGGCGTGGAGGATGACATGGTGAGGGGCAAACTGGTGTCTTGCTACTCCAATGACCGTGAGATACAGGCAAAGAGGAGCAGCTGAGGGCGCAAACGACGATGAGAAGCCGATGTTAAGGAGGACAGAAGCGAGCAACAGCCTCGACGTGGCTCGATTTGGTTGCTCCACTGTGCCGCCGGCTGATGCCCCGCGCGGATTTGGGTGGCCTGAGCGCGACTCATCTTGAGACAGAGAACAAGCATTGTTCATTCATCCTTTCGCTCTGTCTCGAGCTCAACTAGTTCAAATGAGCATAGGCACAGGCAAGAATGGCTACTTGTCGATTGCATCAGAGGGCAAGGCATTGATCTCGCGTCGCGCAAGAGCGGAATTACAATGATCCGGTGCAATGGACCGATGAGAAGAGGACGCCAGTAACGTACAGAAGATGGCCGTCGTGCTTATTACGCGTCCTCGAGCTACCCGATCATCACTCCTTCCCACTAGCCACTGCCAAATTGGCCCTAGGGAAGTTCCTCCTACTGAGCATCAATCCCTTCAATGAACGAATCTCCGCCTTGATCTGTGCACTGAGTTCCGCAGTCTTGTCCTCTCCTGTGGCTTCTTGCTTCTTGTCAGATGACGAAGCTGGAGCAGGAAGACCAAAGGAGAAGGCAGTCTGATGACGCGAGGAGGAGCGAGCAGCGCTTGATGAGGCAATGAGGCGGGCGGTGACGCTTGCGTTGAGCGAAGAGAGGGAGGTATAGAGGGGTGAGTCGGGGGGGGAAACGTTCGCAGCGGATGATGAGGGAGGGGTGGTTGAGGTACTCTTCTTCGCCTTGCTCCCAGAGCCGGCCTTCTTGGCCGTCTTGCTCTTCTTCTTGTCCGCTGACGAGGAGGCGCCGTGGACCTCAACGAAGGGGTCGAACTCCACATCTTCCTCTTCATCCTCCCAGCTGCCTCCGCTGGCATCGCTGCCCTCTTCGACTTCCTCGTCTTGTACCGTCGTGGCGCGGGCGGCGACCGATGAGCTTGCGGCATCGTCCTGCCTGTCCTGACGAAGTCTCTGCACGAGCGCGGCGAGGGACTCGCGGATGGGAGCGCACACGTCGATGGGCTCGAGCTCTTGCTGCTTGGCCGCCTCCTCCTCAGCGGTCTGCTCGCCGTCCTCTTGGCCCTCTGCTTTGAGCGTGGCCTTCTCGTCATCCTGTACAGCGCCCTCCTTCTTGCCCTGCTTCTCCTTGTCCTCATCAGTGCTGCTCATCTGCGTTACCTTCTTCGGCAAGAGGGGCTCCGTCTCTCCAGCCTGATGCTGCTCTAAGCTCCCCCCATCTACCTCATCAGCGAATTGCACCTTCTTAGTAAGGCTGCTGCGTCTCTCGCTGCTTCCCTTCCTAGGTCCCTCCGCCTCCACCTCGGCCTTTGTGACCGCCTTTCTAAGTCCCTCCGGCCCCATACCAGCACCAGCCGCTCCTCCCTTCAGCGCTCTGACCGAACCAACAACATTGTCCCACAGCCCGACGTGGTGTTTCAGCAGGAAGCTTCGCCCGTTCAAGGTTGAAGCCAGACGAGGTAGGACGAAGGACCGGTAGAGCAACACGGCTACCCCAGTGAGAGCCCCACCGAGTGTGAAGAGGTAGCAAAGGGTTCTGAAAAATGAGAGCAACACATTGTACCGTCGAGCCTTCTCCTGTCGTCGAATCGCTTCTTCGAGATTGCCTCCTGCGGCAGCGAGCGCAGCATTGTCCCGCTCGTCATCGTCGTAGTAGAGGGCCAGGGGCGAGCGCGGATAGTTGCGCGAGGGAACATCTGGCATAGGCGTATGCAACGGGTCATCGAACGCGCGAGCTGCTTGATCGAAGGCAGATTGCTCGCTCAGCGACGATGTCGATGTCGATGATGATGCTCGAGCGGCCTGCTTTTGCCCCTCCCCATCGCCGGCTTTGCTCAACCCATCCGGCCTCTTTGCATCCCGGAAAGCAGCCTCAATCGCATCTTCTCCCAAGCCCTTTGAGCGCAAGAATTCTCGCTGCGACTCGAGGGATGAGTCAGGAGAGTGATGTCGAAGTGATGTGAGGAAGCGGACCGCTTGTGCGTGGAGGGCTTCGGGCGGCGAGGACGAGGGCATCAATGGAGGTGGGGTCAACGCAGTCGACGATGTTGTTGGTGCTGCGGGCGCTGATGAGGAGGAGGAGGAGGAGGATGGCGCGTCATCTCTGCTGTCGTCGCTCATAATTGATGGGGATGGTTGTGATGGAAGTGGGGACGATGAATGCAGCTCAGTCGCTTCTCCGCGTGGGATCGGCCTCCGCCTTGACCTCGTCCCCGGAGCAGTCCAGCGCCGGATCGGACGACCGGCCCGAGTCGACACACGCCGGGGCCTGCTTCTGGCCCCCCTCCCTCAAATGGATGCACGACGATGAGGCTGCTCAACAGGCAGCTCAGTCAAAGGCAGAAAGTTGGAAAGATGATCATGGGTATTGTCAATCGAAAGTACACGAATCAGAACCTCATCGCTCTATCTATCTAATCTTAGTGTCTATCCTCCTCTCCCGCCTCACGCGTTGACAACATTGCGCAGCTTCGACCCTCGATGAGGCTGGTACGCATAGCGATAGAAGTACGCAGGAGCCACTCCTGCCCCCTCCGCCGTCGATACGTCGTTGAACTGCTCTGCTTCTTCAACGGCCTCATGGACAGCCACTGCATCCGGTGCAGGCCCGTCAGTAGCGGCAGCCTCAAGTGCCGCTGCCTCGTCGGCATCATCGCAAGTCGATGAAGCTATCTGCTGCTGACCTCTCGAAGCGGTAGGTGCAGGCAGGCTAGAAGCCCTCTGCTTCGCCCATCTGACCTTGAGAGGTGCGCTGATCTTCTGGGCACGCATCATCTCGAGCTCAAGAGAGAGCATCAAGAGATGTGCACTGTTGCTGAGCAGGGTGGGGCGGGCAGGTGTTGGCGGGAGGACAGGAGCCGAGCTCGATGATGAGGATGAGGATTCGCCATTGTCCTCGCCGCTTGTCGGGGACGCCGCATCCGTGGGTGCACTTCGACTCAGCATGGATGGCAGGGATGGCGATGAAGACGACGATGCCGGGCTTCCGAACGCAGGCGAGGACATCAGCCCACCGTGCGCCGTCGTCGCCGGGGGCATGACGATCGGCAGCGTCGGCGAAGTCGGAGGCGGTGGTCCACCCGCCGTGCCCGTCTGCAGCGCTTGAGCGGACATCATACTCTGCCTTCTCGCCATAGACTCCAAGCTCGATGCGGAGGCCGAGCGCGGCAGGCTGTTAGGAGGATGTTCCGAGTGGGCAAAGGAGGAGCTGGTCACCTTGATGCTGCCGGCACGACCGCGTGATCGACAGGTGTCGTCTTCCGACGATGACGAGGGAGTGTCGTCCTTGCTGGCTTCTCGACCGCCTGTAGGGCTGTTGCTGCTTGTCGTGCGACTGCGTGAGGAGCGTTGCTGGCTGCCTGCTCTGGTCCCGCTCGCCTGACCTCCTGACAGCCCACGTCCAATAGCCGCAGCCCCCGCATACGTCAGATCCGGCGAGCTCCTGACAGTCTTCATCGCCGCAGCAAAGCTGTCCTCTGCATCTGCCCTCCTGCTGCCGGACTTGGAAGAGAACAAGCCGATGGCACATTGTCTGCTTCTCGAAAGGCCAGCGGGTGGTGAGTTGCCACGGCCGGAAGAGGAGCGAGCACCATGACCTCTGCCACGAGCACGACGGCCTCTTGCGGGTGGGAGAGAATCCTCGTCGAAAGCCGCACCATCCTCGTCGCGATCTTCCACGGATGCGGTGACAACGCGACTTCTTCGCCCGCCAGTGCGTCGAGCGGCATCCTCATCCCTCGCTTCGACGGTGCTTCGCGAAAGATCCGCATCCGACTCCTCCGAAGAGGTGTAGCTTCCACCGGCCCAGTGCGAAGGAGAAGGGCCGGGCGTCTCTGCTGCCGGTCTGGAACATCTGGGAGAGAAGGATTTTGAGTGACGCCCGACAACCGTGGTAAAGCCCTCGTCATCTACTTGAGGAGGAGCCTTAGCGCGGATAGGAGCTGAGCCGACATCGGCAGCAGGTTCAGGAGCGGAGTCCTCATGCGCTGATGCTGGACTGGCTGACTTGAGAGGAGCGGTCTGCGCTGCATACTGGTGCTCCTCGTCGTACTCATCCTCCTCGTCGTGCAGCGTGAACTGCGGCTTGACCTTCGACGTCACAATCTTGGTTGCTGGCGGAGGCAAATCCAACGCAGGCAGCATCGAGCTCCTCTCCTCCTCCCCTTCGCTATCGATCGCTCCTCCCTCATGAGCGGATAGCGGTGCTGGCAACTGCTCCGTATCGCTCGCCGTCCTCCTCTCAGCATGTCGCGAGGCATGGCTGGACAGCCGATTAGCCGCCAAAGCCGGACGAGAATCAACGCTTCTCCCTCTAGAATGGGAGTTTGGGCTGAGCCTGAACGACTGAAGGTGTACAACAGATGAGAGCTCTACATCTGGGTCGATCCTGTGGCCTAATCCCGTGATGTACGCGCCAGGGTCTCGGTCTCCTTCCAGAGGGTCAACGACGCCTCGCGAGCCTACGCTGGGGCGTCGGCTCGGATTAGAAGATCCAGAAGGTGTATCGCTGCTACCTGGTAGAGTGATGGCGGACGAGTCTGCGGAGGCAAGGGGAGTAGCTGTGGGCGTGGAGCCTGGGACAGGAGTGCTCGAGGCGGAGCTACTGTCTTGCTGAGATGAGGTCGCGCCGCTTTGGAAGCTGCTCTTGTCCGTTTTGCTGGCTGGGAAAAGGAGATTAGGCAGACGAGCAATCTGCCTCCAGCTGCTGGCGAGGAGACCGGCTTGCTGTTGTTGCTGCTCGGAGCTAGACGCGGACGGTGGCTGCCCACCTACGGCATTGCCTTCATTCGCCCATAACCTTAATTGGCTCTGCAAGTTGCTCAGCCTCTCCTGGTAGGCCACAGCAAACCCAGACTGACGCTCTTGACTCTTGCTGAGCCCGCTGGAAGGCGATGTTGAAGGGACCGAGGACGCGGTGGGCGTCTTCGGCAGCAGAGACGAAGCCGGGGAGGACGAGGCAGTATCTCCAGTGCTGCCCTCATCTTCGCTGCCAATGAGTGACTTGGCTTCGACCGCAGCCACGGTGGCGTTGCCCATCGTGGTGCTCGGCGCCTCGTCTGCACCCGTACGTAGGACGCTGATCAAAGAACCTCGTCTTGGTTTGCCAATGGGCGTCGCAACCCTGCTCCTTCCTCCTCCTTCCTCGGCGTCGGGAGCCCACTCCACCTGATCAATGCAGATCATATCTTCGATGGACCCTACTGAGCTGCCAGAGAGCAAGTCGATGTCGTCAATCCCGGCAGCACTGTTGCTCGAGCCTCCCAGGCTGCGCGATAGGGAGCGCATCATCATTGCTGCCTGCTTGCGACTCTTGCGCCTGGGTGACGTGGCCGAATGCGCTGCCGCTGACGATGTTGATGAGATGGGTGCGAAGCCAAGGATGGCACTGGCGCGGTGAGGGACCGAGGAGGATGTTGCTGGCCCTAATGAAGCGCTCTCTGGATGGCTCGGCCTTCGCGAGCCGGGCACTGATCGCACCTTTTCGGGCGATGGTGACGATGAGATACCAGCGTCTGAACTCTTTCCGCGAGAGCGAGAGCGGGATCCTCTTTGCGTCGAGGAGAGGGCATTCGACAAGGCGGTCGCAGAGAGGGTCGAGGCTGGAGCGGAAGCACGGTCTGCCTCTTCCTCGTCGTCTGCCAGACCGAAGAAGGCGGCACTTCCAGGCTCGGTGCTGTTGATTCTGCTCCTTGCCTTGCGGCTGGTGGTCGGCAGTACATGCGTCGGTGCCACTATAGGCGACGTGACGGGGGATGCTTCGTATGACGACGTTCGGCTCAGCAGGCTGGACCGCTCCGAGAAGTCATCTGTCGTCGTGGTGGGCGTTGCAGATGTGGAAGTCGAAGCTGACATGGAGCCAGCTGCCTCGTAGGATGCCAGATGAAGCAGGTCTTCGTCGGACAGGCCAGCAGCACTGCCTCCCTTGCCAGCGGCCAGTAGAATCTGTAGGCCTCGCAGTCTATCTCGCTCCAAGCTCGCTCTGCGACTGCGAGCATATCGACTAGCCACTGCTCCCTCCTCGTCGGAGCTCGTCAAGTCGCTGAGATCCGACTTGACCTTTTCTCCCGCCTCGAGCGCCAGCTTGGCGCCTCCCCTGGACCTTCGCGACGATCCACCACGCGTGGTGCTCTTGGGGCGCTGCAGCGACAGCGATGGACGGTGGGCGCCGGTGCTGGCGGCGGTCGACGTGCTGCTCGATGCTGATGCTGCGTCTACATTTTCTGCCAGCCTGCGCTGATGACTGGGCCCAACGGTGATCTCTGACTCCTCGCCACTCCCACTGCCAGAGGCACTCCCGCCGGAGAGAACAGTAGCACTCGCTCCACGTCGATCCCACCGGCGTGACGGGCTGACATTGGCGCTTCTGCCTCGATCGAGCGGCGGTGGATGTGCCAATGGCGCCGAAGCTGATTGCGGTGATGAGGTGCCGGCCTTGGCGACAGCGGTGGGAGGTGACGGAAGCAAAGCATTTACATCCGGAGAGTCGACGATAGCGTCGTCTACGGCAACGATCTCTGGCCGCTTGCCCGCAGCGATGTGCGAGATGGGCATCGGCGTGGTTGCCGCTTGGTAATGTTGAGTTACGACAGCGTCTGGCTGGCTCGGCCAAGAGGCGAGCCTCTCGAGCTGACGGAGTTGTCGCTGAGACGAAAGGCCCACAAGCCTGTCTGGTGGCGAGGCCGAGAGGCGCTCAGCAGATGAGGAAGTTGGGGATGGTTTTCGAGCACGACGAGGCGAGCGAGAACTATCTCTACGAGATCGATGGCTATAAGCGTGCTGCTGACTGCTGAGCACTGTTGAGGATGAGGATGATGGCACAGCAGTTGATGCCGGCTTGATGATCCTTGGGGGCGCCATTGACGATGATGGGGGCGGCTGCATGCCCGTGATGGGTGGGACAGACGAGTGCCCTAGACCCTCATTCATTGTCGAGACATGGGCGATGCGTCCGTCGATGAGTAGAGGTTGCGCTGATTATCAATGCCTATCCAGGCAGATGCGGGGGTGAGGCCTTGGTAATGCGGTGGTGTGGGGAATTGGTACCAAAGACAAGGAAGAGACTCAAGGCTAAGAGACTGTGGGGCAGTGGGCTTTGGTCGCTGGCACTGACTGCTTAGGATTGGCGATTGACTCGCACGATTGAGTTGAGTTGAGAGAGCAGGAGCAGTAGCGGCGGCAGAACTAGGGTGGGCCAAGTTGTGAGTCGAGTCCGCGTCCGTGTCCGAGTCCGAGTCTGAGTCGAGTCGAGTTTCAACGCGGCGATCTCGAGTCGCAACTCTTGACCCTCGCAAAGGCACAGGCGGACAGGACCGGCGGCGGCTCCCGAAACGAGGGCGGGAGGATAGGCGGCCGCTCAGACCAAAGCACTCAGACAGCGCAATCGCCGTAGCCTTTTCTTGCCTGCGTTCAAGGGAGCAAAGTGTGTCGCTTGTCGGAGCCAGCCAGTCAGCCTGACAGACAAGAGAGTAGACGTGCGAGAGAGCATAGAGCTCGATTGTGAGTCGAGAGTTACTCCGGAGGCGAGGACAAGGCAGAGGCCGTGCTATTGCCCGCCAAAGGAAGGGTGAGAAGAGCAGACGGAGCCCCATGCTGGCTCTGTCGCTCGCAAGGCAAAGCGACGTCCGAGCGCCCGCGCCCGCGCCTGCTTGTGCGTGTGCGTGTGCGTCTCAACTGCAGGTCCATGGTCCATCAGACAGCCTGTCACCGACGTACGCACGAAGGTGCGACGGAATGAATGGTACGCACGAGTCACGCTCCGATGAGCGATTCGATCGAGCGAGGGGGCGAAAGGGTCATCGCGGCAATGGGCTGCTGCCGGCATGAAGCTTGGCCTCTACCTTGCTACCTTGATTTTCAGCCAACACGGCCAGCTAGCATCACAATCCCAGGCGGAGATCACTAATCGTTCGACTTCACGCCCGCTCTCGCGCCGTGTTGCAACGCAAACGTCACGACGCTTCTCAACGTCCTCTCGAGCAAACACTGCGGGGAGGTCAGCGTCGGCATGAGGGGGTGGCCGGTCGTGTCGTGAGCTACAGGGCCGACTAGCTCTCGCCTGGGTGAGTCTAAATCTAGTCTATCTTTGGTAGCAACTCGTGGCCGAGCAAGTAAAGACGAGCCAAGATGGCCGGCGGCGGGCGGGGGTAGGAGAAACGAGATGCCAGCGCAGCATTGCGCATCGCAATGTGGGGTCGGCGTGTCTGGCGATGGTTGAATTGAAGGTGCTCTCGCTGTTTGCTCTTCTCTCACGATATGTTGCTACAATTCCGCATTCAAAGATCGATGTTGATGTCGTGTGCGCGAGGGGAGACGAGGCGGGACGCTCGCTTTCTTAGGATTGCCAGTGCTGCGAGGAGCGAGCGACGAGCTGTAACGAATACGTGAAGGTCAAGTCGAGATGAGTCTTCGCTCACACATCAGTTGCACTGGTCAAACGAAGGCGAAGGAGCAAGAAACTAGATCATGATTGTCAAGAGTCGGGACAGGTTGCGGTGGAGTAAGGAGATGCGGGGCTAAGGGGTGGAGCTGGGTGGGACGACGACGCGCAGGCGAGGCAAGTGGTAGTGCGGTGAAGACAGACCCCTGTCCCGAAAGGGACCCAGGAGGGACGTGACGTGGTGCCTCGTGAGGGCTGCCGATGGCCGTGGTCAACCTGCTTCGAGTTCCTGACTGAGGCTGACTGCGGGCGCCGACATGAAGCCTTTCCTCGCTCTGAGGGGTGCTCAACGTCTACCCTGGCGGCGTCTGCCTGCCTCGCGGCTCCCATGTCCTGCTACTGATTGACATCTTCAGCCCCTATTCCCTCCGAAATGACCCCCACGCGAATGACGAGGCGATGCCGATGCTGACAACCTGCGCTTGTGGTTCCCTCCACTCCCACCTCTCCCGCCCTCTGCTGTGTTTCCTCCCTGCTGGGGATGCCCTGACTGCCCTTGCTCTTCGAGAGACCTGTGTTCCTCCGAAGCCCTCAGCGAGTCGCTGGAAGTGGCTAGTCTCTCTTTCTGCGGGTCGTCCATCCCAAGACGTATATGCGCTGTGTCGTCATCCTTCCTTCGTCGTGTGTCGTCATCTGATGCTGCGTCGCTGATGTGTGGGTGGGACGGATGTTCGTCTGCTGTGTCGTGCGAGTCGTTCGACCTAGCTCTGCAGGTGTCGCCAGGCGGGCACGCGCACGGTTGGGGTAGATGTACGGGGTAGGGGGCAATGCTGGTACGGCGGAGCGAGGGGGGATTGGATGATGTGGTGTTGATGATGATGATGCGGGTGCGGGTGCCACCATTCAGGTGGTCGAGAAGACGCGACGTTGACTCGTTGTCGCGCTGGTGCGACGAGATCATCGTTGCTGGAGAGTAGGGTCAGAGAGAGGGCGACCAGTGCCTCGATGGAACCTTTGCTGTTCTTGTAGTCCTCCGACGCCCTCGCGTTACACGCGGAAGTTGTAGTCGCCCCCTTCTCTCCCTGTTGCCTCCTTGAGTTGAGAGCGTGGTTTGAGCGCAGGCGCTCGACCGTCTCGATCCTTAATGTGCGTCGGCTTCACTGACTTGCGCCTGTTCAGTACCACTGCTGGGCTTGCTGGTCGTCACGGCGAGTCGTGCGGGACGACTGACCTTGATAGGCGGCATTAGGCTGAGCAGCAGCAGCCGTGCGCGAGCCGTGGACAGCGCGAGCCGACTCCATGGGCGTCTGCGCACCGCCCTCCTCCTCACCCTGAGGCAGCACTTTGCGCCTGGGCAACTGCTGAGCAACCTGCTTTGCGGCTTCTGCCTTTGCCTCCTCAGTGGCACGCTGCTGAACACTCCAGTCAAAGACGTAGTCGTACTGGAATCCCTCACGAACAAAGAGGTCGCGGAAGAGCTTGCGGAGGTACGAGTAGTCTGGCTTGTCGTCGAAGCGGAGTGAGCGACAGCAGTTGAGGTAGATTGCCATCTCCGAGGGGAAGCCACGGCAGAGGAGCTCGGTGGGCGTCGTCATCTTCTTCTCCATGATGCGGTCGTACTTTTGCTTCTTCGTCGCCGCTTTGAGTCCCTGCCAGGGCAACGAGCCGCGAAGGAAGTACATAAGGACATAGCCTAGCGACTCGAGGTCGTCTCGTCGGGACTGCTCAACGCCCAAGTGGGTGTTAATCGACGTGTAGCGGGCAGTACCAGTGAGGTTCTTGTTCTCTCTGTAAGGGATGTGAAGGTGCGTCTTGGGGTCGCGGTACTTCTTGGCGAGTCCAAAGTCGATGACATTGACCTGGTTTCCCCTCTTGCCAATGCCCATGAGGAAGTTGTCAGGCTTGATGTCGCGATGGATGAAGTTGCGCGAGTGAATGTACTCGATGCGTGAGATCTGTGCGTGGGGGCGAGGGGAGCGGGGGAAGGGGCAAAAGAGGGTGTGAGTCCAGATGGTCTCTTATGACATCGTGCTCCATCGCTGCTCACCATCTGGTCGGCAAGGAGCAGCACAGTCTTGAGGGAGAACTTGCGGTTGCAGAAGTTGAAGAGGTCCTCGAGGGATGGACCAAGGAGGTCGATGACCATGGCATTGTAGTCGCATTCCTGGCCGTACCATCGGACAAAGGGGACACCGACGCCGCCTGCGAGCGTCTTGTAGACCTTTGCCTCGTACTCGAGCTGCGGGTGCTTAGCCTTGATAGACTCGAGCTTGATGGCTACCTCTTCGCCAGAGATGATATTAATGCCGAGGTAGATGTCGCCGAAGGACCCAGAGCCAATCTTCTTGCCGATGCGGTACTGCGGCGTGAAGGGGGGAGAGGTGAGTAGGCTGTCGATACTGAAGAGGACTCAAAAGAAGCCGCTGTACTCACTCTGAAGTTAGGGGTGCGATGCGACAGCGGAGGGACAAAGGAGGAAGGGGGAAGCAAGAAGTACGCGCAGTGGTGAGCAATCAGTCTCTCCGCTGAGAGTCGTGGTATCAGGCAGTACTCACTTGCCGCCTACTCGAAGATCCATGCTGTGAGCTAATAGTGGGTTTGAAGAGGAAGATGAAATGAAAAGAGGGAAAGGAGGGAAAGGACGATGGGCCGAGTTGTGTCTCGACGTTGAACTTCTCTGCAGATGACGACTGTTTGCTGTCTGGCTCAAGTCCTGGCTAGCAACTCCGTGCGCTCACTTGTGAGCGGTATGTCGTATCTACGGGAAGAAGAAGCGATACGTGCTGATCGACGTCTACTGAGTGAGCGTCGTATCTAGCAGAGGAGGGCAGTCGGTGATGGTAGTGATGGTAAGAGGCTGAGATGACTAGGCCGCCGACAAGCAGTCAAAGGGGCTTAGCGGCCGCCCCGTCACCCAGCTCAGCAGCCGCGCCTCTGGCCCTCATGACGAGCTGCTGGACACACACACGCACCGACCGCACGCCCGCACTCCCGCACGCACCGGTCGGGGCGCCGGGCAAAACTACGAGCCCAGGCAAAGAGTAGGGCAGGCAAGGCAAGGCCAGGCAAAGCCAAAGTGCAAAGTGAGTTCCTGGGCTCAGCATTGCATTCGCGCCTAGCTGCTGCTACGCACGCCCCGACTTGGCCCGCGAGGGAAGCCCAAGGCAACGCAACACCGCGAACACGATGACTTCCTGCCCAGCGAGACGGCATCGCATTGTTCGAGAAGCGCGAGAAGTGAATGGCGGCTGACAGCATCAAAATGCACACGCAGTCGACAGAAGCTCAGAATGACAAGGCGGCGAGGAAAGACAACAGAGGCATCTAACGGGCCGCTTTGCCTCCTCGCCTGATGAGCGGACCAACCGCTTTCGAGAATACCGTGACATACTCAGGGGCCAAAGCGACAGCAGTCTCTACTTTGTCATCACCGAGTCAGGCGAGGCATCGATATTGCACATAAAACAGTGGACAGGCATGCTTATTTGTATGACCACGTCTCCTCCGCCTCCTCGACGCTCGCAAACCAACCTCCAACGAAGCGCCAAAACTCGACTTGCTGCCGCGACGCCGTCCACAGAGGGGCCAACGAAGCGTGGGTGGTATTTGGTATCAAGTGGGTGTGGTAGTGATTGGGCGCGGGCCCCGCAGCAGCGGTACATCCAGGAGAGGCAGACATCGACTGCTCGTGAGGCGCTGGTGTGGACGTCTTGTCGGCGTCACCGCCAGCACTGAGAATCCACGCCGTCCACGGTGTCACAATGGAGCCAAAGAGGCGATCGACAAGGGCGGGCTGCGCACTTGCCCTTTGCCCAGCCTCGTCGCCGTCGTCGACACTGTCCTGGTGCCACTCGTGATGAGTGCACAGCCCTTCGACGCATTCCCGTGGGTGGAGCTGCGATGCTAGGGGCACGATGCCGTCGTTGGCATGCCAGGCCTCGAGCGTGGACATGGAGCTGAGCTTGCCAGCAGACTGCGATGACGAACTTGGAGGTGAACAGTCAGCCAGGAGTGATGCCAATGAGGGCAAAGTCGTTGGCAAGCTTGACTCCGAGTCGGTTAGGGAGCAGCGTCGTGGCGAGGCTACGCTCGTCATTGCGCCATCGGCGTCGAGCACGTACGGGCTATTGTAGCCTGAATCAGCGAGCAGTAACTCTGCTGACTCTTTTTTCTCCTCCGTCTGATGCTCCTTGTCGTTGGTGAGGAAGCTTGGCGGCGGCGTCATTGAGACGAAGGGAAACCTGCCAAGCAGTCGAGCAGATATACCCAACGGCGAGGCAGCGAGTAAGTCGGTGAACCACGAAGAGGAGCGTGGCGTATGGTGCTCAAGGACATCGGAGGTGCTGGCGCGCTCCGTCATGGCAGCGGCGATGCAGCAGTACCACGTTCTCTCCTTGGCAGCATCGCCTGTAATGCCCCATGCCTCTTCCTCATCCTCCACGCGCATCCTCTCGTGTATCGTCGAGTCCCAAGGACCGCAGTCAACTCCTTCTGCCCAGTCGCTCTTCAAGAATTGGCGATACAAAGTCGCAATCCCAAAAGCTTTGCGCCATGACCACTCATCGACGTGTTCCTCGCCCAGCTCTGGTCGCCGCCTCGGCGAGAAATGCCACGCATCTGCAAATGTATCTGGCAATCTCCTCCTCACCCAGCCGGGCAGCGGCAATCTCTCTCTGTCTAGGAAAGCGGCAACATGCACTGCCTTTGCTAGCCAGTCGCCCGTGCTCCACCGCCGCACGACTGGGTAAGAGAGGGGCTCGAGGCCCAACAAGTGGACAATGGGAGTGCCCCGCAACGGAGATGAGATGGTCGTGATCGAGAGGATGAGATCGCTCGCTGTTCCAGCTTGGAACTCGGGATCCAACTCCCGTAGAGCCGAGTCGAAGAAGCCTTGCCTGAGGAGCTGCTGGAGCTTGTAGATCGTAGGTCCGCCTAGAGAGTGGCCGATGAAGTGGGCGGAGCGACGTCTTCTTTCCTTGGCCCTTCTCGGCTCAAAGAGCTGCGGTAATGCTGCCTTCTCGAAACGCCTGCCATATCTTCCATGCCCATGACCCCTGGCGTGCTTGGCACCGTAGTCTACTCGACCGCCCCTAAGGCCGTAGAAGAGCTCACAGGCTCGGTCGTGCAAAGAGGAGACAGGGCCGATGGGCGCGAAGACTACTTGACGTGGTGGGCGTGAGCGACCCGAGTGAGATTTGGAGGAGGAAGGGACCGAGGACCGATGAGCTGCACTGCCCCGCTCCATCTCGTCGGCGAACCCGCCCCATACGGTACTTGAGGTTGCGCAGAGGAAGCCTTCTACGATGACGACTGGAATCGACTCGTCCGCGCCAGAGCATGGCGCGTCGGCTGTGGCGTGATCATGAGCTGGTGTGTTGTCCAGGTCGTTATCACTGAGATGACCTTCAACAGAGACGGGTTCTGTGCATCCCATGGTGCCCTCGTAGAGGATATGTCCAGCGTAGCGGTCGGGCTAGAGTAGACGACGCTGGGGGTACAGGCGCGAGCTCGCAGGCCCATTAAATGCTGGAAGGACCAGCGCAAGAGATGGCAGCGAGACGTGGAAAGTCAAGCTTTCCGTCCACCATCACCTCACCAAAGGAGGCTAGGGTGAGAAGCAACCCCTGTTCGAGTAGCGCCTTGAGTTAGTCTTCAATGTACGCCGCCGACGCCGAACCTTCTTTGCCATCCAATCTTTCCTTATCCCCGCCCGCCGGCGAGCTCAAATCTGTCGACCGACTCAGGCACATCTGGCCGGGAATTCCGCGCAGACCCGAAGACAGATTTTCCGCGGTCCCTTCGTACGGCGATGGCCACGAGAATCGAGCAAGGCGATTGCACAAAGAGGGTAACGAGAATGGCTATCATTTTCATACGAGTGACATGCTGGACGAATACGAGGATGGCGAGGTGGCCACGAAGGATCTACATCAATGATGGACATGGACACCAAAGCGTTAGGGTCGTGCCGTCGAGGTAGGCCAGCTGCGGGGGCAGAGTAAGAGAAGGTTCGTAGCGTCGAGTCGCTGATGATACAGAGTGTGGAAGAAAAGGTGTGTCTATCATAGAGGGTGAAGGGAAGATTGTGAGAAGTAGCTGGCCGTCCAAGAAGAAGTGCACGCGTATGCCTAGCTGCCTCTGCGTAAAGCCCCAGAGCCATTCCTTGTCGCAACGTCATTGATGGCCTCGCACCACTCGACGGCCTCAGCGTGCGTCCTGGTGATAAAGTACAAGATGCGCTGCGCATCCACGAGGCGGAGGTACGTCTGACCCATGACTTGGCAGCAAGGCGATGACGTGGAGCCGTCGCCGCTACCGGTGTGACGAGGCTTGAGGAGGGCGAAAAGGTCGACGGCTGATGAGGCTGCCGAGTTTGCCCCACCTTCAGCGGTGACTGCAACGCAGACGTCATTACAGAGCAGCAGCGTTATAGGCTTACCGACCGTATGCTGCTCCAGACAGTCGACCTGCATCCCGCCCTCGCCATACGCTCCATCGCACGAGGCATCTGCAGCGTCTCCATCCGCAGCCGCAGCCGCATCGTCATCAAAGGCCTTGACCCTCTGCACAACACGACGAAGTTGGAGGGTCCCGTCACGCAGCAAGCGACGATGAGGCTGAACGAGGGGCGTGTGCCAGCCAGTGCGCAGCCTGCTCTGCCAAGCGAGGAGCTTACGATCCTGCTCGGACTGGCGTTTGCTCTCGTTGACGCTCGCCGCAATCGAGGACATCTGCGCTAGAGCGGACGTGACTGCCTCGGAGTTGCTGAGTCGCTTCGAGTCGGTGCTGCGTGCCAGGTCCTTGAGGAGGAGCTCGTATCGCGGGATGCGCTGCACGGGAAGGAGAAGGTAGCTCTCCACACTCAGCTGCGTGTGTCGTGGGTCGAGGCGACATCGCTTCAGGAAGGTCTTGATGCGCTTGACGCGGAGCAGCTCGCCAGCTGCACCTCCGCCTCCAGTGGCATTGCTAGCCGCCGAACGGAAAGCGGCCGCAGCGCTTGAGGTCTGCGATGGGGCAAGCCAGGAGGCCAGCTTAGTCTGCGCCTGGTCACAGCCATTGATGTAGGCGCTGTACATGCGGAACCAGCCGCTGTGTCGGAGGAAGACGTCTGCGACCGCCTCTGCCGCTCCTGCTGTCAGACATCTGGCCTCTTCGCTCTCGTCGTCGCCACCTTCTTCCTGCTGACGTAGCACGACGTCCGCGGCTGCCATCAGCGAAGGAAGGAAAGCGCCCGTATGAAACTGGAGTAGGCCCTCGACGTTGCCAAATACGGCACGATGATCCTGCGGCGTCAGAATGGGCACACCGTTGCTCTTCTCGTCTGGCAACTTGGCCGGCTTGACGTAAATGTCGCAGAGCTCCTGCAAGCCACGAATGTACGACTCTTCGGAGCTGATGATCTCGGCAATGATGCGACGACGACGCCGTGAGTCGTCCTTGATATCACTTGGGGCGGGCGAAGAGGTTGAGGTCATGTTGAGCAGCTGGTTTGAGGGATGTCGAAGACGAATGGGAGAGTCAGTACCCCCATTGCCGACATGGTCGGCGCCGTACGAGCTGAGAGAACCATCGCTGTTGCGTGCGCTTGATGCTGCTCGACGACGGCGCGCCTGCGAGGCTGGAGCTAGGTCGTCGAGGTCGCGCAGGTAGCACATGAGAGCGTGCATCCTGCCTTTGAGCTCGAGTGGGTCCTCGCGTGGCGCTTCGACACGATTGAAATCGAGAAAGCTACGACGCTTCGATTGGCTTTGAGGGGGAGCGAGGCCGCGACGCTCTTCTGGCGTCGAAACGGAGCGAGGCGTTGGCTCAAAGGCAGCGAGAAGGCCTGCAGGCGCGGTCGCTGGTGGAGCGTCATGGTCCATTGGACGAGACAACGAAGCATTTGAGGTGTGCAGCCGTGGCAAAGTCTTCGGACTGCGGTGTTGGGTGACGTCGATCGATGGCCTGCGTGACCGCGCCGGCGAGGCGATGCCGCTGTTTTCTGCTCCGGCGCCTCGACCACTCTCGGACGCCGCTGCCGAGGCCGACGCGCTGTTACTGAGAAAGTTGCTGGACGTCTTGCGCGTCACCTTGCGCAGGAAGGCCCACTTGCTCTCACCACCTTCTGACCCCTTCGACGCCTTGACGGTCGCGTCTCGGTCGAGCAGACCGCGACGCTGCATCTGCTCTTCGATGGCCGTCAGCTTAACGGGCTGGTCTTGCTCCTGCTGAGGCGTCGTCACCTGGGAGGACTGCTGAGAGACCCTCGGGTTGAAGAACTTGGCCAGCTCGTTGTCGCTCTTCTTGCGTGAGAAGCCTGGGCGACGCTCGCTCGCCGGACTAGATGGCGAGGACGAGCCGCTCTCCTTGCGGAAGGGTCCAGCCGGTGCGGAGATGGGAACAGCGGGTGCAGGGACCTGCGAAGGGAAAATGGAGGCGAGAAGCTTCTGCCACGCTCCCTTGAAGGGGTTGCCCTCGAGATAGAGGCGCTCCAGCTTGCCACTCAGGAGGCAGAGCCAGCTTGGGAGGTGCGCCAGGTGATTATGTCCAAGACTGAGCGTCGTCAGCTCTGAGAGCTTGCTCATGGCGTGAGGAAGCGACACCAAGCCAGTGTCGTCGGCGATGAGGACGCGCAGGGTGGAGAGAGAGCCAATCCAAGAGGGTAGCTTGCCTGATGCCAAGGCGTTGCCCGAGACATTGAGTTCTTCAAGGCGATTGCACTGCTCGATGCAAGGCGGCAAATCCACGATGCCAGTGTGCGAGATGTCAAGCACCAGCAGGCTATGGGCAGCTGAGGGAAGTGTCCTCTCGAGGAAGGCCGTCATCTCTTCTCCACCTTCGCAGCCAGAAAGCAGCAGGTGGCTTGTCTCGCTGCCGATCTCGTACTCAATGTCAGCGAGGCTTCGACCATTGGCCTCGATAACCACGCCTCTGCCCTCTTCTACCACCTTGACTGCATCGCCCACACTCTCCTCGATGCCATTCACCGCTGTGAGGTGCGGGAACTCCATCCCAAGCGCCTTGACGTCAATGCTCAGCCGGCTGGACGAAGCGATCGAAGACGCCGCTGACATGGCTCGTTTGCGGTTGTTGTATGCGCGCGACTCTGAGCTGGTCGACATCATCGACGTCGAGGACGAGGACGAGGTGAGAGAGGTCGGCATCCCCTCATCCAGTTCCCTCAGCGAGGAGCGACTGTCCAGCCTGCGGTGAAGGGTGGCCGACGAGGCGAGCTTGCTGAGGCTTGTAGACGTTTTCATGCCTGCACTGCCTGCCTTGGAGGAGGGGGGCTTGTGCGAACGAGTCGTCGTACGAAGGGAGCTTCCTCTTGGACTGACGGTACGAGCGAGCACAGCGAAGGAGCCGTCCTCTGAAGACATTGGCATCGACGAGGACGATGACGAAGATGTGGTAGTCGACGCCTTCGATGGTCGACGCCGGACGCTTATCGCAGCCCCGCTGGGAGAAGCGTCAGAGCGAGTGCGGTTGCGAGATGCTCCTCTGGAAGGGATCGCGCAAGGAGGAAGAAGAGGGCCAGCGACGGATGCAGTGGACGTTGTCGATATGAGGCTGTCCGTGAGGTTGGGCTCGCTGACCATGCGACCAAGCGTAGGCCTTGGCGCGATGATGGGTGTCGTCCCTTCGCGTACTTGCTCAACCTCGTCGGCAGGCGGCTTCGTACTGGAATGCTCTGATGGAGTCGAGGAGACGATGTGCTGAGTGAGGGGCGCAGGCTTGCGTGTCCAGACTGGGTTGCGATGGTGCGCCCATCTATCCGCGGTCTCAGCGCCACCACCGCCCGCTGCTGTCTCAGACGGCTGAGAGTAGATTCCCAACCCAACGTCATCTTCGTCGTCTTCGCGGTCGCCGGCTTTATTTCCTTCACCCTTCCCAAACATGTTGCAATCTCTCGAACTCGATGGCGTTGTCATCGGACTACTGTGATGCGTATCCCAGCTGCCATTACGACTGAACCTGTTGCTCATGCTCCAGAGGGAGGAGGCACGCGCCGAGCTGTTGTGGCCGCTCGTCGTCGATGCTACGTCCGACGTGGCCGTCGCTTCCTGATGACGCAAGCTTGTCGCCGGTGAAGGTGGGATGGGAAAGGTCGCAGGGTCTGGCAGAGTGGGGCTAGACAGGGATGCGGCACCGCTGCTGCCATTGCGCCTTCTACGAGCAAGTGTCATGCTGCCCGTCGCCTCGGTCATGCGCATGACGGAAGGATCGAAAGCGGGAGCGAGGGTACCTTGATCGGGGAGAGTGGGTGAGGAGCTGGATGCTGCAGGCCATAGCTGAGGAGTCTGGAAGCTCTGGACTGGAGAGCCAGTGCCAGAGTGGGAGGAGACGCTCGTGGAGCCGGCGCTAGACGGCTCTGAGGCTGCAGGCAGGACAATCAGGGTCAGCTCGGTAGCTCTGGTGCTTTGATCCTCGCTCGCCTGCTCACTCATGGCGCCGCCATCGAGGTCATTCCTGCTACATCGCTGCATTCTCATCTGCTCCTGCCGCTCCATGAGGATCTCCTCGAGCGGTGGTGGAGGGAGAGACTTGTCCTCCTTGAGCGCAGTCGTGTTTGGACGAGGCGTCGCCGTTAGGTCCATTGCGCCGAATAGGCTGGGAGTAGGCGCCATTGCCTGCGGCGAATGAGGGAATTGAAGTCGCGTCTAAAGGGGTGGGGAAGGGGTTGCTTGCCTGGGAACGAGGAGGGAGTCTACGCCGTCTAACAGAGCATGTAGGATTGGCGGAGACGTAGTCTTTGGCTGCAAACAGATAGAATGGGGCGAAGATGAAGGAAGTAGAAGGGAAGAGAGCGAGGAGAGCGAAGGAGACACGCTCGTAGACCACGCCAGCGATCGCGTGAGGGCGCAGCAGCTAGGGAGCTTCCTATTCTTCGTGTGGGGCGAGGAGCGGCTCGATATGAGCAGATTGCCGGCCAGTAAAAGAGGAAGATGACGAGGCTGACGAGCTCGTTTTTTGGGTTCCTGGCGGCCTGTAATTGAATGAAGAGGGAGGAGGTGCTGATAGATGGGACGAATGTGCTTCGAGGCGAGTATGCCGGTGAAGGGGGACACGAGGAGGCGAGATGGGGGAAGGGTGCGGGGAGCGACTGTGTTACAGCGACAGCGACGTTGATGACAACGTATTGTCGCTCGCTCTCTCGCTCGCTGGTAACCGACAAGGATAGTGTTGGGCAAGAAGGAGGCAAGCTAGCCAATTGGATCGCAGAGCCACTCGTTGTTGCTGCTATTCACCAACCTTTGCTAGCCGCCCGCACCCTCTGCCTGCCAATCGGCGTCCACCCTCTTTTGACGCCCCGCATGATCGAGGACCTCTCTCCTGCCTGCCTGCCCCCCTCGCCTCCCTTGCCGCACGCCCACCCACATTGCCGTCGCTGTCGCCGTCGCCGTCGCCGTCGCGCTCGCCCTCTCGCGCCTCACGCAGCCCATCCACGCGCACGCACGCACGCATACGCAAGCTCTGAGAGCTAGAGCGGGTCAACTTTGGCCACACGTCGCGAGCGTGAAGGAGGGACCCTGGTCTGCCAAAATGGGGAGGCGCTGCTGTGATAGCTCGCAGAGCTCGTCGATCGCCTTGGATCCAGCGAGATGGACGACGGCGACGACGACACGGCTTCCTCGGCAGGGGAGAAAGATTCCCATGTCTCGTATCAAATGTGCTAAGCTGGAGTCGCCACGACGTGCTCGTCAAGGGGAAGCCTGACCGTCTCACCTGCAACGGCATTCGGTGTCATGGTTCGCCCTTGTCATCTCGTACGTTTGTCGACCTCTTTCGCCCAAGTCTCGCCGTGATTGGAATTTCTCTGTCTCACATCGTATTGAATCGCTCCATTCTGGCGTGGATTGGAGGCTTAAAGATGATGCCAGGGCACGCCCAGCGATCTGGTCTAGCCCCTTGCTTGCTTGTCACTTTAGCATGTCTCGCGCTTTTAGTCGAGGAGAGGTCGCAAACAAAGGGCGGAGCCCGAATATGTGGCCGCGGCGGCGGAGGCCGAAGGGAAATCGAGTCGATTTGGTAGCGGACCTGGAAGGAAGAAGGGGGAGCCCCACGCTCTCTCGCTGTTGTCGAGGTGGCTTGATCAGATTGAGCAACGTGTGTGGGTCAGCAGCGCCATGACAGGCTTGGAGAAGATCTGGGTTGAGCCCACGTTCAACGAGAGGTTCGAGGCTGATGGACGAGGGCAGACGGAGAAAATGAGCTGGATACGACTTTTCCTAGAATTGAGCCATGAAGAGAAAGGAGGACCAATCGAGCCTAGCTGAGTATGGTTACATGAGATCGAACAAAAAAAAGAGGAGCAAAGGCAGGTAACGCGTGAAGTGGGTAAGAGAGAGAGATGGTGAGAGGTAACGCGTGAAGTGGGTAGGTGGGGATGGTGAGAGTGAAGGAAAAGAGAGAGCGAGGGACGAAGAAAGAGGAAAGGGCAAGAGAGGCTCTGGACTGCGTCGGGCTGGGCTAGAGTGCAAAGAGTACAAGCTGAGAAGTGAGGGAACAGAAAGGACGTTGCGTTGTGTTGCGTTTGGTGCTCGACGTCGTAACGCGAAGGTGACTGCCCTGGCTTTGGATTTGGGATGCGTGACAGTGGAGAAGCAGAGCAAAGGTCGACGTTGCTTAAGCCTCGACGGCGGATGAAGGAACGCCTGCGCTGGTGGTCCTGACATGATGGTTCTGGTGCTGACCCTGTCCCTTCATGGCGCCCATGCCCATGCCCATGCCAAGGCCATTGATAGCCGACCCGCCACTGGTGTCGCGCCCCCGAGGGAACTGCGGCATTTGAAGCGGGAAGGGACGAGCAGGCTGGGCTGTGACGTTACCACCGAGGCCAGCCATGGAAGTGGTCGCAGACGGATGGTGGACGTAGGCTGTGGGTGACTTAATGTAGGGGCCTGCTGAGATGTTGTTGCTCACGTCGTGCAGCTGGTGAGGCATGTTGGTCGCGTCTACACCGCCGTTGCCGTTGCCATTGCCTCCCGCAGACAGCGGAGTGCGAGGCGAGGAGAAATTGGCAGTAGACCCGCTGGACGAGGAGCCGTAGGACATGCCATCCATCGAGGGAAGACCTGGACGAGCAGATGCGGTAGCACTGAGGTAATTGGAGCTCCCCGTCGTAGGCAGAGCAGGAGGCGAGAAGAGGACACCGCCTCGTCCTCCACCGGACGCGAGCATGCTGCCGATCCCGCCCGAGGGAGAGGGAAGCGGGTGCTGAGCGCCACCGTTGGTGTAGAAGGAGGAGGAGGAGGATGCCGTCATCCCTGCAGGCCTTGCGGACAACGGGAAGGTAGCATTGACGGGACTACCTTGAGCTCCAAGGGGTGCCGAAGACGATCGGGCCTCCATCTGCTGCTGCTGCTGCTGTTGTTGCTGCTGCTGCAGGGCGCCATGGCTGTTGCTGCCAGTGTAAAAGGCCGTCTGGGGCAAACGCGTATGAGCGTCAATCGGCGAGCTAGCTGTGCCCCAGACGTTGTTCCTCAGCTGCTCGCGCGGAAAAAGCGACGGCGACGATGTGAAGCCGCCTCCATATCCCGCTGCTCCGCCATTGTTGTTCTGCGCACCGGTCGTGGAGGGGAGAGCGCGGTACGAAGTAGGAGCCGACATCGGGTAGGCGGAGGAGTCGTAGCTATTGCCGTTGCTCGCTCCGCCATGGCTGTGCCCGTTGCTGCCATCGTAGCTGTGGGAGCTGACTGCCGCGTTAGTGTCGTACGAAGCCGCCTTGTTATTCCCTACTGACGTCGAGCCGTTCTGGGCGGTATTGTTCGAGCCAGTGGTTGCTCGCCTCTTGTACGGTCCACGCTTGATGCCTCGCTTTCGCTCCTTTCGCATGCTGTCGATGCACGTCTCTGTCAGGCCGTACTTGATACAGCGAGTGCAGGGTCGTCCCTCGTCGCACTTCTTGCAGGCCTTTTGACAATTGATGCAGGCATTCTTGACCTGACGACGCTTAGGGCGGATGCTGTTGCCGGACTGGTCCTGCGGCGAGTTGGGAGCCTGCTGCTGATGGACGGCGCTGGACGAGGAGCCAGCCATGGACTGATGATGCTGATGCTGATGGTGATGCGAGTCCATTGAGTGGTGCATGCCGGCGTGCGAAGGGTGACTGCCGTACACGTCCTCGTTTGCCCCGCCATGATGGTATCCGGCAGCACTATGAGGGTGGCCGTGATGCTGGGGCAGCATGTGAGGCTCGGACGTCATGCCGCCAAACGAAGACGAGCCGCTGGTCTGAGGAGCGCCCATGTGCTGGTACATGCCCATGCCGTAGGAAGAGGTTGCACCACCTTGTCCCTGATGATAGTCGAGAGGAGCCTGATGGTGCGAATAGTGCTGCTGCTGAGCATCGTAGACGCCGCCGCCGTAGTGCTGCTGCTGCTGTTGCTGGTGGTGGTGCTGAGGCTGGTGGTACGACTGCTGTTGCTGCTGCTGCCTCTGTTGGAAGCTACCAGCAGACGTGTTCGAAGGGTTGAAGTAGGTGTTGCTGTTGTGGTGAGGTCCTGACATCGTGGGCGGTCGAGGCGGTGATGGAGGAGGACGAGTGATTGCTGGGCTCTGAGATCGTGACAAGGATTGGGAAGAGGGAAAGGAGGGGGAACCGAGGTTGTGAGAGAGTGAAGGAGCGGCGGGGGGAGGAGGAGGAGGAGGAGGAGGAGGAGGAGGTGAGTAGCCCATTCTCAACGACCAAATAGAAGGAAGGGAAGGGAGCGAAGCCGTGAAGAAGCGATTGAAACGGGAGGACCTAGGCTCCAATGGCCCTCCTTGAACGACTTGGGTCGAGATCGTCGACGTGAGAGATGCAAGAGCCAAGCGGGGAGGCAGTCGCGGTGATGCGCCACCACTGTCCTGCCCTGTTTCCTCTGGCTCTCGCCCAATCAAGCTGCCGTCTCTGTCGCCCGCCGCGCCGCGGAAGCCGACGCTTCGCTCCATTTGTTCGTCGAGGCTGGGCAGCGGAGACGAGGGGTGCGCGTCGATGCAGGCCCATTGGCAGGCGCGGCTAAAGCAGCCGCTAATCTAGCAGCTAGCCAGCCAGCCAGCCACCTGCCACCTACACTAGGCTCGAGCGTTTGCGAGCCAAAAGCAACAGAGCTCGCATCGAGTGGCTCACAGTTGAGCCGCTGCCGGGCGATAGGGCGACGAAGCGCGCTGGCCGGACGGTCCGGCTGCTCTACCTCTGCCTCCATGGCCTCGCCATGGCCACAGAGAGCTAGCTGGCTCGCTCGCTCATACGCTGCGTTGGCCGCTGCTGCCTGGCTCCAAGCGAACAACTGCCCGCGATTCGTGATACCGTGAGAGCATCCATCGATCGATCGCCAACTCGGTATCCGCTGCACTCGAGCTCCGTACCGAAGGCGTGCGTGGTTGTCATGGCGGTGCTGACGAACACGTACAGTAGCCGCGGGGCAACGCGACGAAGCCTTGAACTGATTGCTCACCTTTTCAGAAGAGTCCTAGTCAGACTGATTGGCAGCTGCGACGTGAGAAGCGCTGATGATGATGATGATGATGGTGGTGATGGTGAGAAAGGTGAAAAGCTCAACTGGACGTCTCGTCTCGTTTGTCGTGTATCGTGGAGAGGAAAGTCAATCGGGGAGGCGGAGGGAGAATCGCAACTCCTCTTCTTGGAGGGGATCGTCCAAAGTCCGCACTCTATATACGAGGGCAGCTAGCTACGACGAGCCGGGAACGGGGGGCGGGCGTGGTGGGAGGTCGAGGAGAGACCCGGGCAAAGCTACTGTGGAGAAGGGCTCTGAGACTGACGGCGGGGCGTAGGTCCATATCGGGCTACATTGGCTAGTCTGGCGGTGATGTGCCGTGAGATTCAATGCAGGTCGTCGTGTCGTGAATGCATTGGTAGAGAGGGGGCGTTGCACACACAACGCAATCGCGCTTTGGGCGTGTCTGCCTCGGACATGCCGTTGTAATGCCACCGTCATTGAATTTGTGGCTGGGCCCGCCCCCTTCCCCTCGTCCTCCTCCTCGTCGTCTTTCAAAGCTAGGCTGTGCACAACTGCTTGTCAGGCGTGGGAGCCGTTGAACGATGGTGACATTGCCCTCGACTCGATATGTGCTCTGTGTCATGAGGCGTCATGGGCGTCGTGACCGAGCTCTTCTTCTTCTTCTCCTTGGCCATCTCGTCCTGTGAGCTGCAGGTAGGACATCGTGGGGCTAGTCGCATCGTGCGCCAGAGTCCAGACCGCTTCGTAGCTTTCCCTCGCTCGCTCGCGCTGATGAGCACACGAGGACGAGGAAACGATTACGACGTCGAGGTCCAGCCCCTGTTCCCCTTGGTTTTGCCTCAGCCCGAGCGGCATGGACGTGAACGAGGCCCATTTCGTATTTTCAGTGGCGTCGCAACAGAGACACACATGAGAAGAGCAGCGGAGGAGCGCGACGAGGATCAAGGGCTGTCGTGCCTGATCGAGGCGGGCGGATCGATCGTTGACCGGCCTCTGCTTGAGTCCCGAGCCCAGCCCCTCCACCCCGCGGCGGCCTTGCATTGACGATCCAGGCTCCCGGGCCGTTGGGGCCTACCACCCTTGGACGCAGTAGCGCAATTCGAAATTTGAGTGGCGCTTCAAGACTCACAGGGAGGCTACCATGTTGGGACGCTGAGATGCCCATGGCTTGCACCGGAACTCGAGCTAGTTGGGCCAAACTTCGGACACCGCGGACGTCAAGCAGTGGTGTTCCTACATGGTAGCTTTGCAGTTGCGAGGGGTCCGCTGAATCAGGGCCAGCTTCTACGATAAGAGGGCGATCACCTCATTTTCATGCTGGGCGTCGTCGAGATCATGAGACCGCGGGCATGAGAGCGTGGGAAGGAAGGCCCACACACCAGCGCTGATGTGAGTCTCGCCGAAGCTCAAGGTACCGATCTCACTAGCAAGATCATTGAGACGACCGAGGCAGAACTGAGACGATGTGACAAGCGCAGATGAAATCGGGCTCGTCCGTCGCAGGTCGTCGCAGATTACCCTTTTGCTCACTCATTCAGTGCAAGCAAAGATTGGTGAGCGTGCGTGAGCGCCCGGTCATGCGGGGGAGCGGTTCGCCATACCTTAGGTTCACCACATATTGAGATGGTGCCTGGCTGTGCCGTTTCTTGCAGCAAGCTGTGGTCGTGGTTGTCGCAGGAGGCAAATCAGGCGTCACGGTGTCGTGCGACTCGGACTGGTCTACCCGGCTCGTACGGGAGCGGAGCGCCACATCTTGACGAAGCCGTATCGAGATAGAAAGAGAAGCTGGCGTGTGACATACTCGTTTCGTCCAATACTCGCGTCGTCCATTCCCATCATCGTCGCCAATCACTTTCTCAGTGGAAGCGATCAGGTCCGCTTATCATCGGAGGTTGGCTGGAGGGGCGGGGCATGTGGCTGACTCTCGGGATGGAGCGTAGGAGTGAGGATCTGGCGCCGCTAAGACGTAGACAGCTGAGCGTCGAGCGGACCTACGGTTAAGCACTGAGCGGCAGAGGTCCGACTGGGGTGCGCGCCACCCTCAAGGGTCCGTAGAGCACGAAGGGGCGTTTTTTGTGGCGGCGACGTACCGGCGAGCCTCGGCGACTACGGTACGTCTCACCGCACACAACTTCCCAATTCTCCCTCGCCGCAATCCTCGTAGTCGTCGTTGTCAACGTTGCCCCGCAAAGAGGCGTCGTGTCTTGGCCTCAGCCTCACCCATCATCGGAGAAATCAATGCTAGTGCGAGTGGAAGGAAGCAGCGAGTTGTTGTGACATTCATCTCAGCCTACGCAAAGCTACGAGGACGGCGTAGCAATCACCGTCGCAAGCTCCGCCCGCCGCTCGTGGTACCACCGCACGCAATGTTCGCGGCGGCGATGCAACGACGTTAGTCTCAGCGATGCGCGGCTCTGATCGCGGTACATCGGGCGCGAGCAAGAGTTGACAGCCTGATGCGATGCGATGCGACCACGCCATGTGGCATCGTAGTAGATGATACTCCGTCTCGTCTTGGCATTGTATTGGTTGTGAGTTGGCGTAAAATTACATGGAAGGGGAGAGGAACGAGGGTGTGGGAAGCGTGGAACGTGGAGAGTGAAGCGTGGTGGAAGGCGAATGGAGGAAGGGAGGCGTGGCAAGGGGGAGTGAATGCGAGTATCAAGCGCGCGGACGCTGACCGCCTAGTACAGCCTCGTGACAACGCCCATAGACATCAACTCCTGGAAGAGCAACTTAGCGGCGTATGGGATCATCACCTGGCTAATCTGCGTCCTCTGCGAGCAGATCCTGCAGAAGTACTCCCCCTTCTTCAGGTTCGCAATAGCCGTCAAGCCACAGTTGTCGCACCTGAAGTCACGGTAGGCGTCGGATCCGTCGAACATGCGCTCCTTGAGGAAGGCGGCGCATCCGTGCGAGATGAGACAGTCGCGCTCCATCTCACCGAAACGCAGTCCTCCGTCTCGCGAACGACCCTCTACGGGCTGGCGAGTGAGGATTTGGACGGGTCCACGAGCGCGAGAGTGGATCTTGTCGTCAACCATGTGCTTGAGGCGCTGGTAGTACGTCGGGCCGAGGTAGACCTGCGCTTGCAGCTTTCGGCCCGTGTGTCCGTTGTACATGACCTCCAGGCCGCGCTTCTGGTAGCCCAGCTTGGCGAGAATGGCACTGACTGCTTCGACAGTCAGGTCCGTAAACGGTGTGGCGTCACCCTCTTGTCCGGATAGGGTCGCGACCTTGGACAGGAGACACTCGACCAAGTGACCGATGGTCATACGGGACGGAATGGCGTGAGGGTTGATGATGATATCCGGCGTGACGCCCTCGATGGTGAAGGGCATGTCCTCTTGACGGTAGGTGATACCAATCGTACCCTTTTGTCCGTGACGCGAGGCGAACTTGTCTCCCGTCTGCGGCACACGCGTGGACCTCACACGCACCTTGACGAACTTGCTGCCGTCTTGGTTCGTCGAGATGAGGACCTGGTCAACAATGCCACTCTCTGTCGACTTGAGCGGGGTGGAGACGTCGCGCTTCGTGTGCGTCTTGGAGCGCAGACCGAGCTCCTCGCTGTCGGGAGGCAGGGGCGCCGTCTTTCCAATGATGATGTCCTCGCCAGACACTCGGGTACCAGGAGCGACGAGTCCGTCTGGATCGATCTTGTCGTAAGTGCCATGCTTGAGGCGGATCGCCGTCTCGCGCGTCGGCTTCTCAAACTCCTCTTGCAGCGTGAAGCCCACCTTCTTCTCAAAGTCCGTGTACGTGCGGTAGTAGAGGGAGCGGAACAAGCCGCGATCAATGGACGATTGGTTCATGATGACCGAGTCTTCCTGGTTGTATCCTGAGTAACACAGGATGGCAACAATGGCGTTCTGGCCGGCGGGCAGCTCACGGAAATTGAGGTGCTCCATGGCTCGAGTGGTGGCAAGAGGCTTCTGTGGGTAGTAGAGGATGTTTGCCATCGTGTCCATTCGCATCTGGTAGTTGGTCAAGTAGACTCCCATCGCCTGCTTGCCCATAGCTGATTGATAGGTATTACGCGGCGACTGGTTGTGGTCGGGGAAGGGGATGATGCTGGCGCAGACTCCCAAAATCATGGCCGGATGGATCTCGCAATGGGTCCACGTGCTCGGCTCGTAGTAGCGAGAGGAGACGAGACGAGCAGACGGGTCAGGCATACCGTCGAGGCCGTTCGCCTCGCCAGCGTAGATGCCGTGGCGATGCAGGCGTCGCGACTTGGCCAAGTCCTGCGGCGACATGCTGATCATGACCGTCTCTTCTTCGTCGGCGTCCAGGTACTCAATGACTCCCTCGGCAACGAGCTGGCTCCACCTGAAGCGATCTCTCTGCTCGTCATCAGCGCCATCCTCGTCATACGCCGAAGGCTTCTCCTCCGCATTGAGCCACTGGATGTGCTCTCGCGTGATGAGCAGTCGCATGCTCTTCGGATCGACGATGAAGAGCGGGCGCAGTACTCGACCTGAGTCGGTGTAGAGTCGCAGCTCCTTCTCACGAATGTCGTGCACCACACTGACCTCCGTCGTGATGTCGTCCTTCCTTCGCAGATCACGCAGCGTCTCGACGAGGGCGCTCGGCTCATTGTGCGTACCCGCCCAGACACCATTGACGAAGACTTTGGTCGCCCTCGCGCTGGAGACGGACATGTCTGCAAGGTTGTCGAGACCGAACTCGTCGAGGAATTGGTGAAGTGGCGCCGAGGGGGAGCCAACGGAGATGAGGGACATGAGACTGAGGTTCTTGACGAGACCACAAGCCTGTCCTTCGGGCGTCTCGGCGGGGCAGACCATCCCCCAATGCGTGTTGTGAAGCTGACGCGGCTTGGCAATCTTGCCGTCTCGCCCAATGGGCGTATTGCAGCGTCTCAAATGGGAAAGCGTCGATGCGAAGGTGTAGCGGTTCAGCACCTGCGAGACACCAGCCTTGGCCTGCATGAATTTCTTCTGGTCGCCCCAGTTGCCCGTTGCGAGCGAGTAGCGCAGACCATTGGTGATTGTGCTCGACTTGACGGCCGTGGTGAGATGGAACTCGCGCTGCTCCTCGACGCAGCGCTGCAGATGGCGATAGATATCTCGCGTAAGCTTGCGGAAGAGCATGCGGAACAGGCCAGCGAGCAAGGGACCACCGAGATCGAGACGCTTCTTGCCAAAGTGATCTCGGTCGTCGATCTCGCGACGCTCCAGCGCGGCCAGGAGGAGGCGGTGTACCATGTAGCCAAAGAAGTAGGCCTTCTTGGTGTTGGATCCCTCTGAGATGGAGATGTGCGGGAGCATCTCCTTCTGCAGGATCTCCTGCGCGTAGATTTGACGCTTGTGGCGAGTGAGACCCGTCGCTGTACCACGACGACCAATAAAGTCGAGCGCCGCCTCCCTCTCTTGGAACATGAAAGCCTCCTCAATGCACGGCTTGAGCATCTCAAGCATGGCCGTGTCGTTGAAGTCGTAGCAGATATGCTGAAGAACGTCGCGATCCGGCACGATGCCAAGAGCTCTGAAGACGATGACGATGGGGATGTCGGATCGGATGTAGGGCAGCGTCGCACGGATGGCGTTGTTCGTCTGCTTTTCCTTCTGCCTCGAGAATAGCTTGACCTGCATTGTGCTGATCGTCTTGCCTCCCTTCTCAACAGCGCTGCGAATCTCGGCGAGGAACGTGACGGGCGAAGGTGCCGCTTTCGAGAAGACGTAGACGTGATTTGCCGCCATCCTCTCCTGAGCGATGAGCACCTTCTCTGACCCGTTGATGATGAAGTAGCCTCCAGAGTCGAGCGGACACTCCCTCAGCGATGTCATATCCTCCTGCGAGCAGCCCTTGAGCCAACAGAAGTCACTCTGCAGCATGATGGGCACTTTGCCGATGAAGATCTTGTCGACCTCAAGCTCCTGCCTGCCTGGTTCTGGGGCCCACAGCGGGTCACCTGTGTCGGGATCAAATTCACCCTCGGATTGTACGAGGACTCTTTGCTTGACGTCGACGTAGAGTGGCGCAGAGTATGTGAGGTTGCGCAGACGTGCTTCTTGGGGCATCAAGCCGGCCGAACTGCCATCTGCTTCGGTCATGTTGGGTCTTGCGAGGTAGATCTGGCCAAATTCGATTTCATATCGGCGCTGCGCGCGAGGGAGGAAGAGTGGACACGACGTCAGCTCAACAAGTCGCACACCATCGACTGCCTCGTTGCACTCACAGCCTTGTCGTCCTCTCTGCCCGTATGCTGACTACTCTGCTCCAACGTCAAGCTCTTGACCTCATCCACCAATTCCTGCATCGTGTTGTGCACGAACTCGTTGAAAGAGTCGAGTTGCTGGCGCACAAGACCCTTTTCTGCGAAAAAGGCGCGGATGACATCCCAACAGTCTTCTTGCGAGACGTCTGGCTCATCCATCATGTCATCTCCATACCCAGCATAGCCTTGATCTTCATAGCCTCCATCCATGACCCCATCGACGCCTGCGCCACCACCGGCGAGGGCGGCCTCCTTCATCGTGGCGTCCATGTACGAGTCATATGCGCTCGAGTCTAGCAGCGCAGCGATGAAGGTGAGCGAGCTGTGCGTCGTAGAACGCAGCGACAGATGGGATGCTTACCAGTCATCTTTGCAAGAGATCAGCGGGAGAAAGAGAGGGGGAAGAGAAAGGGGATCTTTGCTTTTTGATGCTGGAATGACTTTCTCGTCGAGCGGCTGCGCAGCAGTCTGACCTTCCTCCAGCAATGGTGTCGCAGCGAAGTGAACCGGCGGAGGAGGGTGACGAGGACGAGGAGGATGCAGCTGACTTCTCTTACGTCCCTTGTTGATTGGCTGCGCAAGGCAGGTAGGTCGTGAGGATGCCGAGGAGGGGGTGAAGAGGATCAAATGCGAAGGACGGCCTGGCGACGACGACGACGCTTCGTTGCCGTCCGGCGGATGCCACACGGGCGGAGCCACCGACGCGGGCGAGCGACATCGACTCGTCTGCCTCGCTCTCGCCCCTCGGCCTCTGAGCCAGTGAGCGAGTGCGCGGACTGGCGCTCAGAGCAAGCGGGCGAGAAGAAGACGCAGAGAGGCACGCGACAGGCTAACCTCTCACGCCTCTTGAGCAGCTCTCACAACTTCATGTCGATCATTACACCATGACATTAGACAAGAAACAGAAAGAGAAGGCCAGGATGAAGAAATAAAGTCTATATCACGAGGGCATGCACGCGCACACGCACGCTCGCTCGCTCACGTCGAATTAGGCGGCAGCTTGATCGCAGGAATGCCGGCCTGTTGCGCTGTCTTCTTGGGCATCCTTCCAATGCCCAATGCGCTCCCCCACCTCTTCCACCACGTCCTAAAGTCACCCTCACCAGCGGGCAAGTCCGACCAGATCAAGTCGCCATACGTAGGGAAAGTAGCACGAAGCCAGAAGGTGATCTGCGAGTCAGGGTACAGGGCCGTCACACGCTTCGAGGTAGTGTCGATGTACCAGCTGTGCCCGTACGACCAGACGCGTTGCTTGTGCCTCCAGTGGATGTAGTTCTGCTCCTGCACCTCAGCGGACAGGCGAGGCTCGACGGCAGGAACCTTGTCCAGCGTTGCGAGGGAGCTAGAGGGCGAGACCAAGGGATTGTGGCTGATAGCAGCTGTCGAGGGCTTCTTCCCGTTGAGAAGAGGCTTGGCCACCTCCAGGGCAAACTCAATCTGGCACTCCGTCGTGAAGATGAGCGACGTGTGGCCTGTAGCACTGTTCGTTCCCACGAGCTGGACGAGGTTCGGGTAGTTTGCAAGCATGCAAGAGCGGTAGTGAAGAGGACCGCCGCCACCGTACTTCTCCCAGTGGGAGTGCACCTCCTCACCGCCACGACCGTAGACGTCCATGGGGAATCCTGCTCGCGCAGTTGTGAAGCCGTTGCACAGCACGATAACGTCGGCTGGGATGCGCTTGCCCTTGTCCGTGATCACTGCATCCTCTTCGATGCTGGCCGACTTCTCGAACTCGAGGTTGACGTGCGGCTGGTTGAGGCACGGCACGTACTCGTCGTCGAAGATACGGCGCTTCGACGAGACCAAGATCTTGCCCTTGGGGTAGATGTGGTCAAAGTACTCCTTCGGCGCCTTCTTCGCCAGAGGCTTGCACCAAAAGCGCGCAAACCACCAACGGTACAGTGCTCCGAGGGGGTTCATCATCGTCATGATGAAGTGGCTCTCCATGACCAGGAAGACGAGGGCACGGGAGATCTTGCGGAAGACGTAGAAGTGGCGACAGAGCCATTTCCAGCCGGGAAGCATGGCGAAGGGGTCGTGCGGCACTGAGGCGATCCAGTGCTGCGCTCGCACAAATTGTGTGACCGACTTGGCCTTCTTTGCTACCTCTGGAACAAGCTGCGTGGCGGAGGAGCCGTTTCCGATGACGACCACATTCTTGTTCGTGTAGTCGACGCTATGATCCCAGCGAGCGGAGTGGAAGCTGAGCGCGAAAGGGCAGTCATGAGTGGTCAGATTCGGGATTCGACACTTGTCTCCGCCGGGCTCGCACTCACATTGCTCCCTTGAACTTCTCCTTGCCTGGGATGTTGCACTCGTTGGGCTCAGACAGCCCTCCAACGGCACTGACGAAGAATTTGCACACGTAGTGATGCTTCTTGGGCTCCACACCAAGCTCAGAGCGCTGGGGCAAGTCCTCGGAGTAAATGTGCCACAAGTTTGTGCTCTCATCGAATCGTGCCTCTTTGACGAGCGTCTGCAGATGGAACTTGTCCATCAGGTCGTACTCGGCCGCCACGGTCGAGATGTACGCCTTGATCTCGTCGCGCTTAGGTACGAACCGTGACCAGTCACCCTTCTGCGCGAACGAGTACGAGTAAAGTGGCGCAGGCACGTCGACACCGCAGCCTGGGTACGAGTTGGAATACCACGTTCCGGCGATGCCGCTCTCGCGCTCCAGGATGATGAAGTCGTCACCAAATCCCTTGCGCTTGAGAAGGCAGGCCATGGCAATGCCAGACAGACCGGCGCCGAGAATGAGCGTCTGATAGTAGACGGGAGGGGCCCAGTCCTGCTGCGAAGGAAGGACCTTGGCTTGCTGGATCGTGCCATTGGGCACTGCGGGGAGAGATGAGGACGAGGCATTGGACTTGGCATCCGGCTTGGAGTCCGGCTTGGAGCCGCCCGCGACGTTAGCCACAGCGCCGGCTGCCTTCTGAATTGCAGAGGGCATAGCGCGTCGATATCAGTGGTATGGGCTTGAAGGAGAGTGAGAGAGTCGAGGACGGGAAGGGTATCCGACTGATCTAGAGTAGTTGATGCGTCTATTGATGTATGGTGAGGAGGGGAAGGAAAGGCAGGCCACGAGCCACTTCCGCTTGACGGGCAAAGGCTTTTGTAACCAAGTGCAGTCAATCCGGCTCTATGTCGTCTACTGCGCCAAAGCAATGTCGGCCTTTCACGATTGGCCCATGGATGCGGTCAGCCAGGCCCCGTGGGGAGCAGCGGCGGCAGAGGCGGCGGCCCAGTTTGAAAGGGCGGGCTGAGGCCGGCACTTGATTGCTCAGGTCCGCTTTCCGTTGCGCCTCGGCATTGCTGGCTCGTGGCCGAGGTAGCAGGCGGGCGTCAGGACGCCTCCGCACTTGCCGCCTTTTCGTTCCTTCGTCCAAGTCATGCATACAAGCGCCCTCATGCTTCGCTCACAAGCACGAGGAAGAGCACGAGCCACTTGTGTCGCGCTCAGCTCCAGCAGCAGGGTGTTGGTCTCAGCTACGCCGGCCGCAGCTCAGCCCACCGCGTACTGTGTCACTCCTGGTCTCACCTCTCACACTGCGTCACGCCGCTACGTCTCTTCCTCCTCCACCCCGCAAGCGACCATTCAGCCCGATCCACCACGCAAAGCACCAGTGATCCAGACTCCCCTTCCCTCAATCTCCTCGACGGTTGCACGTCTCCTTCCACCCTCAGTAGACTCCACCTCCCTTCCCCTGCCCAGGGAGCAGGCCGAATCCCTCCTCGCACAGGTCATCGACCAAGTACGCGCTGCAGCTGATGCCAAGACGGTGCAAGATGCTCGTGCCGGATGGGACCAGATTGATAGCTCCGTGCGGGCCAAGCTACAGGAGCAGGGAGTCGAGGCGGCCAAGTTGACAGATCTGGCTACATTGGTCGTGACAGCAAGCAATGATCCTCGTCGACATCCCATTGCCTTCAATCTCTACCGCATCGCCTTTGGCAGTGATCCTGCACAGCTGCCAGAGATCAAGCTGGACACCGAACAGCTGTCTTCCACACGCACAGAAGCGGAGGTATCGTCCAGCAACCAGGCTCCCTCCTCTGGATCCTCCTCATCGTCGTCATCGACGTGGGGCGACTGGCAGTCAGCCTACCATTGGGCGACGCTGATCCTGTCAGGTCGCGCTCCACCTCCCCCGGGTACGATGCTCCTCCTCCCTGGCGAGCAGCGAAGTGCGCAAGCTTCACACTCTTCCGCAGCCTACCGCGTGTTTGCTCACCTGGCAACGCAGGGTCACCCTCGCGGCATCTTCGGCATCGGGCGTCACCTCCTCAGCACACTGGAGCGAGGAGTAGACCCAACGAGTATGGGAGCTATGCCTTCTACGGGGGACCACCCACAGAGGAGCAGACAGGAGACTATCGCTGAGGTGGAACGTCTGTACAGGCTGGCAGGGGAGGGAGGAGTGGAGGAAGCCTGGTTTCAATTGGGAGCAATTTACGTCGAAGGCAAGTGGGTGCGCAAGGACGAAGCACGGGCGAGGTCTTTCCTAGAAGAAGGGGTGCAGCGCGATAGTCCTAGAGCTTGTGCCGCTTTGGCGCAGCTGCTGACCAGGGAGGTGCAGCTGCCTCTGGCGCCGAGCTCGTTGAGTGGTGGGAAGGGCGAGCAGGATTTGAGTGGGCCTGCTGCTGAGGAGAGGGAGGAGAAGCTGGGCAGGGCGCTCGAGCTGTTGGAAAAGGGAGCAGAGCTTGGTTCGGCGGACTGTGCCTTTGCTGCTGGGATGCGATACCTGCTCCAGGAGGCGCAGCCTAGCGAAGGTGGTGGTCAGCAGCAGGTGGACCCCTCAACAATGATGGACACGTCGCTGGACCCTTCCTCATCAGGCAAGGCAACCTCCTCCTCCTCTGCAGCCGACGCCGCCTCCCTCGCCCACGAAGCCCACCGCGCAAAGCATGGCGTCTCTCCCTCGAACTCTCGTGCCTCTCACTGGCTGAAGCGCTCCGCCGACGGAGGCAACGCAGTAGCCATGATGAACCTCGCCCGCATGCACCTCGAAGGTCGCGTACCCCCCTCTCCCACTCAGAACGACGGTGGTGACCCACGCAAGCTCCAGCTTGTCCAAGCGGCCGACCTCTACTCCAAGATCCTCGCTAGGGCCATGGGTCCCGAGGGACAACGGGCGAAAGCGCTCAAGGAGATTCAGAAGAAGATGGCTGAGCAGGCTAGCGGAGGCGCGAAGGGTGGGCAGGCGTCGACGTCCAGCCCGCAAGGTGTGCGTGAGCCTGGGCTTGGAGCAGGTGGGGCTACGGGACTGGATGATCTGGGGGCGAGGGCGGAGGAGGGGTTGAGGATGGTGAGGGAGGAGATGGAGATGATTGCGGGCGAGCAGAGATGACGTGATGCCAGATAGAGATAAAGGCGACCTCAATCAGAAGATGTGTGTTCACCGGATGAGCATGTGTAATCTATTGCATCATCTAGCATGCCCTCACTGCTACCTCTGCCATGCGCGGCGCCTACATTCCCTCTCCCGCGCCCGGGACGGCGGCGGCCGTGTGTGCCAGACTCTGATTCTCATCCAGCAGCCTGTAGACATAGCTTCCCGGGTACTCTCCCGTGTTCGTGATAAGCACATCCACACCACTCGGCTCGACATAGTCCCACTCGCTGGTCAGTAGGTGTTTGGCCGCCGACAACGATTCGCCGTCCTCTGTAGAGGTGAGATGGTCAAGACTCAGCGAAGGACGAGAGTAGGAGTCGCCAGCGAGCGAGGTTGAAGAGGCTGTTTGACCGGCCGAACCGCCGAAACCTTCACCTCCTGCGGCGCCTGAAGTGGCTGACGAGCTCGCAATGGCAACCCATCGCCAATCAGCACACAACTTATGCAGGCCCGTCAGCGCCAGCACGGGAGTGGCCTGCAGTTTGGCGGCCATACTAGCCGCCGCGCTTCCTGGTGCAGCCAGGAGGCCGCCATTGGCTAGGACGGCGTGTGGGCTGAGCAAGACCTTGGTGACGCGGGGGAGGAGGGTGTGAATGCTGCTGTGTGGGATCGAGACGACTTGGATGCCCTTAGGCAGCTGCTTCGCCAGACGAGTTGCTGCGGCGGAGGAGCCATTGTCTGCTACGAGCACAGTAAATGTGCGATCCTTCGCCGCCTGCTTCAGGAACACCTCTACGGTGAGCGAGTGGCCGAGCGTGAGGACCGTCTCTCCTCCGTGAATATGATCCCTTGCGTCGCGGGCGATATTTGTGCGTGTGGACTCAAGCTCGTCGAGGAGCTCTTGAACTGCTTGAATCAGGAGAGGCTTGAGCTCAGCGGCGTTGACGCTACCAGAGGGGCCGGTCGAGGGCTTGACGTCGGTGTCCAGCGTCTCTTCTGGATCTTCATCCTCGTCGTCCTCGTCGTCCTCATCTTCGTCTTCTTCGCCAACCGTCTGCGCCTCATCATCCTCCTCCTCGCCATCCTCCTCGTGTAGCGCATCTGAAGCGGACGCGAAGCTGACGTCTCTCGTGTGAGCTCCGAAGCTTCCTGGCCCTGCTGCGCTGCTAGCCGCAAATCCAAATGAGGCCTGCGAAGATCCGCCTAGCGCAGGCGTATTCGCTCCACTACCATACACGCTCCCCGGCATGGACGGCGCAGCACTGCTGCTGCTGTTCTGCCCTGCTGCCACCAAATCCGAAATGGAGAAGGTGGAGCCTTGAGCGAAATAGCGCGAGTCCCTTGAGAGGAAGGGCGGTCGAGAGCCGTCCGTTGTTGCTGGAGGGGAAGAGAGGGGCGAGGAGACAGCGGGGCGTTCGCCGCCAATGAAGGAGCCGGAAGGTGTGAGACTAGCAGGTGCTGCAGGTGTGGAAGGGGGAAAGACTGAGCCCGACCTTGAGGGACCGAGGGAGGAGCCGCCATGCTGGTGGTGCTGCGGACCCATCAAGGCTCCCGCCTCCTCCGCGAGCAAATGCAATGTCCTCAACGTGATGTTGGTGATACACTGCTCGCCTCTCCTCGCATCCTGAAGCCATGCTCCGGTCAATCTGATTGCGTTGCTGAGGTCGTCGAGAGTGCTGAACTTTGCCCCGCTGATGACTCTGCGCAGCGCTGTAGCCGTTGCATGGGCTACCTTAGTCGAGCCACGGAGCTGACCGCGGCGCAGGGAGAGGTAGACGTTGTGTAGATGCTTTTGTGTTGGTCTGTCGAGGGGACGAACGGGGAGGGGCGGAGGTTGGAGGAGGGCCATCTTGCGAGGAGGAAGATGGTGTGTTGCTCCAACGAAGGTTGATCGGAAGGAAAGGATCCAAGAGGACAAAAAGGTCAAGGCGGAGGCGGGCGCACCTTCAGCTTGGACTCGAGTCCGTCTGCCCGTCCCTGTCGCCCTCGCTTGGGCCGGGCGCATTGCTTCCACTCCACGGCGCTCCTCGTCTTGTCAGCCAGCCAATCTATCGATTCGACCTAACCTCAGACTCGTCGATATGGACAGCGCAGCAACGGACTCTTTTACGCTCTCTGCCTTCACCTAGAAAGAAGAGCAACATGGCGTCCAGCAGCGCAGAGGAACAGGAAGCAGTCCCCGACATGCAGCCACCTCCATCGCCAGGCGCAGCAATGATCTCCAACCTGCTTTCCAAGCTTAAGCCGCCCAACATCCTGCGAGATACAGCCTGGATACCCAGATACAGGGAGACGTGCTACCCTCCACCACCTCCAGCTCAGCAAGAGGGTGAAAGTAGCCCCAGCGAGTCGCCCGCTTCATCCGGCGACGAGGCGTCAGACGGCCCTCTCCCGACATCATGGCACGACCACCTTGCCTCTGCTCCAGCAGAGGCTTACACAAGCGCCTTTTCTTCCCTCTTGTCCTCCGCTCTCACTCCGCCAAGCCTGGTATGGTTTGGGGAGCAACACCATCAGCCTCACGTCATTCGTGCCCAAATTCAGCTCCTGGCCGCCATTTCTGACCATTTCGCTGCGCAGTCAGCTGGAGAAGATCGACGTGCTACTCAAGCCTCTGCTGCTGCTGCAACCTCGCCGAATCGCCCGGTCCGCTACCACCTGCACCTCCTTCTCGAGCACTTCTCCCTCTCAGACCAGCCGCTTCTCGATCGCTTCCGTCTCGGCCTCCTCGATGCAGGTGAGCTATGCGCCGCTTACAGGGAGAGGTCGGATGAGAAGTTCCAGGTGGAGATGTATGCTCCCTTGCTATTGCTGGCAAGGGAAAGAGGCGTCAATGTTTGGGGTGGATTCCCGAAGAGAGGATGGGCGAGGGGAGTTGTGAAGGAGGGAGTGGGAAGTGTTGAGGGCTGGGAGAGACAGAGGTCTGCGGGAGAAGAGGAAGCTGCGCAAGGTTATGCCGAGGAGACCAAGAAGTCATTGGTCCCGCTACCTCCTCTGGCAACATCGGAGCGCCGTATCATCCCTACCTTCACGGCCTGGTCACACGTCACCCATCTCTCCCGCTCCCACAGGTCCTTCCTCGACTCCCTCATGAAGCCGCATTTGCCGCCCTACTTCCCGCAACTCCCCATCAGCAGCAGCGAAACGGAGTCGTCGCCCTCAATTGCGCAGCTTGCAGAGGGTCTGCGCTCTCTTGCTCCACCCTCAGCGATCGAAAAGGGCTTCGCCCCGGCTCAAGCGCTCAAAGATGCTTATCTGGGTCATGCAGCTGGTTGCCTGCTGAGAGAGGGGCATCTGTTGGCCAAGGGTGAGAACGGCACCGAGTCACCTGGCATGGTCGCTGCAAAGGATAGGAACAACGAGGAAGAGGACGTCGAGCACCGCAACATCGTCATGGTCGTGGCCGGGCTCGGTCATGTTCAGGCTGGGTTTGGCGCGCCTGAGAGGGTGGTGCGAGAGATTGTTGAGGGGAGCGTGTCTGGGCAGAAGGATGCAAAGAGAGAACGAGACTCGCTCATTGTCCTGTCCATGCCGAAGGACTCGTCTCTTTGGCTGGGACCGGAGTGGCGGGCGCCGTCGGCCGGTGAAGTAGAGGCTGGCGCCGCGCAGCCATCTTCAAGGAACGACGGAACCCTCGCTCAGTCCAAAGCAGCATCAGAATCTGCTGCAGCCGAAGGGAAGGAAGCGGTCATCCCCGAAGGATGGGACCGCAAGCTAGCGGACGCCATCGTGCTTTACGACTGGGTCGACTGGGAAAAGGAGAACGAAAAGAAGGCGGCGGCGGCCGCGACTCCAGCTTCTGATCAAGCATCTCCCTCTGCGGCTGCTGCCGCTGCTCAAGGGCAAGGACATAGCAAGAGCAGCGCCGAGGGCAGCAGAGATGCCAAAGGGGAGAAGAAGACCTCCTGAGTCGGGCGAATGAAGTGAAGTTGCCAGAGTAGCGCCGCCTTCGATCCCTGTAGATAGACCACTCGATACCACCACTACGTCATCATCGCTTCCTCATAATGAACACAATGCTTTTATCTAGAATTACACGCCGTCAACTGAGTAGTGTCTGACTATTACCATCCCTCCCATCCTCTTTCACCCAGCTAAACAACCTTACCCGCCAAGCTCAATATCTTTCCCCACCCCCTTCCCCTCAATTCACTCGCGACAGCCCCGGAGATGCGCGTTCCCAGAGGCTCTTTGCGATTGTTCAGGAGGACGCAAGCATTATCGTCGAATCGGACGACACGGCCGTCGGGTCGTTTGAGCTCTTTGCGGGTGCGGACGACAACGGCATGACGGACGTCACCGCGACGGATCTTGGGGGCGGAGGCGGGGCCGGTCGCGTTGAGGGGGATGGGGCGGGCTTTTTGGATTACGACGACTATTTCGTCGCCTGTTGTGATGATGAGAGGGGGGTGAGGGGAGGGAAGGAAGGAAGGAACGAAGGGGAAGGTAAGGAGTGAGGAGATGAGGTTAGAGGTGCGAAGGGAGGGGCGTCGATGAGGTGGGGAGCGAAGACTCACCTACGGTTGCCAGTCCTCTTGACATGGGCTTGCGCAAGACGTTGACGCACTCGGCGATGAGGCCGCCGGAGTTGTCAATGACCTGCGACGAGGAGGAGGAGGAGGAGGAGGCAGGGAATGATCAGTCGTCTGATGATGCGAGAAGTAAGAGGCTGACTGGCTGCGCTGTCCCGCAAAGCTTGCCGTCATCGCTGCTTACTCACCGCCATCGTAGCCTTGAGTCCCAACATGGCTGGCTATCTAGCTGCAGCGCTGTCCTCAAGGTTGGTCTTTACTCGAAAGTCGAGGTGCAATGATTGATGATCGAAGATGTCAAGTCAAGGTGAAGCAGCTGACCTTCGGACTGAGCGGGAGGACGACGCCCGGCGGTGTGAGGCGCGGTCCAACTTTTGACTTGACGGCGCCTCCGCTTTCGAGAATTTCAATCCGAGGCTTCCTGTCTATCACTACCACTACCATCACCACTTCATAGTAGTCAGGATGGTCAGAGCGTGAGTAGCGACGCACGCAATGGCTCGAGTCGGAGAGGTCGAAAGTGATCTGACAGCTTAGGCCGCACACAGATACCCCAACATCGTGATCACTGGCACCCCGGGCACGGGCAAGACGTCCCACTCCTCCCTACTTGCCTCCTCCTGGCCTTCAAGTAGCAGTGGTAGCTCCTCCTCTAGGCCCCTTCGCCACATCAACATCTCGGACCTCTGCAAGACGCATCCGAATCTCACAACAAGCTATGACGCCGAATGGCAGTCCCACGAAGTAGACGAGGATGCTCTGCTCGACCACCTTGAGCCTCTCACCGGGGAGAGGGCGCCCGAGCCCGAGGACGAGCAGGACACGAAAGCTGCACAGGCTGTCAAGGAGGATGCGGAGGACAGGGGTGGGCTTGTGCTTGACTGGCATACCTGCGAGGTCTGGCCAGAGAGATGGGTGGATCTGGTCGTGGTGCTGAGGTGCGATCATGAGAAGTTGTGGAAGAGGTTGGAGAAGAGGTGCGTAGCGCAGACTGCTGACCGGAGCTCACTTAGTCGAGCTTGACATGCTGACAATCGCTTCCCATCGCCCGACTCGCAGAAACTACCCCCTCGCCAAGATCCAAGAGAACAACGATGCAGAAATCATGGAGGTGGTTCTCGCTGAAGCGCGCGACTCATACCCGGCTGAGGCCATTGTGGAGCTCAAGAGTGAGGAGGCGGGGGATGTTGAGGAGAATGTTGAGAGGATCAGGAGCTGGATTGATGCATGGAGGGAGGCGAGGGGGTTCAAGAGGGAGGAGTGAGCAAGGATGGGTGAGGGGAGGGGAGGGGCAAGGAGTTGATATGCGCTCAGCCGATTTGAGTGATCTTGAATAGAGGATCGATGTATCATTGCCACCGCACTACTGCAAGCTACCCGTGCTTTGATGTGTTCTGCTGCTCGCCATCAAATGCCGTACTTTCGCTCCATCACGGCATGAATGTCCGCACGAGGTCCACCGCTGACGGGAGCTGGAAGCGCGCGAGCGAGAAGGTGCAATGACGGTCAGCATACTGCCTATGCTCCCTGCGGCGCCCTGACAGCGGCGCACTCACTGGGCAAGAAGTCCTTAGGGCTCAATGTCTCGTCATTGCCGTCGAGGATATCACGCTGCAGCTGGGAGAAGCCTCCACGAGTAGATCCACCGATGCCGTTGCCGGGATAGTTGTGCAGGGAGGGGAAGTGAGGGTCCTGACCGGCGGGAGCGAGCAAGAACATGTCAGTATCGATCTGTCCCACACGGTCTCTGATTCCTCTACGAAGGAGAACTGGCCTCCATTCCCTGCCACTGTCTACTCACCCACTCCACAGCCTTCCTCTCAAAGTTCGTCCTCAACGGGGCCCCAATACCATACATGTTCCTCTGCAACGTCTGCTTGAAGTCATCCCTCGTCTGTTCCCAGTTCTCCAGCCTAGCTTGCACCGGGTGCTGGACATCTGCGCCCGAAGACGTGTCAAAGGCGAGAGAGCGATGGCCGTATCGGAGGGTGTCGTGGATTCCTGCGTGCTCCGGTGCGGTGGTCTGCGTTGTGCTGATGTGGGAGGAGGAGCTGCTGCCACTGCTAGGTCCGGGGACCATGCGCAGGGAAAGACCAGACTCCTTTGACGATGACATGGTTGGGCGCTTGTGGAGAGATGTGGTGGTGGTGAGAGAGAGGTGGAAGTCGAGTCGCGGACGACGCCCAGGCCACCTCAGCCACTCGCGGCCTCGGAAGCGGAAGACGGACGGACGAGTGGCTCAACCAAGTCGAGTCTTCAATCCAGTTCCGGCACTCTCAACATCAAGCATCTCCCTAAATCTCGAGGAACAGCGTAGCCAATATGAACGTCGTAGAGTCACTAGACGCTCCGTCGTCGTGTGAGTGGCATCGGAATCATCCCATGCGGTTCTTACCATGGCTGATGCCCTTTTCCTGCCCGTCAACAGATCGCGACTCACGTTCCCGTGCAACGCACGAATCGTACAAGGCCGCCCTTTCCACGACCTCGACCCTGTACCTAGGCAACCTCTCCTTCTACACCACTGAAGAGCAGATTTATGAGCTCTTCAACCGTGTCAGCCTGCCGAGCGCCGGTGGAGGGATAAGGAGGATCATCATGGGATTGGATAGGGTGCAGAAGACGCCTTGCGGGTTTGCCTTCGTCGAGTGAGTGCGGGCGATCAATGAGACCAGCTGCATCAGCGGCAGACGTGCTGACCTTTCTTCTGATTTCTGCGCTGGCCAGATTCTACACCCACCAAGAAGCCCTCCTCTCGCTTCGTCACATCTCCAGCACCAAGCTCGACGAACGCCTAATCCGCTGTGACCTCGACCCAGGCTACACCGAAGGTCGTCAGTACGGTCGTGGTCGCTCTGGCGGGCAAGTCCGCGACGAGTATCGCATGGAGTACGACGCCGGTCGAGGTGGATGGGGAGCCGGCCGTCTTCGTGAGGAGGAAGAGCGTAAGATGCGCATGGAGCAGGAGAGGCTCAAGGAGCAGGAGAACCTCTACAGGGATGCCGAGATGGAGGGCAGGGAGTTTGCTGGTCAGACTGGTGCAACTATTCCTGGTGGTGCAGAGGCGGAGTACTTTGAGAGTGAGAGGAGGGAGCGCGAGGCAGACACTAGTGTTGCGAGCGTGGGGAGGAAGAGAGGGAGGGATGGGGATGAGGGGGATAGTGATGATGATGATGAGGGGGGTAAGAGGAGGAGGGCCAGGAGTGAAAGCGAATAGAGGGGCGCGCTTTGCAATTACAGTAGCAAGTAGTCACCATCCACCACGCATGACCCTCGAACATCATCACTCGTGACGCTTGGTACCGTGTCAAGGCGCTGCTTAGTCATACGACCGCTTCCAAGTCGGCGAGTTACGCGGCGGTAGGGCCAACGCTATTTCCGTCTGAGCGAGCAGCTTTCTTTTGCAACCACTCCACCCAACTGACATAAGAAGGTACGGATGATGAACAACGCACCGCGGGGCCTCGTATCGGCCTTGGCGTCGACATCACGGGTTAATCAGGTCGCCTCACGTCACCTGCTTCGCCCATCGGCAGCTCTTCCAGCATTGTCAGCGCCACCCCGCCTCTGTTCCCCCACCACATCCCGCTTCCTTAGCACCTCCCCACCTCGTCCCCAACCCTCTTCTGCCTCTGGCTCGACCTCCTCGTCCACCTCACCCGATGAATTCGAGTCCTTGCACTCTTCCCGATATCGCGGCCAAGGAGCAAAGCCCGACAGACCACCATGGTATCGTTCGCCCACTCTCCTTTTGCTAGGCTTCATGCCCATCTTCACGTTCGGACTGGGCGTTTGGCAGATCAAGAGGTTGGGATGGAAGTTGAATCTGATCGAGGAGCTCGAGTGGAAGCTCAAGAAGGAGCCTATTGGATTGCCGAAGAATATCAAGTGAGCACGAAGACGTGGAAGAGAGCATTGAGCTCTATACGAGAGCTGGCACTAACCTGCCCCTCCTACTCGTACTCCTCCTCCTCCTCCCTTTCCCCCGCCAGCCTATCCGTCCTGCCCTCCTTCGACTTCCGTCTCGTCTCCCTCTCTGGCCACTTTGATCACTCACGAGTCATGTTCCTGGGCCCACGAGTCCGCGAGGGGACGATTGGGTATCACGTCGTTGTGCCCTTCATGAGGGATGGAGGTGGTGATGAGGTAATGGTTGATCGCGGGTTCGTGAGCGAGAAGAGCTTGATTGGGGAGGGGAGCCAGAGGAGGTTGAAGAAGGATGAGAGTGTTGCGGTGAGTAGGCGTGCGAGGTTGAGAGCTTAGGACAATCACAGTGATGCTGACCCTCATCATCGGCCTGCACCTCGCCAGCCCACCGGTCATGTCACCCTCACAGCTCTCCTACCCCGCATCTCGCCTCCCAACTACTTCACCCCGCCCAATGAGCCGCAGAACAACCGCTGGTTCCACGCCGACCCAGAAGCCATGGCTCAGTGGGCATCGACGTCCCCTCGAGGAGCAGCGCAGCTCAGCAGCGGAGAGCACAACGACGATGATGGCGAGGACAGCTATACCCCATCTGCCGGGGTAGCCTCCAGCGTCAAGAAGATGCTCGGCGTGCAGTCGGGTGACTCCTCGTCGACCACGTCATCAGGGGAGCATCGTGTCCTCCCAGTATTCCTCGAGGAGATCTTCGAGGGGTACGATGGCGGCATTCGGGTCGAGAAGGGTATCCCGGTGGGTCGAGCAGCGACTATTGAGCTGAGGAATCAGCATGCCGTTTATGCTGCGACGTGGTTTTCGCTGTCGGCGGCTATGGCAGGAATGTTCGCGCTTCTTGTTAGGAGGAGGAGATGAGCGCGACGATGCAGACGAGTCAGATTGAGATGTTTCTCCACACCACTTTTGTCATTGTAGCGAAATAGCTAGCCCAGCAATTGCACGCCTTCACAGTAGGCAATTCTCGAGCCTTGTTGCTTGCCTGCCGCACGGATCAGGCTCGACGAGCGGGAGCAAGAGGCGAGGTCGAGTGGCTCGAGTCGTCGCGCGGGGGCGGAGACGATGACGATTGACTGGTGCCTCTGGATCCTTTGATTCCTCCGAACCCCTACTTTCTCCCCTCCATCCTGCGGAGGTGCGCCTGAGCTCAGGCATCGCACTCGTTTTTACACATTCGACATCACTCTCACGCTAGCATCTACCCTCAGCCCAATCCTCTCCTCGCCGATGGCTGCTGCAACGACGTCGTCCACGCCGACGTCTGCCAGCAATGGCCTGCCGCATCGCCAAGCCGCTGCTTCGCCCTACAATGCAGCCGCTGGCCCATCGTCACAGCGCTCTTCGTCAACAATCAACGGCGGCGGCGGCGATGCACGTATGCCATCTTCGTCTTCACAACGGCCATCTCGTGCTACGTCGTCGCACGCTCGTGACCCGCGCAACCTCTCCATCATGTCCGACCATCACTTTCTGCCGCAGGACGGAGGCGGCATGGGCCAAGCAGTGCAGTCGCCCACTACTCTTCAACCATACGAAGTAGATGGCAACGGTGTGCCAAGCCAAGCATACTACAACGGGCATCACGGCGACGAGCCGGAAGATTCCTCCAGCATCCGCGATGAAGACGAGGAAGAGGACGACGATGATGACGACGATGACCTCTCTACCACAAGCGGCGGCCGTCATGGCAACCTGCTTCGCCCAGAACCAGAAGACTACGTCGTCACCGAATCACCCTACATGACACACTGGTTCTCCAAGCGCCACCTCACCGGAGGCAATCCCAAGCCGCGGTCGCGCCTTGACCTGCCAGACTGGCGAATGCGAGAGCGCCTGCGTACAGTGACGGCCGCCTTGGTCATGTGCTTGAACATCGGCGTCGATCCGCCAGATGTGTCCAAGACGAATCCTTGCTCCAAGCTCATCTGCTGGATGGACCCGTCCTCCCTCGAGGTGTCCAAAGCCTTGCCTGCCATCGGCAAGAACCTGCAGGCGCAGTTTGAGACGCTGAGCATGAAGACGAGGTACAAGCAGTACTTGGATCCAATTGTTGAGGAGACGAAGCGCTTCTGTACCGCGCTGAGGAGGACGGCAAAGGATGAGCGAGTCCTCTTCTACTACAATGGCTTCGGTGTGCCTAAGCCTACGCCTGGAGGAGAGATCTGGGTGTTCAACAAGGCGTACACGCAGTACATTCCTGTGACTCTCTATGATCTGCAAGCATGGCTAGGCAACCCCTGCATCTTTGTCTGGGACGCAAGCGCTGCAGGCAATGTAGTCGTCAACTTCAAGAAGCTGGCGGAGCGCAGAGCAGAAGAGGAGGCCAAGATCAATGGCGGCGCTTCGTCTTCAGTCCCACGTCCTGGAGCAGATGGCGAGCATTTCCCTCTGCGAGAAAGCATTCACCTCGCGGCATGCGGTCCAGACGAGATACTCCCCATGAACCCAGACCTCCCCGCCGACCTCTTTACCTGCTGCCTCACCTCGCCCATCGAGATCTCATTGCGGTGGTTCGTACTCCAGAATCCGCTCCCCTCGAAGCTCAACGTGGACATGGTCATGAACATTCCCGGTCGTCTGCAAGATCGCCGTACACCACTCGGAGAGCTGAATTGGATCTTCACCGCCATCACCGATACCATTGCATGGACTGTGCTGCCTCGCAACATCTTCCGCCGACTCTTCAGAGACGACCTGATGGTTGCGGCTCTGCTACGTAACTTCCTCCTCGCTGAGCGCATCATGCGCTTCTACCATTGCACGCCAATGTCGCACCCAAAGCTTCCACCGACGCACAATCACCCGCTCTGGAACAGCTGGGATCTTGCGGTCGACCAGTGTCTCGCACAGCTACCGACCCTACTCGAGAAGGAAAAGGCGCAACGTATTGCGGAGGAAGGCGGGCCGCCTGTTGAGCCAAAGCTCGCCGCCTTCGAGTACAGGCATAGCACCTTCTTCAGTGAGCAGCTCAAGGCTTTCGAGGTGTGGCTCAGCCAAGGTGGAGTGAGCAGGCAAGGCCGCAGGAGGAGGGCGGACGCTCATGTCAGCTCGAAGCAGAGTCATGAAGGCACACACGACCTGGATGCAGCGGAGGAAGACGAAGAGGAAGCAGACGAGGAAGGCACGGCTCGCCAGCTCCTAGACCCTCCGGATCAACTTCCCATTGTGCTGCAAGTTCTCCTGTCTCAAGTCCATCGTCTACGCGCCCTCATCCTCCTCAGCCAATTCCTCGACCTGGGACCGCGAGCAGTCAATCTAGCACTCAGCATTGGCATCTTCCCCTACGTACTCAAGCTCCTGCAATCGCCGGCTGTGGACCTCAAGCCGGTCCTCATCTACATCTGGGCGCGCATACTCGCCGTGGACCGGTCGTGTCAGAACGACCTGCTGCGCGATAGTGGCTTTGTCTACTTTGTGGGCGTGCTCAGTCCATTTGCTCAAGGCAACGGCGGCGGTGCAGCCGGCGGTCAAGGCGGCGCAAGTCTGCCCATCCCCAACGTCAGCGAGCATCGCGCCATGTGCGCTTTCATCCTCTCGGTATTCTGTCAGGACTTTCCGGCGGGGCAGCAGGCATGCTTACAGCAGACGGATGCGATGGACTCGTGTTTGGAGCATTTGGAGGACGACGACTTCTTGCTGAGGCAGTGGAGCGCTCTGTGTTTGGCGCAGCTTTGGGATGGGAGCGATGAAGGAAAGGCGATGGGGATCAGAAAGGACGCGCATGGGAAGTTGTGCTACATGCTGGGTGATGTGAGCCCTGAGGTACGCGCAGCGGTCTTGTACGCTCTGAGCACCTTGCTTGGCGCGAGTGGGAGCAGCGTCGATCCCTTCGACCCCGTCTCATCGATGAGCGCTTCGGGTCAGTCATCCTCAAGTCGTTCTCAATCCGGCGGTAACACACAGCGTCATCGCTGCCTGGGCACAGGCTCTGCCCTCGATCTCGACGAATCGGCGCAACGCAGCCTCGAGATCGGCATTGCGATTGCCATGCTCAGCACGCGCGGTGACTGCTCGCCTATGGTGCGCAAGGAGCTCGTGATCGCACTCAGTGCCGTCGTACGCGAGTACAAGGGCTTCTTTGTACTTGCGGCCTACCTCTACTACGACGATGAGGAGACGAGACTGCGCTCTGCGAGGAAGAAGGAGAGGGAAAGCGCGAAGAGGTCCAGCATGGGCGGGTTGGGCGTCGTAGAGGAGTTGACCGGCGCAACAGAGGCGATGAGCCTCAATGGTGGCAGCGACGATGGATCTTCTGCGGCCAATAAGGGGCAGGACGCTCTCCTCGCACGTGTGCTCAGCAAGCTCGCCCTCGAGGAAGGCCTCACCGAGGAGGACATAGCCAATGTTCCTGCCTTCTCGACTCTCTTCGTCTCGCTGCTCGACCTCAGCGTTGACGGCTACACGGAGGTAGCGGCGATGGCCAAGACGGTCGTCGACTACATCCTTGCCCTCCTCCTGGAGAGCGAGGTAGCACGAGCGTCAGAGAGCATTGTGAGGCGCTTTGGAGCCGCAGGACAGGGAGCAAGCAGCCGTGTCGTGCTTCCAACTAGCGTGCATGGTGGCGGGGCCAGCGCAGCCGAGGACAGCTACTTCTCTTACAATCCGCGCTCCTCCGATGGCGTGTCGGCTTCAGAGAGCCTCGTCAGTCCGCACGGCACGGCCTTCGGTCCTCACGGCTCTACAAGACATGCAGCACCTCATCCTCGACGGGCCCCCTCTCTTGCGCAGACCGTCAAGGCTATTGCTACTTTGGGCTACTCGAGGCCGGCGAGCCCTGTGCCTTCGCCTGAGTCGAGATCGCCAGGAGAGGGAAGTCCGGCTACCTACAGCCCAGCATCGGCTCCTCGCGTGCCGGCGCCGCGATTCAACGTCATGGGATACCAGTCGCCCTACGTGTCAGGCTCAGATGGACATCAGGCTGCCTCGCGATCTGGCGCTACAACGCCCACCTCTCCTTCGAGTAGCAGCGCAGCCGCTCTACTGGCTAAGCGATCGGCGTCTGCAGAGTCACTCGCTCACATTGCTCGACGCGCCAATGCCAATGCTGCGAGCAGCAACAATGCGAATAGCGGCGGCACCACCACGCCAGGCGCCAACGCAGGCGAGCAGCGAGGCTCGGCCGCAGGGTCTACTACCGACTCGCCCGACGACTTCTACCGCCCCTCAGCAGACGTCCAGGTAGGCGATGCGCTCGCGGCACTCATCTCCGTCGATCTCCAACGCTTCCGCAATCGCGCCTCTCTCGCTAGCGGCGGCACTGTGGGCGGCAACGACAATAATGCCTTCAACAATGGTACTCCTGGCTCTGGTCTATCCTCCGCAGGCTCCACTCCCCTTCCCTCGCCGTCCACATCCCGCACAGCAATGAAGCACCTCCTCTCCGACCCTGGACTCGGAAACGACGATATCCTCGACACGCTACCGCTCAAGAGCAGACTGTTTGGGTGGTGCAGCGAATACTATCGGGAGCCGCAGATGAAGCCTGCGGAGAGCGAGGAACCGGGCTCTGTCAAGTACAATGTGCAGACTTGGAAGCGACAGCGCAATGAGAGGATAGTGGCGCAGAGCCAGGTGCAGGTGGATGCGGCTTTCTCCTCCAGCTCAGCATCATCGACGCCAGGTGGCAAGGGTCAGGCCAAATGGACGCAACCCGTCTCTACGCTTCGTAGTGGCGCTCCACCCTACAGCATGGTCATGCACCAATTCGAGCCGCATCTCGTCACCGCCTCCGAGCGGGACGTGGTCTCCGTCTGGGACTGGGAGCGTGCCCGTCTACTCAGTCGATTCCACAACGGCAACGCCCGCGGGACGAACATCACCTCCACCTTGTTCATCAACGAAGAAGTAGATGGGCTCCTTCTGGTCGGATCAGCAGAGGGAGACGTGCGAATCTACCGCAACTACGACCGTCCCACCTGGATCCCAGGCACGCGCGGCCCCAATCTCATCTCCACCTTCCGCGCTCTTCCCGACCTGGTACGCTCCCGCTTCCCCTCCGGACTGATCTGCGACTGGCAGCAATCCACCGGCCACCTTCTCGCCGGAGGAGACTCTCGCGTCCTACGCATCTGGGATGCTCATCGCGAGCTCTGCGTGTGCGATATCCCCACGCGCACCTCTAGTCCCGTCACCTCGCTTTCCTCCGAATCAGACGTGGGTCATATCTTCGTTGCCGGCTTCGGGAACGGGACTGTCGCCGTGTACGATCGCAGGAATCCGCCTGAGGCGAGTCTGGTCAGGCTGTGGGAGGAGCATGGGACGTGGGTGCATAATGTGCACTTGCAGAAGAGGGGGAATCGCGAGCTGGTGAGCGCGAGTGATGATGGGGAGGTGAGATTGTGGGATATTCGTGGACGATCGTCTATCTCGAGGGCGAGCTTGGGCGGGCAGCTCAGGGGCAAGTTGAGCGGCTTTGCTGTTCATGAGCGAGCGCCTGTCTTCGCTGCCGTGTCCACGCCCAGGGCCAAAGTGGGAGCCGGTGGAGCAGTGCATGGCGCAGGACCGCATGGTGTCCAAGGCGTGAGTGCCACTCCGCAGCAGGTCCTCCTTGGCGCCTTTGCCGACCCGACGAAGAGTCTCACGACGTGGACACGCCACTTTGCTTCATCGCAAGGCGTGGCTGCCGGACACGGTGGGTCGCATCATCACCACGGGCACCATGGCCACCACGGCGGCCCGACTTCAGCGCACCAAGCGGCCACGAGCACGACCAGCACCCTGCCTGGCGCTTTGCTCGACTCGCCGCTCACCAACTTCTCGCCCGCGATGGGATCCGTCGCCCTTCACCCGCACTGGCCGCTCGTGGCCTACGCAGGGCCGGATGTGGCGGGCACGATCGAGGTGAAGCGCATGCCAGAGGACGCGGCGACGGCTGCCGCGGCAGCTGCTGCTGCAGGTGAGGGCGGGGCTGCGACGGACCCCGCGGCGGCGCAAGGGGAGGTGGCGCTGCCGAGCTTTGATCAGCTGTTTAAAGGTGCGAATCAAAGTGGTGATAGTGGGTCGAAGAGGAGGAGTTGGATTCGGATCTAAGAGGAAGGCGAGAGTAAGACAGAGCAGACGGTACTGTAAGACGCACTCAGGCATGACCTCGTTTTCTCTACGCACGATATACAATTGAGCAACCCATGACATCGTCCCTTCCACGACTGACACTGGGCGTGATGATTGAAGAGATGAGCGACGCTTCCCTGTTTCTCGCAAAAAGAAAGACAAGAGTTGGCCGCGAAAAAGTTGATCTCCCAGTGGGCTGATTGCCTTACTGAGGATGTGCCGAAAATCGGAATCGAACCAATGACCTTAAGAAGGCGAAGCAGGTGGCGGACCACGCTCGCTTCAGTCTCACGCTCTCCCGACTGAGCTATTTCGGCTTCGATGACGGTGCGCAAAAATAGTGCGTATATATACTAAATGGTATGAGACACCCGTGGCTCCGTACTCCCTCACCCACCTTGCCCCACTCCCCCGCGATTATCGTGCGAATCTCGAATCCCATTTGCGTGCAAAACATCTATGCTACTCTACATCTCCCTCCCCTTCACTTCCTTTCCCACGCCCCCTCATTCTCATATCTGACCCCCTCACCCTGTTCAATCTTACCCATGATCACCACATCCTCCCCACTCTGGCCGAGCTTCTGCACCACCTCATCCACGCGGCCCGCCTCAACGACGAGAACCATACCCACACCGCAGTTGAAGGTGCGACACATCTCCTTTGTCTCTACGCGACCTTGTGCCTGCAGCCAGGAGAAGACGGGGGGTAGAGGCCAGGCGGAGAGGTCGATTCGGCAGCCGAGTTGGGGAGGGAGGACACGAGGGACGTTTTCGGTGAATCCGCCGCCGGTTATGTGGGAGAGGGCTTTGATGCCTGTTGAGTCGGTGGGTTGGAGGAGGGGGAGGAGCTGCTTAATGTAGATGCGCGTGGGGGTCAGGAGGTCCGCGCCTACTGTTGCGGCATCGCTCTTCCATGGGCAGGGGGATTGGAGGTCGAGACCTGCATGCTCGACGATCTTGCGGACCAAGCTGAATCCGTTCGAGTGGACGCCAGAGCTCTTCAAGCCCACGAGAATGTCACCCGCCTTGATCTGGTCGAGGCGCGGGAGGAGACCACTGCGCTCAACAGCCCCAACGGCGAAGCCAGCCAGGTCGTACTCTCCGTCTGAGTACATGCCGGGCATCTCGGCCGTCTCACCTCCAACGAGCGCGCAGCCTGCCTGCTTGCAACCCTCTGCGATGCCTGAGATAACGCTTGTGGCGAGGGGAAGCTCGAGGTGAGAGGTGGAGAAGTAGTCGAGGAAGTAGAGGGGCTCGGCGCCTTGCACAATGAGATCGTTGACGGACATGGCAACGAGGTCGATGCCTACGCCGCTGTGGATACCGGCGTCCTTCGCGACCTTGAGCTTTGTGCCCACGCCGTCCGTGCCTGAGACCAGGACCGGGTCCTTGTAGCCCGTGGCCTTCAGGTCGAACACGCCGCCAAAGCCGCCGAGGGAGGCATCGCAGCCTGCTCGGCGAGTGGCCTTGGCCAGAGGCTTGATAGCCTCAACGAGGGCGTTGCCTGTTGAGACGGAGACGCCGGACGAGGCGTAGGTCATGCCTGCTGCGGGTGCTGAGAGACTTGACGCTTGCTGCTTGGCAAGAGCAAGAGCGCGGTGGGCGATGTCGCGGCGGACGGTCTTGCCTTCGAAGTCTACTGCGTCAACTCCCTTGTATGCTTGTGCCAAAGCTCCCTCCAGAGTAGGTCCCGCAGCTGCAACTGCGATGACGCGCCCGCCAGCCGTGACGAGCTCTCCCTCCTTGCTTAGCGCCGTACCCGCGTGGTACACCTTGACCCCCTCCGGCACCTGGCCCACGCTGATCTTCTTCCCCTTCGCGTAGCTCCCCGGGTAGCCCCCGCTAGCGAGCACGACGCTCACAGCGCTGTGTCCCTCCTTGATGCCCACCTTGACGCTGTCCAGGCGTCGCTCGGCGCACGCTACCATGATCTCCGCCAGACTTGTCTTGTCATCCAGCAGCTCAAGAACAGCCTCCGTTTCCGGGTCTCCAAATCGCACATTGTACTCGAGCACCTTGGGGCCTTGCGGCGTGACCATCAGCCCAATGAAGAGCAGGCCGACGAAGGGGAAGCCCTCCTTTCGCATCCCAGCAATAGACGGCGCGACGACCTCGCGCTCGATCTGCTCAATGACCGCGGGCGTGGCCTCGGGGGCAGGGCAGTAAGCTCCCATACCGCCCGTGTTGGGTCCTGTGTCCCCTTCGCCGATGCGCTTATGGTCTTGGCAAGGAGGGAGAGAGTAGGAGGAGTAGCCGTCTGAGAAGAGGAGGACCGAGAGTTCGGGGCCAGTCAGGCGGGACTCGATGAGGAGTGACGAGCCGGCGTCGCCGAAGATCCTACGCGATGCGCGAAAGGCAGGACTGTCAGCAAGGGAAGCGATACACGCTCGTACGCCGCTTCGCACTCACTTCTTCTCGAGAATGTCCCGCACAGTCTGCTCTGCTTCCTCCCTCGACTCGGGCAGAATGACTCCCTTGCCCGCTGCCAGTCCACTGGCCTTGAGCACGACCTCCTTTGCGCCTCCCAGCTTCTCGATGAACTCCAGCGCAGCGGGGATCTGGCTGGCATTGAAGCTCTGGTATGCTGCCGTGGGGATGTTGTACTTGGCCATGAAGTCCTTGGAGAAGGACTTGCTGCCCTCCATCTGGGCTGCATAGGGCGAGGGGCCGAAGACGGGGATGCCGACTGGCGTGAGAGAGGCAGGACTGCAAGTCAGCTACCAGGCCTTCCCGCTTGCTACGACCCTCGCAGCTCACCATCTCTGAAAGCCTTCTCCGCTCCATCAACCAGAGGCTGCTCCGGACCAGGCACGACGAGGTTGATGCCCTTCTCCTTGCTCCACGCAACAATTTCCTTCCAATCACTATTCACTCCCGCAGGCACATCTGCTACATTCTGGCATCGCTTTGGGTCAAGGATGGCCGTCCCGCCATTTCCAGGCGCAACGTAGAGCTTCTCGACGCGCGAGTCCTTGAGGAGGTGATGGGCGATAGCATGTTCACGGCCACCCGCGCCGAGCAAGAGGATGCGGAGAGGCTCCTGAGGTGGAGAAAGGGAAGCCATCGCTATGCTGAGGACAAAGGAAGGCGGTGAGGAGAAGAAGTGACTCGCGCTCAATCAATCTCTGCGTGCGTCCCCTCTGCCCGTGCGAGCTCAAATCAAGCCAAAATCTGCCCGCCGCCTTGCCGCCGCCCGCACGCCCTCTCCGCTCCCCTCGCGCGTTGGCGTCGATTGAAGAGAGACGGTAGGGCGCGTGGACAAAGGGCCGCGATGCGCTGAGATGCGAGGTCTAGCAACGTCTCCCCGTCCTTTGTCTCCTCACAATGGCGACGACGACAAGCTAGTCTCGAATGGGCGTTACACTGGATCCGGAATAAGGCTCGGGGCGGAGCAGCGACAAAGAAGAGAGAAAATATGAGAGAATGAGACCTATTCAGCGCATCGCGTCGCTCGCACTCAATTGTGGCGCGACGTCCACGACCATTCTGGGATAGTGATGACGCCCGGCGACCTGCCACTTCCACTCGACGTCGGCGGCAGACCCCAATTAGCGCCTACTGCAGCTGCAGCCGTCGTTGGAGGAACAAAGACGTTGCTGCTGCTTGAAGCCATAGCGGAGGTCGCGGCTGCTGCGCGTGCTGGGAGCTTGCGTACGGGCCTGTCCCTCGCCGATGGAGTGGCAGTGCGAATATTGCTGGGAGACGGGGGAGCAGCCATCGTAGCCGCATTCTCCGCTCGCTGTTGCTCGAGATACTGTTGGACCCAAGGGTGGGAAAGTGCAGACGGCGCCGCTTGACCGTCCGCATCGGTGGAGAAGGCAAGGGAGCTGCCGGAAGAGGAAGGGCGACTTGCTGCGTTTCCTTTGTGCGTCTCAGGCAAGGTGGCGCTGGCGCTGAGTGAGGTAGGAGCGGTCGAGATCGATCCACCAGAGACGTTGCGAGAGGACATGGCCGAGTAATCCGACGAGGTGCATCCCTGGGTGCCGGTGACGCGCGGGAGACCCTTTGTGCTCTTACCAGCTAGGGGCGAGGCTGGCAGCTCATCCTCCGAGTCATCGTCGGCGTCGCTCTCGCGGATGCGTACCTTGTCCTGAGCCGCTCGACTCGTCCTCGCACGCTTGGGCGCCGCCGCCAACGCCTTTCTCTGCGCCTCCTCTCTGGCCCTCTTCTTGGACTTGCCCTTTCCCTTCTTGGCGACGGCGACTCCCTTTGTCTCCTCGGCCAACCTTTCCATCCAGTCCCCGACTCGCTGATTGGCGCCCTGCTCAACCCAGTCGATGACCTGCTCAAACTCATGGCGACAGAGCTCGGCCAGCTGGGTGGGGTTGAGGCCCTTCTCGACGTCGTCGGCAGGATCGATGAGGTCCTCCAGACGGTCCGGCTGCTGCTCCTGCCGGATCTGGTCTACCTCGTCACCCTCCCCTGCCTCGCTCTTGGTGGTAGGGAGGATGGGGCGACCTTGAATGGCAGCTACGATCGCGCGAGTGAGGGGTGGCTCATTACGGCAGAAGCGTCGAGCCCACAGAGTCCAGCCTGAGCGGCGACGAGCGTTGATGAACCAGAGGGTGCACTGCGCGGGTGCGAGGGCGAGGTCAGCTAGTCGTCTACGGTGGATGCATCCGCTCGTACTCACCTGGCCGGGCTGGAGCTTCCCCTTGGTACCTACGCCGCGACGGTTCGACTCATCGGCGAGGGCGCGCTTGTCTTCATTGGACGGGAAGGGATGGTCGATATGCTCGAGGAGCCATTGTCGCATGACCGTTGCGTTGAGGGCTGAGTCGGGAGGCTGTGATCGAAGCTGGCTACCACGAGTGCCCGTCCCTTGATGATGACGAAGTGTGCTGGTTGTCTTGGTAGAAGCCAGCTCGCTCGTGGCGACTAGCTCTTTGCAATCAGTCGCAAGGTCTCGAAGGTGCTGGCTATTGCGCCTTTCGATCTCCGCCAAACCTGTTGAGAAGATGGCGATCCGATGAGCGGAGGCGATCAACGCCCGTCGCTCAGCTTTGCTGAGCTGAAGGTCTTGTCGATGGCGTCGAAGCTCCTGGCCCATCGCGTGGAAGTCAGACGCGAGAGTACTCAAAGCTGAGACGTCGTTCGACTTGACGCACTGCAGCAGCTGCTCAATGACATGGTTGAGGCAGTCTACCGACATGTTAGACGTAGATAGCTCGAGTAAAGTGGTATGAGTTGTAAGAAAGAGAGAAGAGGGGCCAATGTGCGCTTCGACGAGGATGTGACAGCTCGGCCCCAGGCTCAAGGTCCCTTTGTTCCATTCGCGCCCACGCCGCTCGGGCCTCGTCTGTCTCGAGGTACACAAACCAGACAGCCGCCATCACATCTCCCTTCTCCACGCTACCCATCTTTCCAAATGACTGACCTACAACATATTCTGCGCGGTATCGCAGACAGGGTCAATGTGTTTCTTGAGGAATTCGATGTAGCTGGCGTGGCAACAGCGGCTCCTTCGTCAAGCAAGCTCAACGAAGACTTGATTCCGCCCATCAGCTGGTTTACCGGGCGACTTCAATCCCTGTTGAAGGCTCTCCCGCTGGATGAGTCACTTCGTCAGCAGATCATCAACATCTTCACTGAGCTTGGCCAAGCAAGGCGTCTTCAGGTTCTTGAGAGAGCGACGAGCGCTCTTCAAAGCTTGGTAAGCCTCGAAGGGACGTCCGAGCAGCAAGATCTGTACATCAAAGCTCTGCAAAGCCAATATTCGCGAAGGACAATGGAATGTATTCAAGTGCTTTACGACAGCCTCAAAAAGAGATTTGTCGCTTACCAGGTCGACGTCGATAGCGCAGCAAGCACCGCAGAGTCCTCTTCGGAGAGCGACGACGGTGACGGCTGCCCTCGAGGACATCGACCCGCAGCCGTCATGATCTTGGAGCGGGCGTACGCCCACGCCCAAAACATCACACAAGCAGAGAAGCGCAAGCTGGCCGAGCTCACTGGCCTGCAGCCACGCCAAGTTGTCATATGGTGAGTTGTCCGGGAATCGAAGCTGCGCCGCGAGAGTGGGACAAAGGAAGCCGGGCGTCGCGCTGGCGGGCGGCGTATGGTGGGACAAAGGAGCACTCCGTGCCTGGCAGATCTTATTGACCGATGATCCACCCTCCACCTTCGTTCAACAGGTTCCAAAATCGGCGCAATCGCAAAGTCAAGACACAACGTCGCAGTGTGCTCGAAGTCAAGCAGGAAGATGACGCGGCCGCAGCCTCGCCTCCCGCATCACGCAAGCGACAGCGCGATCATGATGAGCGCGAGGACGATTCGCAGCCTCCTCCACCACCCTATGAGCACATCAAGCGTCCTCGTACCACAGCTCTCGCCACCCCACCGCCCATGTTTGACCGTCGTCTCTTCTCCTCATCATCATCTGGCTCCCTCGCCTCAAGCGTCGACAGTGGCTCCTCTCTCCTCTCCTGGCACCGTGATCAGCGTCAGCCCGACGCAAGCAGCGAGACGACCTTCTCCAGCCCTCTCTCATCGAACAGCCCCGCCTCAGTCTGGCACGACTCGCCGTGCAAGAGTCGCTCAACCAACACTGCAGCGCCCTTCCTTGGCCCCAATCCGGTGCTGCTCGCACCCTCGGGGGAGACGTACATCTTCCAGGATGAGGAGACGAACGTGCCCCAGCTGGGCTTCGAGGAGCTGCAGCTCGACCCGCAATCGCTCAACGAGAACCTCAAGCTTAGCTTTGATGGGCTGGCGGCAGGCACGCAGCCTGGCCTTGTCAACGGGTGGCAGAGGAGTGATGTCACTAATTGCACGCCGGGCCTTGCGGGGGTAGCTGCAGGGCGACACGATCAAGACAAGGAGTCGCTCATGGAGGCCAATGCATTCGGACTCGCCCTCACTCTAAGTGGCGAGCACAGCTGCGGTGCCAACACTCTCGCTCCCTCTGCTGCTGCGGGCGAAGATAGCATGGACGGCCTCTTCGACTTCGACTTCTCAGCACCCGATGCCGCCAACGGGAGCAGCAGCGACTTCGACTTCAGCTTCGGCCTGGACTTGCCCTTCTGCTTCTCGCCGAAGCAGCTTGGCCTGCCCCTCGCTTTCGACTTTGCTCGCCAGGCATTTAGCGACGTTGAAGCGGAGATGTACGCCTCGTACTCGTCGTGTGAGATGAGCGGCAGCGACACGGATGGGGATGCCGAGGTCGAGCTGCACGGAACTACTGACCGTAGGGCTGCGAAAGCAACGGCAGCCACTTCGCCAAGCATCCAGGGCCCGCATGCTACGAGCGTAGCCTTCTAGGTTCGTCCGCTTCAGTTGAGCCTCTCGTGATCGCGTATTCCGGTTTCGTCTCGTCTCAGCTGCGGTCTGGTCTATTGGTCTCATATCTCTCATAGCGTCCCGCTTCGTTTCGTATTGTCGCTTCTCGCTCTCAATCCCGCAAAAGCCAAATCAAAGATCTACTAGCCGCCGCAGACCCTCGCCTTTTTTCACCCTGGCCAGCTCAAAGGGACCCGCTTGACGCTCCACGGCACATGCTAAGCCCGCTGCACGTCCTCGACGCTGCCTGTCACACCCACAGCGCTTTGGCCTCCCTGAGAAGATCCATCAATCCCGAATAGAGCTTGCCCAGCGGATACAAAGAGGGGTGCAAAGGGGCTTGCAAAGGAGGGGCTTGAGCGTCGCGATGCGCGGCATATGGCCGCCGCTAGCGGGAAGGCATAGCCTGGCTAGCTCAGTGTGGCGGTGAGCGAGACTCAGCACGTCCGTTGCAAAGTAGTGGCCTGACGGCGGTCCGAGCGTATCGCAAGCAGGCCAAGAGAGCGAGCAAGGGGCGATGGAGAATAAGCGGCCAAGCGTCCTCATGGCGACAGATGGTGATCGGCGCCTGTCACTCTACGGTCAGGCGATGGTGGCCCAAGCGCTACTCGCAAGCGCTACTTGCCCCTGCTCCTGACCCTGCTCAGTCTCATCCGTGACGTCGTCTCGCCTCGCTGCGCCATGCCATGCCGCCATGCTCCGGGCCCGATTCCGCGATGCTCCCGAGCGTGAGTCGTGCCTATCACCCGAACGCATTGCTGCCTGCCACTTTTCATGCCAATGCGTGCCTCCGATTCACGACCACCTGCCAAGCTGCTACTGCGAAGGCGCTTGAATAGCGGCCGCGTTGCTCGCTGGCCGCGCTTCTATTAGAAGCACTGTGCGAATCGAGAACAGTTCTGTAAAGAAGCAACCGCGGCCGCGGCCGGCCAGCCAGAGCTTCGGCAAGACGCAGCATTGGCAGGCAGGCAGGCAGGCGACGCGGCCAGCCCACGCCGGCAGGCACTTTGGCAGCAGCGCGGCGGGCAGATGCACACTCATACAAACAGCGAGCTCCGCCTCGCGATTCGCGATTCAACCAACGTCGAAGAAAGAGCAGGCGGGAGGGAAAGAGGGTGCGGACCCTCTATCGACGAGCGAGCAAGGGGCCGTCCAAGACGCCAACGCCTCCGACTCAGCAAATTGAAGCGGGTCAAGCCCGCCCGCCAGTCATGCCTAGCCAGGCAGATGTTGAGGATGGCTCCTGTTTCATTCATTGCTCTCCTCACTACCATCTGCCATCTCTCGCGTGATATTGACCCTCATCTTTTTCCCCAGCCTCTACGGCTTCACGTCTCATCCACACTCTTTTCATCCACGCGCCGCAGGCCGGAGCTGTGTTGATCGCAGCCTGGTCTTCTCGGCGCCCTCACTTGGACACGACGCCTCGTAACATCGACGCATAACAACGACTAAGATCTCATCAGGCATCTCATCAGGATCATCATGAAGACGACCACTCCCCTCCTCATGATCCTCGGCGCCTCAGCCGCGGCCGCCTCTTCTGCGGGCGACGTCGTTGCTCCTCGCTGGTCGGGGCAGAACGAAATTGCAGCACGTCAGCCAGGCTTTGAAGGTCTCGCCTCTTCTCCCTCTTCCTTCCAAATCCGCCGTCGCCATCTTCACCACGATATCGCTGCAAGGCAGGAAGAGACTGCGGAGAAGCGTCTGGTCGGTGGACTTTTGGGTGGGCTGGTAGGAGGCGATAGCGGCAGTGACAGCGGCTCGGACTCTGGCTCAGGTCAGTCTCAATCCCAAAGAGGCGTAGACGATAATGCGACGGCGGCGAAGAGCGTGCTGCAGCGTGCAGAGAGGCTCGTTGAGCGAGCACCTCTGCTTGGCGCAGTAGGCGATGCTGTGGGTGGTGCTGTGGGCGGGCTGCTGGGAGGAGGAAGCAAGTCTTCCGATTCATCGGCAACTAGCTCCAGCTCTGAGCCCACTGGCAGCGGCGGCGACAGCAGCAGCAGCAGTAACAGCGATAGCGGTGATGACGAGGGTGGGTCTGAGTGTGGTTGAAGGGCTCCAATGTCCGCTTGCGAATGGACGCGTCGCTGACCTTTCAGCACTCGTTTTGGCAGGCACCACTTCTTCCTCAGGCTCAAACACGGGCAGCAGCTCCTCGAGCTCCGGCTCGTCCAACAGCGGCTCGCAGTCGGGCAATAACGAGGGCAATGGCAACGCAAATTCCGGCGGAGATTCATCCAGCCGTGGCTCAGGCACCTCTGCCACGCCTGCTCCCTCATCAAACAGCAACAGCGGCAGCAACCGTGCTTCTGAACAGGCTGCTTCATCATCAGCTGCATCTGCAAGCCGCCAGCAGGCAGAGCAAGCTCGTCAGTCAGAAAGCGCTGCTTCAGCTGCCTCACGTAGCGCCAGCCGTCAAGCTGCTGCCAGTGCCTCATCTGCCTCGCGAGATGCCGCTGCAGAAGCTGCGGCTGCCGCCTCGTCCTCTGCAGCTCAAGCTGAATCTGCCTCCCAAGCCTCCATCTCGGCCGCCAACGCTGCAGCAGCCACTCCCACCTCGGCCTCGTCTGTCACGCCCGTCCTCATCACCTCGTCCCTCGCATCGGGCACCACCGTGATCACCTCGATCGCGACTCTCAACCCCACTGGAACGGCAGGCACCTATGCCGGAGGCAATGGCGCGAACAAGTCTGGCTCTGGCTCCTCGGACGGCTCAACGAACGACGGCAGCCACTTGTCCAAGGCAGCCATTATCGCTATTGCCGTCTCCCTAGGCACGATCGGCATCCTCGTCGTTCTCTTCACCATCGTTCGTAAGCGTCAGCAAGCCAAGGCCCAGTCTCTCCGCCCGATGGACTTTGCACCTGGCGGCTTTGCGGCCTACGAAAACAATGGCGACCGCGGTGTCACGCGTCGTAGCCAGGAGAGCTGGCTCGGTGGCGCAGGTGGGCGACCCATGAGCGGCATCACCGATCTCGAACCCGACATGGAGCCTCCAATGGAGGAGTCGCGACTTGGGCACAGCTACGGTCCCTCTACTGCTGGCTCGTACGGCGGAAACTTCTACGAAGACGGTATGACCCTTCCTCCCACTGCGGCAGGTGGTCGTCGCCTCAGCGTCATCGACTCTGCCCACTCGCACGGCTACTGGTCCGCAGCCAACGGCGGAGCACCTACCGATGGCGGGGCTGCTGGTGGATACGACGGGCACGATGCGGCTCAATACTACGACGGGAGCGCCGCGGCTGGCTATGCTTCGTCTGCTGCCCGTGGGCACGACGTCGCAGGTGCTGAGCGCGCTGGCAGCAGGACGTCGCCGTATAATGAGCTGCAGCGTCAGGAGGTTGGCTACGACTACCGTTCTGATCAGGACGACCCGTATGTAGGCGATGACACGTACAGCGGCTCCGGCCATATGCACCGGGGTGGAAGAGACCCATTCAGCGGGCAGGGCGGGGCACCGCAGCATGGCTCTTCGCGTTGGAGCGGATAAGCCGGGTGGGCCCGCTTGAGCTATTTCTCCTCGTCACTCCACTGCTCCCCTGTTCGTCATCCATGGGGTCACCCTTCGTTCTTCGTCTTCATCCTCACCTCTTCGACCCGGACCTTCTCGCTCGAGGCCAGTGGCACCCACCTTTTCACCTTACTCTCTCTGTCGCAGCGTCTCTCACTCTTGTTGTTCTCGCACCGATTCTGCTGGATGGAGTCACCCACACTCTTTTCGCTCGCTATCGTAGACCACCTGTTCATAGCGACCTGCTCCGGAAATGGAATCGCTCCTGTCTCGTATTGATCGGCGTTGATTGAGTGGCGATGAGGTAATGGTGGCACACCACGTGGCGATGGCGTCGGCGCCCGGGCGATGTCGTCTCGTGGCGGCGTGGCCGGAATTGGGTGTGCGAGGCAGAGGGCGAGGGCTCTGATTTCAAAGTGAGCTTGGGCGGGGGCCTTTGGACTTGGCTCCGCGTCGAGGGGATCGAGCGAGCGTCTGACAATTCTCACCTCATCACGATCATTATCACCACCCTCCCTCACACACCATCATGATCGCCCGCTCGTCAACATTGCGAGCAGCATCGAGGGCTACTAGCTCCACCAGCAAGGCAGCAGCAGCCTCGTCTGCCTCTGCCGCCTCTCGCTCCTTCGCCACTGTGCAGAACCCTCCCACGCAAAAGCCTCCCCAGCAATCTCACGGCCGCCAACATGGTAGCCTCCGCGACCAGGACCGCATCTTCCAGAATGCCTACATGCGCCACGACCACCTCCTCAAGGGCGCAATGGCCCGTGGTGACTGGCACCGCACCAAGGAGATCATCCTCAAGGGCCACGACTGGATCATCAGCCAGATGAAGGCATCGGGCATGCGAGGACGAGGTGGCGCAGGTTTCCCCTCGGGACTCAAGTGGTCCTTCATGCTCAAGCCTGGATGGGAGAAGGACCCTCGCCCCCGATATCTCGTAGTCAACGCCGATGAGGGCGAGCCGGGAACCTGCAAGGACCGCGAGATCATGCGTGGTGACCCGCACAAGCTCATCGAGGGCTGTCTCGTAGCCGGTCGAGCCATGGGCGCCAACGCCGCCTACATCTACGTGCGTGGCGAGTTCTACACCGAGGCCGCTCACCTCCAGGAGGCGATCCACGAGGCGTACAAGCACGGCCTCATCGGCAAGAACGCCTGTGGCTCTGGCTATGACTTTGACGTCTACGTGCACAAGGGTGCCGGTGCCTACATCTGCGGAGAGGAGACCGCCCTCATCGAGTCACTCGAGGGCAAGCAGGGCAAGCCTAGGCTGAAGCCCCCCTTCCCTGCTGATGTCGGTGTCTTCGGTTGCCCCACCACCGTAGCCAACGTCGAGACGGTCGCAGCTGCACCGACGATCATGCGCCGCGGCCCCGAGTGGTTCGCCGGCTTCGGTCGCGACAAGAACCAGGGCACCAAGCTCTTCGCCATCTCTGGCCACGTCAACAACCCTTGCGTCGTCGAGGAGGAGATGTCCATTCCGCTCCGTGAGCTCATCGAGCGCCACTGCGGCGGTGTCCGTGGGGGGTGGGACAACCTGCTGGGTATCGTCCCCGGTGGATCTTCCGTCCCCATCCTGCCCGCAAACAAGTGTGGCGACGTCCTCATGGACTTCGACTCGCTTAAGGACGCCCAGTCTTCCCTCGGTACCGGCGCTGTCATCGTCATGGACAAGTCCACCGACATCGTCAACGCCATCTCCCGCTTCGCCAAGTTCTACAAGCACGAGTCGTGCGGACAGTGCACACCTTGCCGTGAGGGCACCACCTGGGTCGCAAACATGATGGAGCGCTTCACCATGGGCAGGGGTGACGAGCGCGAGTTGGACATGATGTGGGAGCTCACCAAGCAGATGGAGGGACACACCATCTGCGCCTTGGCGGACGCAGCAGCGTGGCCGGTGCAGGGTGCTTTGAGGCACTTCAGGCCAGAGTTCGAGGAGAGGATCCAGCAGTACCGCAGCATCAACGGACCGGTGCTGTACGGTGGCAAGCTGGCGAAGGAGTGGGATGAGAACCTGGCGAGGCCGAGCAACTTGCAGGCGCCCGAGGCCGCAAAGACGCTTCCTAACCCGATGGCGCAGTAGGCGGGTTTGCAGACGTGGTTCCTGCTCTTGCTTCTCTTCGATATCGCGATGTGAGAATACAGTCATAGCATCTAGCAAGGGGCGTGATTTGTGACGCGAGTGGCGTTGGGCGTGATGGAAGCTTGCGACATCGCTCTCAACACTGCAGCATGGAGGACAGAAGGCGAGCGTTGTATATGTTCGTAGACTAATTGTGAAGGAGATCATCGATGGGCATGACCTGCTGATCAGAAGCAATACTCCACCCAAGCAGTCTTCCCCTCCATCCCCCCGACCCCAATCCCCCTCACATCCCCATCAGCCCCACCACCAGGCAGACAACCCTTCATCTTCCCCATCTCATCCACCACGCTAACACAGTCACGACACTGGGGGAAAGCGCACACTTTCCCCACCTTGATCGCAGCGAAGGGCTTGAAGGAATTGCACACCCCGCCGATGAGGACGGGAGAGGAGCGCGGGATCGGGTAGCCTGTGAGGTTCTGCTCGTTGATGACACAGTCGCGTTGGCGCCAGCAGGTGCCGAGGAGGGTGGGATTGGCGTTGCTCACGGGGACGACAAGATTGAGGAGAACTGTGAGGATGACGACGATGAGGCTGATTCTCCAAAGGGAGGGGAACATGTTCCAGTAAAGGCTTTGAGCGGGGTGCTGCAGGCGAGGTGGGGAGAACGAGTCGCACAGACGCGAGCGAGTCAGTCACGGCTACAGCAGCGACGCGGGGCCAGCCTTGGCGCGCACTCGCAATTATGCGCACGATGGTCGCTGGAGAAAGCTGTAGTTGTTGGTGTGGGAAGATCTCGTAGGAAAGAGAAGCAAGGGTGTATTTATAGATGTAGAGATGTAGAATATCTGCACAAGAGCGGGCCGAGCCAGAAGGGCCCCGGCAACAAAGAGCCGCTTTGTAGACGCTTCGCCGCCGAAAGAGTTGCTTCCTCCCACATTCGCAAGGGCTCTCTGCCGTGGAAACAAAGAGTTTGCAATGCGGTCGAGAGCTTGAGACAAGTACGGCTGGGAAAAGCGGTGTCTTTGTCTTCCCAGCCTGCCGCTCAGAAGCAGTACGACTTGAGAGGGTCGACCATACAATTGCGCCGCCCGCTATTCCCGCAGTACCCACAACAACCCGCTTCATGACAAGCGCCACCATGTAGCGTCGTGGACTGCAAGGCGGGACACCTGGTATTGAGCTCCTTGGTGAGTCCGAGGTTTCGCTCCACTGCGTTAGCACCTTCCTGCCACTTGCTAGCGCTGAAGCGGTCTCCAGAAACCCCAGCACAGACGCCCCTAGCGGAGGTCAAGGCGAGAAATAAGGCGGCAACAAGACAGAGGAGAGCCGAGGAGTCGCTGATAGTGACGGCGAGCTGCGGAAGAACGCGGCGCATCGGCATGCAGATCTCTTCGCGTGTCGAGGAGGGCAAGGATGCGGTTCGCACTCACCATTGTGCAGCTACCTGAAGGTTACGAGGCGTGGGCAGCAGCGTAGGTCTGCAGGAGGGGCTGGATGGTACAGCGAAGACGAAGGCAAGCAAGGGTCTTAGGGCCGGAGCAATTTGATAGAGTGGCGGCTATTGCAATCTTAACGGCCCTGGCCCACGATCATTAAGTTGCGATATCGTGCGCAAAGTCTCGACTCAATGTCCGCGCGAAGCGGTACTTGACGACCCGGAGGCACTGACTACTCGACATCGCTTGCTCACCGTCTCGATCGCAACACCTTCTGGACATCAGCAGCTGCGAGCTCGCGGCCATTCGTACGATGGGCTGAGCGTCATACGCGAGCAAGCAGGAAGAGGTGAAGTCGTGTGTGAGATTAAATGTATGGTAGGAAGTCTTTTGAAAGAGAGGACTGGAACTTTGAAAGAGGGAGGAAGCGAGGAGCGCCAGCGCTCGCAGCATCGTGTGAACCGCCCTCATAGTCCGTCACGTCGGCTTCACTTGAAGCAGAAGGAGAGGAAAGGCCCCTTGAGGCACGAAGAGCTCGCGGCAACGCAGCTTCCTCCGCAGTTCGACTTGGAGCACAGCTTTCCAGAGGAAAGGCTACTCTTTGCGTAACGGCAGGCACCATCAATGCTAGCCGTCTGGCCGGTCTGTCCCGTCACGGATCCACGCTTCTTGGTGCACGACGCATCAAGGTAGCAGTCCGCCAGCGTAGTCGAGTTGCTCCCGCCGGGAGGCTTAGTGGCGTCAGGGTTGGCATCCTCAGGCTGAGAACCGGTAGGCTTGTACTCTTCAAGAGGAGGGGGCGTCTTGTCCTGAGGCTGGTCGTCTCCTCCAGGCTTCGTGGACTCAGGCTGACTGCCTGGCTTGACGTCCTCCGGCTCGCTACCTGGCTTGACGTCCTCGGGCTTCGAGCCCTTACTCTTGTCGCAGGGCGAGGTAGAGGTGGTGTTGTCGGGCTTCGTGACGGGGGGAATGCCATTAGGCATGCCGTCTGGAGGGGTGACACTCTCAGGCTGGCCGCTTTCGGGCACGTCATCTCCGGACTTGGTACTCTCAGGGCAAGAATCAGGTTTGGTGTTTTCAGGCCCGTCGCCGCCAGGCTTGACGTTCTCGGGCTCGCTCCCTGGCTTGACATCTTCAGGCTGGCTGCCCGGCTTGACGTCTTCAGGCTGGCTGCCCGGCTTGACATTCTCCGGCCCGGGAGTACCGCCAGTGCCATTGTTGCAAGGCGAAGGTGGCGTGACGCTGTTGGGGATCGTGCTAGGCGGGAAGAGACCGCCACCATTGTCCTGCGGAGGCTTGGCGCTCTCAGGCTGATCATTTTCGGGCTGCGCATTCTCAGGCGTCGAGCCTCCAGGGGGCTGATCTGCGGGCTTGACGTTCTCGGGCTCGTTGTCTCCGGGCTTGGGAGTGCTGTTACCCCACTTCTTATCCTCAGGAGGCATACCTTTGCCCTTCGTCTTCGGAGGCTGGCCGCCCTCCGGGTGCGCATCCTCAGGCTGGCCACCTCCGGGAGGAACGTCATCGCCAGGCTTGGCGTTCTCAGGCGTTGTGGTAGGAGGGTCGTCATCGCCAGACTTGGTGCTCTCAGGCGTCGTCTTGGAAGGCTTGCCCTTGTTCTTGGTCTTTGGAGGCTGGTCATCGGTGCTGTCAGGCGTCGTGGTGGTGGGGGGCACGTCATCGCCAGGCTTGGCGCTCTCCGGCGTCGTGGTGGGAGGATCGTCATCGCCAGACTTGGTGCTCTCAGGTTTCGTCTTGGAGTTGCCCTTGTTCTTCGTCTTTGGAGGCTGGTCGTCGGGAGGCTGAGTGCTGTCGGGCGTCGTTGTGGTGGGAGGCTCGTCATCGCCAGGCTTGGCGCTCTCCGGCGTCGTGGTAGGAGGGTCGTCATCGCCAGACTTGGTGCTCTCAGGCTTCGTCTTCGAAGTACCCTTGTTCTTCGTCTTTGGAGGCTCGTCATCAGGAGGCTGGGTGCTGTCAGGCGTCGTGGTGGTGGGAGGCACGTCATCGCCAGGCTTGCTGCTCTCAGGCTTCGTCTTGGAAGAGCCCTTGTTCTTCGTCTTGGTCGTTGGAGGCTGGCCGTCAGGAGGCTGGGTGCTCTCAGGCGTCGTCGTGGTGGGAGGCACGTCATCGCCGGGCTTGGTGCTCTCAGGTGTCGACTTCGAACTGCCCTTGTTCTTCGTCTTTGGAGGCTGGTCGTCAGGAGGAGCGTTCTCCGGTTGCGCATTCTCAGGCTGGCCACCTCCGGGAGGTACGTCACCACCGGGCTTGCTACTCTCAGGAGTTGTGGTGGGAGGCATGCCGTTGGAGCTCTTGTTCTTGTGCTTCTTGTGCTTCTTGAGCTTCTTAGGCGGCGGACCCCAAGGAGGCTGGGTGTTCTCAGGCTGACCACCGCTGGGAGGTACGTAGCCGGGAGGTTTGGTGCTCTCGGGCGTCGTCGTGGGAGGCACCCCGTCCGGCTTCTTGTGCTTCTTAGGTGGCTTGCCCCACGGCGGCTGAGTATTGTCTGGCTTGGCCTGCTCAGGATCAGCGTTCTCGGGCTTCTTCTTCGGAGACGGGAAGCCCTTGTTCTTGGTGTTGGGGGGATTGTTGCCGTCGGGGCTGCCGCCGCCAGGAGGGATGCTGTCAGGCTTGTTATTCTTCATGCCGTCAGGCTTGGTAGGCTTCACGCTGTCGGGCTCGTTTTCGGGAGACTTGACCTTATTGGGCTTGGATTTGCCCGGCTTGTCGTCGCCCGAAGCGGTATTCTCGGGTTTGACTGTGCTTGGGTCCAAGCCTTCCGGCTTGCTGTTGCCACCAGGAGTGTTGCCGCCGCCACCACGCTTGACGCTGTCTGGCCCGCCGCCATTTTCGGGAGGCTGGCGTTTGCCAAGCTCGTGCGTAGAGGCGTGGTTCCTCGTGATCCCGTCAGCCTGGACAAGGGGTAGGACGAGGGAGAGGGCGAAAGTGCTCCCGAGGACGAGAGTAGGGAATTTGACAACACGCTTAGGCAGGAGCAGGAGGTGATAGTCAGTGAAATGTGGTGCCGTAGGCGCAGCAGGGCTTTGCACTCACCATGCCTGGCGGTTGTGGCAGGGAGTGGGATGTTCGAAGGAGAGTGAAGAGGACTGCTGTGGTGAGGAGACGAGGAGGGAGGGGCAAGAGGATGAAGTCTGCATTCATATAGACATCAGCTCGCCCTCTGTCCAAGAGCCTGCGAGGCGCTCTCTATCCATCCCGACGCTGCACAACGGCCACTTCAAACCACTGCAACGGAGCCTTTGCGCCTTGCCCCTTGCCCGTGAGAATGCGGCGATGACTATCACTGACGCTTGCCTTTGCTCTTCCGCACTATCAGCTCAATCCCTCCGTATCGTCGACTCTTTTTCACATTCTCTCCGCATCGTCGATCATTTTGCTCGTTCTTGGTCGTCATCGCGAAGTTCCCTTGATGCCTGGGCTACCGACCATTCGGACTGATTGCGTTGACGTTGGGGCCGCAACGGATCGTGTCAAATCATGATGCATTGGCGGGAGATCGTACCGCTAAACGCCGCAATTGTGAAGTCGTGGCATCCGCAGGGTCACTAGAGGCAGCAGAGATGCAGACGCTCTCTCTCCGTGTCGATCCGACACCGCGGATCGAAGCAGTGTGATCGCCGCCATTCCCACGGTCGCTTCACCATCCCGCATCGCACCACATGTCGATGGGTCGCTCCGCCTCTCTTACCCTGTCCTCCTCTTCGATCTCCATCTTCCACTAGCAGCGTCCAGTAACAATCGCTCCACGTCAACCAGGAACCATTTCTGGGCATAGAGCTCTTGCCTCTCTTTCTCGCCCACCACGCGCTTTGACAGGAAAATCGCAGCGCGATTGAGCAGCCAAGCATCTCTCAGGTCAGAGGAAGACGTCTCGCCAGCGAAACCACTGATGGCGTCGTCTGGGTTGCCCATCTCGAGGGAGGCGATGGCGGCGTCTTCTGCTTCGGTTAGGAAGGAAGAGAAGAGCGGATCTTTCTCTACCAGGCGGGCGAGATGTCGGGCGTGGAGGCTTCCGTGCGGAGGAGTGGTTGAGACGTCATCGTAGAGCTTGGCGAGACCGCTCAGGCGATCTTGCGTTGCAGAGTCGGGCTCAACGGCATCGGCGCGAATGGCTTCGGCGACGGCTGCATCGTCAACTTCAGCATCGTCAGAGAGGTGGTCCACATCGGATCGGTCGACATCTGAGTCTGCGGTCTGCTGTTGCAGCTCGTCCTCTTCCGGGTTATCTGCCTCGGAGCGCTGCTGCTGCAGAGTGCGCGCGTAGAAGGGCTGCGATGAGGACCCGGCTATGGCCGAAGCTCTGACCTTAATTCCTCTCCTCCTGAGCAGCTTCCAGATCCAGTTGCCTCTCGCCACGAGGCGCCTGATGTTCTCCCACTCCAGCCTCGTACCTGAGAGCAGCGCCAAGATGAGCAGCCGATGAGCTGATACAAGCCTTCTCCTCTCACAGAGCCACTGGAAGGCCTGATCGACGTCCGCTATGGGCAGCGGCTCTTGCTTGCGTCTCGCAATCTGGAAAGCCTTGCGCGATGTCACCGGGTCAGCGAGCGTAGGACGTGCAGAGAACAGTCTCTCCATCTGCTCGCTGACATATCCGCCTGCAGCGCGATGGTCGATTAGTTGCTCTCTCGCCTCCTCCACCTTGCCCCTCTTGAGCAGCTCGCGTATCAAAGTCGCCCTGATTCTGGAGGAAGGAACAAGCCCAAGACTGTCCTGCGCGGCCTTGATCATCGCGCGTGCTTCGTCTAGCCTTCCGTCACGCGCCAGGCCCTCGACGATGAATGAGACGTGCATCATCCCTGGGCGAACGCCGTGCGAAAGCATGGAGCGATATACCTGGGCGGCGGAAACGTGGTCTCGACGGACGACGGCGTAGACTCGGAGGCGATGCGCGTACGCAGGGCGACTGAGTGGACGGGAGAGATCTTCCTGGAAAGCGGGATCTACTGAGGGGTGCGGGCGTGGGCGAGATGCCTTGACCTTGGTGACGGGCTTCATCTGGGTGCGCGCCTGCCGACGCGGCTTGGTGGTTTGACGCTGATCTGCAGAGGACTCGCTGAGCGCGACTACCTCTCGTGGCGACCCAACGTCCATCGCCGCAGTCGAATGGCTCAAATCGTCCTGCAGCTGCTCATCCTCACTCCCACTCAGCATCCAATGCGCGGCCGCCGATCCAGGATCTCGGTGCGAATCCATCGCCGAGGCCTCGCGCTCCCTCTCCCTCTCCCACTGCCTCGCGTTGACTTGACTGCGCCACCACGTCCAGCGATGAGTCGCGACTTCCATCTGGTGCTCTAGGCCCATGCGACGAGCGAATCTGACGATTTGGGCGAGATTGCGACTAGCCTCCTTGGAGCAGCGGATCGGCTTCTGCACAGGCCCAGCACGAGGCTTCTTACGCAGCGCAATCGTAGGAGCTTCAATGGCTTGATGCTGCGAAAGGGCGTCGAGGCGCGCTAGGAATTGTCGGAGACCTTGCACAGCGTACCGATGAGAAGATCCGAGACCGGCGAAGAGGAAGGCAGCCAGTCCGCGAAGAACAGGTGTTGCCAGCTCTCTGCGCTGATGAGACACCATGTTGAGCAGCTCGTACGCTGCATCCACCTTGTCTTTATATTGGGAAAGAAGCGCAGCGCAGCGAAGCATGGATGTGAATAGACGGTCCGAGAGCGGGAGGGTGCCCGGAAGCTCGAAGGCGAGGGGTGGCGCTGTCGCCTCTACGACTGCTGCAGACCCGTCTGTGTCGCTGGCAAAGTGTTCTCGAGTAACCATCCTGGCCAGAGCAAGGCCACGTTCTGCTTGGCCTCTCCCCGCATAGGCCATCATCGTCGCAATAACGGCACGCTGCTTTTGCTCTTCATCGCCAAGCTCCCAAAGGCGACGCAGCACGACGCTCGCTCGCCAGGGCTGCCTCATTCGACCAAACATCTCGGCGGCAAGTGTGTATGCCTCGGCGCGTTGAGCCGGGCTAAACAGACGGGCAGACGACTGCTCCGCCTCTGCTGCGGACGCCGCCTCCTGCCACTCGTAGTTGATCATCTGCAGCATCCTCACAACATCTAGCGATGCAAGAGCTTCTGCGCGCCTGCCCAGCAGATCGAAGAGGTATCGCGTCTCGCCCTCCGGAGAACTCGCATCTTGGGCGACCTCTTGCGGGATATGTCCGCGCAGCGTGAGATTGGCCCGGACGAGTCTGAGCCAGATCGCCTCGTCGACTACGTGACCAAAGGTGCGCATCGCGCTGACGATGCTGAGCATCGAGGTCCTGCGGTCCTCGCCTTTCGTCGAGAAATGGTCGAGGAGAAAAGTGAAGAGGCATCGTGGTGGTGAGAGGGTGCGTGTCGCAGCTCGAAGCGCTGTGCGTGGTGACCCTTGCATTCCAAGGAAGCGCTGATAGACGGTCCAGTATTCTTGCAGCTCGAAGCGGGCGGGATGCCTCTTCATCAAGGAGAGAGCCCTCGATCGAGTGTAGAGCATCCACTCATCTGTCCTGTTGTTCCATGCGTCTAGAGAGTTGAGGAAGAGCTCATCGACTAGTCGAGCACGACCACACTGCCCGGCGATGGAGACAATGCGATGATAGAAGGGCAGAGGGAGCGGGCCAAGCCATTGCCTTATATCGTCTAGCTTCTCGCAGATCTCTGCAGGCTGTGACTGGAGGACCACGAGGACCCGCAGCGTGGCTGTGAAAGCTATCTGAAAGGCCCGGCGGTCCGCTGCAGAGAAGGGCCGTACGGTCGCCGACCATGAGTCGCTGTCGACTTGAGAGCTGAGTTCGTCGTAGAGCTCGTCGAATACCTTTTCTGCTTGCTCCCTGAGCGCGGTCATGCCAGTCAGGCGTTGATTTGGGGCCGCGAGGTGCCTTTGCACCAAAGGCTCAGCGAAGTCCAGGGCGACAGAGAGCACTTGATGATGCTTTGATTCATCGATCAGGCGACGATCCTGCTCAAGAAGCTCGCCCAGGCTGCCTCCATGCGCGACATCTTCGGGTGTTGACCAGCCAACTTCGTCGTTCATTGTCGTCCAATCGGGACCGGGCTGCTCGATGGGTGGGACAAGGGTATCGGAATGCTTCACTGGGCTGCGATCCTCCGCGAAGACGCTGCGGTCGACGTCTGAGCTCGTCTGCTCCCATGCTCGCTGCTTGCCAAGTGCAACTGCGCTCAATGATGGTGAAGCGACAGAGAAGAAGGAGCGTTGCTGCCAGCGTCGCGGCGTGGAGCGAGGCCATGCTGAGCGGGCGGCTCCTGCCGCTGATGTCTCTGCGTGAGGGACAGTTGGATCAAGAGGCGACACTTGAAGGCGCTGAAGGTTGTTTGCTGTCGCTCGCCACTTTCTATGCCACTGCGTCGACGAGGACGACGTCGAAGAAGCAGCCACCCGGCGCGAGCCGATCATGATGGCTTTACCCTCTTCTCCGTCTTCAAGCTACCGCGATCGATGTGGCGAAGCTGATGCTGTGATGATCTGTGTAGTATATGACGTCTCAATGCATTGTGATGGTGATGATGAAGATATGCTGGTCGAGGTCAGAGATGAGGTGAGGGATTAAGCGCGACAAAGTCTTATGCCCAACCGCCGCTTGATTGAAATTGACAGCCGCGGGAAGGCTGACTAAGCCGGAGAGCGGCTGTCAAGGACCCATTCTACCTCATGCTGCGAGGCCCTGAACATCATCATGGCGACGTCTTTGAATGTTCGAGCTCTTGCAATGTGAGGATGGCCATCTTGCTCACCTACTGCCATCAGAATGGCCGTCAAAGAGCCATCATGCGCGCAGCACGCTTGCCGCCTGTGAGCTCACGCACTGTCACACCTCCTCTCGCAGCGATGCAGATTGTACATGGTGATGATTCAGAGATCGAGCCTCACATAGAGGCAGAAAATGAGAGAAAGGACAGTCGAGAGCGTACAGGAACAGCTCCCAAACAGTGTATGAGAGGGCCAGGCGAATTCTCCGTCCCGCCGACGAAAACCACCGTGATACCCCCTTTGAGGCCCCACCGCCTCCAGGATCGTCCGTTCGAGCTCCTTGATGCTTTTAACGGTTCGACTTCGCTACACGCTCCAGCTCGTCTCGCTGTAATGGTGAGGGATAGATAGATGAGTCAGTGGGAATGTTCCCTGAGATCGGGGAGCTTGTTGGATCTGCGCGAGACTCACCTTCTTGATAGCGAACGAGTTGGACGAACCCTTGGCAGCGTTGATGAGCTCATCGGCGAGGCACTCGCTGATGCTCTTGACGTTGCGGAAGGCCGACTCGCGCGTGCCGGTGGTCAGCAGGTTGATAGCCTGGTTGACACGGCGCAGCGGCGAGACATCGACGGCCTGACGACGGACGGTACCCTGCGAGCCGATACGGGTCGAGTCTTCGCGGGGACCAGTGTTGATGATGGCGTCAACGAGGACCTGAACGGGGTTCTGGTCGGTGAGGAGGTGGATGATCTCAAAGGCGTGCGAGACGATGCGGACGGCCATGAGCTTCTTTCCGTTGTTGCGGCCGTGCATCATGAGCGAGTTGACAAGGCGCTCCACGATGGGCATCTGAGCCTTGCGGAACTGCTTGCTGGCGTAACGACCGGCAGTGTGGGGGGTGTAGACGGCGTTGCGGATCGAGATGTAGTCTATGAGGGAGCGCAGGGTAGGCGCGTCAGCGACTGCAATTCGCGCTGAAAAGCAATGACATGACAGGCATCGCCAAAGCGACTTCTGTCGCTCTCGCACACTCACCTTGGAGCGAAATGTCCTTGACCTCAACCTCCTGGGCGTCCCACTTGCCAAAGAGCTTAACTCCACCAGCCTCGGGGGCGGCGACGGCGGCAACGTCCTTGGGCACACCAATGCGAGCCATGTTGTGCTGCGAGTCGAGGGAGATGAGTGTCAGGTCAGCAAAGCTGCTCGACGTTGGTTTCGCGTGACAATGGCCTGCCAGTGCTGCGCAGACGACCCAAAGCCGCTTTCCTCCGCAGCAACCTTCAATTCCCCACATCCTGCCTCAGATGACGAGGAGCATCGCCGCCGCTGCTACGATGAATGCGACAGCAGCTCAATCTGCTCTCGCACGGCGTCGCAAGCCCTGTCAATGCCTGCTTCATCACCAAGCCTGCATACACTTTCCCTCCCCGCGCAGCTTCCCACATCTCCAACCTCCAACTGCAATGCCATCCCTTCCCAACTGCCCTTCCCCGTCTGATCCTTCGCGATTCTACTGCAGCACTGGCATGGCGTATTGTACCTTTGTCGTCTCAGCGCGCATGCTCACCTATTAGAAGATGAAGAAGGGGGAGGGAATAGGGTGGTGATGAGGAGGACGAACGAACAAGTGGTAGGTCTGGCGCGGCGTGGTTGCGCTTCCCTCTGGTCAGTCAGTCAGTCACAGTCGGCTTCGGAGCGGGCGAATGGCCGTCGAGTCGAGCGAGTGAGCGAGCGTGGGCTCGAGGTGGCGGGGCGGATGAGCGAGCCAGGCGGAACCGCAAGCCCCAATCGCTGCACGTGACGTGTGGGACGATTTTGCGATCAGAGGGCCGCGGCTCGTCTTGAACATCGTGAGAGTCCAGCACTGCCACGTGGTTTGAGGTCGAGTCGGAACGACGGACACGGTCGAGCCATCTTGAGACGACGCGGATACGCAGCCGACAACTGCCATCCACATCACCATCGACGACGACCACGATGGCAGCAGCGACAGCGTCAACATCCGCGGCTGGGGCGGGCAATGAGCAGCCGAACACGAGCTTGTATGTCCACAACCTCAACACCAAGACGAAGAAGCCAGGTACGTCCGCAGTGGTCGAGTCGCATACATCGACCTCTCCTTTGCTCATCTCACCCAACCACACCGCCGCACTCGTAGAGCTCCGACGCCAACTCTATTCCCTCTTCAGCACATATGGGCCGGTCATCAGCATCGTAGCCACCCGCGCAGCCGGCATGCGAGGGCAAGCCTTTGTAGTCTTCCGTGATCTCTCCTCCGCTACGGCAGCCCGTCGCGCCCTGGACGGATTCGAGTTCTACGAGCGGGGCCTCCGCATCGAGTATGCGAGGGAGAAGAGCAAAGCCACCCTGCTTGAGGAGAGGGGACCTGAAGGAATCTGGGATGTGCAGGCGCAGGTACAAGCAGGCAAGAAGGACAGGGTGACCTATTCGAGCGCAGGCGCGGATAGGGTGGGGAGGGAGCGTAAGAGGGCTCGAGAGGAGGCGAGGGAGAGGGGCGAGAAGGTGAAGGAGGATGAGAGTGATGAGGACGAAGAAGAGGAGGAAGATGATGAGCCGCCAGCTAAAGCTGCGAAAGTCGCAGAGAATGGGGATACCGCTGCACCTCCACCTCAGCCGGCGGCTGGTGGGCAAGAAGAGGATGAGGAGGACGAGGATGAGATGGACATGGCAGACTCGGATTCCGACGATGAGACTGGACCCAAGCCACCGCCGGCGTAGATGAGCTGCGCTCAGAGGAGAAGATGTCGACGCCTAGGAGGAAACCAACACTGTACAATACCCAAGATCTTTCACCGTAGCGTCGGGTTGGAGAGGGAAGGCTGTGCGACGTGCGTTGCTCTAAGCTGGCTGGTCTTTGAAAGGACGGTGCGCAACCGTTATCCAAGCCGAGAACTAGCAACGCCACGCAAGCAGACGTGGCTAGTGCCCCTCACGACTTCGCTGAGGCTCACAAGAAGACGATGACGATGCTCGCGAGAGCCTGCTTCACGCAACCATCGACGCAACGCCAGTCAAGAGAGCAAGAAGATGACATTTGAAGTCTGTCTGAGATCGCTAGCGAGAGCTCTCTTTGGTCGGGAAAGACGAAACAAGAACAACATAGTAGACAAGCTGAGATGTGATACACTGAGAGACTTGAGCGAGATTGAAGCCATCACAAGCGTCCTTCCTTCAGAAACCCTCCTCCGGTTCTGACCTTACGCTCTAATTGCGTTGGAGTGGGGATGACGAGGAGCACAGCTATGCGGCCGAGACTTCTGTTGATGACGCCTGCTGCTGCTCGCTGCCAGCCGCAGGAGGCTGCATCGAGGTTTCGCCGGCTGTCGAGGCTGCTGGCGCTGCTGCATCGGGCGGCGGTAACGCCGCTGGGTTGGCCTCGAGCAGCTTGCCCAGGTCGAGCACGCTCAACGTCCTGTTCTGCTGCGAGACAGCCAGCTGATGCCTCGCGTTGGTCATAGCCGAGAGCCTTCTCCTTGACGAGGACGACGAGCCATTGACGCCGCCGGCTGCTTCATCGTGCTCATCCTTGATCACGGCTCTTCCCTCCTTCCCTTCCCCTCCCTCTTGACCTTCTTGGGCTACGTGCCAACTAACGTCGAATACGGCGCCACCTGCCACAAAGGCCTTGACTATCTCCCCGTCCATGCAGCGTGTCACGAACACGCGCGCATCAATCCCGCCCGTGGCGAGGAAGCGTGCGTCAGGGGACCAGCAGATAGCGTAGACCGAATCAACATGATCGTCGATCACCCTGAGGCACGTCCCGTCATCCGCATTCCAGATTCGGGCCGTCTTGTCGAAGGAAGTCGTTGCGAGCATGCGTGGTTGCTCTGGATTCGTGGATCCCGGGCCGGTAGGAGCCCAGGCGAGGGCGTAGAGTTCCTTGGTGTGGCCGGTGAGGGTGAAGAGACAGCCTGGTGACCCGCCCGAGGAGTGAGAGCCATTGTTGCCTTGACGAAGGACGGAGTCGACGTCACCGTCGACGCTCGCGTCTGCTGCTGCCCCGCCCTCGTCGTCAGAGCGGTCCACCTCCATGCTCGAGTCGGCCCCGCTTCGCCCACGACTGCTGCGTTTGCGCGTCGAGCTCGAAGCACCGGCGCTTGAGCCCGGCGCCGTACTGCTCGCACCGCCTGCAACGCTCCAGATCTTGGCTGTGCAATCGTCTGACGCCGAGGCGAGTAGCGTCTGGCTGGCATCGAAGCGAATCGCATTGACCTCATCGTCATGCCCTCTCAATGTTCTGACAGGCTTCGGCTCGCCGACTCGGCAGATATTGATGCTGTTATCTGCCGAGCCAGTAGCAAAAGTGGCCTCGTTCGCTCTTGAAGCCGGCCCGGCGCTGCGCGTGGAGACCAGCCAGTCCACGTCGAGGATGGAGTCCGAGTGGATGGGGAATTGTTGCCTGACCTTACCCGAAGAGAGGTCCCACACAATTGCCGTCCCATCTGCTGAGCTGGTAAGAAGCATAGTCCCTTTCCTGTTCCATCTGACCGCAAAGATCGGGCCCTGGTGCATCGACATGACGAGATGTAAGTCGCCCTGCGGGGTCCAGAGCCTTAGGATGCCGTCGTACGACCCGGAGGCGAGGAGGGTCCCGTCTGGGTTCCACTCGAGAGCGGAGACGTCCTTCGCGTTTGTTGTTGGGAGGTGCTTGCAGACTGCCGGAGGAGAGTCGGGTGATGTGGAGCCACTGGAAGGCAGATCCCAGATGCGAACAGTGGCGTCACCGCCTGCTGAAGCGATCAGACCAGGCACAGAGGGGTTCCAAGCGGAGGAGAAGACTTCTGCCGAGTGGCCGAGGAGCGTTACGATGTCCTCGCTAGCTACCTCCTTGCCCTTTGCCTTGGCCGGCAACTGAGCGACGGCTTGCGTTGCTGCACCCTTCTTGCCGGCGCCATTGCCCGTCTTCTTTGCTGTTGTCGGAGGGGCAGGAGACTGATCTGACGCTGCTGCTCCCTCTTCGTCATCATCGTCGCCACCTGTTGCTACCGCTGCTGCTGCTTTCTTCTTCTTCTTGCCGCCCTTCTTGGAAGAAGCAGCCTTCTCGACGCCCTTGCCTTTGGCTGGCAGCGATTGCTTGCCTGCCTTGGGCGAGATTGGATGCTTTCCATTCTTCGTCGTTGCAGCCGGCAGAGTCTCGTCATCATCGTCATCCTGCTCATCGCGATGGATGCCGTTCGGCGCCTGGACCGCCTCCTCGCCGCGCTTCGACCTCTTCTCTTCTCTCGTGGGCAGCGGTGTGGCTGAAGCTTTGCGCTTGCTCGTGGATGCGTCGTCGTACGGCGCTGCTGGCGGCACGTCGAGCTTGTTCTTCGACGATGAAGCGACAGCCTGGTTGCTGACAGACGCGTGGCGGCCATTCGGCGATGGGGTTGGTCGCGCCGCCTGGCTTCGGATCGCCTCGTACAGCTCGTCTGTCTGTGACGATGATTCGCTGGAGGTGATCACCTTGGGCGCAGGAGGCTCTGGAGTAAGGCGTACCGGTGTTGGGATGGCAGAGCTGGTTTTCCCTCTTGACTTGCCGTCGCAGACGTGAGGCGGGCCGACGAGGTTGAAGGGAGCGGTACACTCCTTTTCGCTGCCATCCTGGGGGAAGTGAGGGAGGGAGGGAGACTTCCGGTCAGATCTGCAAAGCTTGGCTGAGCAGCTCGATCGCCTTCGCCCTACTCACTGGGTTGACATGAGCTTCGACAGCCATGTAGAGAAGACCCTTTTGCAGCATTCTGAGTAGCCTCCCGGGCTCAATGACTGCCTCTTTGCTGAGCGGCTCTTCGTCTAATCTTCCCTCATGACGAAGAGAGAAGCAGGCATGATGGAAGCCTGGGCGCGGGGCGAAGGGTGGTGAGAGTCAGGATTCACGACTTGACGAGAGGCTTTCACTTGCTATCGCTCACCTGACTCCTTGAGATAGTGGTAGATGAGGAGATTGACCTCTGCCGATGAGCAGAGGGGCGGCATCTTGGACGTCTATCGATCCTTTCGATGCGGATGCCTTGAAAGGGCGACGTCGTAGTGACAGAGCGTCGGCGTCGTGTCTTTCGCGATTGGGTTGTATTTACGCAGAGGACGAGAGACGTGGTGATGATGATGATGATGATGAAGGCGCAAAGAGCCTTCCTGTCATTTGACGGCGACTGGAACAGCAGTCTATTTGCGGACGATGTGTATAGGGAGGTCGTGCTCTCTCGAGGTGTCTCGTGGTGCCTGATGGCAATTCGAGGTTTGAGGTTCAAGGCCGAGGTCGTGTAACTGGCGGTGAGACGTCAAAGGCGCGAGGACCGAGTAGGGAGCAGCGAGAAAGCAGCAGCGTCTAGATTGACGATGATGTTTCGCTCTCTCGCTGAATGTAGGTTTGCAGAGGATGAAAGTTGGGATTGGTACAGAGGGAGGGAGGGAGCGAGCGGATGCCGACGAAGAGACGTCGACGACTCGACGGCTCAACGACGAGAGGCTGAGGGGAGAGAGAGAGCCAGGCGAGCGGGCAGGCAGGCGGGCGGGCGGCTGGACGGCCACGACGGCTCGCTCAGTCGACTTGTCAAGCTCAGGCGCGCGGACGACGGCACCAGAGGCGGCCTGAGCAGCGACGAAAGCGAGCCAGACGGGCAAAGGACGAGGGCCAACGGCCAATCATTCGCATCACCAACCTACCTTCGCTGATCATTTCATCGACGACGACGACGACGAGGAGTTGCCAACTGCTCCTCCATCGTCCCGTCATCCTTCCGCCGCGATGGCAGTCGTCAATCTCGCATCGACTCTACAGTCGATTCCCCTCGCGACTCGCTGTCTCTCGCTCCTCGTTCTCTTCTTCTCCACCCTCATCGCGGTGCTGCGCCTGACGCGTACAGAGGAGGGGCTGCACATCATCACATGGAGTCGCACAGATTCAGCCATTGCCTTTCCCTGGCTGGTCATCGTGCCTGGCGTCAGCTTCTGGTACCCATGGAGCCTGATCACCGCCGGCTTCTGCGAGACGAGCTTCCTCGAGTTCCTGGTGACGGCGCTGAGTCTGCCACTGGCAGGCCGCTACTTGGAGAGGATATGGGGGCCTGTTGAGTTGGTGAAGTTCACGCTCATCGTCGTCGTGGGATCGAATGTGATTGCTTGGTTCATTGCAACGGTCTTGTTCGTCGTACTAAGATCGGAGGCGGCCTTGTGAGTGCGCGCAGCGAAGAAGGGTAGCATGCATCGAGCTCGCAGCTGATCCCTCTCCCCTGACCCGCCTACAGCTACGGTACCCAATACCATGGCCTCGAGGCTCTGCAGACTGGCTTCCTCGTCGCTTTGGCCCAACTCATCCCCGACCACCAAATCCAGCTCCTCCGCAATCACCTCACCATGCGCGTCCGAGACCTGCCCATGCTCTACGTCACCTTCTCCAACGTGGCTTGTCTGCTCGGCTTTCCCTCCCCCTTCATCCTCATTCAGTTCGGCTGGCTCATCTCATGGGCCTACCTGCGCTTCTATCGCTGGAATCCGGATAGCGGGACGAGGGGAGATAGGAGCGAGGCCTTCAGCTTCGTTCTGTGGTTCCCGCCGTTTTTGCACACGCCGGTCACGCATATCAGCAACTTCCTGCACGGGCTGTTCTTGCGCTTCAAGGTCATTCCAGAATTCAAGTACGACTATGTGTCAGCGAATGACCTAGAGTTCGGCTTGGGCGGGGCAGGAGAGGGGGCGGGGTCTACGGCTGGCCAGGACATGGTGGGCGGTGGGGCTGGCGGGCCAGTGAGCGCTCGCGCCGAGGCAGAGAGGAGACGAGCTATGGCCCTGAAAGCGTTGGATCAGAGAATGGCCTCCAGTGGTAGTGGAAGCGGCAGCAGTCGCGGTGGAGCTGGGGCGCCACCGCCGAATCAGGCTGCGACTGCGGCCGCTCGCTCGCAGGCGCCAGCAGAGGTGGTCTTCCAGGCGCCCACAGACGAGAGTGAGGCGGCGGGCAAGCCAGCCACGTCATCAGCAGCGGGCAAGAGCAGGGCGAAGGTCGAGGCAGAGGAGGACGCGCAATGGCCGGACAGTGATGAGGACGAGGGCGAGGGTGGAGACATTGGCGATACGAAGAGGGCTGAAAAGGCAAAGCTGGTAGGCAAGTGAGAGTGGAAAGCATCAACACGACAATACAATGGATCCATAGCATGTTCGCATTGCGGTGTGCTCTCCTCGTCCCCGCCACGGTGCGCATTGAAGCTCATGTCTCACTCGCAGCTTCGTCTCTTTCAATCGCCTGCTCAGTCGCCCGCGCCCGATGCACGCGGGACGCGGCTGGTCCGTGCCGTCCTCGATCCTCGACGGCCTCTTGCTCCTTGACTTTGTTCCCTCCGCTCCCTCCGCTCCATCACCTCATACCCATTCCTTTGCCCTCTCTTATCATGGCGACTACCCCACAGCCACTTTCTGGCAGCCTCTCACTGCCGCTCCACACCTCATTTCAATCCTCGTCCGCCCTCTGGTGGCCATGCCCTGCCAACAAACGGCCGAAGGTATTCCTCCTCTTTATCCCCGGCAACCCAGGGCTGAGCAGCTATTATATTCCCTACCTGGACGCAATTCACTCCTCCGAGGGACTGGAGGGGCAAGTCGAGATCCTTGCAGTCAGTCATCGAGGCCACTCAAAGCTACCCGCCAGCGCTGAGGCCGCCGCGTGGGAGGAGGCCAAGCAGAGTAAAGGCCCCGCAGCCAAAGGGACCGGGACCACATTGCACGACCAGATCGAGCAAAAGGTCGACGCAGTGAAGGCTATTCGTCAGCTTTATCCCGAGGGGCCAGAAGACCCGCAGCGTGTCAAGCTCGTCCTCGTGGGCCACTCGGTCGGCGCATACATCTCTTTGCGCGTCCTCGAACGGCTAGGCGATCAAGTTGACGGGGTCCAGCTCCTCTTTCCCACGGTGATCCACATCGCTCGCACGCCCAAGGCGCGCTCACTGCCTCTCCAACTGGTGACCTCACCACTCGCTCAAGCGCTTGTCCTCCCGCTCCCGCTCTTCATCCTCTCCCTCCTCCCAACTCTTCTCCTCGCAACCATACTCCGCCTCCTCACCGGTTTGGATGCGCGTGCCGGGTCCCCTGGTCTGTCAAGTACCCTCGATCTCATCACAACTCCGCGTGCCCTACTCAGCGCAGCACAAATGGCAAGCGACGAATTCCGCCTCATCCGAGGGCTCGACCCCAAGATTCGGCAAGCTGTATCAGCTCTCGAGGCTCGTGGCGGAACATGCCGCGCCTACTGGTCCCGAGGTGATGATGACGCGTGGGCCCCAGCGGCTTCAAGACGTGATTTGGAGAAGGAGTTGGGCTTGAGCAGGGTTGGCGTACCTCCCGATGTGGCTCTTCCACTTGTCGCAGCGGACGGCTCTGCCGAGGGGTCTGGAAGGAGGAGTAGGGCCTCGTTGCTCAGGTCGAGGACGCTCCAGATCGGGGGAACGCTGACGAGGGCTGCGGGCAGGAAGCTGGCTGGAGCTGCTAGGAGGACGGGAGGGCAGGGACACCGCAAGAGTGGGTCTAAAGGGGGCAGCATTGGTGGCTCGTCGTCATATGCTCAGGTGGCTGCGAAAGAGATGCCTGCTACACCGACCAAGTCCGGCGGTGGTGGCAGGCCGACCTCATCAGGCAACGGAGCAGGCAAAAGTACAGCCCTCGAGGATCTCTTCTCTGCTACCGGCACAAAAGAAGCCCATGCATCCAGCTACGTCACCTCCCCAGGCTCCGTCACCTCTCCAACACAGCAGCGTCAACGCATCATCCCTCTCACGCCCTCCTCCCCTCAGACCTCCCTCAAGGGACCTATCCTCGCAAGCTCGCCACAGCAAGAACGCCATAATCCCACTATGGCAGGCGGTGCAAACCCGGAAGATGAGGCGCTGAAGCAGCGCAGGATGTCTTCGCTCTCCCGCGCGCGCGCGAGAAGGAGCATAGACGGGACCATCACTCTCGAACTGCCCAAGGGACAAGATTGGAGCTTCCTGGCCAACGCTGCTGCCGCTGCCAACGATGGTGCAGGATCCGCGATTGAGGAGAGTGATGGCGATGCTACGGATGTGGAGAGTGTCAAGGCTGTGGGCAAGTTGAGTGCTGCACTCAGCCTTGGAGTGGGGAAGGAATCAGAGGGACCGCGAGCAACGAGTACGGTTTGCAAGGTGGGGATGCCCCATGCTTTCTGCTTGAGGCATGGAGTGGAGATGGGACGTATTTCGAGTTGGTGGGTGCAGAGGGATTTTCTGCCGCTCGCGGAGGTAAAGCAGGAGGAGGGGGAGAAGTAGTCTCGACGCGCAGACTTGCTTTCTGCTGAACCTCTGGTCACTCTGCGAAGGAGCTTCTGTCACTACGATTGTGAGCCAAACAAGGTATATAGTGTATCATTCAATGTGGAGTGTTAAGATGACGAGGTTGCTGGCGGCTCTGCGGCTGCGTCTGTATCCATTGACCCCGCAGCTGCCGCCCTTTTGCTGGCCTCGACCGTTTCAGCCTCCTCTTCGGCTGGCAGTGGGGTTGTAGGTTTTCCAACACCGTCTAGCTGCATCGCCTCCTTGTCTCCCCCTTCGCCCTTGTGCCCTACACTCGCCTCGCTCTGATCTTCGTCCATGGCCTGCGCTGCAGTAGCCGGAGTCACCTTGCCTTGCCCTCCCGCTCCAATCGGCGTATTCGTGTTCGTAGCAGGCGTGCCCTCCCCCGAGCTGGCAGCTGTGCGCTCCTCGCCCTCTCGGTCGACCATCTTGCCGCGCTTCTCCTCCTCTTCTCGAAGCAGCGCCTGCACTCGCTCCTGTATCGTTCTGACCATTGGTTCTGATGGTGCTGATGATGTCGTGGAAAGGTCTGTGGACAGGATCGAAATGATGGCGTCGCGTTCCTTGCCCTCTTCATCCTCGCCCACGGTTGCTGCAGGAGGCTGTTGCATCTTTGCGAGTAGGTCACGCTGGATCTTCGGGCCAGACGGGGGCATGTACTCCTCCGTCTCCTCATCTTGATCTCCTTTCGCCCTCTTGACTCGTGCCCTGTCCGGCTCGTCCATCTCCACTACCTTGACCATCTCAGCCTGCATCAATCTCACATCTCCGCCACTCGTCGCCATAATCTTTGCTGCCTCGGCAGGGTTGCCCTGAATGTAGCTGAGCAGCAGATCTGAGATGGACTGCGTGACGTCGCCCTTTGCTTGTGGTGATGAGGAGAGGAAGGACTGCAGCAAAGAGCGTCGCAACGAGTCGAAATGGCCTTGTCGCTTGAATTCGACAACTAGGTCCGATGGTGTGACGAATCCATTAGCTTTTGCGCGAGACTCTACGTCTGGCCAGTCGATGCGGAGGGCTTCTTCTATATCGTGTTGAGAGGGAGGTGGGGGGCGAGTCGAGCTCGATGAGATCGATGAGGGGTGCCCGCCGTCTCGATGGCGAGCATGGTCGCTACTGCTGCTGCTGCGAGGGCCGCTGCCACTCGGCCCTGCCCTGCCCGCACTGCTACGACGTCTGCCTGCGCCGTACGGACTGGGATCGCCATACCTCCTGTGATCGTGGGATCCATACGTTAACCCGTACCCCTGCCCATACCGGCTAGCTGGAGTCCAAACATCAGATTCACCAGGAGGAGGGGGAGGCGGCCGATCTCTGCTCGTCACAGCACCACCACCACCAGCAGACGCAGGCGTCCATACATCGTGCCCTGAAGCTCTGCGTCGGTCGTCTCCATACTCTCTTCCTGCCATGCTGCTCTCGTGCGGAGGCGAGCGGACAGCGGCGATGGCCTTATTAACGTGGTGCTTGACCATCTTCGTTGGATAGTATCGATCAGGATGCGTCGTCGAGGTGCGGACTACGACGTCGTCCTTGCGATCTCGCCAGCTCCAGCCGCCGCCATCTCTCGGTCTCGAAGAGGAAGGACGGGGATCGCTCATGGCGGATTCATAGCTCAGGATGGTGGGAGAGAGGTGGAAGAGGCGCACAGACGTTCGTAGAGGCGGGTTCAGTCTCAGTCATGCGAGTGGGCAGGCGGAACAGGACACGCGAGCGAGCGGGTGGGCGGCTCAATGAGGAATTTTGGACCAGAGGCGGCGGCGGCGGAGAGAGCAGTCGAAGCTAGCCTCCCTTTCACTCACTATTACTCCCCCTCGCTCAATCGTCATGGCAAAGAAGTCATCAGCATCCTCGGCAGCGATGGAGGATGTGCAGGCATCGCAGCCTGGACCTTCCTCCGCCCCTGACGAGGCGCCCATCGTCAACAAGAACAAGCGCTTCAGGAAAGACAAACGTGAGTCTGCGAGTCCAAGCCAGCATGCATCCACAAGACTCGCAAAGCTGATCGTAATCCTCCTTCTCTGATATCGCTAGCCTGGGACACAGATGACATTGACAAGTGGGAGATCCCCGCATTCACTGCAGCAGACAATGCCCAGCCCTTTGTCGAGGAATCCAGCTTCGCCACCCTCTTCCCCAAGTATCGCGAGTCTTACCTCAAGACCAACTGGGGAGCCGTCACCCGCGCCCTCGAGAAGCACGGAATCGCCTGTGTCCTCGATCTCGTCGAAGGGAGCATGGTAGTCAAGACGACGCGTAAGACGTACGATCCGTATATCCTGCTCAAGGCACGCGACCTCATCAAGTTGCTCGCCCGCTCTGTTCCCGTGCAGGAGGCGCTGCGCATCCTCTCCGACGATGTGGTTTGCGACATTGTCAAGATAGGCAACCTCGTCCGCAACAAGGAGCGCTTTGTCAAGCGTCGCCAACGTCTCATCGGCCCCAATGGGTCCACGCTCAAGGCCATCGAGCTCCTCACGGGCTGCTATGTCCTCGTGCAAGGAAACACCGTCGCTGTCATGGGATCGTACAAGGGACTCAAAGACGCACGTCGCATCGTAGAAGACTGCATGAAGAACGTGCACCCAATCTACCACATCAAGGAGCTGATGATTAAGCGCGAGCTAGCCAAGGACCCTAAGCTCGCCGGTGAGAGCTGGGATCGCTTCCTGCCCAAGTTCAAGAAGCGCAACGTCAAGGCCAAGAAGCCTGCCAACAACGGCGAAGGTCCCAGTGGCGCAAACGCAGTCAAGCCCACGACGGCAGCAGCGAAAAAGACGTACACTCCCTTCCCTCCGGCGCAGCAGCCTAGCAAGCTCGACTTGCAGATGGAGAGCGGAGAGTACTGGCTCAAGCCGAGCCAAAAGCAGGCAAAGGAGCGAGAGGAGAGGGAGAGGAGACAGGAGGTCAAGCAGAGGGAGCGAGAGGAGAAGAGGAGAGAGGGAGGTGTCGCGCCCAAGGAGGATTTGATGGCTGAGAAGCGCGAGAGGCGTGGGGATGAAGATGAGGAGGCGAGGAGGAAGAGGAAAGAAGAGAAGAAGAGGAAGAGGAAAGCTGAAGCTGAGGCTGAGGCGTGAGCACGGCGCTCTTTCGGTCTCGACGCTGAGCAGGCCGGTTTGGACATTGTCAAGGGAGATGGCGCAAGCTCAATACGATCAGTCAACGAACCGCTGAGCAACGTGGAGCCTCGATGGGCGTCTGTCTGGGGATAAATCTGCATTTGCCCGCTGCCCAGCCTGAGCAAGCTTGCCATCCGGATCGTCAAGTGGCCGAGGGAATTGCTACTCTAGTGTAGACTTCAGCAGGCAGTTGCATGAGCGCGAGCTTCCTCCTCCTTTCTTCCATCAGCAAGCGTCCCTCTGGACCAGCCTACACTGCAGGTAATCATCATGGTGAGCAAGACAGGACTTGCTCAGCTCCCCTTCTTAATTGACTAGTCCGATGTCGAGGCCTTCCCGTTACAGCTCGCCGCCATCTCCAAGCCGGCCAAGCTCATCGTCAACTCCCTGGTCCTCACGCTGCTCTCTCTGCCTTCCGAGGTCAACGCCAGTACGTTGGCTCTGTGCTACGGCGATACCGCTTGCAGCCCCAATCAGGCCGGAGGTGGCGTCGAAGGCACCGTCGGCTCAACTGCTCCCATCAACGTCCCTTGCACTGGCTTGAAGGCTGCCGTCAGCGGAAGGGCCTGCCACTCTCTTGGTTGCCAAGGAGGCTGTACTTCAGTCAGTGCGGGGTCATGCGTATCTGCTGGTGAGAACGAGACCTGGGGCTCATTCTGTCCCTAGGTCCTGAGCGGTTCGGCAAAAGTGTCTAAGTTGCTGAGCTGGCATGTAGCACTTCTGAGAGCCGGTGAGACAGACAAGAGCCCAGATGCCAGGAGGGGCGTATCTTCCTGTGCGCTCCTTGTCCTTCCATGTTCGCAATTCGACCGACTCATGACGATCCAGTGCCTGCGGGGGCTTGCCGTTTGAGCAGTGATGCTTGACTCAGCTGGACGGATCAACTCCGTCCCCTGGGCCTCGCGATCGCCAATTCTCCTATCGCTTTGCGCCGAGGCCGGCGCGAAGCGTCCGGGTCAAGGGCAAGGGGACGATCAAGCTGTGCCCGGACAGTATATCTCATCTCGAAGAGCCCTTCCAAGCTTCACTGTTCACCACAACAAGCCACTCACCAAAGACGTATCGCCCGTCAAAGCCCAACATGGTGAGCGCCGTGGCAGCCTTCCACCTTGAGGCCTCGCACTGACTCTGCGACCTACCGCAGCACTTTGCCATGCCCAGCTTCTTTTTCCTCATCGCCAGCATCATGCGCATCTCGTTCCTCTACTCCCAAGTCGAAGCCACGGCCTTCGGAACCTGTTATGCCGACTATACGTGTGCCTCAGGCGGCCATCCCATTAGTGGTACCGTCGGTCAGTCCATCAACATCACCGGCAGCTGTACTAGCTTCAAGCCTTCCATCGCTAGGGGACGCGTTTGCCACGGGACGATCTGCAACGGTGGCTGTGAGGGCGTAGCTGGAAGGACTTGCATTCCCAAGGCAAACAACATCACGCTTGATTGGCAGTCGTACTGCTTCTGACGCTTGACTGGCAGTCGTACTGCTTCTGATCAGGCAGGAGGCATCGTCACAGCACCTCTTGAGCCGTGAACGGTGCTTGAAATCGAAATAGATTCATCCTCCCCCGCGTGACGGGCACTCGTTGACTTGCAGAAGCTCCCGCGCCTGACAGCCTGGATGATGATGGTGCAGACGTCCTTTCGTAGCCTGTGTCAGACGTCGAGAAGTAGCGCGAGCGGTCCGACCCGTCCGCCGCGTCGCTCGCGTGGCGCCTTCCGTCCCGAGCAACAAAGCTCGCCCCAACCAACACCCAGCGCGTCCATGTAGGCGGGCAGACAACTATCGTTCCGTACCTCTCAGCCGCCGCTCAGGGCGAAATGGAGCGTCACAATATGGTCACATCGCCATCGCCATCACCGCCATCCTCATCACCATCCTCATCTCCTCGACTCCACCACCCTCATCTCCTCGACTCTTGACCATCTCGTCTGCGTCATCTACGATTTCCCAATCCCCTCTCCCAGCACCGCCGCTCAGCCTACGATTGCCCTGCCATTGGTCCGCTGGCCCCACTGAGCTGGCGTAGGTCGGTGAACGACCGGCAGCGACAGTGAGGCCAGCGGCAGCGACAGCAGCAGCAACGCAAAGCAGAGCAGCGTCACAGTCATCGTTGCTCCTACACCCGTCGTGGGTGCCAAGACAAGGCTCGCCGCCGAAGACCAACAGCACCAGAGCCAGCAGCCACATCGCTCGCAATCACGCCTCGCACCTCTGCCTAGCCTAGCGCCGCAGCCTCCTTTCGTCTCCCTGTCCAGCCAAGAAACGAGGGCGTTGACAGCAGGCGAATGTCGCGCCTTCTGGCTTGACCAGCGGAATGGACAAGGACGCTCTGCTGCTAGTTAGGCCCCCTCGTCGTCGACCTATGAAAGACATCCAGTCTACGCACAGCACCGCGTCTCCCCAACAAGTACCAGCACGTCGCGCCCGCCTATCATCAGGCTGCCCACGTTCATCACTCCAACGACTCGGATGCCTCTTCCAAATGACCCAGAACAAGTACATCCTCGGCTTGGGGTCCATCTACCTACAGCCGGCCAGCCTCGTCCTCGTCTTGTGCTCAGCACACCCACTTTGCTGATCGCAATCATGTAGAGTGGAAGCGCGTCGATTGGTATGGAATCAAGAGAGAGGAAGCTGAAGGAGACATTGTCCACGTCATCGTCATGAGACACGGGCCGACAGGTCCGAGCACAAAGAAGGAACAAAGGAACATCGCTCAGACGGTATTCAACACGGTCGGGTACCACAGCTCGAGCACTCTGCGCCTGACAGTACCTCGTTGCTCGCCGTGCCCTTATACCTCCGCTGGACTGGCACTACACATCAGCAGGAACCAGTCTCCGAGAGAAGAGGGCAATGTGCTGAGTCGCTTTTGGGATGCTCCTCGCACTGGAGAGTATGCAAGTGTGTCGCAACAAGCATCTCCATTCCCAATGCTGCTCAGAGTAATGCTGGACATCGCTTCAACTACGCCGACGAGCGCGAAGCGACGAGAAAGAAGGCGGCCAACCGTGAGCAACGCAAGCACCAGATGACCACAATCAAAAGAGCCGCGGCCGTGCCATCCCTTCATCTGGCCATCGACTACCATGTTCGACCCGGGTCTTCGCAGCTCTCCCGCGCCCTTCGCGCCTATCACGACCTCGCTGCTGGCCGTGCCTGCATCGCCCCCCTCGACTGGCAGCTGCGACTTTCCCCTGAGACGATCGAGTCGGCAGGCCGTGCTCTCGTCGATGGCGCCACGCCCATGGGACGCGCTCTCCTCAGCGCCCTCGAGCATGGTGGGTTTGCGGCCGTTGAGGATGTCAGCTTCTGGCGATCGATGGCAGGCGAGTCAAGCAACGCCAAGATTGGCCAGCAGACGGGCGAGGAGATGATGCGGCCAGCGGTATACGTGCGATCAGAGCTGGACGAAGTTGCGCTCAAAGGGGTCTACACTGTTCGCGCCGCCTTTAACTTCTTCCGCTTCATTGAGCATCTCTGCACGATACTGCTGGACGCTTCTACAGGCTGCCGTTACGCGTACGAGAGCTCGAGGCAGTCCACCACGGTCCTGACCTGGTCACTTTGGGAGGGAGAGACGGCAACGGGGACGAGCGTGGAGGCGTGGACGCAGCGCGCCATCATCGAGGGTCTCTGGGCTCTGCTGCTGTGCTCTTACACGCGCAGCCTGGCGTACCTGCTCTTCCGCCGCCAATACGGCCTGTTGGAGTGCTCAACGAGCGTGCGTGGGTGCAACGGCACCGAGTGCTTCGAGGCGCCAGAGTCGTGGAAGCCTCCCACACACGGGCGAGATGGGGGCGTTCGCGACCGCCTCTTGCTGATGGTCACCCGGCGCGCCACGCACTACAACATGCGCATGTTCGCGGCTCAAGGCGCAGGAAACGGTCTCGACCACGCCTGCTCGCTCGCGAAGTACCAAGCTACACAGCTTGTACAGAGCGGCATGTTTGCGTCGTCACTGCTCGGTTACGGCCTCGCTTTCGCGCCGTCCTCAACCCACCCGCCCCGCCTCTTCAAGGGCATCAACGCGTCGCAGGCCGACATCAACGCACTTTGGGCTGCCCCGGCTTCTGGCGAATGGGTTTTCGAGATTCGAGAGGGTGGGCCCACCTCGCTCCGCAGCCTTACGCCCTCCGACCTCAGTCTCTTCGGTCAACTTGCGCTCGTCGGATACTCCGCTTGCCCAGATGAGCGTAGCCGCGGCGGCGAAGTCGTCTTCTACTTCGACCGAGCGCCCATGTCGAGGACGATGCGCGAATTCTGGGACTGGGTGTTCACTATCCTGCCACCCACTAGCCTTGAGAGGCGACGCGCTGCCCATCGAGCAGCAGTCGACGAGATCACCGCTCTCCGCCTAATGTGAAGCACGTCGATCCAAAGTGATAGATCAAAAGGAGGAAGCTGAAGGAGACACAGACTCGAGCTCAAGAAACCAGATAGGAGCAAAGAAAGGGGTCTCAGCGCCGCCAGTTTAGCTGAGCCAAGCCTCAACTCTCCGTTCCCCCGCCTACGACCAGCTTTTCATCGAGGCCAAGCTCGGAGTTGATGGGCTGCTCTTCACGTCGTCCGGAGGAAGCCTTCACCTTTACGACAAGATAGTAAAGACCATCCATAGGAAAGAGCGCGGCTACAAGGCGTCTGTGGGCAGACTAGCGTCCATCGCAAAGCTGCCGAAGCAAGAGGCGAAGAGACGGACGAAGTCAGCGGGCGCCGCCTTCCGAACCAAAGTGGGTGCCGAGGGATCTGGCTCAAACTCGACGTGCGCTTTTCGGAGGGGCAAGCTTCATTGGGAAGCATCGACCTTCGACTAGACGGAGCGACAGTGGGTGCCTTTCCAATACAAGAAACCCGCACCCACCCCGTACAAGAAACCCGGATTCGGCAAGCGCAGGACTGGTCCGGTAGAGGCTGGCCCTCTAATCGCCGTCTACGATGAGCTCGACGTTGCGCGTGGCAACAAGGGCGCGGCGCTCTCGACACCCCCAATGTTCGTTGCCAGCACACGCAAATTCTGCCTCTCTGGTGCGCAGTGGGCAAGAGCCAAGGAGAAGTACGGGCCAGGAAAGCTCAGACTCGTCATGATCTACGCATCTGGAGAAGTCTCGAGGTACATCCACTCCTCGGAAGCTGAGGTGCGCAGCGTCCTGCCTGGTCCCTTCATCGCGCCCTACACGACGGGCAGGGATCTGTGGGTGCGCATCGACGGGACGGGTGTCAAGAGGTCCAGCCAGCTCCGCCTGTGGGTCAGCGGCGATGGGGTGACGTGGCAGGAGAAGTGGGACTTTGGCCCACAGTCTGCTGCAAGGCGCGTGCTGCACGACGCCGTCCAATGCTCGCGGGCGGCATCCGAGGCGAGGACCAACGGAGGTGGCCTGTGGGCAGACGGCGTGCGGGCCGCGGACATGTGGTGGGATGGAGATTAGGTCGAAGCAGCGGCGGCCGAGGCGAAGGATGTAGAGGATGCAGGGAGCGGAGAGGCTGAGGCGGGCTCGACGGAGGCGGTTGACGGGCAGCTCCCGGTAGACGACGGCACCGACCGCCCCTCATCGGACCGGACTACCACGCCTGCATCGTCCCGGGCTCAGTCTTCGAGACGGTGGCCAACGGACACTGCGGGATCGACGCTGTGGCATCCCAAGTCCTCGGCAGGCAGGCCGACATGGACGACATCATCGACTTCCGGGAGCAGCTGCTCAACTTCGTTCCCGAGGAGTTGGCGTCTGTGAGAGCCCAGATCTTTCCCGACGGGGTGGTGCCAGCGGGCGAGGAGATGCGCAAGTTCCGAGAGCCGGCCGGCTGGGAGCGCCAGCTCAACATAGACACCATTGGGTGGATTGTGCGCTTCCTGGGTCGTTCGATCGTGGTCATCATCGAGGACAGCCGCCACAGGGCCTCGTCTCAAGTCTTCGAGGCACCGGAGCCCAACGGTCCGCCCATCGGCCTGCTGTTGCGTATGGAGCCCGTAGGACATTACCGGGGTTTCGAGGTGAAGGACGATGCCAGTCTGCTGCCTGTCATCCGCACGCCGATTGGGCCTGCCCCCTGAGAAGCGAGAGGGTGGCGATGTTGACTGAGGTGCAGACTAGGCGATGGCGGCCCGTGTCGGATGTAAATCTATTGCCATGCCGCGTCTCTTGTCCTCTGTGTTTCCTGTCTCCTTCTTTGCCTCGCATCACACCGCTTTCGCTCTTCTACCTCCCTTCGCACAGTCAAGGGGGGCCCTGCCCCTGGATGATGGCTATGTCAGGCGCCATCGATGAGGCTTCCTTGCACGATGTAGCGTCGCTCGCGTGGCTCCTTCCGTCCCGTGGCTCTCTGTCCGCTCTCCGAGGCTCTGTCCGCTGCACGGCGGAGAGGAAGCAGCCAGCCTTGTTGCTTTGCGCATCTCGCCATCACCAACCTCGAGGGAGAGTGTCATCCAGCCTTGTCCATCGGCATGGCTTCGCCGTCGAAGCAGGGCGAGCCTTCAAATGCTGCTGCGCCCCACGCTGCTGCCACAGATCGCGTCGAGGATTCGCCTCTCACATACAACGAGCTTGTCTCCTCGCTCATTCACTTCCTCGAGGTAGCCTTCCACTCGATCCTCCACCTCAGGCACGTCTATCCTCCCTCCATTTTCTCCCTTCATCGCTCTTACCAGATACCAGTACATCGCTCCCGCCACCCAGGACTCAACGAGTACATCAGCTCCATCTTGACCGCCGTGCGCGAGGAGTTGGACAAGGATGACGACGAGCAAGCAGGTGGGGTGCATAAGATCATTTTCGTCCTCTCGTCTGCCAGCACGGGAAAGACGCTGGAGAGATACATCTTCGAGCTTGCACATCTTCTGCCTCGTACGCTCCGTCGAGCCGATCGAGACCTGAGCATCAGAGGCAACGTAAGCTTCAGGCAGGTGCAGCTGTATTACCGCGCATTTCTCATGAAGCTCGTCGTGCTTGATGCGGCGCTGGAGGAGGTACATGATGAAGAGGACCTCACTTTCGCAGTCACGATGGTGATGAAGGAGGGCAAGATGCCTGGGCCTGGTGCCAGGGATAGAGATAGGCCGGACGAGGGAATGTGGGTGCCTGCGGACGACGCGGCGGGTACGACGAGTGCAAGAACGAAGGGCAAACAGAGGCAGGTGGACGGTGAGGTGCACGATGATAGTCAGGAGCTCCGAGCGAGGAGAAGCGCTGCGGAAGGGAAAGACAACGATGAACCCATCATCCTGCCAGTCAAGACGCTCGACTCGGGAGTCATCAACCTCATGCTCTACGTCGAAGACAATCCGTCCACGAAGGCAGCGCTCCGCCTCGCAGCCGCCTCAAGCCAATCCAATGGCGACCCACCAACACAGCGGCGAAAACAGGGACGAGGCGACAAGCAGCGCAGGCATCGTACACGCACAAAGTCAGGCGGTGGCGACCCAGCAACCCAGGGAGGCATCGATCTCGGCATGGACCTGGACGATACCGCTGGCCCGAGAGACATTGAAGAAGCCTTGCTCCGAGACGCAGCTGGCTTGCCCCCTTCTGGGCGCTCGCGCCAGCGCAAAGGTATAGCAAAGAGGCGGAAGAGCGGACGAGGTGGACGTAAGCAAGACGGAGGGGATGGGGGAGCGGCCGTCGCTTCAGATGAGGATCGTAGCGACTCTTCGGCCTCATCCTCGTCGGAGGAAGGAGGCTCTGCGGGCGGGAGAAGCAGTCGGAGCCCAAGTGAGGACGATAGAAGCGACGTCAGCATAGAGAGCGTGGGTGACTTTGCAGGCTATGGCGGGGCAGGGGCTGGGAGAGGCGGCGGCGGGATGACGGCTGGGTGGTGAGCGAGTGAGCCCTACGATAGCAGGAATCGTACGTGGTGGCTCGTAATTGCGATGCCCCAAGAGCTTAGCTTGCTGCTCTTCCTCTCCGTTGGCCTCGCATTGGCCTCGCATTCACCTCTCCAATCCAGCAATTACGACCACGACTGTGCCATACCCTAGAGTAGTCCCGCACCAGCCGCTCACCAAGGTGAAACACGACATCTACCGGTCTGTCTCAAACTCGGCCTCAAATCCGGGCCTGCCTGGACGGCCGTCCCTTTGTATTCCCCTCCTTCCTCATCTCCTGCCCCAACATCCCTCAACATGCCACCCAAAGCAAAGAGCGTCTCCGACCTCGCTCTCGAGCTACGAAGCGGCGAAATCGACTTCCGCAACGCCACGATTCAAGAATGTATTCGCACGGTATTGGCAGACTGGGCTACGAGCTCGAAGCGGACGGAGCCTTCCAAATTGCATCCGCTGGCGCCGTACATGCTTGATGGAGTAAGGAAGGGACTGGGGTTGGCGCCGCTCGCGGGAGGAGCCAGCAATACGAAGGCAACGACTTCAAATGCGTCAACGTCGAAGGCGCCCGCGGCTACTAGGAAGAGAGTGGCTCCTACTACCAAGCCGGCTGAAATTGCTAGCAAGGCCAAGAAGCCCAAGCCGGACTCGAAGGGCGGCAGCAGCAGCAGCGGGGTTGGACCTTCGCAATGGTACGAGCTGGGCTTCTACGCTCCTGCTCCAGGTATGCGCCCCGCTCTCGATGGGTGGGGTGCCCGATCGCCCCCTTCTGCGCCGAAGAGGGGTCCCAAGAAGGAGGACGAAGATGACTTCTATTCGGACGGATGGGGCTTGTGATGAAGGGGCAGGCGAGATGAGCGCGGAAAGGGCGTCGCGCGTGTGTCGCATGGTAGGCGTTCGTAGCAATAGTATCATCGCATTGCCCAGAATCAAAGACGTCAAAGGGAGACAAATGGACACTGGCTTGATTGCGAGAGCTCGCACACAGCAGTGTGGGCTTAGTGGGGAGAAGCAGCAGAGGGTGTTTCAGACCATGTACGGGCTGCGGTCAGCTTCCCCTGCGTGCCTCACCGCCATTCGACACAGCCTACTCACACTCTTCATCAATTCGGGCAATACTCTACATAATAGCCATCGTCATAGCAGTGGAATTTGCCCTCCACCGTACCGCCAGCACGCTCCAGGTTCGTGCAATTCTGGCAGTCCACCATTTTGCAGATCTTCCCCTTCTTCATCTTACTGGCAAAGGTCAGGCACGTAGACCAGATGGGCATGACGTTGGACACGTCTGCCTCGATTGGAGCGCCTAGACCGCGACAGTAGGGCTGGCGGTAGCATTTTCCCACCATCTCCGCATTGAGGGGATGGAGGAGGGTGAGTAGGAAGGTGAGGGCAAGAAGGCTAAGGCGAGCAAAGATTGGAAGGTCTAGGGTGGGCATCGCGTTTTTGTGGAATGTGAAGAGGAGAGAGGCAAAGCTGGAGGCAGCTGTGTCGCTCTTGAGCTTGTAGGGAAGTCAGTTGAGGGCAGTCATGGTTCACTCTCATGCCGTTCTTCGGCCATCTCGTAACCACGGGCCGCTCACGCGCTACCGCCATCGGCTGGACCAATATCGACGCCTCGGGCCGCCGCCCCCGACCAATGAAGCGCACGTCGTTAGCAAATCATGACATGGGCAACATGTGTATTGTTCTCCCATCAGAGCTGTCAGGCAGTGTGACGCCGATCTTCGAAGTAGCCGTCCCCTCTCACTGACGATTGCATGCGTGGCATCAGAGTACTGTACTGCGCGCCTACACGACGCGTCCGCATCACGACACTCACCGTCTTAGAATCCAGAAGGGCAATACTGAACAAATTGCCCCCCGACCGTGCACATGGCTCCGAGCAAGGGCACACACTGGCCGCAGTCGGCCGAGTGGCATAGGTAACCACCCTCTGACCAGGTTGCGTAAAAAGAGTAGCAAGGCACGGTAATGTCTTTGTGCAGGGAAGTGTTGGTCTTGATGGGTATGGCCTCCGTAGAGCTGCACTCGTGTCCGGCGTGACAGTACCCAATGAGCGTCTCTTCGCAGGCGTGGATGGCGTAGGAGAGGGAGAGCAGGACAGCGAAGCTGGCGAGCAGCCAGCGGATGCAGAGGATTGCGAGCATGGGATGCGAGGGCGAGGCAGTGAAAGAGAGATGACGGTAGAGCGCGAGGCAAGACGACTGGATATATGAAGGGCTGAGAACCGTCCACGGTCATGTGTAGAAGTCTGCGGTAAGACTACGATGGGGAAAGGTGAACGAGGATGAACGCTTCGGCTGATTCAAGTCACGCGTCACGCTGACCTACATTGGATCCTCCGATATCGCCAACCTCAAGGACACCATTGCGCATAGTCGCCGTCTATGAAACACTTGCCCGGATCCATGGCCGAGCAGCCATCGCAGTCAACGCGATTGCAGAGGGATCCGAGCGGAGAGAAAGCGACGAAGGACTTGCAGTAGGGGGGCAGATTTGCCACCTGGGTGAGCATCGTCTTCACTGGAGTGCCTTGCCCAACGCAGTTCGCTTCGATATGGCAGCGTCCAATGGTATGTGCGTGGGTTGCATTGCCGGCCATGACGTGCAGGGGACTGAGGTCAAGGAGGTACGGTACAGTGGCGAGGGCGAGAAGCTTCATGGTCTGACTAGAAGGACTAGCAGGGAAGAAGGACTTGCGGAGCTTTTTGTAGGCGTACAAGGGCCATTTTGAATGGATGTGAGCTAACCCTAGGATCTGCCGTCAGCTCATCTACAGCAGGGCAAGGGCTTCAGCAAGGTCGACAGCAAGACGACGGCGGGATCCGCAGGCGGTGGAGTTGCGTCTCGCAAAAGCAGTGATGCTGCAATGTGACCTGCGTTCAAGATGCTTCCGGGCGAAGAATGTGCCGCAGTCGCAGACGGGATCGCCGTCGAATGTGCATCATGCGTATTGTTGCGAGAATCAGAAGTGAGAGCAGCGCCGTTTCGCCTTTCCTTTCTGCCATAACGGCCACGCGTGCTTACCTAATCCCCCGCGCTTTGAGATTGCCGATCGATTGCGCTAGCTAGTTGCCGGCGGCCCTGAGACCGGCCCAACCTGATTCTTCCCGAGGGAGTGGCATGAGCCGACGCCGACCCATGAAGTGACTGCTCTCGCTCTCTCCCTCCCCCTTTCCACCATCCTCAACACCACAATGACAGCATCGACAGCGCCGTCTTTTGCCAAAGCGCTCAAGGCCGTCGAGGGTCTGTACGTCACCGATTATTCTACCCACGATCTACGCTTCCCAACCTCACTGAGCGGCGATGGGACAGACGCAATGAATACTACGTGCGACTACTCGGCCGCCTACGTGGTCTTGTACGTGGGTCCAAAGGGTACTCCGAGAGCTGAACCGCCATCGAGTATCGATCAGCAGCAGCAGGAAACCGCTTTTTTGCGCGGTCACGGTATGACGTTCACCATTGGGCGAGGAAATGACATCTGCTGCCACGCCATCGAGTCGATCTGCTCCGGCATCCTCTTGGGCTCTTCGCTCACGGAGCTCTTCAGCGACATGGGTGCGACATGGCGTCAGCTGGTCGGAGACCCGCAGCTTCGTTGGCTCGGGCCGGAGAAAGGCGTCATCCACCTGGCGACAGCAGCCGTCATCAACGCGCTGTGGGACCTTTTCGCTCGCGCCGAGGGCAAGCCCTTGTGGCGTCTTGTGAGCGACATGACTCCGCAAGAGGTTGTGGACCTCATTCCATTCCGTTACATCACTGATGCGCTGACGAAGGAGGAGGCGCTGGCCATTTTGCAAGGCAATGCGAGCAGCAAGACAGACAGACGAAAGCATATGGAATCGCGAGGCTACCCGGCATATACGACCAGCGCCGGGTGGTCAGGATACGATGACGACAAGGTCCGCAGGCTCACGAAAGAGGCGCTCGCAGCAGGCTTCACCCACTTCAAAATCAAGGTCGGCACCTCTCTCGAAGCCGACAAGCGTCGCTTAGCTCTGGTGCGAGGCATCGTTGACGATCCAGCCCAGATGCCAGCAGGCTACGTCAAGCCAGCAGCGGAGCGCCTCGTAGGCAAGAATGCGAGCGAGCGCACAGGCTGCGTAGTCATGATCGACTCGAATCAGGTCTTCGACGTGCCCGAGGCGATCGAGTACGTCTCTGCACTCAAGGAGTATCGTCCCTGGTTCATCGAGGAGCCCACAGCGCCCGACGATGCGCTAGGTCATGCAGCTATTCGCAAAGGACTGGCGGAGCATGGCATTGCCGTAGCTACGGGCGAGCACGCTCATTCCCGAATCGTCTTCAAGCAGCTTCTCCAGGCAGACGCCATTGACGTCGTTCAGATCGACTCGTGCCGACTGGCGGGCGTGAATGAGGTGCTGGCAGTCATGCTCATGGCCAAGAAGTTCGGCAAGATAGTGAGCGGCGTGACGGCACGATGAGTACTTCCCGCCCTTACTGACAGCTCTTGCATCCTCATCCTCGGCGCAGGTCTGCCCACACGCAGGCGGCGTGGGCCTTTGCGAGTACGTGGTCCACCTCAGTATGATCGACTACGTCTGCATAGCAGCCAACCACGACCGCAATGTCTTGGAGTGGGTTGACCACTTGCACGAGCACTTCGTTGCCCCGGTCAGCGTGGACAGCCGCGGCAGCTACGTTGCTCCAACGCAGCCTGGCTACTCGATTGAGATGAAGCAGGAGAGCATCGAGGATTATGCGTATCCGAATGGATCGTACTGGAAGACCGGGGAGGCGCGCATCCCTCCGCCAGTGCATGCACTTTGAACGCTTGCAATGCGATTCGCTGATTGCGTGGTGATAGAGAAGATGACGAGCTCGCAGACGTACGTTTCAACGCGAAGACCCATGATTGAGATTTCGAGGGATATTTCGGGTAGGGCCATGCTTGCACGCGTCATGACGTCACGCGTGGCCGTGAACCCCCTTCGCAGCATCAAACTCAGCTTCTCGAGACCAACTCCAACCCAGGCCAGCCAGCGGAGTCTGCATTAGAGTCGTAGCTCGCGCCCGTGCGCTTCTTTCCTTCCTACCTTATCACTCACGAAACACACACACTTCGAGACTCCAACACATCTCAACCGCATCATCATCATGTCTAGCGCAGCTCAGAACACCGCCAACGTCGCCAAGGATCAGGCCGACAACATCCAGAAGCAGGTGTGTGCGCTCCTTTGCCTCACGTTCGCTACTCGTGTATGCTGACCAGTCTGCTCTGCTTCTTTGCGCTCACAAGGCATCTGACCTCGCCTCAAACGCGCAGGCTCAGGGTGACTCGCTCGTCAAGCAAGCCACTGACCTGGCCACCAACGCCTACAACTACGCCGCCCAGCAGGCTGGCATTGCCGGCCAGAAGGGCAGCGAGGCCGCCGACCAAGCCAGTAAGGCCGCCTCGGACGCCTCTGCCCAGGCTCAGGGCGTCGCCAACTCGGCCTCCAAGGACGGTCAAGCTAACGCCGAAGCCGCTCAGCAGACCCTCGGTGACCTCGTCAACCAAGGTCGTCAGCTCGTAGCCAACGCCCTCGACTCGGCCAACTCGTATGTCAAGCCAGGCCAAGAGGGAGCAGGAGACGGTGTCGTCGACAAGGCAAGGGCTCTTGCCTCCAACGTCGTCGACCAGGCTTCGTCCATTGCTCGTGGTGCTCAAGAGCAGGCCTCCGAGGCTGCCGGCACCGCTTCGCAGCAAGCATCGCAGGCGGCCAACGATCTCTCCAAGCAGGCAAAGGACGCCAGCGCTCAGGCTCAGGGAGCCGTCGCCGGTGCCACCAAGTAGAGCATGTCCAAGGAAGCTTTTTCAACTCTTTGCCTAGTCTCTCATACCCCTTTACGGATTGACAATGACATCTATTTCGAAACGTGATGCGACTGCACAGCTCGCCTACAGCGACGCCTTCATCATGTCGGGACGCTCCGATACAATCTCCTCCCACATTCCTTGACCATAGTCGCCCCTTTGAATCCTCTCACGTAGCGTCTGGAAGGCTGTGCCTCCCTCGCTTGTGGCTCTTGGAAGCGTTGGGCCCGTTGCGGGCTTGTCGTCCCAGTCGGCCATCGTGCGGCGCAGGCGAGCTCTAGCTGCCCCTTCTTCGAGGTCCTTTCTCAAAGCAAAGGACAGTACCGTGGTCAGGGTCTTGGCATTAGGCCGAGGATTTGATCCCACCAGCATAGCGTCGAGCCCTTGGTCACCCAGGGCTTCGCTCAGCCGGCCACACCGACATAGAAACTCGAGCCACGATGTCCAGACATTGACGTTTCGCAGCTTGTCATCGACCTGCCTTCCTTCGTCGAGTCGACCGACCAAAGCCCAGGCACGTCGACCCGTCTCCTCTTCACCGCACCAGCCTTTGGCATCAAGAAGAATGGAGACGATGGCTGAATTGATGGCAGGGCGATCGGCCGCAGGCAGCCGCGCAGAGACTCCTGTAAAGTCAAGGCGCTGCTGTTGTTGTTGTTGCTGCTGCTGCTGCTGGCGCGGAAGAGATCCTGCGCTGTTCGATGTAGAGTTTGAAAAACCGGTCTCTCGGTTTCGCTCGTTGATAGTCGACAGTAGCAGCCCCTGCCAGAGCTCAAAGACCGTCGCGTAGTCACCGATTCGATTGCTTGCCTCCATGTAGGCTCCGATGACAGGGGTGTCTGGTACCACAGAGTGTAGGTGAAAGACGCCCAATCGGTGAATGGCGGAGGAGAGAGATGCATGATCTGGAGGAGGATCGGAGTGCCAGTGCCAGCACCGCATGACAATGTAGTCTCGGAGGTCTTCCTTAGTCGTCATTCTCATGCGATAGTGCGCGCTGTAGGTAGCCAACTGAGCAAATTGCGTCAACAGAGAGATACAGCTTCCTGAGGCCCTCGCAGATCGATCGGGCTTGATGGTCCTCAGGATGCAGTCTACAACGATGCTCAGAGGAGCAAGGGGCAGTGCTACGTACTTGTGCCGAGGAGGCAGCGCAAAAGGCGCTTCGCGCCAATCTCTCGACGGTGATCCCTCCGACTTGAGCCCTCTTCCTGCGAGAGCCATTGCAATGTCCCTAAGGGCCCCATTATGGATGTCGTCCAGCCAGCTGCTCCAGGCTACACGAGTCGCCGTAGACGCGGCCAGTCGACTCGCAGAATTCGGTCTGTGCAGATCTACATCCCGATCCTTGCTCTGCCCGATCAAGAGGTTCCAGAAGTCCAGCGCTTCCGTGAAGTCGTCTTCGCTTGTGGTGTGTCGCCCTTGCTCTGCAACGCGACGGCGACCATGAGCTGAAAGGCCGACAAGAATCTTGACGGTGTAAATCTGACGGTCCAGTTGAGAGAGACTACTGCCTCGCCCTTGTGCAATGAGATCCTTGACAATTTCAATGGCGTACTGCAGCTCCGGGCCTTCTGGAGGTGGTCCGTTCGGATCGTCTCTCTTCAAGAGGAAGTCGAGCAGAGATTTGGCAAGCGCTGCGGTCTGTTGGAGAGATTGTATCGAATCAACCTCATCATCTGCATTGACAGTCGAGGAGACCTCGCTCGGCCGTCGAAAGAATGCCAGACGGCTCAGGGAGCGCCAGCCATGACCACTCACCACGGGCCTGGTCGTGTGACTGGCTTGCGTTTGGCGATAGATTTCCATGGCCCTTTCGATGCGAGGCGGAAATTGGCAGAGGAGGGCATCGATCAGGGGCGGTGCGAGGGCAATAGCAGGCTTTGAGGCCCGAATGGACGCCTCGTAGAGCAGACTTGCTTCATAGAGTTGAATCAAGTCGGGGCCCTTGAAAGGAGCCTGAGATTGAGTAGCAGAAGGAGCAGTGAAGCGGGCAGCCCTGCTTCGATACTCGTACGGTCGCATAAAGGCTCGGTGAGAACCAAGCAGAGCTTCGATGGCGTGTCTCCATGACAAGGCGCCGCCACTGAAGCCGAGGTCGTCGATGGATCGGAGAAGCTGCTGGTAGCCCTCCGCGTGCTGGTGGGCGCTAGGGACGCCGCGTTCTACCTGAGCTCGGAAGAGTATGGAGTGAAGAATGCGGTCGAGGCCAGCGATACGCGGCACTTCTTCCTTGTGTAAGTCCTTAGCCCATGCAACTAGGTCCGGATCGAGAGCCGGGAAGGATGAGTCAGGTGTCTTAGCCCGCGGTGCTTTGAGAGCTCGCCAGGCCACGACAGCTAACCAGGCCTTCTCTAGCAACTCCTCCCGATCTCCGACGCCTTGCTCTTGCATTCGAATGGTGTTTCGCCGTATCAGTGCATCTACGCCGAGGGCCAATGGCACGATCGCTGGATCTTTCGCCCACCCCTCTGCTGCTCGACAGAAGTTTGCTAAGAGCGCGGTGCGGAGTGATAGCGTTGCGAAGGAGCAGCTGGGATCTTTTTGGCGGGACAGTGCCTGTATCAAAGTCGATTTTCCTCTGCGGCGATCCAATAGACTAGGCGAGGAAAGGAGTGACACGCAGAGACGCAGCAGAATGCGCGAGTCTCGCTCGTAAAGAGTTCTATGCTCGTTCTGGCGTCTTGCGATCTTCGCTAGGAATGCAGTGGCTTTTGTGTCGTGATGTTGTAATAGATAATCATTGATGGCCTGATGGGTTGTTGCGCGCGGATACCAGCTCGGCCATAAGCGCCGGCACGACACCAAGGCTCTGACCGCTTTCATGGATTGAGGTGGGGCGTCGGCTTCGCCCAACCGCGAGCAAGCAGAGAAGTAGAGCTGCAAAGCCTCGTCGATGTTGATCGTCGCTTCCCTTTGGTTTACGCCGAGACCTGCAGTCCATCGGCTGAGCGACGCCTCGAGCTCGTCGACGGCCCGACGACATGCTTCTTTGTTGCCTTGAAATTCCAGAGGAGCGCCAGCAGTGTCCACCTCTCTTTCTTTCCCCTTCCCCGTGTCATCGCTTTGTCGATTCCAGGCATCAGGATCGGACCGTGACGGCGGCCGCGGGACACACATATCGTTTGCAGTCAAAGCGCTCATGCTGCGCAGTGAGGACGCAAGGGCAGCGAATGAGCCCCGCGGATCCAACGAAGTGGCCTTCGAAGAGCGAGTCGGCGTATCGCTAGGTGATGAAGAGGGACCTGCCCCTTCTACATTGGATGAGTGCCAGCCTGAAGCCGAGTCTTCGTAGGACTTCTTGCGGTCCGATGGCAAGCGAGGTGTTCCGGCTTTGACACGGGGGTACTCGACTCGGTATAAGGACGAAGCTGAACTGTTGGGAAGCCTCGAAGACGCAAGCCGGCTTTCATGGTGGCTGCTCGTCGTTGCGGCGGCTCTCGAAGGCGAAGATGACTGGTGCAACTCCTTCGCATGCGCCGTCGGCGGCTTGCCCTCATCTGCAGCGACTTTGGATGACCGTGACGATTCTGGGGTCTCCGCTGCGGCAAGTTTGGCAGCCGATCGAGCTGGCCTTCTCTGAACGATTCGATGACCGTCACCGCTTTTGCTACTAGCAGATGGATCCTGAGTGGGAGCCATGCGTGCAGCACCTTCTCGCGATCCAGAATGTATGCTGCGCCTCGCCGCCCAGGCTCGCAACATCAGACCGTGAGGGACACTCATGTCGCCGCTCCGCTATGTGTATATGTGGGAGACATGTGTGGGTTCGAGGCGTACAGAGTGACGTAGAAGAGGGAGGGAGAGTCCAATGGGGTGGGAAGAAGGCAAAATGCGCGAGAAGTAGGCGGGACAACAAGAACGCAACCAAGCTCGCTCTCAGTCCGCCTGCGACACGGAAGAGACGAACAAAGGGACGCAGCCTCGCGAAAGATGTGATGGGAGAAGCCGGTCATGCGAAGAGCTCATTGTGGTGTTAAACGCTCGAGGTCATCAAGACCGCCTGCCAAACGTCATGTCTTGCTATTGTACATGTTATCGCCCGCTCTTACACCTAACTTCCCTCTGATGAGCTTGTTGGCTGCCCTCCGGACAGAACGTTCCCGCTGGCTGGCATGCAGAGCAGCCTGCCTTTCATCGGCGACTCTCTGCCTGCTGTCCACCACCTTTTGATCATCTCAGAGTGGCAGCAGCCTTGCTCGTCACCCCAGTGCCCTCTACTCCCTCCGTCTGACGCCCAAGCTTCCCCTCTGCCACCTCATTCTTCCTCTTCTCCTCTTCCAGCACCTCGGCCAGACTCTTCTTTTCTCTCTGCTCCATGTTTACTCTCCCAAACAACGCTCCTGCGGCTCCTGCCGTTCCACTCGAAGAGTTAGGCACTCCAAGGAACCGCCTCACAGGAGAGAAGCAATGCTCCCTGTTTCCGTAGTCTGCCCACAGGATGAACCACGCCCCCGCGCCCAAGCTGGCGGCTCCTCCTAACAGCTGAGAATATCTTTGCCATGGAGCGGGAGGTGGACCTTGCTCTCCTAGGTCTGGACGGGTGACTCTTCTTCGATAGACATCTTCGCGGGGGTGAAAGCCGGAGGAGGAGTTGGGTTGGGCGACTGCTTGCCGCGGTCGAGGGACGGGTGTGCGGGATTGCGGGGCCTGCCAGATAGAGGGCTGAGATGCTGGTGACGATGACGAGGAGGGCGTGGGTATCGGTGGCGGTTTGCGTGACATCGTTGGCGAATTGAGCGGGAGAAGTAATGGTAGTAAGAGATCGAGATTCAATGGACGCCGCTTGAGAAACGCAATTCAACGCTTCGCGCTTCCGCTCCTCGTCCCGCACTTTTTTGCCTTCCCTGCCACTCCCATCATCTGCATACAGCTGCCGAGATGGCATCATCGTCTAAGCAGACGCTGGACATCAAGCTCGAGTTTGGGTGAGCGGACGACAACGCTTGGTGTCTCAGCATAATTAGATCGCTGATACTACCCCGTGGTTTGCCATCAGCGGCGGCACCGAGCTCCTCCTGGCCCCACCTCGCAATAAGAAGCAACGCATCTCCCTCCCAGCACGCGCAGACCCCGCTACTCTCCATAAGACGCTTCGCCAACAGCCAGTAGTCACTATGCCGGCAGATGAGGGCGCAGCCAACGGTGTGAGCTCGTCATCAGCGAAGGAGGCGGGTCCGGCGGACATGCGCTTCCTCGTGCAGTGGATCCGCAATCACCTCATCGTAGAGCGCGAGGAGCTGTTCGTAAACACAGATGGGGAGGGAGTGTAAGTGCGCCAGAAGCCCATCGTACTTAAGTTGACGATGATGCTGACTCTCCTTCTTCCTGCGATTTGTCAGACGGCCGGGCATTCTCGTTCTCATCAATGACGCCGATTGGGAACTCGAGGGCGAGCTCGACTACGAGCTGCAGGATGGCGACGAGGTCTGCTTCATCTCTACGCTTCACGGTGGCTGATCGCAGCACATACATCATGACAATCGCTGATAATATAACTTTCTGAAAGAGTCCACGACATGCGATTGTCCGACTTCTACTCGTCATTCTCGCTCTGCTCGTCCTCATCTTCCTCCATCGCATCATCACCGTCCTCCTCGTCTCCGCCCTTCGCCCTCTTGACCTCCTCAACGAACTTTCTCGCCCTCTCCAGCACCGCCCTCTCTCCCTTTGCGTCTCCCTTTGCCTTCTCGAAGTCCAGCCACTTCTTCAGCACGCTCCTCGCCTTCTTGGTGCTCAAACGCCTGCCCTCCAACACCCTCTCGAACAACGAGCGCGCTTCAGCCACATTCCCCGCTGCGGCTTCCTGATCAATGTACTGCCACCACAAGTCGAGACGCTTGGGGTAAGAGTCGACCAGGCCCTCGTAGATGGTACGGCCTCGCTCGATGTCCCCTCCCTGGTGCTTGAACTCGTTGAGCGCAAAGCGGGAAATGACGGCTACGTGCTTGGACTTGTCTAGCGCCTGCAATGCGCGAGGGAGCAGAGCACGAGCATCGTCCCCTTTGCCCTCCTGACGAAGCAGGAACTGCGAGCAGAGTACCCAGACGTCCACGTCTGCCCCACCAAAGCGCTTCGTCGTTCTTGCCCAAAGCTCTTGCGCCTCCTGCACCTTACCCGTCTGCTCGAGAATCGAGGCCAGGCGCAGATGCATCGTCTTGGCATCATTGTACTGGACTGCCTCCTTGAAGAGCTCCTCGAGGGCCTCGGGCGTACCGTAGCTGTTCTCGAGGTTCAGCAGAGCGATCCATACGTTTTGCTTCTCAGCCTCTTCGCGGTAATTGATGACCTTGAGCGCTCGACGACCTACAGCGCGTGCCTTGGCCACCTCGGAGAGCTGGAGGTGGAATGACATGAACTGGATCCACAGGTAGGACGAGTTGGGCGAGCTCAGAAGCATGCGCTCGAAGTCCGTGGCGGACTCGGGAGCTTTGTTGGCAAGGTCGGCCGTCAGATCGTCCTCGAGAGGACGGAGGGCGCCACGCTTGACTCGAGGCTTCTTGGTGGTGGCGGTCGACTTGGCGGCACCGTCTGCTTCGTCGTCTTCGTCGCTACTGTCGCTGTCGCTGTCAGCGTTGGCCTGCGCGGCTCCTTCGGGTGCTGACCACGAGAAACCGCCAGAGAGTTCCAAGGCTGGGCGCGGCTTGCCAGCGGCGGTCGCAGTAGCGGATGTCGAAGCCTCTTCCTCCTCATCGCTGTCGCTGCCATCCTCACCGTCCTCATCGTCCTCGTCCTCGTCATCTCCATTCTCATCGTCGTCTTCGTCTTCGTCCGAGTCGCCGCCAAGCTTGAGCACGTCCTCTTCGTCGTCGCTGCCACGGGCAAGGAGAGCCTCGGTGTCGATCTCGATGTCCTCATCGTCATCCTCATCGTCGTCCTCCTCGTCCTCCTCGTCCTCATCCTCTTCCTCATCTTCATCGTCCTGCTCATCGGCGTCGGACATCTCCTTATCCTCATCGTCCTCATCCTTCTCATCCTCCTCCTCGTCCTCCTCGTCTTCATCCTCTTCATCCTCCTCAAAGTCCTCCTTACTAAAGTACGAGGGCTTCAATCCGAAGTCGACTTTGCCCCTCTTCCCCTCCCCACCCTTGTGTACGTCAAGCACGAGCGCCTTGACTCGGTCGCCCACGCTGAACGCCCTCGTGGGGTCCGTCGTTCCCGCATGGTCGCTGAGCTGGCTCTTGTGCGCCAGACCGCTGATCTGCGTACCCTCGATCTGCACAAAGACGCCATACTCCTGCACAGCGCGGATGAAGCCGTTGACCTTCATTCCCTTCGAGAGGTCCTTGAGGCGGAGCGGCTGGGTTGAGGAACCAGCTTCGTCGGCCTTGACCTTCTGAAGCTCTGCCTTCTTGTCCGCCTTCTTTTTCTTGCTCTGCCCGGGGTTTGTCCTCAAGCTGAACTCGGCCTTGTTGTTCGCCGCATCCACAGCGGTGACGGTGCCTTCAACAAGCTGGCCAACCGTGAAACGTGGTTGCCAGTCCTGGACAAAGTCGTCGAAGAGCTCCGAGATCATGACGCGCGCCGTCGCATTGCGGCCAAGGTCGACGAAGAGGCCAGCAGCGGTGACTGCTTTGACGAAACCACGCGCCTTGGTGCCGACGGTGAGATCGGAGCAGAGGTCGATCTCGGAGTCCTTGATATCGGCCGCAGCATCCGGGGTGAGATGGCTTGGGCGGGTGCTGATGTTGGCTCGCTTGCCGAAATTACGCAGACGTACGACGTAGACCTGTAACTGCTCGCCGTTGTTGGGAATAATTGCTTTGCTGAAGTCGTCGCTAACGTCGGTGAGGTGGAGTCTTGCGCGGCAGTTGCCACCAGCGAGGGCGATGGTGACCGTGTTCGGCTCACCACCTGCTCCGCCCTGCACCATGCCCGTCTGGATCGAGCCAACGTTGAGTGGCTCGCCCAGAGCTGCAGTACGCGGCTTCTTCAAGGGCTGCTTCGCGTCGCCAAGAATGACGATACCACGGTCGGCGTGCTTGTCCACTACCACAAGATCGCCGAGCGTCTCCCCATCCTGCAGTGCCTCCCTTACCTCCTCTACAGTCTGGTCACGCTGATTCGCAAGCACAGCGAGCGAGTAGAGACCGCGCACCTTGCTGGGCTGTACCTCCAGCACAACCACGTCCTGATGCACAGCAGCGACTGTAGCCGTGACCTTTTCGCCGACCTGCACAGCAGCCACGTCCATTTTGGCCAGGTAGCTCGGACTGGCCTGCTTGACGGACGCCAGGAGCTTGTGGTTCTCGTAGTCCACGTGTGTGAGACGAAGCTTGACGACTTTGCCCTCGAAGAAGTGCTGAGTCAATGAAGGAGCTGACGAGGAGGAGAGGAGGGAGGACTCGGTTGCTTCGGAGGCGGGAACGAAGGCGCGCAGCCCACCGAACAGGTCGACGATCATGCCGCGGTTCTCCACGAACTTGGATACGGTTCCCTGTGTGACGACTCCCACGCGGGCGTCTTGGAGGCTGGAAATCATGGGCAGCTCCGACGTGACGAGTGATTTCTTGAGCGTGCACACGATGCGGTTGCGCGCCGAGTCCACGTTGAGCACCCGAGCCTTTACGGTGGCGCCCGGCTTGTACTTCTTCTCTGGCTTCTTGAGCACCACGTCTGCGAAGTGCAGTGGGAAGACTACGCCCTCGAATGCTCCACCCAGGTTCAGGAAGATGGCCGACCCGTTGGCTCCGATGCGATTGATGCTCGCGCGCACCGTCGAGCCCACCTCGACCTCGTTGACGCGCATGAACTTCTTGTCAAGGGTGCTTTGCTGCAGGCTGAGAAGGAGCAGGCGATCCGTAGGTGCGTGACCAATGACACGGGCTTCGTGGGTCGTGCCGAGCGCAAAGGGACCGGAGCGTGGAGGAAGCTTGACGACGTGGTCGTCCGACACGCGAGAGATGTGGACGAAGGCCATGCTGCTGCTGTTGGCGCCCTTGACGGAGCAGGTCAGGCCCCAGTCTGAGTCTGTACGTGTGACTTTGGCTTCGACCTTGGCGCCGATGGGGTATTGCCCTTGGAGCGAGGCTGACTCGCCGCTGCTCATGGCGAGGACGTGCGGAGCCGCGCTGAGGGCGACTGCGCGAGGACCCGACGTTTCCTGATTGGCCTCGGCGCCCATCGCTCCCATCTCGTTCTGGCGTGCCTCCCAAAGGATGCGGCCCTTGACCTTGCTGCCGACCTTGTAGACTTCGTGCATCTCCTTGCCCGCTGGCAGGGCCGCAGGAAGATGAAAGCTGTCGATCGTAGCGTCGAACATGCCCCAGAGCTTTACATTGAGGCCATGGGGGAGCGCAGCAGTCACAAGAGCGGTGACTTGGCAGCCAGGAACGAGAGCAGTTGAGGATGGAGCTGACTCGGGTCCAAGGATGGCAGCCTTGACAGCTGCGGCCTTGAGGCTCGCGGTGAAAGAGCGGCCTTGCGAAGCGACGGATGTGATGGCCGCGTCGATGACTTGACCGAGGTAGAAGGATGAGGCGTCCACCTGGTCGAAGGGGGCAAAGCCCTGCACTCCCTCGATTCCAGCATCGAGGAGGAAGCCGTGGTCTTCACGGCTCTTGATGGCGACTGGCAAAACGAATCCCTTGGCCAGGTCACCCTGCTCCACACCTTCGTTAATAGCCTCTGGCGCCAATGTGAGTTCAACACGGCGCGACTCTCGGTCGTACTCGTGCGCCTCCTGGCCAGGGACTGCTCCCTTCTTTACTCCAGCACCGAATACGTTGACGACTGCAGCGCGAACCCACTGCCCGACCTTGAAGCAATCTCGCAGCTCGGGTAGTCCCGATGCCAGTCGAGCTTGACGTTTCGAGCTAGCAGCAGCCTTCTCTTCGTCGTCGCTGTCCTTGTCCTCCTGTTCGTCATCTGAGTCCGCCTCCGCAGCCTCGTGGAGCTTCTGGGTGAAGAGCGGGCTGATGGATGTAATCGGTACGTGTCCTACGAGCTGGTTGGGAAGGGAAAGGATGAGAGCAAGCGGATGAACAGCTGCGATGGAGCAGAGAAGACGAGTCCCAGGAGCGAGGCGCTGCGATCGATAGAGCAGGGAAGAGAGGTCAGTTCCATGTATGCTGGCACAAGGCATCGCTAGCGCTCACCTTGTAGTTGAGGTGCTCAATACGAATGTGATCTTTGCTGGCTTTGCTCTTGTCCGGCTCCTCTGTCACCAAGCTGACCTTCTTCTTCTTGGCATTGTTCTTCTCTCGATTCATCTTCCTCTTTGCGTCCTTCCTCTTCTGCTCGTCCTCCGGGCTCAACTTCGCCTTTGCGGACGTCTTGTTGTCGCTGAACAGGTCATCGCCACCTCTTGATGACTTTGCGAGCTCTGCTCTTGCCTCTCGGAGAGTCGAGGCATGCTCGAACTGTGTGAGGCCACTGCCCCCTCCTCTGGGGAAGTCGACCTGGGACGAGTCGACGAGGGTTGAAGGAGGAGCAGCTGCCGGGGCTGCATCTGATCGAGCCTTCTTCTTTGATGTTGAGGCCTCAGATGATGAAGCTGTGGGCTTTGATGAGCCCAGTGAGGGCTTTCTCTTGAGCCCTGGCATCGTGGCGGTGATGTGGTGATGGTGGTGGTTGGGTGCGAAGCAACTTGATCGTCTCGCAGCCCGTCCGAGCAAAAGTGCGGCGGCCGTCAAAAATTTCAGAGGCGGACGACGAGAGAGACGGAAGCGCGACTCGAGGCAGGCATCCGCCGCTTGATGCTCCTCAACCATTCGCCATAGCATACATTGAGACATGGCGGTGATCAAGGCAAGAGGCAAAGGTGTGAGGCCCCAGAAAGGTGGCAAGAGGGCTCAGGAAGCTAGCGCAATCACGCAAAAGGGCAAGCAGAGGCAGATGGACGAGACAGAGGCTGAGGACGAGTCCGGCGCCGAGGAGGCTGCGCCCATTGACTTCGACAAGATCGCTAAGAAGATGGTGAGCAGCATCACCAAGGGCAGGACCAACGAGTAGAGAGGGAAGTCGCTGAGCGATCCGCATAATCCTACTCCTTTCGCCGCAGCACCATTCGCTTCGTCAGCTACACTCAGCAGCCAAGCGCAGCAAGCAGTTCGAGATCCAGCGCCTCGTCAAGCGCATCAAGGGCGGCGGGCCATCCAGCAAAGCAGAGGCAGGCGAGGACCTCGAGGAGCAGCTCACCGCACTGAAGGAGATCGACCTGGATAGCATTGCCTCGGCAGCATTGCTGGCGAAGCTGTCAAAGGGCAAGCTACTTCCAAAAGGAGCAGCTGCAGAGGGGCTGAAGACAGATGAGGCACGGCAAGCTGCGAAAGGAGTCGACGAGTGGCCGCTGCTGCATGGAGTTTGGAAGGAGGAGAGCCTGGCGAAGACTTGGACTGTTGGCTCACGAGCTGGCGATGAGCAAGCTGCAAGTTCTCCAGAGAAAGTAAAGGCCAGGTTGATGAGCAGTAAGGTCCTGGCAGAGGAGACGGCCAAGGCGGTCGAGGGACTGAGCAGACTTGTTGGTAAGCACGGCGATGCTACTATTGCGCAAGTTGGTACAGAAACTTCGACATCAGAAGTGGGCAAGTCTACTGCTACTACTCAGCTGGACACGAAGGCGCCGAAAGCAGCCAAATCTACTGCGATGGCTACAGCTGCTCAGGATGCAGAACGTGAATGGTCTGGCTCAGAGGAGGACGAGGACGACGACGAGGAGGAGGACGCAGAAGGCGCACATGCCTCCGAAGGCTCATCTGTGCAGAATGAATCAGACGACGAGGGTCTCGATGAAGCGGCGATACAAGAGCAAATCGCTCAGCTGGGCGATCTCGATCAGTGGGATCACCTCATCGGAGGCAGTGAGAGTGAAGGGGGCGAGGACGATGAAGCGGCTGACGACGACAGCGACAGTGAAGAGGAAGAAGCGGTCGCTACGCCGACGAGTGCAGCAGCAAAGAAGCGAAAGAGGTCTGCCTCACCGGTAGTGAAGCGACTTAAGGCCAACAAGAAGATCGCCAATGATGTCAAAGCTCCGCAACCCGCCTCAAACGACGATTCGGCCTCCAGCGAGGAAGACGACGAGGACGATGCCTCAGACGCAGAGTCCGACGCATCCTCGTCTTCTTCATCCTCCTCTCGATATCTCCCCACCCTCTCACACGGCTTTGTAACCCACTCCCTTCGCACACGCGACGATGACTTCTCGGGCGGCGAATCAGACGATGACTTCGAGGAGGATGTGGAGGACAATCTGCCCCAGGGCAAGGGTACGAAGGCTTCCGCAGGCCAGCAGAAGAAGAACCGCATGGGACAGAGGGCGCGAAAGGCTCTTTGGGAGAAGAAGTATGGGAAGAATGCGAATCACGTCAAGTTGAGGGAGAAGGAGAGGCGAAAGAAGGAAGGAGGAAGTGAGGGCAGGAAGGGTGGGTATAAGCCACTGAGGAGGGGAAGGAATGGGCAGGTTTTGTCGGACTTTGTGGAGCCAGAGAGGAAGGATAGCGGATGGAAGCGCTTCCCTGTTGCTGCTGCAGACGAGAGTGCGAAGCCACCACCGAAGGCCGCAGCGCCTGCTGGCCGAGAAGACGTCAAGGGAGGACCGTCACGTCGCAGTCAGGATCGCTCGCAGCGCGCACCTCCGTACGCTCGACGCCCTCCTCAGCAGCAGCAGCGCTTCGCTCCTCCAGCAGCGGCGAAGAGCAATGATGCCGAAATGCATCCAAGCTGGGTGGCGAAGCAGAAGCAGAAAGAGAAGGAAGAGGCAATCGCCCGCTCTCTCGCCGGAGGTGGTGGTGGTGCCGGAAAAAAGGTGGTCTTCGACTGACAAACTTCATGCGAACGCAATGCGACAGTGCGATATCATGCCACGTTCCTACACGTCTACTGCAGCCTTCGCCCGGCTCCTCCGCCAACCCTCAATTCCATGGCTGTAGCCCCAGCCGCCCTGCGTCCCGCCTCGATCTTGGTCTGGCGTTTCTTCTCGTTCTCGAACTCTTTCTTCCTCGCGCTCTTCTCTAGCTTGCGAGATTGCTTCGCCTCCTTAGCCTCGGTCTTGCGTCGACGCTTCTCTTCAGCAGACTCGTTGCGGTCCCGCTTGATAGTGACATGGCGCGGGTCGAGTTCCGTCGAGGTGTCGCTGCCGCTGTCGTCCTCTGCGGGGCCGGCCGGAGGGGGCCCTGAGCCGTCGTCGTCATCTTCGACACCGTTGACATGTGCGCCGCGACCGTCGATGGAGAGGGAGTCGAGGGATGGCAGGTCATCCTCTGCGCCGTTGACGTCGGCATCTTTCGGCGGCGGTCTCCTTTGCTTCGTCCACCCGACGACCTCAGCAACGCCTGTCCTCGGGTTGACCTTGACCTTTGGAATACTCTCAAAGTGCGCCGACGATCCGCCAGCAGAGGCGAGCGACCCTACCGAACCGTTGCTGGCGAGCGTCCCTGGCTGATACCCTGACCGAGCACTCGACGCGACCGACGACAACACGCGAGGATGATTGCTCACGTTCGTCTTCGTAGTCTGAATAGTCTCCACATCCCACTCGTCCTTCCTCAGTCCGACCACCCTGATCCTACTCTCGATATCCCTGTCAATCTCCTCTTGCGTCTCCTCATCTCCAGCCAAGTAGCGCTCGATCCTCGCCGCGCCGACTTCTTTGCGCAGGATGTCCAGCTTTTCTGCCCCCGAAGCATCTCGATCACCGAGGCGCTGGCGCATCCGACCGGCGATGACCTCGTGCTTCTCGAGGAACTCATCGAGGATCTGACCAAAGTCCTCGCGAACCAAAGCGTTTGGGTCTGGCCCATCCCCGTCCTCATCCTCATCATCGAAGTCGTACATCTCGTCATCGTCCTCCTCACCGTCTTGCTCATAGATCTGCTCCATTCTATCAAACCCATCATCCAGATTGGTCAAGCCGGCATTGCGAGCCATAGCGCTCGAGCTCATACTCCAAGCCGTGGATCCGCCAGCTGCACTGGGCGCGTAGAAGGACATAGCGTGGCGAGCTTTGCTGCCTGGCTTGGACTTGCGGCCGGGGTTGCCATCGCCGAAGATGGAGGAGCCGCCTATCGAGGAGGGGACGCGACGAGAGCGAGATCCGGCTTTCGAGGCTGAAGGGCGAGCGGCATCCTCATCATCCTCGTCTTCTTGAGCGCCTTTTGGAGCAGGAGCGCCAAGCCCTTCCTTGAAGAGAGCGACACGTTCGCTCAAGCTGAGGTTGGGGTCATCGAGGTCTATTCTCCCTGCCCCTGCGCTAGTTGCTGCCTCACCATCCGCGGCTGTAGTGGCTTGAAGCTTCTGCCTCGCCCTCTCCCCCGGAGTGAGGTAGAGAGCCTCGTCTCCGCCCGGGGCTTGGGCGCGCCAGGCCTCCTCATCCGAGTCCATGTGGTCCGGATCGTATTCGCCTCCTGCGACGACTTCTGCGAAGAGTGCATCGAAATCGTCGTCGTCCTCTCCCTCTTCACTATCTTCGTGGTCGTCTTTGTCGTCTTGGATGGCAGCTGAGGTCGAGGGACCAGCGCTGGCCTCCGCTGCCTCCTTGGCCTGCTGTGCCTGCTGCTGTCGTCGTCTCCTGCCGGCCAAGAAAGCTTCATCATCCAAGGCTTCGAGTGCTTGCCTCAAATGCGGGTCCATATCCAGCCTCAAGCCCTTGTGCTCCTCTCCTTCGCCCTGCGTCCAATCGCGGGGCATCTCCTTCTCACTAGCCAGCACATCCTGCGGCAGGTCAATTCCAGCCTTCTCATCCTTGAATTCGAGCTCGCCACCAGTCTTGGCTTTTCCCTTCCCCTTAGCCTGACCTTGTGGCCCAGGAAGCATAACCACGTCCACGTCATCCTCTTCATCCTTGCCACCCCTTTGAGCATTGTAGTTGCCGCCGATAGGCCTCAAATGCTGCATATAGTCGTACTCCGTGTCGTCAAAGTAGACGCCATACTCTGCTGCCTCACCGACATTGGAACGCTCCTTCTTGCCGAATTCATCATCCAGGTCAGCCTTGCTGATTGGCTGACCGCGAGCGTTGCGAGTCTTGCGTGAGGGAGCGAGAACGCGGGAGGAGGCTTCAGGATCATTGATCAGGGGGTCGCGTTGGGAACGATGAACGAGGGTGAAGTGCTGCGCTTCGCTGGAGCGCCATTTCGATTTAGGCGGCATGCTGTGCGCGAGGAGGTCTGGTGGCTGGCAGGTGTTGGTGGTGAGGATGAACAATGGCTGCGCCTCTCTTGAAATTGTTCTCGAGGAGCTCAGCTTCAGGTCAACTTTTTGTGCCACGTGCTCCTTCCCGTTGTTGGCTCGCAGCTGCATTCGCGTCTGGTCAGATTTGATTTCGCCCAATTCTCCACCTTCTCCATCACATCAAGCATCATGGCCTCTTCACAGCCCTGCCTTCTACCAGGGCAGCCTCTGCCGGCTCCCTCGTCCTCATCATCTGCTCAGCGCATACAAGCCACTTCTGGCACGTATACTCGCTCGACCTACACCCTCTCTTCTCTCATTGGGCAGCCGTCCTTCAGCAAAACCGCCTCCAAGAAGTCTGGCCCATCAACAACAAAGGCAAGCGTTCACACCCCTCTAGCCCCACTCCTCCGTCTCCCAGAGCCCGACTCCCTCGTCCTCGCCCGCGTGACACGCATCACCTCACGGCAAGCAGTCTGTTCCATCCTTCTCGTCCTGCCCGACCCTTCTTCCTCCTCCTCGTCGTCAGCAGAAGCAGCAGGGTCCCTCTCACTCTCACAAGCACTCGCAAGTGGAGCGGCAAATCATGCTGCGGGTGAAGATCCCGCTGGCCTGGACTTCAGTGGAGTGATCAGACAACAGGATGTGAGATTGACGGAGACGGATAAGGTCAAGGTGGCCGAGTGCTTTAGAGTTGGGGATCTGGTTAGAGCAAGGGTGGTGAGTTGCGCGCAAGTTGCAAAAGCAGCACACACGCTCTAGAAGAGAAGCTAAAATGATTGGCTGTCTTTGCCCTTTCAGATATCACTGGGCGACTCGCGCTCCTACTTTCTCAGTACCGCCTCGAATGAGCTGGGCGTAGTCTTTGCGACCGCGTCCGTGCCGTCCGACGTGATGCCGGCGAAGAAGTGCCTTTTGCCCTCAAGATTGGCCGCAGCGTCGCCATCGAGGAGCAGGGATGCAGAAAGAGGAGGCGCAGGGGGTGAGGTTCCAGGCACACTGCGACCCCTCGATTGGCAGACAATGGTGGATCCCGCGACGGGCAGGAAGGAGAGGAGAAAGGTGGCAAAGCCGACACAGTAGTGCAATGAGGAAGACAAAGAGTAAAAGCGTATGGTATTTGGCATGATGGTACCGCGACCTCTTTGGCGGAGCATTGCTCGACGCCTGTCATCTCCTACCCCAAGGCCTTGTCCTCCTGCCCTCACTCCCTCCACTCACCCTTCTCCCGCAGACTCCGTTGGTGAAGCAGGCGTGGACTGCTGGGGTGTCCCGTCGGACGGCCTGTTCGCCGTAGTGGGCGTTGTAGTGACACTTCCTTCGAGCGTGTTTCCGTAACCTCCACGCGCGCCCGCAGCGCTGTGCCCTACCGAGCTCGGCGCGTAGCTTGACTCTTCCTGAATAGCGGTCAACCCACTTCCAGAGATCGGGTAGCGCGACCATCCCATCGAGGCGGCGGACGCCATTCCAGGCTGTTCAGGCGGGGTGAGGCTGGAGGTCATGGGACTGTCGTCTTCCAAGCCGTTGCAGGCGGAGCCAGCCGGAGCTGCAGAAGCTGGAGCTTGCTCTCTTTTCCTCTCACGCTGCTCCTTCTCGAGTTGCTGCCTCTCCTGCATCTCGAGCGCAATGAGTCCAGGCGGGTGGCGCCTGCTCTGCTCCGGGAAGGTAGACCACAGCCGCCGTTCCTCTGGGTCGGTCTCGTCCGTGTCCAAGGTATCACCGGACTCGTCTTGCTCATGCTCTACGTAGTCTTGCCCCGAGTCGTGTGGGACCGCAGTGACAGCCGGACGAGGCGCTGCCGGTGGAGACTCCTCTCCCTCCCCATCGCCGACCTCGCCGTACATCGACGCCCTTGACAGGCCCGTGGGAATTGTGACTGGGGCGACTTTGCCGGTAGTGAATTCGCGTGTCGCTGCTGTGGGATGTGCGAGCTCCTCTTGCGCCTCGCCCTCAGGGCTCCCATCGGTGTCCTCTGCCCTCCCAGCCGCTCCATCTGCGGCGATCTTGTCACTTGGGTACAAAGAGTCCCGCGTAGGCTGCCGAAACCACGCGCCCCATAATGCAGAACCTGTCGTGCCAATGCTCTTCATGCTTCCCTGTCGCGGCGAGGCGGTAGGCGCTGCGGCTGCGGCTGATGCAGGTACAGGGGCACGCTCAGTGTCTGAGGAAGAGGTAGGCCGGCGGAATGAGCTTGACGATCGGCGAGGAGGGAATTCGATCGCGGGAAATGGGAGGGAAGCCGCTTGGTTCCCGTAGTGAGACCCTGGCGGCAAAGCTGACGTTGGGCCATTCGTTCCCTGCAGATGCTGCTGCCTCGAATCAGCCGAAGGCTGAACAAGCGTCTGGCTCGTTGTGCCCATTCCAGTGTAGTCCTCGAAGCGCAATCGTGAAGACGAAGAGACCCTAGCACCACTGCTTGCATCCAGCTCGCGCATCGTGGGTTGCGGCCCCCTCAAGCCAGGGAGCTGGGTTGCAGAGCGGTGATCGACCAGGTCGAACAGAGGTGTAGCAGCAATGCCCTGGCTGCGCGAGTCGCGCTCTCCGTGGCGGAGAAGTGCGAGACGTAGGCGATCTTCCGTGTTGCGCTGCCATACTCGGCCAGCTTTGAATGTGATCAGGTCTCGCATGCCACCTGCTTCCCCTGTGAGAGGCCCCATCTCGAGCTGATTCTGCTGGTCGGGGAAGCTGATACTACTCTTGGGTCGATGCGCGAATGCTGTTGTCTGCTGACGGCTGGTGAGCAGCATGTCGCGATGCCTTGTCGTCCTGCGCCGGTCTCGCCTTGCCCCGATGTACACGAGGAGAGCAGCCAAAGTTACCATCAGGGCGCTCATCCCGTGCCAGATGATGGCCACGATCGTCACGGCGAATCCGTATGTGCTCAGCAACCCTGTAGCAGGCGCAAAGAAGAAGTCATCGCGCATGGCCGTACTAGGCGAAGCGTCAACGCTACTTTGGAAGGGCGAGTAGAGGACGATCGCCACCAGTAGAATGGCGACGCGGGGCAGAGCAAGGAGAGCGTGCGGCCAAGCCTGTCGCAGGCGCCAAGCGCGCTCCAGCCTTCTTTGTTCTGATGAAGCAGCTTGATCCACTTCATGTACCAGCTTGTGTATCGCCGAGCTTCGCAGCGTCAGCAAGAGTCGGCCCACATCGTTCAAATACGCCTTTCGGGCCTCAGCCCCCTCCTCCCGGGTTTGCTGCTTGTAGTTCGAGACCAGCTTGAGGGTGAAGATACCAATCGACAAGATCGGGCAAAGTGCATAGACGGCGAAGGAGATCCACCAGGCCGTGCTTTGCCTCGGAGGGACGGTCGCGGCACCATCCGAGTCAGCGTGGATGGCGAGTTGCGCTTGAATGAAGAGGACATTGAAGTCGAGAAACAGGGCGATAGCGATCGGAATCGCGATGCGGAGGGGCAGGGAGGCGCGGTCTGCTGCCAGTAGGCGGCCCTGCCACGGTGACTTCTCCTCCATTGATCCGTCCTCCAATTCATTCCGTACGCGCGGTAGTAGGCCTCGTGATCGATCCACAGTCATGGGCATCATAGGCGGGAATCTCGGCGTGTACGCCAGAGCGCTCGCCGCGTGCGCGTCAGACTGCCGGCGCTGCTCCATCGCAACAGCTTCGACTGTCGTGCCCAACGGACCAGCGAAGGTCCATTCCGCAGGCCGGTCCTCTTCGTCGACCGTAGCCGAAGGTCGACCCATTGAGGCATGTGAGCGCACCATGGGAGCCCCTCCCATGCCCGGCGTAGGAGCACTGTGCGCACGATGGCGCCGGCTCTCTCTGCGCCCAGGGCTGCGACGTACCGGGCGTGCTCTCTCTGCTTCGTCATCTGCTGAGCTGCCGTCGTCGGGTACTGAGAAGGTGAGAGATTGATGCTTCCGCCGAGAAGAGCGGCTGCGTTGCCGCTCTGACGAGTCTGTCAGGCTCAGCGGCCGTGAGCGCCCATGGCGCTGCTGTTGCTGTTGCTGTACCGTGTCTCCTCCAACGCTGTCCCCCGATCGAATGCGTCTACGATGCGCTGAGCTTGTTCGAGGCGTGCGATTGCGATCCCCTGTGTCGATATGCAAGTCGGTCTGTCCAGGCTGCCGCAGTCTTGGACTACGAGGAGTAGGCGCGCTAGCCAAGAAGGGTATCTGTTGCTGCAGGTACTGCTCTTCTTCCCTTTGACGATCCTCCTCCAAAAGTCTCGCCCGTTCCCTTTGCACTTGATCCGATTGTGGCGACCTTGTACGCTCCAGCGTGCTGCCGCCAGCATCGTAGCCGCCCCTCTCGCCAAACCCGTAACGTGGCCCGCTCGATCCGTCTCCATCGCCCGACCCCGGCTGTGCGCCGTGAGCGGCCCTCCGGACCGGGCTCTCCGAGTCTGAGGTGTGTTGTTGTAGCGGCGACGGCGTCTCGCGGTAGGGGTCAGACGAGCCTTGCCAATGAGTACGTGGGTCAAGAGAGCTACTGCCGCTTGGCTCGCGAGGAGAATTCGTGCGCACGAAGTCTGCGTTGCCGTCTGCGTAGTCATCATCCGCTCGCTGCTTCTCAAGAGCACGAGGTGACATGGTAAGAGGTGGCGGGGGTAGTGGCGGTGCAACAGTCGGACGCGACGACACATCTTGCGAAGCATTTGCGCTACTGCTGTCCCTTGATGGGGCAGACTGCGGCTGCCCTGCACCGCCGCCTAATGTGCCTTTGGACGACGACCGACCGAAGGTGCCGAAAGTGCCTGCCGGCGAGTCGGGGCGTAGTGGCGGCTGAGTGCCAGAGGCCGGGGACGATGTTGACATCGTGGGCGAGGTCGCTCGTTAGAGGCAGCAGAAGCGAAACGACAGTCGAGGTGATGACGGAGGCATCGCTGAGTGGACGAGCCGTGGATGAGGAGGTGGCGGCAGCTGATCAGCCCGCGAAGGGCATACGGGGAGACGAGGGGGAAAGGGGTTGATCCGCGCGACGAAAAGCGTGTCCGCGTAGGATTAGCTTTGTGACAGCGTGATGATGAAGAAGGGAAAGAGGTGCTACGATGTGTGATGTCTTGAGCTAATGTGGCGGCAGGCGCTGCGATCAGGAGCTGCCACAGGAGGCAGGCGCAGTTGCAAGTCAACCGGAGCAGGCAGCACTGCCCTACCCAAATTTTGGGATTGAGACTCAGCAAACAAAAGTGTTGGACGGCAGCCGGTGCAAGCTCTAAAGTGCAACCCACGCCCTCGCAGTAGTGGAGGCAGCGCACTGCAGCCTAGATGCAGCGTGGGAGAGGGAGCGAGAGGGCGTCAGGAGTAGTTGAGACAGGAGGGGATTGATGGTGGTATTGATTGGAGGAAGACACGAGGCCATCGATGTTCGTCGTCTCTCTTCAAAATATCCTGGGTTCTCATTGCGGGCCATTGGGTGGCGGCGACTGGCTTACTCTTGACCAGTCACACAGAGGGGATAGAGCAGCGGCAGCAAGAAGTCACTGCCGAGCCGTCTTTGTTGTGTGTATTGTCGCCGTCCTCTCGATCGGCTTGCTCTACGCCGCGGCCGCCTACCTGCCCGTCCGCTCGACCCCGCTGCTGCCTCTGCCGCTAGTCGTGCTTTTTTCCCACCGATTCACAGATGCACAGCTGTGGTGCCGCACCGCACGGCCGCGGCCGCTGCTACTACGCCTTGGCGCGCCCGCATCTCCGTCGACGACTTGCTTGTGTTGCTTCTAGGCCCCTACGCCCTCGACGACTCGACGCGTCGTCATCCCAATCTCGCCAACCTCCCAAATGATGTCTCACTTTGTGCCCACATCTCATTGTGAGCGACACCTTCCTCTTTCGAGAGCAGGTGAGACGAACAAAGGAGTCAATAAGATCACTGGCAGGGGAATACCTGCTCAATTCATCGAGGAAGTGGCGGGTCCCGCCACTCGTGGTAATCACTCATCTTCTTCGTAGGCGAGCACCGCCTCCGGCCCCGCCTCGATTGTCCCACGGGCGGTACGTCAGCGCGCGCGCGCAACCAACACCGCACTTCGATACGCAGCAGCAGAATGTGTAAAGTCCCCTTGGCTAAGCCCTCGGCGCGACGTCGATCGTATCGAGTCTGGCCCAGGCTGGCGGAACGTGTAATCGCCGACAGAGCTCTAGATTCATCTGCAGTTGGAGCAGCGGTGGGCGGGGTTTACAAGGTTCCCGCTCCCACGCCCAGCGAATCTAGTAGGTCACCCACGGTGAGCTGCTGTCGTGACGCAGCCCCCGTCGCAGCAAGCAAGTCGATACACCGCCTCATCGTATCGACGAAAAGATATTCGCGAGAATCGTCCTCAGAGAGGACTCCATGACTCCAGCCAACACACATGCTCAAGTCACACGCGGGCGCGGTGGCTTCATCGCCCTGCTGCCCCCCTTGCAGCTCCAGACCAGAAACATCCACTTCCATCAAGCCCGCAGTGGGTTGTGCCCTCGCGTTCCATGCCACCTCTTTAACCCCAGCCCTAACGGGGATCGAGATTTTGCCCAGATTAGAGAGCACAAACGAAGCGCTGTGCGGTCGATCGCTCATTGCCTTGTCGTGGAGCCACGATTCCCATGCGGTTGGTATCTTCTCACTTGGAGGGACGTGGGTTGCTGGATCTGGTAGGTAGGAGAGGACGCCGACGGCGTAACGAGCTTTCTGTCTGTCGGAGTCGGAGGCGACTACAGGGGGCAGAGAGGAGAGGGCTACCATCAGTGGCAGTCATAGGTTTCTCGTCAGCTTCTCAGACACACCTCGAGCTGCGTACGAGCGTGCCATATCCCAGAAGTTGTCGTTGGGTGCGACCTCGGCCTCCCAGTGCAGCTGCGAGTGTGAGCGCGACGAGTCAGCTGGCCATTCAGTAGCAGGCCCATCAGTGTTGACTTACAGCTGCAGCGAAATTGCCTGTACATTCCGTGTGTTCCCTTGCATCCTTCATCAGCCCACGAATGTTTATGGCCGTTTCTGAAGATATTCGCACGCTTGAACTGTAGCCGTCATCGATATTGCTCACTTTGTTCGACATGGCCATGGCGTACGTGGCTACGGTGCACACGGTGCTCAGGATTGGATGAACCGTCATGACGCCATTCGTCCTCCCTATTGCTTTTAAGGCTGCGATGGTGCCGTGTGGAAAAGAGAGCAGCTTCACTCTCTTGCTCGCCTTGAGCGGCGGGATCAAAAGCTTCTCTTCAGTGCGACCGGCCGCGTTTGCTGCGGGCCAGGCAGGACTGGCTTGGAACCAGGAACCAAGTCCTGAAGGAAGACGAGGAACGACAAGCTCTTGGAAGGCGACACCGAGCGCATAGCGCAAAGAAGGGATAACAAGGCGGTCACTTGATGGCGGAACAGTGAGTCTGTCGATGGCCGATGAGGCTGTGGCAGCGGAGTCATGACTGTCGGAGGTGGTGTCGAGGCCTTCAAAGAGGAGCTCGAGCAGGTTGCCAGCGCCACGACCATCGCAGATGACGTGGCCGACAGTGAGAAGGACGAAGATCTCTGGTCCTTCCTCAATGACTTGTACCCGCCACAGGGGGGCTGAAGTGAGATCGAGCAGTTCTTGCAAGGGCTGATCGACGGCCTCCTCGATGAGTCTCTCCAACGTGGGTCGCGAAGAAGAGGTAGCGACGGCAGCGTCTATTCTCTCCTTTCGAAGCGGCAGAAGCACATCCTCAACTGCAATCTCGCCTCGACTCGCAAAGCGCGGCTGACGAGTCTTTGCTCCCTCAACGAAGCATGACAGGAGCGGCAAAGACTTCAGAGCAACCTCGACTCGCCGTGCGATGTGAGCGTGGACCACTTGCGCTGTATCCGAAGAGCGTGAGGTCAGACGAGCACCATACGCCAGAATTGGCGGAGCTCCAATGTTGTAGCGTGTGACCGAGTAGCGCTCGTGAAGGCCTGCGCGAGTGAGAGAAGGACGTCAATGTCGATGATGGCAGTGAAAAGACTGCGGCACCTCAGCGAGGGAGCGACTGACCCAGCTTTCGGTGCAGAATGATTGGCCCTTCACCAGGGAGATGCTGGAGAGATCCCATGATGTCAAGAAGGCGAAGCAGGTGCTAAGAATCCGGCCCCAACAAGGCACGGACACGATTCCTCCTGAGTCGGGACCTGCGGTCTGCAACCAGGCAGCGCTGGTTAGCGGCGTTGATTTACCGGCCTTTTACGTTGGAGTAGTCTATCGCAGCTCATAGCCGGAATATCGCCGGCGCCACGCGATGCCCGATCGATCGATATTCCCACGCCACGCTTCGAATCGAAAGCTCTGATCTTCTTCATTCGCAGGGTCCGATCAAAGGCATCGCGCGACATCTGATTAAGGCATTTCTCTCATCTTGATCATCTCTGGAAGAATCGCACCACATCTCCCGTCTGCAGCTCAATGCTCACCCCGCTCCCCTTGTAGCATTCCGCCTGAATCCTCAGCAAGCGCTCCACATCCCTGAAGAAGTCCTGCTCGCACCTGCGCCACACCTTTCCCACCACCCTTCTCCTCTCTTCCTCCTCCGCAGCCGCACCACTGGCCAGCTCGTCCGAATCCAACATCGCGGCCGCAGCATTCGCTGAGACGCCGCCAGTTTTCGAAGACCCACCAGCCAGTGTGAACCCCTCATCGTCATCCTCGTCAAAGTGCTTGAGCACACGCTTCCACAACGCATCGACCTGCTTGCGCACATCCTTTGTCGTGTACTCCTTGACGAGGCGTTTGAAGCTCGCTTTACTGTAGGCCGAGTGCAGAGAGACCTCCGAGGCTGGAGTGCCTGCTCCGCCTTTGAGTAGGGAGTCAATCCCGTCGGCGAAGTCACGTAGCTTCCCTAATGGTCGCCGCAGGACGAAGTGGACGTAGTTGCTGAGCGAATCCTCGTACATCTTGTCTGCTCTGCTGACCAGGGCGGATAGAGCAGGCGCCTTGTGGGTGAGCTTCGACGTTTCTTGGACGACGTGATGCATGTTCTCGATGAGAAGGACTTGGTGATTCATGATGCCCTTGTCCTCGTCTTGCGCCCCTGCTACCCCACCACCGTAACCCGTGGACGCGTCAACCTTGAGCGCCACCAGAGCATCGATGAGGGTCGTCTCCATCTTGGCGTAGTACGAGTCGACCACCGATCGAATGCCCAGATTCTCCGCTCCAACAAGCTGGGCCTCGAGCCGCTCCACAAAGTGTGGTAGGACCCTCACTGGCTGGATCAGTCCACCCCGCCCTCCCTTGCGACCGCGGAAGGACGGCGCATAAGACGAGGATCCGGGCCCTGATCTACCTGCGCTCGCCGTGATCGCCTTGATTTGCTCTGCAAAGAAGCGATCCAACGATGCGTTGGCCTTGACGTGCCACTTGTTGAGGGTGCGCATCAAGAAGTCGTTGCTAGCATCCTCTGCATCCAGCAACGCATTGTCCAGCGCGGCCAGCACGCCCACGACCTGGAAACGGTCTCGTTTGCCAACCTCATCAAAGAACCCATCCACCTGCCCAGTGAGAAAGCCGAATACCAGCTCGAGGGCCCCACGCATGTCCCTCAGCCCGCCTTTACGCTCGTCGCCGCCAGCTTCTGCAAAGATGGCGGCCGCTCGTCGGCGGAAGTAGACTTCAAAGTCCATGTAGTCCGCGAACGTTAAGCCGTTGCTGTTGAGGTGTAAGAAGTCGCTGAGGAAAAGAGACTCCTGGATGAGGAGAGGGGAGAGCGAGAGGAGGATATGGTGGAAAGCCTCTGAGCCGGAGACTTCGCCTGTGGAGGACTTGGCCTTTTTGTTGGCTGCGGAGGAGGAGCCACCCCCCGCGAGGCGACGTACTGTCGTTGATCGACTGAGGGCACTAGAGCCACCGAGCCCACCACCGCCACCGCTGCTACCAGCGGCGGGATCGGGCGCGAAAGAGGAGAGCACCTCTTCATCCTCACCGGTGCTCCTGACAAGCATCTTCCACACCCCGACCAAGCGCGTCACCTCTTCCTTGTATCTCTCGGCCGCGCTAGTCAGATAAGCCGCCGAGATACGCTCGAACGTCTTCGGCTCGACCTCCTTGGCGTACAGCATAAGCCCACAGTAGCTGCCCAACGTCGTCTCCACCACATCGTGTGTAGTCAAGGTCGGCTTGGGCGGCTGCAGGGCGCCCTTTCGCATCGGGTCAGAAACGATCGCACTGGCCAGCTGGGCGAAGAGGGACGAGAGGTGCTGCAGTAGTCTGCTCCCAAAGGTGGCGGAGATGTTCGAGTACTCCTCCAATCGCTCGGTACTAGCAGCCATGCCTCCCTGCACGCTTGTGGCGTTATGCTCTTCCATCTGACTGGTCCTGGCCTGCAGGATTGCCCTATATAGACTTGCGGCCGCAGACTCCTTGGCCTCAATAGCTCCTTCGACCTCATAGTCTCTGGCGAGCAATAGCTCGACCTCGTGCGTTGGCACATTGATCGTACTACTCAATTGCTCAATCTCCCTCTGCAGCGCTCGCCAGTTGGCATTCATGACCTGCAAACCGCGATTCTGCGACTCAATAAAGCCGATATCCTCCGCTCGCGAGTTGAGGCTCAACTTGTACGATGCGACGAGCGAGTCGATGCTGTCCAGCTGCGCGAGGGCCGAATCGACGTGATTGAGCACCGAGGTAAGACGGTCGTCTCCGTTGAGAATCGAGTGAATGTTGGCCGAGTCGAGGGCTTGGAGCTCGGAAAGGAGAGAAGCCTCAATAAGGTCGGCTGTACCTTGACCTTTGGCGCGAGCGATGAGAGGATTGGATGCAGCACTGTATGCTCCACCGCCACCACCACTACCGCTCAAGCCGAGTGCCCCCAAGCCGAGAAGACCGGGATTTTTGTGCGCAGTGCGGAAGTCGATGCCTTCTAGCATCTCCTCGACGTTCAGGAGTGTTGCGTCCAACTCGTCGTCCAGCTCGTCTGCCTCGATCCCATTTGCGGTGTTGCCGCCGTTGACGATACTGCCGGTCTGTTTTCTTCTGGCGCTCCTCTTCCTGCTCAAGCTCCCTGAGCGCGCCACAGCTTTGTTGCGTTTAGAGGGATGATCCGACTCCTCGCCCACTACTGCTCCTCCGTAGATATCCTCATCGTCGGGCGCCATTGTCTCCATTCGCTCCTGCCCGTCTTCCTCTTCCTCTTCTTCGTCCTCATCGCCGATACTCTTTAGACCAGTGCCAGCAAGAAGCATCCGCTCGTAAGCCTTTCCGCCTCTGTTGCCCACAGGCTCGAGGGAGGAGAGGCGCGCACGAGCATTCGTTTGCGGGGTGGACAGCATGGTTGAGGATGAGCTGGAGCCATTCGAGTCTTGCCTTGAGGGAGCGCGACGAGTTGCGCTGCTCGCAGTCGAAGTCGTGTCATTGCTGCTCGACGCAGTGGCAGGAGGGAGAGGCGAAGGACCCCTCGAGCTGCCTGTGGGCGAGGAGCGACCATTGTTCGCCCCCGCAGCCACTCGGGCCAATCGCTCGGACAGTTTGTTCTTGCCCGACCCCGCAGCGGGCATCTGACCACTACTCGCTGAAGTGGGAAGCGTTGCATTGGGCGCCGCTGGGGAGAAGCCTCTGGGCGTCGGCATGTCCTCCACGCTCGTCTCGAGACGAGGCATAGCTGAGTCGTTTCGCATGAGGGAGGGTCGTCGAGTGATGGGTGAGAGCAGTGGTGCTGAAGGAGGCTTTGGCGCCGCCTCACTGCCTCGTTGCTGGTTGCTATTGGCGTCGTAGAAGCCATCGGTGGAGGAGGGCAGGGGCACGGCACCTCGCTGCGGTGATCGATCGGCGTATGGGTCTGCGGATGCTGATCGCTGGATGGGGTCTGGGACCTGAGCTTGCATGACTGAGCGAGATGGCAGCTCCTCTCGATCTCGCTGCCGAGGAGGGGACGAAGCTGAGAGGTGAGGTTGCTGCTGCTTTGGCGGGCTGATGGCAGGCCCGACGGGCATAGCCGTAGTAGGCGACTGAGCCCTCCCTGTCGCAGCTTGTGACGACGCTGTGCCGCTCCCGCCAGCATCAATACCAATACATCTGGGTCCCTCTGCGTCCCTCGTGTACTTCCTATACACATTAATGAGCGACGTAAGGAACAGCGACTGTTCCCTCGCTCGGTCCGTTGTCCATGAATAAGAACGGGAAAGGGTCAAAGTGAACTGCGTTGGCTCCGTCACTTCTACCACTCGCAGGGTGTTCAAGTCCCAATCTTTGCCGATGCTGAAGGAGCCATTGGCGTTGCGCTTTGCCTTATTGATGGTCACCTTCCCCGTGTCTCGCTGCACAGCGAGGATGAGGTAGCGCGCCTTCCGAGTAGGGGCAGTGGCTGCTGTTGGAGCCAGACTGTTACTTGGCTTGGCGCCTTCGGCATCATCGACCGATTCCCAGATCTTGAGGTGGGCGATGTAGTTGTTCTGTGGGTTGCGAGAACGAAGAGCAGCATTGAAGGCGTCCTTTGTCGATTGCCCAGATGATGACGAGGAAGAGGCGCCTGTTGCTGCTGCTGAGGAGCCCTTGGCTGAAGACCCTGCAGCAGACGAGGCGGATGAGGTTGCTGGTGGTGGCATGGAAGCCATTCTTACTCAGCAGCACGCCTGCGGATGGCTGCGTTGCTGAGTGGGTGGAAGGGATGTCAAGTCAAGACCGGAGGAATGATGCGCCGTCCGTCGTCGACGCACCTCGAGGAGGCCCATGCGCAACTCCGCGTCACCGAGAGCAACAGCAGTCAATGGCAGCGAGCCAGACACTTCCCTCGCTGTCACTCGAGGATGGCAACGCATAGAGGCCCAGAATGCAGATTGTAGAGGGGCGAGAAACGATGATACACAAAATGCCACGCGCCATCGACTTCGACTTCAAGACAGGCTCTTCCTCTTCTTACCCGCCCCAGCCTTGCCCTGCGATGCTGGTGGGGAAGTCCCTCCTATCTGCTTTCCTCCCGCAGAGGAGGGAGATGCAGCCGCTCCATTGACCATCGTAGAAGACGACTTCCTTCCTTGCGGCTTCTTGCCTGCATCGCTGCTACCGTTAGGCAGACCATTGGGCTTACTCTTCGCCCCAGCTGGGGATGACGCTGCGCCCGCAGCCGGCTTTCCTTTCTTCGCCGCTGAGGAAGTCGAGGTAGCAGGTGTCTCAAGCTGCGATGCAAAGAGGTCGGTCAAGACTCTGATATCCTCTGCTTCGTCGTCCTTCGACCGCGCTGCAATGTGGGGCCCAGGCGCGGCCTTGGCTGCCTCGTCGCCGTCGATGTCCATCTCATCCTCCTCATCCTCGTCCTGCTCCACGGTTCCAGCCCTCTTGACACCCTCGGCATCCTCCCCATCACCTTCCCTCCTCGGCGGCAACACAGCTGGCACGAACGCATCGAAGAGCATTCTGACGGGCGGCAGCAGGTGCGCCGGGGCATCGAACAGGGCAAAGATGTCCTTGGTCGCCAACACAGGTCGTTGTCGCTGCTTTTGCGCTGTCGCGGCAGCTTCCGCATCGTAGTCGTCCATCATGGGACCAAAAAGATCATCAAAGAGCGTGCGACGCTTCACTGAGATGCCGCGCAGTGATTGACCTGCAGACGAGGAGCCTGACGGGCCACCCTGTTGAGTGTCGTCGGGGGATGAGCCGACTTGGACCACATCGAAGGCGGAGGTGATGGCAAAGAAGTGCGGCAGACCGACAGTGCCATTTTGGCTGCTGAGGCCGCGCTGCTTGACTACCCCTGTAGTGACCTCACGTACCGCCACTGGAAGCTGGTACGTGACTGCAGGCCTCGAAGGGGCCGTCACGTCAAGCACGTCCACGATGCTGTGCTGCTGCCCCTTCTTGCCCGTTGGCCTCACCACGGCCAGTCGCTCATTCTCGAGCGGGACGATGCTCCTCACAGCCTCATCATACGATCGATGAGCATGCACCTCTCCCCTCACCAGATCCCAGACAATCAGCGTGGTCCCGCTACCCACAGCGACGTATCTGCCCTGCCTGCCAACAAACTCAAGCTGCTGTGCCGCCTTCACCTCGGGGCAGGAGAGAGCCGCAATGAGCGAGTTGGACACTGGCTCCCAAAGGGTGAGGAAGGGACCCTGCGCGACTGCGAGGATGGATCCATCGGGAGACCAGCGTGCGGCTGAAGGGGCATGATTACGGTAAGCGGCAATAGAGCGGGGCACCCAGTACATCTCCTGTCGGCCACCACGCGCAGTGTGCGTAGCAAGGCGCCATGTCTTGATTTTGCGGTCTGACTTGCCAGTGGTGACGAGGAGAAGGCCGCCATCCCCTGCTTCTGCCGCCGGGCTGAAGGCGAGCGAGGAGACTCCTCCTTCCTCGTGAGGTTTGTCAATGCGCGTGTTGAGGATGTACCTCCCTCCCTGCGCTGAAGAGGACCATTGCCAAATCTTGAGCGCAATCTCGTTGCTCATGTGTCCTCCACCCGGTCGCGAATCAATAGTCGCCATCCATTCTGCTAGGCCTGAGCTACCGTGAGCCGGCTGAGAGGAGAAAGCGACCAGCTCCACGCGCGTCGGCTCGAGAGGCGCTTCGTCCGGCCGTGAGACGCGATTTGATGGAGCGACCTCGAGCTCCGAGGTAATACGATCGGCCTGAATGTCGAAGAATTGCAGGCTGGAGGGGTGGCCTGACTGCAAGACGAGTTGGCCAGTAACGGGCTCCACTGCAATTGGGCTGGGCATTGTTGCCTGCCTAGAGGCGGGGAACAGATGGCGTGACGAGTCCACCTTGATCCGAGCGAAGGAGCGGGAAACCTTGAGTGTCAGACTGCTCACGAAGGTGACGGAGCCATCCGCGAGAGTGAGGGCGTACTCCTGCTCCCTACCGCTGATTCCGTCCGCGATAGTCACTGCATCGATGGGTGCACCAAGGCGGGGGACGTACTCTCGCTGGCCGGTGCTCAGCTGCCAGAGGACAAGCACTGCTTCCTCCCCTCCTGACACAATGTACGCTCCATTCGGTGTGAAGCTGAGAGCACTGACCGCATGAGCATGCCAATGCAGCACGGTACTAGGTGCATGCTTCTCCCCCTCGGTCTCCTCTTGCGCTTGCCGCAAGAAGTCCTCATCCAGGCATCGCCACACGCGAATCTTCCCTACTGCGTCGCCGGTCGCAAAGGTGGGCTCGGAAGGGTGGAAGGCCAAGCTCATCAGGTCGGCGTCAGAGACTAGCTTGGTGAAGCCATTTCGCAAGGAAGCGGTGCGGGCGATCTGGACCTTGCGATTGCCGATTGCTACGAGCCATTGACCGTCGGGCGAGATGGACAGGCCGGTGACAGAGCGTGTCTTTCCGATGCGTAGGAGCTCTTTTGACTTGGAAGAGCGTCCATTCGTGCCAGCAAGGGTCTCCAAGGAGACCGAGTAGACAATGCTGTTTGTCCTTCCAGTGAAGGCGAATGGGTCTACTTTTCTGCCTAGCTTGTCTGCCTTTGGCTTGCGGACAGCGACGAAGACGTTTGAGGGGAGCGAGGCGTGCGCTGCAAGGTGGGTGATAGGGAAGCCAACTTCAATCGTGCGTAGCAGGACCGCGTCGAGGTAGTCCCAAATGCGCACTGTACCGTCAAGAGCGGCTGTGACGAGTTGCAGCGGATTGGTAGGGTGTAGGAGGACGGCGGTGATCTGCGCTGGGTTGCCAGAGGGAGCAGAGAGCGTCGAGACTACTTGGCCGGTGGATCGCGAGTGGATCTTGACGGAGGATGAAGAGGCGGCGAAGAAGTAGCTGCGAGTGGGTGTGGAGAGCGTGTAAGTTCGAGACGACTTCCTCTATGCTGCAGCCTTCGCTATCTCCAACTCACTCTGCATCTCGGGTGAAGACGAGGGGCAAGGTGGAAGCCGCCCCTTCGACTATGGGATTGTAGGGCAGACTCGGGAGGGCTGCGGCTTTGCTTGCTGCCTTCATCTTCTTTGCTGTCGACGCAGCTTTTCCCTTGGCAGGCGACGACTGAGCAGCTGGCGTTGGTTGTGTCACCGCTGCCTTCTGCTTCTGCTTGGCTAACGGCGTACCAGCGGCAGCTCCTGCGCCGGCCTTGGAGGACTGCGCAACATTCTGCGGCTGAGTCTTCCGTGATTTCCCAGGCGAGGATGCTGCTGCACCGCCCGCCTCTCTTCCTATGCTCGACGGCATTGTCGTCGAGCGAGTAACGATGCTGATGAGAATGGAGGATGAGCGAAGGCGGAGAAGCGGGATAGTTGGGAATTTGTCCCTCTTCCTCAGCCCGCCTCGACGCAGCTTCGAAAAATCCAAGCCAGGCGCGCCAGTCCGAGGGCGGGCCTTGAGTGAGCGGAGAGGAGCAGCAGCGCAGAGCAGAGTAGCGTAGCGATCATATCACGACCATCGAGGGAAAGAGCAAAGATGTCATGGATGATTGCAACAGGCAAAAGCAGCAGATCGATGGATCGAAGAAGACGAAAGCGAAAGAGCGGCTCAATGACGGGAGCCCCGTTGACCGTGGGCGGCGATAACACACGCGACGGTGGGTGCGAGGTTGACGAGAGAGAGACAACATTACGAGAAGGGGAAGACAAAAGAAGGTGATGACAGCGGGCTAGGTGAGGGAAGGGAGGCTGGAATGACGAGTCTCTAGAGTACATGGCGGCATGGCCGTGGCGTTGACGGTGGCAAAGAATGACGCGTCCGTTGACGAGTGGACAGATCCGTGGCTGAGTTTCGTGGTTGGTAGCGGGTGAGTTCGAACGATCGACGACGAAGGGCGAGAGGCGATCTACGCGTGTATGCGAGGAGGGCTGATCCTTCAAGGCGCAGCTTGAGAGAAGGAGAGTGTGTCGACCACAGCTTTACTGGCTGTTGTCTGCTTGACCAGCCATGGCGTAGAAGCCGTTGACGGCTTGCGCCAGTCCGGCGAGGTTGTTAGCCACTTCGGGCGTCGCAGAGGCCCCCTGTGTTGACGAAGCCGATGCTGCGGTGCTCGAGCTAGTGGTTGACGATGACGACGACGATGAGGACGACGATGAGGAGGAAGACGTCGTCGTGGGCGTCGACGAGGAAGAGGTCGAAGTCGATGTAGCCTTGTACGACGTAGTGCGCGGCGGGGTGTAGGTCGACGTGCTGGACGTAGTAGGCTTGGGCTTGGGCTTCTGAGAGCTTGACTTCTGCTGGTTGTCATTCGAAGAGCCACCGAGCGACCACGACATTTGGAAGACGCCAGCGTCGGGAGATGCGAATTGGTTGAAGACGGCGGGCGAGAAGTCAAGAGCACCGTAGGGGCAACCGGGGCACGAGTCGGTGATCTGGGCCTGGACGGACTTGCCGTTGGCGGTGACGGTGATCCACTTGAAGCAGTCAGATGTGCTGAACTGAGCGCTGTTCACGGCGACGATGGGGTCTGATTTTTGGAATGTTCTGCCGCAGTGACCAGCGCCGGTGCTAGGGTCGTAGAAGGTAGCACGACCGCCTCCGCCGAGACGCTTTTGGAATGGAGCATGGGTAGAGCGAGCTGCCACGGCGGCGCCAACGGCCTTTTGGGCACGGCGGGAGGCTGCACGCTCGTGGTGGTGGTGTTGCTGCCCATGCTCGTTGGCAGCCTCGACGAGGACGAAGAAGGCGCCGAGAGTGAGAGCCAAGCTCAGCGTCAGGAGAGACTTAATGGGTGAGTGCATGGTGATGATGGTGGTGCAGATGGCGATAGGGGATCGATCAGGAGATGCAGGAAAGACCGTATAGAGGCGGGTGAGGTGGTGGTGTCAGGCGAAGGCCAAGTGGTTGCTCTGATGAGCTTGTTATCGGGGGTTAGGAGGAAGAGGAGGGAGGAGGTTGACGATGAGATCAGTCGTCGATGATGAGGATAGTGGTGATGATGGTGATGGTGAGGAAAGAAAGGGGTGAAGAGGAGAAGGGGAAATCGATGTTGAGGATTGTGTAACAGGAGAATTAGGAGAAGTTGGCTCACCGAGGGGGCGACGGGGTGCAAGCTCGGTGGGCGGTGATGAAACGAGCGAGCGCCCAGGCGTCTGAGCGTGAGTCGAGAGGAGCAACTCACGGCGAGGCAACGCGGCGGAGTTTGGTTTGAGCAACTACTTCCAACCCCGCTCTCTCCTCAACACAGTCGTGCAGTGCCTGCGCTTCCAGCCAGAACACTTCTTCGTGTTCTTTGTCGTCGAGTTCGGTCGACTTCACACAATGGATGGTTGGCATCGCGAGACGGAGCATCGGCGATCACCACGACTTTCCGAGGCTCCGCACAACGATCGAGACGACGACGATGATGATGAGGCGCGCGCCATCAACACTCAAGCCCAGTCACGAGGACATGATGACGACAACAGACGGCCAGTTATGCTTGAGGCTCGCTGGCTTGCAAAGCTTCCTCATCAGCTTCGTAGAGGTGTAGAAGCTTGGCAAGCCGTAGCCGGAAGAAGCGACAATTTGATGGTGATCATGCGTCGGCGTTGTCTTTGTCTTGCTTCTCGTGATACCGGCCAAGAGGTCGTTGGCTGCTGACTTCGCAGCCCTCGTGCTGTCACGCCGCCACGGTGTCTCAGACGCGACGCCGCCGTGTAAACGAGGGACCTCCTGTCAAAGCGTCAAAGTGTTAGGTGGCCCCTATTTTTTTCGCTCGGCGAACAACGAGGGTGGTGAAGGACGCCAGCAGGCTGGCTGGCGGCAGGCTAGGCTGCGCACCAAGACGTCCGTCCGGGCGGGCGGGCGAATCGATTCCCACGGACGTGCTGGTGCCTCGCGTGGGGTCCCTGGCAGCAGCAGCTAGCAGCGACGAAGAAGGCCTTTCTTGCAAGTCGTAGTGGTACCGCGCTCGTTGCCACGAACAATTTCGAGGGCGAGGGGTGTGGGCAAGGAGTGGTACGGGAGGTGGTCGGGGGGAACGAGCTCTCCGCATCTGGATCAAGGGCAACCCCGCATGGAATCACTTCTCGCCAAGCAGCTATCTTTCGCACTGATCAACAAGCATCTAGCAATGTATTGTGCCTTCTATCGTAGACGTTATGGCCACTGCGGCTACTGTTGAACAATGTCAACGATCCACTGACATCATGCCACTGATGAGTGGAAACGAAGTCTGATGTCGATCCGCCGACCCCACTCAGCCGAGCCGGCCTCGCAACCACTTCTCCACACGTCTCATATAAACGCCCCGGTCACCACGTCTGACCATCGCCATTAGCAGCACTGCCTCGACGATGCCACTAGACCACCGCTGGAATGATCCGCTTCCACACCTACACTCTCCCACCTATCGATACCTCTCCAACCCGAAGCGCGGGCGCACCAGGGCAGCCGTCGTCCTGATGCACGGTCGCGGTAGCGATGCCAACGACATCACGAGCGCCTTTCTTCCCATCCTGCAGATGCGCTACGGTGGTAAAGCGAGGCAGGTGACCGAAAGTCAGGACGGTGACAAGGACGAAGCAGGAGAGGTCACCGTGCTCGCTATAGAAGCCAAGGATGGCAGCTGGTACCCGCAGTCGCACAATGGTAGGTTGTCGCGCCCTACAATCGCAGTCGTCTCTCTGACATCTCTGAGCACATTGATCCTTATTGCAGCGACGGAATCCGCCCTCACCGAGGACAACGAGCCCTTTCAGTACTCAGCACTCGACAAAATCAGGAGCACCATCCTCTTCCTCCACTACGAGATCGGGCTGCCGCTGGATTCAATTGTATTCGCTGGCTTCTCCCAAGGAGGGCTTCTCGCTGACACCTACCTACTCGCTGGACTGGATCAACTGCTCGACAACAAAGAGGACGAAGAGACAGTGGACGACCACTTCGTGCCTTTGCCCGGTTATATGCTCTCGTTGGCGGGATCAGTCTTCAAGACTCCCCCTCGTTTCCCCTCTCGTGGGCACCTCAACGAGACGCACCGCGAGAAACTCTCCAGCTCCTCCCGCTCCCCTTACCACGGCAAGACAGCTCCCCCTCAGCCATCGAGCATCCGCGCTCGTCTCATCTGCGGAACGCAGGATCGCTTCTTCACGCCTGACGAGATCAAAGAAGCGGCCAGGCAGATCGGGGAGAAGGCAGGGCGTGTTCGAGAGGAGGGCAAGGGTACGGATGTCGTGGTGAGCGTGGCATTTGATGAGGGACAGGGACATGTGACCACGGATAGAATGATCGCGGCCGTGATTCAGAGCGTAGATGAGATCTTGAGGAGAGGGTGAGCGGCGGGAGAAGTTAGCGGCGATGGTCACGGTGAGACGCGAGCGGGAGGTGGTTGCGCACCCAGCGGCCGGAACGAAAGTCAAGCGATGCAAGATCTGCTATCATTCTCGAAGCAGACTGTGCAAACAATCCGGCCTGCATAGAAGCACCTGTCAATGCCCATGCTTCTAATGCCTCCTCAGCAGCAGCGGGAATGCCAGGTCTGGGCAGGAGGTGTTGTTTTTGGGCGAAGGCGGCGGCGGCGGAGTTGCAAAGGCGGACGCCCGCACGCGCTTGTGGCTTGAATCGGCTCGTCCGCGAGCTCGCATTGATCCTCATCAAGAAAGGGCAAGGAAGATCTCGCTGGCGGCCACATGGCAAGGACAGATGCGATTGAAGATCATTACGATGTGCAAACGATCCATGTCGCGTCCGCGGCTCAGGGCGTCCGAACCTCCTCCGGCGTGTTCGTCCCATTTGATCTCTCTCGCTCCTCCCTCTCCCTCCTCGCCTTGCTGCTGCCGCCCTTGGGAAGCATCGCTGCGCTCTCCACTCCCCTCCTCGCTGCAACCCTCTTTCCCCTGCCTTCCAGCCAGCGCTCGTTCTTAATTTGCGGCGAGTCTTCCCTCTTGCGATTAATCAGGCCGCTCCACTGAGCAACGGGCCGATGTGCTCCGTTACCGAAGGGGAGGGTATTGGTGCGTCTCCCGCTGAGCGGTGCGGCTGAGGCGTCTTGAGGCGGGACAGTGAGATATGGCCATCGTGTCTCTTCGTAGAGGGCCCCGCACCCCTTCGTCGCAGTCCCCGGGCTGGCGGCAGCCAGCACGAAGTGCCTGGCGATCTCCGCGCTGATGGCGCTCTTTTGCCAAGTGCGATACAGGTCCGCCGAGACGGAGGAGGCGGCCATGATGAGATCGCGCTTTGCTTTTGGTCCCAAGGAGGCAGCAGACGACACGTCGCCATCGTAGGCGCCCGATCGCCACTGAATGTCGCATGGGCGAAAGCCACACTCCCAGAGGACGAGCGGTCTGTCGGCGGAGAGCTCGTACATGGGTTTGAGGTCGAAGACTGTGAGGCCGGTATCGTCCTCCAATGCATCGCCCTCCTCGTGATGCCCGTTTAAAGTGGCCGCAGCTGCAGCCTTGGTCAGCTGTGGCACCGAAGTAACAGCCGTAGCCCCATCGACCTCAGTCGCCGTACTACCTGGCAGAGCCACTGCTCCCCTTCTCCTCCGCACGCCGGCATCATACAGCCACTTCACGTCGTCCTCCCATTGGCCCTGTCGTGTGTTGATGAGCTCCTTGACAATGCTTGGCTTCTCCATCCTTGCCCCCACGAGGAACAGGATAGCCATGATGTGCCTCACTTGATGGTAGAGGAAGGCGGTCCCTCGCAAATTGAGGACGTACATCTCCTCCTGATCCGCTGGTGTAGGCTCGACGATGCTTGCGTTTGGCACACGCGTCTTACCGTCTTGCACAGCCGGCCAGCCAGGCTCGACCTTATCGATGCTCACCCCGTCTATCCTTCGGCGAAAATTGGTGATTTGCTTACTCGCATCTACTTTGCAGAGGTTTCTGAAGTCATGGTCGCCGAGCAAGTAGCTGGCCGCCTCCCTCATTGCCTCAATGTCCATTCTCGGCTGCGCACAACCTCTGACCGACTGGCCAGGTGGGGCAATCAAGTGCTCAGGTGGTCCAGTAGGGAAGAAGTATTTGTAGTGTCGGTACCGGCAGTCGAAGCGAGCATTGAAGCTGGGCCGGACGGGAGACCAGTCCAGAACACGAATCGAGTCGGGGAGGAGACGGTTGAGGGAGAGTACGTAGGGGAGTTCGGGGGACTCTGATGACAGGTCCGGTAGAAGAGTGGCGGGATTGTCCACGGACCATGGTGCGGTGTCGGTCGCGGTGGTTCTAGGTGAAGGACGAGCGACGCTTTCTTCGTCTGCGTCGACATTTGTTGACTCTTCATCGCTTTCGTCCTGACCGACTCCCCCAGCATGATATAGCAACTTGCCCTTTGCCTCCCTTTCAGCCAATCTCTCCTCCTCCCGTCGTCTCAACTCCCTCTCATCCACCTTGACGCTTCTAACCCAAAGCGACACGACCTGCCCCCCAGCGCTGACGCCCTTGTCCGTCCTCCCGCATCTAGTCCATCCAGCGCCGCTCATCCCCTTTTCGGGGTCAACGAGCCGCGAGAGGCATAGAGCGTTCCAGAGGACGGCCTCGACTGTGGGGAGGGAGCTTTCTGCTGGGCCTGTCGAGGAAGGGGATTGGCCAGCCAGGCCGTCACTCTGGGCAGCAAGGCCTGAGTAGCTCGCACCATCGTAGGCAAAACGCAAGGCGACCTTGCGGGTGGGCAGATCCGAAACGATGAAGGGGCGACGCTCTTTCTTAGCTTTGGGCGGAGTAGGGGCTGCCCCACTGCCCGATTGTTGCGGTGGGCCAGGCGCCTTTGCAGGGGCAGGGTTGTTTGTCGACTTGCTGCTGCCAACAGCAGTGCTGCTGTTGCCTCCACCTCCTCTGTTCTCAAGCTCCTGTATCCTCGCGATCAGCTGTGTATGCGACCAGCCATCGTATCGCTCCTGCGCATCGACCATCCTGTCGTAGAAGCGTTTCCGGCGAGAGCAACGAGCAAATGCTTCGTGCGAGTTGAAAGAACGGGCCGATGAATGGAAAGAAGAAGGAAGATTGAGAGGAAAAATGAGTCTCGTTCTCAACATGCCACGATGGGCGGGCAAGATGATGCGAGTGGATGAGGATCAGGCGGAAGAAGTGAACGACGGACAGACGGGGCCCAAAGGCGGACTGGCGCCAAAATCCTCAAGGCGGGGTTTTCGCTCGCGTGGTCAGACCAGGATGGGGACGAGGGAGCGATGCTTTCATTCTATTGCTTGCTCGCTCATCATGCTCGCTCATCATGTGAAGCGCCAAGTAGTCCTAGACTCTTCCACCATCCTCCTTGCCAGCTCCACGCCAACGATACGCTGCAACCTCAACAGATCATAGCGCGTGTACTGCGCCACGACGCTTACGTCCGACGGGTCCAGCTCCAGCTCTTCCTCCTGTCCATCCTCGCCCTCACTCCTCTTGACCTTCTTGCTCGAAGGGCGCAGATCCAAAGCTTCCACTAATGAAGTCGAAGTCGCGAAGGGGAAAGCCAGCGCTTCAACGAAATACTCCTTGTGTTCCGGCAGCCCATAGAAGACGACCGTCTGCGGCCCCCTAAGTACGTATCGCCTGTAGAAGTGGAAGCGCTCTGTCACCACCAAGAAGTTCTTCTTCCCGGCCACAAATTGTTGCCTCGCCCTCGCGATCTCTTTTCCCTCGCTGTACTCTGACAGGCTGGCGAAGCTCATCCCCTCCTGTGTCATGTAGTCTGTGAGGCGGACGAAGTCGAAGTACGAAGGCACAAAGAGGAGCGTCTTGCTTGCGGATAGGGCAGACTTGAGGAGCTTGGGCAGGGTCTTCTGCGTGAAGTAGTTGAAACGAACATCGTGCTCTGCTTGGAGATTTGCGCATTCGATTCGCGTGAAGGTCTGGCGGATCCCTTCCCTCACTTGATTCATCACGCCGGAGGGCTCTGAGATGGTGCGGGACTTGCCGGCCACGTTTGCCAACTTTGAGGAGAAGAGACTGCGCATTTCCGGACTGTCGTAGGAGGAGAGCAATATAGACTGGCGCATCTGCCCCGCCTGCCCATCGAGGTACCACTGCTTGACGCGAGAAAAGTCCGTATCGTGCGACTCCTTGGGCAAGTTGTTGAGGTTATTCATGACGAATTGCAGATGGTCCCAGTTCTGCATTGCGAGGACATCCATCTGGTCTGTGATCAGCACCTCAATCGAAGACAGAAAGTCGTTGTCCCTGTCTTTTTCGATCGCCAAGCGCAAAGCTAGCGGGCTGGCAACGATGAAATCGCTCTCGTAGAAGGCGGAGAAGAGCTTCAAGCTCTTGCGGGTGAGCTTGACGCCCAGAAGGAAGTTGTCATCAATGTTGCCCCTGAAAGTCTCGAGATGGTCCGAGGGATAGCGATCGCGCGCCTCAGGTTGCGTGAGCTTGTCCACCGCTCCCTGCGGCAGGTTGAACTCCTTCTCCAGACGCCCCTTGTTGTCCACCTGGGGGCAGCCAGAGAGGCGCTCCAGGAGGCGGACCCACTCGAGGGCACTGTTGCGCATCGGGGCCAGGATGAGGACCTTTGGTCGCGTGAAGCCTTGGTCGCGTGGGACCTCGACGTCCTCGCTGGATGCAGCGGCGGCGGCATGTGCTAGACGCTCATTGTTCTTGAGGATGCGACGTCGAGTCTTGATGGCGTGGCTAACAGCGTGGCAGGCGATCGTCTCGCGAGCGGAGGCTCGGTCGGCGATGGGGAGGGAGGAGTGGTAAAAGTCTTCGTAGGTAGATAGGCGTGACATGAGCTTTTGTTGGAAGGTTGTCGGCGGCTCAGACTTGCGCAGAGTATCCCAGCTGGCTAGGACGTTGGCATGAGGGCCGCCAGCAACTTCTTTGCCCTTTGCGCCCTTGGCTGTGACATGCGAGAAGTGGACCACCTTGCCTAGGTCGCTGCTGCCAGACTCGACAACTTTTGGCTCCCATTGACTGCCAGGGAGGGCAAGATCTGCAAGAAGAGCAGCGTGGCTGCCAGGTCCCTCTGAGGCAAAGTGAACCGAGAAAGCGTCGCTTGGCTGTGATGATGAGGATGCAGCACCAGTCCCTTCATCGTCCGAGTCGGGGGCGGCAGCAATCGCCGCAGTCGAGGATGACGATGGCACCACAGCATGCTGAGCTGTTTCCGTTGCTTTCTCGACGCCCTTCTTCGACGCAGCAACAACGGCTGCCGCCTCGTAGACACGATCATTGACCTTGTCCGAGCGCTTGCCGCCCAGCGGAGCGCTCCGCACTGCCTGCCCACTGCGCTTCCTCTTTCCAGGCTTGGTTGCCGAGACGTTGAGGAGCGTCAGGAGCTTTGTTGTTGGGTCGTCGACGCTCATTGCATATGCGTATGCGGAAGAAGTGAGGAGGTGAGAGGGTTGATCAGGAAGAAGATGCAAACAAGCGCTCGCTCGTGGCAATGGCGGAAATGGAGACGGGCAAGGAGAGCGGCCAGGAAGCGGACTGGCGCCAAATTTCAGAGCCGCGGCTGCGAAGGCGAAAGAGGGAGAGAGCGCTCCTCATGGCTCACGCAGCCTGCCTACACCTGCGACGGAGTAACGCACGCTCATTGCAGAGCCAAGATCAGGCAGATGATCATCATCAAGCGCTGTGGTATCGCATTGTTCCGCTCTTCTCAGCCAGGCACGCACGTTTGAGTCCACGCTCAGGAGCATCATGGCCCATCATCATGGCGACGGTCATGGCCGCTAGTCAATCTCTTCTCATCTCGCTTGACGCCTGCGCCTCCTTTGTTAAATTGATCACCAGACAGGGCGAGCCAAGCTAGCCAAGCAAAGGCGCTCGAGGCGACAAAGAAGGAGACCGCAGATGAGCAGACGACCGACCATCCGTCCCGTCGCATGATGCAAGCACGATATCTCGCCGCTCCTAATAGCCGTCGCTCTGTCGTTGGCGGTGTTGTGTTGCCCTTTTGTGTGTTTGACTGACTCTCCCTGTTGCTTGCTTCATTGCTGCCTAGCTTGCTCCGGCCGGCATGGCAGCATGCGGTGCTTGTTCTTCGATTTTTGGACCCTGGCAGACCGCCGACTGACGACAGGACGACCAAGGCGAGGCGGGCGCGGGACTTGAGACGAGAATGACGGGGTGGGTTGGGCGGCTGGCTACTCTTTCGAGAGCGAGCGGATGCAGGCCGTCGCTGCGTCGAGCGGTCGAGAAATAGTCTGGGCTCTTGCCGCTGCTCTGTCTCTGTCCCCTCTCTTTCCTCTCCCGTGTGTCTCGGTGTTGCTGCCGACTTGCGACTTGACCTTGGCCTTGCATCGCATCCACCGCCAATTCATCTGGCTGCCACTGCCACTGCCACTGCCTGCGTCGACTGGCCGTTCCTCTGATTGCTCGCAAAGCAAGCAAGGCAAACCAAGGAAGTCATCTCGATCTCGTCCCCCATCCCTTCCTCCTCACCGTCACCAACAATTCATCACACCACTCTCTTCTCTCCCTCCAGACAGCGACCTCACAGATACGCTGTTGAGGACCTCATCACAACCACACAATGGAGCTGCCCAGCACCAAGCCGGCGCCTAACAGCAACGGCGGCAGCCCCTTGTACCACTCTCCTCAGGAGAGTCCTTCAGATCTCCGAGAGGGCAATGCAGCATCATCATTGACCGCGGCAGCGAAGACGACGACAACTTCTTCAGCAACAGCATCAGATCCAAACAATGCCAACGCCAACAGCCCCAACTCGCCATCCCTGCCCCTCGCTTCCACGTCGTACTCCCCTCCATCGTCACCTCGTCGACCCTCCATGCGCAATCGAGCGAGGACAAACTCGACGAAGCTTCTGCACCGCTTCACTTCTCGCGGCAGTGTCATCGAGGACGGGACTGCGAGTGGCTCACAACCTCCTGGCTCACCCACCTCAGAGAAATCTGGCAAAGACTCGGTGGGCAAGATCGATCGAGCTGCATTGAGCCGTGCTCGCGGCAAGTACAAGAGCGGCGTCAATTGGGACGGTCTGCCCAATGGCGACATTGAGCCGTGGATGGAGACGGGAGATGTCGGTGGCTCACCACGCGAGGAGAAGCAGCTCCTTCAGGCCATCGAGGACGACTCGATGTTGTCGACGGGCGGAACGGCGGCTGCAAAGGCCTACTATAACAGCATGAACTTGTCCTTGAGCAGCTCCATCTTCCCGGCGCAGCAGAGGGCAGCATCTGAGGCCCAATTGCGTGCCGCCAACGAGCTCGCTGCCCAGCAACGCATCGCCCCCCCTGGCATGGGACCCATGCTTACCCATCAACCACAACAGCGCCCCCGCGGTAACTCGCACTCGACGAACAGCTCGGGCAGGCATAGCAGTAGCGATCGACTGCCCTCGATCAACACCGCTGTTCAAGCCTTGCAGGGATCGCAACCAGCTACGGCTGCCACGCTTTCGACAGATACTGCATCCTCGACCACAACGACGCCAACTTCGCGAGCTGCATTGCAAAACGGCAAGAACCAGCGTGGCCTTGGCCCCAACTCCACTCTTCCTCCAAGCGCTTGGAAGGGTCCTGAGCCTGGACCATCAACGGTTGGTGGCAGCAACGCAGCATCGGAACCCCGGCCCAGCGAGTCTGCAAGAGCGTCGCCGGATCAAGAAGTAGGATCCATCGAAGGCAGCAAAAGCCCAGCAGCCAGTATACGCTCAAAGCGACGGACCTTTCTCGGTTTGGGATCGAAGTCGACGGACAAGGTGGACAAGGTGGGGAAGAAGTCGAGACGGTCGTCGACTACGTCGTTCAGTGAGGCCGTGGGAGACACGTCGGTGGATGGCGCGGGGCGTAGACGGCGATTCCAAGATACGCGCGAGCTTGACCTCCTTGCTGCAGAGCTGGCAAGGGATGCGGCGATTGAGGCTCTGGGCCCACCTCAGCCAGGCTATGCGCAATGGTCACAGACGCCATCGATGTCCGGATCACGTACGCCGGCGGAGAGGAGAACATCAGGTGGGGGTGGATTGGGAATGCAGGGCGTCTCGCCCATGGCTACACCGAGTGCGCACAGCTTGGCGAACGGGAGCAGTAGTGGACCTCTCCAGCCATTCACGCCGCCATTCGCTCGCGAAGGCAGAGCAGGATCGCCTGGCTCGTCGACACCGGCCAGTCCTCGATCACTGAGCGAAGCTCTGCCAGGTGCGTTCGCTCAGAACCGCTCTGGTGCTCTGGGCAAGTCTGCAGCTGGCTCTCTCTCCACGACACAAAAGGCGCAGGTCTCTGGCCTTCCTACCGAGATGCTCACCGGTCTCGGCGACGGTCCCTACCCTATGGGGCCCTCCTCGACGGACGGCGACGGCATGAGCTCAGGCTACAACACTCCTCGTCGCAGTCGCGTCGGCTCTGCCAGTACTGGTAGCATCGTTCCCGCAAAGAAGAGCGTGCTGAGCATGACGATGCACGACCCCGAGGCGGAGATGCAAGGCTTAACAAAGCCGCCTAAATCGGGTAAGAACACGCCGTGGGGTAGCAGAGCACCGAGCAGGAATGTGACGCCGCGCAGCTCGGCGACGAAGCTGAATGAGGCCTTCAAGCAGCAGCAGGCCCCGGCTGTGCCTCTGCCGAGAAGGAGCGCCAGTGAGGAGCCGCAGAACACGAGCATGGCAAGCGCGGCAAGCGCAGCCACTGTGACGAGCGCTGCTCCGACGACTGTCTCGATTCCTACACCCGTCGCAGAGGCGCCCGCGCAACTGCGTGATGACTCGATGGCATCGGCCGCTCCGCGGTCAGCGCAGCGCTCCCAGTCGCCTGCGATTGCTCGTGGACCTTCCCCTCAGCCGCCGAAGGCGTCAATGCTCGGACCTTCAGGTCCAACAGCCGAACCGTCGCCTACGCACCTCGAAGCGGACAGTCGCCCTTCAACGATCGCTCCAAGCGGGAAAGCAGGCAGCACAACGTCGTCGAAGCAAAAGGCTCGTCGCTCGTTCCTCAGCGTCTTCGGCAAGGGCAACAAGGACGTCGAAGCCCCGCCGAGCGACAAGAGGGTCACAAGCAACGGTCGCCTTGCCCCGCCACCGACGACGACCTCGGCCGTCAGCCTCTCCAGCGAGGACCCATCGCAACGCTCCTCGACCATTCTGACACCTACGACGAGCGGACAGAACAGCAGCGTAACGAGATTGACGCCGAGCTCGGAGTTGAGCCAGCCTAACGGGAATGGGCAGGGTAACAAGCTCGCTGCACAGGCGTTGCGTGCTCCTAGCCCTCAGCGGACGCAGCAACAGAAGGTCGAGGGAGACCAGCTGACGGTGCGTCGCTCGAGGTCCCCAGTCCCTGCGCCCTCACCGACTCGTCCTGAGCGATCTGTCGAGAGAATTCAAGCGTCAGCCCCTGAGCAAGCACAGTCTTGGAACGCCGCTCAAGCACAAAGCAACGCTCCTGCCAAGCCTGCTTCTCCTGGCGCTGCGGCTAATGTGGGAAAGCGTTCAGCCTCCGCGCCCACGTCAGGCCCATCGACTACCTCCTCCGCAGCCTCGAGCAACGCGCCAAAGCGTCCAGGCAACCTGAAACGCCTCTTCTCGAAGTTCGGCGGCTCGAATGCTAAGCCGTCCAAAGCTTCTTCGGACAGCCCTACAAAGGCAGGGGGGCAGGCTCCTCCTATGCCAAACCAGCAGCAGCAGGCCGCAGCACGAGGCCCCGCTCCACCTCTTGGCAATGCTCCCGCCCAGCGGCCTGGCAACACCCAGCAGCAGCCACAATCGCAGCAGCAGCAGCAGCCCCAAGCTAAGGCTCAGCCTCGTGCACGAATCACGGCCGGTCCTCAATCCGCCAACGTGCACCACGGCTCCCAACAGCGAGCCAGCGGCGTGATCCACGGAAGCGGCTCTGCCCAGCGAGGAGGTATGATCTTTTCTAACGGCATGAACGGAAGTGCCACTCCCAACGGGCGCGCCTCGCCGTATGCCTCTAAGCAGCAACGCGCTCCTTCCCCCCTCTCGGGTGCCAATGGCGGTGTAACTCACAACCACCAGTCGGGCGATATCTCCACTGGTAGCTCGGGCCAGGAGTCAGTAGACTTCAAGATGGTGGGTCCTCCTGCGACCTTGGGCGGCCAGCAAGGCTATGCGCCGGCGACGGTCTCGGTTGGACGATAAGTGACTCCTCGCTCGCAAACTTGACTACAATACGACTAAAATGACTCACGAACACGGACTTTTCAAGCTCTACACACCCGCCCCTGTCCCTTCGATTCCGACTATTCAGCATCCATTCGCTCTCCACCACACTCCTTCGCAACGCAACATGGTGCGCGCCATCATTCGCCTCGCCAGCTCTTTCGATCTTTTCTCATCTACGACTACATCTTCTTCTTCTTTCGTCCTTCGGTGCTTCACGATGCCCTTATGACCGCGCCACAGTCGGTGCCCTTCTACTCTCAACCTTTCTTTGTACCCTCCGCGAACGGTTTTGTCTACTCCCTCTTCTATTTCTCAACGGCAAAACCCCCAGCCAGGCAGAACAGGCGATAGCAAATGAAGACCAATGCGAAACCCCACTCGTTGGAATTTCTCTCATGTCCTGTCTGCATTGCTTGCAAGGTAGTGACGTCTACGCCCGCTCTCCCCTCTCGCTATAGAGTGCGTCTACATCTGCTTTCCTCCATCTTCCTCCCACGCTGGTCTCGCGGGAAACGTCTTCCGAGCCCATCCCTCAAACAGAGCCCTCATCCTCCCCTTGCTCGTTGAGCCATAATCGTCATTCAAGCAGACAAAGGCGGGAACTTCACTCTCGTCCACCAACTCCGCATCGAGGTTTGTATCGCCTATGGCGCCCGTGCCGAGCTCGATGCTCAAGTCATCCAAGAAAGCCGCCGTACTGGCCTCGAACTCCATACGATGGAAGCGACTGGGTGAGGAGCCGATCACGTAGCTGTATCGCTGTAGCAAGCGCAAGGCGAAGTCCCGTTGCGACTTCTGAGCCCAACCGAGTGAGGAGGACACACTGGCAGAAGAGAAGTCCGGCTTGTTGTCTTCTTCGTAGGGAGAGAAGATGAACGCGGGGTCCTCGGAGAGCTCTTGCGACTTGTTCAGGGAAAAGTAGGTGGGAGTGAGAGGCAGGTGTGGCTCTTCTTGTGGACGTGGCGCAGTCTCGGATGGTGGGAAGACTTTGCCCTGCGGTGGTAGGAAGGCATTGAGGCCTCGCTGACCCGACTGGCCAAGAAGGTGTACAAGCAAGCAATCTCCACACTTCTCCCCCTTCTCAAAGGCGATCCGCTTGAACAAGTCCTGCGCGAGCATTCTGCCATCATCGCGCACCAGGCCGGACAGACACGCTGCAATGTCCAGCCTACAAGCCGTCTTCCCGTATCTGGTGTCCGTCTTTGGCGTCTTGCCCTCTCTAGCATGATATCGCGGGTAAGGCTCTTCACCGACCTGATGGACGCCGGAGGCCTGCCCACCTCCCGCAGGGCGAGGAGGGGCCTTGCTCTGCACGTAGGGGTGGAGAGTCATGAATGGGTACGCTCCGTCTTGCGCCACAAATTTGTAGGACGTTCTGCGGGGATGCGGGAGGGACAGAGAGCTGAGATGGGAGAGATGGGCATTCTGCTCAAAGAGCGAGCGATGTGGTAGGAGGACGGAGCCCGTGTATCGTCCCGAGCCGGAGGTGATGATCTCGTTGAGTGACTTGCCCGGCAGCGGGAGTCGTAGGCTTATGAGCAGATCTGTCATCTCGCTCGCATCGATGAATCCATCATCGTTCTTGTCGAGACGCAGAACGAGGTAGCTCCAGAGTGCCGCCTCTCTGAATCGCTCGACAAAGTAATGCGCCATCATAAAGTGGGTACTCGTCCCCGGTCGATCCAGCCTTTCACTCCTGAACCTGTCTTCTCCCGTCGCTCTCCACTCAGCAGCCCACATCATCCTCATCTCCTTCAGCACCCTCGTATCGAAGGTTCGTGGGTCGTGAACCGTGTACGGCCTGACGCGGGTGCCGAAGCGCCGGTCGAGAAGCCAGGCGGAGTGGGATAGGCTGGGCCACTCCCCGGATGACGACTCGTCGAAGTACCTGTGGCCCCGAACGAGGAGGGTCGGGTCAAAGCGGAGTACGGGTCCAAAGAGGGGTGTGGTAAAGTCGGAGAGGGTGAGAGGGGATGTGAAGAACATGTCGTCGTTTGCGTAGACGAAGGTCTCGCGGGAGGAAGGTGTGACAGGTGCACCAAGCATCGACTCGAAGGCGATGCTGTTGAAAGTTGGGAGATGCTCCTGTTTCCAGGCAGCGAGGACGTGTCCGGAAATACTGCCTGAAGAAGGGTTGAGCGTGGAGGCTGGATTGAGCCAGTTGGGCGTCCAGACTTGCCAGTCGTGCTGAAAGCGGAGGTGCTCGCCTCCAAGAGGAGAGGTAATCGCACCGGTCTTCACCTCGGGGTGGGACAGATTAACCCATCCGGGCACCTGGCCCCATTGCACCCGCCCGTCCTCTGTAAGAAACGTCGAATGCTTCTTCCTCGGCGCCTCCCAATCCACAGGAGCAGCATGCTTTGGCGGCTGTGCCGCAGCGATGTCAAAGGGGCGCGGAGGAAAGAAAGATGGACTGAGCACCTGAATGGTCCCCAAGTCTTGCAGATTTGTGGCGGCAGAGCGAACAGCGTAGCGCAGCTCGTCGATCTCTCTAAAACGATTCTCGCCTACATCGCGAAGGTGTATACCCTTCTTGCTCGTCCTATGCTCGTCCTTGTCACGCTTGGAAGCACGAGGCGATTTGGATTGACGCTGGTCCTCAGCCCACCATTCTTCCACCCTTCCTACCCCTGGTTGGGCATAGAGGTCCAGCGCACGAGCATGCTCCCAGTCAGAGCCGTTCACCCAAGAGAAGAGGACGTCGTGCTTTCGTGCTGGATGATCTGCTGGCCAGTAGACTGTTGATGCGAGACGACCGTGAGCTATCCATTCGTCAAGAGCGGCATTGTTAGCCGTGAGGGGGCGGTGGGCCTCGACTGCTTCCACCTTGCGGCGTTGCGAAGGAAGAGGGTAGCTGAAGGGTAGCGGATCGCTGGGGGGCTCGAGCGAGTGCGAGGGCTGAGGCCCAGAGATGAGTTCCACGGCGTAGGGCGGCAGCTTGTTGCTTGATGAGGAGCTCGAGGACGCTGCCGCGTTGGAGTAAGAAGCGGCCAACGGTCGTTGCCGAGCCCGAAATGAGGCGGGGAGAGAGTAGCGAGTGAAGGCAAAGACGAGCCATGCGCCAGATAGGGCAAAGCAGACAAGAATGAGGACGCCGTTGCGTCCTTTGAGCAATCTTTGCTTGCTAGCTCTGTCCAGCTTAGCCCTCGCAGGCTTTGGAAGAAATCCCTGCCTCTCATCGAATGACCGAGGCAGGAGCTCTGGCGAGGGAGGATGAGACTTAAATGCGAGAGGCGACTCTGTGCCGCTTCTTGGTGATCCACTGCGACTGAGATCCGGCGATGAATTGGTCGTGCTTGCTCTGCGTCTCTCCTGCCACTTGATGCGACGTTCAAGTAGTAGCCGCTGGACCTCCAGCTCTTGCTGCCAGCCATCGGCATCGCCGCTCGTCCTCGAGGAGGTTGATGCCCGTGAGTGACCGTCCATCACCATCGCCTCGCTGCCTGCCAGTCGAATGTTGAACCGGTCAGAAGGAAAGCAACATCGAAGTTCGAATTCGACGTCGACATGGCAAAGCTTGGCTGCCTCATGATTGAAAGAAGCAGGGTCCAGGCGGTGCCTGTGCCTGCCTGCTGCGCCGCCGGCAGACGGAGAAGCTATTCTGAGCAAGGTGAGGAAGCGTGCCGAGACCTGCCGTCAGGCCGTCAGGCCAAGACCACGCGACGTCGACGTCCGGCGACTTGGAGCGGCAGTCGAGGGCTCGAGAGCTTCTCGACGTCGAGTGGCTCCGACGGTATTCTCCTTTCCGTCGTACCCCATCTTCGTCATCATGGCAACATCAATAGCCGCACTCGCCCTCACGCGACAGCAGCTGCGCCTTGCCCCACGTAGGGCTGGTCTCTCTTCTCGCAGCTACGCTTCTATCTCGGACCCAACCCACTCGGAGATCCTCAATGCTTCTAGCGCCGCCTCATCCTCTTCTCCCGTGGAGGCGAGGAGACAGCAGGCCGCCAGCCCGCAGGAGAGGCGGACGGCTACACAGCTCGAGCAGGAGAGGAAGTTCAGACAGTACGAGAAGGTGCTGAAAGCCAAAGCTGCTGAGTGAGTGCGGTGAGAAGGCATGCTCGCGAGTCCGTCTCCATACTAACCCGTCTCCCGCGACTGCATCACCACTCCCGCCTTTCTAGGGAAGGCCTTTCCACAATCGAGGAGCTTGCCGCCAAACGTAAAGCCCAAAAAGACGCATCAGTCTCTGCCTCTCTCGGTCTCAAGCCCCCACCAAAGGCTACAGCGACAGAGCAACGCGATGCCGACCTCGCTGCCAAGATCCGAGCCGCAGCAGAGAAGGAAGCGGCTCGCAAGCTTGCATCGGGTGACCTCTCCAGCAACCCTCACGGCGAGAAGTCCCCCATCAAGCCGCTCGGCAGCATTTTGGATCTAAGCAAAATTGAGGGCAACGAGGAGATGAATGCGGACAAGATCAGGGAGCTGTGGACGGGCTATCACTCGCTCAAGGGCAAGTTGAGCGCAGCCATCCCCACGGAGGTGTACGAGCGCCTCATCAAGGTGGCAAGGCAGTACCCGCAGTTCGTCCTGCCTTTGCCGCGCACGATTGTGGGAGGTGATGACCCAGAGGGAGAAGTGCAGGCGACCAACCTACAGCCGGGAGAGAAGAAGCAAGGGTACGAAATGCAGTTCCTCGAATGGGGTTTCATCCCTACCGCCACGCCTGGAGCTCCGCCTGCTACGACGGTCCTCTTCACCCCGCTGGCTGAGTACAAGCTGAGACAGGAGTTTGCACAGCCTCTGTTGATCCTTACACACTACACCGACCTGGCACGATCGAAGGGCGTCGTTCTCATGCGAGGGGATGTCACATCAGCGGAGGAGGTCGAGGCCAACCCGGCAGGCGTAGCAGCTGCTGAAGCGGCGAAGGGACGAGGAGCGTCGGTGGAGGAGCAGGAGAGGTTGAAGCAGACGCCCGTACAGACGACGGTCAAGGCGCCGCCTGAGGAGGGTGGGGGAGGCGGAGGGGCAAAGATGAGCGAGAAGGATGCTCAGCTGCTCGCCATGACGATGCAGCGCTTCTACCTGCCGAACGCTGCGGAAGGAGATGCTGCGGCTAAGGAGAGGAAGGAGCTGCTGAGGGCTTTCCATGAGGACAAGGACGCTTTCAGCGTGCCTAGGCTGTGCGAGGTGGCTTTCACCTTCTAGATGGACGATAGAGGCAATGAAATGATTGTCTAAAAGTACATCTTGATACACAGTCGATCATGCGGCTCATGCATCGACATCCATTCCCTCGAGCTCCCTGCCGTCCCCGAACTGCCCATCAAACTCATCCTCTCCATCAGCCAGCTCCTCAATCTGTGCAGCCGACCCACCCCTCTTAGCCTCCAACTCCCTCTCATGCCTCTCGACAGCCTCAAGCGTCTCCGGATCATTGAAGTCGATGACGTCGCCATCTAGGGCCCCATCTTCTCCCAACTCCAGCCCATCCTGCGCCATCAATCTCTCAAAGTGCTCCTTCTCCTTGCGCTGCCTTTCCTCAATATCCTTGACACTCCACAGACTGACCCCACCCTTCGCCCCCTGATCGAAGGGTTGTGCCATTCGTCTGATGAAGAGCTTGCTCTCCACGATGGCCATATCCGTCGACAAGTTCGAATGAGTATCCGTGATCTGCTGCGCAATCCACTTGGGCAGCTTGCTCCTCTTGTCCGCCCGTGCGAAGCGCTTGTCCGCGAAGACCATCAGACCGTAGTCCGACTTACCGCGGAGTACTCTCCCCACACACTGCGCAGCGTGGCGCATAGCGTCGAAGGTGAGGAAGTCGTTTTCGCGGATTCGGAAGTTGTCCCTTAGGAACTCGAGGCGAGCCTTGAGAATGCGCGACTCGGTGTATTGGTACGGCACACCGAACATCACTACTGCGCGGCCGTAGTTGTGGTCGAAGTCGATTCCCTCTGACACCTTGCCTCGGGCAACGGAGAGGAGGATAGCGCCACGCCCATTGTCGCATGCTCGACGGTAGTTCTCCAGTGCGACAGAGGTCTCGGGCGCATCGGGCGTCTCGATGAAGACGAGCTTGTACTTCCAGACTTCTTCGAGGATGCCCATGTCATGCCAGGCGGAGACGATTGATTCCATGTAGAGGTAAGAGGGGAAGAAGGCGACCTGGGGGTGGAAGCAGGGGAGGAGAAGATGAGTGAAATGCTCGACGGGATGTCTGAAATTTTCCGCGGTTCCTACTCACGATGCCGTCCGGGATGCACTTCGCATATTCGATCAAGATCGAGCCGTAGTTTCTCACGACCGAGGGATCATTGCGCACCTCAAATCTCGAGCTGATAGCAATCTGATCGCTCCCCCTGGTGATGACCAGCGGCAAGAAACACTGCCTGGTGAGCGTCATGGGATAGGACTCCTGGACAACCGTTTCGAACTTGAGCATCTTCGGGTACATATCCAGGGGCGAGATAGTTCCGCTCGTGATGATGACAGAGGAGAAGCGCTCAAAGACGGGCTGGATGGCGAGGCTTGCGTCAAGGCAGGTGAAGTGGAAGATGGGGTTGGGTACCGTAGCGTTCTCTGTCTCAAAGGGCTCAAGGATAAGGAGGAAGCCCTGACGTTGGACGAGATTAGGGGAACGTGGTCAGCAAGAGAAGCAGAAGTGATTGAGAGGATTGACCTACCTTGTCGTAGGTCGCCACCAGCGTTGCGAATGCCGCCACCTTCTGCAGGGCTGCAAACTCATCCAGCCTCGTGAGCTCGAGCGTCGAGACGAGCATCCTCAACCTCTCTGCACAGAAGCGCAACGGCTTCCTCTCGATGTATGTGATGTCCTTTAAATGCTGCAAAAAGCTCGTAGGCGTCTCTGCCACGACGTGCAGCACTCTCATCCTCGTCTTGAGATACTCGACAAATCGCTTCAAGAAAGCGACGAAGTGCTCTGCTCGTCGAATGTTACCAGGAATGGCTTCTTTGAGCAGGTCCTCAGGCAGGACCGGGTTGGCCATGAATGTCTCTGCCTCTCGCTCGGTGGAAGACTGCTGGAGGCCCTCGACGAGGTTCGAGTATTCGTCTTGCAGCTTGGCCGCGTCCGTCTTCTTTACTTCGTCGACGCGCTTGGCTAGCTGGTCGACGGAGCGATACGCACTGTCCAGCATAGGGCGTGTGAGGTCGATGCTGAGGGACTCAATGCAGACATTGTCGATGTTGTGAGCCTCGTCAAAGACGACAATGGCATCCTTGGACATCTCCTTGCTGACCTGCTCTGCAACTTTTGGGTCGAGGAGATAGTGGAAGGAGTAGACGACGATATTGACGAAGGGGAGCATGCGACGAATGCCAAAGTAGGGGCAGATGCCTTGCTCGCGGGAGTAGTCCTGCGGCGAGGCGTGAGAGAGCAATCAGTATCCTCAGTGTGTACCGGCGCCTACCGCCACTCGCCTGCGCCTGCGCCTCTACTCACTTTTACGTCCTCCAGCGTCCACACGCCATGCGGCAGCAGGTGGCCAGGCTCGAGCTTTCCCAGATTCTCGTGGAAGTCGCACAGCTCCACGCTGCCCGGCTCTTGCCTTCCCTTCTCGCATGCCCACGCACTTGTCATATCCCTACACCTCGCGTCAACGACGTTGCCTCGCCTCTCCCGACTGACACTTGGATGAATGCATAGATTCTTCCTCGAGGACAGCCCCAGCGCCAAGATGTCCTCATGCTGACCTTGCCCTTTTGGCAGGGGTAACTCTCTCTCGACCCCATCCTCGTCCTTGACCTCATCCTCCCCCGGATTATACCGCGCTCTGTACTCCATCAAACGACTGAGCTCAGCCAACACCTTCTCGATCTCGGGTACTGTACGCGTGCAGTAGATGAGCTTGCGCGCAGCAGGATAGTGCATTTGATAGCTGACGATCAAGCTGAGCAAGGAGACTGTCTTGCCAGTTCCTGATGGGGACTCGATGACTGCCTTGCCGTTTGCGTCGAGGGTGCGTTTGAGGTCGTTCATCATTGCAACCTGCTCGGGGAAGGCGTAAGGGTATGGGAAGATGACGGGGAGGTCATCGATGTAGAAGCGCATGATGGGCGGCGAGGGGCGGCCGTGATGGCTGCAACGACGACAATGACGATGAGGGTAGGGAAGGAGGAGAGCGTATCGAGTGGATTGCTCAGCTCAGATCATCGCCCCCCGCCCTTCGATGCCATTGCCGCCAGTCCGTCTCCGTCGTCTCGCCCGACTCAGGGCTCAGCGGAAGGAGAGACGAGCGAGACGCGCCGCCGCTCAGCACAAGCCATCAAAGTGGGTCGCGAGCTTTCGACGCGATCCTGCCCTTCTCAACCATTACTCCAAGCCCCACGACCATCGCCACCCCGCATATATGCCCTCACGCACCGTCTCAGCGCCGAGGGTGCCGCGCTATGCAAGCAGGCCTGATCGCCGTCTGCCCGATGCAGAGCTTCAGCGCGATGCTGCAGGCGATGTAATCGAAGAAGAAGACGAGAATGAGCACCAAGGTCGCGGCGAGGAAGACGATGATGGAGAGGATGATGACAGCGACGCCACCGGTCCTGCACCATCCAACGAGCCCTCCGAACAGCCACTTGCCAGCACGGCAAGTATGACCATCAAAGGCTCCCTCCGCGACTGGGACAAATCCCTTGAGTCATCTCAGGCTCTCCGCTCGAACATCACAGACGCGACCGTCTCTTACGCCGAGCTCTTCTCGACCATCTCCGGCGCAAAGGGCAACGCCATGGACACAGCATTCAGAGACATGATAGATGCGACGTTTGAGGCTCAGCTGCGCCGCGAGGCAATGAAGCGCATTGCGGATCAGGTGGCTAAGGGAGAGGCGGTGTATGATGCCGTGGGCGCTTACGAGCGACAGGTCCAGGAAGGTTTGGAGGCGTACAAGGCCAAGACGACGAGGCAGAAGTACTTGCATCATGAGGGATACAAGACTTTCAAAGAGAGAGTTTGGGAGGCACACACCGATGAAGCAATGCCACCCTTGGCAGATTTCATCGATATCGAGGACGGAGATGAGCCGGATGATGATGATGACTTTACGGCGGGGGCGGTGCGACAAGAATACAAGTGGGTGCGATGTGGGGCGCTACTTTGAGAGATTTGAGCTGAACTCATTGCCCTCTCCCCTGCGTACACAGATGCCCATTGACGATGGCCCTCCTCAAGGATCCGGTCACCAGCTCCGTCTGCCACCACTCTTACTCAAAGGAGGCCATCCTCGACTACATCACACAAGCGCGCAACCGCGGCGAGTCGGCCAAATGCCCGCGATCAGGCTGCACTAAAGTCATTTCGCCGAGCACACTCAAGGACGACCGCGATCTGGCAAAGAGGGTTGCGACGCACAAGAGGAGGATGGAGTTGGCTGAGGGGAACAAGAGAACGCAGGCGGCTGAGATTATCGATTGAGCCCAAAAGTCAGTTCCCTGTCTCGCTGCGTCTCGTCACCTCTTTGCTACTGTCATCAGATCACCCTTTACCACTCATGTACTCTCACATCATTCTATACCAATCCATCGACTCGTCTTTCCACTCTATGCGATTATGTGCTAGCTCGCAATCCTTCCTACACAGCGGATGAAGCCCGCACCACCGTCTCCTGCCCAGCAACTCCCTCTGCATCTTCACCGAGCACAGCGTGCTGCTCAACCTTCTGCTTCTCCTCCCACTGCTGAATTCTCTGCTGCTTTGCCGCAATCTTCTTTGCCTCCCCTTCGGCTTTTGTCCTCTCCTCCTCCTCAGCCCTCAACTGAGCCCTAGCCTTTCGCCTCTCCTGCCTAGCTACGTTCTTGAGCTTCAATCGCTCTACCTGCCCCATAAGGCGCTCCTCGGTCCAAGCTTCCAAGCCCTCAAGTTCCGACTCAAGGATGACCTCGCGAGCACGAAGGGCGGAGAAGAAGCGACGCAGTCTTCGTTGTGCGGGGCGTGAGTTGTATTGGGATTGTTGCGTGAGAACTTGACGCCAATGCACCGAAGCAGAGGTGAGGAGCTGATGCTCGAGTGTGAGGAGCGCGCGGGCGCGCTGGGTCTTTTGCAGCACGATGTCGAGTAGCGACACCGACTGAAGACGTTGAGCCCGACTGCGCAATGGGTGGAGAAGGTCACGACTTGCTGTCGTCATGGCAATGTCGAAGGTGGGAAGGAAGGAGTCGCTGCCGTCGAATACGATCTCAGGTGAGGTGTCGGCCCCTTCCTCGCTCACCTTCACGGTAGCTCCAAGGCTGCGCACAAGGTCTCGCACCTCAAGCTCATAAGCATCCAGGGCTTCGTCGACCAAGTAGCGAGCCAAGGGGATGTACTGCCCTCGTTCCCGAGCTGCAGCCTCTGCGGTTTGAGCAGCACTCGCCCCTTCCTTTTCCAAGGCTGCTGAGGGGAAGCTGGCGTGCCTGATAAGATTTCTGTACACGGACGCCGTAGGCGTGAGGATGTGGCGCACCTCAGCGAGGCTGGCGGCTTCGGCTGGTGGTGCTGTCTCCAACGAAGCAGAAGAGTCGGCGGCGTTGGCTCGAGCTGCGGCTGCAGTGGCGGCCTCGCTCTCATCTCCCTTGAAGAGACGGCTGAATGTTCCAATGAAGTCGGTCTTGAGCTCAACCACATCATTTTGCTCCATCGTTGCAGCTCCGACTTCTGGGTCGCTCGAAGCGACTCTGAGTGTCTCAAAGGCGCCCATCATCTCACTGACCGTCCCCAGCTCACCCAAGGCGTCCACGATCGCGCCGAACAGCGAGGGTGCCCGCCCATCAGCTTGGAACATCAACGAGGCCCCACTCGGCATGAAGCTGCTAGCGCCCAGATCGACGCCGAATCGCTCTTTCAGAATTGATCTGATCCTGTCGACTCGGCCAGCTCGTGCCTGCATATCCACTAGCCAGAGGAGCTCCTCATCCTTTACGCGGATGTTGTCCTGGCCCATCTTTCGAACGAGGCCAAGAGCCGTATCGGCGCAGCGCGAGAGCACCGCTACGTGACGGTCCCTAGCGGCGCCAGAGGTAGCGTTCCGCGGTTCCACGGGGAGCGCTCGTACGGAGGTGTGTAGCGCCAAGAGGTAGGAGCGGTACGAGTCTGCATCTGGCTCAATTCCGGACACGTTGGTCATGCGCCGCCAAATCGAACGAGCGAGGTCAACATTGCCGGTGTTGCCCGCTTCGAGCAAGATGCTGTTGTAGTGGATGAGGTTGAGCGCAGCATCTTCCTCGCCTCGCGCAGCCGCCCTATCCAGCTGCTCGATAACGAAGTCCACTTTGCGTGAGTACTCTTTCGCCTCCCGAGGTGAGCTCGACGCTAGAACGGAGCCACTCTGATTGGCATCTGCCTTGACCCTTGGCGCCAGCATGGCGGTGAGCCTTCTGTCCTGCTCTGACAGGTCTTCATCTTCCTTCTCCTTCTCCTTCTCCCTCCTCTCACTCTGACGCGCCCTCTTCCTACTCCTCTTCGTTGCCTCCCTCGCATGACTTGGGCTGACCGTCATGAGCACCAGCCGATGAAATCGAGGAGCGATACCATCTGCCATGTTATCGCCCTGAAGAGAACGAGCGCAGATGGCCGTGTAGAGGCGCCAAATCGCGGAGGGGTCTTGATCTTCTTTGCGGGACGACAGGGACCTAAGAAGCGCAACGTAGAGGGCTTTGGTTCGGCGCTGTCGGGGACCAAGAGAGTCAAAGAACCCTCGCAAATTAGCGTCACCATGTGCGTTGAGAACGTGCGAAGATCTTTGCAAGGGACGTCGGGTACTGGATGGTTGGCTAGGTTGAGGGGCACGAGGAGATGAGGAAGGTGCAACTGAATGTATGCTGCGAGGAAGGCGCGAAGAGGAGGCGATTGGTGATGCTGCTGATGATGATGATGAGGAGGCGGCAGCTTGAGCTGCGAGTGCCAGCCTCGGTCTGCCCATCGAGCCAACAGCTGCCGTTGCCATCCTGCCAAGCGTCCGGAAGAGTGTGCGGAGAAGTTGAGAATGAGTGGGAAGAAGAAAGGACGAGCTCGAGATGGTCGGACGAGGCGGGAGAGCAGCAGCGGAGAGACAAAAACGACGCCTGCGCCTCCGCGTCCTTCAGGTCCTCATCGCAGTCCGCTGGGCGAGCCCGCTGATCAGCATCATGAAGTACACAGGTATCGTGACAGTGTGGCGTGAAGGGCTCAATTGACGACTATAGGAGATCGAGAGAGATATTGATACAGAGGCTTGCCATCGTATGGACAAGTATGTCGCCGGAGAGCGGCCGCGCCTCCAGCTCAGCGGGCGACGATGGAGGGGCAGAGCACGCAGCGCAGCGTCCGCTCCTCGTGCGACGTCGATAGCCTCTGCCTTGGTGTGGTGATAGTTGTCTCGCCCTCCCTCTCCTGCCTGGCAAGGCTGACTGTGCCCTTACCAGCTGCTGTTGTTCAGGCCGAACCTCCGGCTGCATTTCCCTCTCGCCCAGCCTCCTCCCCATCCTCGTCATCCACCTCATCGACATTCATATCGCCTTCACCATCATCTAGCCAACTCTCCTCGACGGTCTGCTTGACCCTCTTGACATATTCCTTGCGATTCTCCTTCCAAAGCTGTGCCGCCTCTACATTAGCAGGGGAGGCCGAGTTCGGGTCGTTGAGCAATGACTGGACGGATGTTAGGATGGCGGAGACGTCGTAGGTTGGAGACCAGCGGTTCTGCAGGATGTCCAAGCATAGCTCTCCAGATGCATAGACGTTTGGGTGGAACATTCGCGAGAGGAACTTGACTGTGGGAGGTTTATTGGGGTAAGACTCGTCGAAGGTCATGAGAAGCTTGAATGTGCCGTCTTCGAAGGGGGTGTCGGCTGTGCGAGGAGAGCGGGAGAGGGGAGTATTGTAAGAGAGATGAAAGACAATCAGCTTGGAAGTGCTCGCTCCTCACCTGGGCCAAAGATGACAGCGTTCCAGACCATGAGGTTGTCGGGGCAAGGAGCGCCACTGATGCCTCCGGGAGGATCGGTGGACAGCCTCTTGAAGTCGCGAATCAGGCGGCGCTTGGCAGGGGTCGACTGAGAGTCGAGTAAGATGGGAATGTTTGTGGGTCAGGATCTTGTCAGAGAGCGCTGCTGCTCGCCATCAAGCGTCACTCACCATCTTGCTGGAGGTGGAGCGCTAAGTCAAGTTGTAACGACGATGTGAGATGGGGTAATGCGCTCGCTCCTCGGACTTTTTCCACACAGTCTAGGAGCTTATCTCTAGAGCTCTCGGCCCTCTGATGCTGTCACTTGGTGTTGTGGAAGGAGCAGGGTTGGCGATAGCTAGCAGCGGTGAGGTGTTGGAGAAATTGAGCGATGAGCGAGGAGGACCACTCTGCTGCCGTTGGTTCGCCCTGAGCAGCCTCGCCGCCGCCGCCGCCGCCCTGCGCCCTTTCTGGCGGAGCGGGGCGTCGACTTGGACTCGGACTCGGTGACGGTCCGCGCTTGGGCCACACGACGCAAGCAAGCAAGCAAGCTCAAAGCGCACAGAGAGAGAAAGCGACATGGCAAGAAGCAATGCATCTTGCTCCTCTTCAACTAACCCCTCTTTGTTCGAGCAGGCGCATCGTAGCATGGCAGATAGCGACGCTGATCGGGCGGCTCGAGCTGCTAGAGCGAGAAAGCAGGTGAGCATGCCAGGAATGGCGATGAAGCTGTCACACCGCTAATCCGTCTCTGTCTCACTGGTCACAGCTCAAGAAGCATCAGCAGCAAAAGAAGAAGGCAGCTGGTGCAGATGGCGGAGAGGCAGCTACGAATGGTGGTGGCGACGACGATGTAGAAACAAACGTAGATCCAGACGAAGCTCCAACCAGCACCGCCGCAGCTTCACCATCAACACAGGCGCCAGGAGATGCGTCCAGCCTCTTCCAATCGTCCTCGAGCTCGGATGAATTGCAGGGCCTCAAGGATCAAGTATCCTCGCTCGAGACAAAACTCAAAGAAGCGTCAGAAGAGAGCGCCAAGACTGCTGCTCGTTCCTCAGACCTTGAGAAGAGAGGCCAAGAGCTGGAGAACGCAAAAGACTCACTACGCGCAGCCACCAAGGAGCTCGAGGAGCTGCGGGCAAAGGTCGAGAGCCTCCAGATGGAGGGCAAAACAGTCGCAGAACGGTCCGAGAAGGATGCTGCAGCACTCAAGGCGGCAGAAGACAGGGTTGAAAAACTCGTGAGTACGCATTTCACAAATTGCCTTGGCGCATCTTCACCTCGCTCATGCCAACTGCTCTCGCCCGCAGACCAACGACCTCGCAGCACAAAGAGATCAGCTGCAACGGCACCAGCAGGATGCCTCGAAAGCTGCTGAGACTGCTCGCTCTGAATCCACCGTCGTAGAAAAGAAGCTGCAAAATACTGAAGCAGAGCTCACCCGGCTAAAAGAAGAGCAGAGCAGCTCATCAAAGAGCCTGGAGGCTGCTCAGAAGGAGCGAGACGAGCATCAAGCACGGGTCAAGACACTTGAGAGCCAAGCGGCTGCGGACACAAAGGGCCGCGATGGGCTACAAAAAGAGCTCGGGAATTTGCGGGACGCTCTTGCAGAGCTCGAGGCCGACGCCAAGGCAAAAGCGGAAGATGTCAAGAAGCTGAGCTCCGAGCGAGACTCGCACCAGTCAGATGCGGCCGCGAAGGCGGACAGCCTAGACTCGCTACGGAGTGAGCACGAGGACCTCAAGAAGGAGCTTGAGAAGCATCGTAATGCTGGGAAGAAGCTGGAAGGCGACGTCAAGACTCACGAGGAGCAGCTCAAGAATCTCACCTTGGAGCGAGACTCCCACAAGTCGGAGGCTGAGGCGCAGGCGTCGAGCCTCAGCTCACTACAGAGCAATCACGACAGCCTCCGGAAGGAGCTGGAGGAGCTGCGCAGTGCTCATACGAAGCTAGAAGCAGACGCCAAGACCAGGGCGGACGATCTCAAGCAGCTGACTTCGGAGCGCGACTCCCACAAGTCGCAGGCAACTACCAAGAGTGCCAGCCTCGAGTCATTACAAAAAGATTACGCCAGTCTGCAGAAGGAGCTCGAGGCACAGCGCAGTGCTCGTGCAAAGCTCGAGAGTGATGCCGCGACGAAGTCAGAGGAGCTCAAGAAGCTGACTTCGGAACGTGATTCACATCAATCGGACCTGAGTGAGAGGTCCTCAAGCCTTTCGTCGCTTCAGAAAGACCATGATGGCCTCAAAGAGGAGCACAACTCGACCAAAACTCAGCTGACCGAGAGCCGCAAGTTGACAGAAGAGACGCAAAGGCAGCTCGAAGAGGCCAAGTCGCAGCGTGAAGGGCTGGCGAAGGAGACGAAGGAGGTGCAGGATTCCCTGAAGGCGAGGACAGCCGACTTGGAGGCAGCGAAGAAGGAGGCGGAGGACCTGCGAGCTCAGCAAAGCGCAAGCGGGGAAGAGCGCCAAAGGGAGAGTGCGAAACAGAAGAAGCTGGCCGCCGAGTCTGAAGAGAAGATCAAGGCGCTGCAAGCCAGGTTCGATGAAGCTTCTTCGTCAGCAGAGATCAAGCGCGTGGAACTGGAGGCGAGCCGCAAGGCGTCCGAGGAGGAGGCAGAAAAGCTCCAGGCCTCCGTCAAGGAGCTGGAAAAGAAGCTCGAAGCCAGCTCAAAGGAGGTGCAGAGGAGCAAGAGCGAGCTGGAGTCTACGTCCTCTGAAGCGAAGGAGAGAGCGGCCGAGCTGGAGAAGAAGGTCAAATTCCTTGAGGAGGCGATTGGGGGCCTGGAAAGCTCCAAAGGTGATCTTGAGTCGAAGCTGGAGGCCAGCTCGAAAGAGGCCGAGGAGCATCGAGGCAAGCACACTGCTTCACTCAAAGACCTGGAAGTAGTACGAGCGCAGGTCGGTGCGGCTGAGAAAGAGCGAGACGAGAGAGCCGGCGAGCTCAAGACGACTCGCGGCCAGCACGAGGCCTCGCTCAAGGAGCTTGAACAGCTGAAGACATCTTCAACAGAATTGCAGAGGAAGCACGATGCTGCTGTCAAGGATCACTCCGATGTCAAGAGCAGATCGGAAGCGGCTGCGAAGGACCTAAGCAGCCAGCTCGAAGCGCTGAAGGCGTCTTCCGCAGATCTTCAGAAGAAGCACGAAGCAGCGCTGAAGGAGCACGCCGAGGCGAGGGACAAATCAGAGGCAGCTTCCAAGGGCCTCAACGGCCAGCTCGAGCAGTTGCGCAAAGATCTGGACACGGCAAAGACGGAGCATACCAAGCTAAAGACGACCTCCTCTGAGCACGAGAAGCGGGCGAAGGAGCTCGATGGCAAACATCAGGAGGTGTCCACAGGCTTGAAAGCAGCTCAGCAGCAGCTCGCCGAGGAGAAGAGGCGTGCAGCATCACTGCAGGAGGAGCAAGCCTCACTCCAAAAGCAGCTTGAGGATGCCCACTCCCAGGCCGAGAAGACGCAGATTTCCCTCAAGACCAGCGAAAGCAGTCTGACTGCGACGAAGAAGGAGCTGGAGAAGGGGCAGAAGGAGGCGAATGATTTGCAGAAGCAAGTATCGCAGCATCAAAGTCGGGCGAAGGAGCTTGAGACCGAGCTTGCGAAAAGCAAGGCGCAAGGCGAGAAGTTGCAGAGCGACAAAGACGAGCAGAGCAAGCAGGCAGAGTCGTCAGCGAAGGCAGTCGCTGCGTTGGAAGCTGAGGTCAAATCGCTCAAGTCTGAACTTGAGGGCGCCCAGAAGCAGGTTAAGCAGACTCAGTCAAAGCTCGACGAAGCCAACAAGTCTTCGTCTGCGACACAACGCGACCTCACCGAAGCGCAGTCCCGCATCGCCGGCCTGGAGAAGGAGTTACAATCCTCCCAGACAAAGCATGACCAGCTCTCGACCTCTCATAGAGAAATCTCTGCGCAGTTGACACAACTCAGTAAGGAGCACGATACTCTCAAGCAATCATCCTCGCAATCCAGCGACGCAGCCAAGGCGGAAGCTGCCGCCCTAGCCGGTACCGTCGCTCGTCTGGAGCAAGAGCTGGCCGAGGCGAAGAAGGGCGCATCGGCTGCGGACGGCGAGCTGAAGGCGACCAGGGGTAAGCTGGAGCTGGCGAAGAAGAGGGCATCTGCAGCGGATGGAGAGCTGAAGAAGATCAGGGGGGAGCTTGAGGTGAGAAGGACGGAAGTGGGCGAGGGACGCAAGGAGCTCGAGAAGGTGAGGGAAGAACTGTCGACCCGTGCGATCGAGGTCGAGAACCTGGTCAAAGAGCTTCGTCAGGCTCAGGAGCAGCTTGCGACTTCGACAAAGGACAGGGAGACTTCAACCAAGGAGCTGTCCCAGCTCAAGGAACAGCTGGCAGCCGCATCCAGGACCTACGAGGCGGAACTTCGTGACGTCCGTGCGCAGCTGTCGACCGCGACGAAGAATGGCGAATCGTCGTCGAAGCAGCTGGCACAGCTCAAGCAAGAGCTCGAAGCGGCGACGAAGAAGCACGGCGAGCATGACACTGCCCACAAAGCGCTACAAGCTGAGCTGGAGAGCGCCAAGGAGTCCGCTGCTGGTCTAACCTCGGATGTCGAGAAGCACAAGAGTGCCGCAGCAGAGGTGCAAGCGCTGCTGGATGCTGCAGAAGGGGAAAACGCCAGGCTACGCAGCGCAGCTGATGCGCAGCACAGCGAACACACCACCTTGACCACTGATCTGCAAGCACGCCTCTCCGAAGCGGAAGCGGAGCTCTCCACCACCACCACCAAGCTCGCCGCTCTTGAGGAGCAACTGGCCTCAGCTACCTCGAAAGCAGAGGAGGCGGCCGCTGCTGCGGACAAGGAGAAGACGGCCCGCGAGACGAGCATGGCATCTCAGCTCGACGCGCTCACATCCAGCCACGAGCTGGAGCTCTCACAGCTACGATCAAAGGTGCGCAACCTCGAGGCGAGCCTGTTCGAGGAAGGAGAGAAGACGCATCGTTCCGCCAAGCGCGTCGCAGAGATGGAGGAGGAGCTAGCGCGTGCGAGAAGCAGTGGCAGCAAGAATGGTACATTGTCCGCACCAGCATCAGCGCCCACTCCTACACCTGCGCGACACGGCTCCTCCCTTCAGGTCAACAACGCTCCTCTCGGCAGCCGAGCGCACAGGCGCAGTGCAACTGCAGCGCATATCCCTTCTCTGTCCCCGCTCACAGAGGGCGAGACCATGGCCGATGGCGGGAGCAGCTTCCCCTTCGGCGAGGCAGGCTCTACGGCGGCTGGCTCGCCAACCACGCCAGGAGCGAACGGTGCTTCTACATCCAGGTCGGCGGACTCGGCGTTGACGAAGGTCAAGAAGGTGCCACCAAGCAAGGAAGAGCTCATCCCCAAATCGCAAAGACACAGACGGCGCGAGTCACTGCAACTCCTCGGCATGAGAATAGCGGCAGATGCGCCTGACTCTGCTCCCTCGCCATCCAGCGCCGTCTCACCATCGTCAAATTCAGCATCCAAGATCCCGCCTATTCAAACCATTGCGCCTGATGGCCGTACGACGACTGGTCATGCGCGCAAGCAGTCGAACCCGCTGGATAGCGAGAATGTGCTTGCGGCAGATGGAAAGGATTCGTCACTCAGGACGGCTGGTAGGGTGCATGTGAAGACGCCGCAGCTGGCGGATAGTGGGTTGTTGTTCTGTAGTCATTGCACCGGGGAGGAGTTGTTGGTGGTGTGAGTGGGCTAGCGGTGAGGGGGCAGGGAGTCATGCTGGATTTTGAGTCGCGCGACACCTTCGCCATGGGAGCGGTGAGACAGATCTGTTTATTGAGCATTGCCAACTCAGCTGTGAGACATTGCTATGAGCGAGACGAAGAGATTGAGCCACCGTAGGAGTCGTTGCATTGATCAGCAGCGCGATCGCGTGGGGCGATCGGCTAGCCTAGTCTACTCTAGCTTAAAGCTCGCTCGACGCGATGATGTCGTGCGTCTTCGGCCTCGCCTGGCTCGCTCACAAAAGGCTTTTGACGGACGGACGAGGGAGATGAGCCTCGGAGCAGTCGGACGACAAGAGTGCGGCGGCGGGAGGAGCGGGGCGCGCCGAGCTCGTGGACCGAGAGGAAGCCTTGTCCTGTCTCGCGAAAAAAGGCTCGAGCGAAAGGGAGAGAGGAAGAAGCAAGCCTCCGCGTGCGACATCCATCGATTCATCGATCTCACTTGCTCATTACTACCACTCATCCCTCCTCCTCCTCCTCCTCCTTCTCCCACTCTCGTGGCGCTCAATTGGACCTCGGAACCCCTTGGTCGCCGTCGCTTTCCACCCCTTTAGCGTCCTCCGCAGTTTGTCGTGTGCCGCCTTTCCTTCCTCCTCGCCGTCCTCTTCGCCGGAGCGCTCAGTCCAATTCCGAGCCGGACGTCCTTGAGCTTTCACCGAGAGTAGCAGGAGATCGACTCCTAGTTGGTGCCCGCGTCTCCTTCCCAAGGCATCCCTTCACTACTCAACACTAGCATTTTCAGCAATCTCGAGCTCTGTCCGTAGTCAGGCAGAAGCACGGAGACCTCGACGAAGGCGCTGCTCCTCGTCGTAACCTCCAGCCCTCCAAATAGGCTTCTGCTTTCCAAGCATGGCCTCCATCTTCGATGCTGCCCAGTCAGGCGACGTTGCCGCCCTGCGCAACCAGTTGGACGGCTCAGCATCCAGCGGACCCGTCGACATCAATGGCAAGGACGCCAATGGCCGCTCGGCTCTCATTCTGGCCGTCGAAGCGGGACATGAGGACGCCGTATCTGAGCTTTTGAGTCGAGGTGAGTGACTCCATTTCCTTGCGAAATGCTCTTCGGGCGGCAAACTGACGTTGAGATCCTCTCCTGATACCAGGCGCTGACCGTCACGAAGCCCTCGCTGCCGGCCATGGCCAAAACGGCTCAAGCATCGCATCTCTCCTCAACGAGGCTCAGCTGCGCTCCCAGCACCCCGGCAGCGACGACCAGCAGCCTGCACCGCACCACATGTACGCACCCATCCCCACAGACATTTACGGCGGCTATCAGCTTCCCGACGGGTCCATTGCCTACGGCGGCTACCCACAATACCCTCCCCCCTTCCAAGGCCAAGGAGCAAGCGGCGCTCCCGGTCAGCCCGCCTTCTACCATGACCCAGTCATGTTCCCTCACGCCTACCCCTCCTTCCCTCCCATGAATGGCGGCCCGCGACCGCGAGGCTCCTCTTCTTTCGGCCAAGGGCGCAAGCCCTCGACAGTCGGCAAGCTCCCTCCACCAGAGGTAGCAAAGACGATTCCATGCCGCTTCTATCCCAACTGCCGTAATGGTGCTAGCTGTATCTTTGCCCACATCGACGGCCCCGTTCCTGAGAACGGTGATGTGGCCTCCCCTTCTCACCCGCACCACGGGCCTCCTCACCATCCTCACCACCATATCCCGCAAGATGGCTCAGCAGGGCACCCACCGCCACCCCCCGGCTACTATGGGATGCCTCAACCGTTCCCGCCTCACTTCTTCATGATGCCTCCGGGTGCGAATGGAGCTGGGCCCATGGGAATGCCTTTCGGAGGACCGTCAGGCGCACCGATGCCGTTGCACTACCAGCCGCATGAGGCGCCGCACCCAGGACAGATGACGCCCGTTGCTCCGATGGCAGAGGTACAACCGCAGGAAGGTGCCGCGTCTGCTCCTGAGCAGCCTACCGCCGGCGAGGCGTCAGCGAGTCCAGCGCTCGCCAATGGCGAAGAGGCGCCCAAGGCTGCTACTGCTGAGGGCGAGGAGAAGACCACGACTGAGCAAGACGCGGCCACCACTGCAGACAGCGCCGCGCAACCACGCCGCCAATCCTTCAGCACCTTCCTTCACTCCCACGCCGTTCCCTTCCAACCAGCCTCCGTCGTCTCTTCAGTCAATGGCGCCGCGGTCCCCATTCCTATTGGCCCTGCTGCGGGGTACCCCGGGCAAGGCCACAGCCAGGGTGGCTTCAGCGGTCGGGGCAAGCTGCGCGGTCGTGGCGGTGGAGCGGCAGGGATGATGGGCCGAGGAAAGCACGAGCGTAGCCCTTGCACCTTCTTTGCAAGAAACGCCTGCAAGTACGGATCGGAGTGCCTCTTCCCTCATATCCTCCCTGATGGATCTGATGCGAGAAGGCTGCCTGGCATGCTTGCCCAGTCGCAGCATCAGCGTCATCATCAGCATCACGCACATCACCATAACCAGCAGGTGGAAGGCGCAGCTGCTGGCCCCTCGTCGGCCGTCCTCGTCAACGGCGAGCCTATCAAGACGGGCAACACGCCCCGCCAGCCTGCAGCAGCATCCGTGCCCCTTGGCCCGAAGCTGAAGAGGGAAGCCGGTCTGCCGCCCACCCCCTCCGCTGAAGTGACGTCGACCGCAGCTGCGCAGCAGCACGAGAGCGGCTCATCAAAGAAGGAGAAGGCTCAGCCCAACGGCAGTGCAGTCGTCCCTTCCAAGCCATCCGCAACAGCCACGGCGGCCGCAGCAGCCTCTGCTTCCTCATCACCGACGCAGCAGCAGGCACAGCCCGCCCAGTCTGCTGCCGCTCCTCAGTCAGCAACCTCATCACAACAGCAGCCCCAACAGCCACGAAAGGGCAACAGCAAGGCTAACGGTAATGCTCAGAACGGCAAGAAAGGCAATGCTGCAGCTTCATCAGCCGCCAGTGCGGCCGCACCACAGCAGCGCATGCCCGTCGGAGCGGACTTCCCTGCCCTTCCCGGATCGCCGAACACCAACGGCACTCCCTCGAACGCCCCTTCACAGCCTGCCCCCACCACTAACGGCACGGCAGCCACTTCTCCCGCTCAGCCGGCAGAGACCTCGCAGGCTTCTTCGCCAAAGGCAGCCGTAGCGCAGCCTAAGGTGAACTTTTCTGCTATCCTGTCTGCTCCTGCCCCTCCTAAGAAGGTAGTGGAGGCACCCGTCACCGCTGCACCAGTTGCCGAGGACAAGTCAACCAATGGCGACGCCGAGCACCAGCCCCAATCGGAGGAGACCGCCGTCCCCGCTGAAGGCAAGCCGCAGCCGAATGGCCACGCCGCGCCCGCTGTGAACGGCGCTCCTTCGAAGCCGACCACCAACGGCGCCTCCGCCTCCAAGGCTTCCAAGGGCTCCGGATCTGCCAAGACGACAAAGACCTGGGCAGCCAAGCCTGCCCCGACCCCTACTGCGAGCAAGGAGCCTGTTCTTGATGCTGACGACTTTCAGCTTGTCAAAGGGAGGGGACACAACAAGAGGACCACGGGAGGCGGTGCTAGTGGATCAAGGAGCGGCGGGTCTTTTGCTGGGGCGACAAAGGCTGCCATGGCTGCCTGAGTGAGCACTCCAAGCCTTGTCGACTCTTAGCACCCACCTCAACAGGATCGCCTTGATCGTCGAAATCGCACAGAGCTGCGCAGCATCTCCTCAACTCTCCTCGAACAGGAACATGTCGCCCATCGCACAGCTTCCACATCCAGGCTCTAGACCAAGCCTACCATCCTACCGTCGCTCTATCTTGTCTCGACTCGACTCGGTTCGACCTTTCCACCTCCCTCTAGAGCACCTTCCTCCAAGCCTTCCACCCCCCCCGCGCGAACCCTTCGTACTTCGTATCGATCGATAAGCTAGAGGCCAGTCTTCCTCCTCTGTTCTCTCAACAGGCCCCACGACCCCACACACCTCCAGACCACGACCGACTTCGTCGACCCGTCGCTCCTAGCATCGCCTTGTCTCCTCTTCCTCTTGTTGTGCCGGCGATCCCACCTACTTTCAGCTTCCTCACTTTTGCGATTCTGCCATCTCGAATGACATTGGATCGTCTTGTTGCTGCTCATTATAGTGTGCTGTGGTGTTGTTCTCGTCTGTCTGACTCGCTCGACACTCATCAGGCTGCCCACACAGGAGAGAGGGTCGGGTCGCGAGATAGCATATCATTCCCATTGATCTGCTCGCAGTAGCGGCGTCGCCGTGCGCGTCTTGTTCAACATTTCTCCTCGCAGTCATTGCACAAGAGGCTGTAGCAGCCGGGTATCGCGCGAGATCATACCCTCGTTGCCTCATTCAGCGATATCACGTCCTGCCGCTACCCGTAGACGGTGAAGCCTACGTATGCGGCGGCATCGTGATTCGGCGCCGATGATCATGACGACGAAAGCTCCTCTCTTGCTGTTCACCAGCCGCCACTGCTACGGCGAGCCCATTGCGTCGCCCACCGTCTCGCCGTGAGATCTTGCTCCGTGTCTCGCGCTTCATCTCCGCTCTCCCCCGATCTCGATCTCAATTGAGCTACTGTGACCACTCATCTCTCTCCATCTCACCACCCTCACCCTCATTCACTCACCTCTTACAACACCAATGCCCCCTCGATACGCTCGATGACGTTACTCACTCACCGTGTATCTGCCACTTTGCGTCTCCTCCCTCACCATTTGCTCCCGACCACCCACGAGCCCACAAAGGTCACCCCGGGCGGGGCGACGATCGACTCGTCTCTTTCCTTTCTTACCATCACTCGCATCTCCACCGATTTTCAACTTTCGTTGATCTTACCGTCGAGAAGCCATCGTATCAACCGCTACCGAGTTGCAGCCAATCGCACCTCGAACACCCAAACACACACCCGCCCTTCTGCCCTCTTGCAACAATGCACACCCACATCACCGCCAAGAGCAAAGCTGCCATGAAACGCAGCGTCCTCGTCGATCACAAAGCTCCTCCTACCCAGACCCCTATCGCTCCTCTTCGTCGCTCTACTCCCATCCTCACCAGAGCCGAATCTAGCCGTCGAGAGTTCCTCCTTCCTACCCCACTCGTGCTCGTCAACCTCGTTCCCCCCACGCCAGAAAAGAAGCGCATTCGCTCCAAAGCTAGCGCAGGGCTTGTCCCCTCCAGTAGGGCCGCCCGTGGTGGGCCTGTCGCGAAGGCCTTGGCTGCTGGGCAGAGCTGGCCACCTCGTGCCATTGGTGCAAGCTGCAGCAAGCAGATGGAAGACGGGGAAATGCTGGGTGACACTTGGTTCAGGGAGTGGGCGACTCGCAAGATGGAGCAGGAGGAGGGGGAGCAGTTGAGGCTCGCTGCTGAGGCTGAGGCTGAGGCCGAGGCCGATACAACCATCGTGGTTATCGAGCAGGACAGTGAAGAGTCCCTCGTCCTTGGCGACTTTGACGACGCTCAAGATGAGGAGTCTCTGCTCGTCCTCGCCAGTGATGACGACACAACCATGCCCAGCTGCGATGCCAGCTGCGACGCTAGCTGCAACGCTAGCTGCGAGGAGGCGGATCTTGGCTTCGCCCTTCTTGACGACGATGAGATGGTGGATGCGTCCTTCGATCTCATCGAGGAGGATGAGAAGGCGCAGCGTCTTGCCAGCGATGACCCGAAGAGCAGACAGCAGGAGGCTTCTCTTGAAGAGCAAGAGCAGCAGGGAGCCCTCAAGCCGATGAAGAGGAAGCATGAGCAGGAGCACGAGGAAGAGGAGCAGCGCCGCGATCTCACGGAGCTCTCGCAGGCAGCGCCCTCTTCCCCACCTGTCTCCCTCTGGCCCTCATCCTCATCCAAGCCTGGCTGTCTCCACACCGAGCTGCTCTCCATCCTCGCCCACCTCGCCGAAACCCGCTCCATGCTCGCAGCGCACCAGGAGGACCAGCAGGCCAAGAAGGCAGTGGAGTTGGCTCAACTCAAGAGGTTGAATGCCGCAGAGGAGGAGATGGATAAGCTGTGTGCTATCCTGTCGAGTAGGCCGGGGCCGAAGGCTCCGTGGAAGAAGAGGGAGGAGGAAGAGGCGAGGAAAAGCGGTAGACCGCAGCAGCAGGCAAGGAGGAGGAGCGAGCGTCTACGAAGAGGCGGGGACAGCCTCGTAGCTATCACCCCCGCCGTAGACGTCATTACCTCACCCGCCGCTGCTCTTGCCGCGCCCAAACCAACGGAGAAGCCGGCCCGCAGCAACAAGAGGAAGGCAAGCGGCGATGCGCTGTGCCCACCACCCCGCCGTTCTGCCCGACTCTCTGCTCGCGCTGCTTCGTAGACATCTAGTCCTGTTCCAGATCCTGTTCCATTGTACCGTGCTAATGTCGCTCTCGTTCCGTTGGCTCATGCTTCCTTTCTCTATTATCCATGTACGTCGTGGCCAGCTTCAGCATTCATCATCCAGCGTTTCCTCGTCTCTCGTCCCAATACGATGCTCCTTACAGCTTCAGCTTCAGCATCGCCATTCTCGTAGCCTTTGAGCCTGGCATTCGCTCCCGTAGCTGCCTCCGACGCGAGAGAGAATCTCTCTCAACGATCGTGCGGCACGACTTCGTCATCAAGTGAGACCTGTTCGCTGACCCCGTGTTCTGCTCTGTGCTCTTCTGCCCAAGAGGGGGCCGAGCGCGATGGCAGAGGACAGGACTGCACGAGCGGAGAAGGGCGAGAAGGAGGGAGTAGGGCTCCCAGGCCTGCAAGCTCAAGAGAGCGAGTCTGCGCTGGTGAAGAAGTGAGACCTGACCTCCCGAGAAGAAGAACAAAGAGGAGTACGAAGAATCCATCGGTGTCCTCTGCTGGTTGTCGCGATCGGTCCTCGTCCTCTGCAATCGGTGATTCTGGGCGCAACGCGACGCTCCTGGCTTTTGGCAGCAGGTCAGGTGTTCTTGCAAGGTAGAAGGAGGTAGTGCACTTTAAACGGATGGTTGCCTCGTACGGCTTCGTCGTCGCGCCCGGTGTCCTTCTAGTCGTTCCGGCTATTCACCGCCCAGGTCAGTGTCCTTCTCGTTATGGTGCTGGCCACTTCGAAGATGTCGAGGAGGGTCGCACTGATGGGGAAAAGTGGGGCGTAGCAAGGTGCGAAGGAAGAGCGGTGTTGCAGCAAAGAAGTGACTTCAATGTCGTCTGGCGTCGAGCTTTTCTCCTGAAGCTTCTTCGTAGCGTAGGCTAGCCTGCGCAAGACCTCCCAGAGTTCGAATTGCCTTACATTGTCAGAAAGTGAAGACGGCTTGACTATTAAGAGGATGAAGAGCGAGTAGATGCAGAAGAGGCAAAACAGTGCGCATACTCGTCCAATCTACGAGCCTTATGCGATCTGGATCTGCATGTGGCCCGGGCTCCCTTGCCCGCCCTGAAACCGGGCCCTCGATTCATCGTCCGCTAGAGCTCACAGCCAGCCCTACCAGATGCAAGTAGCCCGATGGATGGGCGTGATAGTTTCGACGGCAGTGAGCGAGACCATCCCAACTCCAAGCGTTATCACAGATCGTCTTCGCAAGTGCTTGGCAGACGGGCAGCGACTTCGATTGTATGCGGAGGTCAGTCCTGCTGGCTCGCGGCTGCCATCTCGAGATTGCGCTTCTATCTGATGCCTCGCCTGCTCTGGCTCACGCTATGAGCGTTGCTGTGTCTCTGCCCATTACATTGCCATTCGAAAGTGTCTCCTCATTACCAGGGCTCGCTATGCCGTGTGCTGCTGAGCCACCCACCCGAATGTGTCGATGTGGAAGGGCGTCGCCGCTTGCTCCCTGGCTTGCGTCCGTCCTGCCGCCGCTCGGAAGGAAGATCGATTGAAGCTCGTCTCCGCGTCTTGCGCCTCATCATCACCTCCGCTTCCCAGCATCGCCTCGCCTTCTCAGGTCATTAGCATCTTCTCAGCGCTCACTTGCGCTGTTCGGCTCATCACTCGATAGGCTACCGCGTCGTATTCAGCCTCACTGGACTATTGGCTCGTCCCGCGTGGGTCTCGCCACCGCCGCCAGCATGTCCGACTCGCAACTCGAGAGCGGGAAAGCTCTGTCCCTCGCACGCAAGTATGACGACCAAGGCGATCTATCCTCTGCGATCAAGTGGTGCAAAAAGTCAATAGCCATTCATGCCACACCCGAGGCTCAGGCCCTTCTCACACGGCTGGAGACGAAGGGAGTCAACGGCGCGAGCAGCAGCAAGGCAAGCGGCGCATCCTCTTCGTCCTCGCCGGCAGGTGGGGCCGGTATGAAGAGTAGAGCATCAGGGGCAGAAGCTGGGGGATCGGCAGAGGCAAAGAAGGCAGACAGGACATTCACGAAAGAGCAGGCTGCAATCGTGACCAAGATCAAGGGCGCTGGTGGGGACTTCTACAAGGTGTTGAGCCTCGAGAAGACGGCTGATGAGAATGGTATCAAGAAGGCATATAGGAAGGTGAGGAGGCACATAGAGAGGGACAGAGGAGAATATCGACGAAGTATGTACTGATTTTCGAGCCTCGTACTGTTCTACGCAGCTGGCATTACAATTGCACCCGGACAAGAATGGAGCCCCAGGTGCAGATGAGGCTTTCAAACGTGAGTCCAGCACCCGCGAACCCTTTCCTCTGCAAAGTGAGTCGATAGCTGACCTGACCATCTCTCTCCTCCCTCGCAGTCGTCTCAAAAGCATTCACAGTCCTTTCAGATCCGGACAAACGCGCGCAGTACGACAGGTATGGCGGTGACCCAGACTCAAGAGGCGGAGGTGGTGGGCCGTCAATGTCCTCCTTTGCGCAGAGAGCGGGAGGTGGTGGACCACATATGTACGCGAGAGGATTTGGCGGAGATGAGATTGACCCTCAAGACCTCTTCAACATGTTCTTTGGCGGTGGACTGGGTGGGATGAATGGTGAGCCGCGAGCAATGCATGTGACCTTCTATGGAGCATCTGCTGATCCCTTGTCCTCCTCGCCCAGGCTTCGGCGGAACCACTTTCCACTTTGGCGGACCAGGCGGCATGGGCCAACGTCAATTCTATCGTACAGGTGGCGCTCGTCAGACACGGCAAGCGCGTCCAGGCCAAGCACCAGCGCAAAACCCCAACCTCCTTTGGCAACTTCTCCCCCTCCTTATCATGTCTGCTTTCGCCCTCCTTTCCTACCTTCCTTCCCTGCTCGCCCCACAGGAGCCCAGCTTCGCATGGGCGCCCACGGGACAGCTGAGGGAGCAGAGGGTCACGCAGGGGAAGGGTGTGGCTTACTATGTCAACCGAAGAGAGTGGGAGGGGAACGATTTGGTCAATGGGAGGGTGGCCAATGCACAAGCTGGGCCTAGGAGTGGGCTTAGAGGCTTCGAGGCCAGGGTGAGTTGGCAGGCGACAGCCCGTCTGATCACACTCTGCAGAGCAAGCAGCTAACTACCTCGCCCACCTGCGCGCAGGTCGAAAACTCGTGGAAGAATGTCCTCTACTCGCAGTGCACGCATTTCCGCGAGTATCAAGAGCAGAGGATCGACCGCACAAAGGGCTTCTTTGGCCTTGGAGCCGACAAGGAGCTCGAGGCTAAGATTCGCGCTGAGCGTAGCCCTGCGTGTGAGGAGTTGACCAACTTTGGGCTGTTTGTGCCAATCAGGGCGTGATGAGGAGCAGATGGGGATGTGCAGAATGGTGGCAAGGAGAAGGGAAGCGACAGACGCGAGATGAGGGATAGACGCCCTTGCAGAGACTTCCTACGGCTGCTTTCCCACCATATAGACGCTCTCTATGTTGAATCGTTATCACTAATGGTGCTATTTGCAGCTCATGACAGCTCGCCCGACCCCTCATCGAGCGTCCCTACACCAGCTGCAGACAACTGCATGACCAAGGCTCACCGCGCCTACGCCTCCTTGGGCTTCTTTGCTCCGTACTTGCTCCTGCTCGTCCTCCTATTGACCACTCCCGCAAAGTCCAATGCCCCACGGACCAAGTGATACCTCACACCAGGCACGTCCTGCACTCTTCCTCCCCTCAATAGCACCACGCTGTGCTCCTGCAAATTATGCCCTTCACCAGGGATGTAGGCGGTAACCATTCGCCCGTTGGAGCAGCGAACCCTCGCGCACTTGCGGATAGCAGAGTTGGGCTTCTTCGGCTTGGTGGTGAAGATGCGTGAGCAAACGCCTTTCACGAATGGGTTGCCTTCGAGAGCGGGGGCACGGTTGACGGGAGGACGGTGCGGTTTGCGGGCCCCGCGAAGCACTTGGCGGTACGTTGTTGAGGGAGAAGGCGTGCTGCTGAAGGCACGGGCCGCTGAAGATGGGGCAATGGGTGCTCTGCGCATTGTCATGCGCTGCAGTGAGGCGGCGAGGAGGTGGAGTGATGAGGAAGACGGCGCCGCAGACGAGGAGGCGGCTGTGAGGACGGACCTAGACGAGGAGGCTAGAGCGGAGGGGAAGACCTGCGGAGAGAGGCGGAACGTCATGATGAGTCAGCTGTCGTATCTACGAAATACATGCTGTCATTCGCCTGCGTTACTCACCATTCTGCTGTGCCGAGCCGTGCCGTTGAGCTCCAAGTGCGGGTACGAGCAATGACGCGCTAGGTGGTGGGTGGTGACGGAAGAAAGACGGCAAGGTCAGACGAGGCGGAGAGAGCGGAGAGAGAGCGAGATGAGAGGCAGGCGGCAACGGACGGCGCGCACTCAGCCTGTTCACAGCCGCCGCTTCGTTGCTGCATTTCATTTCGTGCCGCTTCTCACCACTTTCAATTGATCCAACAACAGCACCACGACAGCCACGTAAGGCACCCAAGTCTGATCGAATGAGAGATCACGGCTTCTGATAGCTTTGCACGTCGTGACGCCGCCAAGCCATGGGGCTATTCTCGAACACCCAGGGCTGGCTCTAGACGGCCAGAAAGCGGCGAATAGAGTGACGGCGGCTTCGGGGTACGGTCCGTGCTTCAGCCTGTGGAGGCCAACGCCAGTAGCAGCGGCATCGAGCTTTGATCGGGCTCAAGACTACTCCTGATACCCAGACTTGACAAAGATAACAGACTGTCACGCGGCGTGACATTGTCATCGTCATGCCGTGCCCACGGCATCTCGAGATGAGCACTGCCACGAGGAACGGGGCGTGAGAGGACGATATCCAGAAGACAGCACTTGACCCGCCGCGGTCACCTTGTCGCTATATAAGGACCTCTCTGCGACGGTCTACCCCGTCGCTGCGTCAGTCGCCATCCTGCTCACGCTCGCACTCTTGCTCAATCAATGCCTCTCTCTCGCCTTTTCGTCACGGCTGGCCTGGCTGCCAGCTTTCTGGCTCGCAATGCAGTCGCAGCTGCTGTTCCTCCCCCTTCGACCGAATGCACCAGCTATTGTGAGTGCTCGTCACGGCACGCACCTGTCTGACTATCAAGTCAAGCTCACCATCCGTACCCTTGACGTGCTCGCCCGGCAGCCATCATCACCACGCGCGGCTCACTCGAGGAGCAGGGTCCGAGCGAGCCTTTCATTCCGCTGAACAAGTTCATCACGAAGGCGCTCAAGCCAGAAGGCAAAGAACATGACACAGTCTACGCTGCCAGCTGGTATCAGAACAGCAATGCTGGCACCGGTGATGTGAGTGCGCGGGCGAGACCATCCGGGCGTTCAGCCTACGCATCGCTCACACCTGCAACGCCTCCGTGCTCGCTCACGCACAGATCATCAAACAGGTCAGCGAAGCCGAGCCCGGCCACTGCTTTATTCTGGAAGGATACTCTCAAGGCGCCACAGCCACTGTCAATGCTCTGCAACATCTTAACGACCACTACGACCGCATCCTCGGAGTCATCCTCTTTGGCAATCCATGTCGCTCTCAAGGTACGCCGATGCTGCCTGCCACTCCGCAAGAGGACCATAAGATGCCCTTTTGGATGTCAAAGGACTCACCTGGTATCCTAGTCGGCACGCTCCTCTGTCCCACGCTGGATGGCGTCGTGCCTAAGAATTGGAGGAGCAAGGTCATGGACATCTGCCAGCCCGGCGACGCAATGTGTGCCAGAGGGTGGGCCTGGGTGAATGGACTGGTGACAGATGAGCACGCGGGATATGGGACGAATGAGAATGCGCAGAGGAAGGCATTCGATTTCGCGACGGGTGTCGTGCGAACTGCTTTGGCAGTCAAGGCGGCGAAGACGAACAAGACTGGGTACGAGCTGGTATCAGTGAAGAAAGGTGGCGATGGGCACGCCCAGCAGAACGGAGAAGCGAAGGCCGCGAAGGATGCGAAGGCGAAGGAGTTGAAGGGCAGGCCTCAGCAGACGAAGCCTCAGCAGACGAAGCCTCAGCAGACGAAGCCTCAGCAGTCGGATGAGGACCACCCAAGGACTGGGAAGCAGAGCAAGTCGAGTGACCAGAATGACAGTATCAAGAAAGGGGCGAAGGAGCAGAAGAAAGACGATCGGAAGGGAAGAAAGAAGGGCGAGGACTCCTCGCCGGCAAAACAGCAGCGCGAGCAGGGGATGACTCGCAAAGGCTCGCAAAGGCACTCGTGAGGCGGCTAATCTGCCGAGCAGGACTCGACGTCATGATGTTGGCTGCTGAAAGAACGAGGGAATGAGCTGCAGTCACCGGTTCCTTTCAGGCTATCTCACTTGTGATGATCAATGCAATGCTTTCAATTCAGTAGCTGCTTCGTGCCTTGAAGCCAGAGTCGTGACGGCGAGGTCAAGACCGTTACGCTTGGCGACCTCTGATCGCGCCCGTCGGACTGGCGGACTGGCGTTGCTGAGCTCGAGCTCCACGCGGCCGACTGCGATCGTCTCTTGTTCCTTTCCATCCTCCATCCTCCATCTCTCCCGCCTCCGCGATGCCCATCACTCTCAAATTGGGGCATCGCAGCAAGGGCTCTGTGTCAGCTTCGTCACCCAGCGCTTCATCACCTGGGCCAAGTGCAGGTGCAGGCGGAGCAGCAGGGCCGAGTCGAAGTGTCTCCTTCTCTCAGCAGGCCAGCTATGCGCCTGCTCCTCCCCCGCTGAGAGATGAGAGCCAGGAGTTGCCTGCCCTGCAATCTTCTTCGCTGGCCATGACTTCATCGTCGACAGGTCCACCAAGAAACGGCGCTGGTCTGGCTGTTACTTCATCACCAACACTTCGTGCCCCACCTCGCCCACAAAAGAAGCGCCGCACCCGTTCGCCTACTCCTCCATCCACGGCTCACTCTACTTGTCTACCTCTCCCTTCCTCTTCCTCTTCATCTAGAAAGTCCAGCCCCTCCGCCGATCGTCTCGTCCACACTTCCTCGCTGTCCTCTGAATCCCAAGCAAGAGACGCCCTCGACCTTGTCATCCAGCGATACGCCCGCCTCGCAGGCTATGCGGGCATACAGCGTCCGGTAATCGAAGTGCTGCGTGGCTGGCTGGATCACTATCTGGAGGATATGGTGCAGCTAGCTGCTAGGTGTGCGGAGCATAGCGGTCGCATCAGGCCGAATGCGAGGGACTTGCTAGAGGGGATCGTGAGGGCGAGGAGGGATGATGCCGCGGACGAGGAGGAAGAAGGCGCAGATGAAGCCGACGAGTCCTTCGACCTCGAAACGGGAGAAGCGAAGAAGAAGGACGAAGTGCGCCACTTGGCCAGCGCAAAGGAGTACGAATGCGAAGTGAGCCGTATAGTCGAGTGGAGACACAAGGTCCCGGACTACGAGCCTTCACCGCGGGCTCCAACGGGCGGCGACGAAGGGGATGCCACTGCGCCAGCGTGGGCAAGAGACGACCAAGCAAAATTCGTGCAGACGCTCCTTCGACATAAAAGAGAGGAGGACAAGGAAGACGACGATGATCTGTCGGAGACCCTCTTCCTACTCGGCGAGAAGACCCGTCGCCAGGAGAAGCAGTCCCGGAACGAGATTCCATCGCATCTTCCTGAGCTACCGGCGTTGCACACATGGCGCAAGACCGATTCATACCCTTCCAATCGATTTCTGGCTTCATCGTCCACCATCGAGGAGCAGGGCAAGCCAGAGGAAGGAGAGGAAGCAGCAGGGGGAGGGGCAGCGACCACGAATGGTACCCTCTCTCGTCTTGAGTCGCGACTATTGTCCTCGCGTCTGGTGCAAACGAGTCTCAGTGCGCTCATCGGAAGGCTCGACGAGGCGGGTATGGCGGCTGCTCAACGCAAGTTTGAAGGGTACGAGGGCAAGGAACAACAAGCTCTCACTGCAGTGCGGACGAGCGCCTCAGGACCCAACGCCATGCCTTCCTCGCCCATCAATTCGCCTGGCACCTTTGCGGCCTCCTCACCTGCTCCGGCATCTCAATCGCAGGACACAACGATGCGCACCTCCTCGCCGTCAGCATCAGCCACAGCGACTGGAGGCACAGGTCCACGACTCTCCATCCGACTGCGTACGGCCTCCACCTCTCAACAGCAGCAACAAAGCAGCTCCGGTCCTCCCACACCGGACAATGCTCCTTCTCCCCTCTCAGGAGGTACCACGGCTGCCTTAGCATCAAGGCGCTCAGTTGCTGTGCCGCCACCCTCATTGTCCTTGGACACCCAGCAGCAGCCCTTCCAATCCGGGCATCAGCGCTCTCTTTCCCTCTCACTCTCTCGGCCCGGATCAAGAAGAGGCACACTTATCGGAGGCGCTGCTACGCCAGCAACCTCGTCAGCGTGGGGTATGCCGCAAGCAAGTGGTGTCCTGATGTCCCCAGCCACGCCTGCTACTGCGGGCGGGCTGGCGGGTCTGACGGGCTTCACCGGCGGTGCGAGTGGGTCATTGGGCATGACTACTCCCACCAGTGCTGTGACGCCAGCTTGGCCTTTCTTTGGAGGGGGGACGGCAAGTATGGCAGGCACTCCGAGGGGGTCTTTCGCGTTTCCCCCGGCCGAGACAGGTGGGGTGGGAGAGGGAGGGGAGGGAGTGAACAACAATGTGGTGGTGACGCTACCGCCTGTGATCAACTTCAAACAGGGGTGGTACGGGAGAAAGAGAGCAGCGTGAACGGGAACAAGCAGCTCGTCGCCACGCAGTCAATGCATCTTTTCGATTCAAATTGCACTTGACGATCCTTTGACGTTACAACACCAGCAGAACAACCCAATGACCACCAGATCCCATCACACCGCTTTGCCGAGCCCCCTTTACCAATCAAAGCACTCTTCCACGTACTCAACATCCCTCCACTCCCCCTTCCTCAGCGCAAAAATTGCTCCCTCCCTTGTGTCATCACAGAGCGATGCCGGCCCACAAGCGATCACAGCGGCAGTACGGTCGCTGTGAGGCTCAAAGTGATCCGCCACTCTCTTTGACGGGCGCCCGTGCACAGCTACCAGGTCCATGCTACCGGAGAGGCGAGCAGCAAGTGCAGTCAAGCGCTTGGAGCTGCTCTCGATTTTCTTGGCCTCGACGTATTCTGCTTTCTCGTCCGGAGGCGAGGGGATAGGCGTCGATGAGGCGCTTGATGAAGCTTTGGACAGCGCATTGTCGCTGTCAGTTGCCGAATGCTTGAGCTCGGCGACCCCTTCAGCAACCTCCTCTTTCGCCTTGTCAAAGAATTCACCAGCCGTGACACGAAGCTCGATCTTTGGTTTACTACTGCGTGGTCCGGCCGCCCTCAGTACCTCGTCAAGACGGATGAGCTGATCTGCCACGGAGTCGACGATGTCGAAGTCGCGAATTGCCCAGACGAGCTTGCATCGTGCGTCCGACTGCGCTGCTGCCTGAACGAAGATAGGCAGACAGAAGGTGATGCCCACTCCGCCCGCGAAGAGGAGGACGTCGTCGTGCTTTACGACGGAGGAGTGCCAGTGACCGTACGGACCCTCGAGGACGACATTCATTGTTCGGTCGACTGCGGTGCCAGAGCCGGCTTCAAGGGCCTTGTCATCGCTGCTCTGGAGGAGCGTGGCAAGCTGCTTCGTCATGCCGTCAGCGGAGCGGATGAGTAAGTCGACGTATCCCTGCGACTCAGCGCCATTCACGAGCCCAGCGTCGATGACGGTGAAGGGGTGGTCGCTCCAGAATTGCAGGCGAGGAATGGTCAGCCTGACCGACGTGCCGGCGCTGAGCTTGTTGATAGGGCTCAGCCTGAAGCGGGAGAGGAGGCTGGCTTGCTGGCCACCAATCAATGGCTGTACCTTAGAGGCTCCGAGGTGCACGCGCATACGATAGATGTCGCTTCCGTGCGCAGTGACTACCGCCTGTGTGAGCGGCTGAGAGAAGCTAGTGCCCGCAGAGAGGTAGGCCTTGTTGATCCATCGGACGAGTCGGTCCAGTCCCCAAATGGCCGCGGCGATCTCAACGACCCAGGTGAAGTACATCCACTGGAAGAGCGGACAGATCAATGTCAGTGGTGATGAAGATGGGATCTTGCCACAGTAGTGTTGGACTCACGGCAGCGTAGTCAATCAACTTGACGTGGAAGTAGAGTGTGACCAGAGAAAACAGGGCTAGGATGACATGCAGCGCGATGAATACCTGGGAATGCGACCACCGTTGCATCAGCAATGAGCTCACCGCTCCCTTATGATGGTGACACGGTACTGACCTCATATGCCTTCACCCTCAGCTGCCTAATGCTCAAGAACACCAGTCCCATGAACATAGCGATAGCAGCGCATCCCCAGTTCCAGTAGGGGTCCTTGAACTCCTTCTTGTAGTGCCCCCTGAGGCCCTCCGAGACCGACCACCCGATACCATGAATGAGACCGTGGATCGCACAAAAGCGTGCAAGCCAGCGATGATAGACCATAGCGTTGCCGAAGTCGATGCCCGATACCGAGGGAAGAGCGCGGCGCGTTGCGGTCACGATGACAAGGGGGAGGAGGCCAGTGCTAATCATCGCGGTGCGGTCCAAGAGGGAACGAAGGTGTGCTTCCCAGGCGTGGTCGTAGCTAACGAGGGGTCAAGAGTGATGAGCTGCAGTGAAAGGGGGTCCAAGGATCGCATCTACTCACTAGAGGTCCGGGTTGGCGCGACGGTAGAAGCAGAAAATGGGCCTGCCGCAGTCGTGGCAGTCAGCGCGTTGCCCGTCGACGCCTCCCGTATCAAGCCCATACTCACACGAAGGTAGCCAAGAACAGCCCACCCACGACGATACTCTGCAACCTCAAAGGCAGGCGGATGACTCCAGCGCCCACAGCGACGTGGTGCTTCTTCGTTGCCAAGGGTGCCTCCATGACGTGTGCGCGGATCCATCTCGGCACGGCACGGCGCGGCAGGCATCCCAAGATACCATCAGCCAAGATCAGCCCGACAAAGAGGCAGTAGATGACAAGCCTACGAGAGTGAAGGAGTGGTCAGCGCAAAGAGCCACAAGTCCTGCGTTGAGTCGACTTAATGAGGACTCACAGGGCCATTGCAGGTACATAGTAGCTACTGTAGCTGAAGGCCACGAGCGTCGCACGGATTTCGTCAATCGTGTTGTCAGGATAGTACTCTAGCGAGTCCTTCAGGTCGTCTTCGCTGAATTCCCAGGGAAGCATGGCGAAAGATCGAATCTAAGGGGAGAGGATGATCGAAGGTGACGGATGGTGCAGAGGGATCTGATAGTGGGCCTCCCGCTTTTTCAACTCCCAACCCGTCTCAAGGAACGGGATCCAGTTCGCCCTCACTCGCTTTTTTTTTTTCAACGCTTTCTCACACTTTTCGAGATTGGTGATGGGACCTGCTTAGCGCTGTGTGCCTCCCCTTTTGCATCGTCTAGCCAGCCTATTGCGCGAGTCTGCCCGATCGCACCTACCATCCACTTGGCAGAGCAGCCCCACTCATCCCCCCTTGCCCTCTCTCCCATCGAGAGCGCGGAGTAGTCATTAGAGTACGCCACCTTGCCAGCCTGTCGTACGAGTTTGCGTCGGCGCTGCACCATGCTTGCTCGCTTTTTTGTCCTCTGCACAGAGCTCTCGAACCGGAGCATCTGATTAGATTACAAGCCGCGTGGCTTGCTCTTCTTCCTGCCTTCGTGCAGGACTGCAAAGCCGTCCGTCCCTCTCCGAAGGCGCCATGAGAGAACAGCGCTCCAGCCCTGCTGTGATGGCCCTCGATCGATGCGACTACAGGAGCCCACTCAGCGTGTGAATCCAGGGCAACTTGCGGACAAAGGACAACAGTTGTTGCCTGCCCGACGCCATGCTACCGTCCCGCAGTGCATTAATCGTACGTGCGAGGCCTCGGCTCCCGTTAGAGCCGCCGGATAGCTTAACTCGCTGAGCTTGTTGAGTCACCAATTCGACAGCTGAAGCAAGTTGAAGACGACACCGCCGGTTGGCGCCCTACTACGGAAGACGCCAGTTGAGCCTTTCATCAACAGCACAGGCAGAGAGTTTCTGGAAGAGGACGGAACGGTATGCCTTGAGGCGCCTATCACTAGGCAATCAAGAGCTGTCGCTGCCGCTGCTGACCGAGGTCTAGCAGCAAAGAGATGATGGGAAGATATGTACAACAACTTTGGCGGCAAGCTCCATCCGAAGGTCTACGCTAAGTCGGTCGCAGCATCGCAGCATGGCCTCGCAGCACCGGGTGCTGTCAGTATCGCCATCACTTCATCCCGTCCCGCTCGTGTGTGCGTGCTTGCTGAGGGCGCGACTGTATGCTCCGACCGCCTGCAATGGCGAGCAGCTGCTCGCTGCGACCTATCATGTCGACGCCTCCTGCTTGCCAATTCCGCGTCGGAATACCGCTTCTCGCAGCTCCTACGAGCTAGCAGTCCTCCCACTCCCCAGTGCCGCCTTAAGAGCTCCCACACCACCTCCCGCGCTTCCCAAACCTCCAGCCGCTCCTTCGCTACCAAAGATGTAGTACGTCGCTCGTCCCAACAGCGCATGAATGCGGTTGGGAAGGTGGAACAAGAGCGAGTAGAGTACGACGCAGGTGAGGAGGAAGGTGACGACGACTGCGAGGGACGGGCACGAAAAGACACGAACGTCAGCGCCGCACGACGAGGATGTACTTGGGGACGGCGCGCCCACTTACAGAGCAAGAAGATCTCGACGTCAGTCAACATCTCCCCGGCGAGATGTCCTAGCAGCCAGATATCGATGCGCCATCGCACCCATGAGACAAAGGCGATTGGGTGCAAGATCGGGTTGGGAGCCGCATTCTTTGCTGCTGTCTTTCTTTGACTATTCCTCGCTCGTGCCGCTGCTGCTGCCTGCCGTGCCTGTGCTGAAGATTGGCGTTGATGCCTTCCTGCGGGGTCGAGCTTTTGACCTGCCATTCTGTTGGAGTGAGAGGATGAAGCACGACGTTTGCGAGCTGGCGAGACGGGCGGGTATGCGCTCGATGAGGGCGGAGCAATAGGGGAGCCGTTGAGGGTCAAGAGGGGAGGGGAGAGGGGACGTGGGGTCGACGCGGCTGAGGAGCGACTCGATGAGGCCGAAGAGGATGACGACGCGATGGGAGGTGTAGCGGCTGAATTTAACCTCGAGTGCATCGCCTGTCACGCGTGCAAGCGCGACCTTCAAGGGCAGAGAGGTGGTGAGGAGCGTGAGGTTGAGATGTGTTGAACGGTGTCGATTGTCTTCCGGCCGGCGGGTCAGGCCAGGGCAACTGTTTGTCTTGTGTTCCTTCGCGCAGAGCCGTCGCTCGTTGCATCCGCCTGCCCGCCCGTCCGCCCGTCCGCTCGTGTCGGTCCGACGGCTCAGTGCTCCCGTCCAGGTCTGACGACTTGGCTGAAAGGGTCATGAGCGTGGCTTGGACCCCCCGAGCTCGGCGAAGATGGCGATCAGGCACGATATTGGTGGTCAGGACACCCTCGAAAGGGGCCAAGGATGAGAGCAACACAGACGATGGTGTGATTCTTCTATTCTAGCGTCTCCTGTGCGAGGCCGGCATAGTGGATCGTTGTCTCTGCTCGCGCCATCTGTGCATCTAGGAGCAAGCGCCTGTCCGCCCGTCGGCCACCTCGAGTCGAGTCAGTGCACCCTTGCGCCGCCTGCCTGACCTTTGCCGTGCCGGTCTCATCTCTCTCTCTCCGTAACCGTAGTCCCACTCTCGATCGAGCCCTCCGACCCTTTCGGCGCATACATCATTGTCGACGATGCCAACGAACTTCGACTCATCATCATCATCATCGTCCTCGCCGCCATCCCCACCAACATAGCCTAGCCTCACGCCCTTGGCGTCATGACTTGGAACGGTGAGTTGGGATGACAGAGCGCATTGATGCGTCTCGATATCATCTACTGACAGCTCAGGGATGACTCGCACAGCCGCCTTCCCATCCTCGCCCCTCTCTCGCTCAGCGATTAGAGGGGACACCTCACCCAGCATGCGCTCCTCGTCAACACCGATGTTCAACTTACCAGGCGAGCAGAGCCGCCTAGGTGCGGCTCCACCTGATCCACCCCACTGCCATAGTGGATGGAGAGACGACGCTGCGATGCCATCCTCGCCCTTTTCCTCTCCACGAGCTTCGCCTCACAAGCAGTCTCCTCGTCCCAGCATGCCTTCCTTGGCCTCATCACCCCCATCTCCACGCATGCCTTTTCGCTCGTCATCGCGACGCCTCTCCTCACACCTCTCCACGTCGCCCAATCCGAGTAACCTGCCGTTAGTCGGCTCCTACTCCGAATCCCTCCTTAATGGCCGAATGAGTACAACACCGAGCGTTCCGTTTCCCTTTGAAGCCGAGATCGGTGCATTAGGTTGTACTTCTGGCCAGAGCCAGACGCCCAAGCACCTCAAGATCGACTTTGAAGCTAGGTTCTACCCGCTACCTGAGGCAACAACAGGACAACAGAGCCCTTCAGGTGGCTCAACTCGCAGCTTCAGTAGTAGCTACGTAGCACAGAGCAGCATGCCATCGCCCACGCCTCCTGCAGCGGCCGGGCCGACCATGTCTGCCGCAACGACACAAGCTCCATACGTAGGCACAATCAACCTCGAGTCGCACTACAGCTCCGTCTTGGCCTCCTGTCTCGATCCGAGCTCATCCCAACAAGCAGCTCCACCAGCAGTCCCCGTCTTTCCCGGGTATGCAGTCCCGCGTCGAGGTCAGATCCAGCTTCTAATCAAGAACCCGCACCTCAATGTGCCCTTCAAGCTCTTCCTTGTGCCATACGACTTGAGCGACATGCCTGCAGGCAGCAAGACATTCTTGAGGCAAAAGATCTGTCTTGAGGCGGGCAGCGAGGCTTCGAGCTTCCCATCAATGACGACGGGTCGTGCCAAGCGCCATTCATTGGGCGCAACCACCTCCCTGCTGCGTAGCGAGGCCAAGCCGAAGGAGATGCTGCGTTATGCCGTTCATCTACAATTTGCCTCTCCGCCTCTCAAGCCGGCCTCAAAGAAGCAGCAAAGCGCCAAGCAGGCGGCAGCGTCCGCCCAAATCCTCGAATCCTCCTCGTGGCAGGCGGGTCCCGAGCAAGAAGAGCCCAAGCTCTACCTCCACAAATCGATCCGCGTCGTCTTCTCGCCTCGCGCTCCCGACCGAGAGGAGAAAGTCAAGACGACGTATGAAACCCCCGCTGGTCTGTGTGTTCCTGAGTTGCCTGCTCAGGACCCGAAGGAGTGCGCCAGGATGAGGGAGAAGAAGTACGCTCCGTACTCGGGGCCTTCTGCGGAGTGGGAGGGACAGAGGAAGAGGGCTCGGCTGGCTCGGAGGGAGTGGAAGAGGAGGCGCCAAAGCGAAGCCAGCGAGCGAGATCGTGAGCAAGGTGACGAAAGTGTGGGGAGCTTTGCGGATCAGAGTGACATCTCTACCGCTTCGTCAGTACCGGCGACCGAAGGGTACGGACGATTCGAGCCGGCTGGCGAGGCCGTCGAGGCTGCGGCCATGGCGATGGACATCGACGTCGAACCAGATGTGCAAGCACAGGCGAATGTCTTCGAGCCCAACTCGGATCCAAACGGCGAACGATGGCATGGCAGCCAGGCCATCGGAGTCGATGAAGCCGAGGATGTCGCTGGAACCGGCACGCTCGCCGACAGGTGGGGGAGCCTGACACTCGCTTCTCACGCGGAGCCAGGCGCAACAAGTACACCTGGCTGGCCACTGCGCGGCCATCGACACACTTTGCAGCGGCAGCGCTCCCGCACGATCACACCCGCCACACAAGCCAACGCCGAGGGACGTGCGTCACCACTCATCATCTCTGGGTGGGATGCCTCGCCATACAGGCCCATTCGCTCGCTACCTGGCACCGCAGGTGGCCAACCATCATTCACAACCAACAATGCTACGACGCCCATCTCCCCAACTGCACCCTTCTCTCCACCTCTTACGCCGACGGGCACGATTGCCCTCGAGCCAGTGACGACCACGGAAAGTGTTAGCGGAGTGCAGAGTTCGCCACTGTCCTCGCACTACCATCAGCGGAACGGGGCCAACGAACGCTTCTCGTACCTCTTGCCTGGTGCTAACAGCTCGGGTGGATCGCTACCCGGATCTCACGGTGCGGTCGGCGGATCTGGCGCGAGACCAGCATCGCCTACGACGCCTTTCCTCGGCGCGACAGGCAGAAGCGACAGCTATGGACGTGGGCAGGGCTCTCGTCTGAGTGCTACTGCTGCTCACCGCACCAATTTGCCACCCTGGCGTCGAACCGCCCCCGACTCGGATGTCACCGCCTCAGAAGAACAAGGGCCAAGCGACCCTGCTGAGGACGTCAGCGCGCCCAGCGAGATGGAAGATGAAAACGAGGACTCGGCACATCAGCTACTCCAAACGTGGCACTCTCAGCTGCGTCGCCCTCATCATGTTCGGACTTCCTCAGCCGCGACGGGAGTGTCTGACGGCAGTGCAGGGGGAAGGAATAGTCCAGCAATGATGCGGAGGATGGGAAGTGCCAACGGCACCGGCTTAGGTGGGGCAACGGGCCCAGGAGGCGGTCAAGACCAGCAGAGGAGATGAGACGAGAGCGGGTCTTTCCGACTGAGCAGGGCCTCATCGGTGCGGGTTACGAGGCGCTGCGTCATATCGCTCTCTTTCACTACCAATATTGCTCAGAATGCTAATTCACATTGCTTGCCTGCCACAACAATGCATCGTCTCTATGCCGCCCGCCCACTCTTGACCCTCCTCACCCTTAGTCCAGCTTCTCAGCTGGCACACCTTCCTCGCCATCCCTACACGCCTCCCAATCCTTCCTCTGCTTCTCCCTCCTCTCTCTCCTCTTCTCACTCTCTTCGCCCGTGAGGAACTCCTCAGCCAAAGGTTGCAAACCGTGCGCCTTGGAGCGGAACTGCTCCAGCTCCTCAGGGCTCGCTGCTGCAGAAAGGTGAGGACCAGGAAGTAGGGGAGCGACCGATCCGGCGGGTGTGCGGGTGCTGCCTTGCAGGAAGGTCCATGCGGAGAGAAGTGTAGGCAGTTTCGTGCCAGGCTGGGAGGCAAGGTGAAGGAGCGCGGCTTTGACCTCTTGCTCTGCCTGCTTTCCGCCGAGCACCAATGCTCCACGAGAATGGGAGAGGACGTCTCCTGTGCGTTGCAGGTGGTCGTCATTTATTCTTTGCAGTGACACACCGGAGGGAGCAGAGAGATCGTCCCCGAGGGCAGCGGTGATTCCTGCTCTTGTGGGCTCGTCCAGCGTCGAGAGGTCGGTGGGGAGGGACGAAAGGAGCTGGAGTCGTTGCACGTGCAGACGACCCTGCGCCTCTGCCGCAATGGCGGGTGATGATGCTGTTGCGCACGCATCCGTCCCTCTCCTCAGTGCGCTTGCGCACAACAGCCAGTTTCCTCGCCTGAGCCCAAGCTCAAAGGTAGCCACCCACACCCTGGGATCCCTCGCTGCGTGCGTCTGCAAGCTCTTCAACAACCGTTCAACCTCCTCCAAGGGCTCCTCCCTCTGCAGCAGGGTCCATCCCTCCGGGTCCGGATCAGGCGGGGGTGCATTGACCTCTTCGTCATCCGTCTGCGCTGCGCCCTTGCCGTTGGCCTTCTGCTTTGCTGCTGCGGCCGCTGCTGCCTGCTTTTTGGCCTCTTCCTCGGCCTTGCGCTTCGCTTCTGCCTTCTTCAGACGCTTCGCTTCCTTCTTTGCGTCGTCGCTCTGCGAACTCGCTGCCACTGAGCCGTTGCCATTAACCTCGCCTGCTGCGGGAGATGATCCAGAGCCCTTGTTGGCTTGCGCATCGTCATAAATGCGCAGGTATACGCCAACAGCCCTAATCGCCGCCTCTCTGTATCCAGCGTGACCCCTCACGCCATCCTCCCACCTACACATGTCTACATAATCCCTGAGCGTGAACTTCCTCACACAATACGAGTGGAAGTCAAGCTGGTCGTCCCAATGATCCTCAAAGATCTTCTCCGTCTGAGCGTAGCGCTTAAGTGCCAGATGATTCTGCCCTGCCGCTTCGTGAGAGAGGCCCGCCTCGAGGATGAACCAGATTGCCTGCATCTCCAGCAGGTCAGAAAGGGGAGAGGGAGCGTCGGGCTTGGTGAAGAGACCCATGACCTTCTCCGCTGCAGCGGCCTGGCCGATGCGGAGCTTGTACTTTGCGTCTTTGCTGTTGAGGAAGCGGTCTTGCCCGTCTAGCAGGCGCGCATCCTCCATCGCGTGGCTTGCAGCTTGTACCGCTCCTGCTCTTTTGAGGATGCGAGCCTTTGTCATGTGCAGCTCGGGCAGGGTAGGGGTGTGCGCAATTGCGCTCTCGATGTAGCTCAGCGCTTGCTCTGGTTGCTGGCGGTACGAGTAGAATTGAGCGAGGAAGTAGAGAGTCCACAGATACGACGAGGGGGGCTCATCGCTTGATGTCGATGGCGAGTACTTTTGCAGCAAGGCCAGCGCCACTCGTTCAGCTGCGCTACACTTATCAGAGTCGGAAAGGAGCGATTTGATGTCGGCAAAGATGCTGGGTACGCCCTTGGTGAGGGCTCGCGAGAGATATGCCTCGAACGCAGAGCTGAAAGCTTCGTTGGATCCGGCAAGATGTGTGAGCTCCATACGCTTGGCGCATTGGCTGCGAGGGAAGAGTGTTTGCAGCTCACGCAGAGCCGCAACGGCTTCCTGGTCGTTGCCCGCAGCGGCCTTGCTCTGCACCCAACCCGAGACGTACTGCTGGTCTTCGGGGTTGGCGTCTATCAGCTTGCGCCACAGCGCTTGAGCCTTGTCCAGTTGATTGAGGGCGAGGAGAGCCTTGCCCTCCATGACCTGCGCTGTTCGCCTGTCAACGATGCGCGAAGAAGACTCGGCGAGGTGGTTGAGCAGGTCCTGATGCCTGCCTGCCTCGAGGAGGATCGAGGCGCGGTAGAGAAGCATCTCTGAGTGCTCATATGAGCGCTTGGGCACGTCTCTGCATGTTGACTGCCATTGAGCGAGGACCTTCTCTGCCTCGTCGAGCCTGCCAGCGAGATGGTACGCAGTTGCAAGTGCTGCCCAGTTGTTACGGAGATGGGGTTGCATACGAAGGAGGTTGACCCTGTTGTCAATGAGTGCCGGATAGTTGCGTGACTGCATGTACATGTATGAGGATTCGCGAATGAGATTCAAGTTGGTGCCACCCTCGATGCGCAGCGCCTGGCCATAACACTTGATTGCCTCTTCGTAGTTCTTGTCCATGCGATTCAAGATGCCCAATGCATGCCAACAGATGAAGCTCATCAGATCTTTGCGGACACCCTGCTTGGCCAGCTCCAAGCCTTGCTGGCGATCGCCTGTTGAGGCGAGGAGCAGGCCCTTCATGCACAGCGTCTCGCCATGCTCAGGATGCTTCTTGAGAATCGTGTCCGCCGTCTTGAGACCGAGCTTGAACTTCTTGGTCTCGTATTCCTGGATCAGCCGAGTGAAGAGGGCTCGCTCTTTGGTAGGCAGAGCCGTTCCCGGACCGGCGGCCACCGCTCTTCCCTTTGGCGGCATCTCGACGACAGAAGAAGGAGGTATGCGATGCTGGTAATGATGGCCAATCTCGTCAACCTGTTGCTCACGGCCCCACTTGACTTCTCGACGTCTGACGCCCGTCGTTGGCTCCGCTCCGCCTTGACCGGTCCTTCTCGACATCGACTCAAAGTCGGAGCGGACCCGATGGTGGCTCATGCACCTTTCTCTTGCTGCTCGCTCGCTCAGCGCTCAGCTTTGCCAGTCGTCGAGTCGTCTGCCTCTGCGCGGCCAGTCGAAGCTGGACCACGCGGCACGAGGGCGGCGAGGAAGCAAGGCGGGCGCGGCCAGCTCGCCGACGACTTTGGTGCGTGGCACGGCCTCGTTTTTTCGCTGTGGTGCGACGAGCGGCGGGCGTGCGGGCGGGCAAGACGGCACGCAGAGCAAAGGCAAAGGCGCAAAGCCAATCGTGGGCCTCGTCCTCGCTCTTCTTCCTCCTTACCACACCGCGAGGGCATCTCTCACACCTCCTACCACCTATAACCTCCGTTCCCTTTCGACAAAAGTTCAGGTCACTTTTTGTCGACTACTTCGCACTCTGGGTGTGTGCTCTTCTTTAATCTCTCCTACAACTACTCTACCCCGCCCACCGATCCGAAAGGACTTTCGTCAAGATGTGAGTATCCGCAAGATGGAATGAACGCATACAGATGTGCTCCGCAGAGTGAACGAGGCGTTGGGCGAGGGAGAGATCATATCAGCGCAGAGCAAGATCAAGATGGTGGCCGAGGCGCCGGCTGGGAAGAGACCTTTTACGCAATGGAGGAGACGTCAGTCGATGCTCGTCACCAAACAACAAAAACAACTTTAATATACCCTGAGCCAAGTCGGGAGGGATGAGAGAGGACGAGGGAGAAGGCAAGGGGACGAGGGATCGGGAATTGCTTGTCTCAGCCCACTGCACCTATCGAATGGTTCCCTGACACTCCTCCTTTCTCTCGCAGGGTTCTTTTCACCGTTGACCAGATCCGTGGTCTCATGGACAAACGTGAGTAAATGCTGCAACCAATGAAGTCACCTGCGAACTCGAAGCTCATCTCTTCCGCCTCTCGCTCGCCTCTCGCATGCAGCCACGAACATTCGTAACATCTCGGTCATTGCCCACGTCGACCACGGCAAGTCGACGCTCACCGACTCGCTCGTCTCCAAGGCCGGTATCATTGCCTCGGCCAAGGCTGGTGACACTCGTTTCATGGACACCCGTGATGACGAGAAGGAGCGTGGTATCACCATCAAGTCGACTGCCATCTCCATGTACTTCCCCATGAACAAGGACGAGCTCACCGCCATCAAGGAGCCCGCCGACGGCAACGAGTTCTTGATCAACCTCATCGACTCGCCCGGTCACGTTGACTTCTCGTCCGAGGTCACCGCTGCCCTCCGTGTCACCGACGGTGCCCTCGTCGTCGTCGACTGCATTGAGGGTGTCTGTGTCCAGACCGAGACTGTGCTGCGTCAGGCCCTCACCGAGCGCATCAAGCCCGTCGTGTGCGTCAACAAGGTTGACCGTGCTCTCCTCGAGCTCCAGGTCGGCAAGGAGGACCTCTTCCAGACCTTCTCGCGTACCATCGAGTCCGTCAACGTTATCATCGCCACCTACGCCGACAAGGTGCTCGGCGATGTCATGGTCTACCCCGAGCAGGGCACCGTCGCCTTCGCTTCCGGCCTCCACGGCTGGGCCTTCACCCTCCGCCAATTCGCCCATCGCTACGCCAAGAAGTTCGGTGTCGACAAGGACAAGATGATGCAGAAGCTCTGGGGCGACAACTACTTCAACCCCAAGACCAAGAAGTGGTCGACCAAGGACTCGGACGCCGATGGCAAGCCTCTTGAGCGTGCCTTCAACATGTTCGTCCTTGACCCCATCTACCGCATCTTCGACTCGATCATGAACTTCAAGAAGGACGAGGCCACCAAGCTCCTTGAGAAGCTCGAGGTCGCCCTCACTCAGGACGAGAAGGACCTCGAGGGCAAGGCTCTCCTCAAGGTCGTCATGCGCAAGTTCCTGCCCGCTGGTGACGCCCTCCTGGAGATGATTGTCATCAACCTCCCCTCGCCCAAGACGGCGCAGAAGTACCGTGTCGAGGCTCTCTACGAGGGTCCTCTCGACGACGAGTCGGCCATCGGTATCCGTGACTGCGACCCCAACGGACCCCTCATGCTCTACGTTTCCAAGATGGTCCCCACCTCGGACAAGGGCCGCTTCTACGCCTTCGGCCGTATCTTCTCGGGTACCGTCCGCTCGGGCCCCAAGATCCGTATCCAGGGCCCCAACTACACCCCCGGCAAGAAGGAGGACCTCTTCGTCAAGTCGATCCAGCGTACCGTCCTCATGATGGGACGTTACATCGAGCCCATCGAGGACTGCCCCGCCGGAAACATCATTGGTCTCGTCGGTGTCGACCAGTTCCTGCTCAAGAGCGGTACCCTCACCTCGTCCGAGACGGCCCACAACATGAAGGTCATGCGCTTCTCCGTCTCGCCCGTCGTGCAGGTCGCCGTCGAGGTCAAGAACGCCAACGACTTGCCCAAGCTCGTCGAGGGTCTCAAGCGTCTCTCCAAGTCGGACCCCTGTGTCCAGGCATGGATCTCCGAGACTGGTGAGCACATTGTCGCCGGTGCCGGTGAGCTCCACCTCGAGATTGTCCTCAAGGACCTCGAGGAGGACCACGCCCAGATCCCCCTCAAGATCTCGGACCCTGTCGTCGGATACCGTGAGACTGTCCAGGCCGAGTCGTCGATGACTGCTCTGTCCAAGTCGCAGAACAAGCACAACCGTCTGTACGTCACTGCGCAGCCCCTCGACGAGGAGCTCTCCAAGGCTATCGAGCAGGGCAAGGTCAACCCGCGTGACGATGTCAAGATCCGCGCCCGTTTCCTTGCCGACGAGTACGGATGGGACGTCACTGACGCCCGTAAGATTTGGTGCTTCGGTCCCGAGACCACCGGCCCCAACCTTCTCGTCGACACGACCAAGGGAGTGCAGTACCTCAACGAGATCAAGGACTCGTGCGTTGCCGCCTTCCAGTGGGCCTCCAAGGAGGGCCCTTGTGCCGAGGAGCCCGTCCGTGGTGTCCGCTTCAACATCATGGATGTCACCCTCCACACCGACGCCATCCACCGCGGTGGTGGTCAGCTCATCCCCACCTGCCGTCGTGTCTGCTACGCCGCCTCCCTCCTCGCGCAGCCCGGTCTCCAGGAGCCCGTCTACTCCGTCGAGATCCAGTGCCCGGAGGACGGACTTGGAGGTATCTACTCGACGCTCAACAAGCGTCGTGGTCACGTCTACGCCGAGGAGCAGCGCCCCGGTACCCCCATGTACACCGTCAAGGCATACCTGCCCGTCGCCGAGTCCTTCGGCTTCAACGCCGAGCTCCGTGCCAACACCGGTGGTCGTGCCTTCCCCCAGTCCGTCTTCGACCACTACGCCCTCATGGGTGGTGTCGCGAACGACAAGACTGGCAAGCTCTACGAGCTCGTCAAGAAGATCCGCACGAGGAAGGGTCTCAAGGAGGACGTGCCGCCTCTTGACACTTACTACGACAAGCTCTAATCGATTAGTCGTAGCGCAGTGATAAAAGGAAAGGTGTCACGTAGTGGAAGTCTGCTCAGTCTCTTCTGCTTCTCTTCTCATCTCTCTCATCGATCAATCTTCATTTCCGTTTCCTCTCTATGCGATCGTCTGGCAACGAAGTCTGGTCACGCAAGACGTCTGTCTGTACAGCAAAGCGTTGGATTGTCTGACTTGATGTCTGCCGACGCGAGGCCCTCTGACTCTCTACGTGCCCGACGCGGTAGCAGGCCCCGTTGGCACACCCGCCATCGTTGCTCCACCGCCTCGAGATCCAGAGCTGCTTCTGTTGGCGTTGCGGAACTTCCCTCCCCCTCCCCTGCCTCTCCCCCGCCCCCTCCCAAAGCTAGACCCCGTACCATTCGTGGCACTACTGCTCCCCGTGGTACTGTAGCCTGCCGAATCTGGTCGCAGCCCTCCCCTACCCCTGCTGCTGCCACCGCGAGCCCCACCGGCACGAGGAAAGGGTGCAGCAGGAGGCAGAGCAAGGCTAGCAGTATCACTGCTCCCACTGTGTGGCCTTGCCGGGAGATCGGTGAAGATACTGCCGCCTGGAGCATTGCCACCCCGACTCTTTCGTCCTCTACGCGATTTCTTTGCCTTTCCTGCTCCCTCACGTCCTGAGCCCAAACCCATGCCATCAAGCTCAACGTCCAGGTCAGAGCTGCTTAGCTCTGCAGCTAGCTTGGCAGCGAATGCCGCCCTGGCCTCTTCACTTGCTCCTCCCTCACCCTCTCCCTGAACGGCAGCCGCAGCAGCCGTAGCGGCGGCCACGCGTTTCTCGCGGCGCTCCACGCGCGCTTTCTCCTGCTCTTCTCGGCTCAGCGCCTCGACGTACTCATAAGGTAGGCAGAGCTGACTGAGCAGCAGTGGGCCAGGTGCAATGCCTGTGACTTCTCCCACGGGTAAGTCCACAGATTCCTGCTTGATCGTGCCCTCCTCAATCATGCGCACCGCGCGCGAGAACTCAACGTCTATCCTGTCTGCCGGGACCCGGTGAATGTTCTTTGCCGTGTTGCGATCCAGGATAAAAGGGTCCCGAATGACGATGCGGTCTGACTCCCATTCGAGGGGCTGATCGGGATCGTGATCCCTTGCGCGGGTGCGAGGAGCTTGCTCTGCGCCTGGAATGAGGAGCTGCTCGCCGTCTGACGACGATGAGGAGGCCGAGTCGGACGAAGAAGACTCACTAGCAGCAACCCCTCGCGGGATGCCGTCTCCCAGCCCGTTGGCTTCTTGCCAGGCACGACGAGTCTGGATGGTATTTGACTTGCGGGGGGCGCCGTGCTTGACGTCGATTACGTAGTCTCGCTTGGACAGGGACGAGTACCATTGAATGAAGCCGATGAAGTCCCGACCGAGAGTCGTGATTGCGTCTTCGCCTGAAGCGTCTGTGCTTCGGTGTAGCCCTACGTCGGCCGTGCAGGGGAGATTGCCAAACTTCTCTGGATGAGCAGCCCGCTGCTGGTCCCATTGCTCTTTGTTGATTTCTTGTGCCAGACGTCGTCCTTCTTCGTCCCCAGCGCGCAGGTAGTACGTCCAGCCGCCGTCTCTGATCCCGCGATGCTCGGCGAGCGAGGTGTCTAGGTAGGTGACGTCGTACCTTGTTGCCTCTGGGCGCCGCGCGTCCGTGGTGGAGCCTGGACGAGGGTCCCCAGCACGGCGACGGGGTAGCTTTGGCGCGCGAAAGATGTAGTTGCGAGGGATACCCTGAGAGGCAAGAAGTGCATCATTCTGCAGTGAAGGGAGGAGTCGTTGGGTCTGTAAATATTGGATGACGCTGTCCGACCAGGCGAGGGAGAAAGATGTGAGCGCGAGTGTCATCACATGAACACGTCTTGCGTTTCGCACTCACAGCAGCACGATCGAGTAGCTGGAGAGACTGCTCCCCTGTCCTCCTTCTCCCGATGGATCATTGAGCTTCCTCCTCTTTAGCCAATGCTTGACGGCAAAGCACAGCGGCCTGAACGTCTGCTCCCTCAAAGTTGCATATGCCTTGATCAGGCCTGAATTGTGCCTTCCGAATCTGTCGTTGACACTAATATCACCGCTCAGCCCCGTGTCGAGATCCTTGAATTTGACAATGGGGACATTTGCGCCCGTAATCGGGAAGACTTGGGTGAACAGAGGACGGCCCTGCCGGGATGGGCTTGCACCGCCGTAGCGACGTAGAGCCTTGGCCACGTTACGGACGTCGTACCACGAGGGGAGGTCTTCATCATCGTCGGCGCCGTCCTCCTCGTCACTGAGCCCCGGTACGCGAACGCGAAGCTCGGGAGGTGTGCCGACGCCAAAGGGTCTACTCGGGTCGAGGAGGGCGAGATCGATGTCTGATGTGGCGGTGACGATGCCAGTGACTGAAGAGCCAAAAGGTGCGATTTCGAGGGCGCAGCGAGGCCAGGCTTTGGTGATACAGGCCTGAACATCCCTGACGATCTTGCTGCGCTTTTCCTCTTGACGAGGGGAAGGACGGGTACTCTGATCGAAGCGAGAAGGGAGGTCCGTCAGCATCTCAGAGGCGCCGTAGGCATCATTCTCGCCTGCCCACTCACGTTCCAGTGCTGGGCCAATTGCCTGCCAAGTGACGCCTCAATAGTCTTGTCCTCACCCTGCAGGGCCCAATGACTGCACTCTTGCTCTTCTCGTTCGATTGTTCTCTGCCACTTTTGAATGATATCCTGTCTCATGCTGGCCTCATGCTCCCTCCTCTCTCTCCTCCTCTGCAACTCGGCCTCACGCCTGTGCTGTTGCTCGATCTCGCGCCTTTGGAGCTGCGCCTGTCGCTCGAGCGCGGGACCAGTGGGTGGCTGAGCACCCGGCGCTTGCGTCTCTCCCGTTTGCAGAACAGGGATCAGCTGCTGCGGAGGCAGGACCTGAATGTGATCTACTGGCCCTGCACCTTGCACCTCGGTCACCTGCTGTCGCGGGGCTTTTGGTTTTGGCTTAAAGCGCCGTGATGGCTGGCCGTCAGCGTTGGGCGTCGCCATACTGAGGACGATGCTGTGAGGTTGTTGTTGTTGTTGGTGAGGTTGCCAAGGAGCTGAGCGCCTCGCTACTTTTCCGTTTGCTCATCAAGATCCGTGCTTCGCTTCCACTCGTCGAGTCGTCCGTCTCTCCACGCGAGGAGAGGTGGAGTTGAGACCAAGAGGCGGACTGAGCGTCCGTCGTTTACGGGGCTGCTTTGTGCATACAACCTCAATATCCTCCTCGACGCTCGCCCTCATCGCAGAGGGGCATGCAAAGAGCTGATGAATGGAGTCATGAGCTCCATCGTGCTCTGCTTGCTGCTCCCTTCATTCTGAGGTCCACTCGAGGTCAGGATGGTCTTGCTCACCAGCTGCTCCTGGTGCGTTAACGCCTGAGCTCGACGCCTGCCGCACCTGGCGCCTGACCTCTTTACTCCCAAATCGTAGAAAGTGCTTGCTCATGCCCGATCTCAAACGCTTGCAATAGTCGTCATACCTCTGTCTTCGCTGGCTGTACTCTATGAAGGCCTCTCATTTCGAACGCTTCAACGACGGACCAAATGCTCCCCACCGCTATCGACGGCGTCCTCACAGTCACAGACCCAACCGAGAGGAGGCATCGACTCTTTGACATCCCATCCCTTCTCGCTCTCATCCTCCTCATCCATCAGTGATACTCTCTTCGACCATCTATCGACATGGGTACGCAGAGCCGTCACAGGCGAAGCAGGCAGCGAGGAGGCCTGGTTGGACTGCGAGCTGGGCCGGAGTGAGGCCACGCTCGAGTGCCATTTCAAGGTGTCAGCACCGCAGCAGCAGACGATCGACGTGTCGTTCGACCTCTCAGCGCTCGACCGAGATGAGGGGCCGGCCTTTCTTCGCGACCACCTTCTCGCGCCATCAATCAGTCTGGCTGCGAGAGGTCTGGCAAGCCAGCGGCCGGCCGCAGAAGGAGCCGAGCAGCGCTCGATGGGGGACGTCATGAGCGACCTCTTTCACCAGACAGAGCTGAATGCCAGCTTTGCAGACTACACGCGAACCCTCAATGGAGTCTCAGAGGAGGAGGCTGTCAGGGCTGGAGCCTCGTCGCTGCCTGCTCTGACGCAAGACAAGCCAGCCTCACCTCATCACTTCTCACCAGATGCCACGCTCTCTTCCTCGCCCGTCGATGGAGAGCAAGCCAACGCACGGGTAAGCAGCCGTAGTCGCAGCACAACAAGAAGCCGCACGCGCTCCGCCTCGCCCGGAGTAGCGGCGCAATCGGCGTCAGCGTCAGCCTTGTCACTATCACCGCCAGCTTCCTCATCGGCGGAGCCAGCGCGGCCACCTCCCGCGCCAATCTCACCGCCGCCAAGGCATCAATCCTCTTCCCCTTCGATGGCGTTGAGCCCACCTCGTGCTCCTCCCAGCCAGGATCGAGCAGCTGGCACAACTGCTGTGCAAGCCAAGGACGATGACGATGAAGATTCAGAGGAAGAGATGCTTCCCTCGCAGTCGCAACGCCCATCCCAGCAGGCCCGACCATCTCAATCCGCAGCACCGCCAAGTAGCTTCTCGTCCACAATGTCACCTCCAGCTACACCTTCAAAGCGTAGAGCAGGGGCTCCCGTCGTCGCCCCGAGCACCATGCACGCGCCGAGTACCCCTTCGAAGGACGGGAGCAGGGAAAATGCGGTCGCAGGCCCGAGTAGGGGTGGTAGAGGAGCGAGCTCGTATCGGAGAGGGTTGGCGAAGAGGCAGAGGATATGAGCCGGAGACCAGATATCAAACATGCCCAGAGACGCTGCTACTCCATCCAGCATTGCTTGATGCAGCTGCTCGTCCTCGACTCGAATCGTATGTACAACAGTGACTTGAACCTCGATCCTGCAATGCTCTTCAGTTCCCGCGCCAAGGCGTCTCTCCCTTTGCCCTCATCCTCACTTCCCTCATCCCACCCTCCTCCTCACGCATCAACCTCTCCCTCTCGTGCGCAATCGCCCTGACCCACAAGTCGCGCTCCATCTTGGATCGGGCGCGCATCACGAGCGTGGTGTGCGACGAGTCCGAGAGGGAGGGAATGGGCGCCGTGCTCGGCGTCGAGGAGGATGACTGTTGACCCTCATCACGTTGCACCCTCCCGCCATCCTCTCCTTCGGTAGGGGGTGGCGCACCCTTCTCACCGTGCGCAACCCCTTTCTCCTTGGCCTCCTCTGCCTTGCGCGCAAGCGGCGTAGCAACGGGGTCGGCCGGCTGATTACCTGCGCGCACAGGGCGGTACCGGATGACAAAGGTGCAGTCCTCATCCTCATCGACGCTCAACAATCCATCCGAGTACATGCGGGGGACCTTGTGCCTGCCTCCTCCGCCCGCATTGCCACCGCCGAAGGCTCCGTACCCTTCGCCATTGCCGCCAGTATCGGTAGCCCCACCAGAGGCGAATTGACCCAGCGAGCCCGCTCCTTCGGACCTGCCCGCTGCCCCGACCTCCTGCTCAGTCAGCTTGCCCGTCCAAACGTACGAGTCCCTCAAGGGAATGATCTTGGCTTCGTTCTCCTGCCGCTTGTAAAAGATACCAGCATTCTGCCTTCCCCTCGCCGTGCGCGTTGAAGTGAGGAGCTTGAAGCTGAGCAAGCGGCCAGATACGAGGAGGTAGAAGCGTGACCGGAAGGGAGAAAGGGGACGAGGCTTGACGAAGAGGTGACCTGAGTGGATAATGCCTCTGCAGCCGGCGATTGAGCACCAGTGCCAGATGTTCCCGAGAAGAAGGGCGCGCGTGGCATTGTCGATGGGCGTCGAGTGAGAGGCTAGCGCTCCTCCGGCATGGTGGTTGTCCTGTTCCTTGCGCCGGCGAATGAGCGCAGGATCACACCCGCTTACCTCCATGAGCTCCAGTGCGTCGACCTTCTCCCTTCGCTTCCAGTAAACGCTCAGATCGTGCATGCGAGCCACCCACTCCTTTGCCACCGAGCGCGAGTAAGCTTCAAAGCGGGTGGAGCGACCATTTGTCATCACCACCTCGAATTGCCTTGCGCGACGCAGGGCAGTACGATCACCTCCGTTGGCCATGGCGATGTTCAGCCCCTCCTCGCCGCCCAAGTCGGGCTCATCGTCGGGCGCATTCTCCTGTGGCGTGGGCATGGGCATGGGCATGCTCACGGGCGGGTCCAGCCCTGGCTTGCGCGTATGACCTTCCTCGTCGGTGGCGCCGAGGTAGCGGATAGCATAGATGCTTTTGACGTCGATGAAGCCGTCAGCGTTGCTGATCTGGTCAAATTGACGTCGACGCTCGAATGCGCGATACGCCTCCATCTGGGCGGCGACCTCGTCTGCTGTGCTGGCCACCGAGGCAATGGTGTCCAGGACGTGCTGACGTAGAGCGCCAGCCGTATCATCGCGTGCACGTTTGCGGCCGGCGCGAGTGCGCGGTGGACGTGACTGCGGGCCGGATAGCACTCCGCTCGCTCGTCGAGCCGAGTTCGCACTGCCCCTTCGTTGCCCATCTGCACCGCTCTCGTCGCTGTACCCGTACCCGCCGCCAAGGTACGAAGCGCTCCTGCTCCTGCTGAGAGGCCGACTGCCTGAGATCCTCGAGTTTCCTCCCACTCCTTGCTCGTACGCCGCAGACGACTCTACTCCTACAGCAATGTGCCTATCCGGAGGAAAAGCTTTGGACGCTTTGAGAACGAACGCCTGGTAGTCGTGCGTAGACACGTAAAGCCTCGTCAGAGCCCCGGAGACGGGCTTCACACGCCATAGGAACCCTTCCAGGCCGGGAGGCTCAGCCATCTTCTTTCCATCGGGCATGAGTACCGTAGTAGGGTAGTGGCTCGCCGCCCTAAACTCGAGCAAGGCAGGCTGGCGCGCTTCTTTCAGCACCGAGCCACAAAGGACCGACCAGTCGCGCGGCTGATTGTCGAGAGTAGTGTCGTGGATGACCCAGTCCAGTGTCAAGCCTCGCCGCCAGGCGAGCTCGAACCTCGCTCCGCGTTTGAGGGCGATTTGTAGTGGTTCCTCCCACTCTGGCACCCCCTTCAACATGCGAAGGATGGTCCGTGACAGGTGCGCGCGATTGATCAGCGTGTAACCTTCCCCACCGCCACGGTGCGTGCCGTTAGTGAGTGCGAGCTCCCCCTCGCCGCAAGCGACTTGCTGCGTCACCTCATCAGCCTCGTCAGCGGGCATTTCCTCTGGAATAGGGAACTTGATCCTCAGATCCAGCACGGGAATGTGCACTTCCAGTGTCTCTGGTATCAGCCCGCCAACTTCTCGCCACAAGTCCCACACCCAATCTGCTGCCACACTTATACCCCTCGCGTCGAACAAGAGGATATTGGTGCCTGACTTGCGTAGGTTGAGCATTCGATGCTTCCCGCCGCCGGATATGTGCGTTGCAGCAAAGTGTTGTGAGTAGGTAAGGCAGAAGATGCGGTCGACGTGGCTGAACATGGAGAGGTAGGTTGAGCCTCGCGACAGGGGAATGACGAAGGAGAGGTGCAGACGGTGAGAGTGGCCGGACAGGCTGCGCAAATGGGTAGGAGTTCGTGGAATGTCAGCTGAAGGTGCTTATGAGAGAGTAGTGACGCCGGATACTCACCGACTTGTCTTGGACGGATCACTCCACAGTTCCACTCTCCCCATCCGCAGCACAACGATGTACTCTCTCCACTCTCCCGGGTGCACGTTGAACTTGCGCACGATAGTCTCGTCCAAGTCTTGCGGTAAGGTCTCATTGGGAATCCAATCATTCTTGACTAGCATGCGATCACGTCGAAGTATAGAACGACGAGTGAGCCACTCTTCCTCCGCGTCTGCGGGTTGTTGAGAGGCAGAGGGCGCTTCGTGGCGAGGAGAAAGAAAGGAAAGATGAGGACGCTCCGTGTTTGGAGAGGGAGAGGCGGAGGATGCTGTGTACTCGCGGGAAAGGACTTCTTCGGGAGGCGCTGGTGCGGAGTCGCCTGGCCTGCGTTGGCGTAGAGCAAGGATTCCGCCCCCACCGCCAATGCTGGAGTTGCCTGCAGCACCTCCATTGGGCGGTTGAAGTAGCGGAGAGGACGTGCTGCTCTTGAAGGTCGGCCTCGGGAGAAGCTTGTCGAATTGGACCGTCTTACGCGTTTCTCCAGCATCTCCATTCGCCACCTTGCCATTCATGCCAACGGTCGGAGGTGCTAGCCCTCCGTGACTGCCAGGCGATCCAAATGCTCCCGCCGGCCGCGCATCATGTACCACAATACTGTTCGTGCTCACCTTTCCCCTCAAGAGAGGCGTGTCGCTGCCTATGACAGACGGCGCTTGAGGCGCAGAGGAGCTCATGGTGCGAGCTTTGTGCCCAAATCCCCCAAAGGTGTCCCCATTTGCGAATGAAGTAGGCGAGGCATGCGATGTAGGTGAGGAGGTCAGGTTCATCACTACCGCATGGTCACTGGCCGTATCTGCCGAAGCTTCGCCCTTGATCGCTGGGGAGCGCAGAGCTTGGTCGGAGGGCTTGCGAAGAAGCTGGAAGGTCGTCTCGGGGTACTTCTCGTCTGCAGAGAGGGGAGGCTCTGGGTGGGTCGTTGCTTCCTGAAGAGTCATGCGTCGAGGTGCTGCGTCTTCTTCGCTGTCTTGAGACAGAGTGCGAGGGCTCAACACAATCGGCTCGCCGAGCTGAGCTCTTGAGCCAGCTGATGCTTCAGTCGCCTCCTCCTGGCCAGGCTCCGCATCAACAAAGTAATCCTTGGCCGACTCCCAGCCTGTTTTACTCGTTTCGAGAGGAGCAGACGCCCCCGCTGGCGGTGGCGGAGAAGCCAGATCCTCAAGCTTGAGCTGGGGAACATTCTCCCTAGCTGCTGCAATGCTTGTTGATTGGTCCATCACGCCACTGTGCTCCTCGCCGATGGTGGAAGGGCCCCGCTTGAATGTCGGCCTTGCTGAAGCGTCCTTGCTGCCACCGCCACTCTTGGGTCCAACCTTACGGTCGAATGACCTAGTTGCCTCTCTCAGTCGCTGCTCAGCTCGGTCCTTGATCCCCTTTGCTACCTTACCCGAGGACTGAATAGAGCTGGAGTGCTTAGACATCATTGAAGCCACATCCGACCAGCCGTGCCTTGCTTCGATCCCAACTGCAGATTCTGTATTCGTAGTTGGCGAGGTAGGCTGCTGCTTGGGCATGATGAGGGACTTGGGTCGGGGCGACTCTCGGACTGCGGTACGTCGGGGGATAGGAGAGTCCGAGACCTTCGTTTTGGTTGGAGACTGAGGCGGAGAGGCGGGAGCCGCAGGTTGAGAGGGGTGCAGGGCCTTCATTGATGCTCCAGAGCTGGCATTGCCATTCGAAGTCAATGTCTTGTCGGCTTCTCCCTCCGACTTGCCTCCATCAGAGACCTTCGCTTCACGATCCCTCCGCTGCTGGCGATTGAGCCAGCGTTGATGCCCGTCGCCGCCGTCTTCACTTCCCTCCTTCTGCTCTTGGCGCTGATCTTGCATCATGCTTGCATCTTTAGCAAACTGATTGAGCACAGCAGAGGGCGTTCGGTGGAGGGAGCGAGGCCCGTCCATCTCACCCCTCCTCGGCCCATCCTCACGCGCAGCATCCTCGGGCGGCTCCTCAATGATCACATCCGGCGCGCCCGCTGAGACACGTCTCCTGTGTGAGAGCGAGCTTTCTCCACCCGCACTGCCTCGTCGCTTCTCGTCCCTCTCCCTGTCCAGCATAACCGCTTTGACCTCCCTCTCGCGATGCTCGACAACGTCCCAGAATCTCGAGCCAACTTCGAAGCTCTGCCCTACCCACTTGGTGCCTCCCGCGCTCGTCCCCACCTGACCAGGAGCAACGCCACCCTTCCATCTGCGCCGTGTCTCCTTGACTTTGCCAGCCAGCTCAGCAGCACTCGCTCCTCGCTGCCTCAACTTATCTGGCGAGTCGGCAGGAGTTTCGCGAGAGACAAAGGCGGAAGGCTTGAAGACGCGGACGATGCGTGCGCGGAAGCCGCCCGAAGCACCGAATGAGCCAGCGCCCAAAGAGGCGGCGAAGCGTCCTGTGGCGGATGAGAAGTTGCTGCCTAATGTCTGGGCAGTTGAGGCGCGACTCATACGAGAGTAGCGGGAAGTCTCCCGCTCATGGCTGTGGCCGCCATGAAGGCGTGACGCCGTTGAGACGTCTCGCTGTGGGTGTCTCCGTGGAGTGGTGAAGTGTGCGACAGAGGTAGAGCGCGTCTGCTGCTGTTGCGAGTCTTTGGTCGCTTCAGCTTCGCTGCTGCCTTGCATGCGGTGCATGTTGAGGATGCCTCCTGTCTTGGCTTCTGAGCTTTCCGTTGGATGCGTTGCTGAACTCTGCGGGTCTTGACATCCCTTTTTCGCATACTCGCCACGTAGCGATTGGCGGGAAGAACGTTGTGATGGGGTGAGTGATTGGATCGAAGGGACGCCGCGTAAGGTTAAACGCTTGTCACGGGGTGAGACGGGCTCGTCCGAGGGAACCTGAAGATGTATTGGACCTGGATGATCTCGTCCTTGATAGGCATCGTCCAGAGTAACGTCGAAGGGTGTCGAGGACATTGGTAGACCCTTATGCGCCCTTCTCCACGCAGCTACGGCTTGTGAGGGCTGTCCGGGTACACTCGAGCTGCTGTCTGCCCTTCCCTTGCCCTTGCCACTAGCAGACATGTCGAAAGACAGTCGACGACTGTCCGACGGGACAGCGAGACTTGTGCTTGCAACTCTCGACCCAGCATCTGGTAGGTCGGCGCCGAGAGAAGCCATGGCGGAGCCCTCTCTTCGGATGCCTGAAGCTTTTCGGCTGCTACGTCCTCCAGGCGGCGTGGACGATCTGGCTAAAAGTCGCGAGTCGTTCCTCGAGGACGTGTCCGCAGGCATGGATGCAGCAGAGGCAAAGCTGACGGCTGAAGCGGCAGATGGATCCCTGCGCATTGCCCATCTGGATGAGCGAGTTCGAGAGGAAGAGTTTGCAATGATGTCCGAGTGGAATGAAGGCTGGCGACGTGTGTGAGGAGCTTTGCTCGATTCTCCAAGTCTTTGCCCTCCTACGGTGTCTTCGCCCTCTTCCTCGTCTTCCTCCGCCGGTCCGCGAAGGAGGACGAAGCCTTCCCTGCCCGCAATTGCAATGCCGATGGGATCTGTTGTTTCATCGTCTTGTCTCAATGCTGCTGCGACCCTCGATGCATGCTGTAGCGAGACGGGTGAGGGACCAAGGTAGTACCGTCTAAAAGGCTGGTGCGCATGCGGGTCGCCTTGCGTTCGTAATGAATGAGGATGGTGGCTGTCCGATGCAGTTGAGTCCGATGCTGGATGCTGCTGGACATCGAGGTAGGACGCCATGTTGCGCGTGTGTAGGTCTGTGAGTCTACGATTCCATGCTGATGGTGAAGGAAAGGAGCAAGGGGAGCAATTCTCCGTTCCTGACGTTTGTGTTGACGAGGAGACAAGGGGAGCGAGTTGCTCTCGGAGCTCTCGAATATGCGGCGAAAGGGGCCGACGAGCCTCTGCTTCCGCCTGCATCCTCGATGCTGCGCTTCTGCAGTCCACGACGCCCAGAGCCGGCGGGGCGAGCAACACAGGCCGAAGCGAAGCAGCGGGCGGCTCGATGGACTTGGCCTTTGGCCGGCATTGAAGGCGCCCGATTGATTCCAAGCTGGACCGGCCAACCAGAGGCAACGCTTCTTCTTTTCCCACATCCATTCCATCATGTCCGCATCCTCACAGCGCAAAGAGACGGAGATCAAGATTCCCTTCCCCTCGCGCTCCGACCACAAGATCGATCTCGCAGGCATCCTCTCGCAGCATGATCCGTCCTCCTCAGCAGTGCGTCGTCCCCTGGCTCTGATCTTGCACGGCGTCCTCTCCCACAAGTCCCAATCCTTTCACCCTCTCCTCGCCTCGTCCCTCCCCATTGACTCGCTGCGCTTCGATTTCAGAGGCAATGCTGACTCGCCGCTGCTCGAGGGCCAGGAATGGGATATGGCTGGATTCCACGAGGATTGTCGTGATTTGGACGCCGTCGTCGAATGGATGGAGGAAGAGTATGGCTACCAGGTCGAAGCTATCATCGGGCATTCACGCGGGAGCCTCATTGGGTGGAAATGGATGAGTGAGGCTTATGGAGATGATGATTTGCAAGGTGGTAGCACTGTAGACAACGAGGAGAGGCGGTGGATTCAGAAGAGAAGACAACGAGGAGCAGGCAGCGGGAGAGCACCGCCAGCGTGGGTCAGTCTGTGTGGACGATGGAACATGGATAGGATACACGATCGCGATCAGGTGTATGCGGAGCAATTCAAGGACAAGGGCTTTTTTGAGTGGAAGGTGAGCGGGCGCCAATCCCTATCTGCCTATCAAGGCGCACGCTCTAACATCCTCCTTCTGCCCCCGTCATCCCTTCCGTCAGGCCAAAGTAGCTGGGAAGCAAGTCACCGCCCGCGTCACTCCTGCTGCAGTAGAATCCTTCGCCTCCTACCCAATTGCTTCTTACGTCTCTCGGTACCCCTCACACTCCCCGCCACTCCTCATCCACGGCACCTCAGACGAGACGGTCCCCTCTGCCGATGTCGGGTATTACATCAATGGCCTCTCCGCCAAGCATGCACGCACTCAGTCGGGGACGGGCTCGACGTGGGGTCAAGTCCACCTGGTCGAGGGAGCGAATCACATGCTGCGCGGCAAGTACGACGAGGTGGTGGCGGTCATCAAGCAGTGGTACGAAGCGCAACGGCGGGGGTCAAGTAATGAGGATGGCCCGCAGATGGCACTGGAGGCTAGCCAGGAGGGGGATGTGCTGGAGAGAAGCTGGAATGAGACGGGTGCGGGCAAAGGGAAGCTCTAGAGGGGCGTCTATTCGATCTTGTCACAATTGTACCATTGCAGAGCCACGTCGATAATCCACAACCACGATGAACACTCATCCCCTACATCTACGCCGCAGCCGCCACCTGAGGCATAGGCGCAGTTGCCGCTTGCGGGAGGGGCAAACGGACCTGCATACTGCCCGTACCCACGGGCACTGGCCTGCCTACTACGAGATTAGCACTAGGCCCATTCATCTCATCGCTCTCGCCATGTAGAGCTGCCTGTCCCAAGAAGGCCATGGTCATCTCGAAGCTGGCCTTAAGCAAGGGGCTCTCGTTGTTGGCGATACCACCACGAGAGAAGGGCCTAAATCCACCATCGCAGGTCTGATAGTCGGCAATGAGGTAGAGATGACGCATCGAGACGTCGATACCGTACGTCCCGAAGATGCCCGACATCTCGGCTACGATTGCAGCGCGAGCTGCCTCGACTCCGTAGGTGTGCAGGAGGGCACCGACGTCGTTGGTGTACAGTCGGTCGAGGTCCACCACGCCGTGTGCAAAGTCCCAGATGCCGCGCAAGTTGATACCTTCTGCCGTGAAGCTTCGCTCCGTCACGCCGGGCTCGGCAGGAGGGATGAGGATGCGAGAGATGCGCGGGATCTCATGGACGACAGAGAGTCGACAAGCGCGCTCGACGACGTTCATCAAGAGGAGCTTGTCCTCGTTACTGCCCAGTTGGAGGGAAAGGGACGCCCAGCTTCCCTTCTTGGAGTCAAAACGGAAGGAGGTGACGAACTTGCTCGATTCCTGGAGACCAGCCTCAAGATTGGCAACTCGGTCTGCAATGTCCGTTGGCATGGCATCGCCTTCTTCCTCAGAGTCGGAGTCGTCACCATCGCGCATGCTGTGGCCATTGGTGTTCTCCTTGCCGCTGTTGGCAAAAGCGGCCTCGATGCTCTCAGCAGTATCAGGTCGACCCTCATCATCGTCTGAGTCCGCCACGTCCTCGTACGAAGCGAAAGCCCCAGCCTTGCGTTTGCGCTTCGCATCGTCTGCGTCACCGTCATTGTTCGCCTCGTCCTCGTCTTCGGGCTCGTCGTCCGAGTCTGAGTCTTGCGCTGCGCGGTTGGAAGCTTGAGCTTTGGCTGATGCTGCGGAGGCTGAACCCTTCTTGCCTTGCGCAGCGTCTCCGTCGCCCGCGGCGGCCTCGTCGTCTTGCTGCGCCGCAGGCGTATCATTGAAGGTCTCGCCACGTCCAATGGCGGCCTGTTGGCGCACCCGATCCTTGCGTAGCCTCTTCAACTCTTTGACGATCTCTTGCTCCAAGATGGGAACAAAGGTCGCCTCGAGCGCAGCAAAGATGCCCTCCAGCTTGACGTTGTACTCCTCCGAACACTCAGCCATGGGGAAAAGGTTCAAGCGCACCTCGTACGTCTTCTGCCTCTTCCAGCCTGTCTCAAGGGACTTGCCGCTCATCTTCTCGGTGACGACTGCATTCTCCACCACCTGGCTCAACAGTAGCCTCGAGCCATCCTTGCAGAAGGTGCGCATCTGCTCGTCCGTGATGCTATCCAGCACAGGAAGCTTCATGATCGGGGTGCGAATGTTCTGCGAGGCGGTCATGACAATCTCTCGCAGACGCGGGATACCAAGGGTGACGTTTGCGGCACCGTGCCCGGCAAAGTGGAAGGTATTGAGCGTCATCTGCGTGGAAGGCTCGCCTACTCCTTGAGCAGCAAGGAGACCGACCGACTCGCCTGGGTCGACGAGGCCGCGTAGGTAGAGAACAGAGATGAGGGCCTTGAAGCGTTCAGGGTCGAGAGGCTGGCGTGAGGACGCCAGCTTGGCTGCTGTGGATGCGACGGCTGCCGCACCGTCCTCGTCGCCGTGCTTGCGCTTGTTCTTCGACTTCTTCGACTCCTTGAGTAGGCCTGACGCGTTCTTGCCCACCCAAGCCTCGACGTCCCTTGCAAAGCTCTCGCTCATGGATCCCAGGTAGCGCGCAGGGTTCCATTGGCTCATAACCGGGGCGTACTTGTGCGGCTTAGCGAGAGCCTTCTTCAAGTGCTTCTTGATCGCCTCGGTATCCTCCGTCTTGAACACCTGGGCGAGCTGCTTCGGGTTGTAGCGATTGACATACGTCGTGAAGTTCTGCGCCGTGAAATCAAACTGGTCCAGGTACTTGGATCGGGTTGTGTCCAAGCCGTCTTCGCCGTAGTTGAACTGCAGAACCGAGCCATCGGCGTTGCGCACCGAGGAGTCGTACGCAACCTTGTACCCTTCGAGATGCTTGATCAGACAGCGCTGCAGGTATCCGGAGGAAGCCGTCTTGACGGCCGTGTCGATCAGTCCTTCACGTCCCGCCATGCAGTGGAAGTAGTACTCCTGCGGCTTGATTCCCGTCAAGAAGCGACCCTCTATGAACCCACCGGCACGCATTGAGGTATCAAAAGCTTTGAAGCTCGGCAGAGTCTTTCCTGAGATCATCGTGGGCACACGTCGTCCCTCAAGCGCTTGAGCACCCAGTAGGCACGAGATCTGCGAGACGTTGACTGGCGAGCCCTTGGCGCCTGAGACGGTCATCATCTGCATGTTGTTCTCCGGGAACACCTTTGCTAGGCCGTTCGGAATGCAAGAGTCGATGACGCTTGATGCGAGCTTGTTGCTGGCAGACATCATGGCTGCATCGAGGGCAGCCATCTTGGAATCATCGCGCAGCACCTCCTCGAGACGGATGCGCAGATTGTACTCCAGATCTGGGTCGTCCTTGCTCTTGTCGCCGAGACCGACATTGTCCAGCGCCGCAGTCTTACCGTCTCCCATACCTGCGTTGAGCAGGGAGCGTCGCTCTGTGTCTCCCTTGCTGCTGAGGATGAGGTCGTCCATGCGGCAGGTGAAGGCAGAGTGCTGCAGCCACTTGGTGAAGAGGCGCGAGAAGATCGAGAGGAGCTTGCCAGCAGACTCGGAGCCGTACAGCTCAAAGACGGCATGCACCGTTCCGTACGCAGAGGCACCGATCTGGTTCTTGTCGAACACACCAGAGAGGAGCTCGCCATCCTCGATGATGACATCCTGCTCAAGAGCGTGCGCTTTGCCCCAGTACTTGCCGCCTACCTTGGCCTTGCTCTTGATGTTCAGCCCTGCAGCGTTTGCGGGCTTCAAATTGAGAAGAATCGTCGAGATGACCTGCTTTCCTGTCCAGCGCGGCTGCGGGCGAAGGATAGCGGGGGGAAGTGTCTGGATGCGGTCGTATGGCAAGTAGTCGTCCTCCGTCCTCAGAGCGCCATAGAGGAGCTGCTGATACTCGGCGCGCGTGAGCAACGTGTTCTTCGACGTCATCCACACAGCAGCGACGACGTGGTCTTGAATGAGACCGCGCAATGGCTTGCCGCTCGTGGGCACGAGGAACTGATTGTCTGTGTTGGCAATGTTGTAGCACTCGGCGCGTGCAGCCTGACTCTGGGGGAAGTGCATGTTCATCTCGTCTCCGTCAAAGTCGGCGTTGTACGAATTGCAGTTGGCGTAGTGCATGCGGATTGTGCGCTCTCCCGTCAGTACCTTGGCGCGGTGAGCCATCATGGACGGCTTATGGAGTGTGGGCTGACGATTCAGGAGGAGGATATCTCCGTCGCGAAGATGGCGGAGCACTTGTTTGTTTGCGACCAGAGTGCGAGTCGATGCGCCCAGACCGCCAAAGGCGCCCTTTGCTTGTCGACCCTCTTGCGGCGTGAGCAGCTGATTTGCCAACGCTGTGCGCTGTTCAAGCGTCAGGCGACCGAGCAGGGTCTCCGTCCCATCCTCAGCTCTCACAGCTACGGCGCCCGGATGCTTGTCCGGCCCATTGATGACGAGCTGCCTCATCAAATGCACATTCGCAGCCGTCACCGGCTCTGGGTAGGTGAGCTTCTTTGCAAAGACGGGCGGGACACCGATCTCGTTTGTCTCGATGTTGACGTCGGGCGAGATGACGGATCGAGCGGCAAAGTTGACACGCTTGCCCATCATGTGCTTGCGGAACAAGCCCTCCTTCTTCTCAAGTGCCTGCTTGACACCTGGAGGGTTGAGGCGACCTTGCGACTCGGGAGAGGGGTTCTTGCTCGAGTCGATGAAAGAGTTGACCTCTACCTGCAGCTGGAACATGGCCGAGAAGAGGCGGTCGAACCCTTCGCGACGCTTGGCGCCCCATTCCTTTTGCGCCCGCATAACCTCGTCCTCGTCCATCTCGCCGTTCTCGCCCAGAGCGTTGTGCTTGACCTTGAGCTCGTCGAGGGCAGCATTGAGTTCTCGCACCTTGATGCATGCCTTCAAAATGTTGGTTAGGAGCGAGTTCTGCGGGTTCTCAAAGGTGGAATCGCCCATGACGGAGGCAGGACGGAAGCGAGTAGGAGCGACTGAGATGACGTCCATGAAGAAAGCGTCTGCGCTCGCTCCATTGGGCGTCTCAAAGGGGTTGGTGGATGATGAGGATGACTCTGTCACATCGCCGAGGATACGATCTGATCTGCCGCTCTCAAAGACTCCTCGACGCCCGAAGATGAGGGAGCAGATGGTCGACTCTCGCTCAAAGAGGCGTCGCAGGTTTCCTCTGCACTCGACTGGTGGCATGACACGCGTTGAGCCACCCGCTACCTTGCTGGCCTTGCTTGCCTCCTTGAGTCCCGCCTTGTCGATGGGCTGGTGCTCCTGAGCATCGCTAGCGTCTTGGAAAGAGGAGCCACCAATGACGTCTGGCCTCGTGATGCCGAGAACAGCGTGCAGCGCCTTGTCCTTTGGGCTGAGATCGCCCTCGACGATCTTGATAAAGCCATCCTTTCGCAACGTGGGGCTGACAGCCTGACATGCGCGACACTTTCTCTGCGTGATGACGGCCTTCAAGAACTCAGCAATGACTGCCTTCCTGGCGGCGTATGCTAGCTGGCCATGCGCCTGGCCTCGTCGAACTCCTCTTCTTGTTGCGTGATAGATGTGCGTGCCGACGATGCCGTCGATGCGCTTGCGGAATTCATCAATGGACTCAAGCTGCTGATCTGCCATGGCTTGCACATCGATTTGACCATCGCCGTCTGCTGCGTCAGCGCCATTGGGCTGAGCGTTGGACAGCTGAGCGTTCTCATTGTCGGCAAAGTTGGACTGGCCGAGTAGTGACTCCTGGCCAATGTCATCCGCTTCTTGGACGAGGCCGTACTCGAGAAGGCGCAGCTTGGCGATGTACAGGATCCTGTTGTGAGGTAGCACATGTCAGCGTGATGCTCAGCAATGCAATTGTTGTTTCCTTGGCGCACACTCACATCTGGAATGGCGGAATCTTGAATCGATGGCAGAAGAGGCAAGTCCCACGCAACAAGTTGTAGCCGTGCGTCATGAAGAGAGGGTGGAAGACGGGTTGCGGGAGCTCGATATGACCAAAGTGGCCAGGACATTGAAAGTGATTGAGCCGGCAGGTGGTACAACTGAGCGTGAGGAAGAGTCAGCTCGGAGCTCAAGCAATGCTGCGCCCTGGGGCTCATCGCTCACATGTCATCCTTCTTCATCGGACCGAATGCAGGGTCGTACAGTCCTCCAGCTGTGGGGGTCTGTGTACCATCAAGGAGGACCGGGTTGGTAATCTGCTTGACAGACATGGCCCGAATCTCCTTTGTCGAGAGGAGCGAGAAGCTCGTCCCCTCGATTGTCGACGAGATTGGGCGGGTGATGTCCATGTTGGCGGGTAGGGGCCAATGGCTCTCGTCGTCACTCTCTCCCACGCAAGTCGAGGTGAAGGAGCGTGTATGCTGGCGAGCAGGGACGACGAGGTGCGGGCGACGGTGAGGGCGAGGATGAGGAAGCGGCAACGAAGGAGCAGCGAGCGAGCGAGCGGAAGACGACACCCACACTTTCTCCCAACTCGGGCCAAATTTCTCTCGCGCCGCTCCGACGAAGAAAGCTCGTCGTCTCACTTTGGCCCTTTCTTCCGCTCCGATCAGAGAGGCGAGGCTTGAGGTTGTGGAGCAACGGCTCAGACGGAAGGGCGACTGGCTCGACCTTTACTCATCAACTTTCGAGCCTCGAGTCGTCGATCCTTCTCAACGGGCCACCGCCATTAACCACCATGACAGGAAAAGCTCTTTCAACCAACGCAATCCGCATTGCTCGCGGTAGAGCATCAGTAGTTTCGCGCCCGACACTCCTTCGCAGCTATGCCAGCCATGCAAGCCAACAGCCTGCACCTGCCCCGCCTTCTCAGCAGCAACGCAAGTCCAATACCGTCTCGTCGTCAGCTCAACCAGACCCGTCTCTAGCCCCGCTTCGCATCCTCCATCCTCCTTCTCACCTGGCTTCTTACTTTTGGCCGACTCCACTGCGACGTCACTACCTCACGCTGCAGTCCCTCTTCCTAGAGCTGGCGCATGTCCCCTCGACGGTATCAGGCGAGATCCTCGGACGCATCAGGTATGGATGGTGGCGCGATGCCATCGGTGCATGCTACCGTGGCGAAGGTAGGAGATACAAGCATCCAATCATCGTAGCGCTGGAGGAGCTGATATGGGATCAAGAGGTCAGAAAGAGGGGAGGGGTAGTGCAAGACCACTTCGAGGCCATAGTGGACGCATGGGAGACTGCTCTGTCGTCGTCCCCAACGGCCCCATCACTGCAGCAACTAGAGGCAGCAGCAGAGCGCATCTACTCTCGGCAGCTCTACCTCCAGCTCAATCTCGCAGGCGTCGACGACCGCGCAACAGACGAGATCTTCTCCCACCTAGGCAAGGCGCATGGCCTTGTCGAGGCAATCGTGGACACGCCGATGCGAATGGGCGTCAAGCTGACGCCGAGCAAGGATACAGGTGCAGACGGCAATGTCGTGGGCAGAGTAGCAAAAAATCGCAAACCGCCGATGAGCGAGGTTGCTCGTGGTCTCATCCTGCCTGCCGAGTATCTTGAGAAGCACGGGGTGGTCGAGGAAGAAGTAAAACGACAAGGTGGAATGGCGAAAGGCTTCAAGGACGCAGTCTTCGAAACAGCTACGCGGGCGAATGACTACCTCATCACTGCCAGAAGGGATATCAGGGAGAATTTGCAGGGGGGAAAAGTAGGCAATGAAGCAGGGCGAGCGGTGCTGGTGGGAGCGGCGACGATACCGCATCTACTGGAAAGGCTGGAGCGATACGACTTTGATCCTTTCGAGCCCAAATTTAGGATGGAGGCCAGAGGGCACGGCTGGAGGCTGCCATTGAAAATGTACAGAGTCGGGTGGACGGGCAAGCTCTAGCTTACTGCGAGCAATGAATCGCTATCTATGTTGAGAAGTGGCCAGACGTGCCGGCGTTCAGGGTCTTGATTGGTGTTGGTTGCGTTTCAGCCACGCGAGTCGAGATCCCCGCTCGCTGCGAGAGATCCGTGCAGCCGAAAAGAGGAGGCGGCGGTGCGGCGGTGCGGCGGTGCGGTGCGCTTTGACCCTTGTTCCTTTCCTCTCGACTCCAATCCAACACCTCGATCATGTCCTCTTCATCGTCATCTGATGCGCCTGGCAAGGCAGCAGAGACGCCTGCCCAAGGATCTGCTGCTGAAGTTACGCTGTCCCCTGCTGCGGCGCCGGCAGAAGACGTTGCCGATGCAGAAGAAGAAGGCGACGACGATATTGAAGGCGAGGAAGCCCCAGCCCTCGAGCCAGGAGGAACCCTCACCTCCAAGCAGCGCAAGAAGAAGAAGAGCAAAGCTGCTCAGAAGCTCAAGAAGAAGTTGGGACTCAACAGCAACTCGGACACCGCTGCCTCATCTTCATCCTCGTCCTCAGCCGCCAATCCGCAAGTCACCCCGGACATGCTCTCCCAAGTCCACTCAGCCGTTTCTGCCGAACATGGCTCAGATGCTGCTTCCAAGGTCAATGTCAAGAACCTGCAAGAAGTGCTCCGCTTGATGACACTGGAGCGCAATGCCACACTTGAGGGTCAGAAGAACAGGGGAATGTCAGCGAGCGTCAAGCAGATCAAGGACCACAAGTTCTGGTGAGCCAGCCAAGATCCGCGCGAGGGTGAGGCTTCTATCTGCTGATTCTCCTTTTCTTCTCCTTTGCAGGAAAACTCAGCCCGTTATGAAACAGTCTGATGCTCCTCCCACCACTGCAGAAGAAGAAGGCCCAATCGAGCCTTCTGCTCCCCCCGAAAAGGTCCGTCAAGAGCCTCTGCCTCTGCCGAGCGACTTCGAATGGGTCACAATCGACATTGATAACTCTGAGGAGCTCAAGGAGGTGTACGAGCTACTGAGCGAAAACTACGTCGAAGACGATGATGCGAGCCTGCGATTCAACTACTCTGCGGATTTCCTGCACTGGGTCTTGAAGCATCCGGGCTATGACAAGAGCTGTGAGTGCCGTCGGCGAGGATCAACGTCAAGGAGCATGCCGCTGACGGCTCTTCCTCCATTGCAGGGCACGTTGGCGTGAGAGTCTCCTCCACTCGCAAGCTTGTAGCCTTCATCAGCGGCATCCCGCACGAGCTGCGAGTCCGCTCGAAATCCTTCCAATCCGCCGAGATCAACTTCCTCTGCGTCCACAAGAAGTTGCGCTCCAAGCGTCTCACGCCAGTCCTTATCAAGGAAGTCACGCGAAGATGCCACTTGAAGGGCATCTTCCAGGCCATCTACACCGTCGGAGCCGTACTCCCCACGCCGATGAGTTGCGCCCGCTATTACCATCGAACAATCAATGCGGAGAAGCTGCTCGAGATTGGGTTCGCAGCTGTCCCGCAGGGTATGAGCAAGGAGAGGTGGATCGCCCGCTACTCCCTGCCCAAGGAGACGAAGCTGTCAGGGTTGAGAGAGATGGAGGAGAAGGACGTTCCAGCCGTTGGCAAGCTTCTCCGCCGCTACCTACGACGCTTCGATGTCGCACCGCGGTTCACAGACGAGGAGGTGAAGCATGTGTTGCTCAGTGGAAACGGGAGATTGAAGGGCGGAAAGCAGGTAGTGTGGACGTACGTGGTAGAGCAAGAAGGAAGGATCACGGACATGGCGTCCTTCTACTCGCTCCCTTCGAGCGTGCTCGACTCAAAGACACACAAGACGCTGGAGGCGGCGTACCTCTTCTACTACGCGACCGATGCGGCCTTTACGGAGGAGCAGCCAGCGTCATCAGCGTCGGAGGCCACAGAGGACCAGGCCGGCTCCTCCAAATCCGACTCCCTTCCAGCCTGGCAGCGCTCTCACCTCACCTCCCTCTCCCCCTCCGAGCTCGCCGACGAGCGCAACGCCCCACACTGGCAGACCCAACCACCTACGGCTCATACCACTCGTCTACGCGCCCTCCTCACGGACATCCTCGTCCTCGCAGCCCAACAAGGCTTCGACGTATGCAATGCTCTTACTACCCTAGACAACAACTCCTTCCTATCTGACCTGCACTTCGGACCGGGGGACGGCTTCTTGAGGTGGTACCTTTACAACTGGAGGACAAGACCGATCTGTGGTGGGATGGGCGGCAGACCGGGTGAGGGAGAGCTGGATCCCGCGGCAAAGAGTGCGGTCGAGGGTGGAAAGAGTTGGAGCTGGGGGAGCGGGTTGGGCGTTGCGATGGTGTAGAGTCGGCGATGGTCGAGATGACGCAGAGGGGAGGTGCTGCAGGTCCGGCCAAAAGGCGACGCAAGAGCGAAATCAGAAGAGAGGAAAAGGTAGCAAAGCAATCTACATTTGATTTCAGCAGAGCCTCTCGCTGGCCCCTTTACCCTCCATTCGCTCCTTCTTTTCCTCGCCCACCCACTACTCAGAGGAAAGGCTCAACCTGCAATTCGAGCACAGCTGTTGGCCAGTCGAGACCGAAGGCAGCCAACACCTCAGGGTGCAACACGCCCAATTGTCCAACAGTGATGACCTCACCTCCCTTCCTGCCACCGAGGTGCAGCTTGGACGCCAGATTAGAGATGGCCGAAATGGCACTGTCCTTGCTGCTGCTGCTGCTGCTCTGCTGCTTCTTGTCTGCATCACCGAGATGCTTCTCCACATCCGTCGCACTCGCCGTCGGAGCAGCCCGCTTAGCCGCATCAACATCGTCACCCGTTGCGGGCGCCTTGATCTGTTGCTGGTTTGCCTCCTCCTTCTCCTCCTGCTCCCTGACCGGTGTACGGAACTTGACCACCGCCGCCCTCCCAGGCATGAAGGTTGGGTCGTCCGATTCCTCGATCCAGTAGCCACCCTTATCCCTTCCTGCGTGACCGCTCTCCTTCTTGCCTGCACTGCTCGACGACGACGACGCCGCCTCTCGTCCTCCTTGGAGGTAAGGTACATCCAAGACCCGCATCACCCTACCCAGCAGGCCGTGAACCACCTCAAACTTGGCCTCGCGATCAGAATAGCTCGCTACTGCCCTGCGTTCATTCTTTGCGCATCTTTCCAGATCCTCGGCGTCTTGCCTTGCTACGTCGGAGACCTCGAATAGGCGCCAGGGCAAGCTGTGCTTGCGATTCTCGCGGAGGGTCTTGAGCAAGCCTGGCAGCAAGGTTGTTCGTACCATTTGGTATTCGAGCGACTTGGGGTTCTCTAGGAGGATGGCCTCGCTTCCCGGATCGGGGCGACGTAGTTGCTTGTATGCCTCGTCGTGAGAGCAGAGGATCAAGGAAAGGGCCTCCACCCATCCCGCATAGGCGAATTCTCGCCTGAGCACATCGCTAAGCTTGTTGATGGGCAGAGGAGCGGCGACTGTGTTTGTTGACGGGAAGCGACGCGGCAGGTGATCGAAGCCGTATGCTACTGCGACGTCCTCCATGAGGTCGCATTCGTGCAGAACATCTGGTCTTGTTGCGGGGATGCTGACTTGCAGTACGTCTGGTGATTGAGGGGATTGAGTGGCTGAGTGACCCATTCGCTCCAGCAGCTTGATGGTCGTGGGCACATCGAGGTCGAGGCCCGTGCAAGAGTTGATGTAGGACAGGCGGCAGGTCGCAACGCGCGGTGACAGGTCTGGGGTGATGAGGCTCTTGCCATCCGAGTGGACGATCTTTACAGGTTCGACGCTGTATGTGAGGCAGAGGGGAAAAAGATGGTCAGCGCCTGCCCAGCGCCGCAACTACTCTTTGCTCCCTGTCACTTACGAAAACTTTTCCCCGCAGTACTCAGCAAACATGGAGACGAGCTCAGCCAGCGCGTGACTACATCTGGTCTCGTCTGTCCCCGTCATATCGATGAGCACATTCTTCGTGTTGAGGGTGATCTTCGAATGATCTCCATTGATCACTGGCGGCAGTGAGCAGACCGTCTCTTCTGCGTCGAGAACGACAGGGTAGACGGGCGAGTCCCTGATAATGGACAGGTACTTCGAAAGGTGCTTGTCTTGCTCCAACGTAGTCATGAGCGTGGGCCCATCCATGACCTGTCCTGGCCTGTTGAGGGGAGCGAATTTGACATCCTTGGGGGCGAGGCCTTTGTAGGAGAAGGGCGCCTTGATCGTGTCAAGGTCGTGCGTTCCCATAGAGACGAGAGTACGACGACGGCCAAGGTTCTGATGCAGCTTGTCCTGCAGATCGATGAAGCTTGCGTAGTTTTCCGGCGTGAAGGTGACGTTACGCAGCACAGCGCCGAGGATCGTTGGGCGGATCTTGGAGACTTGGTCGTCAACGTGGATCTCGAGCATCTCCTTTGGCTGCATGACCTTGATATCCGGCTGCTTCATCTTCCCTAGGAAGACAAGAAGGGCTCTTGCGATTCCCTCATGGCAAAGCAGATCATATCGGTTGGCAGGGATATCGATCTTGAGCTGCGGTCTCTCGCCATTGCCCGCTTTACGACATTCCTCCGTCGTGTCGTCGTCGAGCTCGATGCCGAATTGGAAGCAGAGCTCGTCGAATTCTTGTGTCGTGTAGTCTTTGCCTAGCGACTTGAAGAAGTTGGCCTTGTCGACCGAAACGGTAGGCATGGCGGCGAAGGTGAGCGGGTGGTGAGGGGTAAGAAGGATGAAATGCAGCACGAGACGCTCAACGGGACCTCAACGTCGACTTGGACCTCGACTGGACTGACTCGCCTCGGCCCGACTGCGCGGTCTCGAGCTCGACAGGAAAGTCGAGACAGACACGGAAGTAGACTTGGACCGCTTGTCGCTCCTTGCCATCACTCCACTCCAGAGAATCAAGCCAGGATGCCATTCGGCCAGCTTGTCATAGGTGCGCACCGTCTTGGCTCGCCAGGACCACTATCGTCGTTCCTCCAACAAATACTGACACCTCTCTTCCTTCGCTCTGCACTCAGGCTCGCCCGGCTCCGGCAAATCGACGTACTGTCGTGGGCTGCAGGACTTCCTAGGCGCCCTCCGTCGCCCTAATGTCCACATCGTCAACTTGGATCCTGCAAACTCCACGACTCCTTACCGCAGCTCAATAGATATCAATGCGCTCATATCCGTCCACGACATCATGGCCGAGCTTGGACTAGGACCAAATGGAGCAATGCTCTACGCAATCGAGTACTTGGAAGCCAACTTCGAGTGGCTGTTGCAGAGATTGAAGGAGCTCGGAGATGAGGCGTACGTCGTCTTCGATCTGCCGGGACAGGTTGAGCTCAGCACAAACCATCCTAGTCTGACACGCATCGTCAAGCGGCTGGAGAAGGAAGCCGGGTGTAGGCTAGTGGCCGTCCATCTCGTCGACGCGACACACGCCCTTGACGCTCAGCGGTATGTCTCTTTGCTGTTGCTCTGCCTACGCGCCATGCTCCACCTCGAGCTTCCCCACCTCAACGTGCTCAGCAAGGTGGACCTCCTGGGTCCTCTAAGTGGCGGGGAGCTGCCTATGCCACTCGAGAATTATACCGATCCAGATGCTGAGGTTTGGCGGGAGGTCCTGGCTGGGGAAGGACAGCAGAGCGGTAGCGACGACGACTCGGATGCCGAAACAGCAGGCGCAGGTCCCTCCTCCCGACGCCCTCCGCGCACCAGCATCCGGCCACGTAGACGATACGACGCCCTCAATGCTCGTTTGGTCGACGTCATCGAGGACTTCTCCCTGGTGGGCTTCGAGACCCTGGCGGTCGAGGACAAGGAGAGTATGTACCGCCTTGTACGGACGGTGGACAAGGTCGGCGGATGGGTCTTCGTCCACGCCGGGGATGAGGGCGGCGCTGAGGATGGAGAGGATGATGAAGCTATGCCACCCGAATTGAGACGGGCGCTGATGGAAGACGAGCAAGAGAGAAGAAGAGCTGCGGGCGAGCCAACCGGACCCGCGGGAGGAGGAGGGCAAAGGAATGGTGCCGCAGCGGCAGAAGCAGCATCAGCGCTCTCCCTCTTCACAACTCTAGATAGCGGCATTGTACCCGGATGGGGCCGGCCAGAGGACGTAGAGGAGAGATACATTACCTCGTTCAGGCGCAAGACTGCTGCGGCGCGAGCTCAGGACGATGGGGAGAGAATGGAGCAAGACGACGGGGTCCGAGGCAAAGACGGGTCAGGCGATGTCGACGAAGAAGAGTTCCAGCGTCAGGAGGAGGCGAGGATTTATGCTGCGTATCGGGAATGGAAGGCGGAGCAGGAGGGCAGAAAGGGCGGCAATGCGGAGCAGAGACAGGGAGCTGCTGATGATCAGCAGGCGGCTGTACAGAGAGCGACGGCCTCAAGACGCGTAGGCAATATCGAGATCAAGGAGAGGAGTCGGTCGAAAGCAGGCCAGCCAGCGGCGATGGGCATGCAGTGAAATGCTTGTACTCCTGCATGCAATGAAATGCTTGTACTCCTGCCATTCTTTCCTGGATATCTAGCAAAAGTCCGCCCCATTGATGTCCGTCATCCCTCTTCCCTCACTTGTCACTCCTCTCACCTCTTCCCATCACACATTCCTCATCCCAACTCAGCACCTTGCCACTCTTGGCGTCGCGCGGCCTGCCCTCATTGACCTCGCGATTGACCTTGGCCCGGAACATGTCAAGTGGGCAGAGCTCCGGACCCCCATCTGCCGCGGGCGAAGACGCCGGAGCGCACCAGGGCATGCGTACGGGTCGGCCATCGTAAAGGAGGCGAACGAAGTGCTGTGTTCGCGCTTCCTGGGCTTCTGCTCCTGAGCTTGCCTGCGGTTGAGCCTGTCGCCCTGCCTGCTTCCAAAGCTCCACCCCCACGCTCGCAGTGAAAGCCGGCCATCTCCTCCCGTCGTACAGGTCCAGCGTAGCCAGCATGCCGGCCAGGGTGGTATCGTGAGTAGAGTAGATGGCCATACGCAGCGGGACTTTCTCGCTTTTCTCATTCTCGCCCGGAGCAATCACCTCGCTGCTAGCAGCCTTTTCGTCCAAGCACCACTGCAGATCCCTCAGGAGAGGGCCCATCGCAAGGCGACGAAAGACCTTGCTCTTTTCTCCATCTCCTGCCTCTTCTTCCCGTCCAGATCGACCAGCAGAGTACCCGCCAAACCACTCGGCGCACACGGCTGCCTCCATCTTGTCGAGGGCCTCGCTCTGACCGCGCATCGGAGCAGGAACAGGCATGCTATGTGCCTTGGCGCATCTTAGACTGTCCGTCACCCCCGACAAGCGCGGATGACCATCCACCCGTAGCTTGACTGATCCGTCCTTACTGAGATGTGGTGCAATAAGGGGGTCAAGCGTAGAGAGCCAGGGATTGAGCAGCCTAGCTGCCTGGCGGGAGAAGTGGGCGTCTAGTCTCGCCAGGGTGGGGCAGGAGTAGGTGTTTGGGAGTAAGGATTCTTGATGTCCATTGCGGATGAATATGGTGGGACGGTATGCTTGCGAAGGGGATGATGATAATGAGGACGAGTGGTCTTGTGAGAGGGAGAGCAGGCCCTTGATCACTTGTGTTGCACTTTCCGTCGTCCGCGGCATGTTTGTGCTGCGCACGTAGAGCAACCCGCTCCCTTCGTCCTCCCTTGCCAGCTTGGCTGGGAGAAGGCCAAGTTGATCAACATAGACTGAGCGCAGATGCTGACCCATTTTGAGCGTCGAAGCTCTTCCTCGGTCTGTCAGCTCTCCGAGGAGGCATTCACCTCTGAGTGGAGCGGAGACGCGGGTTGATCCTTCCCCTGTTGGGTTGGGGGTACCTGCCATCAAAATGGTTGGCTCCACAGACTCGGGCACACGAAGGATAGGCATGGACTCGCTCCGTGCTTCTTTGCTGCTCTCTCCTGCGGCTAGGACAGTTGGCGAGTAAGGTTGGGCATTGGTAAAGCACAACGCCCAGCGCTCTGGCAGTGGTGGGTTTGCGGTGAGGAGGCGGGTGCGGACGGGAACTCGCTCCCCATGCCGAATGTAGTAGTGAACTTGGACGAGTTCAAGCGGCGTCGTGGAGGACGGAGAGGAAGCGTCGCTTGATGAAGTCGAGGGAGCAACAGGTCGGGTCCAAGGCCAAGGCCTTGTTGGGTGGACGGCGCTGATTCTCGGGTCGTCGCATGGTGGAGGCAAGGGTATTGCCGATGAGGACGGATCAGAGGTCATGATAAGGGGTTGAAGGGAAGCGGACGTGTGTACCGCTGTTGCTACGATGGGAGATACCGGGGTTGGAGGTGAGGGTTAGAGCAGGAAGAAGTGGACGCACGCACGCCCACACGGGACGCACTTTGGTCAGCCCGCGTCTCCAAGGCAAGACGGAAAGCCGATAGCGGACAGAGATGAGCACGCGGGCCGAGCCAAGAGGGTAAACAATCAGGGTCCAGGCCGGTAAGATCTCGGTCTTGGACGACTACCAAGAGCGACGAGGGTGATGATCGATTTGAGTAGGTTCTGGTGGGAAGATGGAGCAAGGGCCCCGTTGTTGCCCCGACCCTTGCGCCGCGACTGCCGCCGGGCCGATTTCAAAGTTGCGTCCGTGCGCGGCTTCTCACGGGGTGGATCATCGAATGCAGCGTCGTCCGACTCCCCACAATTGCAGCTATCTCTCCTCTCCACCACATCATTCCATCAGCATGCCGTCCTGTTTCTCATCATTGCTACCGGCAAGGCGTGGCACCGTCACGCCTCAGTCACCAGACCCACATCGTCGCGAGTCCCTCTCATCTTCTGCCTTGCCAGTCGAAAAGCCAACAGCCTACCCAGCATGCGCTCACTGCACCCAAGACACCTACCTGCTGCCTGCCTACGAGTCAGCAGCATCTCTCGGGCAAGCAACACCCTTCTCTGGCACAATGAATAAGATCTCCAGCACCATCTCATCGTACATCCAATCTCTCGACTCGGAGCTTCGCGAGTTCAGTCTGAAGATGCATGCCCGACCTGAAGTGGCATGGGAGGAGCGCAAGACGCACGACTTGTTCATTGACTTCTTCAAGGAGAAGCACAAGGAGTGGAAGATCACCCCTCACTTTGGAATGGAGACGGCTTTCAAGATGGAGTTTGAACATCTGCCCAAGGGATACAGGATGAAGAAGGGCGAGAAGCTGCCTACGATTGGATTCAATTCGGAGCTGGACGCCTTGCCTGGGATTGGGCACGCTTGTGGACATGTGAGTGCGACAAAGCAGCGATCGAGATGAGATTTGGCGCTGACTTGCCCCCGCTGCGGCGCTTGCAGAACCTCATCGCCATTGGCGGGATTGCTGCATCCCTCGCTGTTGCCGCGGCGCTGGTCAAGCACGACATCCCTGGCAAGGTGATTCTCCTCGGGACGCCGGCAGAGGAGGGTGAGTGAGAAGACTGCCCAGTCCTGGATCGACGGACGCTAACACCGACTTTCTCGCCTGCTCGCTCGCAGTTGGAGGCGGCAAAATCGCTCTCCTTGACAAAGGAGCATACAAGGACATGGATGCGTGCGCGATGATCCACCCGGCCCCGCTCTCGACCATCGGCTCTATGCTCGCCGTCGTCACCCTTGAGGTGACGTACACTGGCCGTACATCTCACGCAGGGGCTGCTCCCTTCGAAGGTATCAATGCGCAGGACGCCGCCGTCCTCGCCTATAACAACATCGCTGTCTTGCGCCAGCAACTCGAGCCTACGACACGCACTCATGGCATTATTCAGGGCCAGAACTGGGCTGCTAATGTGATCCCAGGCAAGAGCAAGGTGCTCTGGATGATTCGATCTACCGACATCAAGAAGCTCAAGGACGTACGCGATCGAGTGAGGAACTGCTTTGAGGCAGCGGGGCTGGCCACGGGCTGTAAGGTGGAGATTGATGAGAAGCCGGCGTATGCGGATCTGCGCAACCAAGCCAGCATGGCGGCAGACTATGCGCAGTACATGAAGGAAGAGTACGACGAGACGTACGCTACCGACTCGTGGGCAGCCTCCACCGACTTTGGTAACGTCACCTACGCCCTGCCTGCTATCCACCCCATTTACGCCATCCCAGTCAAGGACCCAAAGACGGAGGGGAACCATACAGTGGGCTTTACAGCTGCAGCGAAGACGCCTGAGGCGCATAAGCTGACGTTGAAGGCCGCAGAAGGCATTGCGATCATTGGGGCGAGGGTCGTGGTTGAAGGCGAGTACCGGGAAAGGGTGAGGAAAGAGTGGGAGGAGTGGAAGAGCAAGCAGTAAGGGCGTGGAGACGCCGTTGATTTTGTCGAATCGAAGACATATTGTACAATTGTATGTATGCGAGAAGTGCATGGGAGGTCTGCTGGTCGTCTATGCTCATCCTTGACGCTGCTTGTGCTTAGGGTTGGACTTGCAGATGACCATGAGTCTGCCTTTTCCTGATTAGAGGGGCGAAGGAGGCGGGAGAAGTCAGCTGGCGCGCAATTGCGTACCTGGTTCCATGCATTGCTCGTACTCACTCCTGACGACGGAGCAATCATTGCACATCTTCTTGATGGCAGATCGAACCTTCATGCCTCGAGCCTGGTCGAGGATGGACGAGGATGAAGCTGAAGTGCGCTGCGCTGAGGGGTTGACGAGGAGGGATGGACGAGAGACCCTTGATGACATTGTCCTGACCGCGGCGAAAGCTGAGGGCATGGTGTTGACCGCTGAGCGTAGCGCCCATGGACGAAGGAGGAGGCTAGCCATGGTTGGTCGGTGGTGAGATGAGAAGATGAGAAGAGGGATGATGCATGCGCCCGTCTCCGAGCGGAGAGACACGCGCGGGCGGACTGGCGGACCGAAGTCGAGAATTTTGGCTGCAAGAAGCAACTTGATGAGCAACGTCGCCTTTGCTTCCTTCCTTTCAACGTCACTCTCTCAGCCGTCGCACAACATGGCACCATCCCTATCTAAGAAGCGCCAAAAAGAGGCAGCCTCGGCATCGAAGCCAGCGCTCGTCTTCAGAAAGAGCGCCAAAAGAGCAAAGACGGAGGCGGATGCTCCTGCACCTCCGGCTAAGAAGTCGAAGCCGACGCCAACGCCCCCGCCTACCAAGAAGGCCGCGCAGCCAGCACAGCCTGCGAAGCCGCTCAAGAGTGCAATGAAGAAGCCGTCACCTCGACAAGAGTCCGTTAAGAAGGCAGCTGCAGGCTCACGTCCGCCACCTCCCGCTGTCAAAAGGGCGGACGCCAAAGGAAAGGGTAAGGCTCCTGCCCCTTCCTCAGCCGCTGCTCCTCGCTCGTCCAGCACCAAGCCTGCTCCTGCTATCATGCCCACGACTACCTGGATTCAGCCTCCCTCTCCACTTCCCTCAATGCGCATCATCGCTGGCTCTTACGAGCGCCTCCTCTATGGCCTGCAAGCGGATGTGCAGCCCAGCTCTACGCCCTCTTCGCTACAACTTGCTCTCAAGCCAATCTTCCAATTCACAGCCCACCCGTCCAGCATCAAGTGTCTCGCTACGGCGGGCCCTCACGCTAAGTGGCTGGTAACAGCAGGGGCGGACGAGTTGATCAAGATTTGGGACTTGCGCCGAAAGAAGGAGGTGGGCTCCCTCTCCGGCGCTGAGTCCTTCGGCCCTCCGATGAGCCTCTCTTTCCCTCTTCCTTCTCACCTGCTTTTGAGCGCAGAAGGGGTCATTCTGCTCTACCGTACGCGTGACTGGGCGCTGCTACACACATTCAAGGGCCACACAGGTCGGGTAAACTTCGTCTCCACGCACCCATCTGCCAAGCTGGCCCTCTCGGGCGGCCAAGACGGCGTACTGCGTGCGTGGGACCTGACGCGGGGAAAGAACCTGGGAGGTACAAAGATGGGCATGGATACCGGAGGGGAGATGGAACAGCTGCGCTGGTTCGGAGGAGGCGGAAGAGGGGACTTCTTTGCCTTGCTGGGCAGGACGGTCGTAAGGATCTTCAGGAGGAACATGAATGAAGTGGCAAGGATCGGCGCTGGAACTACGACCGGCACCAGGTTGAACGATATTGCAGTCTGGGATCTGAGCAGTCACCTGAACAAGGAGATGGAAGGGTTCGAGAGGCTCAAGGACCTCACCTTGATCCTGGTGGCAAGGGAGGACAAGAAGGTTGGCGTGTACCTCTTCGACAAGAAGAGGTTCGACGAGCTGGACAGGAAGGATGCGGAGAGGGAGGAGCAAGACGAGGAGGAAGACGGAGAGGACGACGATGACGATGACGATGACGACGTCGACGAGTCGGAGCGCACCCTCCAATCCATCGCCACTCTGGAGGGTCACTCAAGTCGCGTCAAGTCTTTGGCCATGCAGCCCCTCTCTCTACATCAAAAGGATGACGAACCCTCTTCAGCGTGGGTGCTCACTGCCACGACCATCTCTTCCGATGGACAAGTACGCATCTTCAACCTCGATGCCATCACCCAGCTAGTCAGAGACGACCCGTCTACGTTCGCAGAAAAGGAGCTAGCTCTTCAGCCGTGCGCATCGTACGACACCAAAGGGGCGCGACTCACCACTCTCAGCGTCGTGGGCGGGGATGGGGCCCTTCCGCAGGGTCAGGCCGACAATGACGAGGAGGAGGATAGCGAGGATGATAAGGACGCAGCAAGGGGTGGCGCCGCGTCTGAGAGCGAATTCGAGTCTGAGTTCGAAGGCGACGCAGACGATAACGACGAGGCTGAGCTGAAGCGCCTCGAGGAGGTGGTGAGAAAGGCACAAAAGGCCGGCATTGATTTGGATGAGCTGGTCAGGATGGCTGGGGAGAGTGGTGAGGAGGGCAGCGATGGAGATGATGACATGGACGGCGAGGTGATCGGACTAGAGGGCGAGGAACAGGATGGGGATGACAGTGGTGATGAGGGCGAGGTGGAAAGTGATTGAGATTGTTTCAATTAGATATCAGCACTTTAACTACGATTTCACCAAGCCAAGCTCTTTCCTTAGCCGCATCGCCGCTCGGCTCTCGACCTCTTCCCTACCTCCATCCTGCACCACGATCACCCCTTCCTCGCTGCCCTCCACCGGCTTTTCCAGCGTCTCCAGCTGACTTTTCAGCATCTCCTCCTTCATGAAGTGGCCCTTGCGTTCGTGCATTCGACGGAGGAGCTCGGTGGGGCTGACATCTACGTAGAGGTGGAGAGTGCGCAGTCCTGAGGCTGGAAGAGGAGGAGACGTAGGGGAAAGAGTGGAATGTGACCCACGAAGAAGGTCGCGATAAGAGCGCTTGAGGGAGGAGCAGGCAATGATCATCGCGGGTGGGCGATGCTGCGAGGGGGACGCTGCTGGCGCTGAGCTGGACGGCCCCGAATGGTCCTCTTCATCTTTGGCTTGCCTGACCGACTCTGCTACGTCTTCCTTGACGCTAGGGTGCGGCTCATGTCGCGAGGTCTCGAACACCTCAGCCAATCGCTTCTGCTCGGCGCTTGTTTCGACTGGCGGGTTCTCCCCTTGTCTCTCCTTTGCACCACCATCGCCCAGCAACGTCTCTATCGCGGTCTCCCTAATTCTCTTTAGCCACGGCTCCCGATCATTGTCGTTGAGCGGATGGCCTGAAGCCATCTTGGCAACGTTGGCGGGCGGATGGAGGTCATCCCCATCAATGAAGGGGATGCCGAGCGCGGAGGAGAGGGAAGCCCCGAGGGTCGACTTGCCGCTGCCTGATGTGCCCTGGCGAAGGCGAGGAGGCGCAGATAGATCAGCGTGCCTAGATGCCAGGCGCTCAGAATGAGATAATGCTCACCATCACAATGATCAGCGTGGCTGGCGCCGCATCGGATATCATTATCGGCGCCATCGGGGAGGTGTTGGTTGGGGAGTCAGGAAGCGGCACCGTGTGTTGGGCGGTCCGAAGGAAGGAAAAACGGCGTGGCTCGAGCGCGACGCCCCCACTTGATTTGTGCTCTCGTCCCGACTTCGCGCCATCTTCCCATCTTCCCACGCCCACTCCGTGCAACGCCGATGCCGATGAGCGGCGAGGTTTGTTGAGCCTGGCTGATCAGCAGCAGCGCTGAGTCTTTTTCTGACGATGGCCAGTAGATGGACATGGCGACGCTCGAGCCTTCTACTGGCATGGCTCATCGCTCTCCTCTTGCCGCTTCTCCTTGTCCTCAAGTCTTACTGGGCTCCTCTCGAGCATGTCCGCAGACTCCAGCCAGCGCGCCGACTTCCCAAGCTCAACCAGACAATCCGAGCTCTGGAATGGGGCCAAGTGCAGTTTCTCCACACGACCGATATCCACGGTCACTTGGCAGCGCATCACTCCCCTCTCCCACCCTCGACCTCATTCTCAGCAGACTGGGCGGATTGGGTCGCCTTCGTTGAGCTGATGCGCCGCAAAGCCACGGAGGAGGGGAGGGACCTCGTGGTCGTCGACACGGGAGACCTGGTGACCGGGCATGGCCTTTCAGACGCTACAAAGCCCAAGGGACGAGTGTCAAATGAGCTGGTGGGCATGGCAGGCTACGACGTGCTGACGATTGGGAATCATGAGTTGCTTGACGCGGAGGGCTTTGCGGATCTTCGTGAGCGCTTCGTGCCCCAATGCAATGGACGCTACCTCACGAGCAATGTCGATTTCTTCGACCCAAAGAAAGGGCAGTGGAGACCAGTAGGGGAAAGATGGACCTCGTTCCTCCTGCCGGCTACGAGAAGGCGTATCACGGCACTGGGCCTCGTCTTCGACTTTCAGCCGCCAGTAGGGAACGTCTCTGTTCTTGAACCGGAGCTAACCTTCCGACAGGAGTGGCTCATCGAGCTGATGGCATCCCCTGAGGCGCAGCAAACGGACATCTGGCTCCTCGCTGGGCACATGCCGCTGGATCATGACGCCGAGGACCACTGGGACGCTGTCGTTGCGGGGCTACGAGCCCATATCGGCCCTAATAAGCCAATCGTGGCGCTTGGTGGACACACGCACGTGCGAGACTGTAGGCGCTACGATAAGAACAGCATGTTGCTCCAGTCGGGTCGATTTCACGAGACGGCAGGGTGGCTCAGTCTAGACTGGGACGGCGAAGAGCAGCCGACCTTCTCGAGGCGGTACATCGACTTGAATCCACTCAACCTGGCGCATCACCTGGGCAAGCCACTCACGTCCAAGCTGTTCGCGACGCCCAAGGCCAATGCGATTCGACGACTGCTGCGCAATGCCTTTTCGCATCTCGAGCTGGACATCGTACACGGTCATGCTCCGAGGGATTATTATCTGGAGCGATACCCGGCCAGTGATACGAGGAGCATTCTCAATGCCACGACAAGCGCACTGAATCACATCTTTGCGCAGCCTCCGGAACAAGGTAAGCGACTCGTCGTCCTCAACAGCGGGAGTCTACGCAGCGATCTGCGCGAGGGACCCTTCACAACGGGGGACCAGTACATCGTGTCGCCCTTTTCGGACTCCTTCTGGGTTGTACCGAGAGTGCCGTGGCGGATGGCGAGGCTGCTTGTCGAGCACCTCAACGGGGTGGCGACGCCCTCTGGTGGGGCGGAGGAGGTGATACATCATCGATCCGAAGAGAATGACGGCAGCAAGCAAGGAGCGCTAGCTGAACCTGGCTACGTGACGCAAGATCGGTGTGGACCAGGGGGTGATTGGTCGACCGATGGCGACGACGCAATCCATGCGCCGATCCCAGTTGTGCCGTTTGAGCCAGCCTACCTGTCCACTGCGACATTCACGGGCGAGGTCGAAGGGGAGGTCATTGTCGACGTTATCACCGTCCGCTACTTGCTGCCTCGCGTCGTGGACGCGCTTCGAGCTCTCGATCCCGCATGGTCTTCCGCTCACCACGAACCCTACGTCTACCATGACGAGCAAGGGCAGGAATTCAAGACGCGGGATCTCTGGAAGAGGTACGCCGAACGCTTCTGGAATGGGCCAGAGGAGGGGCAGCAAAACGACCAATGGTGGAAGGCAAGGTGGGATGAGCTTCAGCGCCAGGCCGAAGCGGAGGGACACGAACTGTACGAGGTTGACGAAGGCATATAGACAATAGACGATTCGTGCGACATTAAGGGAGGCCGCCTGCAGAACACAAAGCGTGAGGTTAGCCGTGCCGCTCTGCTGAGACTCTCGCCTCCCGTGTACTCACGTCCTGAGTTGATGGCATTAGCCACTTGACTCGTGTTTGGCCTATTCTCAGCATATCGCGCATACGAGTCAAGGTAGAGATCCTCCGTACTCGTGGTAGCCTTGAAAGCCGGATGAGCAAAGATGGCCTGCGCCCACTTGTCGTATCGCGACCCCGGTGGGAACAACTCTGAGGACTGCAAGTCGAGCGAGCGATAGTGTTGCAGCACATTTGTTGCTCTGAAGACCCAAGGGGCCACCATGACGTCGACCCAACCCAACTCTTTGCGCCCAGCGTAGAAGGGTCCGCCGGCTGCTCCCTCGCTGCGATCGGCCTCTTCCAGTCGGTCTTGAAGCCATCGCAGCTCGTCTGTAAACTCTTTTCCGTACTCGACTTGCTTGTCTGCCTCCTGCGCTTGGAGGAAGCGATAAAAGGACGGGATGAGTTTTCCGTTGAGGTGGTGCGAGACTAGTCGAGCCTGGGCTCGTGCGTAGACATTGGCCTCACTCCCGTCCATGGGTGGCAGGAGACGCTTGCTTGGCGACTTTGCATCCTCGACGTATCGCTCGTGCAGGTATTCCATGATGACCGTGCTCTCCCCTAAGCCTTGCACTTTCCCACTCTTCTGATCTTCCAGTCGCAGACTTGGCACGAGCCCTTTGGCATTAACCTCGAGGAGGATCTGCGGCTTTTCGTAAGGGTCTACTTCGACATAGCGGTAGGGAATGCCGAGGTACTCGAGGGTGATCCATGCGCGGTGTACAAAGGGACAGAAGGCTGCGCCGAAGATTGTGAGGCCATTGGAGGGGAGGGTGGAGTGGGATTCAACGGTGCTGAGCGCTTGGCCGGTGCAGGCGCGGTGATACCCTGCGCTTGATTTGGCGGGGGCTGACATGGTTGCAAAGGGGCGTGTAGTGGCTGCGGCGATCGTCAGCCCGTGGGTGTGGCGAGGTAGCTTGCTTCTGTACGTGCTTCTGGAGGTGTTGAGGAGCATTGCCAAGATGTCAAGCTCAACCTCCACATGAGGAGCGCCATTGCCGCCACGCCGTCCCTCGCTGCCGCCAACCGTGAGATGCCTACGGCTTAGCCGGCGGCGCGGACTATTCGCTGCGACTGTACTTGTGGCCTCCCGGCATCTTGGTCTCTGGGCCAGCCTCATCCCTCGCTCGTCAAGACATTCAGTACTTCTTCCGGTCATGTGATGCAAGCTTGTCCTGGTCAGAGACTGCACACACCGCCCGCTGTAAAGAAGCGCCAGGCTAGAGTGGACTAGCGTTGGATCAAAGTCGTCATGTCGCGTTGAGTGGCCAGCCGCCGGGCGGGTCGGCAGGTAGTCTAGCGATGTCTGGTTCGCTGCCGCACAGTCGAGGCGAGGCCAAAAGCCAGAGGAGAGTCACTCAGTCACTCGACGCTGACGCTCCTCCTTGTCTCTACACCAACCACTAGATCGCCATCATGACAGCCATCGACATGACAGCGTCCTCAGCGTGGTCATTCACCCTCGCTGCTACCCCAGCACTACTCAGCTATATCTTCGTAGCTCGAGTATCATGGGGCACGGCTGCTCGCGTATGGCACCTCCGCCGTATCGCCTTCATCTACGACGCTCAGCGACCCTTTGAGGCTACTGATCAGCAAGAGGCTGAGGATGTTGAACAGACCAAGAGTACAATGAAGCAGAAGCTGGCATTCTGTGCTATTTTCATGGCTGCCATCTTGGGCTACTTCCTAGTTGTATTCGCGGCAATTCAGGGGAAACCTTTTGAGGCCCAACCTCTCAACATCTTGGTCCAGGCCATACCCTACCTCGGTGCTGCCACCGCGTCGTACTACGCCTCACTCGGCACGTACAAGCTCAGCTACGTCAACTCGAATCCTTCACGAGCCCTCTGCCGCAAACAGCACAAGGGCAAGGGCGAGGACCTTCTGCAAGTCGTCAAGACAAATCACGCCGACGATGGCACAGACACGCCCCCTCCTCGCATTCGCGTGGCTTCTGCTGTCGTTGCAAGCATCGTGGGATTGCTACTAGCCAGCATCCCTTACGGACCCTTGCTAGACTACACCTTCTTTGCCGTCGGCACTTGGTGTGCCGCTACTACCAGTGGCTTGCAAACGGCCGTCGGCTTTGCCATGTCCCTAGCCTTGTCGACGAAGCGCCCCTTCCGAGCTCTCGTGGTGCTCGTCTGTGCCATCTACACGCTCGGACTTTGCATCTCTGCCGCCCTCATTTTCTCCGGAGGCGACGACGGTGGCTCAAAGTCACACTCTACCAAGGAAGATCTCGACCTCTTCGGCGCCCCGGCCTTCATGCACGTCTCCAGCCTCATCTTCGCTTTCCACTACTTACAGACGACCGGCCTACTTCTCACACTACTGGCCATTGGCGCCCGCTTCGACATCGCTGTCAAGGCAGCGCAGCACGGCCGAAAGACGTACAACATCAGTCGCGAGATGGCAACAAGCGTTCTCGAGGAGAGTCGCTCTCTCTGTCGCCCTGTCAAGGGTGCAGACGGCAAGTTTCGCATTCCCATCGTCACGACGTCATATGCGCAAGCTTGCCCTCATGGTAAGCCGATGACGCTAGCCGATTCGACCACCTTCCGCGCCGGCCTCATCGTCTCTGCCGTCGTCTTCCTCTTCAGCGTCCCTCTGCACGAGTCCTCTGTCAACGTCATGACCCCTTCCGACGGCCGTCTCTTGCTCCTGTGGAACGTACCCGCTATCGCTGCAACCCCCTTCGCGGTGATCGTTATGATGTGGTCGGCGAGGAAGGCGCCTTTGAGCTTGTGGGGCTACGCCGAGGACTGGTCCGCACCCAAGGTTCCCAAGGCGGATGAGGTCGATGAGACTGCGGAGGTTGCGAATTTGCTGGGTGAGGCCGAGGCAGGACAGGGAGAAAAGGAGGGGATGTGGTTGAGGGAGGACTGGGATTGCGACGGAGAGTGGAGCGAGAAGTGGTAGACGTGCGAGCGAGGATCTGAAGACGTCTTGGTGCTGATGTGGACTGCAATATACAATTGCTTCTCTTTCATTGCCGTGACACCGTACTCGTCGGAGTCGCGGCGCGCTTCATCCCCGCATTCACGCACCGTTTGAAACCCCGCTCTCGTCTCCACACATGCACGCTCGGGCAAAATCAAAGCTCAGCGCATCTTTACATCCAAACCACATCGATCCGCTACCCAACATGTCCACCTCCAAGCGCCCATGGTACAAACCTACGCCCATCAATCGCGCGTTAGGTGGTCTCCTCTGCCTCTCCAATGCGCGCAAGGGCCCCCTCCTGTGCGGCGGCGGAGGATGCCATTGCTCTTGCTGTTCCCCCTCCCATCCACCCGAGTCGGACGACGCGGCGCGCCAGGCCAGTGAGGCCGAGAAAGCCAAGGCGAGGAGCGAAGAACGTCAAGCTCGGTGGGACTATCGTAGCAAGAGGCTGGACGCAAGGGCTGAGAAGAGGAGTGAGAGAAAGGAGAAACGGCGAGAGAGGAAAGAGGCCAGGAGTGTGAGGGCCGCGAGGAGGAGCAGGAGTGGGAGGCAGCAGAGTGAGGATGAACAACAGGCGGCAACGACGACTTCGCCCGCTACGGAGGAACAGGCGCCGCCCTATACCCAATGAGCATGGGCACAAAGGGGATGGAGCCCCTCCGGTCACGCAGCTTCGTCGTTCGCCGCTATGAGGAGGGGACCAGCCCCGCGATGGTTGCACAGGAGGGAGCAGATGACAAGGGAGCAGACGCAAGTGATACCGGTGGCTTTGGGGCTGCATTATTGCCAGAATGTAGTGCGGAGACAATGTCTGACTGTAGTCCCCTCAATACCAGGCCATACCCATCAAAGCGGGTGAGGTGTGCGTGTAGACGGCTGAGGTACCAAGCCGAATGAAGTGATTCTAGCTTGACGTGTTGCGCTAAGCCCGGTGTCTCACCTACGCGGTTGGGTCATTCAGTGCGCCAAGTGTCGCAGCATCGGGTTGTCGACGAGCAGAGAGCTTGCGGAGCTGTCAAGCGAGGTCAGAAGTGCGAACATGGACTGTTGATGAGGGAGGAAAGCGCCTCCGCCAGCACGCTCAAGCAACACCAGACGCCACTCAGGAAGACAGGAAGCGATTGCCAGCAGCGAGCCCAGCATTAGCCATGGTCTGCCAGCTGAAGCGGCCACCTTCCTGAACGAGGGGCGACGCGGCCAAGGTGGTCGTGGACAGTCGGCAAGGAGCCTCGAGAAAACCCTCTTTCATCGATGGAGACAGAGCATCCTGCTTTCACCGTCGTGCTCTGTCGCGCCTTAATGGGACGTGACGCAGACACGGAGCGACGCCAGAGATAGACTGAGTGTGAGGTGAAGGCGCTGCCGTCGAGTCGAGTAGACGTAAAGGAAAGACACGCTTTGCACTCGATACTATCTGAGCCCGCTCTGTTTACGCATCGTCGCCCTCGATCTCGTCGTCATCATCGAACTCGCCGAGGATCCAATCAAGGCTCGTACGCCCTCCTTGACCGTCTTCGTCCTCTTCTTCTTCCTCTTCTTCGTAGTGCCCTTGCCTCCTATCCTCGTCTGCCTCTTGCTCTTCGTCGACCTCTTCCTCGTCCGTCTCATCCCGGGTATCCTCGATCTCCTCCTCATAACCCTCGAGCCACCGCCTCTTTCGCGTCATGCCTGGCACACCAGCGTCTTGATCGGCAACTCTGACAAACTTGAGTCCACGAATTCGGGTGAGCAATTCGTGGAGGACCGTGTCGTCCAGACTCTCTCTTCGCAGGTGATTGAGCGGCACGCAGAGGAAGCGGACGCTACCGTCCTCGTACGGCTTGTCGGAGTTGGTGCGGTCCAGGCTCATGGTTGAGAACGGCAGCGTGGCCCCAGACCGGTCGCAGCAGAGGCCGCCGCCGAGGCTTGCGTCTGTGGCCAACTTGAAGACGTGGCCAAAGGTAAGGTGGCCATCCTTCCTTGGGTCGCGCTTGCCGATGTTTTTGGCCCTGCGGATTGCCGCCCGTGCCCAGCCCCTGTAAGACGATGGGTGTCAGGCGGTTCCGTTCCGTGTCCGCGTCCTCTCCGCCCTCTTCCGTCTCACCTTCTGTAATCTCCTCTCTCCTCCCTTCTTTTCCTTAGAATTTGATACACTTAGCTTGAGTCGTTACAATGGGCGGATAGGGTACGTTGCGGGATTAGCGACGGCTCATCATGGGGACTGCACCTTGCCTCACCTCTCAATCTTGTCCCCCGCAGCGCCCAAAGCGGGCGAAGCTGCCTCCGAGTCCACGCCCGCAGCGATCCAGATCTTATCACCTGAACTCAGCAAGTGCGAAGCGTCGGCGAACGCCTGGAATAGATGCCTCGCCGTCGACTCAGGGTAGCCGCTTTTGATGAAATTGCAGCCCAGGCAGCATGGTCTGTTTGTGACGGGGTCGTATATTGTACCCGGAACGATGCGGTCCGGCGAGAAGTTTGTCGAGGTGACCCCGACGCCCTTTGGATGCTTCTTGCCCTTGGTGTCTTTCCTCGCTCGTCGCTCGAAGGTCAATTCCACCCCGCACAGATAACAAAAGGCGTCGTTCTCGACGGCGAAGAGCAGCGTCATCTCGAACAGCCTCTGGACCTCCTTCTCATGCCTGCCAGGGTCCTCGTTCCGCTTCTTGGAGGTCCGGTTCACGGCTTGCCTCGCCCACTCTTTGAGGAACTTGCGCTTTCCCTGCCAACGGACACTCTTCTCGCCGGCCTTCTCCGGATTGTCCCTCTTCCAACGCAGAAAGATCTCACCGGCCGCAGCGGACTCTTTGCGCATCCGTCTGAAGTCCTTTCTGGTAAAGACGTCGCGAATGCGCGTCTTGCGGACGCTGCGCTTGCCCTCCGCCCACCGCACGATCAGCTGCGCCAACTCCTGCTTGTCGAAAGCCAGAAGCCACCACATCTTCACCTGCTTGAATGAGTAAGTAAAAATTGCCGTGCTGATGTGGCGGAGAATCCAGATTCCGTAGACCGCCTTGATGGTCCCGATCCGATCGACGTGCTCCAAAATAGTCTTGCGCAGTGTTTCCAGCTTTGGCAGGGCGTCTCGCACGCACTGGTCGTGACTATGCTGGTATCCACGAGGCACGTACGGGCTGCCCACGGGGAATAGGAAGTCGGGGAACACGGCGCCCGCGGACAGCTCGAACTGACGGAGCTCGACCTGCTCAAGCACTCGCTCGACGGTATCGTGCAGGGGGCACAGCCTCATCTGCGAGGTACTGGTAGTCGGAGGGGGGGGGGGGGTTGCAAATGGCAAAGGCGGGTGGAAGGTCAGTGCGAGACCGAGGCTGGGTGCCCGCCCGGATCATCACCTACCTCGCGGATCGCGATGTCGAGGTCAAGAGACTTGGCGGCCTGCACAATTTCTTGCGCCTGTCGCTCGTGGCCCACAGACTGCCAGCTGAGGGTCGTACAGCCGAGCATTTCGGCCCAGGAGGACGCGGCCTTCGTCGTGAGCCAAGGGCGGACCCAGTCCCTCCACTGCGTGTTGAGCTTTGGTTCGGCTCGACTAGCCTGCGCTCAGACCCCTTCTTTGCCCTTATCTGGTCTCTTGAGCTCGAGTCTGTATCTCCTTCAGCTTCCTCCTTTTTGATCCGTCACTTTGAATCGACGTGCTTCACATTACTTTGCGTTGCTGACGCGTCGCCACCGTCAAGCGTGGACTTGATGAAGATGAGCTGCAGCGCTGCGTTCTGACGGCAGTATCGCAGCAGCAGAAAGGTCGGCATATCATCGAGGTGCTGACGAACTACGTGGGTGTCGTCGTAGCGCCTGCGTAGCAGGGGAGTCAGTCCGGACACTGTAGACTTCGCAGAAGAGTCAGTGCTGCTCACCAGAAGTACACCAGCTTGTTCTGCGGCAACGACGCGAGTTGCAGCTGGTCGACAGTGAGGCCGCGGTCCGTCAAGTCCTTGCCACAGCCTCGAAGCGTCCGAGCAATGGCGTCGCCAATGTCGCCATTCATGAGACGTCGGACCCACTTCTTCGGCTTCGAACCGGCGCAGGCTGCTTCCTCGCTGCCGACCCCTTGGGCGTGGGCGTGGACCAGGCGCGACAGGTATCCTGCGCGCGGGCTGATCTCTTCGAGCTCCTCCTCGGCATCTTCTACCGTCATAGTCATGTCGTATGCACTCGTGACGGTCGGGCGGGGGGAGCTGGACCCTCGCTGGGTTCGGTCGCGAGCGCTCTGCCTGGCCCTCTTGCGAGCTTTCTTGGCAGCCCTGTGTGTACGCAAAGTATGCTCTGGAGCGTCAGTTTGTGTCATGAGCAGTGATGCACGCAGCTCGCTCACTTGCGAGCGCCGGCGAGAATGAACTCGTTGAGCGAGGAGATCGACACATCGCTTGCGGTGTCGAGGTCGACCTCATCCTCACTCTGAGGACGAGCAACTCTGTCGAAGTCACGGAGCGGCAAGCTGTGAATCAGTTTTCCCGCCGTCTTGGCCCTTTGGCCACTGCCACTGACCTGTCTGCCTGCCTGAGGTCGCCCTTGGCCGCTCTGACCACCGACCTGGCGCACTGCGTCAAAGCCTTCTTGCGAGATTGCTTGACAAAGTCGTGGTTTGCCCCTGAGGCGCTGTTGCCGCTGGTACCCGCGTTGTATACGGTGGCGGCTGCGATGCTGAGAGCAGCGAGCCGGTCGACAAGGCTTGACATGTTTATTTGTTGGTGAGTTGTGTTGGTGGGGCTTCGTTCTCAACGGGCGACGGGTAGGCGATTGACGACAATCAGGGTTGGTAGTGTTGGTTGCAACGGAAAGAGCGGCGGGGGTCTTCTCAACCGACTATGCCCGTCCCTAAGTGGGGCGTACCGCTCGAGCGGAGCCCAGATAGGTCGTGAGTGTGCGCGTGCTCATGAAGCAGGTACTGGGGTGCCCACAGGAATGAGGAAGTCCGGGAAGACGGCGTCGGCAGACAGCTCGAACTGCCCGCGCTCTACCCGCTCAAGCACCCGCTAGACGGCCTCGTGCAGGGGACCCAGCGCAGGCATAGCGAAGGGTCACCATACCCAGAGCCAGGTCCAGTGCTACGATGAAGAGTCTTTGAAATTCCGCTGGCCGGAGCAGAGGCCTCATGACGCTTGAAGCCAGTCCTGCTTGCCGCCTCTCCGCACCAGCCCTTGACGAAGCTGCGCTTATTCAACCAATTCGTCCTCTGCTTTGCTACCTTCTCTGGGCTCTTCTCCCTCCACTGCCTCCACCTCTTGCCCTCTTCTTTGCATCATTCCTGCATGGTGTTGATATCTTGGCGAACCAAGAGGTGCTTGTTCCTTGTGCTACACACAGCCCGCCCACTCTCCGCCCACCTGACCAGCTGAGTGCCGAGGGCGGGCTTCATGAAGGCTACCAGCCAAGCGACTCTGAATGGCTTTGCATTGTACGCCAGCATGGTGAATAGCAAATGGCGGAGGCGCCATGCTGTGTGCACCTGGCATACGACCCGCACTCTGTCTCCAGCGGGGAGTGATGATTGCAAAGACTAATCGCTGCCCAAATTGCCTTGTTGAGGTCGACATGCTCGGCAGCAGTCACAGCGCGCAGTGCCTTATCCAAGGCTTCAGCCTCAGCAGCTCGTTCTGCGTCCTGAACTTCCCGCTCGACACCTCCGCTGACTCCTTGGTAAACCGGTTCGTGACGCGAGAATACCATTGGCGGCCCGCGGGGATGTTGTGACCGAGTGATCTTGCCTTCATGACGGTCTTCTGCAGCTCCAAAGTGCGCTTGCAGTAGGCCATCGTGATGTCCGTGAACATGGCGGCCATCTTGTTGAAAGTCGGCGATGACGCTGGTGGATCTCTTCGACTTCTCCGAGTCACTCCCGCTTCCCCTCGATGTACGAGAAGAGGCTTGACTGCCTTCCTCTCCCGGATCGGCTCTGTGGGACGGCCGCGAAGGCAAGTAAGCGCCATGCGACTAATGGCCTACTGAGACACAGACTCAATCATGCAAGTCACACTCACCTCCCCAGCACGCACGCCTGCGGTGGATCTTCGAGCTGCAAAATCTCGAGCTTGCGCCGATGTGGCCAAAGCGCTTTCTCTTGTACTGGTAAGGCGGTGACAATGACTGGAGGCGCCTGGGCAGATTTAAGCTGAGCACGTCAGGTAGATGGTGAGCTTGGCGCGTGGACCGCCGCCACATGAGACATGGCCAGCGCGATGAGCATGAAGAGTGAGTAGGGACTCCTTGCAGGTGCGCCATCGCGGATCAAGGCCAATGGCAGGCCGCGCTTTGGTTGGTAGATGCAGACGCAAGGTCGTGGATGAACTTGCGATGGAAGGTGAAGGACGGTCAGGCTCCCAGGGGGCGCTGGATACGGGCACAGCGCCGCTCTAGCTGATGATGTGTGCAGCCTGGGCGGTGTAGGCTTCCGGACAAGGTGTCAAAGTTGTACATGGTAGTTGAAGGGGGCTCTCGAGCGCGTTTGCGAGCTGCCCACACCTGCGAGGAGCAGACGACTGCGCATAGACGCTCGGTGACTGCACTGAGGCAGAAGGTGTGAAGCTGGTCTTGCGAGGTAGCTGGTGGATTGGTGGTAGTGGTGAAGACGCTCGATGGGGCGACGCACTTGGCGTGCGGATGATTGCGAGCGGCGAGGGGTGATTAGCTATACGGAGGGTAGAGAGCTCAGCGAACGAAGAATGATTAAGGCACGAACACGGTCGGAGGATCAGCCGGACGAGGGCTCAGGGCGCGTGGCGTTGGCCTGTGCCTTGACACGAGACACAAGTAGGCACGAGCGATGGCATTAGAGTAGGACGCGAGCACAAAGAGAGGCACAAAGCATGATCGCAGAAACACATCCTTCTGTCTCACATCTCGCGCCGGCCGAGCATGAATTGAAGCAGCGCCAACGCAGAAGCGGGCGAATCGGTTGGGGTCATGTGCCCACTGTCGTCGATGATAGCGAAGAGGAGCCCTCGCTCGTTGACGTAGGTGCCGTGCTTCTTTCCATCGGTGCCAATGAGCGCCTTCGTAGGCGGGTGGGCAAACCCTTGGGCGTTGGCCCAGGTCAGATTCTGGAGACCGAGCGCGGTACCGTTGGTTAGAATAAGACCATCGAGCTGCCCGTTGGAAATCACCGTACGCTTATTCTTCTCGATGACGCCGGCGAGGACCGTCTTGTCGGGCGATTGAGAGTTGTCACCGTCGGGGAAAACTCGACTGCCCAAGATGCTGGCCTGTGCGCACTGGCGCCAATTGATGTGAGGCGCGTGGAGATAGTCTTGCACCTCGCGACGGCCGAAGAAGGTTGGGGGAGGGTTGGGCGTATTGGGGTTGCCGAGAGGATCCTTGTCAAAGGGCCCTGGTGGTCCACGATAATCGATTTTATAGATGTTCCAGTCTTTTCCCACCCCGGCCATGCTGGCATCTTCGTAAAGTCCGAAGCTGCCGCAGCCAATGTCGCTGTAGGAGGGAAGCTTGCCCTTGGGAGGGTAGTGAAGATTCTTCTCGGCGAAGCCGGTGTAGTTGCACTTGTCTGATGCAGCTTTGACCTTGCCGATTTGGGCATCGGTGACGTTCAGGATCTTCTTGTTCGCAACGAGGTACTCGTAGACGACGATGTCTTGCTGCAGTAGCTGATCCGTGACCACCCCGTCGACGATGTAGTTGCCTTGGACATCGACGCCATTCTTGTGCAGGTAAGACGTGATGTAGGGGACGTACAGGCCGGCATAGCTCTCGCCCGTAATGTAGAGCTTCTTGGCCTTGAGCTCAGGGAAGACACGATACATGTTGTTGAGCCAGCCGCTGAATTGTTGGGCAACATCGTTCTCGTCCTTGGCCGTAGGCTGGCCGGTAGAGTAGCCGCTGTGTGAGGCAGGCACGTACGAGTCAGCAGGTCATTTCGAACTTGCAAAGAGGGTGATTGCGCGATACAAACGTGCCCACCGGCTGTTCGAGCCAAATGACAGTCGCCTGTGTGCCGTAGAAGATGTCAGTAGAGCACTCAAGGACACCGTCGATCCTCGCCAACCTACCTCGCGGGTCCAGGAGTCATTTGCTAAGACCGGCGGTTTGTCCTTGTCGAGCCATCGAATGGGTCCGTTCTCCTCGAGGAAACCGCTCAAGCTCGAGCAACCAGGGCCTCCATTACTGTATGCGCCCAGAAGAAGAGAAGTCAGAAGCCCATCTTCCTCTTTGCGACTGCTCTCGCATACTCACAGCCAAATGACAAGATCGTCCTTGCCCTTCGAGTTCTGATCAGCTCCAAACATCCAGTAGTACAACGCCGTGTCATTTCCCGTTCTGAGCCTCTCGATGCTAGTGGGATCTAGATGCGCTTTTGGGTCGACGGGCATCAGACCAGCCCAACTCTCCGGTACGGCGAATGGGATGCCGGGGCTGTGGCCGTTGTCGACACTGTCAGCATCGGCTTGGACATCGGAATCACGCCAGCCACTCGCACTTACATGTGACTACCGACATGATACTTGGCCGACGCCAGACTCTTGAAGCTTAACGTGCTCTTGATGTCGCCCTTGTTCTCGGTGGCACCAGGCTTCTGGGCGTAGTCGAGATGGGTGCTGAGGTCGGCGCTTTGAGGATCGCTCACAGCGCCGTGGCTTTGGTAGAGGTTGGCGACGTGGGCGGCAACATTCAGTGGCTTGCCATAGGCGGTAACCTCCTTGCCGGCCGTGGCCGGCGCTGCCTGTACGCCAGACGCCAGGGCGAGGCTGACTGCAAGATTCAAGAGAGGCAGAAGCCGCATGCTGGTGGTGGAGGAAGAGGTGTAAAGTATACAAGGACGGAGAAGAAGGCGTTAGCTGAGCAGAAAAGGGGGCGCTACGTTTCCATTGAGAAGGGCATCAGCTGTTCGCCTCTTGCCTCGAACGATGTCCGTACCGTCGAGCCATCGAGTGGCATTGTGGTGCCGCTTTCCACCTCTAGGAAGCGGGCCGCGAGGTCTATGCCGCACGACGGTATGAGCACCTGCAATGCAGGCAGAACGGACAATGGCGGCGAGCAAGTGATCATCGGCGGGCCGTGAGGAGGAAGCGGCGCTTCTCTCGAGCCTGGGCATATCTGCGTCCGCGGCGAGAATGACTGAGGGCGAGCGGGTCGGAGACATAGCATTACGGAGCAAAGAGGAAGGTAATGTTCAACAAAGCGGAGCATCAGTGGCAGTGTGAACATTCTCCGGAGCAATGAGATTGATGCTTGCGTGGGTGCGAGGCGGTCCAGTCGCGTGGGAATGACGCTAGCACCTCGTCGCTTGGGTCGTCAAGAGGTGGCAGTACCGTAGGAGACGGTCATAGCCCCCTCGCACGACTCTCGAATCTCTCTCTCCCTTCTCACATGTCACGACGTCCCAGCATGTACTCGAGAAGAGCGAGACCGGCTGAGGGAGAGTCTTCCGGGATCATGTGCCCGCTGTCGTCCACGATGGCAAAGAGCAAACCTCGCTCGCTCGTGTACGTGCCATGCCTCTTGCCGTCAAGACCGAGGAGGGCCTTGGTCGGGGCCTGCGAGAAGCCTTGCTTGCCATTCCACGTGAGGTCCTGAAGACCAAGCGCCGTGCCGTTTGTGATGAGCAGACCGTCAAGTTGGCCATTAGCGATGATAGTGCGCTGGTTCTTCTCGATGACGCCGGCAAGTACGGTCTTGTCAGGAGGGGGCGAGCCGTCGCCGAAGGGGAAAACAGGTCCATCGCACTGCTTCCAGTCCGGACGGCGGTGCGGGAAGTGCAGAGCATCCTGAACGTCGCGACGGCTGAACCAGGTCTGAGGACGCGTGTTTTGATTGGGATCACCTAGTGGGTCCAAGTCGAAAGGGCCGGGGGGCCCCTTGTAGTCTACCTTGTACACGTTAAAATACGAGTTGCTGGCCATTGCTTGCTCAAACAGGACGTCCTGTGTGTCGCAGCCATCTTTGTTGTATGCGGGGAGCCTTCCCTTGGGCGGGTAGTTGAGATTCTTGGCGGTGTAGCCCGTGTAGCCGCACTTGTCGGAGGCAGCCTTGACCTTGGCAATCTGTGCGTCCGTCAGGTTGAGCGTCTGCTTCATGGCAATGGCGTAGTCAAGCGACACGACGTTGCCTTGCAGGTTGCGGTCGGTCACGACACCATCGACGATGAAGTTGCCGAGCACCTCGACGCCGTGCTTCTGGAAGTAGGAGGTAATGTACGGCACGTACATGCCAGCATAGCTCTCGCCCGTGATCCACAGTCGCTTCGGCTTGAGCTCGGGAAAGACCTTGAGGAAGTTGGAGAAAAATCCATGGAACTGGCGTGCGACATCGTCCTCGTTTCTTGCGGTTGCAACGCCGGTCGAAAACCCGCTGCGGAGAGGAAGGAGAAGAAGGTAAGTACGCTTTGTCTCGATCGTGACAACAAAGATGATGATACTCGCGTTCCAATCGGCTGCTCTACGAAGAGAGTGTTGGCTTGCTTGGTCCATGAATCGTCGGGCTTGTACGGCGCTTTGGTCTTGTCAGTCCATCGAATGGGACCATTCTCCTCGAGCAAGCCGCTGAAGCTGGAGCATCCCGGTCCGCCGTTGCTGATAGCGAGCACGAATGTGGTGGCGAGCGGTCAGCCTGGCTCTATTTGCGGGACGCAACGAAAGACTCACAGCCAGATCACCAAGTCGTCCTTGCCCGGAGAATCAGCGTCGGCGCCCCAGAGCCAGAAGGAGAGGGCGGGCGTCTGACCGGTAACGAGGCTAGCGATGCTGTTGACGTCGAGCTTGGCGTTGCTACCGATGGGCATCAAGCCTGCCCATGAGGTTGGCACCTGAAATGGGATGCCAGGACTGCGAGTGATGCGAGGGTCAGCACGGCGCTGCGCCGGAAGCCTCAGGCTTTTGCGCGACTCACATCGTGTTGGCCACCTGATATTTGGCAGCCGCCTTTCCAGCGAAGCTCAAAGTGCTGTTCGGAGCAGGCCCATCGGCTTGGGCAGCCTTGAAGCTCTCGGCCGCGAGTACAGTGGGCTCTTGAACAAACTTGACCTGCTCAGCACCCTTGTTGGACGCCTTGCTCTGATAGAAGGACGAGACGCGGTCGATGACATTGAGAGGCGAGCCGAGGTCTTCGGTGGGAGCCGACTGCGTAAGGCTTGACGTGAAGGCGACGCTGAGCGCGAGGCTCAGGGAAGATGACAATCGCATGCTGTTCTAAGATGTGCAGGAAAGGATGGATCTACGTGAGGAGTGGAGATGTAGTCGAAGGAGTGGCGAGCGCGAAGATTTGCGCAAGATGAGACCAGGAGCTGAGACCGAGCAGGCGGCGGCGTGGATGACAGGCAAGAAAGTTGACGGAGGGGAGGAGATGTGAGTGGTACAGAGGGATGTACGGTCCTCTTATGCGTTCTTGCGAAGAGATATCGGAGAAAGAGGCAAGGCATGGCGCGAGAAGACGACCGCTCTCCGAGGCGAATCTGGGGCCATGGATCTCGGTAGCGGCCCGCCCATGATCACCGGCGGAGGCTCCGCGGCTCACGCGACGTAAGGCAGCAGGCGATCACAAGCGAGGCTAACAAAGCAAGCGGCGGCGGCGGCGAGCGAGCGGACGGGCGGGCGGCAAGAGGGTTCAAGTCGCTGACAAGCAGGCGGCCCGCAGATTGCGAGCAGGCGGCAGGCTGCCTTGACTGAATTGACTTGGGTGTGTGCGTTGAGTCAAGGGAACGGGGCAAACACGGGGAAGAATCGTCGACGGCTAGCCGTCCTATCCTGAGGCGATAAAGCGAAGCGGAACGGTCAACGGCGACGGTCAGGTGGGGCCCTTGGAGTGGAGTGAAGCGGTCTGAGCTCCTCTGAATGCACGCACGCACCGCCCGGCCCGTCGTTGCTGCATCCTGCTTTTCTTGCGCGAAAGGCTGCCAGGTCTGAGGGCATGTTCTGGGTGCCTAATCCAGCGTAGAATGCTGTGCCTAATTGCGGGCGCGAGCTTCCTCGAAGATACGGTCGTGCGAACGCAGCTAAGAAGACTCGGAGCTTTTCGCCGCTTTTGCCGCAACAAGTGGAGCTGAGGGCGATGTAAGCTCTCGAGCAAGCGCTGAACCTTGACGAGAGAAAAGTAACAAACATGTGCGCCCACGAGCGTAGGCGATATCGTGCAGCGAGCTAGCATTGGGGCGCTCACGTCACCGAGCTCCGGCGAGGTAGCGACGGGAGCGCGGCTTTCTCTCAGACCTCAAGTGCTTGCGCTCATCGAGCTACCTCGACCAGCTTGCACTGGAAATCGCACGGACATCTGACTCAAGAATGGATATAAATTACAACACGGAGACGATGATGATGGCAGACTGCGTCGGGTATGCGGCCGCCCGCTCAGATGGCTGGAAGGAAGTTGCCCGCAATCAACATCGGACAGCCCCACCCATCCCTGCGAATCGTAAACGAAAAGCAGCAGTGAATCTTGGTAATCGTAGGCTGCGCTGACGTCCTAGAAGCCTCCGCTTCTCCTTCCCCCTCGGCCGCGATGACGCTGTTCCTCCTACTCCCCGTGCCGCTCCTTCCCACAACACTTGTCGCAGCGCCCGACGCATCATTGCCCACCGCATTGCGCGAGAAAGTCCCCCTTGGCGCGCTGCCCTGCTTCGCTGTGAGAACGCAGCTGGTGAGTACCGCCTTCTGCCCTGGATCGAAGCTGACAGCGCCGTACTTCTCCCAGTAATTGCACGCGCTCTCTTCCTCCATCAGCTCGTAGATACAGAGTCGCCCCTCCCTCAGCTCCTCGTACGAGACTCCCACCAGCTCCGCAAACTCGCGATTGCCCTTGTAGATCTCGCCTGTCCTCCTCCACAGGCACGCAGGGATGCCCTGCGTGGAAAAGACGCGGTCGTAGTCGAGGAGGAGGCGCTCGAATGCTTCTTCGATGAAGATGAGATCTACGTCGGAGAGGGACTGAGCGACTGCCCTGAAGCGTGGACGGAAGATGGAGAGGGGCTTTAGGATGCGCCGCTTGGCTGCCGGGGAGACGTTGCGCTCCATCCAGGTGTTGAGGCGGGCGTAGCCTTTCACGTAATTGTAGGGTCGCAAGAGGCCGGCGTCATATTTGGCTTGAATGACTTTGCTCAGGCGCTGTTCTCGAGGACCATCGACTTGGTCTGCTGCGGTGAGGAAGAACTTCTCCGTCTTGGTGGAGAAGCCCTTGAGTGTGGGTGGGGCGTACGCTCCCAGAGCCTCGCCGGTGCTGATCTGACGCTTGTGCGTGGGTGCAGGCGAGGTGTCCAGCGTAGGGCTGGGTCCACGCTTGCGTGTGTTGCGGGCTGGGGGAGACTGTTGCGACGCAATCGTGGAGTCGCCCCAGTTCATGGGATCGAAGGATGTCGAGGCAGCGCTGGGATCGTACGATGGCATCCCTTCGCCCGTATTGCTAGGACCGTCGAGTGACTCGAGGAATTCGCTGAGCAAATTGAACTCGTTGCCTCCTGCTGCATCGCCTCCACCACCTCCGAAGCCGCCGTATTGCATGCCATCTGAGCCGCCTAGTCCGAGGAAGCCAGCCCCTCCAAGCCCAGCAGCGGAGGACGTGATCTGTGACCAAGGATCTTGAGGCAGTGGCGGAACGGCACCTGATCCTTCAATGGGGCCGGGAATCATGGATGGGTCTGAGCCCAGCGATTGACGCTGGCCAGCCAGACCAGCACCTGGACGAAAGACGTCGTTGATGCTTAGCTGGTCGTTGGAGCGAAGTGCTCCCGCTGGTGATTGCGACGAGTAGGGTCCGCCATTGGTTGACGCTGCGCCGGTGTTGGTGAGTGCAGATATGTAGGCTGATAGCGCTTCGGCATTGGGAGGTGAAGTGGCTGGGGGATTGGCAGCAAGAGGCGCAGCGGTTGGAGGAATCGAGGCGAGGCTGGACGAGGCCTCTGCGGCGCTGGTCGACGGCAGAACAGAGGTAGACGTGGCTGAGTCGGGCGACGAGGCCTTCTTCTTTGGCATGGCATGGTGAGCATGGCCGTGGCCCTTTCCTGGCGTCTCATCGTGGCAGAGGTGGCCGATGTCGCGTTTGATGCTACGCAGCGGGGCCAGAATGGTGGGACAGACGGTCAGCAGCAGCTCGAAATCATCTCGACGAGCTCGTGCCCGCACCCTGCTCACCACCTCTTGCATGGTCTCTCAGAGTCGCAAGTCATATGACTGCGCCTGCAGTACACGCATGCCTGGCCGACCTTACGCTTCTTCTGCTCCTTCTTGCGGGCAGTCGAAGAGGACGATGATGATGCGGGCGCGTCCGTGGATGCACGAGGTGGCGGCGACATTGAGCCCTGAGAGGCTGCTGATGTGCTCGGCCCTGTCTCCTCTGCCGACTGCTGCGTCGCCATGACTGCGATGTACGCTGATGATGAGCGTGAGTGAGCGTGAGTGATGGGTGATTGGGGTCCAAGATGCACTTCGTTGCTCTCGAATCGGCGGCCGTGCGTGCTTGCATCTCCCCGCCTCTCGACGCCGCCTCCCAGTTCCGTCTGTCTGCCCGTGATTCGCTCGCGTGGCCTCTCTATCATTGCATGGTTCCGTCCCGATACCGACCCGCCGCCCGGCCCTCGACTTCTCGATTCTTCGCAGCCTCGTAAGCCTGGCCACTCTCACTCAGCCTCAGCCTCAAGCCTCAGCCTCAGCCGGCGTCTCTGCCTGCCCATCCATCGCCTCCCGCCCGGCTCGCTCTGAAGGCTGCATTTTCCAAAGCCGCGCAGTCCGGCAGTCGACGTCGAGAGTCAGTCGATTCATCGTACGATCTTCCTCCTCCCTTCTCATCATATCAATCCCCCTCTCTCTCATCGCCATCATGTACGGATTGTCAAGAGGACTTCGATCAGCGGCGGCACCGACCGCTCGCATGATGCGACCACAAACCCCCGTCATGCCGGTGAGCAGGAGATGATTAAGGAGCATGTAAGGAAGCGATTATCGAGCTGACGGCGCCACCTCTCCACCTCGCCCTGCCCCCTCGCTCCTCGCCCCTCGCCCCTCGCAGCGAATGGCACCTCTCGGCGCCCGCTTCAACTCTGGCGGCAAGGTCCAGGGAAGCGTCATTGGTATCGACTTGGGAAGTGAGTGACCGCGGCACGCCTCAGGTGGCAACTGGCCGGGAGCTCACCACTACCGCTCCTTTTGATTCCCCTCTGCAGCCACCAACTCATGTGTCTCTGTCATGGAGGGCCAGCAGGCTCGTGTCATCGAGAACTCAGAAGGTGGCCGCACCACACCCTCGGTCGTCGCTTTCACCAAGGAGGGCGAGCGTCTTGTCGGTGTCCCCGCCAAGCGTCAGGCAGTCGTAAACCCGGAGAACACTCTCTTCGCAACGAAGCGTCTCATTGGCAGGAAGTTCCAGGACAAGGAGTGAGTGCGGCATGGCGCCTCTTGCCAACTTGCAGTAGCTGACAATGGTCCTCCACCCTCGCCTCCTCCCCCGCACCACCCGCACAGAGTGCAGAAGGACATCAACAACGTCCCCTTCAAGCTCGTCCCCCACACGAACGGCGATGCCTGGGTCGAGGCTCAGGGCCAGAAGTACTCTCCCTCTCAAATCGGCGCCTTCGTTGTCGGTAAGATGAAGGAGACCGCAGCTGGCTACCTGGGCAAGCCCGTCAAGCACGCCGTCATCACTGTCCCCGCCTACTTCAACGACTCGCAGCGTCAGGCTACCAAGGACGCCGGTACCATTGCCGGTCTCGACGTCCTCCGTGTCATCAACGAGCCTACCGCAGCTGCCCTCGCCTACGGTCTCGACAAGACCGAGGCGTCCGTCATTGCCGTCTTCGACTTGGGAGGAGGTACTTTCGATATCTCGATCCTCGAGATGCAGAAGGGCGTCTTCGAAGTCAAGTCGACCAACGGTGACACCCACCTCGGTGGTGAGGACTTCGACATCGTCCTCGTCGAGCACCTCGTCAATGAGTTCAAGAAGGACTCTGGCATTGACCTCAGCAAGGACCGCATGGCTATCCAGCGAATCCGTGAAGCTGCCGAGAAGGCCAAGATTGAGCTCTCCAGCACCTCGCAGACCGACATTTCGCTCCCCTACATCACCGCCGACGCCTCGGGACCCAAGCACATCAACTCCAAGATGTCGCGTGCTCAGCTCGAGTCCCTCGTCGGCAAGCTCATCGACCGAACCGTCGACCCTTGCAAGAAGGCTCTCTCAGACGCCGGCGTCAAGCCGTCCGAGATCCAGGAGGTCATCATGGTTGGTGGTATGAGCCGTATGCCCAAGGTCGTCGACACGGTCAAGAACATCTTCAAGCGTGACCCCTCCAAGGGCGTCAACCCTGACGAAGCCGTCGCCATCGGTGCCTCCATCCAGGGTGGTGTGCTTTCCGGCCAGGTCACCGACATTCTCCTCCTCGACGTCACCCCCCTCTCGCTCGGTATTAACACCCTCGGCGGCGTCTTCACTCGTCTGATCAACCGCAACACCACCATCCCCACCAAGAAGAGCCAGGTCTTCTCGACTGCTGCTGACGGCCAGTCTGCCGTCGACATTCAGGTCTACCAGGGAGAGCGCGAGCTCGTCCGCGACAACAAGCTCCTCGGCAACTTCCAGCTGACTGGCATCCCGCCGGCGCCCAAAGGTGTACCCCAGATTGAGGTCACTTTCGACATTGACGCCGACGGAATCGTCAACGTCTTTGCGCGCGACAAGGCCACTAACAAGGACGCCCAGATCACCATTGCTGCCGGCTCGGGTCTCTCAGACAACGAGATTGAGCGCATGGTGAACGATGCTGAGCAGTACGCCGAGTCGGACAAGGCTCGCAAGCAGGTCATCGAGGAGTCGAACCGCGCTCAGTCTGTCTCTGCAGAGACGACCAAGGCGCTGAGCGAGTTCAAGGAACAGATTGACAAGGCCGAGGCAGAGAAGGTCGAGGCCCTGATCAAGGAGGTCGAGGAGATGGCCACCAAGGGTCAGGCGGGTGAGGAGGGACTCGAGGCTCAGACGATCCGCAGCAAGATCGACGAGCTTCAGCAGGCGTCTCTCTCGCTGTTCAAGAAGGTCTACGAGAGCAGGAATCAGCAGGGCGGTGAGGGTGAGCAGCCCAAGGAGGGTCAGGAGGGTGGTGAGAAGAAGGAGTAAGCGATGCGCGGCGGCGAATGTGAAGGAATCAACTCAAAATGATGCTCGACGCTCGACGCTCGACGTGGCTGTTTCTCTTTTGTATCACCCCACCATCCACCATTGTCCCTTGCCACCACTCATGACACGTCTCGAGATTCGTAGAGAGGCATTCAATCAAGCATATTGACCAGCAGGGCACAGCGAGTGCGGCGTGGCGACGAGATGGAGTGTGAATGCGAGTGCGAAATGGGCCCGGGCGTAGGCAGGCGTAGCGGGCTGAGCTTCCTGGTGGAGGCGGGCATGGCGCTGGTGTGCGCGCGGAGGTGGAGCTGTCCCCGAGTGGCCCTCTCGGCTTCAACCAGCACACAATTGACCCGCCCGTCGAGGCCGAGAGCCGTGCCTTGGACTGCCTCGCTCATCTTCTTGACATTACCATCGCAACAAACATCACGAACCAGATCATCAGAATGGGTCAGTAGCAGAGAAGAGCGAGAGAGAAATCGGGGCAGCCTCGTACTGACATCTCAGTGCACCCGGTAGCCACCGCAAACGAGCACACTCTGCCCCAGCTGCCCTATGCCTACAATGCTCTTGAGCCCACTATCTCGGCTCAGATCATGGAGATTCACCACTCCAAGCACCACCAGACGTACGTCAACAATCTGAGTGAGTCAAAGAGCGCCAGAGATGCTGCGCAAATGACTTGCTTCCATCGACGCTGACTCCTGCTCAACCCTCCCCACGCACACGCGCAGACGCTGCTGAGAAGGCATACGCCTCTGCTGTTCAGAACAAGGACATTCGCACTCAAATTGCGACCCAGCAAGCCATCAAGTTCAACGGTGGAGGCCACATCAACCATTCCCTTTTCTGGAAGAACCTGGCTCCCACGTCCGAGGGCGGCGGATCACTGCAGGAGGGCAACCTCAAGCAGGCAATCGACCGCGACTTTGGATCGTTTGACAAGTTCCGCACCAAGTTCAACCAGACTGCGCTTGGGATTCAGGGATCCGGATGGGCCTGGCTTGGCTTCAAGGACGGCAGGCTCGACGTTGTCGCTGCCAAGGACCAGGACCCCCTGACGACGCACTACCCTATTCTCGGGCTGGACATGTGGGAGCATGGTGAGTACAAAGCCGAGCCGGTGGAAGAGAGCGCTTCACAGTCCAGTCAACTAATCGCCTCACTCTCTCTTGCCTCTGTCCTTGCCCCACTCAGCCTTCTACCTGCAGCACCAGAACAACAAGGCCGCCTACGTCGACACTGTGTGGAAGGTCTTCAACTGGAAGGAGGCAGAGAAGCGCTTCCAAGATGCTCAGCAGAAGGCTTCTCTCTGACTCCCTGGCAAGCAGGCAAAGAGCAGGGCGGCGCTTTGAAGTGTGAGATGGCAGGATTTGATCTTGCACGCCTCGTCGGATAGTGTCGCGACAGAAAACTGAAAATCGAAGCAATGTGTTTCTGGTCGAGCATTAGGGTGCCTTCCAAGCCCAAGTCGCAATGTGCGTTTCTCTCCTCACCATCACTGAGTATCACCGCCTCTTGCTTGCCCTACACGATGTCCGTCCGTGCCGCTCTCGCTCGTGTGGCTTGGTCCAAAGTCACAGGCTCGCTCCCCGCCTTCCGTCGCCCCGCTCGCTCCATCCGTCCGGTCATTGGCTGACTTCGCGCCTCGCGATCCCCAACTCTGACCCTCATTTCCACATCATCAACGCAATCATCGCACGCCACCGCTGACCGAGCTAGAACGCAGCATCAGCTCAACGATGCCCGCTCTTCGGTCACGAGGTGGCGAAGCTTCACCTTCGCAGCAGAAACAGCGGTCATTGCGTAGCCAGGCGCCGCCGAGGTCATCTCAGGCTGGTGCGAGGACGACGCGAGCGGCAGCGGCAGCTTCTACCTCATCAGCTGGGCCATCGACGAGCAGAAAGAGGACGAGGAAGCAGTCCAGCGAGGGGGAGGATGAAGAGAGCGGAAACAGCAATGGCGAAGCTACGCCGCCTCCGCCTCGTCGGCCCACAGCAAAGAGGACCGGCGGTCCGCCAGGTATCACCGCTGCTCGACGTCGTCCCTTCTACGCTGCTGCCCGGCATGCCACGGCCGCAACCGACACAGATGAGGATGGAGACGACAAGTCGCCTTCTCCGACGCCCCCGAGAGCTACGAGGCGCTCGTCTGGCCGGCTCTCAGGCACAAATGCGACGCCTGCATCTTCGAGGACAACGCGCAGTCGTGCCAGACCCAGAACCAATGACAACGCAGCCGCGACCAGGTCGCGGATCAGTCGACGGACGAATGTCAAATACGACGACAGCGAAGAAGAGGATGAGCTTAAAGAGCTAGATGTCGATGATGAAGAGGAGGACGAAGAGGATGGACCTAGCACTTCGATGAGGACACTGCGCAGGTCGACTCGAGGAGGTGATACAAGGCAATCAAGAGCCGGGAAGACAAAGCTCAATGCCCCGAGCAGGACTTTGCGAGGCACCAGGTCTGCTCAAGAGCTGAGCGAAGAGGACGACAGCCAGTCGGACGACGACAAAGACGACGACGACGAACCTGTCACTCAACGCACCATGCGAAGCAACAACGGCAAAGCACGTCGAGCATCAATGCGTCCCTCGCCGCCGGCCGTCACTAGGCGAGGTCTACGAGCCAGTAGACCCAGACTTTCGACCTTCTCTATCATACCAACGCCGCCGAAACGCCTAGCACTCGATGGCGAGGACGAGGGCGATGACGAAGATGAAGATGATCGCCTCGTAGCATCTACCACCAACGGAGTCAGAAAGCCGCCTGCCAGGCGAAATGTCCAGCGCGTGCGATACCGTCTTGACAGAAGCGAAGAAGAAGAGGAACGAGGCGTTGGATCGAGCGATGACAATGAGATGACGAGCGACGAAGATGCTCTTCAAAGACGCCGCCAATCGCAGACCACCAGGAGCACTCGCAATCGCCAGACAGCTCTCAGGACCGAATCACGCCGTGCTCACACGTCCTCGGCATCCTCATCTTCATCATCCTCCGAGGTAGAGGTGATCGCAACGGCAAGGAAAGTGGCTTCCCGACAACCAGCTCGCAAGGCTGACAAGGCCCAGCCAAGATCACAGCCAGCTCGCACTCGCCAGCGCAGGGAGCGACTCAACATACTCGACACTGCAGCAGACGAAGAGCTGGATGAGAACAGCAGTAGCGAGACCAGCGAGGGATTGTCCGAGTCGCTGAATGGCAAGCGCAGCAAAGCAACACAGTCCCGAGCACGCAGGATGCTCGATCGCATCGAGATGAGCGATGAGGACTCCTCTAGCGACGCGAGCAGCTCGAGCGGATCATCGACAAGCGATAGTGACGAAATTGAGAGCAGCCAGTCGGAGGAGGAGCAGGAGGAGGTCGACCCTGCCGAGCCTGTTGACATCGACGACAGCGAGCTGCAACCCTTCAGCAGCATCTCGCTTCCGACAATGCCCGCTGACGAGGACGCCGAGTTCGTCGACATGGTGAGCGAATTCGCAGGCTCGATGTCAGAGCCAGAGTCAGAGCAGCGCTTCACATCGCGCGGCCGTAGAGTGCACAAGAGGAGGCGTTTGGGCGTCGAGTCTGACGAGGAGCGGACGAGACGCAAACAACGCGCGTCGATTGTGGCCATTTCTTCCGACTCTGAGGACGTCACAGCCATCAGCGACGACGATGGACGATACGCCCTCAGTGAGGACAAGATCGACGACGCCACGCAGCACCACTTTGATACTTGCTACAGCTGCGGCGACAGGCCTGGCTGGCTGCAATTCACTGCCCTCAAGCAGATGCGCTCACGCCTCCGCAAGCAGCAAATGAAGCAGGAGAGGAGAAATCGCAAGAAGAGGAGGCGCATGCGCAGGGGCGACGGCTCACGCAGCTATCGCGCTGGCGGACGATATGACGAAGGAGCATTTGAGGATCTGCATGCTCTAGGAGTGGCTCAGAGCGCCCTTCACGACCGCTTCCAGGACATCAAGACCAAGGCTGCCTGGCTTCGCTGCTCGACATGCTCTGCCTCGATTCACACGGGGTGTTTGGCCGAAACAGACCCCGCAAGACTCGTTCGTGAGATCAATCGCGACGCCACAGCTGTACACCGCGTACTCAATCTTGAGGGCCCGCCGCCAAAGACCCGTACCGAGTTGCAGCCGAGCGACGTTGTAGAAGGCTTGCAGTGCTCGCTGTGCGCTGAGGCCGACTGGATGTGCATGATCTGCGCCGGCAAATGCGTGCAAAAGCCGTCCAGGATCCCGTCATCTGAGCCGATGGTGACCGCTTTTCGATGCAAGCGCTGCTCGCGAGCTGCTCACTACACCTGCCTCGAGGGTGTTACAGGCGAGGAATCTACGCAAGAGGCTGCCCTCTCTCGACAGAAGGCAGGCTGGCGATGCCTCGACTGCGAGTCATGGGGCGACGTCGACGTCATTCTAGCATGGCGTCCTTTGCGCAACCCCGCCGAGCCTGATGGTACTCCCGAGCCCAAGGAGAGTTGGCAGAAGCTGCACAAGGTCAGCGAAGATCTCAAGCGCGAGTACCTCGTCAAGTTCAAGCACACGTCCTTCAAAGAGACGCAGTGGGTGCCGCATCTGTGGCTCAGGTCTGTCGCAATGATCAATCTGCGACACTTTCTCTCGCATGGCAGTCGACTGGAACTCGATCCCAGCGCAACGGCGAGCAGCAAGAAAAAGGAGGATGAGGAGCAGACTGCGACTGTACAAGAATTGGAGCAGCAACGCAAGCAGCGTCGACGCAGCAAGCGCCTTCAGCTCGCTCTTACTGTCTCCCGCGAGACTGGAGAGGTTATGCGAGGTCCGCCAGCTCCTGAGTCAGACGCTCAGGAGCGCATCCCAAAGACGTGGGTCACCCCTGATCGCATCCTCGACGTATACCTCTCCGTCTCTGCCGTCTCTGCTGCCGATCTCTTGGACCCAGCAGAATGCGAGATGTTCCACCGACGACCGCGCAAGATCACCAAGATCGGGCAGGGCGCAGGCATCTCTGCTCGCAAAGATCAGCTGGAGCAGAGCACCGAGCACATCCACATCAGCAAGGTAAATCAAGATGTTCTGGAGGGCTTGTCCGAGGGGAGGATGTTTGACCTGCTGCAGGACGCCAAGGTGCTCATCAAGTGGGAGGACCTCGAGTACGAGCAGTCTACCTGGGAAGAGAGCGTCAGCCCCGTCTCGTACGGCGAACGGTGGCGCTCCTTTGTCAGCGCATTCCGTCGCTACTTGCACTCGCGCAAAGTCTACGTCAAGCAAATGACTAGCCAAGACCTGGCCACGCTCGACCGTCAGCGCAGTCGTAGCCGGTTCGAGAGCATAGAATCCCAGCCTACGTACATCAAGGGCGGCAAGATGCTCGACTTTCAGATCGAGGGGCTCAATTGGCTGCGGTACAGCTGGCATGTCAGGCAGCCAGGAATCCTGGCCGACGAGATGGGACTGGGCAAGACTGTGCAGGTCATTGCCTTCATTGCGTCGCTGCACCATCAGTTCGGTGGACTGGCACCCTACCTCGTCGTTGTGCCCAACAGCGTCGTCACGAATTGGGTACGAGAGTTTGAGCACTGGTGCCCGCACCTCCGCGTCGTGCCCTACTTTGGCGGACGAGAGTCGCGCGGCGTCATCGAGCGCTTCGAGATGTTTCACCTTGAGTCGATCAAGGGTCGCCAAGACCTGAGAGCAGAGGTTATCGTCTGCTCAGACACCGTCGCTCGCCTTGACCCTGCACCGTTTCGCCGCGTTCAGCAGTGGCAGGTGCTCGTGGTCGATGAGGGCACCAACCTCAAGAGCGGGTCTTCCATTCTCATCTACAAACGTCTCGCTGCTCTCAATGCAGCGCACCGACTCATCATGACTGGCACACCGCTCAACAATAACATTGGGGAGCTCTTCAATCTGCTCAACTGGCTCAAGCCCGACGCCGAATGGAAAGACCTCAAGAGCCTGCGCGCCAAGTACGAGACCCTGACCCCGGAGCTCATCGCGGAGTTGCAGCCACTGCTTCGCCCGTACATCCTCCGTCGACTCAAGAAGGACGTCGTCAATCTGCCGCCTCGATCTGAAATCCTCATCCCTGTCTCGCTCACCCCGCTGCAAAAGCGCGTCTACAAGGACGTGCTGGAGCGCAATGTCGAGGATATCCAGACTTTGACCGACCTGCGTGGCAAGAGGCAACAGAAGTACCACATTGGCAACCTGCTCAACGTCCTCATGCAGCTACGCAAGGTTTGTCAGCACCCTTACCTTGTAGCTCCGACGCTCGAGAACTTCGAAGGAGCCAACATCAATTGGAAGCTGGAGGCTCAGCGCCTGGTGGATGCCAGTGCCAAGCTCAAGCTGCTCCAGAAGATGCTGCCCATTCTCAAAGATCGTGGACATCGCGTGCTCATCTTCTCGCAGTTCGTCATCTATCTGGACATCGTCGAGTCCTTCCTGCTCAATGAGGGCAACTACAAGTACCAGCGGCTGGACGGCAGCATCGGCAATCGACAGCGTCAGCAGGGCATTTCTGCGTTCAACGCTCCCGGCTCAGACCTCTTTTGCTACCTTCTCAGCACCCGAGCAGGTGGTGTTGGCATCAACCTTGCCAGCGCAGACACGGTCATCATCCTGGACCAGGACTTCAATCCTCACCTCGACATGCAGGCCATCGCTCGCGCGCATCGTATCGGGCAGAAAAAGAAGGTCATTGTCTTTACGTTGGTGACGCAAGACACGGCGGAGGAGAAGATCGTCACCATGGCGCGCAAGAAGCTGGCCCTCGATCACATCATCCACAATATGGACGACGAGGAGAATCGCATCGAGTCGCTGCAGGATGTGCTGCGATACGGCGCTCGAGCGCTCTTTCAGGCTCGCGGGACGGAGGCGTCACGCAAAGACATCCGCTTCACCGATGCCGATGTAGAAAAGCTAGTGACCGACTGCGAGAACGGAGAGGATGTAACCCAACAGGGCGGCGGGGCGACGAGTTTGCTCTCCTTTGCAAAGGTATGGGAGCGCGATGAGGCGGATGAGGCGGAGGAGCCGAGTGATCCGACGGCAGACATGGCTGAAGAAGGTGAGCGAGCGCGACTGAAAATTCTTGGTGAGCAGCGCTCTGACTATCCCGCCGATCTTCGCGTGTCCGCACAGGCTTCTGGGCATCGCTCCTCGAACGTACCCGAGCTCAACAAGAAGCACGTCAAGAGGCTGAGGAACAGATCGTTGGTCGCGGCGGACAGCGCAAAGCTAAGCTGCAAGCCATGGGTCTGGCTCCTGCCAACTTCCCAGGTCTCCGCGTCGGCGATGATGAGAGCGAGGACGAGGCAGAGGTTGAGCAGAGCGCCCAACTCCAGGGTCAAAGCCAAGGTGCACAGGAGCCGACGTTCGACTCAACATTTGACGACGGCCCTGACTTTACGATCGAAACGAACAATGGTACAATGTCCTCATCAGGCACTTCAGACGAGGGGACACCAGAGCGCGATGGCATCACTCCACCAGCATCTGCGGCACCAGCTCCACCCATTAAGCGCGGGCGAGGAAGGCCTCGCAAAAACCCATTGCCTCCAGAGCAGCCGCCGACGCTTCTGGACCTTGCCTTCAGCAACACCTCGCGTCGACTCAAGGTGCCGAAGCCTCCAAAAGAACCGAAACCTCGCGGTCGTCCTCGCAAGCAAAAGGTGCCCGCGCAGCCAGGAGCTCAGCCCTCGATGAACAGCGGCAGTGGCAGCGAGCCTGTAGAGACGAACATTTATAACCGTATCGCCGAAGTGACGGACCCTGCTGTAGCTCGCGAGATGGCCTTTACCAACTTCCCAGGCAGGCCGGAGCTGGCCATGGCTCTGTTCCGTGCGTGGTCCGATATCATTCAGAAGAGGACGGGCACCAACCCGATGGCAAAGAGGCACAATGTCGATGCTGCTGCGGCTAGAACCGCCGCTCAGGCTGCTTCTATGTCGGCCTTGCCACCTGTAGCTCGTCTGGCAGATCCCGAAAGCGGAGGAGGACAGCTTACGACCCCGGCAAAGCGGCGCCGTGGTCGACCCAAAAAGAACCAGGCCCCTCCCGCGGCGTCTGTCGCAGGCACACAACCGTCTGGCGACTCGGCATCATCTCTTCCTCGACCACGCCCTCGTCCTTCGGTGCAAGCTGCCACGGGAGATGCACCAACTGCTCCTTCCCATCCGCCTGGACCAGCATCGGCTGTCGGCTCAGAGCAACCATCGACATCGACGGCCACTGCGTCTTCGTCCTCGCTAGACTCAAGCAAGTACATGCACTCGCGTCGCTCGGTCACCGAGCTCAAAAAGATGCTGCGTGACCTGCCTGAAGACTTCGTTGAGCAGGTCCGTGCTCGTCACATCGCCAAAGGCCCTCCTGCTCCTCTTCTCGTGCATGCCGGTCGCTCTCAACTCACGACGCAGCACATGGCCTACTTCTCGCTTCGTGTTCTGCGCTCCATCACTGGAGTGCATCCCCTCTTTCACGATGCCTTTACACTGGTCCAGTCCGAGCAGGTACCGCCGACATTGCGCGCTCAGCCATTCGAGGGCGCAGAGATGCTCTCGACGCCCATTATCACGGAGCGATTGGTGGAGACGGCGTATTATTTCTTCGCCCAGCTATGGGCCGTAGAGGGCGGTGCTCCTCCCACGACGGCGACAGGACATCCCTCTGCAGCTCCGCCTGCTGCCAAGAAGGCAGCGCCCAAGAAGCCGAGGCAGTCCAAGGCGGCAAAGGCAGCTCAAGCTCAGACGGCCAGCTCTACACGCACATCTTCTCAGCAGCAGCAAGAGAGCAACGTGCCGCAGCCTCAGGCCAATCAATTTGCAGCTGCCGTAACTAGCCGTGCGGGCCCGATCTCAGCTCCATCGCCCATGACTGTCGACTCGGTCCTGAATCATGGCGGCGAGAACGTCGGACGCTACGGGCAGCAGCAATACCAGCAGCACGATCAGCGCAATGAACGTCGTCCCGCCGTCGAGGCTGGACACTCCAACTCGTACCTGTACCACGGCGGGCCTTCGACACCGGGTGCCGCAGGCTTCGGTCATTTGCAGGCAGCTCAGTCCTACGGCTCGAATGCCTGGGCGTCCGGTGGTGACAATGGCGCGGCATCGTCGATGGGTCCACCCTCATCGCAACGTCGCGGTCGCCACACCAGCAGCGCTCAGGCAGCAGGTCAGGCTTTCTCATCGCCAGCATCGTGGAGCGGCAGCGCTTCTCGACCCAGCGGCAACGCGTCTTCGAGCAACAACTTCAGCAACTTCTCTCAGACGGCCTCGGACGCGTCGTCGATGCAACTCGACCACACTACTGCCCAAGCGGATAGCTCCAGTAGCAACGACCAGCAGCTAGCACTCTACTGGTTGGAAAGCATTGACTCGCTCAACCTTGCCGGCTTGTCCAAAGCTGCTCGTATGTGGCTCATACACCCAACGGGCCATCAGAGGGATGTGATGGGGGCGGAAATCAACTCGAGGTTGGCGACCGAGTTGGACAGGAGGAGGAGATTGGGGCAGGGGGTCCCTGACTTCTTTCGCTGATGAGGGGAAGCGCGCGTAAGCCAGGGCTAAGCAGCTCCTCCATCTTCTCTACTTTCCGCCCACGATGTACCATATTCACATTTCAGAAGACAAGCAGATCGATGATGGCAGTGAAAGAGGGGTCGCCTGATGAACGTCTGAGTAGGGGGCCTCAAGCCGAGCACTCTGTTTCACGATGTCTCGCACAGAGGCTGGCCAAGCTGAAAAGGGAGCTGGCAACAAATTGAGCATGAATGAGAGAGAGTTAGAGGAACAAAGGACAGAGGAGAGGCGGATTGGGCCGTACCATTCAACGGCCCCGCATGCGGAGGAGTGAGAGCTACTCGGGGCTTCAGAAGGAGGGGGAAAAGGAGGGCAGACCTAGTCGCGGCGTCGTTGGGGCTTTGGCGGTAGAGGATGGGACTGGCGAGGTAGGTTGGTGAAACCCGTGTCGCATGCTGAGGTGGTGAGGCGGCTACGCCTGGTGAGGAGCTCTGCTCGGACCGCCTCATACTCTTCTTCGAGATCGAGGAGCTTTCTCTCCGTAGAGCGACGTTGCTGCTCGCGTCGCTCTTCGGACGTTCGATTAGGCCTACGACGGCGGCTGGAGGCCGCTGCGGGAGGAAGCGCAGTCGGCAATGGATCGAGGCTGCTATGGCTGGAGGTGACCGGACCGGCGTAGCGAAGAGGCGCTGTGTGGACGGTGGTAGGCTGAGGCTGAGGCAGAGGCAGAGGACCAAGGCGAGAGCGGAGGTCTGTGACCCGCTGACGCTCTATCGTGTCCCCTTCAAAGCGATCACGGTAGTTCGTGATTTGGTCGATGTCGCTCGCTGATTTCCGGTGTGCTGCGTACTGTCGGGTGTGATCATGAGGGACGCTGCAACGAGGCTGGTCCCAAGTTTCGCGGTAAGGGTGGTACCAAGCGGCGTGAAGTGAGCTTCGATGGGAAAAGTGGTATGATGGGTCCGGAGCCGCAGGCCAAGGATAGTAGTCCACACGGTCATCATAGCCGGAGGCATGGCGCCGGGTGAAGGAAAAGACTGGGCTCAGGTACGGGATATGCAATAGACCATGGCGATTGGGCGAAAGCCTCTCGCGGTCTCGACCGACGTCATGAGTGCGAAAAGGGGGCATGTTGAGGGGCTCCTGGACGGTGGCGTAGCAGACAGGGCGCGAGGTAAGGAGTCGCCTTGTGAGCCATCGAGGCGGGCTATATGCTGGCGTTCCAGACGATGCTGCGTAAGCGGCGGAGACTGATTGAGTCGATAGGGATGGTAGAGAGAAAAGAGCGGCAGACTATCGAGCGTGTGCGGCTGTTGAGCGGGCGGCGCGCTGCTACACCAATGGCACACGCATGCGCAGCACGAGAGCGGATCAGGCAGGAATGAGGCGGTCTGGACGCAGTCTTCACGAACGACGTCACCAACGAGTCGTCGTCTCAGATCCAAATGCGTCTAATTAGACAGGACTACGCTTGTCCAGCGCTGCAACGGTGGCGACGCGAAGTAGCTTGAGCGGCACAAAGGACATGCCCGTGCGCCACAGCTACGAGCATGGCCAGCTGTCACTCAATGATGCATTCAAGAGATGGTCCAATCTGATGACGGGTGTAAATGCCAAAGAGAGAGGTACAAAAGATCGGTGGAGTGAAGTGATGCCAGGGCTGGGGCAAAAGCCCGTTCAGCCACCAAAGGCGTAGCTCCGAGTGATGGCCAGATTGATGCTACTACGCTCCGAGCATGAGTCTTGGCGACGTCCATGAGGCTGGAGAGAAACGCATCTTTTCTACCTACGGTGACGTCGAGGAACTTGAGGGAGACGACTGGCAGTACATGCGCTTGATTGGGTGGCGGGGTACCTCGTGCTGCTGTCGCTGCCGTTGCTGCTGTTCACGGTCCAGCCTGCTCCACGACGACCATAGCGGTGGTAGTCTGCTTCCATCCGCATCCACCAAGCGTGCTCTTCTGCAATCTCGCGGCGCTTCCTCTCCTCTGAGCGCTGCTTCCTGGCCCGACGCTGGGCTGACGTTTCTTTGTGACGATTACTATCGCGTCGTCGTCTGGGCCCAACGGCTGGTGTGCCGCTGCCTCCATTCCTGTTGCTGGAATTGAGTGGGCCATGTGCCAAGGCGACAGCCGCATGAGGTTCATTGTGGTAGTTTTGCAGGTGCTCGTTGTGCCACGCCGCTTCAGCCATTGCCCTCCGCTCGGCGTCGCGCCTGTACTGCTCCCTCGAGATATCCTCTTGACGCATCAGCTCTTCGATGTGGTAGGCAAAGGGCCCACGGCCATGATTCGTCGACCTGCCAGTCGAATGCGGTTCTTGACGGTGGTGATGCATAGCTCGCTGGCGAGGATCTCGTGGGTGATAGTCCATAGCACGGTAGCAGAGATCCGTTGGCGCGCCTCGGCGGTCTGGACCGGCAGAGCTGCGAGGATAAGTTGGTGGCAAGTACGTCTGCGCCAGCATGAGGTGAGGCGGAGGCCCTCTAGAGTTGCTCGAAAGATAGTTGTAACCGGTCGACGGGCCATGGAAGGGCATGCTGAAGGATACTGAGTGGTAAAAGGCCGGATTGTCGACTGAGCACCCGGGCCGTGTCCTGAGCAAAGGGTGGAAGGGAAAGCTCAGTCGCCTCGCGACATGTGCAGAGGTGCCTCCAAGCTTGATACCTGGAGAAACTGAGGAGCTGAGAGAAGGTCGTTATGATCCGCAGATACGCGTCGTGGTAGGGAAGGAAGAGAAGAGCGTCAACGAACCGCCGCTTGCAAGTGAGCGAGCAACCCGCCTTTGGCAATGAGCAGCCGAAGCGCGCCCGGGCCCCTGGCCTCACGACGCGTGCTGTGCTCCTCTCCCTCTTGCCTCCCTACCGACCACCTGATCCTCGCTCACCACCACGCTTCCAGCTCAAGCAGCTTGGACAGCTGTACAGCTGTGCTCTTCCAACATCTCGTGAGTGCGGAAGAAATGCAAATGAGTAGCAAACTGATGCAAAGTACCCTGTACAGTATGCTACCCCCAGGAGCAGTCCAGCGCCCCACCGAGTCAACGCCCAAGCCACGGGAACAACGTTCTGAGTCCGCGACCACCCTTACTACGCCTGGTCTCCCCCCCGCTGCTTGAGCGCACCATGGCGCCTACGTCCGCCGATTCTAAAGCCTCGTCCAAGGCTTTATCCTCCTCTACATCCAAAGCTGACGAATCCAGAGGCAGTAGATCTACCCACACCAAGGTCGTCAGCTTCAAAATTGCGCCGAACGAGGTGCCTGCGACGACTTCCGCTCAGTCTTCTCATGCTCAAAGGCCCCATCAAGCTGATGTAGCCGCCCAGCCAGCCCATAAAGCTTCCAGTGACAAGTTATCCGCTCAGACAGCCGACGCTGCCGCTTCTGCTAAGGCTTCCACCAGCGCCAAAGCCTCTGAACAGACCACCAGCTCCCCATCGAAGTCATCCGCTGAGTCTCCTATCACGCCTCACGGTCCCAAAGGAAGTCGCGTCGAGATCAACGCAGACGCAAACGCAGTCGTCATCAACACTGCTTGCGAGAAATGCATCGAAGAGAACGTCCGCTGCGTGGTAGACAGCAAAGGTCAGGCGTGCACTCACTGTCAGAAAGATAAGCAATCCGATATCGCTTGCAATGCTCATGGACTGAGTGAGTGCAGCAAAATATCGCGCTATCCAACGACGCTAGCGGAAAAGCTGAGACGTGCCTTCGCCCTTGGGTTGCAGTCCCCGTCCTGGATACTCTTTGGCCGTGCGCAGCAGCAGCCGTCTATATTGCAGGCTACAGGCACGGTGCACAGCGTCGTCACTTCGAGAGCCCGCTGTCACCATGGCCCGATGGCGATTGCTTGGAAGGCATTCATGACATGCTTCTCTGGTACAAAGAGTGGAGCTGCCTCCCAGATGATTTTCCTGAGCTGGACCTAGAGCCTCGGGGCGATGACACCTGGCTAGACGCAGAGGACATCGAAGATGTTCCTGCTAGAGCGCTCGCCGACATGCTCAAGTGGCGCGTCTGGCAGAAGCACTGTCCCTATCCTCAAGGAGTCCCCGACTTTCACTTCCGCAACGATTGGCTCAACAAGATCCTAGCGGGGGAAGAGAAGCAGCAGGATGAGACGCAGAAGCGTGTTGACCAGGACAGATCAGGATCGACTGAAAAACTCTCTGCAACCACGTCGACCTCGCTTTCAACTGAAGACGCATTCGTCGCATCGCCCAGGCAGCCCACGCTGCTTACCCGAGTCGTCAAGACCGTAGAGAAGACCATCGACGCTGGCTCAGCAGCCGCTCACAAGGAGATCGAGGTGACGGAGACAACCGCGACCGTTCCTCTCTCTCCTAGGAAAGTCAAGGGTCTCGTCGACGCCAGCATGGATCGTCTTCCCAAGAAGCGGCGCGTGCAGTAGGACAGCAGACGCATGACGGTCATGGGTCGCCTGCATCATCCGAGTAGCCGACCATCTGGTCGTCAATTTCGCTCACAAGGTCAACTCACGTCAGTCGCTCGCAGGGAGACGGCACAGATCGGCCAGCTTCTCAAGGTGAACCGTCGTCTGCCTGCCTCTTCGGCTTCTAGATTCCGTAAGCGAGTTCCACGTCGCCCTGATGACCCCTCTTCATCATCCCCAAGACACCCGCCTATCCAGGAAATTTACCGTAGAGCCCACCATCGTGACAAAGTCACTCCTCTCCGCACCTGCATTCAATGATACACATTCTTCAGACCTAGACACAGCGGTTACCTACCGAGAGAGTGGCGCAGCACGCAACGCACAGTTTACTTTGCGGCCCTCCTAAATTCAGCACTTTCACATGTCCCCATAGCTTGCTTCTCAATCCCTCCTCCCGTAGGTGCGCAACGCCTCGGCCAGCTCCACGGGCATGTCTGCCCTGGCCAGCTTGTCGTAGTCGTACGTCACGCATATCTGATCGGCCGTCGCGACGGGTCCTGGTATCCTCTTTGCCTCGCCCTTGTTTTGCTTGTCCAGATAGTCTTCCCAAGCCTTCAAACTGTACATGCCAGCGCGGATGGTGAAGCGGTCCTTTTCCAGCTCGACGGCCTCGCCCGCGATGAGGAGTGTGTCTGGCCAGACTACAGGCCGGCGAAACTTGATATTGAGCTGAGCGAGAATCATGCCTAGCCCTCTGGCGCGAGCTAGTCCGTCGTGGAGTTGCTGTGAGAGGGACGAAACTTGGCAAAGCTGAGTGATCCAGGTCAGGCGGGCGGACTCGAAGTAGCGGGCGTAACTGGACGTGAGAGCAGGGAACATGACGTGAGCTGATAAGTAGACTGAAATTCGCCTTCTCTCGCACCCACAGGACGTTGTTGAGGTGCTGGAAACAGTCCTGATCGCCCCATGCGACATATTGAACGTGAGGGATGATGTGCGCGGGGTAGGAGTGCTTGGAGGAGGTCGTCAAGTGTTGGGCAAGTGACTGAAGGGCTTCCGGATGGGGCGGTATTGGGCCTGATGGCGGTGATGATGAGATTGTTGCGGATGACGAGGTGAGTGTGGATGAGGAGAAGGAGGCGCACGTCGGCATGGCGCGAAGGAGAGGAACAGGGCGACTGCACGCAGCTCCGCTGTTGCCAAGGAGCGACGTCGCTGGTCTCAAGAGGGATCTCGGTCTAGCGAAACGGATCATAGCTGCGAGCGGGGGATGACAGAGGTGCCGAGGATGCCTGCTGAGGAGCGGCTAGAAGGGCGGAGGAAGGGAATGCGACGAGAAGAACAACGCAGCCTGTCCCCCGGCCAACCGAGACCAAAGTCTGCTTCTCCTCCCCGCTGAGGCCGATGCACACCGGTGGAGGCCCGTGCTGCCGAAGAGGGTCCGAAGTCTCGCTCTCTGACATCCAAGAACAAACAGTAGCACGGGTCGTAGTGCATGGTATTACGATGCAATCGTCTATGTGGTCATCATGGCCCCATGATCCTTCTGCGGAAGAACGCCAGTCTTACGCATCGCTCCACTCAGCGATTCATCGTCCAGATACTCGGCCAATGCTCTCGCAACTGCGTCCATCTCCCCACGAGCTGCAGGAGGCGTCCTCTGCACTGCTCGCACGTACGGTCCAGGTGTCTCCTTTCTTGCTACAACGCCTCCCTTCTTGATCACGGCTGGAACCCAAAAGAGCGGGCAGAGGGAGGCAGCTAATCGCGACTCGACGTCCTGGCCCGCAGGGGTGATTGTGCCAGTACCTCCAGCATCGAGGAGCGGCGAGTGACTTCTCACTACCTCCAACAGACATCGAATCGACCCAAGCAGCTCCGCCTCCCTTCCTGCTTTGGCCGCCACCTCGTACAGCGCCCTTCCCAACCCGCCACCTCCCCCTCGTCCCGGCGCGAGGAAACCATCACGCAGCGCCACCCTCACGTCGGACCGCGGTCTAGCAAGCAACGTACGCAGCGACGGCGCAAGTGAGCAGCTAGGCTGAGATGCTACGAGGCATATGCAAAGGAGGAAGCGCAGGCCCAAGCTGTGCAAGCTGGTCGACGAGCTGCCAGGTCCGCTACTTTGCGACCAGTGCGAGATGAGTGTTGAGAGGAGGGAAGCTGCCGATGAGGATGAGGGCATGGCATCCTCAACCTCGTCGCTCTCATCACGAGCGTGGCAGACAAGATGCCATACGGTTGGTAGTAGGGCCAAGTATTCCTCCTCTGAGAGACGGCCTTGCTGAGTCGAAGGCGCGCCGATAGTAGAGAGGTCGGCACCACTGCTGGAAGGTTGGGCAAGAAGTGAAACGAGGTATTCCTCGACGGATGAGAGGTGGGCAGCAGCTGAGGCAGCATTTGCCCTCTTCTTCTTGCCCTTAGCCGCAGCAGCTACTACAGCAGGTTTTGCGCTGTCCATCGGTTCAGTCACCATCCTGCAAGCTCCCACGAGCTCACACCAAGCTGCGCTCATTCTCCGCAAGAGGCCTGTGCGCTCGTCAACCAGAGCGCTAGCTCGCTGCTCAAAGGGGAAGTAGATCGCTGCCCGGTCCAGCAGTGACCAGAGATTAGCGATGGCGGCTCTATCGCCTGATGAGATGGTCGCTGGCCCCGAGTGAGCACTTGAAGATCGCAAAGCTGCTCGACCGAGGGTGCGTGCCAGACTGAGTACGGCGTCGATGAGCTTCAGGCCAAGGGGCACTTCGCTACCTCCTCTCGAAGATGCATCTGGGCCGAGGGTAGCCGGTGCATGATCGAGAAAGGTGGAGAGGAGGAGCGGGTGGAGCGAGGCATACAGCGCCAGATAAGGATTTGAGGATGAAGATGAAACCGAAGGAGCGGTGCCGCTGCTGCCGCTGAGGTTCGCGACCGCGCTGACTGCAGCGAGAAGTTCGCCATCAGAAAGGCTTCTGCCCGCTGAGGCATCTACATCGCAGAGGGGAGCGGAGGCTGCTGCCATCGAGTGCTCAACGAGTGCATATCCCGCCGCGGATGGGACGAATTCGGAGTTGCCTTGGCTTTCGGCCGTCTTTGCGCCATGCCTGGCAACGGAGACGAAGGCTTCCCAATCAGCGCTGGAGGTGAAACACGAGCGGAAGATCCAGAGGGGAAATTCGGACGTCGTAGCTGCGGCACGACGATGGTGTGGTCCTTGTGTCTCTTCGCTCGGTGAGCCAGCGACGAGACCGCTCTGACATCGCACCAGCTTGTCGAGGCAGCGCATGAGACGCATCTTGCTGAGTGGGGATGATGAGAGGTCCGTCTGGATATTGACTGATGGTGTGGACGAAGATGAAGAGGACGACGACGGCCCGGCGCCGTAATGCGATACGCCCAGCGAAGTCAAGAGGGAGGCAAAGAGGCGCTGTCCATTGTTGGTATTGGCATCTTCTGCCCGATTGCTGGTGGTGGCGGTAGCATCTTGTGCGCTGGTCGCACCTAGCTGCCAACCTCTGACCATGTCGAGCCCGACGAAGTCTAGTACGGCTTCTGCCAATCGAGCTGCATCCTCTCGTACCTCCTTCCAGATGTGGTTCATTCCGCTGGTGAGCCACAGCGTCATCGTCGTCGCATAGGGCGCCAGAGCATCGCGAGGCAGGTCTTGCAGTGCTGTGACAACGAAGCGATGCAGAGATTTGCGTGTATGCTCTGCGCTCGATGTGATCAAGGGCAACACGATTGGCAGCAGGCCGAGGGTAGTGGTAGTCGAGTCGGGCAGTCGAGGCAAGAGGGCGCCCAGCGAATCCAATGCCTCGCTCTTACTTGCTCCACCCTGGCCAACCCCTCTCAAGATGGTGACAAGCTCTGCTACACCTCGTCCCTTGTCATCGGTGAGCTTGGTAGCTCGACGCTCTTGTATGTCGGTGATCGTCGATTGGTTCGGCAGCACAATGGAGCGCGCTTTGAACGACGTGTTCGTCGCATTCGAAGGGACGGCACGCTGCTTGGCCTTGAGCGACGACTTTGACTTTGTGAAGTCGGAATGAGCCGGTGGCTTCTTCTTTTTTGCGGCCACCATGGTGGGCGAGAGGGTGGGCGGTGATGATGGGGGACGTGGATTCGACGTCAAGCAACGTCGAAACGGAAACGACTTTTGTTTGCCAGTCCGCCTTCCGCTCTCGTCTCCCTGGCGATTTTCTGACGAGGCCGAGCTGGAGATTGACGACGCCTCCGCTTTCTCTCCGCCCTCTCCATCACTGGACTTCACCAAGATGGCATCCGAATCGATTCAGTCCCCACTACCTACGCTTAATGAGCTGTCTACCGCACTCAAACAGCTGCAAAGTACGCTGGACCCACTCATGGCTCGGCCTCTGGCAGACACCCTCGCCAAGCTTCAAGCAGCGCAGCCCACTCAACCAACTCAGATGGACAATAGTAATGGCAGCTCCTCGTCATCCTCGTCGTCCTCACACCGACTCGACTCGGCAAAGCTCCAGACATCCATCGCATACGTCCTCCTCGACCTCGTATGGATTCATCTCCGCCTCAAGGGCGTCGACCCTCATTCGCACCCAGTGGCAGCTGAGCTAAAGCGGGTCCAGGGATACTTTCAGAAGATCCGCAATGTACAGCAAGCTGGACCAGGTGGGGGAGGCGCTTCGAGAGGCATCGCGGGGGAAGAGGGTCAGCAAAGGATGAGGCTCGACGGGGCGGCCGCAAAGAGAATGGTCAAGGGCGCCATCGCTGATCAGCATAATGGCAAGCATACAAAGTTCGGAGCTGAGCAGAGCGCGATTGTTGCACCGGTCAAGGAGGCTGCCACTACAAGCAACGCTGCAAAGCAGAAGCAAAAGAGAGCAACAAAGGACCCATTCGATGGCTATCAAGACGATGAAAAGGCGGTAGCCTCAGCGCAGAGCTCTGGCGGATCGGCGAGAAAAGGGGCTGGAGACAAGGAAGACGGATCGAAGGGCAAAGCAGCCAAGAAGCGTCACAGCCAAGAGGCAAGCGTTGAAGCTGATGGCCCGAGAAGCACAGGCAAAGAACACAGAAAGAAGCAGAAGAAGCAGCGTCAATGACCAGAATGAGAGGGGGCACTGCAATTGACATCATCTTGTGCTGTACATCTACTCCTTATCGCTCTCGTCCTCGTCTGACTCTGTTTCGCGCTCATCCCCGTCTTCGACGGCCAGAGCATCAAACATGCTCTTCACCTTCGTAGTCTGCGCTTCTCCTTCTTCTGAATCTTGTTCATCTTCGCTTCCCTCACTCGACTCATCTGACAAGCCTCCCTCGACGTCGTCGCTGAACTGTACGCTCTTTGAAGCGCGACGCTGCTCGCCCTTGATCTTCTCTTGCTGCCAATCGTCTTCATCATCGTCATCGTCGCTTTCATCCAACGAGAGCAGCGACGTCTGGCGCTCATTCGATTGAAGGACAGCAGCTTCATCCGTGCCGTCTCTCAGCCAGACGCCATCTCCTGTACTCCCCTCCTCCGCCTTCCAGCCCGGAGGTCGAAAGGCCCACCTCACTCTTCTTCCCTCCGCCACTATGCGCAGTACCAGATTCCCAGCACGGTTGACGTCGTACCTGCCTGCCTTTGCCGTCCGATAGCCATGCCTAGCGCAGATGGCTTCCAGAATGGTAGTAGCTGTCCACACCCTGGCTTCAGGCCCCGTCGCCTCTTCCTCGTTGGCAGGCATCTCCAGCCCGAAAACCTCTTCCAGTGGTATCTGCTCGGCCACGAAGCGTACGGCCTGCAAGACGGCCTGCGTCTGACTGATGGGTAGAATGGCGCCCATTGTCTGCAGCTCTTGCCCTGCAGAGGAGGGGAAGACGAGGCCAGGGCAGTCACATAGCTCGACGACGGAGCCGGGGTTAGAAGTAGGGAGCCGATGTGTTTGGAACGTCTTGGTCTTGCCTGGTGTGCGAGAGGCGTGGACTACTTTTCGGCCTAGGAGCGCGTTGAGGAGGGAGGATTTGCCGACATTGGGTTGTCCGATGAGTCCGAGTGTCAATGGTGGGAAGGATGATGATGAAGAGCTCGATGTGGCTTGTGACGTTTCAGCAGCTGCTGCGTCGTCGGCGGCGGCGATGATCGCTGCCCAGTCTATCGTATCATTGCACGACGGCTGCCACTCCTTGAGTCTTTGGGGGTCGCACTGCACTGAGGCTGGAGGTGTAACGAGGCCTGCGTGTACGTTTGCGATGGCCTCGACGAGTTCCCTACGGGATGTCGGCGAGAGGTATGGCACAATGCGTGACCTCGACCCTTGGCCCTCTAACCTCTCCTTCTTTGCGTAGCTCTCCGTACATACGACGCTCCAGCCCAGCTCTTGCTCCTTGAATCTCTCCTCGAGCCATTGCTTCCACTGTTGCGCCACTTCTTGACCTACAACGTCCTTCTTTGTCAGCACCACGACCACTCGCCGCCTTGCGAAGCGCCGAAGGTACCCGACCAAGCTGTTGGGCAAATGTAGCAAGGGGCAACGGCAATCTGCTAGGACGAGGAGGATCTGCGAGCGGTCCATGACGCGCCAGAGCTGGCGATAGACTGCGACGTTGCGCTCAAAGAGGCTCGGCAGGAGCGTTTGCGTTGGGCGTGGCTTGGGTAGCTGAGGTACGGGAATGGCCTCGGTGAAGAGGCGTTGATTGTCAGCGCCGAGGTGACTGCGCGCTGATTGACGCTCGTCGATGTCCTCGAGCCAGTTGGCGAATACGGATTCCTGCAGCGGCAAATCAGTCACTGTCAGTCTCGTGTCGCTCACTTTGTCATGCTGCTGAGGATTCGTGCGCTCACCTCATTGCTTTGAACCTCCTTCTTCTCCATATCATGCCTCCAGCGTGGCTTTTTCGGCAAGGTCCATGCTGCCTCTTGATCATCGCCGTCGCTGCCATCAATCCTCTGCTGCGTCATAGTAGCGACTCGATCCGCATCGATGGGCCTCTGCAGAGGCGTATATGTGGCAATGAGATTCATGTTCTCGAGTGCTTGGCCATTGAGCTTCGAGAAGCGCGACTCGATCCCCGCCGCTTGCTTTTGGCGTTGGCGCCTGACGGCCTCTGGCTTGGGCAGTGAGGCTTTCGCCAGGGTGAGCGCACTTCCATCGTTTCCTCGCCCATTGGCAGCCTTCTTACTTGCCTGCTTGCGGGGCATGTTGAGCGTCGTCTTTTTGGGTCGAGGAAGTCAAAGTCGCTCGCCGCGATTGCTTTCCGTCCTTCCGCGCTCGAGACGAGTGGAGGAATCCGTCGTTTCGCGGCATCGAAGCTCAAGTCACTTGGATGTTTGTTGCTCTCAACCATCGTGCCCGCGACGGTGCAGTCGACGGAAGGTCTTACGGGATCACGAGTTGAGCGCGCCCTTGCCGCTCCTGCTCAGCACCATAATGTTCGTAACACGGTGTCGAAGATGCATTGCAGGTGGTGCGCAACGTTCTCGGGCTTAAGCGCGCGTGAACGGAGCAAAGGCCTAAAAACAGGGGGGTCCAAGCTTGGACTGGCTGAGCGCAGTAGCGCTAGGCCGGCGGATCTGCAGCATCGAGGTTCCCAAGTTTCATCGGCAGCTTCGGCGCCGATTCTGCAGGCAAGCCAACGATGCCGCATCTGCCGGTTGGGAGCGGGAGGGAGAGCGGGAGGGAGAGCGAGCGGGAAAGCTGACGATGCTGCTCAGCAGACGGCTAAAGCTGAGCTGACGGCGCTTCAATCAGGCCAGCCTCAGTATTGATCAGCGTAAAGTCATCAAAAGCTGCGGGGAACGAGGTCACTTTCCTTTCACCCGCTTTCCTTGTCATCCCAGCTTCCCTCCCACTTCTTGATTCATCCATCCACAACCACTCACCTACCTCATCCATACCCGCTCCTCGCGCCACACGCGACACGCCACCACCATGGCCGTGCTAGAGGAGACTAGCACCTCGTCGTCGCGAGCATCGTCGTCGTCGAGACGGGCAGCCGCCGCTCGTTGCTCTCCAGCCTCGGAAACCTCAGACGAAGAGAAGCGGCAAGTGGCAAAGACGCCCAGCAGCGATGAGGAGACCAAAGATGAAGAGGAAGGTTTCAAGTACAACCCTGGCGAGAGGCGCAAAGCGGAACTCAAGCTACGACAGCATGCCTGGCAATTCTGGAGGTGGAAGGAGCCGCCCCCTCCACCACCCTTGAGCATGGACGACGCCAAAGTGACTCCAATGGCCAATGCCAACATCTTCAGTCAGCTTGCCTTTCAGTGGGCCACGCCCATCATGGTTCTGGGTTGGAGAAGAGCTTTGGAGGCAACGGACCTCAACAAGTTGCCCTCACAACGAGAGAGCGACCATATGTCGGCGTTGCTGCTGGAAGAGTGGGATAGGCAGTCGGCTGAGGTGGCCGAGTTCAATCGCAAGCTTGAGAGTGGCGAGTCCCGCATCAGCCTAGCTCGTAAGGCGCGATGGGCCATCAACATTGGCCTCAAGAAGGCTACCGGCCGCAAGCTAGAGGCCGGTGCGACATTGGCAGAGCGAGAGGCTATTTGGCGTCGGCCGCCACCGCCAGGAGCATTGGCGCCTCCGGTACCCAAGAAAAAGGGGCCCAACAAAGGCAAAAGTGCGCCTCCTGCGCCACCACGCCCACCCAACTACAGCGGTCACAAGCGCGCCTCGGTGGCGTGGGCATTACACAAGCAGCTCAAGTGGCTCGTATGGTCAAGCGTGGCCGTCAAGGCATTGGGAGACATCTCGCAGGTCACCTCGCCCCTCGTCGTCAAGCAGATTATCAAGTTTGGTCAAGAGCGCTACGCCGCAGCTCACATGCCCGCCGCAGCCTACGAGCAGGCCTTTGGCGGTTCACCTCCGCCACTCGGCCACGGCATCGGGTACGCATTCCTACTCTTCTTCATGCAGTGGTTTGCCAGCATCTTCACGCACCAGTTCTTCTACCGAGCCATGTCAGTAGGCGTCTATTCCCGATCCGCTCTCATTGCCGCCATCTTCAAGCGCGCCACCAAGATGAGTGCCAAGGACAGGTCGCCGGGCAAGCTCCTGAATCACGCCTCGACCGACGTCTCGCGCATCGACTTTGCTTCGGCGTGGTCCTTCATGATCTTCACGACCCCAATTCAGCTCGGCATATGTCTGGGTCTGCTCATCGGACAAATCGGACCCTCTGCCCTCGCCGGCTTCGCTCTGCTGATCATCTCGTTCCCTTTCCAGGGCTTCATCATGAAGATCATGTTTGCAGCTCGTGGTGGCTCAATGGTGTTCACGGATCAGCGCAGCAAGCTCATCAATGAATTGTTGGGCGGGATGCGCATCGTCAAGAGCTTTGGCTTCGAGGTCAACTTCCTCAAGCGACTCGACTTTATCCGACGCAAAGAGCTGCAAGGAATCCGCAAGATACTCACGTTGCGCAGTTTCGTTAATGCCGTCTCATTCTCCCTGCCCACCCTGGCCGCCGTCATTGCGTTCCTCATTTACAGCGCACTCGGTCATGACCTCAACCCGGCCAACATTTTCACGGCTCTCACCTTGTTTCAGCTCCTACGTATGCCGCTGATGTTCTTGCCGCTATCCCTCTCCGCGGGTACCGATGCCTACAACGCCTTCCTTCGACTTCAAGGTGTCTTTGAGGCGCCGCAGATGAAGGACACGTCCGAGCTTGACCCGGACGCCGCGGACGCCGTGCAGATCGTCGACGCTACATTCCAGTGGTTCGAGGTCACCAAGTCGGACACGATGGGTGGCAAGAAGTCGGATGGCGCTGAGACCCCTCGACTCAAGGGCCGCAAGAGGATGCTGATGCGCAAGAAGGCCGAGGCCTCGAAGATTGACGCAGCCGATCAAGCAAAGGCGGAGCAGGCAGCTGGAAGCGCAGGTGACCAGAGCGAGGCCACTGCAAATCTGGCTCAAGTCGGTCCTAAGATCACAGACGCTGGTGCGCCTGCTGCCGCAGCAGAGCAAGAGCCCTTCGCGCTTCGTCACCTGGATCTCTCCATTGCGCGCTCGCAGCTGTGCGCCGTCGTAGGGCCAGTGGGCAGTGGCAAGAGTTCGCTTCTTGCTGCTTGCCTGGGAGAGATGCCGCAGAAGGAGGGCAGAATCATTTGGGGCACCAAGTCGATTGGTTACGTACCTCAGCAAGCGTGGATCCAAGCAGCTAGCCTGCGTGACAACATCCTCTTCGGTCGCACGTTTGAGCAGGAGCGATACTGGCGCTGCATCCGTCTCGCGGAGCTGGAAGGTGACCTGGCTGCTCTGCCTCAAGGCGACCTGACTGGTATCGGAGAACGCGGTATCACGTTGAGTGGTGGCCAAAAGCAGCGTGTCTCCATTGCACGTGCTCTCTACCTCGACCCGGACATCTACCTCTTTGACGATATTCTCTCGGCACTCGATGCTCACGTCGGCAAGTCGATCTTCCAGAATGCCATCCTCGGGCTCAAGGCGCGAGGCAAGACGGTGCTACTCGTCACGCACGCTCTTCACCATCTCCACGACGTCGACCGCATCATCACGATGGAGGACGGTCAGATTGCGGAGAGCGGCACGTACAAGGAGCTGAAAGGCCGCGAGGACGGGGCATTCGCTCGCTTGATGGAAGAATTCGGAGGAACTGCTGAGGAAGAGGACGAAGAAAAGAAGGAAGAGGAAGAGGGAGGCATCGAAGACGCCAAGCACGACGATAAGGAGGACGCCAAGCGCAAGAAGGAGGCTGGCTCAGGCATCATGACGCAAGAACAGCGCAACACCGGCTCCGTCTCTGGCAAGGTGTACAAGGATTACATCCGCGCTGGGCGGGGAAGCTTCATGCTTCCCCTGATCATCATCACCATCTGCATCGTACAGGTCATCACGGTGCTCAACAGCTACTGGCTCGTCTGGTGGCAGGAAGAATACTTTGGCGTCGGGCGCCAGGGTCTCTACATGGGCGTCTACGCTGGGCTTGGAGTCGCGCAAGCCGTCTTCCTCTTCTTTTCGGGCTTCTTTACGAGCATGCTCAGCTTCTGGGCATGTGCGAATCTGCACAACGACGCGATGACGGGGATCATCTTTGCCAAGATGTCCTTCTTTGACACGACGCCGGTGGGTCGCATCATGAATGTCCTCACCAAAGACATCGACGTTGCGGACAATCAGATCGCCGACGCCTTCCGTATGGCCTTGAACACAATTGGGCAAGTCTTGGGCAGCATCATCCTCATCACGGTCCTGACGCATTACTTTGTGGTCGCAGTTGCCGTCGTCTGCATCGGCTACTACTTTGGCGCCCTCTTCTACCGCAGCTCTGCTCGCGAGCTCAAGCGGTTGGATGCCATTCTACGCTCCAGCCTCTACGCCCACTTCTCCGAATCTCTCACTGGGCTGACCGTCATTCGCGCCTACAATGAGGTGCAGACGTTCACGCGCGAGAACATGAAGCGCAACGACGAGGAGAATCGGGCGTATTTCATGACGATCATCAATCAGCGCTGGCTGGGTGTGCGCTTGGATCTTCTGGGCGCCATTCTGACATTCGTCGTCGCGCTACTGGTCGTCTGCGCCGACACAATTAGCCCTGGCAATGTGGGTGTCGCTCTAAGCTACGTGGTCACGACGACGCAGTCCTTTAGCTGGATGACGCGCCAGATCGCCGAGGTCGAGAACGACATGAACTCCATCGAGCGCTTGACGTACTACACCAAGTCGCTGGACCAAGAGGCCGAGCAGGAGGTGCCGAATAAGGTCGGCCCATCGTGGCCTGAGCGAGGCGAAATTGACATCTCCAACATGGCTCTACGCTACAGGACTGGGCTTCCGCTGGTCTTGCACGACGTTAATCTCAAGGTGCACGCCGGCGAAAAGGTGGGCATCGTCGGGCGAACGGGCGCGGGCAAGTCCAGTCTGCTCACTGGGCTCTTGCGACTGGTCGAGCTTGAGCGCGGCAGCGTCCACATCGACGGCGTCGACATCTCGAAGATGGGCCTGGCCGAGCTGCGACGGAAAGTGGCGGTGTTGCCGCAGGATCCGCTCATCTTTAGCGGCACGCTGCGCAGCAACCTCGACCCCTTTGGCGAGTACGACGATGCGCGACTCAATGATGCGTTGAAGCGGGCGTACCTCATCGACGCCGACGCAGAGGAGACGCCGCCGCGTCCAGCTACGCCGGCCAGTGGGCTCGACGAGAAGGCCGGCGACGACAAGGCGGGCGACGACAAGGCTGTCGCAGCGACTCGCCAGCAGCGCTTCAGCTTGGACACGCCCGTTGAGGAGGAGGGCGCCAACCTCAGTCTGGGTCAGCGATCGCTCGTCTCCCTCGCTCGCGCCCTGGTCAAGGACTCGCAGATCATCCTTCTCGACGAGGCCACGGCGTCGGTTGACGTCAAGACGGACGCTCGCATTCAAGAGACGATTCGCACCGAGTTTGCCTCGCGCACGCTGCTGTGCATCGCCCATCGACTGCGCACCATCATCTCGTATGACCGCATCGCCGTGTTCGACGCGGGCAGGGTCGTCGAGTTTGCGAGCCCGCTGTCGCTCTTTGACCGCCCAGACGGCATCTTCCGCGACATGTGTCTCAAGGCTAGCATCACGAGAGAGGAGATGGTTGCGGCGGTGCGGACGTAGAGAGACGTTCGTTGTGTCTGGAATCGTTGTTGTCATTGTAAATCCATTTCTTCCCCTGCCTCGAGGCGTGTGAGAATTTGAGCGAAGTCGTGGCTCGATGGGTCGAGGAAGGACATGTGCAGGGAACGTCGCGTAATCGCACGCAGATCGTCTGCGGAGAGACTGAAAGCGGCGATGGCAATGGCACATTCGTTGCTCAGGCTGCTACCGAATACGGCGCAGTCGTCGGTGCATAGCGCAACCGGGTGTCCGCGGCCGTGGTGGAGGGCGAAGTGATGAGCTGCGTACGTGGGGATCGTCGAGGAGCAGGTGAGGACGTTAGACGTCAAGCAGAGCTCGATTGGGATGCCGCTCGCCCACAGCGACGACTGATTCTCGCTCGAGAGGAAGCAGAGGTGGCCAAAGCGGTCCTGTCGAGGAACGAAGGGAAGCGGGCAGGTCAGCGACAGGGGCTCGTAATCGGCGATGTGGCTTCTGCTCACCGGCTTGAATGCGATCATTCTGCGAGTCTCTTCGTCCACGTCGGGCACCTCGCCTGCATGTAGAGTGATCTTGAGCCCACTCTCTCTCGCCCTCGTCAGCGGCCCTAACCACGTCTCCCATCTCCCCTTGGTAGGGTCACCACTCAAGTCAATGCCAACGACGCCTCGATCGCGATACCGCAGCGCCAGATCGACAGTTGCCTCGGCCACCTCCGCAGGGTCTCTCCGGTCGATGGAGAGGATAAGGCGGGCGAAGCAGCGGCGGTCGCGCTGCGCTGTCTCCTCGTAGTCCTTGAAGCCCTGCAGCACGCTCTCGACATAGCCCACCTGGTCGAGCCCGCACTCCGTGTGCGCTCGCGGGGTCGTCCTGAGCTCGAGGTACACGACGCCATCAGCCTCTGCGTCCTCGAGTACCTCGCGAGCGATTCGTCGAATGGTCTTGCCCCCTCTGACGGCGTGGTGGATGACATCAAAGACGGCGAACATCTCGCTGACCGTGCGCGCGTCTCCCCTGATGATCTGGCTCTCCCGTGCGTTCAAACCAGCGGCAAGCGCCAGTTCTTTGAGTGTTGACCGCCGAATGGAGCCATTCAAATGGGCGTGAAGCTCGATCTTGGGCAAGCGGCGGGCCAAAGAGACTTGAGCAGCCGTGGGCGTCACCATGGCCGCAGCGGGCCGGGTGGTGCTATGGGTAGGAAGGCAAGAAGGGCGCGCCGCGCGGAGGCGCGTCAAATCGTTGTCGGCAGCACGGGCGCGGGAGCCAAACGTCTCAATACGCTGATGCATCGTAGGTGACAGAGAAAAGAAAGTCGCGAATACTGCTGACCGCAGTCAATACAAGACACCAAGATTGCGGCGCACACTCGGAGGTGAATCGAAAGCCACTGACTTTACCGCAATCGCAGCGCATGGCAAGGTAGTGGAAACAGATAAACACATGAAAGAGCAGGCGGGCGCCAGGATGAAGTGAGCTCAACGTCATCTGATCGCCTCATATCGCTACAGTGAGAGCGGCGCGGAGAAAATCAAATAAAACTTGGACGATAGAAGACAGGCGAAAGCCGACCGGTAGATTCGGCCCCAGCAGTAATGCGTCCACGTGCGCAAACAGTGCAAAGACATCGCATCCGATGCATGCGTGACGCAGAGCGTAACGCGACGCGGAGCGCGAAAAGATCAACGCTTATTCGATGCCGTTACGACTCAAAGCGCATAAATTCCAAGCTTCAGACAATGTCATGCAATTTCTCTGGCCGCCAACAACGCTTCAGAGGCTTCGAGATGATGTTCAAGCATGAGTAGCAACCCTTCATCAGCACAACACATCCAAAGTGCAATTGTGGACCGTTAGAGACGTGGATGTCACTTCTTGCCAATGTCAACGCGCAGCCTCGCATAAGATGCATTGGCACAGCATCTGCCTATGGGCTTTGTGCTGAGTCGCCGTCGAGCTAAGCAGCCGAGCAAGGACGTCTTGAAGACGCTGTCATCAATCTCTATAGCTATCACGTTCTTTGCAAGGCTTGCCAGCTCGGAGCATCAAGTATGAGTACAGTGACCTCATCACCGAAGTGGATGCGCTGTACTGCAATTCGCAGGATCGGTGGGAAGCAAGCGATATCCAGCGGCCGAAGTTTGTGCTTCAGAGAAGCTGGATGTCACCTAGAGTGCGTCAAGTGTCAGAGTGTGGTATCATCGCACGCTCCTGCTTACAGTGGACATAGCGCTACGGTGGCCGACTCTGTCCCCTGGCTTTGCGGTAGGTCGCCATTGACGTTGCCTACACACGTTACGCGGCTGCACAACACGAGGTGGCGATGCCCTCCGAAGCTCCCAGTTTCGAGAGACAGAAATGTCAGCATTCTGGGCGTGATCGAGATTGTCATTGACCTGAGGAGCTGGGTGATCTGCTGCATGCAAGTCTTTGTTGTCTGCGTCTCCGTCGTGTGTCTTTCCTTCATTGCAACTTGCAGCCTTGAGGTCGGCGAAGGGAGTGCTGTGTCACGAAAGATATCAGGGAGCCATCGTTGTCAGCCAGTCGAGCTCAGATGGCTGCGCTTTGCATTACCGGTGCCTTCGAAGAAGAAGCGGCGACGTCTCTCTGCTTCGGCATGGACGGGCATCTCTTCTGTACCTGATATACGACGGAGCAGGAGGCCATGGCAGATGGCAGCGGCAGAAGAGTATTCACCTCTGCGGTCCGCCTTCTCTGACTCTCTGTTCGCGAGCGCGAGCTCTGGACCTTCAGCATCTTTTGCGCCCAGACACGAGCCGCGAGCCTCACAGCAAGCTCATCGATTGGTCTTTGCCAGCCAGGTCAATTTGGAGGGCAATTAAAGTTGAATCTCGCGTCTGTCCCGGGGCGGGCTCGAGGGTCAGGCGACGCGGGGAGCGGGGAGCGGCTTGTGGAGGCGGGGTCGAGTCGAGATGCCAAGTTGCAACCGCCGGCTTCGCGCAGACCTTTTGCCCTCTCTACCACCCCCACTCCACACGAACTGCAATGACACCCGAACCCATTACCCACGTCTTCAAAAAGGCTTCCGACCTCGACATTAGCCTCGACGTCTACGTGCCCAAGTCGGCGAGCGAGTCGTCGCCATGCTCCACCGTCCTCGTCTGGTGGCATGGCGGCGGGCTACTGCAGGGCACGCGCAAGGCGGCTGCTCCCCACTTGCTACGAGCCGTTGATGAGCACAACATCGTCGTTGTTTCGGCAGACTATCGCCTGGCTCCTCAAACGAGGCTGCCACGCATTCTTGGCGACGCTCGAGACGCCGTCTCCTGGGTCCAGCAAGAGGGATCGCTCAGCAAGCTCACGGGAGGTCGCGCTCGTCCCGACAATGTCTTTGTGAGCGGCAGCAGCGCAGGAGGATGGCTCGCTCTCCTCGTCGCCAACAGTATCGGCTTCAAGGAATGCGGCGTACCCGACCTCCCTGCCAAGGTCAAGGGCTGCATCGCCATCTACCCCATTACCGACATCAGCGACTCATTCTGGACGACGCCGCAGCGCCCAGTCTCGTACATGAACGGGCGCATCCTCGATGGGCGAAAGGACCTGGGCGATCACATTCTCAACTCGTCTTCTCCGCCTACGACTTCGAGTGCGCCAGACTCTCGACGAAGCCAGTTCTATCACTACATGATTCAGGAGGCGCTGGAGCAGAAGCTTCTCCTCGATGAGACCAACGTCAAGCCTCGCGACGTCGCCGTTGCCCTTGCGATCAAGGAGGGAAGAGTGGCGGCACCGGTTCCTACTATGCTGATCCACGGAGAGTGAGTGGCGAGAGAATGGAGCGCAAAGGTGGGCGTGTTACTGACAGGCCCACTGGACGCGCGCGCAGCATCGACGACAAGGTGCCCATCTCACAAGCAGACGACGTGGCCGCAGCCCTCAAGGCAAAGTCGGGCTGCGACGTCGAGTACATGCGACTGCAAGGCAAAGACCATCTCTACGACGTCGATCCAAAGGAGGAGATGCGCGAGATGTACGACTGGATCAAGAAGCACGTCAAGGGGGCGTGAGGGCGGGCGTGGCGAGCACGGTGAGCGCGGCGAGCGCAGCGAGCAGACGATAAGGGAGCTACGAGGAGGGCAGACATACAAATTCAATTCCACGGGTAATTACGAAAAGATCGAAATGTACAAGACGAAGAAACATCAACGACATGGTCATCATCACGCATCACGTATTACGGCCCCCCGCGCCGGCCGTGCCTCACTCGCGGTAGTCTACGAGTCCTGCCGTCAGGACGAGCGCATTGAGCCAGTCGGTCCCAATCGAGTCGTCGCCGTAGAGGAATCGCAGCCCCGAAACAATGTTGGCAAAATAGGGCGCAGAGACGTCGTCGCCAGATCCAGTGTACGAGCTGTCGCCATCAACAGCAGGGCCAGCGACCCACGATCCGAGTCCAGTGAGGATGGAGCGAGGTAAGCCAGAGCAGACGAGGCTGGCCGTCTCTGCGCTCTGAGCAGACGTCATCTTGGTGTAGAGTGCCGACGATTTGGCCGCCGCGTACGAAGTCTCTGCACTTCGAGCCGCCGCAGCCTTCTGAGAAATGTCGGTCCATGAGTAGGGGTCGCATGACGACGTGCGTGCCAAGTTACTCTGCACCCATGTGCCCAAGTGAATGTTAACCCACGGCCTGAGCAGATCCTCCTTTGTCAGGGCAGAGAGAACCATTTGCTGGCCGGTGGCGTAATCGATGAGCTCGCCCTGCGTGCCATTGACGGCGCTCCACGAGTACGAATTGTAGCCGACGCGACTGTGGCCCATCCAGAGGGGAAGCTCTTGCGCTCCAGAGGCTGGACTGACCTGCATCAGACCGAGTGAAGCACCAGAGTCCAGGCGACCGCCATTGTAAGCCGCGGGCAAAAAGTCAGACTCGGCCTTGATGTCGGCGAGGAGGTAGCGAACAGCATCCTGCTGCTTGAGCTCGGGCAAATAGCGACGGGTGGCAGACAGCAGGGCGGCCACGGTCTCTTGCTTTTGCGTCGAGTTGAGGTTGTCGCTGTCGCCCGCCCAGGCCATGATGGCATTGAGGTCGGCGAGGGCGGAGGCAGACGGGTAGCTGACGTATGCGGATGTAGGGGAGCCGCTCGAAGTGGCAGCAGCAGTCGAAGCGCGAGTCGTCGTTGTCGTCGTTGTGCGCGTAGTCGTGGCGCTGACAGTGCGCGTCGACGTAGTGGTCGAGGAGAAGGAGGAGGAGGTGGAGGTCGAGCTTGTGGCGCGGGCAGTAGCAGAAGAGGTCTTGGCGGACGAGCTGCTCTTGAGCGTGCTCGATGACGCTTTCGTGGTCGTTGACGACGTCTTTGTAGTCGAAGTGGCAGTCTTGGTCGACGAAGACGTCTTAGATGTTTGGCTGACGGCCTTGATCGTCGTAGGCAAGCTCGTCGTGGCTCGCAGCGTGCTTGTCGTCTTGCGACTGCATTGAGCTGACTTGCGTTGGATCGACGTGCTGGTGGCCTTGGCAGCGGCTGCCTTGGATGCGGCCGCTGCTTTGGCCGCCGCAGCTTTAGCCGCCGCCTGCTTCCTCCTTCTCGCTGCCGCAGCGGCCTTCTTTCTCCTGGCGGCAGCGCTCAGCTTCTTGGTAGCGCGAGGGTGGACGTCCGCGGCGTGGCTTTCACTCTCAACGTCTGCGTCTTCGACCTGCCGCTCGTTGATGACGGGGAAGTCTGCATTGCCTTGGCCCGCGGCAGATGTGCGACGCCTGGCCATGTGTCCGAGCCTGCCGTATCCAGGAGTGACGGCAGCCTTGGCCGCTTGCAGAATACGCCCCGCGTTGGCAGGCGCGAATCGCACAGCGTCTCGCTCCTCGAGCTGGGCCTCTACGATGTCGCGAATGGCCATATGCCCGAGTCTACCGTAGCCCGGGGTCACAGCCGCCTTTGCAGCCTTGAGAACCTTTGCTGCATTGGCCGGGGCGACACGCGCAGCATTGCGTCGGTCAAGAGGATGAGGGGCCGACTCTCCACGATCTGCGAGCTCGCCGGCAGTCATGGGCTGTATGACCGCTGCCATGGACGTTGTGGCGATCCAGACGAAGAGGAGGAGAACGAGGCGCGCCTGTTTGTTCATCGTGAATGCGAGGGAATGGAGGGAGGGGGTTTGCAGGAAATCAAAGGAGTGTGGGGTTGATGCGACGAGGACGAGGTCCAGCCTTGTTTCGTCGATCGAGAGGGGTGGAATGGAGAGAAGGGGTGAAGAGAGGTGAGGACGAGGGAAAAAGAGGGTCGAGCACCAGGCTGCCAAGATGATAAAGAGAGGAGCGGATGACAAAGAGGCCGCACTCGCGATCCTATCTCAAGGGGTTCGGCCTCTTAGGATGAGCGGAGCTCAGGCCCAGATTCGGCGGAGAGGGAGAAAGAGAATGGGGAGAGGAAGATGTCATCGTGGCCGCGGCCGCTCGTAGATGTTTGCGTGTCATTTGTCCATTGTGCTCATGGTGCCTGCGTCGGAGACTAGGTGTGGCTTGACTCCGTATTGACATGATCCAATGGAAGGAACCGCGAGCGCGTCTGGCGTGCCTTTCCGACGCCACTCCGCTGCCGCGAAGCCGGAACCATCAGGCACCGCCGCGCCGAGGCATCCAACACTTCCATCCAACACGACCATCGCCGCAACCATCGCCCACGATCTCGCGCATCACGCAGACAGCCGCAGCTTTTCCTTCCCAAACGAGGCAAGTCAGGAGGAATGATGACACACAAGACGTGGCCACACAGACCTTGAGTAGTGGCAATCGCTAGTCCGCTGCCAGCACGTTCAGGGGCTCGAGCGCCAGAAAGATCGCTGGTGGTACGGCAAGCCGGACCGCCCGGGCAGCCTGATTGAGAGGTGGTCGAGCAACGCAAAGATGGGATTGTTCGTAATGGCCTACGGACGGCGCAAGCAATTGACGCTCTTAGAGCACATTCTTCAAGATGGTCATTACGCGCGCCGTCCAGTGCCTCCCTCATTCTCCTCACCTTGTCATGGGTTCTCGAATGCTCATCATGTGTCCCCTTCGGCAAGGTCAAAGAGTCTTCCATCCAGCTCACTCTGAAGGCAGCAGCGGCTAAGCGCGGTAAGTGGCGAGAGGTATCGTGCGTGCTCAGAGGCACTTGCTTTCCAACCAGCGGCTACCTCCAACTCAGCCTCAACGTCGACGAGCAGGGAGTGGTATGGTTCCCTGACTTTTGCCCCTCTCACATGGCTACTGTGACTCGGCTTCTTTTTGCGCAAAGACGGGCATCCCGCTGTAACGAAGCTGCCCAGGCGTCGTCCAAAATTGAGGCGGGAGGTCTAGTGACGAGGGGCTCGAGCGTATGACCATTTGCCGAGCGAGCGGGACACCACCCCGCTACTTCGATGGGACGAGCTGGTTCCATCCGGAGCAACAAGCGGTCCCGCCTGTTCGCTTCAAGATGCGAGATTGAGTGGCTCTCACTCTGTGTAAGGGCGGCATGATGGCAAGTGACTCTCGCAACTGCACCAGGCTAACTGTAGTACTCGATCAGGTCGCGGGACCCGTCGGCTGCTAACCATGTTGTGGCTTCGTCCGCACGCTGGCAGCGGATTCGCGCCCATCGTCATGATACCCAATGACGGGCTCGCTAGGTAGCTGCTAACGTTCGAGAACGCGGTTCGACCGCTGTGCCCTCAATCGTCGCAGAGCGCTGCGATGTCTTAAGTAGGCACGCCCTCTGCTGATCCTCGCCCTCACTCCCCCTGCCACCTCCTCGCTCATTCATCCAATCCTACCACCATGAAGCTCTCATCGGCACCAATTCTGATCGCCATCTTCATGGCTGCGACTGCAGCCGCGAGGCCTGCTCCGCTCGAAGCTCGAGGCGGCGACAAGCATCACCCTGCGCCCTCTCCTCATCCTCACCCGCACCCTCACCCCGAGGTGAACCATCCTCACCCTCACCCCGATGTGAATCATCCTCACCCTCACCCCGAGCCGCACCACCCGCATCCTCACCCTGAGCCTCTGCATCCTTCTCATCCGCAGGCTAGAGGGCACCCGGCTGAGGCCCATCCTCATGCTCATCCCGATCATCCCGCTTCGCACCCGCACCCTAAGAAGGAACATCCGCATCCGCAAGCTCATCCCCAGCCCGATTCTAAGCACCCTCAATCCCACCCAAAGGGAGAGAAGCCCAAGAATCAGCACCCTCATCCTCACCCTGCTGCGAAGCATCCTCACCCCAAAGATCACCCTGCTCCAGCCCATCCTCACCCTCATCCTCATCCTCACCCGCACCCCCATCCCGACCCTCACCCTCACCCGAGCTCGACCTCTCCAACTTCTTCCGGACCTACCACTGAGCCCACCCCGGCCCCAGCACCGAGCCCGCCTACCTCTGGCCAGTTCTCCTACATCGAGGTCGACAGCACTAAGCCGGCTCAATTGTTGGGTGACAACGTCGAGAGCGACGGTCTCTTTTCGGACTCGTCTTTCGTCCACGTCGTCAGCAGTGGTCAGATTTGGACGCTGACCAGCGAGATGAAGCTGCTGTCGCCCAATGGTCGTATCCTCTACAGCGGTGGTGAAGGAGGCATCTCATCGGTCAAGCCCGAAGACTCTGCGACCATGGACCCATCCGCGGCGCCTTATATTTGCACAGTCAATGAGGCCTCGTACAGAGGGCTCGCCATCCTCGACTGCACCGCCACGACGCCTACAGGTAATGCCGACTCTTTTGTGGTCTGCAACGATGGCCAAGTCCAGGGAAGTGAGGACCTGTGCAATGCCTTCTTTGGCGGCGTGCAGACAACTTTCACTCAATTCACCCTCACCGCGTCCTGAAACTGGTAGAGATGCTCGCCATCACTCACGGACAATCGCTGCCGTAGTCTTCAACTTCCTCCGTGACAACTCGACGCTTTCAATCACCTGAGTCTGTGTCCCGCGCCTGCGCTGCTACTGTGTCACTTCAATCTGTCGAGTTACCAATCTGTATTTCCTGTTCTTTGCTACCGAATGATGATGCCCGTAGTGTCTGAGATCTCATATGAGGCGTTGTCCCGCCCCAAAGGGCCCGAGTGTTCGAATAGAGCATTGTTCGCGTCCCGTCGTGCCATTTGCCGAGCGAATCTTGTCCACCATCTCGCTGGTTCCCATGGAAGCGTGGAAGTCGGCAAGCGAGGAAGCGGGGAAGCGGCGCAGATCCCGTGTTGTCATTTTGAGGTCAGACGCGGGCCGCCTGATACAACCGTCTTTCGATCCACGCTGAATCTCACTGTCACGCATTGGTTTCGACGGTCAGATCGCGGGATCGCGAGCGCTTCTAGAACGTCAGCCGCCTGTAGCAGTGGAAAGCGGCCCATTTAATGCGACAGGACCAAAGGGCTCGGTCACGGGCCCATCGAGGTATCCCGTCTCGACGATCGTCCCGCCATCGAAAATTCTCTGTTCATTCAGGCTCCTCGCCGGATTTGAGGGACGACGGCGGCTCTTTCCTTTGGCAGCTCAATAGACTGGATGCAACGATATAAGTAGATGCGCTGACCACTGCGACAACCTCTCCATCTTCACACCTCCCACCTCAAGCCTCAAGTCCCTCACGCCCACTCATTGGCATCATGAAGCTCTCAAACCTCACCCTCTTCGTCGCCGTTGCCATGGCCGGCACCGCCGTGGCTATGCCCGCCCACCTCGACGCTCGAGGGGGAAAGCAAGACCACCCGAAGGATGTGGCTCACCCCAAGCACCCAGACCACCCCAAGCACCCCGCAAAGGGCGACCACCCCAAGCACCCCAAGCACCCGGCAAAGGGTGATCACCCCAAGCCAGCTCCGAAGCACCCCAAGTCGAAGCACCCAAAGAAGCAGCCGTCGAAGGACCCTCATCCCACCAAGGGCAAGGGCGAGCCTCACCCTCATCCCAAGCCGCACCCTCACCCTCACCCTCACCCTCACCCTAGTCCCGTCACTCCCACTCCTCCCGGGCCCACCGACCCCGTCCCGACGCCGCCGGTCAAGAAGGACCCACCCACGGCGGGTACCCTGTCCTACATCGAGGCGGACGGTGATAAAGTCGCGCAACTCCTCGACGACGATGACGAGAGCATCAATGGAGACCCAAACTTTGACTACTCCAACGTCCACACTGTAGACGAAGCTCAGGCGTGGTCGCTCAATGACAAGAAGGAGCTCATGTCTTCCCGTGGACGCATTCTAGCCACAAGCGGCGGTTTCATCGGGACTTTCGGCGCTGCGAATCCTGACCTGCAAGACCCCTCCGTCGCAACTTTCAAGTGCGCGACGAATCAGGCCTCGGATGAGACTACCGCCATTCTCGACTGTGTGGCCGCGACGGATGTCAACAGTGTCGACACCTTCTTCATTTGCAATAACGGAGGACTTGAAGGTGACAGCGAGGTGTGCGAGAATAGGTTCGGTGGTACGCAGACGACTTTCACTCAGTTCACGCTCACCAAGGCCTGATTTCTCGGCAACTCCACAACATGTCTCCGTCTACATCCGTCCCTCCGCGGTGGTGGCGGCTTCACACTCTCTTTGACGCGGACTTTGTGCTTCCTTCGCCTTCATTGCGTACGGTCTCTTCGTTACTTAATCTGACCACTTGCTGCTCTCCTTCCTTTCCTTGCAACGTCCGAGGGATCTGGCTCGATGTTCTCACCTTGCTTGCGAAGATGACCCCTACGAAGGCAGCGCCGAGCGTCTCAGTCAAGTCTTCTCCTTTCCGCCAAGTCAAGTCGAGCGGACGAGCCACCGCTGGGCTGGTTCTGCTGGCCAGCAAGCGGGAAGCGACGCAAAGGCGGATCTGTGTTTGACCGCGGCGCCTGACGTACCGTACAAAGAGCCTCAAACTGCCGCTGAATTCCGATTGCGTCTCCCCTCCATGGTCGCTTGACATCCTCGAAGTCTGAGATTCTCGAATGTTGCATCTCTTCGCCTCATTGTGCGCCACGTTTCTATGCTCGCAGATCTTCTGTCAGCTCCTCTTCGCTACAAAGTGCTGGCGTCTCCTATGAGGCGTCGTCCCGCGTCGCTTCGAAGACGACTCCCGCTTCAAGAGGTCCGAGCGTTGTTGGTCCCGTCTCATCTTGCCACGATCTGAGTCGTCTAGCGAATGGAACATGGTCCCGGTGATTCGAATGTTCGCAGCAAGGCGGGACACATCCCGTCGCCTCACTGTGATGCGCCGCTCCGGGCCAGTAGGCTTGAGATCGATGTCCGTGAGATCGGAGATGCTGCTGTCAGCGAAGGTTCTGACGTTCAGATCGCGATGAAGGAAAGCAGCTACCTACGCGACAGAGCAGGAGTGACTCAGTCCACCTGCAGGTGCCGACATATCGTCCAAGATGTGAGGTCCCGGGTGAAGGATATATAATCAGCAGCCATGAGATCCCTAGTTGCTGAAGGCCCTCACGCATCTACCCGTTGCCATGAGGCTGTCTACGTTGTCCATCTTCGTCGCCTTCGCCATCTCGGCTGCGGCTGCAATGCCTACGCAGCTTGATGAGCGAGGTGGCAAGAACCACAAAAAGCACCCCGCTCAACATCACCCAGCAAAGGGCGGCGACGGACACCCCAAGCACCCTCTCAAGAAGCCTCACCCCAAGCCCAAATCGAAGCCTCACCCTCACCCGGCCAAAGGAAAGAAGGATAAGGGAACGACGAAGCATCCCCACCCTCACCCGAAACCCAAGAAGGACAAGCCGTCGCCGCACCCTCATCCCCATCCGCACCCACACCCACTTCCGCATCCCAAGCCTCACCCAAGCTCACCTACTCCTGGAGACAATCCCCCCAGAGGTGACGACCCAGCCGACACACCTCCCAAGGACGATGGTGGTGACACAACGACTCCTCCCGGTGATGGTGGTGACAACACAACTCCTCCTGGCGAGGGTGATGGCAACACGACTCCTCCAGGTGACGACGGTGACACGACGCCTCCTGGCGACGACGGTGACACGACACCTCCCGGCGATGATCCAATCGAGAGTCCGTCGCCGCCCACCAGGGGCGTCTTGTCCTACAACGCCGATGAAGGCGTCTATCTCCTGGGTGACAACCTGTCCAACGATCCCGAGCCGGACAATTCAGAACTGGGTTTGGTAGCGTACCCTCAGACGTGGTCGCTGTCCCAAGAAGGGTTCCTCGTCGCCCCCTCGGGCCGCTACGTGTACGCTCAAACTCCCGACTACGCCTACTACGTTCAACTCGCGAAGCCTAACAGCCCAGTCCTCGACCAATTCCCTGCCGCGCCCTACAAATGCACGGTAAACTCTGAGGCCTCGAATGAACAGGCTGCCGTCCTGGACTGTACAGCGACGACGACGGCTGGCAGCTTCGACTCCTTTACAATTTGCTATGACCACCGCATCGAGGGCGACGCAATTGGCTGCGGAGGCGACGACGAGGTCATAAGATCGTTCAAGCAGTTCACCCTCACCGCGGACTGAGGACACGATTCTCCAACGACTGTGGCTACTCTCCCCCTACGTCTCCCCGCGGTAGTTGCTCGACGCTTTTGCCCTCTGTGATTCTCGAGGTGTGCCTGCGGAAAAGTCACCCAATCGATCCTTTTCTGAGAATCCGCGAGCGTGTGGCGTGCAGCAGTCGTGAGCGGGCATGAAAGAGTACGACATGAGATTGCGTGTGCCCGGCGCGACTACCACGTCAGGTCAAACCTCGCCAGATTCCTCACCGCGTCCTCTACATCCTTCTGCGCCCTCTTTCGCTTGAAGAAGATGGGGCAGTCCTTGTTCGTGCAGATGACATCGGACGCTAGGGAGCTCTGGCAACGTTGGCAGCAGACCCAGAGTCGCGCGAACTCGACCTCGAGCGCTGACGCTTGGCTCAGCTTGGCGTGGTAGATCTCGCCCAGTCGCGGCTCGCAGTTGGCGCAGACTGCCTGCTTACTGTCGCGAAGCGGGGTGCGGCAGCCTAGACATTGAGCCGTCTTGACAGCAAACTTCATGAGGGAGCCGACAGCTGAGCTGGCTTGGACGACGGTGCGCGTGTGGTCGCCGTTGAGGAGAGTGGACGACTTGGATCCCATGATGGGCTCGAAGATGCGCATGAGGGGCTTGGAGAGCTGATTGTCGAGGTAGTAGCGTGTGTCGATGGGGATGTTGTTCTCGAGGACGTACAGCGGGCTGTGTGCGGGCCAGGAGGGAATTGTGGTCAACGCTTCGCAGCCCATGGCGGCGTAGTCCCCGCATGCTCGCCCGCACTCACTCTTCGGACTTCTCGTAGGCTGCCGCTCCCTTGGCCCCCTTGATGATGACGTACGCCACACGATCACCCAGCGCCGGCGCTGACCCCGCATCACGCTTCCTCATCCTCTCTGCAAGCTCAACGTGCGCTTGCTTGGCCGCGTAGTCCGACTTAGAGAGCGCCTTGGTAATAACGAGCTGCGACATGTCGACCTTGTTCTGCAGCAGATCTTGAATGACGCGCTTCACGTACTCTTCCGCACCCTTGACATCGCGGTCGATGAGCATCTTGCGCAGACTCGTGTCGATAACCGTCTGTACGAGACGGCAGTTGTCTCGTCGCACCGTCTCGATACCCTTGGTGTCCATTTTGTCGTACTTGCTAGGCTGGGTCCAGTAGAGGCCGGCGTAGCGCTTCTTGCTGATGAGCAGGTAGGGGAAGTAGACCTTCTCGAATTCGAGCTTAATAGGCTTGATAAATGTCTCACTGACCTTGGCAGCTGCCTCTGCGCCGAGCTCCATCGCCTTGGCGAGGTCTTCGACGCCAAACTTGACCATGACCGAATCTGTGTCACCGTAAATGACCTCTGCATCGTGCTCGTAACCATTTTTAATCGTGTAGTGCGACTCGACGGCCTGCTTGGTGGCGTCAATCATCTGACGACCATACGCAGTGACGGACATGGAGATCTCGAGGCAGGGCAGCTTACCGATGGTAGCGCCGGTGAAGCCGTACACGGAGTTGGCAGAGATCTTGAGGGCCAGTTGACGACCGTCCAGGACAGCACGGCGGAACGGGTCGCTGCGGGCGAGAATGGCGAAGGTAGGTCAGCGGTGCGAATTGCACCTCCACGCTGCGCGCACTCACGTTTCCTTCTTGAGATCTGCCTTTGCTCGCTTCCTCGCAGCGAGAAGGTCCTCCAAGACCGTCGGAAGCAAGCCTTTCCTCTTGCTCGCCTTGACGAAGAAATTGTTGTTGGGCGTTAGTACGTAATCGACGTCCTTGACCAAGCCGAGTCGATCGATGGTAGACTTTTGCAGAAGCGTCGTGTAGCAGAGGTTGTGCGCCATCATGATGGACGGGTATAGCGAGGCGAAATCGAGCGTGGCGATGGGTCGGTCATAGTAGCCCGCTTTGGGCTCGAGGACGGTCGCGCCCTCGTAAGCGTCATCCGATCCTTCGCTCTTGGTCGAGGGGACGAGGTAGCCATCCTCCATAGCCTTGCGGAAGAGTTGGCTAATGACCTTGATCTGCTGACCGCGGGAGAGGAGGTAGTTGAAGGGGACGCCAGTGACCCTGGCCATCTCGATGTAGTTGATGAAGCCTGCGCGCCAAGCAAGAGGGTGGTCAGCTTCGTTTTATCACGCCGGCTGGCGCCCACTTACACATCAGCTTGTCCATCAAACGCTGTGGCAAATACGCGTCCTTAAGACAGTACACCGCCAGACGACGTCTCGACTCTGGCCCACCGTTCTGCAGCTCCGTGATGAGCGAGTGGTGCACATCCTCCTTTTGCTCTCCCAAGAACTCAAACGAGACGCTATTGAGACTGTAGCTGCGCAGCTTGTGATCTCTTTGCATGACTTGAAGCATGTCGAGCTGGAGTCGGCCTTGCAATTCGGTATTCTTGGAGTCACGCGTGCCGTAGGCCTTTGACGAGAAGTGCGTGTCCTTTGCCTCTGTGCGCGTCCCCTTCTCTCTGCCCAGATACGCAAATTTGGTACTCTTGAGCGCTTTCGCTCTGTCGAGGAGGTAAGGAAAGTCGAAGTTGGCAATGTTGTAGCCGATGACAACGTCGGGGTCGACAATGCGGACGAACTCTGCCCACGACTCAAGCATCTCGAGTTCCGAGTCAAAAGATTGGACGTGGGAGCCGACGATGGTCGCACAGGTGTTGAGAGTGTAGACGGTCTTGATGAAGGGCGCCTTCTCACCCTGCCGCGTGACCATGCAGCCAATTTGGATGACTGGGTCGATGGATGCATCGGGGAAGACGCCCTTTCTGCCTGCACACTCTATGTCGAAGGACATGATTCGCAGAGGAGCGATATCTGCCCACTCTCCATCAGGCGCGTGTGAGACAATCTCATCGGCTGGACAGTCGACTTCGATTTGGGCGAGGGAAACTTTGCGGCCCTCGTCTCGTAGCTGGTAGTTCCCGGCCTTGAGGCTCAGCCAATTCATTCCGACGATCTGCGTTTGCGGGGTGAGGGAAAGGATTGGTCATCAGTATCCGCATCGCAGCTTCGTCTAGGGCGGGTCTTTTTCGCGCCCGCACCTGATTGTCGATCATGAAACGCAGCGTGTAGGCGATGTTCTCGTAGGTGAGAATTGACTCGCCGGGAACAATGATGTCGCGGAATCCAACCTCACCCCTCTCCATGGACCCTCTGATCCTGGTGAGAGCGCGTATCTCCCCACATGTAATCTTGATGAATGCTACATCCTCATCGCCACGATACTCCATCAAACTCTTTTTCGCACACATCTCCGTCTTCTCGACTGCGCGTGCGGCAGTGGCGCTGCTAGAGCCAAAGAGGGAGTTGAGATGGTTGGTGAGGTCTTGACAGTCTGCTGGTCTGAAGCCTCGTGGTGCTGCGATGTAGAAGTAGGGTAGGAAGGAGTGGACATGTACGAGAACCGAGTTGCCCTTCTTTGTCACACCGTAGATGCGGACGGTGGGAGGTGATCCAGGTGATGCATCCTCCTCGCAATCAATCTGCTGGAACGTGATGTCGTCTTCTTCTGCTACAATGGTATCGACGGATGGACGAGGCCATTTGGTCTCCTCGTCGACGGTAGCATCAGCAGCTGCGTCTGCCTCTTCTTTGAGCCTCTTGAGGGTATCGGCGAATGAGCTGGGGGCGGCCATGTCGAGGGCAGATGACGAGTGGACCATCTTGCGCTTCTTCTTTGGCGACAAAGTCGGCGCCATTGTTGCCTGAGAAGGCTTGACATCGATCGAGGGCGCCATTGTGCGCGCACAGAGATGATGATGGTCGATGTACGAGAAAGTGAGTGTTGGAGAGCTGCGCCTTGCAGTCCCACATTGGCATTGAGTCGCGCCTCTCTCTCAGTCCGACGCGCCCGCGAGTCGCGGATCAGCATGCACGAAGGGCCAAAGCTTCCGGTCCGGCTTTCTTGCCCTGCCCGCCCGACGTCTGTCTGCAAGGGGCTTGGCGGTCTGCCTGGGCCACTCGATCTCGACGTCGTCACTCGTGCCGCTCGTGCTCAGCCGCGTCCCGTCGCCTGCCTCTCCGCTTCGTTCAAGTGTTGGAAACGACGAGCGAGGACGAGGACCGAGATTAGCCCGCCCCCCCCGCCCTTTGTCTGCCTGCACAGCCGCCAGTCCCTCGACGCGCTCCTCACTACCACGACCTTGTTCTCCTTCTGCACCATCTTCACCGCCGACAAAGGCGTCAACCTCTCAGAGGGCATACCATATCACGGCACACAACGGCAGCAGGCTTGCCACACGTCGCGTCGTTGCCCTCTTCCTCGTCCATCAACCCCCTGGCGTCGCGTGCTAAAAGTCCATCTCGACGCGACGAGGCTGCATTACCAAGAGGTGGCAAAGGCTCCAGCACGCCCAGGATAGCGCTGCTACGTCTCGGTAGTCAAGGTGAGAAGGCCGAAAAGTCTCGCCAGCGCATTGAGACAAGCAAACGATGCTGTCGTCACGCGCGTCTTTTTGCATATGGAACCTTCTGCTGACACAAATAGATTTGCCTCCTTTCCTCTCCTCGCACCAGCATGACTGCCTCTGCCTCATCCTCATCCTCATCCTCGTCTCCTCCTCCTCTTAACGAGGGAATCACGTCATCCCGCCCATCGCGTCGCTCGATGGCCCCTTCTTCCTCATCCACGACCAAGCCGCCGCAGCCAGCCACGACGTCGAACGCGAGTGCTCCATCTCAGCGTTCTGCCCTTGCCAAGGGACCATCGACTACTTCGCGCAGCAGCCCATCCCTCTCTGCCTCATCCATGTCTACCTCGTCGCCATCCGCAGGCGCGTCCAACACGGACTTTGAGGATGCCTGCGCACGATTCCAGGCCATGGGTAAGCGCCTGACGCGCGAGGAGTATGACAGGACGCGAGCTGGCGTTACTGCTTTTCTCAGGGCGGAGCGACCATCCCCCTCGCCAGCGGTAGCTTCGAGCTCCGCTGCGACTGCCTCTTCTTCTCAACCGCAAGCATCGCGACCAACCGCTCCATCGTCAACGCCCTCCTCGACGAGCGATAGCAAAGGAACGGCGCAGAGCAGCGGCGCTCCTCAGCGATCCTCTGGCTCCCTCTCCTTCTTCACGGCCGTCGTCGCGCCCGAGACAAAGCCGCAGAAACCAAAGCCGAAGCTTGAAGACATCTCCAGCATGGCAGAAAAGAAGCGACGCGAGCATCGCCGAGAGCGACTGCAACAGAAGCTCAACTCGTCCCTCAGCGAGCCAGCATCCACGCCTCGCATCTCAAGCCTTCAGTCACCTAGCATCGACGGTCATCCTTCCAGCAGCGCCTTCGCATCCGGCAGCAGCGCATACGCTTCGTCCCCTCAGTGCGGTTTGGGCTTGCAAGGGGTACCTTCTGCCAGCAGCTCCGTCGTCGGCGCAGCTACACCAGGCTCATCTCCACTCGAGGCCTTTCCTCGCGGACGCCGACATCGCACCACCAGCGAGCGATCCAGAGCCGCCCTTTCATCGTCCGCCGACTTGCAAGCAGCCACCTCGAGCGATGCTGAACAGAGAGGTGTGGGCAACCGAGCGTGGCTCTCTCCCAGCGGCAGACTCACGTTGATGTCGACTAGCGACGGTCAAGCGCAGAAGACGACTCCCATCTCGTCGCCTCAACTAGGAGGAGTTTTGGACCCAGACGATTCCGGCGTGGTGGTCGTAGACAGCGGCTTCGACGGTGCTAGCAAGGCCGGGTGGGGATCGCGACGACGCGCAGAATCAGCGGGATCAGCAGGTGTTTCGGAGAGCATGGCAAAGCTCGGCCTCCTGGAGCGGGTCATGAAGGACAAACGCAGCCCGAGGCGTCTAAGGCAGGAGGCAAAGGCAAAGCGAGCGGCCGAGCGCTTGGCAGAGGAGGAGCGCAGCGAGCGCAGCGGTGCAGAGCCGCAGGCAAACCTGGGCCCCTCGTTGCCCATCAACGAGATGCGCAAGCACTCGCGACAGATGTCAAAGAATGTGCGATGGGGTCCGACGCTATCTGCAGCCCCATCCAGCCACGAGAGGATGACGACGCGAGATCACTACGAGTTCTTTGTGCATGGCATCGCGCCAGGACAACCAAGTCTCGGCGACCTCGACGTAGACGACGAGATGTCCTCAACCCCAGCATCCGTTCACGAGGCAATGCCTTGGTTGTTCAGCTCTCACTCGCAGTCTTCGCCCACGGTCCAGCGCCGCGGCACCTTTGTCTCGGATGACCTTGCCGTGGACCTCACATCGATGATCGAGGGAGACATGGATGATCTCTCCTCGACGAGCCTCTTCAACCCACGCCGTGGTCTTCTCTTCCCCGGCTCTTCCCTCGTGCAGCAATCGCCCACGCAGCCTCGCACGAGCTCAGCAGGACTCAACCTCTTCAGCGCCGGCTTTACGGACCCCTCGCTGAGCCAATCACCGGCTCGCCCGCTGCTTCACCACATGGCCAGCTCGCCCGCTCGTCTGAGTATCAGTGGCGGTCGTGGTCGACCCCGTGCTGGCAGCATGGACGCTACAGGCTCGCCGAGCATGGTGCGATCCAAGCCACAGCACCAGCAGCAGCACCGCCTGTTGGGCAACGCGCTTGACACCATTAGCCCTGCTGCAGTCTTTGGAGGTGGGGTAGTTGCCGGAGATGCAAGCGGCGCGAGTCTGTCTATGCCACCACCTCCTCTTCCAGCTCAGGTCACCCGACAAGCTCCAGAGCAGCAGTCAGCGCTGCCCGAGCCCACAAAGCGTGCGCCCGATGACAGCACCAGCCTTGAGTCATCAGCCAGCGGCTCGGACAGCCCAGTCATTGAGCCGCCCGTGGCCAAGATGCCAGGTCAAGCTCGTCTCATGGTCGGGCAGAGTGCGACGCTCAATTGGGGCGAGGGGGACAGCAGCACGGGTACCGCAGACTTGGTCATCTCAGCCGCCCCTGACGCATCAGCGGCCAAGGCCAAGCACCCCAAGAAGGGGTCTTCTTCTTCCAATCGACGCCCCGCTGCAGCACCGTCCAGCACGCCAGCATCTTCGTCCTCGACCACATTCTCCCTGCCTCCGGGTGCAGACATGAGCAAGACTGAGTGGGATCGACCAGACGGCTCTCGCATCGTCAAGCTCGTTTCCGAGGAGCTGCAAGCGGCCATCGAAGCAGGCGGCGCGGACTTTGTCGAGCCTCCACCACGTTACTACGTCCTGCCGCCTGGCTTTGGCTCGACCAAGGCTAAGCCCAGTCAGGTCTCGTACGCCGGGCTCATCGGTCAAGCCATCAAGACGTCTTCGGATCAGCGACTCAGTCTCGCCGAAGTGTACCAGTGGATCAGCACGGTGCACCCCTTCTTTGAGCGCGGCGACCGCGGCTGGCAGAACTCGATTCGTCATAATCTCAGCTTGAACAAGAGCTTCATCAAGGTTGAGAGGGAGTCAAACATGCCGGGCAAGGGAGGGTGGTGGGCCATCAAGGAGGGCCATGCCGAGCGCTTCCAGAATGGCGTCTACAATGCTGTTCCCTCTAAGCCAGGATCAGCGCTCCCATCCAAGAAGAAGGCTGCAGCAACGATGCCTGGCCCTCCTACCGCCTCGACTCCTGCCGCTGCTGCCCCTCCAGCTGCACGCAAGCGTCAGCCTACGAACGAGGCGGACTCGGCTCACTCGTCGCCATCACGAAGCAGTCCTCCGCGACAGGTAGCAGACGGCAGTCGTCGCTCTAGCAAGTCGGGCAAATCGCTCAAGAAGCCTAAGCTTGGTGCGCTGGGCGGAGCAAACGAGGGCGCTAGTCGTCTCCCGCTCGGCGTCATCAACCACAATCGCATCACCGCGCAGCAGCAGCAGGTTCACCACGCCGCGTATGCCAACGTCTTTGAGTCGACGCCTGTCCGCCCAGAGAATGCTCCTCACTACATTGCCTCGAGCGGCGGCATGCCCATGCTCACGGATAGCGCCAGCTCCCCACCATCGAGTCCACCTCCAACCTCGGACGCTGTCATGCCTCCCCCTTCCTCATCGTCCTTCGGTGGCCTTGGCGGTAGTGGCACTTCTTCTGGCAAGAAGAACCGCGCGCGTATGAGCAGCTACGGAGGGCAGGATGGTCAGCTGTATGCTGGTGGAGTCTTTGGCAATCACTTTGCTGCGGCCGGTGGAGGCAGCCAATTCACCAATCCCTTCTTCAACAGCGGCGGCGGCGGCGGCAATGGGCACGGCTACCAGGCTTCTCCTCTGGCCAATCGTGTGCGCGGTGGTGCCAACGCGCGAGGCAATGGCAACGCCGCGAGCGGGGCCACAGCGCCTGGATCTCCTCTGCGACGACAGGCAGTCAACAGCTCGTCGTCTTTGACCGGCTCTCCGGGCAAGATTGGCTCTCCAGTCTCTTCGGTGCGAGAAGACTCGCAGTCTTCGTTGGCAGGAGCTTTCACTATGCGTACCAGCAATCCCTTTGCCACCGCTCGTGCTTCGCCTGTGCGGGGCGGACAGCAGCACGCCAACCTGTCGCCCGTACGCGGCTCTGTCTCGAGGATGAGCGCGGGAGGCAACAATACGAACAGCCCATTGCGCTTCGCCCAGGCAGTCTCCTCGCCAGCGACGAGCGCTCAACTTCAGATGGCCATGCACCAGCAGCAGCCGCACTCCTCGTCACCCAGCATCATGGCTGCCCTTGGCTCCTCGTACGGCGGTCTCGGCCTCGGCATGACAAAGACGGGAGCTGCATCAGGCTCGCAGCTCACGCCAGCCCGCAATGCCAATGGCAGCGCGCTCCTCGGTATCAGTCCTTCGCCTACGGTGCGCCGCTTTCAGCAACAGCAGGCCGCGAGCACTTGGCTCGAGGACCCATTTGACTATCAAGGCGTTCTGCAGCACGAGCTGGAGAGCATGGGCTTGCCCACAGCGACGGCTTCTCCGCAGAATGCGCAGATGAGTGGCGGGCATAGCGGCAGCGGCAACGGCCTGCTGGGCATTGGTGGATTCGCAAGCAATGGAGGGCAGGGTGGAGGATGGGCGACGACGCCGATGATGGGTGTGAGCCCGATGCGTGGGGGCGGTGGTAGCAGCAACTGGCTCGGTGGGCAAGACAACATCTCTGCAGTGCGAGGCAGTGGCGGCGGCGGCGGCGGTAGCGGCGATGCGCAGCACGAGTAGAGGGCAGCGGCAGTTTGCTCGAGCAACAACCAGAACGAACGACGAGCATTGTATCATTTCCATCCATCGATCAGATTCTTCCCCTTCCTTGCGATTCCTGTACTCTTCCCCGGCGATCCTCGTCGACTACCGCGCAGCCCTCCTCGCGCGCTCCTCTCATTGCTCCTTCTCCTTGCCCAAATGTATCATCAATCAATCCTGACCCAGATGTGGGCGGCGCGACTGATGCGGGTGGCCAGGAGAGATCACACATCTTGCATCCCATCTCGCCCGCCCGTAGTGACCGCCGGCCAGGGCAAAAGGCTGCTATCAATCTATGCGTGAGCCGGAATGGGTCAACCGAGCCGTCTCCACACGGACCCCGGCGGGGCTAAGCTCTCTCTCCCTCGCCCTCCTTTCCATCCTCTCCTTATAATGATGCGTTGCACGGATTCCACCGCTCGTGTCAATCACCGACGCCATGTCAGAACAGGCTGCTCCGCACCGCCCTGAGAACTACTACGCCGATGCCGACTGGGCCAAATACGCTCAGCTGCGCCCTCACTATCCGGCAGAGATCTTCTTTCTCCTCTCCAGCTATCTCGATCAATACAACCCAGCCAAGGCAGGTGCTCGACGAGCCATCGATTATGGCTCCGGCTCTGGAGTCATTGTGCGTGATCTACTCGAGCGATGTGGGGTGGACCAGGTCCTCGCTACCGACTTGAATGCCAACGCCTTGGAGGAGGGGCAGCGCATCCTCGGACCGGAGCTAGGAGAGCGATACTCGACGCTGGCCGGCAGGGCTGGGCATTTGGATCCGAAGGATGTGCCAGACGAGAGCTTCGACCTCGTCGTTTCCGCTGAGGCTGCACACTGGTTCGATCAGGAGGAGTGGATCAAGGAAGCTCACCGTATCCTGCGTCCAGGCGGTACGCTTTGCGCTTGGTTCTACCCGTTCCCGGCCTACATTTTGGATTGCCCGGCGGCCGTATATCCGCTCTGGAGGATGTGGCTGTGCGCACGATGTAGCGAGGAGGCGAAACAGAGGCGTCGATGACTGACGTCCCTCTCCTCTCGCCCCGCAGCTACATCATTCGCTACGGCGACGAGAGCATGCCGAATCATCTCCCTTCTGGTCTCTGCAATGCGGCGGCCAGCCTCTTCTCCAGTATGCCTCTGCCCGATTCGGACTGGAAAGACCACGTCCACGTCAAACGCATGCTGCCCGTCGCTTCGGTACAGGCGCACTACGCGAGCATACCCGTTGAAGCTCTGGCTCGTAACTTTGACCCCACAAAGCTTGCGGATGGACTGCGAGGCCATGAGGCGACGAGCGATATCAAGACGGCAACCACTTCGACGGAGGTGCTGCTGAAGGAGAGGGGTTGGAATATGGAGAAGTTCCTAGGCTACATCTCTACGCTTCACTTCTTCCCAATGGAGCAGTTTCTGGCGGTGCCGGAAGTGAAGGAGGCGCTGCATCAAGTAGAGGTGGCTGTGGGTGGACCGGAGGCTACATTTGATGTTGGGTGGCCTTTTGGCGCATTCTTCGTGACAAAGAAGTAGGGCGAAGCGTCGGGGGGCGAGACGAGGAGCAGCAGCAGGAGAAGAAGAAGCAAGGGGGGTCTGGGGCTGAGGCAGAATTGACGGTCTCTCGTACGCAAATGCTCAATCGTACTAGCGCTATGTCAGCGATCATTCACTTATCATTGGCCCCGCCGCGCCTCAAGCCACCAAGACTTCCTCCCACCCGTCAATGCCGGGCCGTCATCCTCAGCCTACGGGGCGTTGCGGCGCTCCACGGGCGAAGCCGGAGGAGATGAGGCACTGAACCAGCGAGCCAAGTCATTGACCTCACGACCATGATCAACTCCGCATGGATATTGCGGCGAAGCGTCCGAGGATAGCGGCGGCATAGCAACGGCGATGCAGCGGCGATGGTCAGGAGCCGTCGATCGCCGGCGACAATGATGGCAAGTAGTGCGCCCTTGGCAATGGGGAGTTTGAATGGCGGGCGTGCTCATTGAGGTCCGATGCGTATCGTTCCCGCGGTGGGAGGGAAGGAGTACGGGGTTCGAGCGGCAAACCTGGGAGCGCGCTTTGCCCGCGAGCATCATCACGGCCTGCCATTCTTCGCTTGTCTGTGTAAACTCATTGCCAAGGATAGAAAGAAGAGTAGGCGAGGAGGGAGGGCTCGCGTGCTCGAGAGCTGTCAAGGCGCTGCACCACAAGCTCTTCGGGCGGGAAATGGTCAGGGATTTGATTGAGGAGGTGGCAATGCGGGGAGACCCATCTCACCACCTTCTCCCCAATGAAGCTGCATAGAAAGCTCTTGCTCGAAGCAATCGACGAGTGGCGCTCCCACAGCTTGCAGGAAGCTCCTTGTCGCTCTTTGGAGCATGCGGCTGCGCTCGGTGGGCAAGATAGATGAGGAAGCAGGAACGCGCTAGCGCTAGACCTGCGTTGCTGCACCCCACCTCCATCCCCGCGTCCTTGAGGCAGTAGGCGAGCAACCTCGAAAGCCTCGCGAATCTGTCACAATGTCTTGGCAGGCGGCTAAAAATCGCGCTCTCTCTCCCCCGGCCTCCGCAAGACGCGATTTAGCATCACACCCATGTCGCTCACACCCATTTGCAGCCCAACGACGGCTTCGACGCAACGGTACCTTGCGCCGCCACTGATCATCCTGTGCTGCTGCTGAGTTGTTAGCTCGTCAGGTCCGGACGCCTCCGAAGCGACACAGAGTTCAAGCTACCCCGCGATGCGCGATCGAAGGACAGGTTCCACCCCACACGATGCGCTACGGGCACCAGAAGAGTGGTTGACGGTGAGAGGGGGTGAGAAAGAGTAGGGGAGCTCTCAGTACGGGCCAATTCTGTGCCCCATTACAAAAGGCAGACGCCTCAAGGAGCAATTACCACCCTTTTCCCCTCACTCACACCCCTCCTCGCCACCATGTCCTCCGTCAAGACATCTGTACGCGATCTCTTCCGATGGCGTCAACGCCAGGTCGAAGTCGACGAGCACGGCTTCGAGCACGTCACGTACGTCAACCCGCCTAAGCCTGCCAACCCTATCAAGCTGCTGCGCTCCATCTCCATGCTGGGCTGGGGTGCCTACCTCGTCGGCTTCTTCTGCTGGACGGCCGACGCGTACGACTTCCACGCTCTCTCCATTCAGAGTGTCAAGCTGTCAAAGCACTTTGCAACGTGAGTCGGTGCGGCGACGTGGCATATATCGCGATACGCAAGCTCATCTCTGCTTTCTCGATTCCCCCACCCGCGCAGCTCCAAAACGGAGATCTCGACTGCCATCACCCTCACTCTTCTGCTCCGCTCCGTAGGCGCTGCCATCTTTGGTGTCTTCAGCGACTACTTTGGGCGCAAGTATCCCCTCGCCATCAACATGTGGATCCTCGGTGCCCTCCAGGTTGGCTCCATCTACGCTCCAGACTGGCATACCTTCCTCGCCATCCGCGCTCTCTTCGGTCTGGGCATGGGCGGTGTTTAGTGAGTGCAGGCGCGGGGGACATGCTGTGTTACGGTGCTCTGACCAAGTCTCTCCTGCTCGCTATTGCAGCGGTGCTGCAGCTTCCATGGCCCTCGAGACCATCCCCGCCGAGGCTCGTGGTCTCATGTCCGGTATCTTCCAGCAAGGGTGAGTAACGGCTTGCTCCTCGCTACCGCGACGCGTACATGACTGATCACGACCTGCCTGTGCCTACAGCTACTCATTCGGCTACGTTTTGGCGGCCTGCTCGTTCCTCGGTGTCGGCGGAGCTGTAGAGACTTGGACGACGATGTTCTGGATCGGCGCTGCCCTCAGCTTCGCCGCTGGCTTCGCTCGCCTTGTTTTCCCCGAGTCTCAGCAATTCATCGACGCTCGCAAGGACAAGAAGGGCTCGGGCACGTCGGACTTCATGGCCAACTTCTGGATCATGCTCAAGAAGGAGTGGAAGGTGTGCGTGTACGCCATCGTGCTCATGTCTTGGTTCAACTGGTGTAAGTAGGCATGGCGCCCCGACCGTAGACGCGTCGACCCGTCGACGCACCTGGCTTACATTCTCCCCTCTTCGCTCGCTCACAGTCTCGCACTCTTCTCAAGACTCTTACACGACGTTCATGCTCGTGGGCAAGAAGCTGAGCAACCCGGCCTCGTCGCGCGCGTCGATCCTCATGAAGACGGGCGCATGCGTCGGCGGCACCATCATCGGCTACACCTCGCAATGGCTCGGCCGTAGGCGCGCAATGATCCTCTCCTGCTTCTTCTGCTGCTGCCTCATTCCCGCCTGGATCCTTCCCACATCGGAGTCTGGACTCGAGGCTGGCGGATTTATGCTCCAATTCTTCGTACAGGGAGCATGGGGCGTCGTACCCGTCTACCTGAGCGAAGTATCACCTCCAGCGTTCAGGGCCATCTTCGTTGGCCTCACCTATCAATTGGGCAACGCTATTAGCTCGCCATCTACGCAACTTATCAACTATTTGAGCGAGAACAACTACATTACCAACCATTTGGGCGAGCGCGTACAGGCCTACGGTCCCGTCATGGGCATCGCGACCGCGATCATCGCCATCGGCCTCGCGCTCACGGCTGCCGTCGGACCGGAGAAGCGGGGCGCCCTCTTTGAGAAGGGAGCCGCTGCTACAGTGGCTGGTGCCGGAGAACAGGAGGTCCAGACCAAGGAGGAAGAGAAGCTCGCCGCCGCTCGTGGCGCTGACCATGTCACGTCGCAGGCTGAGTCGGACGAGGACGGCAAGAAGGAGGGGGGAGCCACGATGACCTACACCACGACGCGCTGATCGTGTGCGGAGGATGAGACTGCACGAGGGCTTCACTACGATTGACTACGATTTGTTCTGTATCCATTGCGATTCATTCGACGCGTCCAGAATGTAAAGTGGTATATGAGCTTGTCCATGGTGTGCTACGACGCGTCGCGCGCGTCGCTTCTTCCCGCCTCGCCTTCGCCTCGCCGCCTGGTACCTGGTTCCTGACTTTCTCTCTCTCAGAGCCAGACTAGTTCTATGACGCTGTCCAGTCCATCTGCGCCACCGCGCTTCACGTACGTGTGCCTCGCCGGCTCGCTGCCCTCCGCAAGCTTCACCTCCGCGAGCAGCCAAGACTCCTTCCACGGCCGATCGGGCTTGGTCTCGCGGGTACGCTCCTCGACCTTGTCTCGCAGCGGGCCCATGCCGTGCGACCAGTAATCTTGAGGGGCGTGTTCCCACGTGAGCTCCGTGCGGCCAAAGTCGGGTAGATGAGCGGTCGGGTAGCGAACGATGGACCAGCCGTGCGTGAGCATGAAGCGCGTGGACGACGAGGAGGGTGAGGCGCGATTCTCTGGCAAGAGGAAGCGTTGGAAAAGACATTCGCTGCGGCTCGATCCGCAGGCCTGAGCAGCAAAGGCGAAGAGCGTCTCGTTGTGTTGTCGCTCTCGCCACGAGAGGTCTGCGTACGCGGATGTGCGTGGGGGAAGTAGAGGATCAGCGGCTGGCTTCCTCGCTCATCCACACCCGACATCTTGCGCCTGCGACTCACGATGAAAAGTGCCGAAGCGTTGGCCCGACTCAATCAGCCCTTGAATATCCCCCTCTGCATCATTCTGCGTCAAGACAGTAGGCTCCCAGCTCAACCGCGCGTAGCTATTCTCAAAGACGCACCAGCTCATGCGCTGATCGCCTCCGATCAACCACTCCCGTTGGGCGTATGCCTCCCAATGCGGTAGGAGATGCTTGACGAGGGGCAAGCTCAGGAACGTCCCGCCTCCACCGAATGACTCGGGTCCAAAGACCATATTCGCCCACTTGTCGGAGAGGGTGCCGACAAAGTGGTGCTGGCGTGGATCGTACTTGTCCAGGACGGCGAGGATGCGAGGCAGGCTGAGCACAAAGGAGTCGTCATCGCTGACCATGATCCATTGCGTATTGCGGTCGGCGAGCGGGTAGAGGACCATGGGCAGGCGAGCCCATCTGATGCGATACTCGGCGTCGTCGTGGATTATTGAGGTGCGGATGCCCAGCGCATTGAGGTCGCGAGCCAGGTCGACACCATCTTCGTTGCCGGGCAGCTGGAGAACGAGGTGAAGGCCTGTGTGGGCGAAGGAATGCTGCAGCATCGGAGTCCATTTACGGATGCGGGCCGTGTTGGTTGCGTAGCCGACCATGATGTTTTTGCCCTGCGTGCGGGTCGAGTGGTGTGGGGGAAAGAAGGGGACGTCCACGATGTTGGAGACGGAGCATGTAGAAAGTCGGGCAGTAGCGAGGCTGTTGCTGTCCAGCTCGTCGAATTTCTGGGCCAGCTGAGCTCTGATCTGTCGAGGATGAGGATCAAAGCGGCCAAAAGCGAGCGTAGGGTCCAGCTCTCGGTCTCGGGTAGATGGAACGACGAAGTTGCGGGAGTAGTGGAAGCGGGACGAGAGGTCAAAGCGCTGGACGAGGCCGTGCACGTCGAGATGACAGGCATCATAGCGGGAAGAGATCTTGCGAGTGGCGCGATAGTTGGGTGGCTCGATCCATGATGCGCAAAGAAGAAGAAGGAGCACGACGGCAATGCCCGTAGACAGGAGGGAGTCGATGCGGCGGACAAATGAGTCCAAGCGCTTGGCTGTGTGCTGCCCTAGAGGATAGGCGCCGCCGCCGCCGCCGCCATCGCCGTTCATGGCTTCGTGAATGCTGCTCTTGCGCCCACTTGTGAGGCTCATCGTCTCCTCTGCATCGAAACGATGTCGCGACATGGTCGTGCGAGCGAGAGTAAGGTGTTGTTGTTGGGACGAGGATGGCAAGATAAAAGAATAGGCTCGAATGCCTTATCCGACGAGGCGACCCAAGCCTAGCGTGGGACGATGCATGCGCGCCACTTCACTTCACCTCGCTCGCTCGCTCGCGCCCACTGACGCCCACTCGCGTCACTCAATCGAACCAAGACACCGGCTCAAGACGCCGCGCTGGTGCTATCACGATGCGATTCTCTTCAATCAATCGGCGGACAGGAGAGCGGCAGCGACGGCGGCGGCGGCAGCGGCAGCGATCTGAGTGCATGTATTGATCTAGAGAGGTAGCGAGGCTGTGATTAAGAGCTGAGACAGAGACGGGAAAGGAGAAACAAGAGCTGGAGCGGGGAGCGTTTCGTGCGCGATGGTGACTTGGGGGAGAAGGTATCGCAGGTAACGCTTGATAATGATCTATGTGGAGAGGGGGAGAGACCGAGAGTCCACCATCCCATCTGCAGCGCGTATATGAGAGGGCAAATGGAGAGGCGGAATCGCATGCCTAGACGAGGAAGCGGAAGGAGGAGCGGATCTTCTTGTGGTAGCCCGGCGAGCCAGTCGTGAGCGGGTTGGCCTTCTGTGGCGTGGTGGGAGGACGAGGGTGCGTCTTGCCCTGCTCCTCCTGCTGAGACTTGGTGTCCTTGGCCTTCTGAGGGGCGTCCGAATTCTGGACCTGGCTCTGCTGCTGCTGCATCTGGCTGTTGGCCAAGGGACCCAGGATGTTCTCAGCCACGTCGAGAGGGTTGGGGTACCAGAGCGTCTCGGGGTAGGAGCAGGTGCGGGTGGGCTTCTTGCCTGCTAGCTTGTCTGCAAAGTACCTGCGTAGGCGGGTGATGAAGACGGGCTGCGCTTGAACACCAGTGAGGACGTGGATTCCGCTAGCGAGGGATTCAAACTCGATGGTGGCTCCCTGCGCGCACTGGCTCTCAGCGTAGGCGCGAGACTGGTTGTAAGGAACAATCTCGTCACCACGCGAGTGCATGAGGTAGATGGGGAAGTTGACGATGGGAGGCTGGTTGGCTCCGAGGTTCTCCTGCGCAAAGACTGCCTTGAGCGTGGGGTCCTCGGAGATGTTCCTGCCCTGGGCGTCGAGCCTGAATCCATCATCGAGCTTGAGGGGACCATTGAGGTAGGCATCCTGCGCACATGAGACGCCGGTGTGAACGGCCTCGAAGATGTCGGCGGGCATTCCAGGCTTGACACGCTGGCGCAACATTCTGTCGAGCTCCGGGTAGCCATTGCCCAGGCCAGCTGCGCCAATGTAGCCGAGCGTGGCGGAGCCGGTGCCATCGAGGTAGTGAACCGTCTCCTCAACGTTGGCGGGGAGGCCTCCTGCTACGACGCCGGCGATGTTGAGCTCAGGTGCGTAGGTAGAGGCGAGTTGAGCAGCCCACATGACAGCGTGAGAGCCGCCGGAGTAGCCGTTGATGCCGTGGATGGCCTGCTTGCCCAATGCGGCGGGCATCGTCTCGACATGGCGCTCGGCCACGCGCATTGAGTCGAGCATAGCCTGTCCCTCGATGTGGCCTACGAGCCAGGCGGCCTTGGACCCCTCGAAGTCGGGTGAATTGGCCCACCAGCCCTGGTGGACAGCAGAAACGGGAGTGAGGAGAGCTGTGACCTCGAGAGTGTTGTTCGAAGTAGTGCCGGCGATGTAGGTGTAGCTGGGAGCACAGTCGATGGCAGCCGAGTTGACTGGCGTACCGACGGTGACGATGCGGGGCGGGCCAGGTGCGGGGAACTTTGGAGCGACGAGGGTCGTGACCGTAGCGTCTGGGACGGTCTGATTGCCACTTTGACCCGTGGTGCGGTAGAGGACGTGGTAGGCCGAAGCAGCCTCGGGACCAAATGAGCTGAGGTCGATGGGGCGCGAGCGGATGACGTCGCCGAGCTTGTACGCCGAGAGATTGGCAGGCAGCCTGAGCGGGAGATGTGAGCGGGCGAGGCGCGGAGCTGTGAGCGAGAGGGTAGAGAGCTGCTTCGCTCAGCGCCGCACCACTCACTTGTAGAAAGGGTCCATGGAAGGAGGCGGGAATGCTGGCTTTGGCTTGGGACCAAGGGGACCAAGGAGGCGAGGGTGTATAGAGGCGCCAGCAGCGACCATGGCGGAGGTGGCAAAAGTGACGACCGTCGATGCGAGCATGGTGTGCGTGAGGGTGTAGGGTGGGGAAGGAAGAGAGGGAGGAGGAGAGGAAGTCTCGAGTAGTCTCGGGGGGATCGTGAAGCCTCGAGGAGGGCAGCGGGGTGATGCTGAGCTCCGGATTGCTTCGGAGGAGGTCAGCCTATATGTAAGTCGTCGTGGGTCGTCGTGGGTCGTGTGGATCGTGTACGTCGTGGTACCGCCACCGCCAGCCGTCAGGCGCGTAGAAAGGAGCGAGGAGACTGAGTCGGCACAGGCTCAGGAGGTTCAGTAGGCGAAAGAAAAGGGGTTCTAGAGTTATGTCGTCAGGACAGGCGCGAGAAAAGGACGCGAAAGGGAGGGGTGTCAGGGGGCGAAAGTGAATTGGTATTGAGGGGTAAGAAGGGAAGAAGGGAGAGAGGAGCTCGACGCGCCGCTCTGACCCTATCGAGCCGCTCACGTCGGAAGGCCGTCAACGCTCGAGCCGCTTCGTAGAGGCACGGGCGTTGGATGAGGGCGGCCCGCTTAGACCTCTTTCGAGGCGAAACGAGCTCAGTGAGGCGGACGCAACAGAGCGAGAGTGTTTTCGGAAAGTTAACATTGGGCGCAAGAGACAGAGTGACCTGTCGTCTCGAGCCGCCATCGGAGAAGAAGGAAGGAGTAGAAGCTTGCGCAACAGCAAAGGGACCTTTGCGGGACCACTACGACACACGGGAAGCCGTGCGAGGTCGAGGACTTGTATTACGAGCAGGAAAGCGCCGCAGCGGTCATATGATGACGAGGGAAATGAAGTGGTGGTCACGATGAGAGTAAAGAGCGTCTATAACAGTGGCGATGAGATGGTGTTGAGGCAACGACGCGAAGGTACGGGAAGTTGAGCAGACTGTACTGTAGTGTAGGAGGAGAAGCGGCCTGCGCCAGGCTAGAGTGGGAAGAGACCGTTCTTGGCTTGGGCCCGCCAGTAGGCAATCGAGTTTGCGGCGCCGTGACCAATGAGATCCGTAAGACCTGGCCCGCCTTCAGGGACAGGAGGAATCGACTGCGCATCAATGCCGCACGTCTTGACTTTGTAGCCCTGCTCCAGCACCTGGACAAGGCTGTTCAGCATCGCAGGCATGAAACGCAGTCCGCTCAAGATGTGTCCCGTCGCCGTAGCCCATGAAAGTTGGAGACGAGCACCCTCCTGCTCGCATTGCTGGTTGATATAGTGAACCATCTGGGGCCAGGGAACAATCTGGTCATTGCGGGCGTGGTAATAGATGGAAGAGATGCGATTGACCCTTTTGCCTAGCTTCTCCTCCTCCATGTGCTTGGCAACGACGGGATTCTGGAAGATGTCGCCGCCTGTGAAAGCAGTCTGCACGGGAACTCCAGAGAGATTTCGTGACGACTGGATCAAGCACCACTCGCCGCTCAGCATCTTGGTGAAGTTGGCTCGACCTGCGTGCGTGATGTGCTGGTCGAATACGGCTTGGACGTCTGGGCGTGCGTGTCCCATTGCTGCTGCGCCTTGGAAGCCGAGGGCGGAGTATTCGCCGCCATTAAGGGTGTAGAATGTGTTGTTCGTATCGGCAGGCATGCCTCCGGTGACCATGCCAATGATGGGAGAGTCAGGGTAGTAGCTGGCTGCCTCCTGCGCCGCCCAACCGACGGTGTGACCACCGCCCGAGTAGCCCATCATGGCAAAGTCTGCATTCTTGAGGGGAGCTGCGAAGTTGCGAGAGGCTCGGATGCCGTCGAGCATTGCGCGACCCTCGGTCAAGCCATTGAGGAAGGAGGACTGCGGGGAAGCTAGAGTGAGCGCGATGTAACGGCAGTGAGGTACTATGCTGCTCTCACCTTGGATCCCAGCGCATCAGGGATGACGACGTACCAGCCGCGAAAGAGGGCAGCGGTGGAAGCGGGCGAGTCAACGATGTTGACTAGGGGTAGATTCTTGGACTTGTCTGGGTTGGCATAGGCGAAGCTGGGACTGCAGTCGATGCTGGCCGAGCCGACTGCGCTGCCAATGGCGAGTGCCTTGGGCTTGCCAGGTCGAGGAGCAATGGGGATGACGATGGTGGCTACCGTTGCGTCTGGTGCGCCCGTGTAGTCGGTGGTGAGGTAGAGGATTTGGTGGGCCTCTGCAGCAAATTGGCCAAAGGCGTCTGCGTTGCCCTGACGAGTGCCCAAGATGGCGCCCAAGGGATACTTGCCAACGTCGGCGGGCACGCGATAGAAGGGATCCTTTGTTGGGAAAGCGAATGATGCGCCGTTCTTCTGCTTGGGCTGAGGGAGCAGGCGGCGGCCAAGGTGGGATTGCGAGCGATGGCCATTTGATGCTGCAGCAGCGAGAGCAGCGACCAAGGCGTAGACGAGGCAGCTGATGAGTAGCATCGTGGGCGTTGTGCGTAAGAGGATGGAGCGAAGCCGAGGCAAGGTAGGGACTGTGGTGATCACGGGGGTCTGGTAGGGAGCGCGGCGGTGGAGGAGGATCGGCGTTATGGGACCGCCTCTGAAGATGGTGTGGGAGGCGCAGCGAGGCAAGAAAGAAAGGAGCAAAGTGTCGAGGAGGAAGGGATGGTAGGAGAGAGAAAGCAGTGAAAGGGAAAGAGAAGGGGTGAGCGGGGGTTGTGAGGGCAGGCGGCTTCCCAGTGGCTGCAATGTCCGGCGTGCGGGCGAGAAAGCAGAGGCGCGAGGGGAGGGGGAGATGAGCGAGGCGTGAGGTGTGACGGACCGAGGAGTCATTGATTCTTGAGCCAATCATTGTGAGTCTTGCATCTCGTCTTCGTGGACTGCTATGCCCCTTCGCCTTGCGGCCCACATAGGAGAGAGGAGGCGGCTCTAGGGGCCCACGCTAGGTGTGGTGAGGCTCGTGCTCAGAGCGGTCCATCGATTCTCTCGAGTGTCGCGGCGCCATTCGCCCTCGAGCTTCCCTTCCATGCTGAGCGGGACTTGGCCCGATTTTCATTGCCTTTTGCTGACCAGACGACGACGACGACGACGTTGCAGAAAAGTCGTGGGCTGAACGAGCGGTAGCAAAGTGTGGCTTGCCTTGCCTTTCGTGTGGAGCTCGCCGTCGTCGTTGCCGAATGTCGAGTCGAGGGTCAAGCGTCGAGCGAGCAGGGCGGGGCGGAGCGGGGCGTCAGCGGCGGCGAGTGAGCCCAGTGCGCCTGTCTCTGTCCGTCTCGGCGTGCGTGTGTCGTCCTCGTCGTCGTCGAGTGGGCAAGCGTGCGTGCGTGCGTCGAAGTGGACTCGAGTTCCTTTCCGTCTCGTTACCAACCATCTCACACCGCCACGCCGCCTCGTCCTCACTCTCGAATTCTCGAACACCTCTGCTCCTCGCTATCATGAGCGCATCGGGCTCGACTTCCGCGTCGGGCGCCGGTGGGCTTAGGAGGCCCGGCACGATGAGAGGAAAGCTAAAGGCGCCAAAGAGGGTGAGTAGCGCAAGAGACAGCGCGAGACGGCTCACTCAGACACTGACTTCTCCGACATCACGCACCATTCTGCACCGCAGTATGGCCTCGACGTTGCACCTGCAGAGATGTGGAGCAGGCTCGCCAACGCCATCGGCCAGATTCAAGGCCACAACGTGTCGTCCCTCAGTTACGAGGAGCACTATCGCTATGCATACAATCTAGTCCTCTTCAAGGAGGGAAGCATGCTCTATGACGGCGTCAGGCGACAAGTCGAGGCACACCTCAACAAGCAATGCGTCGACTATCTCGTCCCAGCATTCCCACCAGGAGGGCTAGCTTCGCTCCCCTCGGACATTGTCCTCCCTCGCAACCTGCCAACGGGCGCAGCGTCGGCGTCCACTTCGAAGCAGCCGAATCTCAAGGGCAAGGGCAAAGCCAACGAGCCCATCGTGCTCAGCGACGATGATGATGAGCCGAGGAGCGCTGCTCGAGCTACTGTCAGCGGCAGTGAGCCAGCCTCATCGATGGCTGTTGGATCCGCAAGTGGTGGAGATCGTACGGACGCGGCTTCTCGCAGTCAGAGCGCTGAGCGACTACTCAAGGCAATGAAGCAGGTATGGGACGACCATTGCGCATGCATGGGCAAGCTCAGGGATGTATTGAAGTACGTCGATCGAGTCTACGTGCCCGAGAACAATGTGCTGCCCATCTGGGATCTCGGATTGGAGCTCTTTCGCGATACGTGAGTGCGCTGGAGCACTAAGGAGCGAAAGAGATCGTCGCGGCTGATCCATCTCGACCGCACCCAGGGTCATCCTGTCCAAGAAGCATCCCATTGGCATGCATCTCTTCTCGGCGCTCCTGACGCAGATCCAGCTCGAGAGGCAAGGACAACTCATCAATCGTGAGTCACACGGAGAGCGCGCACTGGCATATGGTACGAGTCTTGCTGATACAGCCTCCTGCTCTTCGCACGCGCAGGCTCATCAGTCAAGGCCAACACCGACATGCTCGCCTCCCTTACCCAACCGCGCCCAGGGGTGCCCATCGCAGGCCGCCCTACCGTCTACAAGCATACCTTCGAACCCGCCTTCCTCGCCACCTCCGCCGAGTTTTACAAGAACGAAGCAGCTCGCCTTCTCGACAGCAGCGATGCGCGCGCATACCTCCGCCACGCAGAGAAGCGCTTCATCGAGGAGGAAGGGCGAGTTGCTGTATTCCTTGCAGCGACGACCGATGCAGAGCTCAGGCAGATCCTCGAGCGCCACCTCCTCTCCACACACCTCAAGACGATCCTCGAGATGCCCGGCAGTGGCTTGCACAACATGCTCGAGAACCATCTCAAGGACGATCTGCGCAGGCTGTACAAGCTCTTCTCGCGCATCAAGGGCGACGGACCGCAGCAGCTCAAGGCCGGGCTCAAGTCATTCATCACAAAAAAGGGAGCGGACATCAACGCGGGCGTTGTGGCGGTCACCCAGGGTGCTGCGTCAGGGACGGCGGCAGCAGCTCCTGCCTCTTCACCACAGGCCACGCTCGCACTGCGCTGGGTCGAGGACGTCCTTGCCTTCAAGACCAAATTCGACGACATCCTGCGCACCAGCTTCGACGACGACAAGGGCGTAGAAGCCGTGCTCAACGAAGCATTCGAATCGTTCATCAACGTCAACAATCGCGCGCCTGAATTCATTTCCCTCTTTATCGACGAGAACCTCAAGAAGGGCCTTAAGGGCAAAACGGAGGAGGAAGTCGAGGACACGCTCAACCGCACCATCGTCGTTTTCCGTTTCCTACACGAGAAGGACGTGTTTGAGCGCTACTACAAGGCGCATCTCTCCAAGCGACTGTTGCAGAACCGCTCTGTCTCGGATGACGCTGAGCGTGGGATGATGGCCAAATTGAAGATTGAGTGCGGGCATCAGTACGTGCAGAAGCTGCAGGGGATGCTCAACGACGTCAAGGTCTCCGAGGAGACGGGCAACGCGTTCAGCGAGCACTTGAGGAAGGTGCGTAGGCGCGGAGTAGGCACATCGACGTCGAAAAGGAGCATGCTGACCATGTCTTTCGCTACCCGCCCGCGCAGACGAATCGACCCATGCCCTTTGACCTGAGCGTATCCGTCCTCACCTCGACCTACTGGCCCATCTCCGGCCAAGTCCAGCCCTGCACCATGTCCCCCGCGATGCTCTCAGCCCGTCAAGCATACGAAAACTTCTACCAGTCCCGTCACTCCGGCCGTGTCCTCTCCTGGCACCCGAACCTAGGCTCGGCAGACGTACGCGTCCAATTCAAGTCGCGTCGCCACGAGCTCAACGTCAGCACGTATGCGCTCGTAGTGCTGAGCCTCTTTGAGAGCACGGGCAGCGAGGAGAGCCTGAGCTACTCGACGATCAAAGGGGAGACGGGAATGCCGGAGAACGACCTGAAGCGTACATTGCAGAGTTTGGCGTGCGCAAAGTACAAGATCCTGCTCAAGGAGCCCAAAGGCCGGGACGTGGGGGAAGGGGATCGATTCACCTTCAACGAGGGGTTCAGCTGCCCGCTCGCCCGCATCAAGATTGCAACCATTGCTGCCGGGTCCGGAGGAGGGGGCGCTAGTGGCTCAAAGGATGGGGCAGGAGGTGGCTCAGGCTCCGGTGGTGGCGGGAGACTGGAATCCGACGCCGAGCGACGCGAGACGGTCGAGAAGATTGAGGAGGAGCGTAAGCTTGCCGTGGAAGCTTGCGTCGTTCGCGTCATGAAGGATCGTAAGACTTCGACGCACAACGATCTGGTCAATGAGGTCATCAGGCAGTTGGGCAGCAGATTTCAACCGCTGCCGGCTATGGTGAAGAAAAGGATTGAGAGCTTGATCGATCGCGAGTATTTGGAGAGGAGGGAGGGGGAGAGGGGCGTGTACGACTATGTGGCTTAGCGCGGCGGGGAAGGGGGAATCATCATCAGCGGCGTCGTGGTTTTTGTCGCCTATGCATCTATACATTCGTTCAAATCAGAGATGACAATTGCGTCTCGACACGCTGGAGCACGGAGTGACCAAAAGGGACAAGTAGCAAGCCAGTCCATCTACGCCTCATCGTTTGGACTACCAGTACGATCCTCTTCCCCCTCACCTTCTTCCTCCCCACTCGCCTCCAATAATCGCTTGAGCTCCTTTGCCGTGTACGCGCCATTGAGGAGAAACTCGGTGCGCCTCCCCCTGCTGCCTTGGCGACGAGGAGAGGATTCTGTCACGCCCGCCATCGTGGCTGCGGAAGAGCCCTCGTGATCCGCGAAGCTGCGCGCAGGACGTTGCGATTTGGATTGGAGGGAGAGCGAGGAGGAGGAGGAGGATGATGAGGAGGCGATCGAAGAGCCAGAGGGCTCGCCTCGATGTGCCTGAGGCCGGAGAGATGTAGGCGTCGCCCTGGTCTTGCACAGCGACGGCGGCGGCGGCGACGACGAGGGCCCGGAAACCTGCGCAGGCAAGCGTAGTCGAGCAGCGCGTGGTCGTGGGAAACGGTGAGGCGATACAGGGGTGGGTGAGCAGGGACGCGAACGCGAAGTCTCTCGTGACGGTATTGGAGCTCCTGGAGGGTCGCGTCTCGTCATCGGCATAGGGGAGAGGTTCGAGCTTGTCCTCGAGTGAGGCGAGACTGGTCGAGCAGCAGATTCGGTGTCGTTGACCCAGGGGGGACGGGGCGATGGTGAAGAGGGCGCAGCTCGCGGTGCTGTGATTTCGGACGAAGAGAGGATGCTACTCGAGGCGAGCCTATTCCACGCAAATGTCCCCGTGCCCGTAGCCGTGCCCTCGCCCTCGCTCTCCTGCTGCTGCTGCTGGCGTTGCTCCCTCGCCTTGACTTCAGAGGGTAGGACGCATCGATCGACCGGATCGGCGAGGAGGTGCTCTAGGCGGGAGGCATCGAGGCTGAAGGAGAGGTGGCAGAGGGTGTCGTCCCCTGTAGCTGCGGCTGCGGCTGCGGTGCTGTCACTGGCGGGAAAAGGTGCCGTCTGAGGAGGAGGAGGAGCTGGTGGTGGTGCAGGGAGAGGGGTGGTGAAAAGGTCCGTGAAGGCCTGATTACTAGCGTTCATTGACGAGCAAGGGCCCGCGCCTCCAAGCTGGAGCGGATCCGTCCTCGACCACTTCGAATCAACGTCCATCCCCACCATTTCCCCCTGCGAAGCCGCAGCGACCTGCGCGTGCGCCGCCATACCAGGCGGGGAAGGCAACGGAGCAAACGCATCAGCCGTCTGCGCGTTGAGCCAGTCCATCAGTTCTGGATCTAGGTCGAAGTTGGCGCCGATATCGGTTTCGCCGCCGAGCTGGGAAGTAGCTACTTCCCCTTCCCCGTGGTGGTGGTTTGTCAAGCCCAAGGTGCGCGCCAATGTCGGGCTCGGGCTCAGGCTCGGGCTTGGGGACTGCCAAGCTGCCACGGGTGGTGCAAGAGCGTCGTGTAGGCCAAGGGGCGGGGGTGCACCGAAGATGTAGTCGTGACCTGATCGCAGAGAGTGGCTCGAAGGGGTGGTGTCGTGGACGATGCACGTGTCCGCTGTAGTGGCCGTGGCATTGCTCGACGAGCCGCTCACGGTGCGATAACCGGATGTAGGCGAGGGATCACCAGGCGTGGCAGGCGCAGTGGCCTTGTCGAAGGGACCAGGTGTTGGATTGCTGAGCATCTTGACCCTCTCTCTCACAGGCGTAGAAGGATAAGGCGCCACACTCTCCCTCACCGGGCTTCCACTACGTCGCTCCCCATTCGCCCCTACACCGCGCAACGGGCTCCCCTCGAGCCTACTGCTCACTGGCTCGCCATCCCTCCCCCTCCTGCGCCTCGCGCGGGCCCGCTTAGCCTTGTCCGTCACGCTCGGCTTGTACTTATAGTCTGGCCAGAGGCGCTTGTGCTCCTCCTCCTTCTCGCGGGCGAGGGCGTGGAAGGATTCTTTCACTTGGGGCGGTTCGGTGGCCCATAGTTGGGCTATGAGGGTTGAGACATTTGGTGTCGTCGACGATGACGCCGTGGATGAAGAGGTGGCGGCGGTTGAGGTGGAGAAGGTGGAAGGGGCAGGGCCAGCCTTGCTGCGCGAGTTGGGACTGCTTGATGTGTGCGAGGAGGACGGAGCGAAGGAGGAGGATGTAGGGCCCGAGGCGAGGGAGGGAGTCGTGGCTGTAGCAGGTTGGGAGCGGGGAGTCTTGGAGAAGGGCGAGTCGAAGGAGGAGGGTGAAGCAGCCGCCAGAGCAGCCAGCGCTGTGGCGGTCAGTGCCCCCTTGGCAGGCGATTGGGAGCGACGCTTCTTCGTCTTTGTGGGCGTAGTCGCGTGGTCCTGATCTGATGTAGCGGTGGCGGCAGCGCCCTCGGACTGCTTGAGCTGCTCGATCTTGAAGGAGCGATACAGGATCCACGCGTTGGGTGGGCGAGGTGGCGAAGAAGGGGAAGCGGGTGACGAGGTTACACTGCCTGGTGCTTGGCTTCTCTTCTTGCGCGGTGTACTCGCGCTGCTTTCCTCGCTCTTGGGACGAGCAGGCGTGGTTGGCATGTTTGCGAATCGTAGATGGTGGTACGAAGGAGAGGATCTGTTGCTCCAAGATGTGATGAGGAAGCAGCATCCTTTGTTTTGATCCTAGAGTGGACGCCGAGTCAACCAACCAATATCCAACCGCCCTCATCTCAACGCCTTCTTTAAAGTCACACTCGCGCTTGCTTGCTTGCGGGCGGCCGGTACGAGGTTGATTGCTTGTCGCGAGGGAGCGTGCCGCTACGGCGAGGAGAGAAGCTCAATCAACAGCGTGTGACAGGGCGAGCCAGATGGGATGATGGCGGCGAATCTTGCAGTTCTTGACGTTATCTCCTCTCGCTCCTTGACGATGGCGCCAGCTCTATGCTGGAGCGCGAATGCAACTGCGGCCATTGCCTCAGGCAGTGATGGCTTAGCGAACGCCTCTGTAGCGTGCATCGAGCCTACGCCTACGACGACGATGGCGATGCCGCTACCTTGGGCCAATGGCCATGACCAGCTCGTGCTAGGCCAACCTCGTCCAACACCAACCACCCCTCCCTCCCCGCCTCCTCGTCATCCCTCCCACTCTTTCCCAAGCACCACGAGCGCAGCCTCGCCGCCCTCCGCGACCCCCGCTCCAGAGTACTACATGGATCTAAAGCGACGCAGCGCACCGCCGCCTCACCTCGAGCCAAGATGGGACTCCTGCCACGCCCCTCCATGCCCACCGCACACCGACGTAGTCTGGGTTGCCTCGACGAAGACGGTGAGCGAGCCCAAGCCTACGAGCACAAGCTGCTACACGACGACGAAGACGTCGACGTACTACCAGACGTGAGTGGCGAGACTACCGCAGGGAGAAGCAGCCGTGCCCTCCTGACATGGACACGAATTCCCCCCGCCTTGCGCACGCACGCTACGTCGGCACGCGCGCAGCGAGCTCCACCAATGGCTCACAACAGTCTACCCCGTCACTTCGACCAAATGGATCCAGAAGCCCACGCCCGTAGTGATGACCAGCAGCGTGACCAGCTACTACTCGACGGTCCTAGCTCCGACTCCCACACCTGCTCCATCACCCTGCGATGGGTGTCAGGCCTCTCCTTTCTCCCCTGGTTGGAGCGGCAACGACGGCGAGCATCACGACGGTGGATGGTGGGACTGGCACCTCCCACCACATCCGCACCTCTCCGTCGTCCCACCCTTACACGGCCCGCAGATAGCCACCTTGATAGTCATCCCACTCATGCTCCTCTTTACCCTCTTCGTCTGGCCAGTACATCGCCTCGCCCTCTTCCTCTTACTGCCCTTTCAGCTCTATACGAATTTGGTGCACGAGATCTTCCACTTGGCAGCAGGGGTGCTTGGTGGAGCTACGGTTTGTAGTGTTACGATTGATCCGTGAGTGCACGAGATGCGAGTGGGAGGAGCGGGCCCCCGGAGCTGGCTAACTGTCGAAATCCCTCTCCTCTCGGCTCATTCGCAGGGGATGTGGACCCTTGAGTACGATGCGGAATGGCAATCCGACATTCACGTGCGTAGTCGCTGCCATTCCATCTGCATCTCCATCTCCATCTCATCACTAATTCCAGCCTCCCCCGCATCGCGCACCCAGCCTCCTAATGGGGTACATCGGCTCCCAGCTAATCGGCGGTCTCTACACCACCCTAGCCTTCGACGAGCGCTGCGCCAAGATAGCGTATTTAATCCACGCGCCCCTCTGGCCTGCCGTCTTTTGGTTCACGGTAGGATTCTGGCCAAAGGTGCAGGTGGCGATTACCGTTGGGTGGAGCGTGGGCTTATGGTTTAGTGAGTGGGCGAGAGGCGAGAGGCGAGAGGCGAGGAGGAGACGAAAAGGAAGGGGAAGAGCTGATCGTCCTTGCAACCTCCGCACAGTCTGGCACGGAAGGTTTCTCCGCTTCTTTATCCTGTACATCGGGCTACTCTCCCTCTTTTACGTGCTGTGGGACGTCGTCGACGAGTGGGTGCGCGCGCGGGCGAGAGATGTCCAGCCCGAGTGATTGACCGCCGCCATTCTTTCGCCGCAGCTTCTTCTTCCACAAGGAGAACGAATCAGACGCCAGCCTGCTGCATCGCTTGGTGCCGGGCGTTAAGCCAGGAGGTGAGTGCGAGGCCAAGGAAGGGTTGGGCTTCGCATGACTCGCTGGGGGGAACGATGCTGACTAGCTTCGCCCCTCTACGCACGCGCGGCAGTCTGGGCGCTCATCTTCCTCCTCACAGCCAGCATAACCCTAGGCTGCTCAATCCTGGCTGGTCTGCACTTCTTTCGCGGCCCAGACATCCATACGCCTTCGCAGCATTTCCTGCCCACCTGAAACGAGCACTCAACTCTGTAGTTTCTTTGCTCTATGCGCTCTGCTGTGCTCTCACCCGAGCACCCTACGAATCCCATCCGTCCCATCCCTCAATACCATCCTCGTGACGGGGCATCGGCCGTGTTCCTCAACGTATCGATTCGCGCACGTGTAGCAGAAGGCGTAGCCTGTGGGGAGGAGGGCCGGGTTGTTCATCGGAGTGGTGCCGCAGAGTGGGCAGCTGTTGTGCAGGAGCGCTGCCGCGCCGTCGTTATCGTCGGACATCTCCACAGTGACTTCGGGCGCCTTGTACCCCTCCTCACGACGATAGAGGACCCCCTTGAGGCTAGGCATCAGCACGGCTGGAGCACCGAAGCGCGGGGTTATCCCACCCTCTCCTCCACTGCTTTGCCCCGATCCACCACCACCACCACCGCGTCTCTGCGTATTCTCGCTCGAGTACCACCATTCCAAGAACTTGAACGCAAAGATGCTCGCCGGGAGAAGGTACTTCAAACTCTCCGCAGCCATGTAAGGACCCGCCCTTATCATCCTGAAGGTAAAATCGCGCGGGCTCCTCAACGGATTGGGCAGGTCGGGGGGTAGTAGGGGGATGGAGGCGGGATAGTCTCCTGGGGCTACACGGCGTATCTCTAGGTTGAGGAGGGAGAGCCATGGACGCCAGAAGGGGGTGCGCGCGAAGAGGTAGCGGACGTTGTAGGTTAGGAGGAAGAGGTGCCACCACGAGCTGGCATAGGGGTAGGCGCGGACTGCGCGTGGTTTGAGGGAGGAGAGGAGGGAAGAGATGCGGCTGCGCAGCGTTGCATGGGATGAGGTGGAGTCGAAGGAGCCCGTAAAGCGTGGCCCCGTGCTGCTGCCGTCGTCATGCTCTGCTTGTGCGCCATCGTCGTCAAAGAGGTCTTCGTCCACCCCTCCGCCGTTGCGTTCCCACCAGTCGTGCGCCTTTGCTTGGATGTAGGGTAGTCCCACAAGGAAGAACAAGCTAGCATAGATCTGCCACTCGCTCAATCGCTCCTTGTGTCTGCGCGGAGGCAATCGTGCCCCCGTCAACCCAGGTCTTGCTCTCCGCCTCAGCATGTAGAAGTTCTCAGCAAAGCTAGCCCCCCACGTTCTGAGGTAGTGTCTCTCCACCCCGAACATGAGGAGGGCCCACACCTCGTCGAATCGATTGAATACACGCAAGAGGTAGCGCGGGTAACGCTGCGCGAGGACGGAGAGGGTGTAGCGGACGGCGGGGGAGAGGAGGGAGCGCAGTTGGTCTTGAGCGATGAGCTCGAAGAATGAGGGGCGAGCTGGGTCCGAGGAGAGGGCGGAGGTGGAACCCGTGGCCGCATCGAGGGCGTCGTTCATGGTGGGCGAGAGGGCGTGGGGTGCAGTGGTGAGAAGGGGAGAAGTGACGAGCGCGGATGTCGTCCCGGGCGTTGCATCGATGGACCGGAAGTAGGCCTGGGCGTGGGCGCGGGCGTGGGAAAACCACGTGTCACACGGCTACTGCCCCTCCCACCCTTCAACCGGTCGAGCCAATCTTGGGCCGGACGGAGCTGCCATGCCGCCGGAAAAGGACAAAGTTATCTGGAGTGGGCGGGAGGGCGGGCGACGGCGAGGGGTGAAACACACGTTTCCATTCCAACCATCGAAACACGATATCCGCTGCTAGACACGATACCAACCACCAAGATGCCCGTCATTGTCGTGAGTCCCCACGAGCGTCGCAGTGCAGAGTCACTGCCAAGATGTTAATTCGCCCTTAACCCCCCACGCGCACAGCACCACCTCAACGACTCGCGCTCACAACGCATCCTCTTCCTCCTCGAAGAGCTCTCCATTCCCTACGAGATTAAGCACTACCAACGCGGATCAGATCGACGAGCACCCAAAGCTCTCTACGACGTGCATCCCCTAGGCAAGTCCCCCGTGATCACCACCGAGTCCGGGAGAGTCATTGCAGAGAGTGGGGCGATTGTCGACTATCTGATCAACGAGTACGCGAAAGATGGGTCCTTTCGTCCGACGAATGGGGAGGCCAAGCTGGACGATACGTTCTGGAGTCACTTTGCCGAGGGAAGTCTGATGCCTGCGCTGGTTATGAAGTTGATCTTCTCCATTATCCCGCAGTGAGTGCGCGTGCGCGTGCGCGGGACCACCCTCCAACGATGCTGGGTAACCCATCTGACCTCACACCCGTCTCGCACTCGCTCTCGCACAGACAAGCCCCCTTCCTCGTTCGCCCCCTCGCCTCCGCCATCTGCTCTGGCGTCGTATCATCCTTCGTCGACCCGGAGGTGGGCAAGTTGCTCAAATTCATCAGCGGCGAGCTGGCCAAGAAGAAGACGACGACGTCGACGTCTTCTACCTCGGCGGGTGGTTCGCCCTGGTTCGCAGGCGGAGATGCGCAAGGCAACCCAACTGCAGCGGACTTTATGATGTTGTTCCCCCTCGAAGCCCTCGTTGCCGGTGGGAGAGCGCCCAAGGGTATGCAGATCGACGAGGGGATCAAGCGTTACGTCGAGGAGGCGCATAAGAGGCCTGCGTATCAGAGGGCGTTGGAGAAGGGTGGCAAGTACAGCTATGCGTGAGGGCGCTGGGGTTGGGACCGAGGGGGATGGGATACCCTGATGCGCCGCGAGTGAAATGGTAGATTCGAGCCGTCTTTCGGTGGGCTTTGAGAGCTTTTGCTAATTTTCTAATACAGATCGAGATCCGACCACCCTATTCATTCTCTCACGTACGGAGATTAGATAGCTGCCGTTGCTGCACCATGCCAAGCCACACCTTGGCGTCCTTTTTCCGACGTTGCCCTCTGTACACGTTCATTCTCAGCTTTCACGCCTCCTCCTGTCCTCGCTTTTCCTACCCTACCTTGCTTTATCGTGAATCGAGCAATGGCCTCGACGAGCGCGCACGAGGAGCGCTTTGTTACCTCCTTCGACGGCACGGGGATATACAGCGATGCAAGCTGGGTAGGTTCGTTGAGCGAGGTGAACCAAGGTGAGCCGCAAAGCATGCCTCGACAACGCGACACGCTAACGCCCGATCGCCCGCACGCCCAGCCATCATCTTTGTGCACGGCCTAACAGCCACGACGTACATATGGGACCCCATCTTCACCTCCCCTCGCCTCCTTACCCCTGGTCGCCTGCTAATCCGCTACGACTGCCGCGGTCATGGTCGATCAGACAAGCCCGATGCATCGGGTGATTTCCCACCCGCCTACTCGGGCGAAGCCTTTGCCTCCGATTTCGCAGCAGTAGCTTCGGCGTGGGGCTTCACCCCGTCGCGCGCGGGTCGCAGAGTCATCGGTGTAGCCTGGTCAATAGGCTGTGCAACCCTCTCTGAGCTTCCTCGTCATGGCGTATCACGCGACTTGGTGGACGGGTACCTCTACCTAGCCCCGTACGCCTGGCCCGCCCTCGGAGCGCATATTGCAGGGCCTATCGCGATAGAATGCATACCCGTACTGCGTGGCCTACTACCTGCTAGCGAGCAGGAGCTGGAGAATGCTCGAAGGAAGTGGGTGAGCAATTTCTCCTCCCAGGCAGAGGGTGGGGTACCGCGGGAGGTGGTGGAGAGATGGCTCAAAGCTGCCAGGCTTTTGAGGCCAGAGGTGGCAAGACAATACGGTGGGAGACAGGAGGATGATGCGGGACAGGCGATCGTGGCTGCTGTGGTGGAGAAGGGTACGCCCCTGGTCTTGTTGCATGGTACGGCGGATCTACTCTTGGACTGCGACAAGACCATCGAGGTGACTGGCGCAGCGTTTGGGGATGCGGCTGCTTTTCAGGCTGTGAGGCTTCAAGGGGCGGGTCATCATCTTATGTGGGATACGAGGGAGGAGGTTGTGAATTGGGTGATCGAGGTGGAGAAAAGGGCGACAGGGGCGTAGCGTAGCGTAGCGTTGCGTTGCATTCATCTTATTCGCGCACTCGCACCTCGTTTGGAATTGCAATTCGTCGTCGTTGTCGGGTGGATCGTCGTGTTGCTCTCTCTCTCTCTCTCCTGCTCCGACTGGCTGAAATTTGAGCTCGCGAGACGAGGCGGAACGGGTTGCGTGGCTCGATGAGGACCGGAGAGGAGGAGGCCAGGAGGCGGAGGGACGGCTTGGTTGGCTTGACTTGGGGTCCACGCAACAGTATTTCTGGCCTTTCTTTGACTCTGCAACACCACACCACCTGAAGAATGGCAGCATAGCCACGCCTCGTCGCAGCATAATGGCCGCACACACACTCGACCAGCAGTGAGCAGCCCCCCACTACATCGACGGCCATGATCGACAGCAGCGCAGACGTCGTCGAGGGCTGCGGCGTTGAGATGGATGACCTCGTCACAAAGATGTCAAACCATCGCCTCATCGCTTCCCTTCCTCTGCGAACAGGCAGCGACACCAGCAGCGTAGCCCCCTCTTCACCCTCTCCCTCGCAATCACCGCGCTTCGTCCCCTCTGCTTCTACTTCCTCCTCTTCGTGGTCTACCAGCCCCGATGCATCACAAGCACAGGCGCACGCTGGCGAGACGGCGACGTCTAGACCAGCATCAGTCAAAGCGTCGACAAAAGAGTACTCGCACCCTCACTCGCACACAAACCTCGTAGCAGCAGCAGCAGCCCTCGTCCTCCCCTACTGGCCTCGCACCCCTTCAAGCCAAGAGCTCGCCCTCTTCCGTCTAAGCGGTGTAGGACCGCAAGCCATCCTCGATCACCTGGAACGGCAAGGTCAAACCTGCTCGCGTAATGCAGCAACAACAGCAGCAGCGAGGAGGACCACCACCACCTACTCCAGAGGCGCAAAGGGGACGCGACGTGCTACCAGTCCACGTGCCACGAACATGTATGCCATGCGAGATAGCGTGGACAATGGAGGCGGAGGCGCGGATGGGGCAGGAGATGACGATTGGCCTACGGCCTCGACGAGCAAGAAGCGAAAGAACTCCATAGATGGAGAGATGAATCGCGCCAGAGACTTTGAGGCCTACAGCGATGCGGCGAGCGGGTGCGGTGAATCAGAGGCAGGAATGTCGGGCAGTGTACTCGACGGCGACGAAGACGAAGAGGCGGGTGATGACGAGCAGGTGGAACGACCCGACGTAAGCTCCCGCTCATTTCGAGCTTCAAGGATAGTAGATGAGATAGCTAGCGGTCATTCCCCTCACCATGCGCACCGACACGGGGGATGCGGCTGCTCCTCCTCCTCCTCTGCCGACGTCCTCTGGCCCTCCTCCGCACCGCGCTCCTCCTCGATATCACTACTAGAAGAACCCTGGTCAACACGCTGGCGCTCCAGCCTATCTCAGCGGGTGAGGAGTAGGATAGCTTACCAGCGGGCAGCTGGACCCCCAAGTCCACCTCCGCCGTTGCCCGCCTCAACCTCTACCTCTACTAAAGCAGCCAATGGGGCTAGCACGCCTGCTGCGACGCCCGGAACGACGACGACGACGACGAATTCGAAACCCAAAGTGAGCAAAGCAGAGAAGCGCGCTTTAGCTCTGAAGGGAAAGGGGGGGACGAATAGCACGCGCATGACACTCGCACAGCTTAAAGCCCAACGAAGTGGGATCACTTCCTCCTCCTCCTCCAATACCGTAGCCACGACTACTACAGGTAAACCACCCTCTACAGCTTCTCCTTCTCCTGCTTCTGTTCGTCGCAAAGCCACCCCACCCACCTCCCCCTTCACTTTCACCTTCCCCACGCCCCTCAGCGGACTCCTCGCTGAGGCGAGGGAGCGACTAGCCGCCCTACTCACCAGGCCTGTCGCTGATGTGGTCAGAGCGTTGGACCTCCCGCGGCCTTTGTTTGACGAGGAAGGGGAGGGAGACGGGGAGGGGGAGAGCGATCACGACCTCCATCGTCGCGACCTCGAGGATGAGCAGGGCCGCAAAGCTCAGGGGCAGGGGCAGGCAGAGGGACAGGCAAAGACCACGGCAGCAGCAACGGCGCTACGTGAGGCGTACTTCTCCATTCCGGAGGCAAAGGCGCCCATGCTTTATCCTTGGGCGGATAGTGAGAGAAGGGCAAAATGGAGCCCGGCTAAGCGGCCCAGCTCAATTGGTACTGCGAGGACAGCGATGACGACACGCACGACGCGAGGGGCGGGGACGGTGGAGGAGTCTTGGCCCGAATTTGCACAGGGTTGGGCGCTACCGTGGAGAGACGGCTCAGCCCTCCCGACAGCATCGACTAGAGCGCCACTACCAAATTCGTCCCCCCTTCCCGGACCAGGTCACAGCTCCGGTTCCCACTCCTCCTCCTCCTCAGCAGCTCCAGGGACGACCAACTCTATCTCCCCCAACTCGTCGCCCACGCCCGCTCTGCCAGCCGTGTCGCAGCCGAAGAGTCCCAAGCTCACCCGCAAGCAAAAAGCGCGTATGAACAATGTCCATCACCCTTTTAATGCTCATCGATGGCTCCCCTCTGCGGCCCCCGCCCTCTCGCATTCGCATCAAGATACCCTCAACACAACATCCTCCTCCTCCTCCTCATCCTCTTTGCCGGGCAACTTGCAGGGGGCAAAGGCGAGCCGAGGAGGCTTCATTTCACCGCTCGAGGAGCTGGAGGAAGGATTTTGCGTCTATTGTGACTATGTAGCGCTCTATGGAGAGAGACCGCGATTTTGGCCTGGAGGGGTTTGTAGGCATTTGTGCGGGGTTGAAGGGTTCGCGGGAAGAGGGAGAAAGGGGGGCAGAGCGAGAGGGAGGAGGAACAAGGTGGAGGGGGGATGATGAGGAGTGGAAGGGGAGGAGCGAGGGGAGAAGCATTAGCATTGACATTACGAGATTCGACATTCGACATTCTCAGCATCAGTATCACGACACGACTAGCATGATCACCATGAATCATCATCACCATGAATCGTCCTCATCATCATCTTCCTTGCTGCTATGCGTGCTCGACTCAGCGTCGCCCTTCAGGCAAGATGACGCGGCAGCCCCTCGACGCTAATTCGTTGCTGCGTTCAGAAGACGTCCAATCTGTGTCCATTTGCACGAGAAGACGCAAAGACGATGGCGAGCAGAGTCACTCGAGCCTCTCTCCTCTCCTCCCTCCTTGTCGCACAATCCTTCAATCTCTCCTCGACCGTTCTGCAGGGTATCATTCTCATCCCACGCCCTCCCAGCCTACCACGCCCGCCTAACAGGCCTCTCCCTCCCCTCATTCCGCATCCGTGCACCCGCCTTGGATCGAGGACTACCCATGCCCGTCCCCAAAGCCCCGCTGCCAAAGACGAAAGGCGAAGCACCCCCCGCTGGAGTGGACGTAGAAGAAGGCGTATCGGCAAAAGGACCCCGAGCGGGGGAGGAGGTCCTATTCCTCCCCTGCACAAATGCGTACGGCGCTGCACTGCTCGTGCTCGGTGGGCGACGCCTAGCCGCCGGTGAGCTGGGCGTCGAGGGGCGAGGTGGGGTGCTCGCGCCACTACCGCTGCCGCCGAAGCGCAAGTTCGTCTCGCCTACACCGCGCCACGCCGCAGGTGAGGTGCTAGTTGATCCCGGCCCCGCGCCCGTGCCCGCAGCCCTTTGCGCTCCCACGTACGTAGGGATACGGGAAGGGGTAAGAGGTAGGGCATGGGAGCGCGACGAGGGAAGTGGAGAAGCATTTCCCGTACCCGCACCCGTACCGATGGGCAGTGCTGGTGCTGCGTCCTCCCTCATATCCTCATCGCGTAGCTGTGCCTGGCTACTCAGTGCTGCCTGCCCTTGAGCTATTAGGTCTGCCATTTGGCGCGAGAAGCGCGAATATTGCTCGTCTTCGTCTTCGTCTTCCTCCTCCTGCTCCTCCTGCCCCTCGCGCTGCTGCTGCTTGCTCACCGCCTCTGCCTCCGTTTCCGCCTCTGCCTGTGCGTCGTGAATACTTCGCAACGACCCAGATCGGGCCGTAGCGCTCTCAAAAGCAGGGCGACGCCTATGTCTCGACGAGGAGACGTACACGTTTCTCGAGCGCGGCTTAGACACGAAGGGCGATGTCGTCGCGCCCTCCTGTCGTCGCGAGCTCTTGATCGGTGAAGAGCATGTCGCGCTCGACGGAGGCTGTGCCGGCTTGCTCGAAGAGGCAAAGCCACCTGGCAGGACGATGACGTCGTCGTATGCTGGAGGCGGGGCTTGCCCACGCGCAGAACGTACGGGTCCCCACTCCCTCTCCAATGCGCGTTCTTCCTCCTCATCCTCCTCCTGCTGCTTCCCCGCACCCGCTCCCGCGTTGGCGCTCCCGCTGTTATCGCTCTTCCAGCTCGACCAGAGTGAATAAGCAGTCATCCCCGCAGCGGCGCCCAGCATAAGACCATTGAGGGCGCCATCCACAATAGTCCCCGCTAGACCGCGTCGTCTTTTTCGGGCGGGTGGGGCTGTGGCTTCCTCTGAAGGCTGTGCATGTGCATGCGCATGGCTAGAGACGAGGTGTTGATTGAGGGACGAACGGGCGGATGGACGATCCCTTGCTACGCCGAACTGTCCTTGAGCCAAGGAGGGCGAGGAGCTGGAGGTCGCCGTATGAAACGACGCTTGCGAGAGGTGAGAAATGTCCCCCGTTGAAGAGGTAAAGGACGTTAAGCCCGCACCAACACCTTCTTCTTCCTCTCCTGCGCCGTGGGATGGACGCATCGTCTCCAAACTCGTAAAGCTATCACCGCGTTGTGTGCGCTTACGACTTGTCCCAGCTGCAATTCTCGCATATCCATCGTCCATTAGATCTCCTCCACCCCCTGGTGGTGAGATGGATGCAGAGAGGAGAGGCTGCTGGTATGTGTACGGGTAGGATGATGAGGGAGGTGCACGATAAGGAGGGTGAAGGGGTGCGCCGTGTAATCTCCCTCCCCCTGCTGCGCCTGCTCCGGGACGACGTCGGATGAAGGCGGAGGACGAGGAGGAAGAGGGACCGGCATGATGGTCCATCTTTGCTCGACTGGAAGCTGCGCCGGTGGGTCTGCGGAGTGTTGTAGATGCGAATGCGGGTGCGGGTGCGTGTGCGTGTGCGGCTGTATGTTGGATGGGTCGAGGCAATGAGAGAAGAGAGAACGAGAGAAAGAGCAACAAGCAACACGGTTTCAAGTCACTCCGCCCGCCCGCGCTTCCGTTCAGCCGGCGGAGAGGAGACGATCTCTCGCTGAGCTCAAGGCAACCAAAAGGGGCGCGTCACGCGTTTGCCTCGCTCTCAGAGTCACAAGGAGGCGACAGTGTGGCGAGTCATTACGAGAACGAGATACGCTGAGATGGTAGTGATCACATTTTCCCGCTCATGCTCACTCTCATCACCCCTTTTTGAAAAAGCTACTCAACTTGCTCTGTCCCGCCCCACCACCACCGCCGGTACCGCTACCACTACCGCTCTTCTTGGCCGGCGCTGAAGCCTGCTTGGGAGGGGAGGGCTCTTTGCCCTTGGGCTTAGCGGGCGCGGGGACAGCTTTCGTCTTCGTCTTCTCCTCCTTAGGTGTGGAGTTACCCTCATCCTTTGCATCCTTCGCATCCTTGCTCGCCGCCGCCTCCTTCTTCTTCGTCGTCTTGACAGCCTTGGCCGGCCTCGTCCCCTCCTCGGAGTCGGTCCAATCAGAGTAGGACTCATAGTCGGATACTTCCCTTGTGTAGCGATAGCCTTTGGCATCTTTGCCGCTCTCCTTGCGTACGATGCGTCGCTTACGACGGACTTTCCTGCGCTCCCCTTTCTTCTCGTTGCCCTTCATCATCGAAGTGGACGTCGACGTCGACGCTTCCCCCTCTTCGTCCTCCTTGGCCTCAACGTCCGGTACGGCCTGGCCCGGCTCCTCGTCCGCATCGCTATCCACCTCCATCATCTCGCGCAACTTGCGTTTGTTCTCCTCTCGCTCCGCCGCGCTCGATTTGGCCTGCTTGGAAGAAGGGGCAGCATCCGCTCGTTTGACCCTACTCGCTCCTCGCGGGGCTTCGTCCGCTTCGTCGTCGTCGTCGTCGTCGTCGTCGTCGTCGTCGGCGTAGCCTACTTGTGCGATTGGAGCGTCCGAATCCGCGTCCCCGTCGGAGTCTTCGGCAGGAGGAGGAGAGGGAGGGGTAGGCGATTTGGCTTTGACCTCCTTTGACTTGGGGGGCTTGGCCTTGCTCCAGTCCAGACCCGCTTTCGTGGATTCCTTCTTGCTGGGCGCTGCTGGTGCTGCTGTCGTTGCCGCAGCTTTTGAGGTAGAGCCTGAGCCCGAGGCCGAGCCAGCAGGAGCCGAGGCCGTGCGCTGTTGCTTCTCGGCGGCCGCAGCCTGAGCCTGCGCGGCAGCCGCGGCTTGAGCGGCAGCCTTGACGGCTCTTGGGTCCCCTTCTGCCACGCGCGGGTTGTAGAGTACCCCGAAGTCCTTGCCTCGATCGGCCTGCTCCCACGCTGTGCGGTATGCCATGTCACTGTTCAGGGTGAGGGGGACGGTGGAGAGGAGGCTGATTTCGGTTGTGGTGAGGGATTTGGATGAGGACGAGGAGGATGCGAGGGAGGGGAAAAGGGCGTATATGTGGGAGGAGGGGGCGCTGAGGCGAGACAAAAGACCTGATAGCGTCGGTTTGGGTTGAAAACACTGAGGTGAGCCGAGAGGCGCTGCAATGACGCCCAAGTAGGGGCGAGTCGCGCGCGCGCTCACCTTGCAACTTGTCTTCTCCCACGATGAGCACCTGCTCCATCCCCGCCTCCTCATCGTATCCCTGCACGACGTGGGTGACCTTGACATTCGTCTGGTTGCCCTTGGCGAATGACTCCAGAGCCCTAGCGCGGAGAGGAGGGAGGGAATAGCTTGGATGAGCCCCTCGCCCTCGCCCTCGCCCTCGCCATGCGCTCCTCCTCGCCTGACTCCACTCACCTTTTCGCCTCGCTGACATGGATTCCCTTGTGCCTCGACAAGAGACGATATGAGATGAATCGCTTGTCGTGTACGACCCACGACTTGAGGAATGAGTCGAGGTCTGACGACGTCATTGCGCCCGTATGACTGTGATGGGCGGAGAGAGAGGAAGAGAGTGTTGGCGGGGCGACGCACCTGTTGGACGGAGAGAAAGACGGGGGAGAGAGGCGCGCCAATTCCCACGACGCGTGACGGAAACAGAGAATGTGGCTCGTCGGATCGGAACCTTACACTCACACTCACCCTGGCCGATACACTCGCAGGCCAAAGTCGGCGATGGTGGTCGGATATCAATGGATTCAACCCTGCTTGGCAACTAGTGCTCTGCTACGTCCCTCCCCTTGATCCGGTGCTGGTGATGAGAGAGCACGCTGAGTAAGACTCTCTTCTCGCCCCCATCGGAGCATCTCTTGGCTGACACTCACCCGGGCGGCTCCCTTTCACGCCACGGCCTCCACGGCGGACTGAGCGCTCAATCCGCCGAGTGCATTGAAATGCGCCTCATTGGCACCTCGGATCGCGCTGCGTCTCTGCGTTCGTAAGCCAACTTCGTCTTCTTCTCCTTCTTCCCTCTCTCCTCACCACCATCGTCATGTCCCGTCCGCCATCAACCGCCCTCCTATCGGGCATCGCCCTCGCAGGAGGCGTCGTCACATTGTACACAGCTCTCCTCGCCTCGTCGGACACATCTCTACGTTCCCTCTCCTCATCGTGCCTGTCTTCACTAATCCGCCCCGACTCGAACAGCACAATCGGGTACACCTTCCACCCCCTCGATACACAATTCTGCATCGCCATGCCCTTCTTCAGACGCACCATGCAAGACCCAACAGCAAAGGGACTCTACGCCTTGACGCTGAGTGTCCTCCTCCCTTACTCTTTGCGCATCTCTTACCTCAGCCTGGGAACAGACCTGTACAGCATCGGGACGAGCGCCCTTTCTCTCCTCGCCCTCATGACGAGCGGTATAGCCCTAGGGTTGGGTCCGATGGCCTGCCTCTACACGTCTACCGCCCTACTCCCCGCCTGTGCCTCACGCGGGCCGCGCGGCGTAAAACCACTAATGATAACCCCACACGGTCTCCTCCTCACACATCTCCTCCTCACCTTGCTCGGCACTATCATCCTCCTCACCCCACCCACCTCAACAATATGGGATCGAGCTACCACTCTTCTCCAATATCTGCCCCTACTATACCTCCCCGTCTTGGGAGGGAGGGCAGCAGCCACCCCGTGGGTCAGCAAGGCCTACGATGAGGGAAAAGCAACAAAGGATCAGCCTATCCCCGCCCAAGCCTCGGCACTTGGGTTGAAGAGTAGGCTGCCGTGGATCGCAAATGCCATCGCGGGCGTAGCGGCGCTGTGTCATGCCATGGGGGTGGGGACGCTGCTGCGCGCGGTGAGTGTGGGAGGGGGCAAAGGAGAGGCGGCGGCGGCCATACGCTGGTTCTGGGGGAGCGATTATGCCGGGACGGTGTTGGCGCTGGGGCTATTGATGGTCGTGGAGAAGGGCAGAGTGGGTACCGTGAGTTCGGAGGGGGGAAAGGGGTGGTTAAGCATGCTCGGATACGCAGTCGTTTTGGGACCGGGGGCGGCGGCTTTGCTGGTCTAGCGGGGTGCCGTGCCGTAGCGCTGTAGAGAGAGTAGGCAGGCAGGCAGGCAGGCAGGAGGGCCATCGTAGCATGCAAGCAAGCGCAGTACTTCACGCACGTCGCATTCAATAGACGAAGCTAGAATAGATCGACAATCTTTAATCGCAGCAAGATTCCTCGCCCCCACCTTCCCCTTCACGCCTTCTACGAACAAAAAGCAACCCAATCATCTGTATCGCTCACACTATAACAAGTCTTCCCATCATCCACCTGCGTACAATCAGAACAAGCCTCACTAGCACAGATGTTTCCCCCAGCTTTGGCTGCCACGAATCCCACGCATTTCTGCCCATCACCGGGTCGAACAATGAGCATCTCGGAAGCTTTGGTGGCACGGAGGTCCGTGGAGGTTGATGTGCATTTGGCGTCGCTGTAGCCTGCGAAGGCGCGAGCGGGGGGAAAGGAGGTTTAAGGAGGGGGCGGAGTGATGGGAGAGAGAAGGGGGGAGAAAGGGCAAAAGACTTACAATGACCGAGAAGTAGGGCTCCGTGAGGGTCACTCTTCTCTGCCTTGCCCACCGTGGCGACGATGAGGAAGAAGAAGGCAGTCAGGAAGGCGAACTTGGTGGCGAGCATGGTGAGGTCTAGCGTGGTTTAGGTGAGAGGGGAGCGAGCTCTCGCAGCGGGCTTCTTATACGCGTCTCTGCGGGGGGGACTGTTACGGGCGAGGGCGGGATAGAATGGCTCTTTACGCGGCGTGAAAGTGGGCGATCGAGCGGCAGTATGGTGCGCCATGAGAGGTTGTTCATTGGCGGCGGCGATGTCGTCGCTGTCGTCGTCGTGTCGACACTGCACTTCACATTGGCGCACGGCAGTACGGCGCATGGCGGGCCGTCCCGTCACGGCAACGATGACGTTGTACGGTCCGATACAATCGCATTGCTTGCGGCTCTTCGTGCCCGTGCCCGTGTCCATCCCCGCCCGACGTCGCCCCGGTCTAACACGAAAAGACGAGCGCGACCCCCTCATCCCCAGCCCCAACGACGGTCCATCCTCCCTTCCCATTTGGCCTAACATCCGCATCCAGCACCCCGTCCACGAACCCTTCATGTTTCGCCACAGTCGCCCCACTCCTCGCATCCCAAGTGCGTAATGTACCCCCCGAGCTAGCCGTAGTGAAAAGGGGGCCGGACCCATGCACGACTAGCGTGGTAAGTGCGCCCGCTTCGTTCGAGTCTGGAGAGTCTACGTGCAGACAAGTCTGGCGAACGCGTTGGGTTTGGAGGTCCCATACGATTGCGCGCCCGTCTGTCCCTGCTGTGATGAGGTGAGAGGCAGAAGAAGGGTCTCCGAGGAGGGAGACGAATGCCAGCCCTTCTATTGATTCGCCGGGTGTGTGCCTGTGCGTGCCGCGAGGTGAGACGACGTCGAATCAGGGTCAGCGAAAAGAATGAGCATGTCCGCGGTAGTCGTGAGCACAGGCGCCGCGCCCACTCACCCCTCGAGCGCAGCAACAACTGCCATGCCTCTGCCTTGCTCGACGCCAGTCAGAGACACGAGGCGCGACTGACCGGTGACAGACCCTACGGCAGCGAGGCGATTATCCGGCGAGCAAGCCAGCGAGATGAATCCACCCTCGATCCCGCCAAACCTTGCGTCCCCCTTGCCCAGCTTGGCAAGCGGCGTTGCCTGCCTCGGATCGTAGATGAGCAGACTCCCGTCCGTACTCGTGGTAAGCAACCTCTTCCCGTCCGGCGTGAATCGACCAGCCGTAACACCCTCCTCGTGGCCTGTAAAGACGTTCATCAGCGTGGCCGCGGGGAGGGACCACATCCATACAGTGGAGTCGGCGTATCCTGCAGCGAGGACGGGGCCTTTCGGGTGGAAGAGGAGGAATTGAACCTCATCGCCGCCTTCGAGGGTGGTGAGGTGCGCGAATGTGGAAGGGGAGGAGCAGGAGAAGACGTGGATCAAACCGTCCATTCCGCCTGTGGCGAGGAGTGAGCCATCTGAGCTCCACGAGACCATGGTGACCGAGTCCTGAGCGGAGCGCGGCGTGGGCGCAGCGGGGGCGTAAGAATGTTAGCGTCCCTGTGCCTCTGCCCGCCGCCGCGACGCCGCGCTACGCACCTTGTGACTAGGCTCCAATTGCTGTACCACCTCACACTCCCCATTCTCGGCCACACGCCACACAAAAGCGCGATCGTCTGATCCACCCGAAACGGCCAGTGGAGTAGACGGGTAGTTTGGGTGCAGCGAGATGGTGAAGATTGATTCGCCCTGCGCGCGCGCATGCGCATGATCCCGAAGGTGAACGGTCGGTCAGCCTCTGTCCGGCTCTCACGACCCTGATCTATCTCTCTCTCGTGCGCGCACCTTGGATCCGTAGAAGGCAGAAATGCTCGAATCGTGCAGCACGACCTTGTCGTCATCGTCTCCATCCTCGCCCTCGGACATGGGCTCGTCCCCTTGTCCTTCCCCATCTTCGTCGCCATCATTGTGGATCTCCTCTACATCGTCCTCTGTCAGTTGAGGCAGGTCATCCTGCTCGTGCTCTTCGCCTTGCTGGTGGGGAGTCTGATGCGTGGCGTCCATTGTGCTGAGAGAGAGATGAGAGTGAGCGTGGAGTGGAGTGGAGCGGACGCAAGAACGCTCAGCTCAACGCCGAGAGGGCGCGAATCTCAATCAAAATTGTCGACTTGAGGGACAAAGCGCATCGCGGAACCAGACACGAGGCACGAGCGAGGCACAGAAACGAGGCGGCGCGACTCAGGGCGGGGGCCAACTGAGTCGAGAGCGCAAAAGCGCAAAGTGGCCGTGCGCTTCTTCGTCTTGTCTTCTTCTCTCCACACCAAAGCATCGCAGCACAGCATGGCCAACCCCTCGACGAATCGTACGCCAATCAAAAAGGCGAGGGGACAGCCCGTCGTAAATGCTACCAGGGCCAAGAAGGGAGGGGGGATGTCGAGGACCTTGCTTCTGCTGAGCAGCATGCTCATTGCCTTGACGTTGGCCTACTCGGCGTTGGATAGCATCAAGGTGCGGGCGCGTGTGCCCTCGATAAACCCGCTTTGATCCAGCGTAGCGTCACGCTGACCTGTCCCTTGTTCTCCACGTCTCGCACGCCTCGCACGCCCCGCGCAGCATCGCTTCTACATCTTCGACCCCACCTCAGTAGCATCCATAGCGCGTCGGAACGTCCTCCTCCACCAATCCCTCAACCACAGCTCCCCACTCCCCCTCTTCGAGGCCATCCAACGCGATCTAGCCGCCTCCTCGCCACGAATCGCTGCCCACCTCAACTCGCACCCACTCACAGACGAGAAGGAATGGATGTTCAACAACGCAGGTGGAGCAATGGGTAGCATGTACCTCCTGCACGCCTCGATCACCGAATACCTCATCTTCTTCGGCACCCCATTGGGCACCGAGGGTCACACGGGACGTCATACGGCGGACGACTATTTCCACATCCTCACAGGAACGCAGTATGCTGCCTATCCTCACTCATTGACCCCAGAAGTGTATCGCGCGGGGGACGTTCACCATCTCAAACGCGGCCATGTCAAACAGTACATGATGCCCGAGAGTGGGTGTTGGGCACTCGAGCTTGCTCAAGGGTGGATCCCACCCATGTTGCCCTTTGGGTTCGCGGATACCGTCAGCTCTACGCTCGACTTTGGGACTTTTGCGCGCACGGTGTGGATTACGGGAAGGGAGATGGTCAAGAATTTGGTGAAGGGAAAATTCTAAAGGGCGCGCGCGCAATGGAGAAGTGCGGAGCATGAGGATGGAATAGAATTTGGATGCAAGAAGGCGTCGCAGCTACACCGCCTCGTCGTCGCGATAGTTCGCCATGGGGTCCTCGTACGCATTAGTGCGCTTGAGGCGGTAAGCCTCCATCTGTTCCTCGCTCACCTCCGTCTCCGCCTCGCCCCCTCCTCTCCCCTTGCCAGCGCCACCACGATTGATCGCCTCGGCCTCCTTGAGCCAATCGGGCTTGGCCTCATCGCGCTTCGCACGCTCCTCGCCCGTCTCCTTCTCGCGTCGCAGACGACGCTCTTCGTCTTCGAGGGCGCGTGCCAGCTTCTTACGGTCCAGACGGGAAGAGACGTCCCCTTCGCCAAGGTGTTTGCGTGATTTATAGCCGCGAGGGGAGCGAGAGCGTGAGCGTGAGCGCGAGTGGCGATGGCGATGGCGAGATGAGCGTGAGCGTCGGTGGTGCTTGTCGTCGTCGTCGCTCTCGGACGATGAGCCGGAGGTGGTGAAGCTTCCTCGTGATGAGGAAGAAGCGGAGCGGCTGCGACGACGTCGCTTCGACCCCGTAGCCGTGGATGCTGCCTCGATCTTGCCCTTCTCCTTCTCCGCCCCACCAGCCGGCTTCAACTGCAACGCCTGCGCAGCCTTGGCTGCCTCCCTCCCCGCCTCGCCCGTACAGTAGCTATTCGCCACAGTCGAACAACAGCATTTGTATCCCCACTTCCCCTGGCCCAAATCGTACCAACTGCCCCACACGCTCGTATGATTGTTATCCCACACATCCTCCTCGAAGCGACTCTTGACCTTGGCGCGCTCCTGCCCCTTGATGACGCGCCCACTGCGCGAATACTCGACGTATCGCTCACTCTGCCCCTCGCGCACCTCGCGTGGTACGGAGTCAAAATGCTCCGCCCCGCCGTATCGGTCCAGGATGGACCCCCGCGTAGACTCGCGCAGCTTGTCCTTCTTCTCCTGAAACTCGCGAAATTGCCGTTCGTTAACCGTAGGGTTGGCCTGGAGGTGCAAGTCATTCCCACGAGCTTCGGCCTGCCAGGCGAATAGTTGGAGACGCTGCATCGCTACGCTGTCGCCCTTGTTGCGCGTGGCGTTATCCCCTGCAAAGCCGCTACCGCTGCCACTGCCCGCCGCGCTGGCCGCCTCGCGCATCGATCGCGTCTTGGGATCGTAGTAGGCGGAATTGGGGTCGAGGTTGTAGAGGTACTTGGCTCGGTCTTCGCGGATGCGCAGGTTGCGAATGGACATGCGATTGTCCGTATCCACCTTTTGACCAGCCATGTTGGCACTCTCGGCGTACTGCGAGTCGTCTTGCTCTGCCTCGTCGCTGTCCGAGGATGAGAAGTCGGAATCGTGCGCGGCGGCGGCGGAGTCCTTCTTGTTCTTGCCCTTCTTCTTCTTCTTGGCCAGCGCGGCCCCATCACGCTCCACCCCCTGCCCTTGCGCATCAACCATCTCCTCCCTCCTCCTACGCCTCTCCTCCTCAACCGCCTCCCACTCCTCCATCACCCTGCCATGCTCTGCAGGATCGTACCCATTCCACCTATCGCGCTTCGCAGCGAAATCCATCGTCTTGCCAGCGAAGTCCGTGACGACCTCGTCGGGCGCTATGTCTTTTCCCGTATATTTGGCCCCCTTCTTCCTCGGTCGCTCCAAACATTCCCGCGTAGGATGCGTGATAGCTCCACAATTCTCACACGCCCCTTTACGGTACTTTGTGGCTTTGCTCCCCTCCCCCCCACTGGTGCGGCGACCACGTTCGTACCATTCGTCGATGCCGATCCGTCTCTCCCCCTTGTCAGGTTTGGCCTGATGCTTCAAACTACGCTTCCCCGTATCGAGGTACCAGGGAGCCTTACTCATGTAGTCGGGCACATGTGGATTGATCACTACACCATCCTCCCCGACTTCGGCGGGGGCCGTCCCCGCTTTGCGAGCTGCATCGAGGTCTTTCTGACGACGAAATTCTTCGCGAGAGAGTTTCGTAGAGGAGAAGGAGGATTGCATGGCGTGTGGCGGGGGGAGGAGAGGGGGGAAGGGAGGAGTGAGGGGATGGGTGGCGCGGAGAGGAGGACAAGAAACGTGAAGGCATAGGGCGGAGAGAGGCGCATCACGGATAGAGCGGCTGCCACGTGGCGAGGTGAAGCAAGGCGACGCGGCTACGTTCGCCCTTCCTCGTAACGCTCAGGCGGCTTTCCAGTAACAGCTCACATCTATTGCATCGCACCAGCTGACATACACTCGCGGACACGCCGTCGCGCACACCTAACCGGAGTGCTGCCCGCAAAACTCCCGCATCGCCTCCACCAATCTCTTCGCGTCATCGACGCTAATGGCGTTATACAGACTCGCCCTAATCCCACCTACGCTACGATGTCCCTTGACCTGCTCTATCCCCCTCTCCTTGCAGAACTCGACGAACTTCCCCTCCAGCCCGTCATCCCCTCCCTTGATCCTGAACGTGACGTTCATCCGCGAGCGAGACGTTGCGCTCGTCGTCCCCTCGTAGAACCCCTTGGACTCATCGATGGTCGAGTAGACCAGTTGAGCCTTTTCGCTCGATCTTTGCTCTGCCCCCTTTACCCCGCCTTGCTCGATGAGGTGGCGGAACACTAGCCCAGAGACGTGGATAGAGAACATGGGCGGCGTATTGTACAGGCTCGAATTATCCGCCAGATTCTTGTACACCAGCGTCGTAGGGATGCGCGGCCCGCCAAAGGGGATGGACTCGTCTGGATGGCGAGCGAGGAGGGACTTGCGTGCAATCAGGATCGTTACGCCGGGGGGACCGACATTCTTTTGTGCGCCGAAGAAGATGAGCGAGTGGGCGGCTGGCGGGGTGGCGCGGGGCGGGGCGAGTCGATCAGCTTGTGTATGCGGGGAGAGTAGCGGAAGTTGCAGGGCAGGTTGGCGACTCACCTACATCGATGGGCCTCGAGAGGATGTTGGACGAACAGTCCGCTACGATGGGTACGTTTTTGCGGTAGTCGTCTGGGAGTTGATGGATGGGCAGGCCAGGAGAGGGGAACTCGACCCCGTCCACCGTCTCGTTGTCGCAGTAGTACAGCATGGCGCACTGCGGGATGCGTGGCGTGGCGGGGTGTCCTTGTCAGCTACTTGGTGCTCGCGCGTCCTCACGCCTCGCCGCGCGCTCTCACCTCGCTCGCAGGGCTCAACTCCCACTCCTCAATCGGGGCGATTCGCCCGAACTTGCCATCCCTCTTCTTGGAATCAGTCACAGCCTTGACGCGTCCCCCCATGCGCTCCCCCTCCTTGATCGCCTTACTCGACCAGCTCCCCGTAACCGCGTAATCCAGCGTACCCGGTGCTCGCCCATGTCTCGCCGCATCGTACGCGAGGAGGTTCAGGGCAGTCGCAGAGAACTGTTCGGTCCCGCCACCCTGGGTGAAGAGGACTGCGTAATCCTCTGGAATGGAGAGGAGTGAGCGCAGATCGCTTTCTGCGGAATCGAGGATCTGTTTGAATGTCCCGCTGCGATGGGAGAGCTCGCATAGACCGATGCCTGTGCCTTTGTAGTCGAGGAGGTCCTGCGCCGATTGGAGGAGTACGGACGTGGGGAGGGAGGAGGGGCCAGCACCTAGGTTGAGGATGCGCGACCGGTTAGAGGTGTCCAGGGTGGTGGGTGGTGGAAAGGACATGCTTGCGTGACGGTGGTGGGGTGCGGAAGGGAGGCAAGAAAGGCGAGTCACCTCGACTCTCGATTATCGACCGTCGTCACGTCTTCTCGTCGCTCGCGTGGTCCCTTCCGCCCTGCCCGACGTCGAGGCCAGAGAGGAGTGGAGCCGCCCGCTCGCTCGCTCGCTCCGCTCAGCTCCGGGCCACAGAGTTGCGACTTGGACTCTGGATCCTCGATCCTCAACACTACCATCACGCCGCGCCACGACACGCCATCATCGTCATGCTCCGCCAAACTCTAGTGCGAGCCGCTCAACACGTGCGTCGCCCCGCCATTCGATTTCCTGATCGATCAAAGAAGTCACAAGGTGAGACGCTCTCCCCGCCTCGCCTTGGTCTCCCCTCTCCACCCTACTCACATCCTACGACCCCCTCTCGCCTCGCCTCGCCCTCGCATTCACCCCTCGCACTCGAACAGACTCGCACACCCCCCATCCCCACCCAGCAGCACCAAAAGCGGTAGCCGATGATTTCTCCCATTTCCAAGAAGTACTGAATACCGGACCTCATTTCCATCCGGAGAAGATCAACTCGTCGCCCTCCTCATCGTCGTCGTCGTCCGCAGGATCGAGTGCGGGCGCAGGCGCGAGCGCGGGCGCTACAGGGTCAGGGATGGTCGATGATATTCGCCAACTCCCACCTAGGTTCTGGCGCACGGCTACCCTTGTTATGGAGGAGGAGGAGATGGAGGGGATCATGGTGAGTTTTGCGTGGTACGCGCGCATACAGGCAGGTAGGCGGGCAGGCATGGATAGCTGACCTGATCTGTCTCGACTCGACTCGATGCCCGCGTACGTTTGCAGTCTGGCGGTGCGACGTTGCTGCGTAGATGATCGCGGGGAGCTGGGGAGGGGATGGGAGGTGCTAGGGCGACATGATGGTGATGCATATATGCGCCGACTTCTCGCACTCCGCCGTAGCAGATAGACTCGCAGATGTGGGTATGATTGATAGCTAGTAATACAGAGCAGAGGTTCCGTCTTCGCCCCCGCATTCGCCTCCAAGAATCGCATTATGTTCCTCCCCCCAACGCCGCGCCTACTCCCCCATCTCCGGCCTCGGCCCACACGGCATCATCATCTTCTCCTTCAACCCAGCAGCCACTCTCGCCTTGCTCTCCCCCTCGGCCAGCGCGATAAAGGAGTGCAGCATCGGATGCCCGACAATGGAAGCAGCAGTATCCCGATGCTGGTGGACGAGCCACTCGTGCTTGGTGATATCCGGGTGGATGGTACCGACGTATCGAGCGTGGAGGTGTTCGAGTTGCTGGTTGGAGGTGTATTTCAGCTCAGCACTGTCTGACATGCTGAGGAGCGGCGAGAAGAGTAAGAGGAGGCGGAGGGTGTCAGCCTTGGTGAGCATGGGATGATGGGGATCTCGATCCTCCTCCTCGCGCCTCTCGCGCGCGCATCTCTCGACGGCTCAGAGTAACTATGACATTAAGGTTTTGTGCTCGTAACCATCGCGACCCATGATGGGTCGCTGAGCAGATATTGGGATGTGTGGTCATCCGTGCCATTGCCCGTGTCGAGTCTTCTGGTCGTTACTCACGTTTCGTTGGTGATTGGAGGAGGAGAAGGAGTTGAGCAAAGAGAAAATGCAAAGGCGAGCGAGTTCTCAGGGACGGAGAGGGAGCGCGGCAAGGCGGGGCGGCGGCTGCGAGGGCAGCCTGGCTGGCGAGCGAGGGAGGCTGGACGGGCCAAAGCAGGGCACGGAAGTAGCGAGCGACCAGTCCAGGCGAGGCGAGGCGAGGCGCTCTTTTACTCCACTCCATCACCATCATCATCATCATCACTACCCGCTAATCTAAATCGAAATCACATGAACATCGCAGCGTCGCATCGCATCGCATCCCCACCCACTCACTGCGCGCTCCTTTTTCGCCCGCCTACCACTCCCTGCACCCAAACACCACATTCACCCCACGCGTCTGCGAATAAACCGTCTCCCCCGCGCTAGGCTGTTGCGCACCAGGACAACGTGTCAGCTTGATTAGCGTCTCCCCCTGCCTCGCCCTCGCCACTCGCGACTTGCGACTCACGTTGCTCGCACTACTCTTTCGCCCATCATCGAAGCTCACGCCGCCGCTGCCCCTGTTCGACCACCCGGCTGTTATGCTCGAGCCTCGCCAGGGGGCGTTGGAGAAGGTGAGGCGCCATTCTTCCAGTTGCTGGGGTGGGCAAGGGGAGAGGTGAGGGGCGAGCAACGAGCGGGGTGAGGCGCGAAGCGTTCAGCGTAGGGTGGGCCGATCGTCAGAATCAAGGGGATGGATGAGCGGAGAGCACTACGACAGCGTGCCGGCCGGGACACGGGCAACGGGCAAGGACTCACCTGATCCCCCGCACAGAGGAAACGAACCGTTCCCGCCGAGTTGTCGGGAAAGGCTGCGATTACTGCCGTGCCCGGAAGCAGGGCGGCAGAGTCCGGCGAGGAGGAGCAAAGCTGAGCTGCACACCGTCGAGAGGAGAGGCGCTGCGCTACGCTACGTCGACGACTTACCATGTCCTGGGGTGATGTCCCTTCGAGGGAGCGATAGAGAATGAGGCGAGAACAGGTCAGGCCCTCATTCCGGCGACAAACCACCACGCGCACGACGCAACGCACGATCCAAGAAACTCGTCCGGCATATTGATCTCCACCGTCGCCGTAGGTGGGGTGAGCTTTTCCTTTGGAGGCATGCTGGGCGCGCGCGGCGTGAGGAGTGAGGCTGAGTAGCGTAATGTAGCGAGGCGCTGGCGAAGGGGGGCGCACTGTACGCCTGATGGTGAGGTGTGCGAGGGGCTTGAGGTCAGCTCGACGTGATTTTGCCCTTATGGGCACACGAGCGCGCACACACACACACTCACAATGAACCGTCTCTCGAGCGCAGAGGGCTTGGATGTCTGTCGTCATAAAGGCGTCGAGCATCGTGACGACGAAGGCGAGGAGGGCGAGGAGAGAGGCGAGGGAAGGCGTGGGGAGGGCGAGCATGGTGAGGTTGGCGTTCGTGTGGTGGAGAAGGGGGGGAGGGGAGATGCGATGTGACGAGGAGGGGGAGGAGGAAAGGAGAGGCAATCGCTGGGCCAGGGCAAGCAAGGGAGCGCACGAGGATACGTAGGTGCCACGTACCAGCCCGCGCACAGCATAGCAACAGCAATAGCAACAGCAACAAGAGCAGGAGGCAGAGACGGGCGACACCATCCCGAATAGGCTGGACACGCGGAGGACAACGCGGTACTGCGGTGAGGCAAAGCAGAGTAGCGCAGATGCCGTACGGACACGGCTGCAGATACGGCTGAAGCGAGCCGACCATGAAGTTCGTAACGGAGATGATGACTCGACTCGACGACTCGCGCTGGTTGCAACTCGACTCACAACGCGCTCATCGCGTAGGCAGAGCACAGAGGCAGCAAAGCCAGGGAGAGGGAAAGCACAGGGAGGAGGAGGAGTAGCATGCTCGGCGTATGATCGGAAGGTGCAATGCAACACAACGTAAGGCCGCGAGTGGACGGGGGAGGCGTCGAGGAGGAGAAGGCAAGACAACTGCTGTCTAGGCTTGGAGCAGGGTCAACGATGCCCCAGATGCCACGTACGAACGAAAAACAAACTGGAACAGCGACGCGAGCGACGCGAGCGGTTCGCGGGACTGCGCGCTGCGCATGTAGACAGCGCAAGGCGAGGCAAGACAGAGGTAGCTCGAGCGCAATGGGTTTGGGTACGACTGGATCGATTTAGGGGACCACTTCACTACCACTACGAGGTCTACAACGCCAACTCAACTCGACTGAACCCGCAACAACGCTTCGCCGTCGCTCGCTCGCTCCTCCTCTCACTGCAACCCGCGCTCTCTACACGTAAAGACCAAGTTCACCCCACGCGCGTACGAACGGATCGTCTGCCCTGCTGCGGGCTGATTCTCCGCCCCACACACGCAAATCAGGGTCAGCTCTCTGGTCTCTCGTCTCGTCTCGCCGCAACCCGGACTCACACTCTCCCTGAAAGTCCACCGCCCGTCATCCCAGTTCGCCGCACCCCTCCCGCGATTGGCAGCGTCGGCCGTGATGCTCGAGCCGTGCGTGGGGACGTTGGAGAAGGTAAAGTGCCAGGATTGGAGGGCCTGGCGTGAGCGAGCGGTGAGCGAGCGTTGAGGGATACGATCGAGCCGCGGAAAGGGGGCACCTGCACGCACCTCATCTCCCACGCAAAGGAAACGAACCGTCCCTCCCGAGGGTTCGGGGAAGCCTGCGATCACTGCGTGCACGCGAGGGAAGGAGTAGGTGAGCATCGCGAAAGAAGGCAGCGAGCGCCATGACCCGCAGTACCATTCGCGGGGTCCAGGTCTCTGCGCGGACAGGCAGGCAACGAGGTAAGCTCCCCGCAGGCTCAGGCGTGGGATCGCGCTGGCACGTCACGCCGCGCCAACTCACGCCCCGATGAACTCTCCCGGCTGATCAATGGCCACAGTAGCCGTGGGCGGGGTGAGCTGTTCTTTCGGGGGCATGCTGCGCGTCGCGGAGCGAAGTGGGAGTCAGCACGTACAGTAGGCGCGGCAAGGCGAGCTTGGGATCTAGGCGACGTACTGCACGCCTACTCGAGCGCGAGGGTGCACAAGGGACGGCCGTGAGCTCTACGACCTGACCCGCTGCGCACGCCACCCGCACTCACAATGGATGGTCTCTCTGGCGCACAGCTCGGTGATATTGATGGCCATGTAGGGTGGTTTTGTCATGCCGAGGGTAGCCATCGTGGCGCAGAGGAGGGGCCACAAGAGGAGATAGAGCATGATAGGCTGTATGGTGATGATGGTTAGGTACGATCGCGCGATCGAGGTGAGTCCAGCACAGTCCAACGGTCGCGACGCTGAGCGAGCGGGACTACTGTGGCGGTGCTGGCTTAGCTGAGCCGGCCATCATCCTCCGTGCGCTCAGCAAACAGAGCGCGGTAGGGCAGGGCGTAACAAAGGCGGCGCAATCCCGCCCGCCGTCAACGGTACTGCGATTTGCTGCGGACGCGATTGCGGAGGCGGGGCTCGACGAGTTCAAGCCTACAATTATGGTCACGGGCCCTCTCAACCTCTCGCTCCGACCTTCGAGCTCTAGCACACAGGCACGACGCAGTAGCCCGGCTCAAACGACTCGACTACACTGGATCACGAAGCGACGCAGTCTCACGATGGAGCAATCGAGCGACCATTACCTACACTCGAAAACGACGTTCACACCTCGAGTCGTGGAGGTGATCGACTGGCCCGCCGCGGGCTGCGCGAACGTGATGCGAACCGATGCGTCAGCTCCTCTTCTCTGGCCTCGCCTCTCCGACTCGCATTCCTCTCCCCGCCCCTGAAAGTCCCCACATCCTTGTCACCCTTGTCGTCATCGAAGCTCACTCCGCCTCTGCCCTGGTTGGAGATCCCGGCAGTGATCGTCGTGACGCCGTTTTGGACGGTGGAGAAGTAAAGGCGCCAGGTTTGGAGCGGGAGCTGGGCGTCTCCGTCGCAGAGGAAACGGACGGTTCCTGCCGATCGATAGGGGAAGGCGGCGATGGCTGTGGTGCCGGGGAGGGTTGGCAAGGGAAGCGTGAGCAGGAGAATGGAGCACCGCACTGCCTCAGGCTCGGCCCACTGTTTGCTGGGTTCAGGTCTCTGCGCGCGAGCGAGGCGGCAAGCAAGTTTTCATGGTGCAAGCGTACGCCGCTCAGTATCACGTTAGGCTCACTCGCACGCGGCCGCAGCAACGCACGCTCCGAGGAACTCGCCAGGCTTGTCGATTTCCACGTTCCCTACTGGAGGGAGGAGCTTCTCTTTCGGTGGCATGCTGGGCGTGCGGTCGTGGTAAGGGAGGTGGAGGGAGGAAAGGTCGAAGTGTGAGAGGTCAGGTTGCAATACGGGCTGCGTTAGCGCGAGGACGTACTGCACGCCTACGAACGAGCGAGGCGGCGGCGGAAGAGAGCAAGTGTCCACAGTGAGCAAAACTTCTGAGCCCGCCCATCCGACTCACAATGGATGCTGTCGAATTTGCAGATGATGCTGATGTTCACCGTCATGTAGGCGTTGATCAGCGGCGTTGCGGCGGCGAGGAGGAAGAGGAGGGCGAGCATGGCGGGGTGAGGGGCGTGAGAGGGAAGGAAAAGAGCTGTGCATGGGGAGCGGCTGGCTAGGGCGGGCAGCCTTCCCTCGCGGATAGCGCAGCAAAGGCAAAGAGGGCGAGGTTCGAGGTGCCTGGCTGTTTTGCTACGGCGGACGAGGCAGGCGGGGCGTGTTGACCCATGTGGCTGGTCCGCGCCGCGTCTCGCTTGGCTCACCTGTGGCCGCCCTGTCTTGTTGACTTTTCTCTCTCTCTTCACCGGCTGGATCTTCGCTCTCATCGTCGGCGGTCAAGCTGGACAGCGCCGTATCTGGGCATCAAACAGCTCGACGCCATATACAAGACGAGGTGAGCTTGAAGGCAAAAAACGCTTGCACGGTGGCGCTGTTGGATTCATCGAGCGACTGGTAGTCTCGCCACGAGCTCGAGCTACGAGGGTCACTCGATCCATCTTTGCTCGTCGCTCCTCGGCACGACGGCATCTCGTCGAGATGGAAACTGGATCGCATTACATCGCAGCATCGAAGCCTCGGCCCCCTCCTCAATCATCCTTGCAGCTAAACATGACATTCACACCCCTCGTCGACGAGAAAATCGCGGTTCCCGCTGGAGGCTACACGCACGGACGACAAAATCAGTCAGGATCTCCACGCCAGCACGCGCGCAACTCACATCCCTCGCTCCGGCAACCTCAACGAAGGTCACCTCGCCTCGACCCTTTGCAGGGTTGTCGCTCGCGGCTTTGACGGCCGAGCCTGCGTAGACGGTCGAGAAGTAGAGGCGCCATTCCTGCATTTGCTGGCGCGACGCGGCGCGGCGCGGGGTGAAGGTGGATGAGCACGGCGAGTGGGGAGACGGGCAAGGGTCACGACAAATACGCACCGTATCTCCCACGCAGAGGAACCGAACCGTCCCTGACGACCTGTAGGGGTAGGCGACAATTACTACGAGGGAAGCGCGGTGAGCAGAGCGCGCGGGGAAAAGCGCCCACGTTGATGGCTCACCTTTTGCTGGGTTCAGGTCTCTGCGAGCCAGGGCGGGGATGGGTGAGGCAGGTCAGATTAAGCGCAACTCGCGGCCGGGCGCTGCTCACGCTCCAATGAACTCTCCGGGCTTGTCGATCTCCACCGTCCCGACAGGCGGCTGCAGCTTTTCCTTTGGCGGCATCCTGGACGTGCGTGCGAGGGGCGGGGCGTGCGAGGGATGGGTGCGAATGTAGAGTCAGGCTACAGGCGAGCTCAAGTAGGGCAGCGAGGACGCACTGCACGCCTGCGAGCGGAGGGGCTGAGTTAGCTCGATTGAGCTTCGCACGCGCCATTCGCGCACTCACAATGCGTGGTTTCGAAGCCGCAGATGGTTGAGATGGGAATCGTGGTCAGGCGAGCGCTAGGCGTTGGGCCAAGGAGGGAGAGGCCGAGAAGCGCGAGCGCGAAAGAGGGTAGCGAGAGCATGGCTGCGTGGTGGTGAAGAGGCAGGAAGAACGAGGGGAAACGCGCCACTACGAGAGGGAGAAGAGGGACGGCGGCGAGGAGGGTCTGCAATCACGGCGCTGGCTGGGTCAGGGCGGGCACGTACGCTCGGGTGCGCACGAGCAAGCGGGGTAAAGAGGCAGGTGATGCGATCACGAACCTACAACAGCAACGCAGGCTGGCAGGACGCAGGCGGGACAATCTGGCCGACTGGGTATCACACCCCCTACTCCGGGTTGCTGCGGCTTAATCAAGGCAACGTGGTGTGGCGAGGCGGGTCCAGGCGAAGCAAAGCTCAACGTATGCGTCTACGCGCGCGACTCGAGCAAGCGGGCGCACAACTTCACTTCTGCCATACGACGGCACAAGTCGCGATGCAAGCTCGGATGACTCGAGTTACTCATTTACGGCAAGGGTAACCCAACGACTCGCTCGCGCTCACTCATCTTGCGCCGCGCCCTCTTCTACCACTCCCTACATCCGAAAACGACATTGACTCCCCTCGTCTGCGAGGAAATCGTCTGCCCCGCACCCGGCTGGAGGAAGGCGCGCAAGCAAGCAATCAGCAAGTCGTCCCGCATCGCTGCCGACTTGCCGACTCACATTCTTCTCCGTGGTATTATCATCAAAGCTCACCCCTCCCCGGCCGCGATTGGACATCCCGGCCGTGACGTAGGTGCCGCTCCAGACTTTGGAGAAGTAGAGGCGCCATTCTTCGATCTCCTGGCGAGAGGCGTGTAACGCAAAGGGCGAGGTTCAGCTCTCAAGCGAGGAGTGTTCAAGCGTGGCAAACGCACCGGATCGCCCGAGCAGAGGAAACGGACCGTGCCTGTGGAGCGGTAGGGGAATACTGCGATCGCTGCGGGTAGCGCGGGGGTGGGTAAATAAGACGTGCGGCGGAAACTCGCAGCAATGGCGTACCATCTTGGGGGCTCAGGTCTCTGCGCGCGAGATTGATGGGAGCGGGTCAGGATCAGGAGGCGTCCACGCGTACCGGACGCAACGTGACGACGCACGTAGACAAGAATTCGTCTGGCTCATTGATCTCGATTGTCGCGACGGGAGGGACAAGCTGCTGCTTGGGTGGCAAGCTGCAAGAGAAGAGAGGACACGGGGCTCGTCAGACTGAGCGCTCCCGCCACGCTTGTGGGTCGACGTACTGAACGCCTGTGGACGACAACGAGGAAGGAGGAGCGAGGAGCGAGAGGGTGGTGAGCTTGACGTCAACTTGGCCGGTGGTGATCCGTACTCACAGTGCGTAAACTCCAAGGGGCAGAGGATGGACATGTTCTTGAACAGCACGGCGTCGACAATCCCAGTCGTCGCAGCGAGGAGGGCGAGCAAGAGGAGAGGGGTGCGCAGGGGGAGCATGGCGTATGAGCTTGTTGTTGTGATTGGCAAGAATAGTAAGAGGAGAGGCGACGCGTTTGCGAGGAAGCAGAGGAGGGCAGCGCCGCAGGGCCAGGGCAAGCGAAGGAGAGCACGAGGACTCGGATGGCCATGACCGCACGAAGGGTACGCCGCCGTCGAGGCGCAGTCCTGGGCTAGGGCAAGCGAGCAAGAGCACAACGATTAGGCAAGACGCCCACGCAAATGACGCGAGCATGGCAACCGCAACAATCTCGGGTGCTAAACCGCCGTACATCCACGTCTATCGTCTGGTTGCGAACGTGCGCCAGGGACTACGGCGATACTGCGGCGCCTGAGCAATGCGGATCAAGCGAAGCGCCACTCTCTCGCGCGCTCACTCACGTCGCCTCACGACGAGACGAGCTCGTCGCGAGCCCTTCCTCCCCGCGCTAAGGGCGGCACCCAAAAACCACGTCGACCCCCTTTGTGGTGCTAGTCACGCTCTGGTTTGCCGTGGGCTGCGCGTCGACATGGAGCACGCTTGATCAGCTTTCCTCAATTGCCGTGGGTCCTCGCACGCACTCACATTGCTGGACCCACCATCACTCCAACTGACTATGCCTCTCCCCTGATTGTTCCCGCCCGCGGTTATTCTGCTGCCTTTGATGTTGGAAAAGGAGACGCGCCATTCCTCGAGGTACTGGCGGCGTAGCGCGAGGTGGCGAGAAGCTGCGGGATGGTACTGCATCACGCCACGCTCGCGCACTCACCGTATCATGCAGGCAGACGAAGCGCACAAGGCCGGAGGACTGGTCGGGGAAAGCCACCGTCACTACGCGAGCCGCTTGTACGCTCAGCAGCAGGACAAATCGAGGGTCGAGGAACGGGCCTTACCGTGCGGTGGATTGGGATCACTGCGAGTAGTGCGAGCAAGAAGCGGGGTCAGTCGTGCGTGCATACGCGGAGTCAACTGGCAACGCACCTTCCTAAGAACTCGTCCGGCTCGTCAATTTCCACTGTCGCAATGGGAGGGATGAGCTGACCTTTGTTGGGCATGCTGCGTGGCAAGCAGCGGTCAGCGTGAAGCGTGTCGCATCGCGTCAGCGCGGACGTACTAGACGCCTGGCGAGGGAGAACATGAGCAAAGGCTGCAAGTGTGGCAACGTGGACGCACATCCGTAGTCGGTGCGCCAGCTGCAATAGTTTGTTGGGTGCTTCGGGATCTCGTCTGCGGTCGCGTAGGCCGCAATCAGGGCGAGGAGCGAGGCGAGCAGGGCGCGGAGCATGGGGACGGAGTGCAAGGATGAGGAGGCAAAGAGGCGCGACGTCGCAGCTTGTTGGCTACGAAAGAGTGATGTCGCTACACGCAGGCAGGCGCTGGGCCAGGGCATCAACGCGCGGGGGAAAGAAGAATCGTGATTCGGAGAGAAGAGAGGCGCCGTAGATGCGCCGCGCACGCTCAACAGCTAAACCGGATATCGACGCCCTTGGTGTACGATCGGATGATTTCGTTTGGGGCAGGCTGAGGAGCAGAACGGCAGGGTCAGCATCATCGGAGCTCCTGCGCCACGCTCGCGACTCACATTTCCCCCACTCCCATCGCTGAAGCTCGCCTTGCCCTTTCCCGCATTATCAGGGCTCGCATGCAATCCGGTCCCATCCGTGTTGGAGAATCCCAGGTCCCATTCCATACGCGCTTTGTCGTATTTGCAGGTGAAACGCACACGACCAGCAGCCCCGTCTGGGTACTCGGCAGAGGGCGTCGAAGCGTTGAGGTTGTAGGTGACGAACTTGTTGGGCGGGTAGCACTCGATGCTCCCCGAGGGGCCGGGCACTACGGCGTCGCGGGAAGGCAGGCTGCGCGGGCGGCGTGAGCGAGGTAAGCGTGCGAGAGGCGTGCGAGAGGCGCGCAAGTGGCGAGACGCACTAGACGCCTGGCAGGAAGGCGAGAGGAGTCGAGGTCAGCTACGTCTTGTGTCAGGCGCGGCGCTGCGCTCACTCACAGTGGTTTGGCCCATTGCAGGCGCGCGCGAGGGGCAAGAGGAGCGTCACGAGGAGCACGGCCACAACGGCGAGACTGATCATCTTGGTGAATGTTGTGTGAGTGAGAGGGGAAAAAAGGATCGGCGCGCTCGGCGCCTTTGATGATGCGTTGTGACCTGACGCCAAGCGAACGTGCATCCATGCTCCCGCTCGCCGCTCGTCGGGATAATCTGGTGCCCTGCTGCGCAAGTCCGTCCCATCACAACCAGCAATTGGGACGGCCTTGAGCAACCGCGTCCTCGCTGCTCCGCATCACATCAATTTGGTGCCTCGCACTGCCGCCGCCGCCGCCGCTTCGCCGTTGGTGCAATCAAGCGGGGCGGGCCTGTGCTAGCGGCGGCGGCGAGGCGACGAGATGACTCGACTTGATGAGCTCAGCGCAATCACTTCTTGCCTTCGCTCCATCCACTCTAATCTCGCCATCGCCCTCGACCCCCATGATGGCTCTTCCTTTCCACCACCACCACCCCGTCTCGATCAGCAAGACGATCTTGCTGCACGCACACAGCCTCCTCGCCTCGCACCTTCTCCTGCCTGAGCCACCTCCTTGCCGCCAAGGTAAGCGCACCACGCACGCTCAGCACGCTCAGCAGGCTCAGCCGTCGCTCACATCACCTTGCACCCTTACCTCACCTCATCTTTGACAGCACGCAGCTGCACTTGGCATTGGCGTTCGGGATCTTCACGCAGCGTGACAGCAGCAGATTCGCTACTATGCTGAGCAGCACGGGGCAGCAACATATCAATACCTCTCCTCAAGCTCGCACGCACACTCGCACTCGCAGTCAGGCCATCCCCACCTCACCATCCTCATCAGGCCTCAAGCACTCGTCCCCCCACTGTCAAGGTGGGCATGATGCATCCAGTCAGCTCAACTCGAACGGCACCGTCACCGTCACCGTCACGCCAGCGTCTACATCGCAGCGACTCGGCCCTTGCGTCAGCCATGTGTCAGTACATGCGCTGCTCAGCATCTCGACGAGCTGCCAGCTGACTTTGTTCACCCCCGCTACCTTGCTCGCAGACTACGGCACCCTCGTCACCGTCACCGTCACCGTCACCGTCACCGTCACCACCACCGTCAACGTCGCCCTCAAAGTCAACGTTATTGGCTTTGCATAGCGCAGCAGTCTGTCGACCTTGCCACGCAGAGCGCCGTTGTGCTTCTGCCCATCAATGTCAAGAGCACTTTGCGTAGAGTGGAAGCACGTCGATTCAAAGGCACAGATCAAAGAGACCAGACTGAGGAAGACATTGTACACGTCATCGTGAGTAGATCCAAGGATCTCTAGCACAAAAAGAGCATGACTGAGGCGGGCTTCATCACCTCACGCGCAGCATCGAGGCTTGCTACTTCCCTGGGCACTTTCGCCGTCTAAGCTTGGCTCGTTCGCCCTGCATGCTCTTCCTTTTGCGCTCGTGCAAGGGTAGTCCTGGTATCATTCACCAAGGCCGACGTCAGCCGATCCTGGCAACTGAGCCAACATGAGGGTACACTCCTTCGTGAAGAGTCGTCGAGCGTGAGTAGGCGTGGCGTGACGTGGCGTGGCACGGCAAAGCGCGATTGCTGACGGTCATCCCCACCCGCATTGCTAGGACGCCTCGACTGGGCTGGCCCATCAAGTCCCTTTCTTCCTCGCGACCAAGACCCACCCGCCACGGTGTGCTCCTCTTGCCTTCGCACCAAGTCTCCCCCGCGCCTCCCTGACCTGCATCTACGACTTCGGCACCGCATTCATCAAGTACTGGTCGCCCGTCGTACGAAGCACCACTGGGCCATCTGGCCAGACGGTGGAGGTACAAGCAATCATCTGCGGACCAGAGGAAGCTGGCAGCCTTGGCTCCGCTCCCGCGCCCACAACCACGACGCAAGTTGAGGAGGACGACCTCGCTGGGAGAGTCCAACACCCCTTCCAAGGGTTTTTGTGGGACCTCCCACTCGTCGACATCGCAATGGGGCTGAGGGAGTTCCGTGCTGACGCAATCGTGCGCAGCCTGCAAGCCTCCATCCAAACGACGAACAAGACGACATCTTCCTCCTCCTCGGTATCCGGCTCTTCCTCCTCTTCTTCCTCCGCCTCTGATCGTGCCTTGCACCCTCCTGCAGGCAGCGAGCCGATCAACCTTTGCCCAACGCGCACGCACTTCGCTCAAAACACACGCCCATCGCCCAAATCGCCTGCTCACTGTAATGTGAAGCACGTCAATTCAAAGTGATGATTCAAAAGGGAGGAAGCTGAAGGAGATGTAGACTCGAGCTCAAGAGACCAGATAGGGGCAAAGAAGGGGTCTGAGCGCAGGCTAGTCTAGCCAAACCAAAGCTCAACACTCACTTCATCAATTGCGCCTTCGACTTCGGTCAGGCGCTGATCAAATACTGGCTGCCCATTCTTCCTGATCTTCCCGCTCCAGTCGATGTCCACGGCCGCGTATACAGCCCCGGCCAGGCTCTTGGCTTTACCCCTCCCACCGACGCCACGAGACTCGAGGATGATCAGCGCGCTGGCACTCTCCCATCCACCTTCATGGGACTTCATTGTCACCTGCCAGCAGTCGACGTAGACTTCGAGCCAAGAGCCTTTGTGGCAGAGGCCAGCAGGCAGCGGGCCGTCAACGCTGGATGCAACAGTCAGGTGGCACAGGCAGTCACTTCGCGCACGGCACCAGACCAGCCGGCTCAATTTGCTCAAAGTGATGCTCGTGGCGAGAGGAGCCCGGAGGCAGAGATGGACGCGACTACTGAGGGCAGCAGCGGCAATGACCTGCTGACGGACGACGTCGACATGGTACTTCTCGACTCCCCCTCCCTCGACAACGGCGCTCGGGCATCTTCTCCCCTCTCCTCCGTCCCCAGCCGCACGCCCACGCCCACGCCGATGGCTCCCCCTTCAGCAGGTCAACCCCTCCGTCTCGCCCCTCCTCCTCTGTCTGACCTCCAGCGTCCAGCCAGACAAGCTGAGCTGCTGATCCGCCCGTTCATCGACGCCATGGTGGATGCAGCAACCTCAACGGCTCTGGCCGCCATTCAAGACGAGTTGAAACAGGACGGGCGCCCTTCGATGGCGGCAATGGCCATGGCACGAGCAGACCTCGCGCTCACGACGCCATTGTGAAAAGGTGCATCGAGATGCGGAGGAGGCTGTGGTACCGCACCACGCTGGACCTCAACGAGCTCGCGAGGAGCTACTCCAGCTGAGAGATGGCCGAAATCATCCTCGACGCAACGCCGTGCCTCTCGAATGCGTACGCCGACAGCATCGAGGCCGAGGAGATGCTGGCGGCTCCTTACGAGCTCAACGCCTTGACTTGCCGCGGACTCACGACGACCAGCATTGGGGCGAGCCGCGGGCAAGCACATGTCCCCCGGCAAGGACCCAAACTGGCGCTACCTCTCCTTCGACGACTTACTGGCTGTGCCTCTCTTTCTATGCCGTCGACGACCCGTACTCCCCCTTGACTGCGTCTTGGCGCCCAAGGGCTCCTTCATCGTCCTCCGCGCCACGGAGAGCAAGCGTCCTGCTCCTCTAAGATCTAGCACTCCTTGAGAGGCTTCCTTTGGGACCTGCCCATCGTAAACCTCTCCGCGGGCGTCACGGCCTACGTCGTAAAGGCTCGTAAGGAGCCAGAGGAGATGCGTCATCAACGCTAGCAGGGCCACCACGCCCATCAATGCTACCTCGCCTACCAACACCGACGCCGCCGACGCCGCCATGCCTACTCGTCACCTCCACCACGCCCGCCGTAATTGATGCCGCCGCCACCGTCACCACCAGACGTTGCGAAACGGGCTCGCGTCTCTATCACTTCCCGCACAGTCGCCTGCCAGATCTTCCCGCCGCCACTCATCCGAGGCTAGCCACGGATGGCTGACGCTCAGCCCATGCGGCCTGCTGGACGCGGCTGATGCAGCCTCGACTACTCGTTTTCCCCCCACCGTTGGTCGCAAGAGACTGGGTTTTCCTCCTGAACCATCCAGCGTGGTTCAGCAAAATTCTTCTCGTCAACCGCTCACACATTATGGTACGAAAAGTTACTATGAGCCAGAGTGAGAGTCGTAGCGCTCTCCAGAGTGCCCCTGCCAGACCCAATCTAACCCACCCCTCTGCTTCCGCCTCTCCGCCATCAGCCTTCCCTGCCCCAACATACGACTGCCCCACGCCAGCTTGGGAAGGAGATGACCTGGATCTGGAGGTCTGGCGCTGCGAGCGAGACATAGCTCGCCAGCAGCATGAGGAAGATCTGGCCAAGGCGCAGGAAAAGGCTGCGGCCGAGGCAAAGGCTGCCGCTGAAGCTCACGCGGCAGAGAGTGAGAAGCATAAACAGACCCGCAAAGCAGAGCAGTGAGTAGGCGGCACGCCCTGCCGCGGCGCGGCGACATGGTCGATCAAGCAAGCAAGTGCTCGTAGCCGCTGACCTACTCAACTCTCCCTTCCTTTCGCCGCTCGCAGCAGCTCCGCCCCCGCCTCGATACCCCCTTCATCGTCGTCGTCATCGTCTTCCCCCAGCCAAGCAAGTAGCCGTGGCATCGCTCGACTGGGTGCGCTCTCACGAGCAACCGTCGGCTGAGCCTCGAGCCGCCCCTCGCTCGCTGCTGCAGCGCTTCGAGGAGGTGCGCGTCTCTGGCGAAGCCGTCGTGCTCAAGGAGCTCGACCTGGCAGAGGAACCATGGAAGGAGGCGGAGATGGCAGAGAGGCTGGCAAAGCTGCCGATGCCTCCTGGCACGGCAGACCTCTTCCGCCGAGCAGATCAGGCCAAGGTCAAGTTCGCGACCTACATCCTGGACGACAGGTGGTTCTGGTGCCCGGCAATCGACGCGATGACAGTCGAGTCGAAGAAGGAAGGTGAGCCACTCGTACACGCGCGCCCATGTGCTCGATGCAGGAAGAAGGGAATCGCGTGCTGTGTCTTCGTTGCCGAGAAGGGCGAGGCGGGCGAAGAGGGCAAGAAGGAGAAGAGGGCCGTCTACGCCTGCGCGCCCTGCAAGAAGAAGGGGACGCCTTGCGAGTGCAGGCTGGTAGGCAGAGGCAACACAGCCAGAAGCAAGCAGAAGGAGGTGCAAAGATGGAGTGGTCTCCGCATCATGGCCGCGACAATGCTCCGATGGACGAGGATCCCCTCTTTGACGCCTCACTCGACGCCATAGACCCTTCTCCGCCTCCTCCTCCTTCATCAGGCACGACGATACCACAAGCAGTTACTCCAGCCGCTCCTCTCGCTCCCACCATCGCTGCCATCATCGCTCCTCTCGCTCCCACTGGTCTCCCCGTCACCGCTCCTCCTGCTCCACCCACTCTGGCCACCGCCCTCCTTCGCTTCGCTCCTCCGCCGCTCGCCGACCTGAATCGCCCAGCAAGCCAGGTGGAGCTCCTCATCAGGCCATTTATCGACGCCATGGTCGAAGCAGCAACGCACCAGGCCTTTGTCGCGATCAAAGCGGACTACAGCACCTGGGCGTGGGCAACCTCCCTTCGCGTCTCCCAAGATGGTACGAGCGGACCTCGCAAAGCACGACGCCATTGTCAAACGCTGCATCGAGACGAGAAAGCGGATCTGGCTGCGAACGGCGCTCGATATCAGCACGTTCTTTCGCAGCTACACCAGCACCGAGATGGCCGACATCATTCTGGACGCGACGCCGTGCCTCTCAACGCCGTATGACGACTCGATCGAGGAGGCTGAGGCGATCATTGCCGCACTCCCGGAGCTGAACGCACTCACATGCCAGCGTTTCGGGGTCTATCGCGTGATCGAGAGGTGGATTGACGATGTGGGGCGCCAAGAAACGTACGACTACGTAGATTCTGCCTACAAGCAGTCGATCTCGAGGCGAAATGACAACCACCGAGCACAAGCGCGCAGGATCATGGAAGCGGCAAATCAAGGCGGCCATGCGATGCTGGACAAGCATCTAGGCGTGCACCGTGGCCTGCACAAGCCTCGCATGGAGAAGAGCGTGCACTTGGTCCTTTCGTGGGCGGGACCAACGGCAAATGAGCGCCAGTCGGCAGAGTGGCTGGTTGAAAATGTTGCGTCGACGGCGAATGGGGTCAAACTCGACCAGATGGGGGCGCAAAACTGCCCGAGAGCCTTCAAGTACGCGTACATCAACCGCATGTTTGTGGCCACGCTGGAGCACGAGTGGTCTTGCGCGCTCAATACGCCGCGCAACGGCTACGACGGCATCTTTGCTCTCGGAGTCGGCACCAGGGCAGCGCGAACCATCAAGGGGGTCAACTCGGCCGTGCCGGCGGTGCGCTTCACCGACCTCATCGGCAGCGCAGGATGGTGGTTCTACCACCACCAACCGCCAACGCTCACGGGCGCCGAGGAGGACGAGGAGCGTAGGGCGGCGCTCCATTGAGCCTTTAACCCTCCTTCGCCGCGCGAAAATGATGCAGCGGGAGGTCACTTCACGGTCGGCCTGGCGGCGGCGGCAAGGGCGCTGGACGACCTCATGAGTGGCGGCGGCGATGCGGGAGGCGAGGGCGATGCGCGCGCTGCAGACGTCGACATGGAGGAGCTGGTTGCCATGTCGCAGAGGATGTGGGTGGAGGGAGACTGGCAGGAGGAGACCCTAAGCTTGCCAGAGGAGGTCGAAAGTGGCGACAACGAGGGTGGCGAGGGCGGTGGGGGCGAGGGCGATGAGGGCGGCGAGGGCGGCGACAACGAGGACGAGGAAGAGGCCATGCTCGAAGCGCCTTTCGCTATGACGGCAGAGGCGAGTCCCAACATCGCGGCGGCAGGACGGATCCTCAACATGGGATACGCAGACGAAGCTCAGTCTCCCGCTCCATCGCTCGCTCTGGTACCGCACAACGACCCGCGCTACGAGGTGGACATGGTCGAGCAGTCCTCCCGATCCTTCTCAAGCACCCACGTCGCGTCGGCCCGGATCTCAAGACCGATCAAGGCCCTCATCAAGCCGAAGACAATCCCGGCTGCGGTGCGAGACGCTCGCGATCAAGTTGGCATACCCTGCAAGATCAAGAATGGGGTCAAGAGAGGGGTGGTTGAGCTGGCTGCTGGCACTTCAACATCGCACCGCCTGGCCTTCGAGAGAGATGTCACTTGCGCTGGCCTGTTGGTGGACGGGGAGGCAAGTTTCTGCATGAAGATGGTGCAGGAGACGCAGTGCGTCTGCCAACCTCTTGCCGCAAGCCCCGAAGCCTCTGCCGTCCTCACCCACTACCGCCTGCAAGTCATTCAGCAAGGCGGAATCGTCTACGTCTTGGAGCCGCTCCGTCAAGAGGTGGGGGGTGAGTGGGAGCGGGGCCTCAAGATGCTGGCTGAGCTGGCCTCGGTGATGCGCGAGCGCTTTGAGATCGTGTACGCCGATCTCCCCGTCGCCGATGCTAAGCTCATCAACGGCTTGGCGGTGAGGCTCAAGCAGGGTGGCATACGCACGACGCTGCACCCTACCTCGCCCTCAGCATCGACTTGGAGCTTCTGCGTACCAGTTCCCAAGGTCTTGATGGAGGAGTGGGGGAGGAACGAAGGGCTGTACACCTCGGCCAGCACGTCGGCGGTACCAGGAGAGATCTGGGTGCCCTTCAGGGGTTCAGTCAGCGGTGGGGGTGCGAAGGACCTGGTGCTCGGCGTCACCGACTCGGCTACGGGGCAGTACGCCTCCCCTTACTGCCTGGTCAGGCCCGCCAGTAGTACAGAAGGAGTCAAGCCTAGCTTCTCTTTTGATGCTCGAATCTTTCTCAGCCCCAGCCGCTTCGCAACGCACGTACGCAGACGAGCGCAATCGATTCTACCAGTCTTTGATTCCGTCTCACGTCTCCCATATCGCTCCTCGCTCCTCGCTTTTCGCTTGCTAGGCACTCCGCTGTGCTCTCTTCCACATAGGGCCTTGGGCGTTTGGCGGCTGTCGCATCGGCTGCCTTTGCTTTGAGTGGCGCGCTCAAATCCGGCCAGGCCTTGACCGCTGGCCTACGGAGGCTTGTCAAGCGTTGGGGAAACGCTGAGTGACACACTACGCTTGCCTAGCGGGCGGATGATCTCATGTCGCTTAATTCGATGCGATGACGGTTGCAAGCAGAGCGAGCAGAAAAAGTACACATGTGCACATACTCAGCGACGCAGAGGAGCTCGAGTTTGCGGACGCTGAAGTACAGACAGCCATCGCTGCTGTAGTCGACGGCAAAGGCGGCTCAGACGCAGCGACTGCACTTGGCAGCCCCACGCTGCTTGCTGCTGCATTGACAGGCCGACCAAGACTGTCCCTGATCGGAGAGCAAGAGGAGTTGCCCGCCCTCGCAATGCCCACAGACCCACGTCGCAGAAACGCCCAATGAAGAAGGTCTCCCTCTGCGCAGTCCATGAACCACGCCGTCGCGCTGCTCTTCTTGTCTGGCTCGCGTGGGTCAGGTTGGACTTGTTCGGGGCCCCAGGCCGTCCAACCTGCCCACACGTCGCTGTGAAGGTCTAGAAAAGCCAACGCTTCATTGACAGCTCTGACACAAGTCAGCGTCGCAAGGCCGCCGATCTCGCTGAGGAAGGCCGTTTTGTTGTGACTGCGAAGAGCGTTCGTCACATCTGTGTACATGTCGCGCCGTGTGGTGTTGAAATCCTCACACTCCTCAACCCCGCCCATGCTGTGATCGAGGTAGCTGTGTATGTCGTAGATCAGCAAATCACTCGGGTCAGTGATGCTGAGTGTGTAGTTGGAGTACTTGAGCCACGTCGACATTCCTTGATACTCCTTGCTTGGGAGGAAAATGTATTGAGAAGTTGCTCCGGCATCTCGGATGGCTGCGATCGACCTTTGCAGGTAGTCTGTAACGGCAAGAGTATCAGCCCGGTCCTCAGGCTCGTTCATGATGCCAAAAGCCACACGCGACTCGTTCTTGAAGTAGGACGCAATCGTAGCCCACATGGTCGCGAGCCCGTCAGCCGGAGCGCCAGCGTCCTCGCCAATGAAGCTGTTCTTGTGCCGGCCGAAGTCATGGCAGTCGAGGATGACCCAGACGTTGGCGTCCTTCAGCATGCTTGTGACATTCGCGAGCATAGCACCGTAGTATTCGTCGTTCCAGCTTTGAGTGACATCGGGTTGGAGCAAGTTCCATGAGAAGCTGTAGCGGAAAATGTTGAAGCCAAGTCCGCGGTAGAGCTTGTAGTCGGACTCGGGAGTGACCTGGCCCGTCCAGCCATTCTCCTGGTTGTAAGACATGATGGCAAGGTTGACACCATTCCAGCAGGTCGACCCCGGGCATCGGTCGCGGAGGTCAACAGCGATGATAGCTGGTAGGATAGACAGGACTGCAAGGATTGCCGCGAGGATTGTCATCGAAGTGGTTCAATGGATGCAGTGCCGTGAATGATGCGGGTGAAAGAGGTGCTGTGCGGGCTTTACATACCCTCGTGCGAATCCTAAGAGAAGGTGGTCTGCTTGCCAATCGTGGTTGCCTGCAACATTGTGGCGCCCTCTGAAGTGACGACGTCGCTATACCGTCTTCAGGTTCGAGCTCCTCCCGGTCTCGCCTTTCGTCATGGCCTAGGGAGCCAAGCGGGGTAGCTCCCGGGACGGCGGAGCTTCGCAATGCCATTCAGGACCTAGCCTCTCGTCATGGCGCAGGTAGCTCAGAGCTAACCTCCTCCGACAGTTGAGTGGGAGCATGGCATCGTCCTTGGACTGTGGGTCTAGCCATGAAGCCTGGGCCTGCTGGATTTGGGGTCGTGAAAGCATGACGCGGGATCGGGACGAGGGCCAATGATCATCGATATTAATAGATTGACGCGGGACACTGTCTTTGGCTCACGGCGCAAGCTCCCCGAGTCTCCGCGGCTCACGATAAGCGAGCCGCGCCTCTGAAGTCCTGCGCAGCAGAGCATCTCACTTGGCTGCATCTTGTCCCACGGGACCCCGCGCGTTCACTGTTCAAGCCACAATGCAAATGATGCCGGTAAATTGTGATCATGCATTAATAACTGCGCCACACCCACATCGCGCACGGTACTCAGCAGGGCAACGCGTATTTATTGCGCCTGGAAACCGACGTCGCTCCTCAGAACGGCCCCTCATCATTGCCGACAAAGCGCACCAAATGTTCCAATTCCCAAACCTCTTCCAACGTGCAGGACGCGAGGGCCCGCGCCATCCACTACTTCTGTTCATCGCCGATGTAGGCTGGTTCCTCGTCATCCTCACCGCAGTCGTGGGCCTCTATCGCTCTTTGCAGTCCCATCCTGACTTATCCAAGGCAGCAGTCTTCGCGGTCCTCGGCATCGTCCTAGCCGCGGCGCTGATTGCGGCAAGCGTGGAAGCATGGAGACTTCATTGCAAGCATGGGCAAGAGAATGAGGAGCCATGGCAGAAAAGTCTGGCGCCGATGCAGAATTACTTGGCTGTAGTCTTCCTGGCCGCGGTTCTGATACCCATGTACGACCGCCGATGGGCGAGCCAGCTTCGCACGACCATCCTCAAGACCAGCGTCGAGCGACAAGTGAGTTGCGATCGAGCCTCGGTGCAAGCAAATGACTCTTTGCACTGACAACGCACTTTTGCTCACTATAGGAAGCCACCTTCATGCCGTCAGTCGCCATCATGTCGCTCAACACTGACCAATACCAGGCCAACCTCAATGGCACTGCTGGACCTACCTTCTTCTTGGGATGGGAGCGCTTTGATACGCCCTGCCCAGCAGACGCAGCTCGCAACATGACATACGGTCTCCACTACGGGTGCCATGCCGACAACTTTGTGCCGCAAAGCCTGCAACAGTTCAAGGACCCCGAAAACAACCAATACACCATGTGGCTCTTCGACAATAGTCAGATCAGGACGAATGTATCGACGCAGCAAGTGATCCTCAGATTTGATTCGAGCAACAGTAAGTGCCTGAAAGCAGGTCAGTGTCTTTGCGGCTGCGTGTTGATCTTCTGATTCGTCCCGACTCAGGCAATACCACGCGAGTCTGCGACGGGGACGCTCGCATTGATCACATGCAGCTGCATATTGCCGTCTTTGACGGCAGTACGCCCTCGGATCTCTATCGACACCTGTCCACACTTGGATCTACTACCACCATAGCAGCCTACAACGAATACGCCGTTAGCTTGGCCCGTCGTACATTCAAGGACAGGCGGGGCGCTCGATCTAGCAAAGTTTCGACTCTCTTTGGTGCACCAATCGCGAGACTTGGCTGCACCACCACGGTCAAGCTCAACTTCGACGACTTTGTTGAAGTGCACAACACCGAGGAGCCTGCGACCGACAGCTTGGCTATGCTGACGGAGTCTTCGGCTTTGCTGGTTCGTACCGTCAATAATGCTTTGAAGAAGGACCGAAACTGATTGACGAGCTCGTGGCCCCTTTGCAGGCTCTCATCCAGCTTCTACTCGGAGTCATTGCCAGCTGGTTTCGACACTATCCTCCCCAGCGACATGATGCCAGAGTTGGAATTTGAGCTTGTTTTTAACCAAGCTTTCTCGGACCACTCGCCCTCACCGACGCTGGAAGATCCACGCGAAGATTCTGCCGACGGCAAAGCCAGACAGGACACAGCGATACGTGTTGACGATTCGGCGATGACGAAGCATCTGTTCGCGCGTGTCAGAAGGCCGCTGTAAATATTGATACGGGAGCCTGTCCCGGCCCCTCCTCCATACCCAGCCTTTGCCTTTGAGCCCTATGATTCGTGATCCAGTGCCCATCTAGCTCTGGATGCGAGGATTGACGTGGCCCTCGCTCGAATGCATACGCTGTGACGAGTGTATGCGCTTTTCACCCAAAGCTTTCGCAACGTACGCCCATGTGTCGACCGCTGTTCGGCCGGTTCCGTTCCGTCTCGTTCCGCTTCTGTTTACGCTGTCTCGTCCTCATGTATCTTAGCCTCCTTACCATTGCAACCATCTGTTTCATAAGCACCACCTTTCATCGTCTCCCGGCTCAACAACCGCCTGTCGGAATGCAAAGCTGCAGTCGATTGACAATGCGCTTCGATACAGTAAGGCGGATCATTGTGCGTCTTTGTGTTCGAAGAAACATGAAGAGTGGCGGAAGCGAACTCGAGCTGATCCCGCGATCGTTTTGGGGTGCACAGTCATAGCTGTAAGCCTTGCGATTCTCCCTCCTTTTGCGCTATTCGCACGGCGAGGTAGGTAATGAGAGGGCCTGCGTGCTCTCCTGAACTGCTTGCCTGGCCTGTTCTCCGGCTGAAGAGGGTGCATTGAGAAGGCTGCCAGCCGAACTCTTCGGTCTTGTTGAGGCTGATGCAAGCAATAAAGGTGATGTTCGATGAAGACGATGGGATCAGCGCCGTCCTGCTTCTCACCTCTGACCCACTATGCTCAAGGCCTCACAGAGACTAACGACCGCAAGCTTGCCCGTCCCGGGCTCGTACACTGCGCACGTATACGCTGGTGTGAGCACTTCGACCGATGAAAGTCGTGATCACAATTGGTGCTTCGAATGTTACAGAAAACGGTGACATTTATAAGTAGAAGTACAAGCGAGACGAAGAAACATTCTCAAGTAGATCTACCCGTACCTGAATCTCTAAAAGCTGAAGCGCAAGAGCTGCGGATTGAGGGCAACGTGATAAACAAGGTGCATGCCAGCAAGCCACATTGGACACCAGAGCAGCGTCGCTCCACCAATGAGTTGCCATTCCAGCGGCACAATCTCCGGCGAATTGAGCACGGCGAAGCCAATGATCGTGAGAACGCAGGCGATGATCATCTTCCAGTAGCGGCGGAAAATGGCCGGAACTTCGACGAAGAAGTTTGACTGCTCGAGGGACTTGTTGGTGCTGCCCCACGTCATGTTGTATCCTACCGGGTGCGAGAGTACGGCGGTAAGGACATGGTAGGATAGACCCGTGAAGAAGATGGTCATAAAGGGCATCCAGACCACGTGCTCTCGAATGGCGGGCCAAAGCTTTTGGCGACGGCTCCTGAACTTGGCGGCGACGAAACCAAACATGCAGAGGCCGTTGAAGACGACGACGATGGCGACAAAGACTTTGAAAGGTTGAAGGAAGACGAGGTCGAGTGTCGGTGCGAACCATCCTTGGATCAGCGTGAGCGCAATGGTCAGCGGCATGGCGCACGCAATCGCATAGTAGGAGAAGATGTAGGAGGTCGAACAGAACTTGGAGTGCCAAGGGATGCCTTTAGCCCAGAGGAAGCGACGGTAAATTGGCGTGATGGGCCCCTTCCACCAGTACTTGAGTGGGCGAAACACCAGCTCAGATACGCCGAATGCGTACTTTTGCCACCTGTTCAATTCGTCGTCGCACGTCAAGGAGACGCCTTCCTTGAATTCGCAGTCCGAATATGTCGCCCATCGGATGATGTACTTCTTCATCAAGAGGCGCAACGTGATTTCAAAGTCTTCCGAGACGGTCGTCTCTGCCCAGATCTTGCGCACGCCGTCGTCCGGGTCGACTTCTGCGGCTTCTTGCAGTGCCGACCAGCGGAGAAAGGCATTGTGCCCCATGAAAGGTGCCAAATCGCCATTGCTGACCACAAAGGAGATCGCAAAGTTGACAGTCCTGGTGAAGAAGGCGATACCGGCCTCAAAGTAGTTGTCCTTGGTGACTTCCATGACGCCGGAGCAGTGCTGAAGGATGGCGACATCAGGCGACTGCGCCATTTCCGAGGCTGCGTCGAGGAAACAGTCGCGTGGTACCCGCGTATCGCAGTCAATCATCAAGATCAACTCGCCAATTCGCACATTGCCGGCACCTTTCGCCAAGGGATGAGCTGCAGCCAGTGCAATGGCGAAACACTCGTCGTAGAGTCGTGACTCGTCCTCATCGGTCCAGATCTCGTCTTGTCCAAATTGAGGTCGGCGCTCGTCCATGAGCTCCTCGACGTGCAGCGAGATGAGACAGGTGAAGTTGAGATTGGACGCCTTTTTGAAGCGACCTTTGCGCACGTAGCCATCAACATTGTGGCCCGGTCGTGCGACCCAGGCGATCTGCTGGCGCTCGTAGTAGTCGAGGCGCTTCTCTCTCTCTTCTTCCGAGACAACAAGCAGGCCGTCTTCCGAGACTAGGATGGACGCCGTACCACCTTGAAGCTCATAAGTCGAGATGGCAACGTTGAGAGATTCGATGGTAGGAATCAGGACCTCTTCGAGGCTCTCCTTGTAGACAGGCATCTGGATGGTAATGTGCGGGAGCGGACCTGACTTGATCCGTTTGGGCGCTTTACCAGAGTAGTAGCGCGTGTTCGCTGACATCTGCTTGATGGGCCCAAAGATTTGAAACAGGCCGCCGATGATGTTCTCCGTAAAGAAGAGAGAGATAGCAAGAATTGCCGGCACAATGGCAGCGAGGGCAAGTCGCATCCACTGGTGGTCTTGACCCGACTCGAGCAAGAGGATGCGGATGAGGTTACCCTGGAGAACGAGGTTCAACGCAGCGCCAAGGCCGTGGATGATAGGGGCTAGAAGCAGGGTCTTGCGTTCGGCAGGCGCTGCTGATGCTTCAAGGTCGTCGTCCGCAAAGTCGTCTTTCTCGTCCACCGAACCTGACTGCCTGTGGTTCTTTGCCTCTTCCAATGGCGGTGCGTAAACGGACGTACGCTCTGAAGGAGAGGCGCAGTTGATTCGTGGTGCCATGGACGGCAGGTTGATGCTCTTGCCCGTGGCGAGTAGCCAGATGTACTGAACCATCTTGACGTCAATTGCTTCGGCCTTTGCAGCGAGGTCGGCAACCTTGTCAGCCCAGACGACTAGGCGGTCTTCACCCTGAATGAAGGCCGCGCCTTGAGCCTTACGAGCCTTGACCAGATCGGCCGTCGATTGCACGACTTGAACTCGCTCTGTAGGGCTGAGAGCCACTTCAGTGACGTCCACGGGGAGGAAGTGCAAGACGCCAGCGACGACTGTCGACGTGATAGTGATGGCTGCCTGTAAAGGGAACGTCGTGACGAGCCGTCAGCGTGAGTAATTGACCGTACTTGGCTAGCTAGATGCTCACCTCGCAATTGAGCACGGCTATAGCAGCGGTCCAGTCATCGAGACGTGGATCCGTGGGCGGACAGACTGCATAATCTCCTTTGGCCAGGCGAAGAGCCACTCCATTCCACACGTCCTCTCGGTCAGAGAAGAAGCGTCGAGTGCTGGCAAAGGTGAAGATGGAGCGAGCCATGACTTCGCAAGCCAGGCGGCGTGACATAAGGTCACTTTCGTCTGACTGCCATGACTGAGAACTAGGTAGCGTGGCCACCTGAGATATGGGATCGAAGCTATCCAGGGTGGGGTTGGCATTGTCCTCTTTCTCTTCGTTGATGGAAGGCGTTGGCAAAGGTGCCGAGGGCGTTTTGCCGAAGGGAAGCGAGGGAAGGGAGAAGGGCATTGCGCTCGAGGGTGATGATTGATGACGGAGGAGCGCAGAAAATCATGTTGCATGAGGATTTGTTGGTCTTTATGTCAATCGCTCACGGACGTGATGATGTCGAGAACTCAAAGCCACCAGCTCAATCCATAGTTGACGCGCTGGGAGGTCGCGCCGGACAGTCCTATCATGATTGCCGTATCTGCCAGATTTCTGACGAACGTGCAGTTCGATAGCAAGTGTAGCGACAGCGAATGTCCCGAAATTCTGTTCGACCGCCAGGTGACCGTCAATGGCCCATTCGAGAACTTGATCTTCTGCCTCGTGACTGTGTTGGACCATCCCGCGTGAAGCCCTGCTGCAGTCTGTCCAGGCCCGGCTCCTCGTCCCGGCTCGAGGTCCGGCGGCTCGAGTTCGGACAAAGCAGGCTTCCGCGGCTGAAGCAGGTGTGGGCATTTGATCCAAGAGCACGAGCTCAGTCACGAGCTCGCCGCGAGTCAGTGCCATCTTGAGCCGCGCGTCGGGACTGGAAAAAAGACGTGGTGAAACTGAGCGGCCAGGCTTGCGAGCCCAGCTGGAAAGGGTCAATGGAAGCAACTGCGCGCGCGGCCTTCTTTCCCAACTGATGTTTCATTGCCGCTTCCCCCGGGCCATTTCAAGCAGCCCTGCCCGTGGCGGTCGCCATACGCTGTCGCTTGACTCGTCCGCGCTCCAGACTGCTGCTGCGCCCCGCACTACTTAATCGGGCGCGTGAGGACAATCTCGCAGCGGCAGCCGAAGCGAGATATTCAGAGTCCGGCCCGCGCGGTACAGCAGCCGAGATACAGGATGCCGCACCGCTGCAGTGCCTCTCTCGGCGACTTCCTTGACTCCCGTTTGTTTGTCGGGCCTGGAACGGGCTGTCGCCAGAGATCCACGCAAGAAGACTTCACGCGCGGGATGAGATCCCGCCACCAGACTTCACGCCGATTTGGAAGCGAATTGGACGAACGCGACATTGCAACTGGCCAAACCAGTGCTCTCGAATCACCTGATTGGTAGCAAAAGCATCGATAAGGATGTTCGTCGCCCAGCGCAGAGGCTCGCTACTTAAAGAGGAGGAGGCTAGGACAATCTTGCTAGCCCACGCAGACGTGCACTCTCTCAACCCACGATCATGCAACGTCCAATCTCGCAAGCTTCGCAACACAGCGCTGCATCAGCCGCCGACGCTGTCAACCCTTTCGCCACATCAAGCTCGCGGGCCTCGGTGGTCGATGGCGCACTCAGCTCGCCCTCTTCCACTCTAAAGCGACGACCCATCTTCAAATCGCAGCTCTGGAAGCCTGATCGCCCCATTCACAAGCCTTGGGTAGAGAGCAAGTCACGCAAAAGAGATGATCGCAATGTCCGCATTGCCTTCGCCTGCACCATTTTGCTGGGAGTGATTGCCGGCATCGGCCTCATTGCTCTTGGCTACCTCGATGTGCCACGTCACAAGTACTGCTTGGTGCTTCAAGAGGATTTCCAAGGCACGGAAATCAACAGTAACGTCTGGTTCCACGAGCAGGAAACGGGCGGTTTCGGCAACAATGAATTCGAGTGGACGACATCGTCCAAGAACAATTCGTTCGTCAAGGATGGCAAGCTTTACCTGGTGCCCACGCTCACCAGCGATAATCTGGGCGAGGCCGCCATTCTCGACGGCTACACCTTGAACCTCACTCAAGCGGGAATTTGCACTTCGACGAATACTTCGGACGCCTACTGCGCTGCGGCTTCGAATGCGACTCTCGGTCACGTTTTGCCTCCTGTGCAGTCTGCGCGCCTCGTGACCAACTTCTCCACGGCCATCAAGTACGGCCGCATCGAGGTGAAGGCCAAGATGCCGACGGGGGATTGGATCTGGCCGGCTATCTGGATGCTACCGCGCGATCAGTCTCGATATGGTCCTTGGCCCAGGTCCGGCGAGATCGACATTTTCGAGAGCCGCGGGAACATTCTCGAGAAGCATGCGGACGACACCTACAACCGCATGCACTCGACGCTTCATTGGGGCCTCGACTCGGCTACGGATAGATACGCCAAGACTACTGCCGAGCGTCAGCTCTATCGCAAGTTCTACAACGAGGACTTTCACACTTTCGGCCTCGAGTGGACGCCAGAAGGCATCTTCACCTGGGAAGGCTCACCGATCAACAAAGTCTTTGCTTGGAAGTTCACGGAGAGCTTTTGGAACCTCGGCAACTTCCCTGCCATCTCTAGCCAGAACGGCACGGCGTACTCCAATCCATGGGTGCCCCTCTCGAACTCAGCGGCGCCCTTTGATCAAGAGTTCTATCTGATTCTCAACGTCGCCGTGGGTGGCACCAATGGCTACTTCAAGGAGGAAACCATGCCGTGGTCCAACACGGCCGACATCAATGCTGCGAGGTCGCAATTCTGGGCGGCCAAGGATCAGTGGTACAGTACCTGGCCTGAAGCGCCAGAGGATCGCGGCATGGTCGTCGAAAGCGTCAAGATCTGGCAGCTCGATGGCGTGCAGGGCGCCGCCTGTCCGAAGAAGTGAACCTACGCGCACGGCTGCGGCAACGGTGTTGTATTTCTAGATAACCTTTTAGCCTGCTGCTCATTTACATCGATAAGATTCATTGCACGAGTCCGCACGAGACATGGAGGCCGGTCCATATTCCGCAATCGTCGCCCAAAGAGCACGAGAAGGGCGCGAAGCTTGAATACAGTCGTACGAGAACGAAGCACTCATGGATTGATCAATGGTCTTCCGCACCTCTGACAGCCTCTCTTCCGGTCCTCGCTAGCCTGGGCCTTCTTGTCCTCGGGCTATCGTGCGACGCGGGATCGGAGCTGTGAATCTGGTCGGCTTTGCGCGCGCTCCAGCAGACGCGCGATCGTGGGGGTCGACGTTGGCCTCGAATATCAGGACGTGAACTCGGCAACGAGCACATCGCCATTTTTGCTCCTTGTGCGCTGTCTTCAACGGTCGGAAAACGGTATCTAAAGACCAGGCAGCAACGAAAAAGCACGAGGAAGTCCCGTGTCGAAAGTTGTGCCTCTTGTGCCTCCTTCCCCTCTCCGCCCCGTAGCTGTGTGATTTCTGGGCTGGGAAGCCTGTGTGAGCTGTGCCTCTTGTGCCTCCTTCCCCTCTCCGCCCCGTAGCTGAGTGATTTCTGGGCTGGTCTAGTCTTGGGTGCATGTCTGGAAAGAG